CGAGTGGTTCTGTTTCTCGTCGTACCCATTGTGTGTCGAATGGTCCCTTGACGACGTGTGGTTGCTTCTTGATCCTCCATGGGATTCTGAGTTGATTCACAAATGCGGGCGAGATGAGATCCATCTGCGCTCCTCCATCCACTAACGCGAGGGCTTCGATCTTCCCCCATCGCGCTGTGATCCAGAGCCTGTTGTCTGGCTTGGTGCTTCGTACAGCAGCTACTTCGTGTTCGTCTGCTGGGAGGTCGTTGTAAGGCTTCTGCTTGCGCCAGTTCTTCCTGTACTGCGCAGCCTGTCTCCGTTGTTGTGGAGTTAGAGATTTCCGGGCCCCTCGGAGGGCCCTGAGCCGTTTCCCAAGCTCGCGTAGTACTTCAAGGCGTCCCTGTCCGCACCTTGGCTTGCGGCATCAATCGTCTGGTGTTCTTGGAGCCATTGGGCCGCCCATGTCTCAACTGGGCGTCTCTCGTTCCTTCGGAACGCTCTTGTCCTCTGGTGTGGCTTCCTCTGGGATTGCTGTTCCATGTATCCCCAGATTTTCTCGTCGGCGTGTGATAGGCAGTCTGCACTTCGGCATTCGTCGACTCCTACGCCTGTCATACAGCGTCGGGGCCAGGCTGCCTTGGGCTTGACCCTTAGCCTGCCCTCGTGAGTGCGTTGGGTGTCCCACAACATGCTTGCGGGAGCGTCGCCGCTGTCGTATACCCATCTGATGGGCAGGGGTTGCATTCCCTTTTCTTCTCTTGTGGGCCAGAAACTGTTGCGAAATTTGTCCTGGAAGTGGTACCGACATTCGTGCGCGATGCACTGGAACCAGGGCAGGTAGATGTGACTTTCTTTTCGTGGGTCCACCCGCTCGTGGTCTTCTGGTAACAACTGGAATCCCTCCGTGTTGTTCTCGCCCCGAAAACCCCACCATTCAAGGTCGGAGGTCTGTCGTCCGGCGCGCACGATGTGCTGATGTCGCGTCCAGTATTCTTCCCAGCTCTGCTGTTTTCTTCCTTTCGCCGCATTCTGTTCCTGCGCGTAGTCGAAAAGTTGCTCGGGGTATCGTACTCCGTTTTCGTATCCTTCCGCCTCTTCGGTGGGTCCATCCCACGGTGTGTGATGCGGAAGTACCTGGCGGATGTCGTCCTGCAAGGCCTGTGCCTCTCTTAATGTCTTTTCGACGTGATCCCCGGCCCTGTTGTTGGCCTCGGTGATCTCTTGGACTCGTTCCCTGGCGAAATCGAGTTCCGCGCAAAGTCGTCCGTACTGGTCGTTCCTTCTCTGGAGAAGTTGCTCGAGTTCTTCTTTCTCTCTTGACAACTCCTCGATCCTTTGTCGTTGGCTTAGGACCTTCTGTTGCAGAAAAATGAGGTTCGGGCTGACTCCTCCTTCACCCTCGTGGGTTCGCCATTGCCCGTCCTCTTGCTGAACCAGGGTGATGCCCCAGTCCTCAGCGACTTGTCGGATGTGCCGCGGGGGAGCCAGTTCTCCCTCGTCATCCGTTTCGATGAAAGCATGGTGGGCGGTGTCGTTTCCCTCCTGGTGGTTGCTGCTCATCAAGTCTTCTTGATCCGAGTCGGTGAGTTCATCGTCCTGCTCGATGACTCGGTCAATGTCGATTTCGAGGTCGTCCTGCGTGTAGCTGGCGGCTGCGACCTCCAGAAACCGGGTTCTTCTTCCGACCGTGTCTTGGTCGATGGTGGCAGCTTCCTTCCCTGGAACCGGTCTCCACTCTTTCTTGCTGCGGCAGTCACGTTTGAAGTGACCCTTCCTCCCGCAGTTGTAACAGGTGATGCCTGATTTGTCCTTGGCACCATCTCTCTTTCCTGCCCACTGTGCCTGGGCAGCGCTGACGTCCATGGGTCCCGAGTGCGTGCCGTATGACGTGCTCTGGTGCTGGCGTTTCTTTTTGTCGTTGGGCTTGTGGTAGCCTGCGGATCGCTGAACCTCGCTGCCCTTCTTCTGTTGTTTGCGGGCGAACTGTCGGTCGTCAATCTTGACAGCCATGGCGATGTACTCGTCGAGCGTGTCAGGTCGGCTCTCCTTGTAGAGCTCGTCCTTGACCTCCTCCTTCAGCCCTCCGTAGAACAGGTGCATCAGCCCCTCGTCGTCTATCTCTGCCTTCATGGAGTCTTGTCGGAAAATCGTGGCGTAGGCGGTGGTTGACCTAGTCTGCTTCAGCCGTCCTAGCCGTTCCTGGGCGTGTAACTTCTCGTCCTTGTCGCCGAACACCTTCTGAATCTCACTCTCGAACTCGGAGTAGTTCTCGAAGACCTTTTTGGTGAAGGGTTTGTGGATTGCTCCGCCGAGGAAATCACTCAGTGTTCCCGTGAACCACTTGAGGGCCTTGTCCTTGAGTCGGGTGGCGGCGTATCTGGTCTTGGATTCCTCAGTGGCGAACTGGTGCGAGTTGTGGTCGAGATAGTTCCGCATCTCCGTGATCCAACCTGGCAAGGCTTCCTGGTCGCCCCCGTATTTCTCGGGTTGCTCCAATTTGACCTTCGTCTTGGCCGGGTCCTTGGTGTGGACCTCGGTCGCCGCAAGTCGGGCTGCCAATGCCGCGTTGCTGGCCTTGGTCTTCGCAAGCTCTTCTTCAGTTTCATCGAGTCGTTCGGTGACTCTCTGAAGCGCGGCCGTGATCTGGCCCGGCGTCGGTTGAGTTGCCATGTCGTTTTACCTTCGAGCCTGAACTGTAACAGATCAAAGGGAGTTAGCAACGTGTGACGAACCTGTCTCTGGACCCGTCCTGTTAGGGTTCAGTATCGGTCGAAGGTATTCTCTCAAGGGTGCTTAGGTTCGGTGCAGCCAAAGGGTGCACAACAAAGACTTGTCTCAACAGTAGGCTCTCGAGCTTGTAGCGAACTGTAGTTGTGATTGCTAACTGGAGAACTCCCAGAGCTCTCCAGAACGAGTGACTATATACTATCTAGGTCCGTAGGTACCTTCGTACCTATGCCTCCTGGATCGTCTTATCCTCAAGACGATCCATCCTGGATCGTCTTATCTATTCCACGATCCCATGGATCGTGAATTCTCCCACACGATCCGCTTCTTATTGGCTGACGCTCCCATCCTTGACGATTGGCTCGGGGCGTCCCGCGCCCCGCTTCCGTGCGTCTGGCACAGTGATCATGACACCTACCTATATATACTTTCAGTTTATCTCTAGTACTACCTATAAAGCTATTCTTTTGTTTGACTATATATAAGAAGCTAAGTAGGCTAACCGGGTATATAAAGAGAACCTTTTAAAGAAGATATAACACCGAGTATATAAGATACCTATAGATAGCGATTCGCTAAGTCTTTTAAAGGTAGAACTAACTAAACTAGCTATATAGAGGGCTATTAGAGAATAGGAGGCTAACTAAGTTTAATAACGCTAGGCTGTTAAATCTAAGAGTAAAACTATTAAAGAGTTAAAGGTAATATAGCATATAGATCCAATCAACGGAAAGGGTAAGCTCTTCTAGCTAGATTAGCTTAAATAGTATAAATATAACTAGGAAGACTTTATCCTATTTAACGATAATTACGTTTTAGCTATACTAGCTAAATCAAACCCTTATAAAGATAGGTAGGAGATTGATCTTATACTATTTAATTTACCCCCGATTTTTAACTTTAATAATAGGATAATATAGTACCTACTTATCGAGCTTAGTCCGGTAGATTTAGATAAAGAAGTTGAGATCTTCCTAGGCGGGAACAATAATATAGAGATAAGGGATAACGATACCTTTAGTCTAGGAGACGATAATACCTTTAGTTTAGGAGATAGTAATACCCTTAGTATTGGGGATAGTAATACCCCTAATATAGAAGATAGTGATACCTTTAGTCCCTCTATTTAAAGACTGGCCGCCTTAACCGTGCCTATACCTACTACAACAGAGGTATCGAAGTTAACTATGTATTAACGTATTATATAGAACACCTTTAACTGTAATATAACCTTCGAGGGTATATAGGTATGTAGGGTGTTTGAATAGAGCTAATAAGCGGCTAAATCGCTTGAATAAACGATAAAACGTAGATTCAGTTAAATCGTTTAAAAATGTAATAAAAAGCAGTATCTATAGTTTTATTTTTATATAGAGATAGCTATTGATAGGGGTTTAGGGGGGGGGGGGGCTGTAGGAGGGCTTTCTTACTTAGGGCCGTGCGCTAGTTAATTAGAACTAATTTAACTACTATAAAGATTGATCCTCCTATCAATTCTGGTCAATTTACACTACTGCGAATAGCTTTAATATCATTGTGTCGTTGTGTATTGAGGTTGTAAGTGGCGCCCACGTACAGATCTCCTGCAAAAATGGGTGGCCGAGTATCCCAGGTTTTTTGTCGTGTCCCACAGTTTTCGCCCCCCCTACGGAGTAGGGGGTAAATGGGTAAAAATCCCAGACCTACGCAACCCCCAAGTATAAGTGGTATGTTGCGAGGGGTAAAAGGGGGCCAAATGATGTCATTGCCTAAGAGCACCGGGAAACAAGCGTTGACCGGCGGCTCACTCCTGAATTAAGGTAGATACATAGGTACCTTAGCCTCCGAAACCTACACATGTCTCATGATACTGGCTAAGCTACTACTCACATTCCAGTTTTCCAACCACCACGGGTTGACTGACCAGCTGGTTTGCCCAAACGTACCTACCTATATGAGGCAGCACCTAGTTCTTGTTCACCTTCCCACCCAAAAGCCTCCCAATGGAAATCGCCGCATTCACATTCGCGGCCAACCATGAGAGAATTCGGCATGCTTTATGTTTTCCGCGAACATCCAACCCCCAACTCGGCCAAAGAATCGAGGAACTGCGACTCGTTACCTGCGAATCAGCTTCGGTCAGAAGCTGGGGATGAAACAAGACGGGCAGGCACCAACGCCGCCCGCACTCCCCCACAGCACGTGTTGTAATGCAGAACCAATAACCAACACGAGCAGCAAGCGGGGGCTGCCCCTTCCTCAGCTTTCTCCCCGCAACCTGCACTTTTGTTTCGCAAGTAGGTACCTGGTACCTAGCTTTGGATGGAATTCGGAGGTGTTCCTTTTAGAGCCTCAATAACTGCCCGGGCCTCCGGGTATTTGCCGTGCCAGCATTTCTCAATAACGGAACCAATTGCTCTAAGCGACGTTGTATCGGGAAAATCGTGCTCGAGGTACCGAGCGCGGATCTCGGTGTCCTTCAACCCTTGGTAAGGGGGTTGGCCCGTTGTGATCTCATAAAGCACGCTGCCGAGTGCGAATAGGTCGGCTCGGGTCGACAATAACGGCCCTGGAAATTCGTGGCTCTCGGTAACGACAATTAGCAATGGCGAGCCATCTATCGATGACCCGGCAAAGTCGGCTACTCTTGCGTTGAGGTTGGCATCCAAAAATATGTTTGCGCAGGTCAGGTCTCCGTGGATGACGCCAGCGTCATGGATGAATTTGATTGTTTCGGCGACCTGGATAGCCCAGCGCAGACGTTGCTCAAAACTGACTGCATTTTCCCCGAGACGCAACCGCAAGTTGTGGTTCGGGGCGTACTCTAAACGAATGCCAGACTCGAAGATGCCGTGGTATACGAGGAGCCCTGAATGGCCGCCGCGTTGCTTGAATCTCTCGTATGATTCGCGTTCTCTCCCCATCCGCAAAAGGCATTCTTCGTTGGCATGGTCGAAAGGGACTTTGATAATGGTGTTAGAGGACTCGTCAAGAACGACCAGACCAGTAGTTCCCCAGCTCACGACGTCGCTCAACCCGAATCCTGAGGGATATTGAATATCGTCGTCCGCATATTCTTCCGTCATTTTCTAGAAGTCGTTGAGCTTGTCGCATGTGCCAAGTTCCCGTCAACTTGAGAGTTGAGACAATGTCGGGCGCACACATTGACGCGTCAAGACGGGAGATGGGGCACGAGGTGCTGGGATCTGCCTCGGCCAATTACACCACCCAGCGTGACCGGGGCACACGGTCATCACGTAAAGCCCGAAATTCTGTTGTTGGTTGAATGAATGCCTGGTTGGTTGGAAGGTATCACGGTACGCCGTCCTTAAGGTGGCCGACGTCCCGGACGGTGCGATGCACAGCCAAGGTGACAACCAACACCAATCCATTTCATATGGTCCGAGTAACGTCCATATCCCCCAAACCTGCCGGAGTATCGGTATATCCGCCCCGCCAGCAGGTCCCCATCACGGCCCCGGCTGCCCCAACAGATACTGCCTCAGGGAAGTGGTGTTCGAGGTGTTCGGTGCATACTACGGATCTCGTCACGTCTCCCAATTCCTTTGTAGTGTAAACTAAACCGGTTAGCTTAGAAGCAGGACACAGATCATCCAATACAGGCCGGTTAATGTCAGCACACAAGCTCCGACCTACCACGGTCCACGGTCAAGCAGACGAGACCAGCTCGCGTCCACGAAGCCGTCCGCCCATGGCCACTTGGCCCCCCTTCAACCCGGGCCACGTCACCGGAGGCCGACACACGGCACATCGTGTTGGTATCGACAACATCTGCAAGAGCTCGAGCAATATAGCTTTCTCAACTATGGACCCAGCACTGGCGACGGGAAGAGAACCGAAGGCTGAGGCGATCGACATAGACTAATGGCCGATTGGGGTGTGATGGTATGCCGATCAAATTGGATCAACTGTTTCCAGGATAGAGGATAGGCATGCTACAGTACGATACTCAAGGCGACCAGGCCAGCTAAGCTAGACAATAGAGGCCCTATAACTTCATGGTTTTCGGTGACGACCAGCGAGGGCGTGTGTTGGGCGGGGGAATTCCTCGACGACCTAACAAAGTCGGTGGTTCGCATCCAGGAAGGTGTGTAGGCAAGTCTCTCCATGGATGACGTCCGCGTTATGGACGCCTCAGGGAGCGTGAACAGCCCGAGTAGCCCTGTGAAGCCGTCGTGTACATTGTCGTCCCTCTCCCCAAGGTCTAACCGCAAGTTATGATCCAGGGCGTACTCCAAGTGAATGCCGGACTCGAAGATGTAGTGGCGTACGAGGATTCTTTGGTGGCCGCCGCAGTGCTTGAATCTTTCGTATACTTCGCGCTCTCTCTGTAAGCATCATAAAACCGGCATCTTAGTTGGCATGGTCGAGGCGGGCGTTACGGTCCGCAAACTTGGGCACTCAGCCCCCTACCGAAACCTATCTCTCACCGGCCTCTTATGACAGGGCCAAAGGCGCGTAACAATCGCAAGTTGAATAGTACGTGCTAGGCGGTGTAGACGGAGACAAACAAAAACGCTGTATTTATTATTATATGCAATTATTAACTAGTCATAATTCATTGAATACACCTCCCTCCCGGTCCCCAACGTCAGCGCCCTGCTGAGCCGAGGTCCCCTCTTTGAACAGGGGCATTTTTCTCCAACGAGCTCCCCGATCCCTCCTCATCCGGCGTTTGGGGAGGCAGGCCGCGCACGAGCGAGTCCCACTGCCTCATCTGGTTCTCAACGTGCGGTCCGTTGGTGAGGTCGTCGAGGAAGCTGTCGGGCGACATGTCACTGCTGGAGGAGGTGGACCGCAGCACACCCCACGACTGCAGCAGGCCGTGCACCGGTGCCTTGAGCGTCGGCAGAGAGGTCGCCAGCACGCCGATGGTCAGTTCCATGCCCCAGAGGAAATCCTGCAGCGCGTTGATCCTGGCCCCTCCCTTGCCGAGGTAGCCCATGATGAGGAGCAAACGCGCGATGGCGATGCCGGTGGCACCCATTCCGGCGGTCATGAGGCAGCCGATGAGGAACTTTTCGTAGAACGGCCGGCGGAGGGTGCGGATAAAAGTGATGGGTAGGATGGAGATGGTGAAGTCAGATGCGATGGTGAGGCCTGGTCCCGGGAAAGTCAGCAACGAAAGCTCACTGTAGAGAAGACGAAGTCGAGTCAGGAGAAATGGCAAATATGCATACCGCTATAAACGTAGCCGTATATCATAAAGTTCGGCACAGGAATACATTTTGCCGTTGGCGTCGGCGCCCACCGAGCCGAGATGGGTTGGCACATGACGAGGTGCATGGTGGTGCCAACGACGAGCATACACGCCTGAACCGTGATGACAGTCCAGAGCGCCAGCTTCCACGGCAGCGAGTCCTTGAGCCGGAGCAGCAGCAAGGCGGCCGAGATGCGGATCACGTTGAGCCCCCATACCCAAAGCACTCCGTCCGCGACGATTAATGGGCCCATGGTCCAAGGATCCGGCATAAAGCCCTCGATGCCCCGGCCGTAGTGGTACATTGCCACGTCAATGCCATACCAGACAATAGTCAGGACCTGCCAAGGCGTGTTAGTCACAATCTATCGATTCCACCACGAGACGTCCTCGGTCGGGCTTGTCCTTGAACCCAAGACGGAACCCGCAAGCGTAACAAGGCTTAGCTTCGGGAAGGGGTGGGTCCTTACTAGGGCGAAGACAAGCGTGTAGTCATCGGCGCCAATACGCCAGGTTGGCCGAATCCGCCAGTAAATGCGGAGCCCCGTCGTGATGCATGCGATGCCCAGAAAGGTGCCAACGGGCGCGAGCGGGTACGCTTCGAATCTGACGCCGGCGGGGTCGCCTTGGGTTGGCGGAGGTCCCTGAGATGCCATGGTCACCACCTTGAGACCTCAGCGGCCGGCCACCTGAATTCCGACCGTGTGGTTCTTGACAAAACGCGTAACCAGGGCGTGGTGATCGACCCGGGGGACCGCAGTGGGGAATCTGATCATGGAGAAACTCGATCTCGGTGGAGGTTTACATGGCGAGACATGTATTCATAGACAAAGAACAAGGTGTCAACCATCATGCACCGTGGCGGACCGGTCAAGACTGTCTCGCCCTGTGTGTGTGCTGGAAGGGGGGTGCAATCTCGCTCGGATGCGGCTGAAGTGGCGAGCCGCAGGGCCGAGCAACCATTCTCCCCACACCGGGTGCTTACCCGGTAACAAGGAGTGCAGCGTGGTCCAGCTGGAAGCTTTTGCATCACCAACTGTCTCTTCAGAGCCACCCTGCCTTCTCGCTTGCATGGTAACCTGGTTCAGGACAAGCTTTCCCCCGTCTCCTCGAAGGTAACACTGCCATCCTCATCAACCCCCAGCTGCTGTTTTGAAAGTTCTCTCACTTGCCGAGGCCGAACCTTCAAAGTTCGACACGGGGACAGGGGGGACGAGCACAGGGGGCGGGAAGTGGAGGGTGGATGATCATCACCATTGGCCCGCTTCTACGACAACGCACCAACACCGGGTTCGTCCTCCTCAAACCCCGCTCCGCGGAGTGCAGGCCGTTGCATCCGTCAGCACGTTCTGCTCTTCGCGGGACAGAATATTGCTGCTATTGCAACGCCGCTATCGACGAGGCCTGCGCTCGTTCCATGAACAAGGGAACAGCAAGGGAAGAACAAGGGAAGCGTCAACCAACAGCCAACAGGGGGTCGGGGTTTAATTCTCGGGTGTCCCCCACGGCAATGGACGGGGGAGAGAAGGCTGGCTTCAACTTGTTTGTTTTGCTTTTCGAGATCGTGATTCCATCCCCGGGTCGAAGGCAAAAGACTCCGGCCCTTTCGTTGATCTTATTCGCACTCTCTCCGAGTATTTCTCCATCCAACAAATAGGATGCGAACATCCCTGGCCACACTGCTCCTCTGGGGCGCAGGCTCGGTTGCGTCGGTTGTGTGTGCCAAGAGCTGCTCGTACGGGGATGACCCTCAAATCATCGCCCACACGGGCGAACCGGTGGGGACCGAGAAGATGTACAATGGAGGTCAGAGAACACCGTGCTTCGTCCAACCTTGCCGAGAAGGGAAGAGCCAAGGCAGTGCACTAACATGGGCTGCTGTCTTCCACAGTGAATCTCTACATCTCCAAGCCCGAGTGTAAGGACCCCAAAGTGGGCGTCTTGTATCTGACAGATGTCTTTGGCATCCAGTTGGCGGAGAACAAGCTGTAAGTTGTCTAGGTGGACGGACAGACGCTGTGTTTTCCACCGTCAAGCCTGCTCGTAGTGGTACTGTATCATCCCAGCAGAACGGAGTGACTGAGCACCAGCATCACAGCCTAGCGGACTCGTTCGCCCGAGCGGGATTCTTGGTCGTCGCGCCGGACATGTTCGACGGCAAACCGGCGCCCTTGGATTTCGACACGCCCGGCTTCAACGCGACCGAGTTCACTCTTCGTCACGGGCCCAACGCGACGGACCCCATCCTCGCCACGGCGGTGGCTTACCTCCAGACCACGGGCGTGGAGAAGATCGCGGCCACCGGCTACTGCTACGGCGGTCGGTACACCTTCCGCGTGCTCGCCGGCACTGGCGTCGACGTGGGCTTTGCTGCTCACCCCAGTCTGCTGGAGGATCCTGAGATCTTGGCTATCACAGGTCCCATCAGCGTTGCCGCCGCTGGTAAGACTTTTCTTCATTTGCACCCTTTGATTTGCTTGTTGTTTGTTTCCCTCATAACTAACATACCCTGCGTCTAGAAACGGACGTTATGATGCCGCCCGAGAGGCGTCCTCAGATGGAGGCTCTGTTGGTTGACGCCGCCCAGCCGTACCAGTTCAGCCTGTATGGCGGTACTTCGCACGGGTTTGGCGTGCGCGGTAACGTTTCCGACCCTCAGGAGAAGTTCGGCAAGGAGGGTGCTTTCTACCAGGCCGTCAGGTGGTTTAATGTTTGGGCCGGTGGTGCTTTGTAAGGACGGAGTTCTCGGGCTAGACCTGGGTTAGACCTGGGTAGAGTAGACCGTTTTCACTTCTTGGATAGCGATTTGACTATTTTACTTCACATTGGCCGCCCCATTTTGATACGGAGAATATGAAACGTTTTTTTTATTCTGAACGCAAACCCCGGGTCCTTGTCCGCCATAAGACTGTTACCCACCCGCATTACCTCCCTCCGAGTCTTGAACCAACAACAACAACCAGCTGCACGACACATTAACCCTTTAAAGTCACCCTCTCAACCTCACTCCCCCCCTCCCAAACCTCCAACGCATCCGCCAACCTTCCCCAAACCCCCCCATGCCACCCCCTCATCACCTCCCACTCCCCCGCGGGCAACAGCAACCTCAACCACATCCACCACCCCCCGACCACCAAATCCGCATACATCGGCGTCGCCCCCTCCAGGAAAGGCCCCTCGTCCCGCTTCACAAACCACGCCGCCAACCCCCCCAACGCCTCCTCAAACCCCTTCATCTTCGCCGCCCTCGCCTCCCCCTCAAGCTTCAAGTCCTCCCACGACTTGAGCCCAAACCGCGCCATCATCTCCCTCCGCGAGGCCTCCGCCGTCGCCGGGTCGAAGGGCAGCCAGTACCCGGCCAGCGGCACGCCGTGCTCCGTAAAGAGCGCGTCGGCGTGGGCGTTGAAGGCGCGGTGGAGGGCGACGGTGTTGGGCGGGAAGAGAGGGGGGGTGGAGGGGTGGTGGGCGTGCAGGTGCAGGGCGATGTCGAAGGAGTCGCCGACGAGGGTGGACGTGGAGTGGTCGTGGATGATGGGCAGCGTGGGGAAGTCGCTGCCGTCGAGGTGCTTGCGCACGGGGGGGAGGTTGAGCGACGCGCGGGTTTTGGCCACGTCCGGGAGGGGCACGAAGACGGTGGTGAAGGGGGCGCGGGAGAAGTTCAGTGCGTAGCGGGCTTTCCAGGGGTTGGGGGCGAAGGGCTTGCTGGAGGGGCCGGAGCCGATGTCGTAGAAGGTTATGGGCTTGGGGGAAGTCATGGTGGAGGGGGGTATCAACGGCCGGCCGTTTTAGGTTGTAATACTCTAAATGAGTGGTGGGCTGATGGATTGCGTGCGTTTGTTTGTGAATGTTGTGATTGAGTCAGTTGAACAACAGACAGGACGTGGGTTCCTGTTACAAGTATAAAGAGAGCCCGATGTAACCCAAGAAAGTGAAAAGCAACGGGTGGCAACTAGTTTCTGCCCGACTCGAGACAGCCGCAGCTTGGGTAGTACCCACTATGATTCATTCTGATTCATTCTGATTCATGTTCACCGCATATCTTGTGGGACAGACAGGACAGACAAGCGTGCCCCAATCGAAATGTTTTATACTGCAATATGTTGAGCACGAGAGATGGAAGCGAGGGTTGGTCCATGGTTATGGTTTCTCCGAGTAGCTCCTACTCGCACAAACTACCGGGTAAAGAAGAATCCGCTGAACGACAGGGTAAGTTCCTGCCAAAACAACACGCTGCCACAGCCCACTCAGCTCTTCACCTCCTGCTGGTTCAACATGACCATCGGCTTCGGCGCTGCGTCTTGGCGAGCGTCCTCATCCTTCTGGGTGGCCTTCCCCGACGGACCCCCCCTCTTGTCAGAATCAGGAGTGAAGTACTGCCTGCGCTGCTGCTGGTCCTGGTGCGCCGGGAACATGGTGGCATAGAACTCGGTCCAGCCGCCCATGCGGACGCGCACCAGGTTGTACTTCTCCGGGTCCTTGACCGACTTCTGGTACGTGTCGAGGTCGGCGCACGTGAGCGTGATCAGGTTGCTGCCCACCCTGCCGGCGGCGTACTCCTTGATGAACTCTTGTAGCTCGCCTAGCGGGAACGCCTCGGAGATGTTCATGTCGACAGGCGACGCGTTGGACAGCCCGTGCTCGATGCTCTTGTACTTGGTCGCCTTCATGGCCTGGTAGATGTTGCGGAACACCGGGCTCGCCGGGAGATCCTGCGCCGCCGGGACCGGGGACAGGTCCGAGGCGATGGGCATACCGCTGCGCCGGCCGTCGGCCGAGGCACCGCAGGGGATTCCGTCGCCTACGTAGCCTTCGAAGGTACCGATGCCGGGGCAGATGACGAACTCAAAGTCTTTGCCATAAGTCCCTTTGATGGTATCGAGTTTCCCCTTGATGGTGGCGTTGGGCTCGCGGATTGCGTCGACGCAGAGCTTGACGCAGGTTTTGACCAGCCAGTCACCAAGGTCATCGACCTCCTTGTCACCACTTCCCCACTTGGGCAGTGCCATGGCGGCGTCACGGAGCTCCGAGTAGCGCAGCCCGCGCTCTGACGCGTCGGCCGTCCCTGAGAGCTGGTTCTCGAACGGCTCAATCATGTTGTGGCCCCAGTCACAGATGAGACACTTGACCAGCTCCTGGAGGGTGACACGGGCAGTGTCCTCGTCGAAGACCAGCTTCTTGATGGCGTACAACGAGTCGATCGTGTTGGAGATGCCCACGCACAGCGGCGCCATGATGTGGAACTTGGACCCGCCGTTGGTCAGATCGCGGCCCTTCTCGACGCAGCCCTGGATCAAGACCGAGAGCAACGGCGAGGGGCAGATGTTGGCGAGGTTTCCGTAACCTTCGAGCATGATGTTGTAGCACTGCACGACGAGCCACTCGAGCTGCTTCACGAACGTCTGCTTGAGGTCCTCGAAGCTCGTGAACTCCTTGGCCGGCTTGGACCGGAACGTCTGCTTCAGTCCGCGGAGCTGCTCCGGACCGGCCGCGCCGTAGGTGGCGCCCTCGTTGAGGGTCTGCTCCAGCGCTAGCATCGGCGCCACGTTGTTGAAAGTGAACTCGGACGCGCCCGCCAGCATGGGCTCGTAGCAGCCATCGGCGGCGTAGTCACGCGACCACTTCAGGTCGACCACGCCGGCCGTGGCCGAGTCCTTTAGTGCAGGGCACAGCTTGTCGTCGTTGTACAGGATCGGCTGCGCGCCGCCTGACAGGATCCCCTTGGCTGCCTCGTCGAGGTACTTAGCGGGAATGTCCTTGTGCACACGCAGCGAGAGGGTCGGCGCGTTGACTGGGATGCGCCGGGCTGCCTTGAGGCAGAGCATTGTCACCTCGTTCGCGCCGCACTCGGGATCGACGCTGTCCGTTGCCTTGTAGCCGCCGACCGTGATCTGCTGCACCCACTGGTTGATGCCGCCGCCCTGCGGAAAGTTGCCACCCATGCCGCAGACCGCTGTGGTGCCGTACGTCACGTAGTCGTAGATGAAGGCGCGGTTGACGAAGGCGTTTTCCCCAATCTTGACCCAGAGACAGTCGATGACCTCCTGTGGGTCTTCATGCTCCTTGCCCTTGTCCCGTGCAAAGAAGGGGTACAGGATCTGATCGAGACGTCCAAACGGTGTCAGTTCTCCCACGAGGTGCAGACAGCAGTGGAACGAGTAGATGAGTTGGACGGCGTCTTGGAAGCTCTCGGGGGGGGTGTCGACCAGGCGATTCAGCCTGGCTGCCACACGTCTCATGTTGGCCGCATCATCTGGAGCCAACGCCTTTTCTGCGTCTTCAGCTGCCTGCTCGGCAATCGTGGCCCAGTTCTGCAAATAGCCCTGAACACCCTTAAGAGAAAGGATGCAAGACTCATAGAAGCTTCCTGTGGCATCGTTCGGGTTCTGGAGGCTCTTTTTCTTGCTGTCCAGGTCCGTGATCATCTTCTTCAGTCCATCCTTGACGAGGAGCTCGTAGCCTGGCACGATGTGGCCCATGGCTGACCACTCGTTGAGCTGACCCTTCAGCCAGGCAGCCATGGTCTCGTCCTCGGAAAGATAGGGCACCACTTCCTTACCGCGACCGAGGGTGAAATCCGGGATGACGCCGACGATGAGTTCCTTGGCCTCGATCCGGAGCAGGCCATTTTCGCGGGCCTCTTCGTTCTTTGGATCCGAGAGCAATCGGGCCAAGGTTTCTTTGTTCGCCATCCCTTTCCGCACAGGGACCGGAACCTCCACCAGCTTGTCCGCGTCGCCAGGGTCGACAAGCGTTCTCAGGTGTGGCAGTCGCGGAAAGACCTGTTTCTTCATCCAGGAGTCACGCCAATGCGAAAAGGTCCTGGCCATCAAGCTGAGCAGACGTCGGCTAGGGGGGTCTTTTTCTTTGTACCGACCCTCGGACATCCTGTGGAGGTAGTCTTGCGAGTTGTAGAAGAGATAGTCGTTTGGGCTGGTCACATCCCAATGGGGGTCCTCGTAGACATCCTCGGGTCCTGTCACGTTGGCCACCTTCAACTCGGCGGCGGAGGGCACGTACCAGTAGCTCCCGGAGACTCCGTGCACCACCGTCATGAGTTTGTCGACCGGCCTCTCGGGGTAATCGCCGATCAGGTTCTGGAGGATGTCTTCGAAACGCTGCTGGTCGTTGCAAAAGGCGACAAACATGATGCCCTTCTCCCGGCCGGCGTGGTTGTCATCCGAGCCGTACGGTAACGCCTGACGGAGGAGTTTGAGCTGGTCGTTGTTTTTGTTCCGGATCGCCGCGCGGTGCACGTGCGAGTGGACGGCATGCTGCGGCAGGGCGGCACCGTCCGGGTTGCGTCCGATCATCTCATCCTGCGTGTCGGCGGCCTGGGTGGCGATGCCCGGCCAGTCAAACTCGAACTTCTGCGTGAATCCGAAGCAGGACCCGGTAACTCCGCCACGCTCTTTCTCGGCGATCAAAATGTCCTCGGCCAGGCTGATGGGGTCGTTGGGGTTGGTGATACCGTCCACATAGCGTCCACCCATGATCCTGGTGTCTTTGCGTTTGCCCATCTTGACTTGCTCAATGTTTTTCGACAAGGCATGAAGCTGATCATACACGGTACTGACGATTTCCTTCGCCGTCTCGTGGTTAGGAGCCTTGACGAAGATGAGGACGTCACCCTGATCAAGGGTGAACTTCTTGAAACGATCGATGTTCTTCGTGCTGATGGGGATGGACCGGCCTTCCCATTCGCCCCATAGCTTGGCGGAGAAAGCGGCAACGAGGCCGCTGTCGGGGTGCTTCTCGAGGATGTGGTCGCTCAGTGTACTGATAATACCGACGATCTTGTCGCGGGTGTCTTTCCCCTTGTTCTCGTCCTTGAGGAAGAGGGTCAGGGCCTGCCCGAACACGGCTCGCATAAGCAAGCCGCGTTGGGCAGACAACAGGGAATCGTCGAGTCTTTTGGTGGTTGCCGCCATGACTGGTTTTGATAAGAAGGAATGCTGATGTTTGACGACCTAGGGTACCTGACCAACTAGGGCAAACTACTAGTCCGGAATGTTGGGTGCTCAAGGTCGAGGAGAGGAGAAAGCCATGGTTGTCTCGTTATTTATGCCTCGTTCTCTCCACACCAGAGCAACTCGACCCTCAGTCCTCTCCGCACCAGAGCAACCCGACCCTCAGTCGTCTTCTCCGGTCTGTCTTCTTTCCATCGACGCGCGATAGCCGACCATGACGCTGTGTAAGTGGGGAATGAGCACCTTGCTAGGCACGTAGCCATCCAAACTTCCGTAATGCGCGAGGTTCTATTCGCTCCAGGCGGCACTTGGAAGGCCGCCCCTTGAGAAGAGCTGAAGTAACATGCGGGTGCCCTGCATATGCATACGCCGATCAGGGCCTGCACTTCAGCTGGTTATTCGACTGCCACTTTCCTGATCCGTACGAGTACATCCCGGTGGCTAGCTGACGCCCGATGTGATATATTGACAGTTGTCTAGGTTCTGGCTAATCAACGGTTTCGAAAACGACTGCTGACGATTCCTCACTGGACTCCTAAGCACCAGTACTATGGCCCCAACCAGCCCCGAGTGTAATACTCCGTACCTACACCAGCGTCGAGGTTCCCGGGTCTCCAGCGAGCAGGTACATTGAACTGGCGTCCTGCACGCTTCTACAAGACTCTACTAGAGGATTAAAACGCAAGTTCTCCTTCGTCACCGATGATGCTCTCCCGAGTCACACGAGAAGACGCACAAAGATGCCGCACGGCAAACTCAGGGGCGGGAGTCGGCATGGATGTCTCAGAGCCCCCTCAGCCGATCAATGTGGCCAACGCAGTAGTGAGTCTCAAGATAGTGCTATGCATCCTGCATCTCTCCGGGTCGGGTCGAAGCGACAGTAGCTCGGGACCACGTCCACCAACGGAGACCATGGACATTGAATCCGTCTCTATCCATTGGCTGCCAGTCACTGATAGTCGTGCGGGGTACGTCGCAGCCAGACGTAATGCTGTTGTTCGAGACTATCAAATGTCGTCGCCAGCTCCAGCTCTACACGAAAGGCCTTCCGCGTTATGAAACCCAGACCCACCCCTTGGGCCGCTGGTTGGGCAACGGTGGGTTGTCACACAGCGTCACCTTCGTGTCACTGAGTGACAAGAAGGATGGGACCAAGGCCAGCGTTCAGGTATCTCCTTCGACCCCCTGCGTTTTATTGACAATGACAGGTCCGAGAATGTCGAGCCAGATGCAAAGATCCTCCTTTTTTACCGGGACAGACTCATTGAGTAAGGTACCTAGGTAGTCTAGAATTGGTCAGGACAGCCGGCGAATATGACGAAGGTCTCTCCATACGTCTGGAAAACGCGTGTGTACCTAGTGATGCGTCCTCGGGGACACCCTCAGTCGGCCAAGTCGCATGAAGGAGATGTGGTCCTGTATCCAACGCGGGCAGCGAGGGAAAGTTGCATTACCTAAGAGACTGGTGAAATTATCACGACGCCCGAGCCCTTCACAACCATGGATGTAATTGTCCAATCTTTCTATCACAAAAAGCAAAGTTGACTGGTTACGATACTAACCGGCTTCCAAACTACATCAAGGAGTCCGGCAAGAGCCTCTCTCAAGTGAAACTGCCTGATGTAAACTACTGTGAGAGCATGTGATAGCATGTGAGAAATTGCACGACCTCCACAAGCCCATCAGCCGCGGGTCCAAACCTTCACGCGTATATCTACCTTCTTTTCTTGATTATACGGGGACCTGACCATTGGTTGAATCCCTTCCCCCCTGGCCCAGAGTGGTTCAGGATCTAAAAGGGAACCAAGTTACGAAGAAAACTAATGCGCCCTGCACGCGGAGACAGAAAATTATACCTTATTACCACTTACCTTGCTGCTATTGAGGAGATCTTCCAGACGTAGGTGGCTAAGTGCAGGCATGCTTGTAAACTCTGACGATGAGGTAGTATCAGAGCAGGTTTACATACTGAGTACTGTGTAAGTCAATATTGACTCAGGTATTTTGCTAGTTTATTCTGTGAATGGTTCTTCTTAAAATCTCCCCGAGACTGCCCCCCTTCGAAAGTCCACGCTGGTTTTACATGGCTGACAAGTTATTTTGCCGCCCTAGTGACAATTTGTCTCGCAAGAACTTCCTCATCAACGCTCTGGGGAGCGGGAGTTGGAGAGCCGAGGCGAGAAGCGCCCCAATCACGACCAAAATGGAAGTGCGCCGACGCGTGCAGGGGTCCTCTGTTGGTGAAACACGAGACCTTTCGTTGGAGTTCATCTCGACTTCGAATCCTCAATAGCAAACGAAATAAATTTGGTACGGAAAGCGTGCTTCGGTTGTCTCTTTTCGTTTTTATCCTTGAATATGGGTCGGAGAAGTATCCGCCATGACAGCCCAAGGCTCGAGCCGGGAGCATCGTTTATCCTGGTTACGGAGAAGGGTCGGAGCATGGAGCACCGGCGAGTTTGAGATCTCTTCAGAGCGTTTTCCTCCGTAACCATTCCGGTAGTTGCCCCGAAAACGAGCACATAGGCGCGCTAGCCGACGCGTAGGTTCCCACACAAACAGTCCTTAATCAACCCCTGAGCCCATCGGTGGACCCGCACGTGGAGTGATGAAACCCGACTCGGAAACCTCGCTCATGACGGTCCACGAATCACAGCTGGGCCTGTCGTACCTGTTTCCCCAAACCCACGACCCAGCGGAGAGTTTGGCCTCGTGTGTTCCAGCTCGCAGCCAAGAGGACGTGCCGGAGGTTGCAGGATGCACCCCAGTCTACCGTTTGGGCGACCCGTGATGGCGGAGCTGCCGACGATGAAGGGCTGACGGGCGGAGCCGGTTGACGGAACTATCCGCCTATCGGTGATACGGAACACGTGGGAAGGTGTATAAGATTCGAGGATGTCAAGCTTGAAGGAGTGGTTGTTGGATCGTGGTCGAGGATTTCACGTGTAACTACCTGTCTAGTTGACGCTTGTTTTTAGGTATCCCGTCCCATACCTCGGGAGTTCATGCTCATTCTTTTTTTTGCTAACTCCTTACCCCGGTAGTCTCAGCGCAATGAGGTCTTTCGCCCTTTTTTCCGCCCTTGTGGCGTGGGCACACACTGCGGCCGCTGTGACCGGTGCCGCCCAGGGCTTTGCTAAGGGCGTCACGGGAGGCGGCAACGCTAGCCCCGTGTACCCCAAGAGCACTTCGGAGCTGGTTTCATACCTGGGCGACTCCCAGGCCCGCGTCATCATGCTTGACCGGACTTTCGATTTCACCGGAACCGAAGGCACTGCCACCGAGGGCGGCTGCGCTCCCTGGGGCACCGGGTCTGGCTGCCAGACTGCCATAAACAAGAACAACTGGTGCGACACCGAGCAGGCCAGTGCCCCCAAGGTGAACATCAAGTACGACAAGGCCGGCGTTCTCGGCATCACCGTCAAGTCCAACAAGTCCCTCATCGGTGTCGGCAACAAGGGCATCATCAAGGGCAAGGGGATCCGCATGGTCAGCGGGACCAAGAACGTCATCATCCAGAACGTCCACATCACCAACCTCAACCCGCAATACGTCTGGGGCGGCGACGCCATCACGCTGGACAACACCGACCTGATCTGGATCGACCACGTCACCACCTCCCTCGTCGGACGCCAACACCTGGTCCTGGGCAGCAACGCCAGCGGGCGTGTGACCGTTTCCAACTGCAAGTTTGACGGCCAGACCTCGTGGTCCGCCACCTGCAACGGCTACCACTACTGGGGCATGTACTTCACGGGCTCCAACGACGTAAGCTTCCCCCTCCCCCGCAGCAACAACCACCCACCCCCCAACCACACTAACACGATCCCGCGCACTAGATGATCACCTTCCAAAACAACTACATCTACCACATGTCGGGCCGCTCGCCCAAGGTCGCAGGCAACACGCTGCTGCACGCGGTCAACAACTACTGGCACGACAGCCAGGGGCACTCGTTCGAGCTCAGCGCCGACGCCAAGGTGCTGGTGGAGGGCAGCGTGTTCCAGAACGTGCAGACGCCGCTCGAGGCCGGCGGCTCCGGTCGGCTCTTCGCCAGCGGCAGCAGCAGCGCCGCCTGCTCCCAGTACCTCGGCCGCGCGTGCGAGGCGAACGGGTTCGGGAGCTCGGGCGCGCTGTCCGGGTCGGATACCTCGTTCCTGTCGTACTTTGCGGGCAAGAACGTTGCGCCGGCGACGGATTATAATACGGCCAAGGATGTGGTCAACACGGCTGGGTTTGGCAAGATCTGAGGTGATCTATACAGGCCTGTGTGAGAAGGGGTGGTGGGAGTTGGGAGGGGAGCATTCTTCGGGACATCTGACCGCTGTCGGCTTTTTTGAGGACTCAACTTTGTATATACGGCTTTTCTGTCCAATCCCTAATACCGCTTCTCTGTACAAGGTTCCCGCTGTGCTTCAACTGTGCGTCGCAAGGGGCTCTCTCGGTGCTCACTCTCCACCCCCGCAATCCTTAACCACCGTAGGCCGCGTCTGAAGCGTAGAAGTGGACGCGCATCCAGTTGGCGAGCTGCATGAAGTCCGCACTCCTTCTGTGATGGTTCGAGATGCATGCCGTCGTCGACCTTTAGATTTAATTTGTTGAGGTTGCGGGCTGTGGTGTACCGCGGCCCCCCATTCCCGAAGATATCTTGCTCCCGATTGTCATCTGGGTGTCGGCGTTGCTGGTAGATCAACCTTGCTGAGTGCCTCCTCGATCTCGATGCGGGCGATGATCGGCATTCGGTGTTCTTGTCGCGCCGAGGAATGAAGGAAGGAGCCACGTGGGAAGTCCCGTTGAAATGGGACGATGTCGTCGTGATTGGCCCCAATGCGGGGAATTAATGATCCCTGCAATAATTTCAAGATGGCTTTGCCGCGGTTCATGGCATGTGCCCAGCCGATGCTGGCAATGCCTGCAAATCGCGCTCCCATAACGACCTGCTGCCCAATTTTCCCTTCATTCCGAGATTGCCATTCCGCGATCGCAGCTGGCCGTTATGGGTAGAGCATTACATATCGCGCGGTCTGCGCGGACTTTGGCCGCACGATGTTTCCCTGTGATGCCGCCGGCAGCAGCTTCCACTCGATTGTGGCAGCACCGCGGGGTCCAAGTGTCCCCCGCCAACCAGTGGAATACCCGACCCGGGAATGCGCCATCTCGGTTCAACCATACAGATGCCCACGCAAACAAGACGCCGAACCACCACAAGAAGGACGAGAAGCAAGTACAACCCGAAGAAGGCCTTGTTGATGGCAAGCTCACATTCCGCTACCCGAACGATGGGGATGATTTCCTCGTCTTGTCCTCTCTCTGGTTGCGCGACTCCTGCCCCTGCGATATCTGCGTCGACCCCGACTCAGGCCAAAAGAATTTCTCGACCACCGACTTACCTGACATCCCGGAAATCGGGGACGTAAAAGTCTACCATGAGGGCTCACTCGAAATCGACTGGATGGGGGACGGCCCGAGCGGCGGTGGCTGGCACAGGAGCAAGTACCCTGCCGCAGAGGTTCGGGCTTGGCAAGCGGACTCGAAATGGCAGCGGGGAAGCATCGGCAGCAACGACCCCAGCAGGATTCTTTGGAACCGCGCAAGCTACGAGGAACTCCTGGCCAAGGGCCGGTGCCGCGTGAGCTACAGGGACTGGATGGGCGAGGGCCGGCCCTTTATGGACGCGCTGATGGACCTGCGCCAAACGGGCCTGATCTTCGTGACGGACGTGCCGACGGACGAGAACGAGGTCGTGCAGGTGGCCCACCGGATCGGTCCCGTGCAGGACACCTTCTATGGGCGGACGTGGGACGTGCGGAACAAGGCGCGGGCCGAGAACGTCGCCTACACGGACAAGTTCCTGTGCCTGCACCAGGATCTCATGTACCACGACCCCGTGCCCGGGCTGCAGCTGCTGCACTGCCTCTCCAACACGTGCGAGGGTGGCGAGTCGCTCTTCAGCAACGCCGTGCGCGCCGCCGACGAGCTCCGCGTGGCCGAGCCTAGCCAGTACGAGGACCTCACCTCCATCGGGGTGTACTTTGGCTACAACAAGGGCAACAACCACTGCTTCAAGCGGCAGACGACCATCGTGGCGGACTCGAACGAGCTGCCGCGGGAGACGCGGTGGGCGCCGCCGTTCCAGACGACCTTCCCGGTAGCCTCGGGTGATCCGACAAGCAACAAGATGGCCGAGTGGAAGAAAGCCGCTCGCGCATTCCAAGACATCGCCGAGTCCGAGGCCAACATGCTCGAGGTCAAACTCAAGGAGGGCGAGTGCGTTATCTTTGACAATCGCCAGATCCTCCACGGGCGGCGTCAGTTTGCCGCCGGTCAAGGCAGCCGCTGGCTCAAGGGCACCTACGTCTCGCACCAGGACTATATCGCCAGGACAGAGTGGCATTCCAAGCAACTCTCGCCCCCGGTATCAACTGCAGAGGAGGCGGGGCTAGCAGGAACCACCGAGTTCCTAGAGCTCGACGAGTTCCCAGAGGGCACCGAGTTCCCACAGGCCACCGAGTCTCCAGAAAATCCACACCCGACACATCCCAAGAACTAAACCTGAGGGTAGGTTCCAGTTTTTGAGCAATTGTCGGAATAAATCTTCACTCCCTCCTATAATCTCTGCCCCTCGTCCTCAAGTGTGTGACATACAGCATCATTCTCACTACCACATTCACCAAGCAAGCTGCACGTAACAGTGGATCCGGGACAGCGCAATATATTGTCACCTCATGCTAGCGGTCAAACTACCATGCCCGGAATTCTCCATCTTTTTTGGCTCCTTCTCTCTCTGCTTAAGCAGCGATGGTAACCTCAACCTCGACACCGGCCTCGATGTTGATGATGATCTGCTTGACAATGTCGGTGGGGGCAGTCAGGTCGATCAGGCGCTTGTGGATGCGCATCTCGTACAGGTCCCAGGTCTTGGAACCCTCACCGCAGGGGGTCTTGCGGGTCTGTTTGGATGGTCTGTCAGCTCCTCTCCTTTACCATACCCAAGTTGAATGAGATCGTTACGCACCATGATCTTGAGGGTCTTGGTGGGCAGACGGACGGGGCCCTTGGCGCGGAGGTCCTTGGTCTTGGCGCGCTCGATGAGCTCCTGGCAGACCTTCTCGAGGGCCTGCACCTTGCGGGAGGTCAGGGTGATGCCTGTGGTTTCCAGTCAGTCGGGTCGTTCTCGTTCGTGGAGGTGAGTATGGGAGGCGGCGTACGGATCTTGTGGACCTTGGGGGCCTCGCCGAACTCCTTCTCGGGCTTGTTGTAAGACATCTTGGCGGATTGGTTTTGAGGTTGACGGTTGACTGCGGAGAGTTCCTTCACGACTCGAACGCGATGGTCACTGCGAATGGGTTAGCTCCAGCTCCATTGCACCCATCCCAAAGGTCCTCCCGGCTGCGTGCGCATTGCGACCGAGAGGCCGGTTCCATCGGACGTAGATAGCGCGACATACCGGTTCGGCAAAGTGATGAAGGCGAAGAAGCGGTTGCTGAGTTGTCTGGCGGAGAATTCACGATCGCGAACTTTTTTCCATTTTCCACATTTTTTGCGATTCCCGTTGTGGTGGGGTGCCGCCTTGGCGAGGGCATGGCTGCGCCCCACATGCTTGTGGCGCCTGATCGCTTGTCAACTGCAATGTGGCTTGTGCAATCCCTGGTCCCTGCATTTACCCAATGACACATTCGGTGAGCTTGTCACCTTTTGGAGGGGCAACATTCATGAAGATTGCCTTCCTTGAGGAGCAGCAACGGCCATAAATCACGGTTTCCGTTTAGGATTCTATTCTCACCAGCGGTACTCTTTGCTTTCAGCCAGAATCACCATCTCTTTTTTTGGGTGATTTTTCTGGCCATCACAGGCTTGCTAAAAACAGTCCTGCAGGCCTCTACACAAGCTCCAACTTCCCTGTTTCCCGATTCCATCATTGGTTTCCCCAGTTGCAGGTCTTACCCCTGACGGTTGTCAACACCATGGCTTCATCCCGGCTCCCCGCATTTGCGCTCTTCCCCATATCAGCATGGCGGGATCAACTCCCTCCTAGCGAGTGGGTCGCTTGTCTCAACGCTTGGCTAGCTCTTATCGACAGCCATCTTTCACTCTCCGACTCGGATTTCGGCACCACCTCAGTCAAAGATGAGAGCCTTCAGGCTTTCCTCACTTCGTTCACTCGAGAAGTTTCACTGGGCGGTGTGACCACTCTCGGTTCATCTTCTTCAGCAAAGAAGCTCCTGAAAGACAGCTTCAGACTCGCTACCAGGCTCCTTCAGTCATCGTCGCCGCCAAGTGGACTGGCGCAGTGGGAGTTTCTCGCCGACTTGAGCCATGTTTACGGCAAGAAGAAGGTCGAGCCACTATCCGAGAGCCTGTCAGCAACGGCAAAGGGACATCTAGACGCTTCTCTTGCCGCGCTCAAAAAGTTTCTCATCAAAAACCTTGATGCTGGCCTCGATGGAGGGGATCTCAAGGGCATCGAGGAGCGGTTGGAGCGGGTAAATGACCTGATTCGCATATCTCCTTCCGTCGCCGAGTTCTTTCTTGCGGGCAGCGACTTTGTAGACGCCCTCATCAGCTGCTACAAAATCACCAACCCTCCGTTGAGGCGAGCATTAATTGCAACAACGTATCTGTGCCTCACCGGTCTCGCAGAGGGGCAAAAGATGTCAGCCCTGACGGACCAGCTTTACTCTCTCAAGGCAGCGGCAGACTCGCACAAAGCCGGCCCCCTCAACGTCAACGACTCGCTTGTTGCCGAGCTCGTCACATCCACCCCCTTGCTCCAACGGCTACAGCGCAAGCTAGAGGAGACAGCCACCGCCTCCAACAGGGCCAAGTCGGTGCTGACCGACCTGGCGACCTTCAAGAAGCCCGGGGGCAGCATGTCAAAGCCCAAGCGCCTCATCAGGCGCAAGGTCGACAAAGGCAAGGGCCTAGCCGAGTTTGACGAAGCCCAAGCCCAACAAGAAATCCACATCCACCGCATGAGCCAGATTTCCCAGGTGCAAGACCTCTTCCCAGACCTCGGCACAGGCTTCGTCGCCAAGCTGCTCGACGAGTACTCCTCCAACCCCGAAGAAGTGATCTCCCACCTCCTCGACGACTCGCTCCCACCCCATCTCCAAACCGCCAACCGCGCCGAAGAACTCACCCTCCCAACCTCAACCACAACCACAACAACCACAACCACCCTCCCACACCACCACCCCCAACCCCGCCGAACCTCCCTCCTCCCCCGCCCCACCCCCCCTCTCACCCCAAACCCCAACCCCGAAGACTCAGAAGACGATTTCCCCCTCCTCCCCACGTCCACTAACCGCATACAAATGCACATCGGCAAGCGGCCCGGCACGACCGACGCCCTCCTCGCCCACGGCGCGACGGCGACCCGCAAATCTGCCATCCTCTCGGCGCTCGCCGCGTTCGACTCCGACGACGACGAGCGTGATGATACGTATGATGCGGCTGATGTTGGGGGGACGGTGGATACTACTACCGCTGCTGCTGCTGCTGAAGAGGGGTTGTCGGAGGCGGTGGAGGGGGTTCTGTTCAAGGCGTGGTTGGCTGCGGCGGCGGGTGGTGGTGGTGGTGGTGGTTCGGCGGTGGGTGTGTTTGGGCGGGATGCGGCGGCGCGGCGGAGTGCGGAGCGGGCGAGGTTGAGGCTGGAGACGGGGCTGACGGATGAGGCGGTGGAGGGGTGGGGGGTGATGGTGGGGAGGGATGCGGGGATGAAGAGGCGGTTGATGGCGAGGTATGGGGAGTGGAGTGGGGAGCAGACGGAGCTGGGGAGCACGGCGTGGCGGGCTGGGGAGGAGGGTGAGGGGGAGGAAGGGGGGAGTGATGGGACAGGTTTTGGTGGGAGGGGGAGAGGTGGTGGTGGTGCTGGTAGGGGACGCGGGATGGGCAGAGGGAGGGGAGGGAGGGGTGGTGGTGCGCCGCCGCCGGCTCCGGACTCGGAGGTTGCGAGGCGGCGGAAGGAGGCGAATAAGGGAAGCCGGGCGAACCATAACCGGCGGGACCAGCGTGCGAGGAAGATGGCGAGGGGCGGGTTTGCTGGGTAACGGGTGTGAGAAAGGTGAAACATAAAACAGCTGGTGATTAGGAAGAAAAACAAAAACATTTGCTATCAGCAGCTGTCAGTATTGAGACCAATATACCATCCTGCCCGCGCTGAGAGCCAGGTCATGAGATATCCCCCAAAATTCCAAACGCCATGACCATGCCCGACAGTAGAAACGTTCGCGATCAGCAGCTGTCAGTATTTAAACCCTAGATACCATCCCGCCTGTGCTGTGAAAACCAGACCATAGAACATCCCAAAAATTCCCAACGCCGTAACAATGCTCAATAGTCGACAAGCGCTCAATGTCAAACCCAACATCACCCCCCCATTACGATGTACTCTCCAACAAATTACACAATGACCTCCTAAAAGTCCCAGGCACAAAACTCCCTCTTCGGCGGCACCTCCGGCATAACGCCGCCGGCAAACCTGCCCGTCTCCACAAAGGCCTTCCACTGTTGCATGACGGTTGGGTCCTGGTACTTCTCGGGCTCGGCCTCGGTCTGCGTCGTGTACGCGGGCGCGCCGTTGGGCATCCAGATGCGGACCATGCTCCCGTCGAAATTGCGTAGCACCGGCACCGGCCTCGTCCCGGGCTTCAGGGTCTCGTATAACACGGGCTTGCCCTTGAACATGCGCAGCGTCTTGTCTGGGTTTCGCGCAGCGTAGGTGGATATGTCGGGGTGTTGGCGTGTGGCGTCTGGACCGTATGGCCCCGTGCCGCTAGGCCCGGCCGGTACGGGGGCAGCCGTAGTGGCGGTGGCCGCTGGAGCGCTGAATGGTGATGAGGTAGCGGGTTGTCCGAAGGGGTTGGCCGGGGCCGTGGTCGCGGCGCGTGCTCCGAACGGGTTGGCGGCAGGCTGAGGCGGCTGTTGCTGCGGCTGCTGTTGTTGCTGCTGTTGTTGCTGCGAAGGCTGGCCGAAAGGGTTGGCCGGGGCGGCCGCCGGTTGCCCGAATGGGTTTGCGGGTGCCGGCTGCCCCGCCGACTGTCCCGCCGGTTGCCCGAACGGGTTGGCCGCAGGTTGGCTATTCACGGGTTGACCAAATGGGGACGGCGCGCTTTGGGTTTGCTGCGGTTGTTGTGCTGGCTGCCCGAAGGGACTGTTCGTGGGAGCTGGTTGTGGAGCCGAGGAAAACGGGCCTCCTCCCCCTGTTGGAGCTCCGAAGGGATTAGGCTTCGCCCCAAGTGCTGCCGGCTGTCCGAATCCTGACTGTCCGAAAGCCGGGCCAGCGGTTTGTGCCGACCCTCCAAACGGATTTGGCTTGGCTCCTAGTGTACTGGTCTGGCCAAAGGCGCCCGTCGGTTGGGCAGAACCGCCAAACGCAGTCGAACCACCCAACGAGGCCGGCTGCCCAAATGCTGATGGCGCCGGTTGTCCAAATCCAGAGGCTGCCGGCTGCGCAGGCTGAGCAAAGGCAGGAGCGGGCGCTGGGGTCCCAAACGGGTTGGGCTTCTGGCCCAGTGAGGCAGGTTGCCCGAAAGGGCTGCCGGTGGTTGCCGGTGCAGCAGCTGGTGCTCCGAACGGATTTGCAGGCGGGGTTGGCTGTTGGAACGTGTTTGTCGAACCCGCAAATGCGGCGCCGGGGGTGGCCCCTCCTTCCGCCCCCTTGCACACGTCTATCCGGTTTGGGTGGTTTTTCCCCGCCTCGGCGATGTACTGTATCGCCATCGGGACGTTGCTGAGGGTGTGCTGAATCTGCTGTTGGGCATTTTGGTGCAGAGTTTGGATATCATTGAGCTGGGAGGGGTTAGCAGCTGTCCGTTGTGACTCCGAACGGCGGTCAACCTACGGCACCCTGGGGGTTCCCAGTCAAGGCACCCATCAAGAAGTGTAGGCGTATCTCCTCGAAACTTTGTTCTCGGGGATAGCCACCCCAGAGCTGCTCGGGCGCATCCCTCCCCGGGCCGTAGCACGACAAGATCCATCCGGGTAGCTCAGCTCTCAGGTCTCGTTCAATCGCGTCGACGGTCAGGCCGGGGTACGGGGGAGAATCTGAACATAACCATTCGTTAACAAGGCACGCGAAGACCCATAGTAGTTACTCGTACCTGAGCCTCGCCCGCTCATCCCTTGGTTTGACTGGCCGGAAAGGGGCCCAAAGCGGTTGTTGTTGTTTGTGTAGTTCTGTTGTTGTTGTTGCCCTCCCTTGGGAGGGTGTTCGAATTTGCAATTATCTAGAGTTTGGAGAGAGAAACAGTCAGCTCAGTGTTCCGTTCCGTTGGGCATGACCCGGTCGGGGAGCTGCATAGTGACAGCCGTGATGGCGGTGTTTGATAGGCAGACGGTGATTGATGCATCGGATCCCATCCTCGATCCAATTGGCAATCGATCGTGCATTTCCAGTGACCTGTCGTCGGGGTGAAAAGGAACAGGAAAGGCAACCTTCGTACTTCCGAAACGGCAGTGGCCCTGCTGGTAAAACCTGCAGACTGTCATATTGGCTTGTTTCAATTGGTAACTCGTGATCGTGTGGTTGTAGAAAGATGCAATGCACAGCGTGTGTCTCGTTCCGGTCGCGATGGTCCAGCAATCGTGCGTGAGGTTGCCTTTCGTTTTCGCTCCCAGCCTTGCAGCAGAGCCACAGCTCTCGCCATAAATGGGAGCCAAGCGATCGACGCAAGGGGCACTGTGGCTGGTGGGATCGCAATGTGGCTTGTGGGACCCACTTGCCGCACCCGAGCACAAACCGAAGAATGAACGCCGCGGCATGCCGAACCTGCCCATGCGACCTTCACCTGCAGTCTGACGTCCATCATGTCTCGTCCTGGGGGATGTGTTGTATTCGTATTCCCTATACATTCCTACAATATGCAGATATAACCCAGATCAGCGAAAATCGTTGACTATCCGAGCCAATGTCCAAAACTTTGACCCTACCGACTTCTTTCTTCTCGAGTGAGTTGTTCTTTCGGCCCGGGGTCCATCGCAGGTTCGGCATCTTCCTCCAACCACCCAAGCGAGCCCTCCGAGCCAAGGCCTTTCTCACCCTGGTGTTACCAGTGGCCGACTCCAGCTTTTTGCATCCGGGGTTCCATCTGCCCCTCCCTTTTATGGGGTTGAGTGAGATCAAAACCTTGCATCCCGCCCAGAGCCGCTTGTCACCGAGCCGCACCCGTTTCCGCCCTTTCCGCACAATTGCTTTTCCAATGGAGCACTCTGTATTGTCATCGATTGGAGAACAAGGTCTGAGTAATCCCGAAGCATGGCTGCAAGACCCGAAATGGCAAACCTCGACATCATGTGGCGGGCTGCCCGGCCAGCGATAAGCCGATAAGAGCTGCGGTCTGAGGTTTGTGCCGCGGAAAGCCGAGCTGTTTTACACGAAGTGCACCGAAGAAGGGGCAGGAGGTCTCGAGACCAAGGCAATTGCCCAATAACAATTACGATGTTGGCTTTGGCATGGTGCATCACGGGCTCTGGCTCATGCCGTTTTACCTGAATTCCCGGGTCCTCGCCGTATTGCGTACCTAATCCTTACCGTACACAGAGTAGGTTCCAGCTTCTTAAAATGCTCTCCTCCTTCCCCAACATCGACCAAAAGAAATAAGTTGCATCGTCATTTTCGACTCTTGGTAGTCAGCCAATTTCACCATGGCCTTCAACGCAGAACACCTACAGGTTTGGCTAGGGTTATTAGTTGCTTTAGGCGTCCTCTACACAACATGTCTCGCCGTCTACCGCCTCTTTTTCCACCCTCTGGCAAAATACCCAGGCCCCCTCCTGGCCAAACTCACCGATGCATATATGCTCTACTACGCTTGGAGGGGTGACCGCCACTTGGAGTTTTGGCGCATGCACGAACGATACGGCAAGTTTGTGCGCTTCGGGCCGAACTCACTCTCAGTCAACTCCAACACGGCTCTTAAGGAGATCTACGGCTTCCGCGCCAACGTGCGCAAGGCCGAGTTCTACGACGCCTTCGTGCACCCGGCCCCCAACACTCACAACGCCCGGGATAAGGACCTGCACGCTCGCAAGCGCCGCGTTCTCTCACACGCCTTCTCCGACGGTGCCATCAAGGAAGTCGAGCGGTACATCTTGGCCAACATCCGGACCTTCTGCGAGGGCGTAGGCGACTATGGGCGCGCCATCCACGAGAACAAGGGGTGGAGCTCGCCCAAGAACATGTCGGACTGGTGTAACTGGCTCGCCATGGACATCCTGGGTGATCTATGCTTCGGAAAGGCTTTCCACATGCTCGACCGCCCGGACAACCGATACGCCGTCGACCTGGTCGGCATCGCGGCGCAGCGGCATCTTCTGGTGAGCACCCATCAAGAAGAAGGAGGGTAGTTAAAACTCGAATAGTGACTAACAAACACCTTCCAGTGCGGCACCATGCCCATCATCAACAAGCTCAGCCTCGACAAGGTCCTCTTCCACAAGATCGCAGCCGGCCGCGCCAAGTACATGGCCTACAGCCGCCAGCAGCTCACGGAGCGCACCGCTCTCGGTGACGAGACCGACCGGCGCGACTTCTTCTACCACCTGCTCAAGGCGCGCGACCCCGAAACCGGCCAGGGGTTCAGCACACCCGAACTCTGGGGCGAGTCCAACCTCCTCATCATCGCCGGCTCAGACACGACCTCCACCGCCATGGCCGCAACCCTCTTCTACCTAGTCCGGCACCCAGCCGCCCTCGCGCGCGCCACCGCCGAGGTACGCGCCGCCTTCACCACTCTCGAGGACGTCCACCAAGGCCCCCGCCTCAACGCCTGCACCTACCTGCGCGCCTGCGTCGACGAGGCCATGCGGCTCTCCCCCTCCGTCGGCGGCCTCCTCCCGCGCGAGGTCCTCCCCGGCGGCTTCACCGTCGACGGCGAGCGCCTGCCCCAGGGCACCATCGTCGGCACCCCGCACTACACCATCCACCACAACCCGGCCTACTACCCGCAGCCGTTCGCCTACCAGCCCGAGCGCTGGCTCGCCACCGACAAGGAGGACGGCGGCGCCGAGGACGCCGCGCGCGTCGCGCTGGCGCAGAGCGCGTTCTGCCCCTTCTCGGTCGGCCCTCGCGGCTGTATCGGTAAGGGTTTGGCGTACCTCGAGATGAGCATCACGCTCGCGCGTGTGCTGTTTATGTATGACTTGCGCCGTGCCGGTGGTGTGGCTGACCCAGGTGAGGGGGGGCGCCCCGGTGCGGAGTGGGGGCGTGAGAAGGTGGGTGAGTTCCAGTTGATGGATACGTTTACGAGTTTGAAGGATGGGCCGATGGTGGAGTTTAGGCGGAGGGAGTTGTGAATTCGGGGCGTGTGGGGTGTGTGAGTGTGTAGGTTGAGGGAAAGAGACTGATGGGAATCGGGGTGGAGTCGCAACTTTGGGGTATTGACTTTGCGATGAGTGTACATACCGCGTTCTGTTAGCGGAAAAGCCAGGAGTTTTGTTGCATTTCGACTTGGCCTTGTTCAAACAGCCAGCGCGGTCTTTGGAACTGAGAAGGGAGGGTTAGTGTAGGTCAGGGGCTCGGCCTCGCTGCCATGCCCCTTGTAGGTCAGCAGTGGTTCTCCTACTCATGGTTAGTTCGGAATCACGATCGATTATCACAGCATCAAGCTCCATGGCACCAAACCAGTTTGGCAAAAGAAGGCCCACCCTCTTCGCCGGGCTTTTTGTTCTTGTTGTTGTTGTTGTTGGGCTTCTTGCGGTGACGGGCGGCGCACTTGGACGGGAGCGCCGGTCATAAAAGTGCGGTAGTAGTACTCCTACCCGACAGAATGACTAACACAGGCCCGTCTAGCATCCCTCATTCCACCCGATCACGTCACTAAAACGTTCGAGCCCCGCCGTCGCGCCATCATGTCGGCGTGCGAGAATGACGAAGAAAACGAGTACGAGGAGGACGAGCATACGGCCCATGACTACGAAGCGTTCGAGTGTCTTAAGCCTGTCATCCCGGGTTTTTTACAGTATGAGCCAGAAAAGAGAGCTGAAAATGGTGCCGCCGTATCGTGGATAAACGAGACGTGGATGGACCCCCAAAGGTAAGGAAGAGAAGCGGGAAGTGATGAAGATGACGAGGGTTACGGGGAAGAGGATGGTGCGGTACATTCTGAGCTGGACGAGTGAGATGACAAAGGTGGGACGGAACACTCTAAGATTGGAGTTTACTTAGAACCCGGCCCCCATTTACCACTTACTCCTCACGCCCGTTCCTTCGCATACCATACGGCCAGTAACGATGCATCACAGTTATGTCACTCTCGGCATTCCATCTACCGAAATACCGGCCGGTATAATTAGCCACATTGGGTTGCCCAACCCTCGACTTAATCTATTACCTCTAACATGCCAATGAGACCTCCCAGATTGAAAGCCGCTCTCCGCCTTTCCCCTCAGTTTGAAGGAACCCTATAAAGCCTGTGGCCTGCTCAGCCCATCGCCCTGGATGGCTCAGTACAGCCCTGTTTCACCTCGAGGGCGGGAATCACCTCGCTGTTCTAAACAATATGAAGCCAAGTTTAGCACTCCTGGCGCTGGCCAGCATTGGCACTGCTGCTCCAAGTTTGCAGTCCACGCAAGATGGCATGTCCAAGCGCGCAACATGGCCCAACGGCCCTTTTGTCACCTCGGGCCGCTGGATCCACGATGCCTCCGGTCAGAACCTGACCTACGCAGGCACCAATTGGCCCGGGCACGCCGACGTCATGATCCCCGAAGGCCTCCAGTACCAATCCATTGAAGCCATCGTGCAGAGAGTCAAAAGCCTTGGTATGAACACGGTGCGCCTAACCTTCGCCATCCAGATGGTCGACGAGATCTACGCCAACGGGGGCGAGGACATCACAATCGAGAACGCCTTCGTGCAGGCCCTGGGACAGTCCAACGGCACGCGGGTTCTCAACCAGGTGCTGGCCAAAAACCCCCAGTTCAGCGCCTCGACGACGCGGCTACAAGTGTTTGACGCCGTCGCCGAGGAGCTTAACAAGCAGCAGCTCTACATCCACCTCGACAACCACATCTCCAAGGGCATGTGGTGCTGCTCCAGCACCGACGGCAACAGCTGGTGGGGCGACACCTACTTTTCGACTTCCAACTGGGTGCGCGGGCTGTCCTACATGGCGGAGCACGTACGTGTTTCACACTATCCCTTTTCCCTTGTTGCCATCCACATACACGGCACTGGCTGACTGATCGCATCAGGGCAAAGCCTGGCCGGCACTGATGTCCCTCGGCCTGCGCAACGAGCCGCGCGACCCGACCAACAACCCCTCGCTCAGCCGGTCATCCTACAACTGGCAAGCCTGGTACGGCTTCATGCGGCGGGGAGCAGACGCGGTGCACGCGGCCCACCCCGACCTGCTGATCTTCCTGTCGGGCCTAAACTTCGACACCTACCTGACCCCCGTCGTGCAGGGGACGGCACTAACACCGGGCAACGGGCGGTTCAACCGCGCCGACTTCGCCGGGTACGGCGACGACAAGCTGGTGCTGGAGCTGCACAACTATGAGACGGGGATCGGCAGCTGCGGCACGCTGCAGGGCAACCTGGACCGCAACGGCTTCCAGGCGCTGCAGCCCGGCGGCAGCGGCGTGGCCAACGTGTTCCCCGTCATGATGACCGAGTTCGGCTTCCAGATGGACGACCGCACCTGGCGTGGTGTCTATGCCAGCTGCCTGGCCCAGTACCTCCCCGCGCGCAAGGCTGGTTGGACGATTTGGGTGCTGGCGGGGAGCTATTATGTCCGCTCGGGGATTCAAGATTATGACGAGAGTTGGGGGTTGTTGAATCATGACTGGAGTGAATGGCGGAGTCAGGGGTATGTGGACGGGGCGTTGAAGGGGATGGTGAGGGATACCTTGAGTTGAGGTAAAGAACCGCGAGGTACTTACCTAGGTAGAAACAGAGCATCCTAGCAGTTTGGTTATTTTTCCACTCGAACCGGGAAACTTTGTGAGAATCCCTAAACTGGGTGCCATGACGGAAAACGAGAAGTATACGGAAAAAAAGAAAGAGAAAAAAAGAAAAACACAAAAGAAAAAACACATAATACAGGTCATGCAAGAGGCTGTTTTCACAACCCAAACTCATAAATCGAAAGCGAAGCGCCTGAGAACGCTCATACAACCTGCCCGCCCAAGAGGGCATCTGGGGAGGGGTATGAAGTAACGACGACCATTTTTAGAAACTCCTTCCGTTCAAGGAATCGGGGTGGGTCCGACTTTTGCTCCCGTTTTGCTGATATGAGATCCATCATGCTGGAGAGGTCGTGACTGCGAATACTAAGTCGTAACCGGCCATGTTTTGCTATGAAGCAGTGTGGACCTCCCCCTAGGAGCATGATACTCTGTGTTGGACAAGGCCTAGGGGGGCACGTGGGAGGCATTCTCCCCGCATCAACAAGACTCTTTTGCTGGCAGGCTGGAGCTCTTCATGGAACTTTTGGTCTTGGCGCGCCGAGAAGCATCTCGATGGTCCCTCTTGGCGGGATTTGCGGCGTAGTCGGTGGGTTTGTGGCTCATCCACTCCCTCCTGTTCCTGGCCTCGCCCCCAATCTCAAGTGCCACTCTTGGCCCTCGTCGATGTGATGCTTCTTTTGCTATCCGACCGCCACCAACGAACTTGTGGCTGGCGATCTCGGGTCATGGGAGTTCGGAGAGCGAAAGGAGGCTGGACAAGACACCAGTGAAGTAAGTCATGAAACCATGAGAACAGATGAGAACGGATGAGGACACAATGTTCGACTGCGGCAAGACCTGAGCGGCGTCGTCCTGCACGCCGTCGCCATGCGTTTCACATGCCCAGACTCGCAACAGGCTACCAAGCAATCTCATTCGACCCACCTCGCCGCGCTTGAACCCCTGTCTGCCGCTTATCTCTCTGCCCACGAGGTGCCCGGGGCGCTTCGGCTTCCTTGACCTGTCCCCCCGCCTTGGTCCCTGCCGTCGTCAGACTTGAGACTTTCCCAGGAACAACATCCGAAGGGCCTCGACCACAAGTGCCGTGAGCCCCTACCCGCGGCGCGTCTCGACGAGGTCCTCCTCAGACCGTCTCAATTCTTTCTTGGCCAGCATGGTTGCATGGGCGCCACTCCCATCATGTTCATTCTCCTTCTATCATGTCTTCTGTTAGTCTCATACAGCTTCGTCGAGGCGCTGTCGCCCATCTCCGTGAAAGGCACGAAGCTGTATGACGATGACGGAACCCAATTTTTTGTCAAAGGTGCCGACCCCGTCACGGCGTAGCTCATAACGGACCTCGCTCACTGTTCCCTTCTCAGGTGTTTCTTACATTCCCCTCAATGGCGACTTCGACCCCCTCGTGGATGTCGAACAATGCCAGATAGACGCAGCGTTGATGAACAAGGCCGGCATCAACACAATTTACGTTTACACGGTCGACTCGACGCAAGACCACGATGCTTGCATGAAAGCCTTTGCCGACAAGGGCATCTACATCTGGCTGCAGCTGGGCGACTTTCCCCGTGTCTCTAGTCCGGTACGCCGGAAGGCCCCCATGCGACCTATCCCCCCATATTAACCCGATCAACAGACAGAAGAGCCTCCCCAATGGACCCTCTCGCTCTTCGCCGCGTGGTCCGAAGCGCTGGACGCATTCGCCGGCTACGACAACACCCTCGCCTTCGGCATCGGCCAAGAGACCATCACCGAGAACTGTGCGTCCCCTCCCCTGCCACCTTGACCACAACCCCCCAACCCCCCAACCCCAGAACTCCCCCCTAACACACAACTCCCTCCAGCAACCTCCACGCGCATCGCCCCCGCCCTCAAAGCCGCCGCCCGCGACCTGCGCGCCTTCCGCACCGCGCGCGGCTACCGCGCCATCCCGCTCGCCTACTCGGCCGCCGACGCGCCCGCCCTCCGCCTCCTGACCGCACAATACCTCACCTGCGACAACGCCGCCACCAGCGCCGACAACGCCGCCTCCATCGACCTGCTCGGCCTCAACATCTTCGAGCCGGACTCGTGCACTGCCACCGCGTGGGAGGCACTGCGTGATGACTTGCGGGATCTGCCGCTGGCGGTGCCGGTGGTGGTGTCCGAGACGGGCTGCCTGCCGGCGGCGGCGGCGCGCAATTTCAGTGATGTGGCGAGGGTGCTGACGGCGGGCGCGTTCCGCGAGGTGTTCTCCGGCGCGAGCGTGTTTGAGTGGGCGCGGCAGGAGACGACCGAGTTTGGGGTGGTGCGGTACGGGGCCGAGGGGAAGGGCGAGCCGGAGAAGTTGTTGCCGGCCTATACGAGCCTGTCGAGCGTGTTTAAGGCCGCGGCGAGCGTGACGGGCACGCCGGCCGCGCAGTACACGCCTGCTGCTTCGAGGAGTGGTGCGGCGGGGTTGGCGTGTCCGACGCTGGATGAGGCGGCCGGGTGGTTGGTGGATGGCGCGGCGGCGTTGCCGAGTATTGAGGGGTTGCAGATTGGGACGGTGACGGTCAAGACGACGGTTACGGCTGGGGAGGGGGGGGGTAGGGCTACGGGTGGGGCTGGACAGGGGCAGGGGCAGGTTGGCGGTGGTGATGGTGGTGATGGGGGAGGGGGGGAGTTGTCGACGGGGGCGATTGCGGGCATCACGGTTGGGGCTGTGATCGGGGTGTTGGTGGTGGCGACTGCTATCTTGGTTTGTCTTCGCCGGCGGAGGAGAGCGGTAGCACCCGAGGGGGAGGGTATCCAGGTCGTCCAACACTTCAAGCGGCCGCGAAGCTACTGGTATCCCGCGGGCAAGGTCGAGCTGCCGGCCCAGAACATGGCAGCGCTCGAGATGGACGGCTCCCTACACTCGTCGGCGTCCACGGCCCCCGTGTGGAAATTCCCGCTGCAGGACGGCAGGGACGACTCGCCAACGGTGACCGAGGTACCGGAGAAGACGTGGCAACGGACAACGCACTATGAGCTTGATGGTAACCATATGCCATCGATGGGGGACGGAGCGCAGACAGGGACATGGCGGGTTTCACCTCTGACTCCAGGTGGCAAGTATGTATGATAACGGGGGAGCCAAGGGGATCTCGCACGACTGCTAGTTTTATTAAAAGTGCTTTCTATCAAGTTAAACCTTGTTCAAGATTCCGCATGTCAAGAATGCTAGACGAGTATTGCCCTACCCCTTTTGCCACCACTAGTTGTGGGGGGTTGCTGCAGATGATACAAGTAGGATATACGACAAGGCACAAAAGGACCTTTCCGAAACGGAACTCGTAGCGCGTGCTTGGTATCGTTGTCGGTGTTGTATTCGCTTAACGCCCAGGGCGATCGCCACACCGTGGTCATCACCAAACGCGTACCTGGCGTGTAGGGACGTGCTGAGCTAGGTCCTATATACAAAGTACACCCTACACCCTATACAGCAAATCGAGATGCCCGAAGACATATCCTTAGGTATCCTTCCCAAACTCCCTTTTTGGGTAATAAGACCGACCCTATTCCAACAAAATAACCGTCCATCACCGGCCGACTACCTAGATTCCTATATCCTCCTCCCTTTCCTAACCCAGCTAAGGTTCCCCGCCGGAGCTTCGTAGCTCTCTCGAGGGAGGTAGATAGGCGATATCGACCGGAAAACGACGACAAGTAGCTGATCTAAAAAAGAAAAAGAAAAAGAAAAAAAACGTCCGAGGTAAATACCTAGTGGCTTTGTTGGTGTGCCGGCTTGCGGCTGCTTTCAGTCGGTAGCCGGCCCTCCTAGGGCTATATGGAAGGCCGGCCGGCAAGCTTAGATGTATTGGCGATAATCTCGGCCCTTCTCTCGCGCGATCGCGTGGTCGGAGACGGGTGGATGAGGCCGTCGCTTTTCCACGAACACGTTGTCTCGACTCCCTTTCTTCTTCGGCTGCGGCAGCCACTAACAGTGGGTGCCAAGACAAACTTCCCCGAGGGGAAGGTGCGTGGCACTGCGTGCTTGGTATCAAACCAGTAACCAGCTGCCTAACGAGGGAAAGTGTTTGTTTGGAGGTGGCTATATTTCCAAAGGCTTCCAAGTTGTTTTTCCATCTCCTCCCACATTCATTTCGCCATTGCCGCGCGAGCCACCCACCAACCCCGGAGGTCCCGGTCACACGAATCTGACACTCGGGCCGATTAAGGCTGCACAACTCGGCCCGCAGCATTTACACAACACTGTGAGACTGTCAAGGAAGGACATACGGTGTAAGCATCACAAGGGCCGGTTTATGGTGGCTGGCTGAGCAGTGGAGGCTACCTACGTGGACCAACTATAACAATAGCATAAGCGCTCATAGGAAACTAAGGAAAGTGAAACTTGTTTAGAGAGATCGACGCCGACCAATCAATATATGGGCTCCCCCAGGTACTCGGAGCCATCATCGAAAAATAAAAGGTTGAAGGGGTTTGCATCAAACAGTTGTGAAGACAAAGAATCTTGAGGCCAAAGAAGATTATTGCGTACCAACCTCTGAAGGCGCCCTTGTCACCGTTCCCATCCTCGCAATGCTTGATCCAAGCGAGTACAACATCGGTGTACCAGCGGAGGACATCAGGCAATACTGCGCCGGGGGCTATCATCCCGTTCATCTCCATGATCACCTCAAAGATGGAAGATATGAGGTTCTAAACAAACTTGGTTTCGGCGCCTTTTCGACCGTTTGGCTGGCCAAAGACCACCTGTGAGTTTTCATTCCCACTTTGCTCATTTTGACTCAGTCAAGCCTCTTTCTAATTCTTGACTCTAGCACTCAGCGTCATGTGTCCATCAAGATTGTCGTGGCCAACGGGTTGGAAACACAGAGTCACGAACTGAGAATGTTGAGGCACGTCCAAGCCAGCGACCTTCATTCCCATCCGAGTCGCAGCTGTGTCCCCCAGATTCTCGACTCATTCTTTCACGACGGCCCAAACGGACGGCATCTCTGTGTGGTACTGGAGCTACTAGGACCTAGCCTTTCTTGGATCACAAAGAAATCGCGAATCTACCGCATCAAGGCAGATCTTGCCCGTCGCGTCGCTGCCCGAATCGTCGAGGCCGTGGCTTACCTCCACAGCTGTGGCGTGGCACATGGAGGTGAGGACAGCTCACTGCGTGAAGTCAATGTCACCGTCTAACCCGATCCGCCCTAGACATCCATATGGGCAACATTCTCTTGCCCCTGCCGCCACGGCCCGGGACAGGGTCATTGCGTGCTTCCGCCTCTACCCAGATAGGAAAGGTGTCCAAGAAGGACGGGTCTCCCCTCGAGAAAGGGGTGCCCGAGTATCTCGTCGAGCCGTTGGAGTACGATATAAGCGAGTTAGATCTCGAAGGTGGCGACGTCCGGCTGGTGGACTTTGGCTCAGGTGCGTATTTCGCCGTCGGCCACCATTCGCTTTTAGCCACTGACCACGGGACCTGTTATAGCTTTCTTTACCTCGAGCACGCCGACAATGATATACACACCCTTCTCGCTATATCCCCCGGAGTTGGTCTTTAAGCGTCCACTAACACCGGCGGTCGACATCTGGAACCTTGGATGCACGGTATGGAGAGCCGCAGCTACTTCCACTTCTATGTTGCTGACCTCGCCGCAGCTGTACGAGCTCACTCTCGGCCGTACGCCTTTCGAGGTGGCCTTCGACCCCCCTGAACTCATACCACAGCACAAACAGGTTCTCGGTAGTGTACCCGTAGAATGGGTTCGCGAGGCGCTTGCGAATGGGGTGCTTGACGGGAAACCCAATGGTCTGTTCCCCAACGCCCTTGTGACGTGGGATGTGCTTTACGTTAGTTAACCCTGTCAAAGAAAACCCGACCGATGATTTTCTCCCCCTCGAAGAGCAAATACAGAGGGATTACTTCGACGGTTACCAGAGCGAGACACTACAGCTTACCAGGGAAGACCTCGAAAGGTTAGGGAGGTACCTCAGGAAGATGCTGGTCGTTGATGCACGGCAACGGGCTACGGCTGCAGAGTTAGCTGGCGATACCTCATGGACCTTGGGGGTCTGACGTGCTCCAGGTTCGGTGCCAACCATCCGTCGCGGGTTGGAGGCTGCAAGCTTTGAGGTGTACCTGCTCAGCAGTTTTCAAGTATGAAGGAATACAACGAGAAGGATTTAGGTCGTGGTCCTTCTCCTCGAACCACCCTAATTTAGATCCCGGGGTCGAAAAGGGGGCTTGATAGAGAAGCTCTCAGCCATATTGAACAGACTATTAATTACCAAGGGGGAGTTGACCACCGCATTCTTTCACGGGATATCATTTCACCTCCTTGAGGTGCCAATATCCAAGTCTCTTCATCGTATAATATTCGAGAGATCTTAAGAAAGGAGGGGTTATGGGGAGCAGGGCAGAATGAAGGTTCTCTGGAGGCTGTAATTAGGAGAGGTAATGCCCAAATCGTTCAGCAGAGCACACAGCTCCCCCGAAGAACATTTTATTGCTACGCAACCATTAGTTACAATTTCAAGTATGGAGAATAAATTTATCATTTTCAATGCGTAGGCTCAAAAGGCAGCCGGAGTCTTCATCAATGCTCTCACCATTGCCCAGTACTAGACGATGGCGTGATCAACGGAGCATATGATGTCCACCATCCCCTGGGCACACCCGCTCGGCTAACCCAAATTAACCCGCATCGTGATCTTCGACAATGATTCGCCGCCTGCGGAGCAGCTCTCTTCTGGAGGGGAAAACCAAGGACTTGCATCCCGGCCATCGGCGTCGATGACATCTCGAAACCTGCGTGGGGGTTCCCAAGAGTTGGGGCGCCGTCGAGAGCTGCGGCTGCAGGTCAAGGCAAGACCAATGGGTTGAATGAATGATGATGGCGCAATATGAGCGGCGTTTTGTGTCTCAGCAGAAGTGGGTTATCGAGAGGAGCTAAGGTGGGTTGAAAGGGGTTAGAGAGATGGTTGCCACCTGTTGCCTTTGTGGTTTATCTTGGGCCGGTTGTCGAAGAATTTGCGGCTGGTTGGGATATTATTCACTTGCAACTTGAAGTTAACACCATGGTTGGTACATCCTTTCTTCGGCGTGTGTCCTTACATGGGTTTCGAGGGAAGGCCTCGAGCCAGAAACTCGACGAGCCAACGCTGGTTCTTGACGACCAAACATCGGACACTGCCCCCGTGACACCAGAGACCCAGACTGTTCTCCTGTTACACGGAGCACGTCAACCGTATGAGTTGACCGAGAACCATCCGGTTCCTCTCTTCCGGGATGATCGAGAGGTACTTGTCCGGACACAGGCGATCGGCCTGAATCCCATGGATTGGAAGGCGCCGTGAGTACATTGTCTTTTTCAGGTTCCCTTGAGATTAATCCCTTCTTTCTGACACGGCAAGAAGTGACTTTAACTTTGGCATCCCAGAAGTGCCCTACATATCTGGCCGGGAGTTGGCCGGTAGCGTAACGAAGCTGGGGCAGTCTACCCGACACAAAGTAGGGGACAGGGTAGGCAAAGACGTGCATCATGTAACCCCCTGCTCCCCCCTGCTTACCAACGCTCTAGGTTATCGTCATATCAACAGACTACCGAGACATCCGTAAAGCGGCCTACCAACAGTACGTCGTAGCACCCGACTACAACACCGTCCGCCTCCCACCCGCCCTTTCCCCCGAAGAGGGCGCCTCCCTCGGAGTAGCCTTCGTCGTCGCCGCCATCTCCCTCGGGTTGTGCATCGGCCTGGACTTCACCTCCGTCCTCAACGGCCCCGACCTGCACACCCTCCTCCGCCAGCTCCCCCCCGACACCATCGCCCCCGACATCCAAAAGGAATGCCTCACCAGCATCCCAACCCACGAACGCGCCCAACCAGGCGACTGGCTCGCCATCTGGGGCGGTACGCACCTCCCCCCCCCCGTCCCAACCCCCTTTCACAACCCCCAACCCCATCCCCAACACAACCCCCCAACCCAGACCAACTCACTAACCACTCCCTATTATACAAACCAAAAACAGGCTCATCCACCTCCGCGAACCTCACCCTCCAACTCGCGCGCCTCGCCGGCCTGCGCACCATCGCCGTCGCCGACAAGGCCAAGCACGGCCTGTGGCTGTCCAGCCACCGGACGGTGCGGCCCGACCTGCTGGTGGACAGCCACGACCCGGCGCGCGCGGTGGCCATCATCCGGGCGAACGTGAACGGGAACGGGAACGGGAACGGGAACGGGAACGGGAACGGGAACGGGAACGGGAAGCTGCGGTTCGCGGCGGATACTAGGGGAAGGGAGTCGGCGGGGTGGTTGTTGGAAGCGCTGCGGCGGCCGGGGGGTGGGGTGGGAAAAGAGGGGGAGGGGGTGGTGGGTGTGGGTGTGGTGGGTGTGGTGGAGGGGGCGGAGAAGGGGAAGGGGTTGGTGTTGTTGTCGGAGGAGGAGGGTGCACTGCCGGCTGCAGCTCGCGAAGCTGAGGATTCTGCTGCCGCCGAGCCGGTGAGCTTCTCGGCGCATCTGATCGGCTTGACGGGGCTGCCCAAGCAACCTGCGCCTGACGGCGTGGTGTATCATACCGTGCCCATCAAGTTGTTCCATGAGGTGCCGGCTGTGGGTCAGGCGCTGGTCGAGTGGTTGGAGAGGCTGCTGCAGGAGGGGCTTGTGACGCCGCCGAATATTATTGACGTCCAGCGGGGGCTGGGCAGTGTGAACCAGGGTTTGGATCGGATGAGGAGGGGGGAGATTAGTGGCGGGAAACTGGTTGTGAGGGTTGATTGAGCTAGAGATGTTGAAGTTTAGTGACGCTGTTGATGTCGTTTCCTCTTTCCCCTCTTCTCACCACGATGTCTTGGGTGTTAAACCTCATCGGAGGGTCTGGACATGAGACATCATTATACTGTCCTGGTTCCTACATTCGTATCTTTGCACCGTTTAAACCAACCTCCGATATTACATTAACCAAAGCAAACTCCACCCCCCTTACTCCCCCGACCGTTACCCCTTACCAGAGACAACAACCGCCCTTCCCACCTTACCCGACATCACCTTCATCACCACTCCCCTCCTCTTTAAAAATTATAATACCTCGGCTCATCGAACACATGGTAGTGGTGTCCGCGGACACCCTCACCCCGGAACATGGCGGGGAAGCGCAGCCCCTCGGACACCTCGTCCTCGGGGATGCGGCGGTTGCGTAGCGTCTTGGGCGCGGTCCAGGTCGACACGCTGTCCGAGTCGGAGGCGGGCACGACGAACTTGGCGGCCTGCAGCTCCGTGTCGGTGATGGTGCTCCTGCTGACGCGGGCGTACCCCGTGCGCCGCAAGCCCTTGAACAGGATGTACTCGCACCAGCGGTCGTCGTCGGTGGGGTCGACGTCGTGCATGCCGCTGACGTCGGACACGTACGTGTTGTAGTTGCCCTCGAGCGGGTTCGTGACCAGGTAGGAGAGCAGGATGCTCGGGCGCGGTGATGAACCCATCAGCTTGGCGAGGTACTCCGACTGCAGACGGCGATCTTCTGGGTCCTCTTCCTGGCCAGAGTGGAAGACGAAGACATCGACGGCGGTGCCGTAGACGTCTAGCGTGGCGTGGATGGCCGGGGCCAGCTCGCCGACGGGGCTGGGGAGGAGGTGGTGGGTCGAGTTGAGAATGGGGAACTTGGAGAGGAGAGCGGCGCCCCACGTGTGCTTGTTGGGCCCCGGGCCGTAGTCGACGTACATGCCGAGGTCTTCGGCGAGGAACTGCGTCGTGTCACGGTTGCCCATAATGATGCGCTGCAGGTCGGACTCGAGCAGGCCGACCACGTCGACTTCCAGCTCCTTGATGAGGTCGCGCATGCGGTACTCGGACGACCACATGTCGTTGTCGAGCGAGAAGTGGATGGTCCAAATTCCGGCTGTCAGGACCCGGTCCTCTGCGTGGTATGGCTTGTAGTCGTTGGTGGGGAAGCGAAGGAAGCTGGCGCAGAGGAAGAGGACGTTGAGGACGCCGAGCGCGCCAAGGTGGTACTTGCGGTGGTTGGTGTTGGTGGTGCGACGAGGAGCCGCGTGCTTATGGGCGGATTTGGCTTGCTGCGAGATGAGGTCAAAGACGCCGGCGCCAATTAGAAGCATCATGGTCAACATGACCCAATCCGTACGTTCACGGACGAGGGGCCCGCCGGGTACGAAAGCGTAGGCGACAACCCAGACATGGAAGAGAACCACAAAGTTGTAGATTAGGAAGCCTAGACCGAAGGTGACGGCGGGGCTCTTCTTGGAAGCGCTGCTGATCAAGGGGACAGAGATCGCCATGAGGTAAGCAGCGAGTGTGAGAGCCCCGTAGTAACCAAACCACTGGTGGTTGAGGGTAAGGATCGCGGCACCCAATGAACCCACGCCGTAAGCAGTCCATGTCGTGACGAGCGCCGGCCTCGAGAAGCCCGCGAAAACGCCGACAGTCATGGCGGCAATGGTGTACCATGCGTGGACGTTGGAAACAGGGCCCCTGATCGGGTACCCGTCCCAGACCCACAAGATCATCGTGCTGGTATCGGATAGGAGCGAGTGCAGGCCGAAGAACAAGCCGCCAATACCAAAGGCGGAGAGCAATGCCGACCCGCCCTTGGCTTCAACCGGGTTTCCGCCTTGCAGGGGGGCGCGGCGGGTAAACCGCAGAACCGCGAGGATGGCAAGGACCAAGCCCGTACCATTCCAGCCCCCGTTGGCAGCGTGCATGATGGGCCAAATGGGGTTGTTGGTGTACCAAGCAAACTTGGCGACAGACGACATGAGTAGACCGATAACCCACGCGAGAACGCGCATCTCCAGTCTTGCGGGCTGCACAGAGTCCGAGTACAGGGTGGCCGCCCATCCAAGGCAAGTCATCGAGACGCCGAGGCCGACGGCAAAAAGCCGGAAGGTAGGATCCTCGATCAGATAGGCTACCAGACCGGCGAGCGAGAGAAGGTGGACAATGCGTTGGTTTGTGACGACAAGGGAACGGAATGGCCTGATGGCGAGCAGCGCTGGGGCCACCGTGGTCATGATGAGGGCCTCGAAGCCGGAGATACCCATGTGCCAAAGAGGAAAGTCTGGTTAAAGGTTAGGCTAGGTCAACGCAGACGGGGAAGCCGCACTTACACCAGACGACGACGCCCAAGCTGGTTAGGATAGACCAGAAGACGAACTGATAAACGTTAGGATGCGTTTTCCGTTTCACTCGTAGAAGCACATACCCCGTGGTAAACATCGGCGGCGATGTCAAGAGCCTCGCCCGAGCGGAAACCCTCTGAGAAGACCACTGCGGCGGCCTTCTCCTTCCTATCCAAGCTATTAGTTACCCGCCAAAATCTGATGGTGCGACGGAATCGAGGCCACTTACTCCTTCTCAAGCACGGCAGCAGGCACGGAGGACTTGTTGGCACTAATGAACCCGGTTTTAGAACATGGTTTCATAATGTCATTCAACGTTGCGTCGTTGTATGTACAAGCCCCAGCCCGCAAATGCGCGGAGCTGGGGCTACCGCGGAAGCCATTGCACGTACCCCTTGCTCGCGCCCTTGACGTCCCTGATAACCACCTCGAATGTGTCAAAGTCCAGCGCAGTCACTGCGTCGAAGGCAACGTCGAGGAGAATCAAGCTCCATTCGAAAAAGGCGTAAATCGTGTAAGCTGGCCTTGACGTCAGCATTGAAACCCCGCTTGTCGTGGTCGATGTCCCACTTACCCCCTGCCACACGATGGACCTTGTGCTGGATGAAGAAGTAAACCAACGGCACGAGGGTACCGAAGAAGCCGCCGGCCAAGTACTTCCTATACTTGATAGCCTTGGCGTTTGCTGGGCTCAGGGCAATGCACCCGGTGGTCCAGGGAATCGTGAACACGATGTACGCAATCATCAAGATGTCGTGCCAGTCATGGTCGTCCGTCGACGTAATGTATGTCCACCCACCACATGTCAAAGTGCGGACGACACCGGAGATAGCGATCGCTTTCGGGAGGGTGCGGCCGGGTTTCGCGGTAAGCAAGTACCATAGTCCGACGAGTGCAAATCTTGGCCCTGTGGTGGTGGGTTGGTCGTCAGCAATGCTCTCTCGGCGGAGGGCAAACAGGGGTCCGGGATGGGCGTACCGGAGGTGATGGCGATAAAGATCATAAAGATGGAGCGTTCGGGGTAGCGGTCACCGATAGTGGCTGAGACGGAGGGGAACCACTCGTCCGGGTAGCCATACCACTCGTTCTGGACAATCTTGCGGTAGTGTAGTGCGGAGCCCACGATGAGGGCGCTGAAGAAAGCAACTGCAACGGCGTCAACATCTCGATCAACATGTCGACGCTCCGTGTTGGTTAGGCCCCGGGCATGACCATGCGTGCTACCCACGATAGGCAACGGCAGTGTGCGACCAGCTCACCCACTGGCCGCCGAAGGAGAGCACGACGCCGGCGTCCTTGTCTTTGTAACGAGGGGCCGCCATGGTTGCGGAGCCAGGTAGGTACGCAGTAGAGAGAGGAAGAGGAATTGGACCCAAAAATTAATTTAGTGTTGATGGTTGCAACGAATTACAAAGTGCACACGCGCGTGCACATGCCAAACAGCCCCAAGAGCTCCGACTCTTGATGGCCTTGAGAAGAAGTGAAAAAAAAAAAACAAGAGCTTCGCCGAGACCGTCGCCGAGAGCGCGCGTCAGGAAAAAGGCGTTCGCTCGACCACTGAGACAGCGCGAAGCTGGCGGAAGCCTCGGCGCAGAAGGATGATCTTAGAGGAATGTCGGAACCTCTAAATCAGTTCGGCATGCACGGGACCCCACTCCCCTGCTGTCACATTCTGGGGGCTCCTTGGGGGCCGGGCAGCAAGGGAGCTGCAGGAAGCGGTGAAGAGGGGCAGTAAATCCAAGCTCCACTAAAAAGTACCACTGTCAATTGCGAAAGTTGATCCCCATCTCATGGGACAATCAACACCCCAATAAACCTAGCGATTCCCTTCTATAACCGACTACAGCAATGGCTGGAGTTTCGGATAAGGCGCGCTTCCACCTCGAGCGTGCAGCCCCTGAGCTGCGCGAATTCGAAGAAAAGGAAATCTTCACCAAGGTTCGCATTCCCATTCCTTTCTGATCCTTCTCCCCTCCACCCTCCTCAGCCACTGACCTCGCCATGCCAACAACCACAGGATGAGATCCGCTCCCTCGTAACCAAGCGCTCCGACTACGAACACCTGATCCTCTCGCCCGGCACCAAACCAACCGACTTCCTCTCGTACGTCGCATGGGAGCGGTCGCTCGACCGGCTGCGGGCGAAGCGCAGCCGGCGGCTCAACCTGCAGCGATCCTCGACGTCGCGGGCCAGCCACGCGCGCACGTTCGGCATCTTTGAGCGCGCCGTGCTCAAGCACCCGGGCTGCGTGCCGCTCTGGCGCGCCTACCTCGACTTCGCCGCCCACGAGGCCGCCGCCGCCAAGCGCTGGCGCCGCATCTGCACCCGCGCCCTCCGCCTCCACCCCACCGACGCCGGCCTCTGGGCCCTCGCCGGCCGCCGCGCCGCCCAGGGCGGCGACATGGAGCGCGCGCGCGCCCACTTCCTGCGCGGGTGTCGCTTCTGTACGGGCGATGCGGCCCTGTGGGTGGAGTATGCGCGCTGTGAGATGGAGTGGCTGGCGAGGGTGGAGGCGAAGAAGGCCGGGAAGGGGGTCAGGAAAGGGGTGAATGTTATGGAGGCGGTCAAGGCGACCGAGGCGGTGCAGGAAGGGGATATTATGCTGTTTGACGACGAGGATGAGGATGACAGTGGGGACGAAGGGGGGCTGCTGCTCCCGGACCCGGATGCACAGGGAGGGAAGATGGCGAAGGCCGAGGTTTTCGACGAGGAGGCGACCAAGAAGATGGAGCAGAGCCCTGCGCTGAGCGGCGCCATACCTATCGCCATTTTTGGCATTGCCAAGAAGCAGCCCTTCTTTGGGCCTGCCGCGGCCGAGACGTTTTTCGACGCCTTCGCCGGGTTTGGCAACGTCTCATCGCAGGGGAAGATTGTCCAGCATGTTCTTGACACGATGGTCGAGTTGTTTCCTAACCACCCATGCACATGCAGCTGCCAGATCCGTCAGCCGCTGGTTGGGGTGGACGTCCGGACCGCTGCATTCCCCAAGGCGTTGCGCGAGTCGTTGGCGAGGCTGAAGAGTGGCATGGAGAAGACCCAAGACAAGAAGGAGCTGGCAAGCAAGGTCGTTGCTTGGATGGACGTTATCCTGGCAACCGAAGGTCTGGACGCAGCCGTCAAGACGGTGCTGGAGCACACGAAGCGGTCGCTGGAGGAGTCCACATGTTGATACCCATATTTCCAGCGCAGTATATTACAACAATTGGTGATAATACCTCCACGTCGCCCATCCCATCTATGTGCTCTAGTCATGTCGCCGAAGCCCTCTCCTCTGCCACGCCAATCAGGTACTCCCACTCGGCCGGATTGACCCTGCTGACGCTCAGTCGCGACTGCTTGAGCATTTGCATGTTTTCGAGTGGTTTTCCGGGTCCTCCCATCTCCCGCAGTTCCTTGAGCCCAATCGAGGCCGCGAACTTGCTCCGGAACTTGACATGCACGACACTCCACTTGGGATCGTCAGGCTTGGACTTGGGGTCGTAGTAAGGAGCCTTTGGATCGTGTGCAGATACTGGGCACCGTTAGATTTCCTCCGTGAGATTCCAGTACCCAGAGGTTAATTGACTTACAGTCTGGCGAGTGCTCTCGCACAATTTCCATAGTTCCCACGATGCCGGGCTCCTTGCAGTTGGAGTGGTAGAAGAAGGCCAGCTCGCCCTTCTTCATGGCCCGCAGATTGTTCCGAGCGGCGTAGGCGCGAATGCCTGTGTAATAATTAGACCACTGGCATGTTACACGACGATGTGGCCAAGGTTGGTCTTACCGTCCCACGGCTCCGGCTCTTTCTTGGCCGCGAGATCGTCGATCGAGAACTTGACATCGACGCCATTCTCGAACCGCGAGTCAGGCTCGGCTTTCAGGAGCCAGTAGTTCCTCCCTTCCTCCGGAACTGCGGTTTCGTTGGAGGCTGCAACGTCACCGTTTACCTTCAGCTCCTGGGTAGCTTTTTCTTGGCTTACAGGTGCCGCCTTTCTGGCTGTGGCCGGCTGCTTGTTACTTGTTAGACTTGGGTTCAGAGAGAGCTCGGAATGGTGGCGCGGAGAAAGAGGGCCTCGCTCACAACGCCATCCAGACAGCGGTTGAGAGGTTTCCGCTTGCGCATTACGAAATCCCTACCTTTTTAACCACCGTCTTCGCTAATGCTGTTTTCGTGGAAGCCTTCGCCTTCTCTCTCCTCGGTTCTGGTTTTTGTGTCGCGACAGTTGTTGCATCATTCGGTTTCTGTAGTCGCACTGAGCGTCGCGGTGCTGGTTCAACCAATGAGTCATCTTCGGGCGGTGATTTCCTTTTCGCCATGGTGAATTTAATCTCACAGTGTCGCGTTCCCAAGACGCGAAGGATGGAATTATTGGTGGTGAGCACGAAGTCGGTATGCTCGCCAAGACGAACCAAACACATCCAAACTAAAGGGACAGTGCGGATAGAATGGAGCTGGAGCTGAGACGTTCCGTTTCGGGCAGGCGTCCTCTTGGCACGACTTTCCCTCCTTAAAATGCCTCCCCATTGCCGTGGAAAACTCGCGAATATCGATACTTTGCTTGACATTGCGCCCATTCCTGTCGTTATCATGTAGGGTTCAAGAGGCTGACTCCCAAGAGAGCGTGGTGATACGCTGCAAAAGCAGCTGCGAGGAACGAACTCAGTATTTGACTCGGATGGAAGAGCAGTTGGGCACGTTGCCGCTATCGAGGCGGACGGGCCAACGGCCAAGAAGACGTGTGTTGGTTACGCAAGTCTGGTCGCAAGACCGCATCGAGCTCTGCCATTGCCGACCATCCATGCTTCTGACCTCCATGGGAGTTCAGGGCCGTCGTCCCTGTCTGATGCTTGGTTGGGTCCGCCCCACTCGTGGAAACGACGACCGACACAGAACAGGGATCACCAGCCAGAGGGACGCTATCACGAGGAGGGAGGCCGAACAAGCAAAGGTTGGCAGCCTGGTGTTCACAACGAACCGAGTGCGCACTTGAGGCGGGGGGCCGATCAACGGCCAGTCCCACGGGTTGGACAGAAAAAGACGCAGGCAGGGTCGGAGACCTTCACCGCGCACGGCGGATCCGTCTTCGAGGAGAAAGAATGTGATCAATCGATGACAGTCAGTGGAGCGGGGAGGGAAGAGGTTTGGGGTGGAACGCATGGAGGGATGCGAGCGACTCGAAGCGTCGGCTTTGTCTTTGTGACACACGGAAGCTTAGCCGTTTTCATTGACGTGGGCGGGATGCACCGTCATGTAATGTGATCAATGGATGGGGACAGGGCAGGGCCGAATTGGGCGTCGATGGTCTGCGGTCGGGACAGGAGAATTCGGAGGACGAATTTGCATGCCCTCCAAATATTTGATGAGGCAAAGACAAGACTGGCGCTGCTTTTTGCATCCTGTAAACATGAGGAGGTCGCAATTGTCGCGTGGTTTGGGAAGCACAGAAATGGCGAAGACGAAACCAGGCGTTTGAGTTTGCTGGTGGTGGCCGGACGAATGCCTGGCAAATGGCTGGCCGGAGAATTTTTAGTGCCTGGTGTAAAAGTGACTTTGCTCCTGAGCCCGGGCGACATTTAAAAGGGCCCAACTGCCCACCTCCCCCTCGTTTCCCATCCATTTTCGTCCTCTTAACCTTCATCCGTTGTTGTTTCTTGCCATATCTACCCTATTTTCCGCCGATAATCACTGTTGTGGTTCCTGTCGGCCGATTCCAGCGATGGCCGCTATCGCTGAACAAGTCACTTCTCGCCCGGATCGTCGCGGCGGTGTTCGTCCCAATGGCGACCAGACCTGAAGCGACTCGACAATCGCACTCAGGAAGCATTTCACAACAAAATACACCAAGTTAACGCCCTGAATGAGCAAAGACGACCAGGACAGAAATGGACGCAATCCTGCGACAAATCTGGCGCTCCCTCTCGCCAGCAAACGGCATTTGGGTTATTGGCGGCGGCCGGCCCGCTGCTCATGGCTCATGCTTGTGGGTGGTGCCGGGGTCTCCACCACGCTCGGCAAGCCATGTGGAACAACCCCGGGGTGCTCCAGTCACAGCACCCGCCCGGTCAGACCTTCCGTGGACGTCGAGAGTGTTCTCTTGGGATGATTCTTACGATGTCCACGAAGCAACTCTTCGAGGAGAGTCGCCCGATCAAACACGGCAGACGGGCTCTCAGAACTTACCATCAGTGCCACCGTTGGTGTGGGAGGGACACGCTGGTGTCATGGTAGGTGGGGCACCCAGCAGGAAGCCTATCGAGCGGTTAGGCCTCGGAATCGAAACGCAGCATTCCATCCGGCATTGCAAACGCCTCGTCGGAGATTGAGCCGGCTGCTTGCTGGCTTGATGGCTTTCTGGCGCAGAGGTCGGGCGCTGGCCCAAGATGAGGTCGATCGACTCGATGCGACCCGCTGGGAGGTACCTGAGGATGGAGATGGGAACACGGAATCTCCGACCTGCCCCCCACTGTCATTCAAATTCGGAGCAGAGAGGCTCATTGCCAGGTCTTGGATGCCATTGAAATGGCCCTTCACTAACCCAAGCTTGAGTGCTGTCCTGTGCTATGGGATGCGCATCTGAAGGCACTGGAAAGGAGCTTCTCGCGACTCACAATGGGCTGGATTGAAGTCCGCATGGAAGCCTGCTTGCGACAAAGCGATCAGAAACAAGAGGATCGCCAGGTTGGGCCGTAGCACCCTTCCGATTCGTCAGGTTTGTGTTTTGAGACCCACTACGCTAGGCTATATTTGGGCGCGTGGTTTGGTCCGGCTGAAAGGACCAGATCACTCGGCGCTCGTCGCAGCACAACGCCCAGTGGAATCCGACAAGCAACACGCGCCCGCCCCGACCCGACGCAATCGGTACAGAGAGGTAAGACCTGCCCGTCGTTCCTCCAGTTTCCCACCTTATCCACCCCGGCCTGCCGCTGAGGTTCCCCTACATATTCGGTCTCGTGATTTCCGCTGGGCTTGGGCTACTCAGCTCGATGCCATCGGGATTGCGCGAGTACTGATCGTTGGTTGGAGGTTGGCGACGCCGGGAACCTGCCTGCGAAATTTTCTCGCGGCGCGCTCCACGCGGCCTCGCATCCCCGTCACTCGGCCGTTCGCCTGGCCCTTTTTTTTGATTGTATGTCTAATACCCCGAGCCTGATCGCCTCCACTCCGCCGTTCCCGGGTGACCGGCCGGCCATTGTCTGGGCCGTTGCCTCGAGTCCGGGTCGGTGCCGGTGCCGGGCGTCGCGATGCACACAACTCGGGCGACTACACTGCACCTGGCTCCTGCCCCATTTTCCTTCCGTGGGCGTTGTTGCGGCGGGCCCTTTTGGGCGGGCGGCTCTTGGTTGTCGCTGCTGCTCGGGCGCGCTAGGAGTGGATCCGACCACCCGACCGCAGCAGCGCAGGCCAGCGCCCCCAAAGCCAGAAACCCGTCTTTTTGCCCCGTTAAACCACTGCACACTGCCCTCCCCGACACAACCGCGACGCGACTGCTCCATCGCGACAAGCCGCCGCCGCGCCCCTACCTATCTCCATTTTATCGCTCGTTTAGTGAACGGCACTTGTTTTGCACGAATCTCGTGGTCGCTAACGGCGCTGCAAGGAATTCACCTGATGGGCGCGACCATTGCCGCTGCCACCCTCGCCCCCCGATCGACATGAGCTCCTGGATCAACGAGGCCGCTGTCCCGAACCACAATGGCAACGGCTTCCCTCATATCAACGACCCCTCTGCAGTCACCGGGTCCATGATGGATCCCTCCGCCTTTATGGGCAATTCCGCCCAATTCAATGCGCAGTTCGCAAACCCCCAACAAATGGTCATGCCCAATGGCCAAATGCGCAATGCATCGCCCTCGTTCTCGAACCCGATGTATCAAACAAACTCCGTGGTCCCGTCCAAGCGCCCCAGGCCAAGGGATGACAATATGGGCCAGTCGCCGCGCCCGGCACCCGGCATGCTTCCGACGTCGCGCGCCGAGACGCCGCAGCAATCCACGTTCGCAGGCTTTCAACAGCCCGGGATGCCGCAGCAATCGAGTCAACCGTCGCCATATCCGCATCTGCAACCGAATGGCACCACGAATGCGACGCCGTCACCCATAATGGCGAACCAGATGCGCCCCGGGAGCGTCCCTCAGAGGGTCGCCTCCACCTCGCCGCACCCCTTCTCGCCAGCCGCGCAGCAATTTCCTCAGGCGTCTCCCCTACCGACAGAACATGGCGGCACGCCTCAGTCTTTCATGCAGCAGAATAACTTTCCACATAACTTTAATCCACAGTTTAGCGCCGCGCAATCCCCCGCCAGACCGTCCCCCTCGCCCAACCCAATGGCCGGGCAGATGATGCCCCAGCAAATGGGACAGATGCAGATGGGACAACTGCCCCAGCAGATGCAGCAGATGCAGCAAATGGGCCAGTTGGCAGGCCAGATGCCGGGGCAGATGCCGGGTCAGATGATGCAAGGCCAAATGCCCGGTCAGATGCACGGGCAAATGGCCGGCCAGATGCCGAACATGATGTTCCCGCAGCAGATGGGGCAACCCCGGAATGCGCTCGAGCAGCAGAAGCTCATCTACCAAATGCAAATGCAGCAACACGCCCAACGAACGAACATGCAAATGCAGCAGATGGGCGGCCAGAACATGATGCAATCGCAGCAACCTTCCAACCAGGGGCAGAATCATGCTCAAGCTCAGGCACAGGCGCAAGCACAGGCACAAGCGCAGGCCCAGGCTCGGAACATGATGGCAGCCAGGCAGGGCGGTCCCAACGGTCAGATGCCGCCTGGCGGAATGAGGCCGCAGCAGGGGGGCCCTCAGCAGCCCATGATGCGGCTCCCTCCGCCAGAACAGTTCATGAAACACCTGATGGCGTTCATGAACTCGAAAGGCCTTCCCCTCGACCAGCAGCCAGTCGTCGATGGCCGCCCAGTGGCGCTGTACCACCTGTTCCAGATCGTGTACAACAAGTTGGGGGGTTACCGAAGCGCTTCACAGTCAAACACCTGGCCACAGGCTGCCCAAATGCTAGGCTTCCCACCTCAACAAATGCCTTCGGCGACGCAACAGCTCAAGGGCGTCTACGAGCGGAACCTGCTCAAGTATGAGGAGCTATGGACAACGCAACAGAAAATGAGAATGCAACAGCAGGGGGGGATGGCGAATGCCCAGGGAATGCAACAGGGCACACCGACGAAGCCAATGCCGCCTGGGCAACTGCCACCTCAGATGATGCAGCCCGGTCAGCAAGCGCAACTCCAAGGCCAAATGCAATCCCCTGTCAAACCCCCCGGGCCACAGCAACAAGGCGTCAATGGCTTCCCTGCTGGGCAACCCCCGCATGGTCAGCAGCCAATCCTGTCCAGCCAAGCTCACTCTCGCAACAGCCTGTCAAGGAGCGTGCAAGCCACGCCGACGGCCGATGAGTTCCCCCTGCCTTCCCCTGCCCAGAGCAAGGCGGGGGCAGCATCGCTCCCTGGCTCTGCTCATCCGGAGAACGTGGGAGCGGCAGACGACACTGGGAGCTCGTTGAAATTCCCGGCCCCGTTCTCCACAAACCCAGACGAGTACATGCCTTGTTCACGTGAGATCACGACGTTCGGTGGTCTTGACGTGGGCGCTTTGAAGAAGGTCGGCGAGGAATTGCAAAGAACGAAGATCGATGTCCCGCTGCCTATCGACTTTGGAAACGTCGACATTCACGCACTCACCAAGAGCATTCAAAGCGGCATCCACGGGGAGGTCCGGCTAGCGCTCGACACCCTCGCGTCGTTGACGTCGAACGATTACCACTTCGTCAGCCCTACCCAGCCCATCCCTATCCCGCAGATCGATCTCAGGCATTGCGATGAGCTAGTTGACGCTCTGATCGAGTGCGCCGAGGAGCAGGTCGACGTCTTGGCGGAGAACTCGGAGGAAGCGTCCAACGAGATTACCATCTCGCCGTACGAGGAGATCGTGCGCGCCTGTCGTGCTGAGAGGTACGGCATGCGTGCCGTGACTGTTTTCGGGTCCGAAGCCTACGACCTCGACCGAGCGGCCGACCGGCTCATTTGCATCACGACCATCCTGCGGAACTTCTCATGGCGCGAAGAGAACCACGCATCTTTAGCGGACGAGACGGTCATTAAATTCGTCTGTGTCTTGATTAGGTATCTGGGCACGCGGGAGATGCTCCTTCGAACGCACGTCAACACACTCGATCTGATGAAAGATTTGGTAACCCTGCTGTCGAACACAGCGAGTTCGGTGGAGATACCCGGACGCGAACAAGCGTTTTGTCTGCTGCAGTTCCTGCTCGCCTTTGGCCCAACACCAGGTCCGACCGTATCTGGCGACAAGCTCTTTTTCCCGTCCTATGAACCGGCTTTACATCCATACCTCCCCCACGCGGTCGACGCTCTCGCCAAACTTCTCGCTCGGGATGAGCCGAACAGGACGTGTTACCGTAACATCTTCGCTGCCGAGACTGCAGTCACCACCTCGCCGCCTTGCGAACTCCTCACGCGCACTTTTGGCCTCGCAATATCCCCAATTCCCGACTATTCACGCGAGCCCCGCCCCGTACACATTCCCCGCTTGGTTGAGGCACGCAAGCCGCTGTTGATGCAGGGCCTCCTCTCCGCCGACATCACGGCCGGGCTGGCACCTGGCTTCGAGAGCGGCGTCACACGCGCTTGGCTCGCCTCCGGTAGCGGGTTCGCCCAAAACCTCTACCTTCTTTCCCGCTACCTCAGTGGCCAATTCGAGAGTTCCGCTGTCCGGCCTGGCGGTGGTCAAGCAAGAGGCCAGCCGAAGCGGGACCCAGACCTCGTTTACATCATCGGTCTGTCCGTGAGCGTACTCAGGCGGCTTGCTGAGAAGGCACTCGACCCCAGTGACCCCACCGGAGAAAGCAGTATCCCGCCGGAGGTCCTTCCCGCCAAGGAGAGCGTCCTTGATGCCCTGCAGATGCAGGCGCAGGAGTGGGCAAAGGAGGGTGTACTGGCGGATCTGGTCGAGTACACAAGTATGGCGGATAAGAGCTTGCGGCAGCGAGCATGAGCGGCGGGATGCGGGAATTAAGGGCAGGCGTTGGGCGTTCGTTTGGCAAGCGAGCATGTTTTTGCGTAATTGGGGCTCATTTTTCGGCCTCGGTTCCCCGGAGAGGGTGGTGCAAGCGTGTCCTTGGATGGGTGGCAAGATCTTCCCCGCCTGGCTGGTCGCTGCTGTACGAGTGCTGTTGTTGGAAAATGACGAGTTGGATGATATAGAATGGGAGTGCGGTGGCGGCAACACGGCAGTATCTGCTAGACCAGGTGTGGAACGCGCGATGGGCTGGTGTTTTATCGGCTCTGATAGTTTCATAGCATGTGATATATCGATGGGTTGGGTATTGGGGTGTATATTTCAGAGCTGGGCCTTTCGTGGTACCCGAGTGCGTGGTCGATGGCGGTTTACACAGTAGTTTATACAGCTGTAATTGTACAATAAGTCGACTGTCTCCGACCCGTAAGCGTCGGACGAACGCTGCCTCCTCCCCCATCCACATCGCCGCTCATCCCTCGCAAGGCATTGTAATTTCCAGTGTCGGCCACGACATTCGCGCACGATTCTATCGTATACCGTTCACCCTCTCCTGTGAAGTCATAGCCTTTTGCGAAGCGGTAACATAGACAGATGTCCACCATTTCCGCATCCGTACCATGTCTTTTTTGACGAATTGTCTATATCCTTACCCACTCGGGGCCGAGCCGTCAGAGCCCCTGTGTCTCCAGCCACTTCGTGATCACGGACTTATGGTGCCCCTATCATCATCACCACGTCAGCAACCGCTCACTCGCTCCCTCCCCCTCCCCTCCCGCTCCGTCGCATAACGAAAGCATGCGAGACTCACCTTGACAGTGATATGGCCCGTCAGATTATTCACCACCACTTTTTTCTCCTCCATCCCCAGCAGCTCTACCAGCCCCGCCCGGAGCGGTGCCCGGTCGCCCTCGATGTTCTTGATGACCGTCAACGACTTGTTGCCGCCACGCTTCGACAGCTGGTACACGGACAGGTGGCCGGACGGCGTGCGGCCCACGGAGTATGTAAGGGGCGGCTCCGCAGTCAAGGCGCTTTTAGGGGGGGTTGGTGGTTGGGGGGTCGAGGTTGTGCCCGTCAGTTCTGGAGAAGGGGATTGGGAGGGTGTTGAGTAGTTGCGCGCGGCGAGAGCTATTGAGGGGGAGGCGGCTTTCGGGAGGGCCAGCCGTGACGGGGCTGCGAATGCCCGGAGGAGGGTCGCCGAACGTAGCATCGTAGCTCGTGATGTGTCGGCGCGGTCGAGCTATCGGTTGCGATGTCGCGCTGCTCAGGATTCTTCTTCTTGCGGTTCAATTCAAACTGGACCGCTTTCCCAATCCGGCATCCCAGCTCTGAAAATTATCGGGGTGCGGCAGAATGATTTGCCGACCCCCACATGATTTCCTGGGCTCCTGGAGCGCGGGACGCACTGGCTGCCCGCTCAGCCCACAGCGGTTGGATCATACTTTCCAAATTTTGACCCCACCAAAGATCAAAAGACGCCCTCAATCGGAAAATTGGCGGTTTTGCGCTGCTTCTCGGGCCTCTTCATTCCCCTGCACACCCGACACCGACTCTCGCTTGGCCGTGCTCCCCGAGTCACCTAGAAAACCCCGCCTCAACTCCGTCGTTCGAGACAGTTTTCTTTGACACAACCATCACCGAATACCTGGATATCACAACAGCGAAACGAAACCATGGCTTCCGCACCAAACGCCAACGGCGATGCCGCCGTGTCCGAGTACGACCTGATGCTCAAGCTCGTTCCGCACCTCGACCGCCACATGATCTTCCCTCTGCTGGAGTTTAGCGCTGGCCAACTGGTCGATGAGGAGAGCGGCGATGTCAAGGATGAGGCCAAGGCGCGCGAGATCACACAGGCGAAATACTCGCTGCTCAAGAACTCCAACATGACCGACTACGTTGCCAACCTCTACTGCGAGCTTGCCGGAATTGAGGAGGCGCCTGCGGAGTTCGCCGACAAGAAGCAAAAAGTGTTCAGCCAGCTCGAAAACTACGAGCAGCAGACCAGCAAGATCATCGAGCTTTTGGAGCGGGAGGACGTGGTCAACAACCTTCGAAGTGACAAGGTTGCCAACTTGGAGTTTTTGAAGCGGGAACACCAGGTGAGGCTCTCTTTGCCAAAGCTGTGAGGGACGGGATGCTGACACTCGAGGTGACAGGTCACAATGGAGATGGTCAACGCGCTCTTTGACCTCGGCAACCTACAATACAGCTGCGGTAACTACGGCGGTGCATCCGAGATGCTTTATCGGTTCCGCGTCCTCTCGACCGATAACGACAAGGTAGCGTTTGCGACGTGGGGTAGGCTGGCCTGCGAGATCCTCATCATGAACTGGGAATCGGCAATGGAGGAGCTGCAAAAAGTCCGCGAGACCATCGATACCAGGTTGTCACAGAACCCCCTTGCTCAGCTGCAACACCGGACCGCCCTCACCCACTGGGCCCTGTTCCCCCTCTTCAACTTCGAGAAAGCCCGCGAGCCGATCCTCGAGCTGTTTTTCAACGCCGGCTACATCAACAGCATCCAGGCCAACTGCCCCTGGATCCTGCGATATCTCGCCGTCGCTGTCATTACGAACCGTGGGCGCGCAAAGAACCCCGGCATCCACCAGAAGCAGATGAAGGATGTGGTCCGCATCGTTAAGCAGGAGGCCTACGAGTACCAGGACCCCATCACCCGCTTTGTGCACGCCCTGTCTATCGACTTCGACTTTGAGGAGGCCCAGCGCCAGCTTGTCTTGGCCGAGGAGGTACTCCGCGGCGACTTCTTCCTGCTCGCCCATGCCGACGACTTTGTCGACTCGGCGCGGCACCTGATCTTCGAGAGCTACTGCAAGATCCACGCCCGCATCTCACTCCAGGACCTCAGCGCGCGGCTTGGCCTCAATGCAGATGCGGCCGAGAAGTGGATTGTGAATCTCATTCGCGACACCAGGCTTGACGCCAAGATTGACTACAAGGAGGGCACAGTCGTTATGAACCACCCGCCAAGCTCTGTGTATCAGCAGGTCATTGAGAAGACGAAGGGAGGCTTCTTCAGGACGCAGGTCCTGACTGCGGCGATTGCGAAGTAGGAAAAGCAATTAGAAACCGAAGAGGCCTGGGAGAGATCGCCCCGCCGACTGTGGAATGAGGAATCGGCCACCGCCCCCAGCGAGCCATCCCGGCGGGTTAGGCTGCGCTAGAAAGGAGCAAGTGTTCGGTATTTTGCCGCCACATGAAGCACCTTGGAGAACTTGGGCTTGGGGATCGGACTCCCGAACTGATCATGTGGCCTGGTAGAGGGGGCTTTGGGCCCGGGGCTGGGAACGGTATACATCGTGCGATGGCGGCGGCCATATTACTATGCCGTGACAGCGAGAGACGAGCAGCGATGTACATATACCTCGGCGGCGCATGAAAAGGCTTATGGTTAATGGTTCAATTCAAGAAATTCACACCCGCGATATCTTGCATTCTTGAAGTCAGCGTATCCTCGCTCCACGCCGGCAATGATTCTCTATAGTTGCCTTGACCATTTGCCATTCAACCCCTACGCCTGAAACTCCTGGCCACATGTATCAACCATCACCTAGCTATTGTTGGTCAACCCTGTTCGTGCTTCTACGGTCAGTTACTATTATTGCATGCTCTGATACAGTACCTACCAGGTAGGTAGGTAGTCAAGAGGTCCGGATCCATGCTCTGTCCTTATTCCAACACTAAATCTCACCAAGTAGAAAATGGAGGCTCGAGTTACATTACCAAAGAAAGTTAAGGAAGTTTCGGTTATAATTGGCTGTTTGTTGTGTTGCGTTTTACAACGGCGAGAGTTGATCCGAATAATAAAACATGAAGCAAGTCAAAGTAAATAATAAGAATTAATAATCTTAAGTTAGGTAGGTGTAAAACACAACTCGCTACTTCTGGTAAACACTCCAAAGAAATTGGAGTTAGAAATGGCCACCTACTAACTAACCTTGTCGTTTTCTGTGCTGTAGCTTGCTTGTTGGTAGTCATGGTATATAAGCCTGGATATGAACAACGAAAACCACCAGCAGCAGCACCTGTAAAAGGGCCATGGCATTGTGATCAATACACCCGGCAACACGTTGATATGACTACCTCCAATGTGCCCAAGGACATCGGCTGAAATACATGCTCTAGCTGCTCTAATGACCTAACCCTCCCTCCCAGCAAGCCACGTCTTCCCCTTCAGCTCATCAATCGCGCTATCCCTCAACCACCATGCCGCTTCCACCGGCCCAACATCATCCGCCTTCTTCTCCAGCTCCTCATGCAGCGCCGCCCCCATCGAAACCTTCTTCTTCCCCCTACCCGCCGCAGTCTTCTTCGCTTTCCCCTTATCTTTCTTCCCCTTCCCTCCCTCAGCCTGCTTCTCCACCACCCCACCATCACCAGCAGCAGCAGCAGCAGCACTCTTCCCCTCCGCAAACAGTCCCCTCCTCTCAGCCCATTCAAACAGCAACCTCAACCCCAACAACCGATCCCTCGACCACCCACCAACCCCCTCCACCCCAGCCCTCAACACCAACCTCGCATCGACCGCCGTAGTCGCACCCTCCCCCTCCCCAACCCCACCACCCGACCCAAACAGATCCAACACAACCCCCCTCTCGGCAAGCGACAGATCGGCCAGCGCATCCAACCCAAACACCCACCGCAGCGGCGGCTCCCGCCGCTTCATCTCCCCACCACCACCACCACCCGCAGCAGCAGCAGCAGCACCACCATCCACCGCCAACGCCGCAATCTCCTCCGAGACCGCCCCACCCGCCAGCGCGCGCAGCGTCGCGGGGAAAGTCCCCTCATCAGCGGGCCGCCGGCGCAGGTAAACGGTCTGGCAGCGGCGGAAGTCCGCCTTGAGACGGGGCTCGTCGGCAAAGGGCACCGACAGGTCCCAGTAGCCGGCGGCCTTGGCGTCGGTGTCGACGCGGGCGATGTCGTCGAGCGGGGGGAGCAGGCAGGGGGTCTGGCGGCGGAGGGTGATGGCGTCTTGGTCGGCGGGGTCGTTGCGGGGGGTCTGGGAGGCGGCGGCGGCGGCGGAGGGGGAGCCCGGGCGGAGGCGGATGAGGATGGGCAGGTTGAGGGGCTGGTTGGTGACGAGGTCCTTGGTGACGAGGCAGCGGGGCTCGGTGGCGAGGACCCAGAAGTGGCGGAAGGCTTGGAGGTGGGAGCGGTTGTCTTGGACGTTGGCGGGGAAGAGCGGGTAGAAGGCGACGAGGAGGGAGGCGATGGCGAGGTCGGTCGTGCCGAATGTTGCGGTCCCCGAGCCGAGGAAGAGGGCGCCGATGGCGAGGTGGGCTGCGAGGTGGCTGCCGTAGGAGGTGGTGGTGTCGTCTCGGCCGTGGAGGGCACGGAGCCGGCGGAGGACGGTGATATCTCCCGTCCCGGCCATCACCATGGCACAAGAGAGCGCCAATGTGTCCATGCACATGCGTGCGTTGTTTCGGGCGAGCTCGCTGTCGTAGTTGCTCACGGGGATTTGTCCGATGCGAATGAACTGGTCGAGATAGTGCACGAGCAGATCTCGGACCCTGACGTTGGCCGATCCGGAGAAGCGCAGGCCCAACGAGAAACAGAGACCGGCAAGAATCGAGAAGAAAGGGAGGTCCCGGCTTTGCAGCTTGACCACGCTTGTCAGTTTATACCTCGATCTGTACTCGACGGGCAGGCTATCCTGGATCCACTCAAACGTGGGATCTACCTCATTCCAGAGGATCAGGTTCTTCGCAACCGTTCTCAAGAGGAGGATGTCCGGTCGGACGTAGTCGAACTGCAACAGGGTGTCAGGGACATCAATCTTGCGCGCAACGATCTGGTCCTCCGACTTCATGTAGATGAGCGCGATGGCCACTACGGCGCCAGCCGCTGACCAGTCGAGAACGTGGACAAGTTCCATACGCTTGGTCGCCGTCGCGACAGTGAGCAGCTTTTCCGTGAGCTGCATATCTCGTAAACCCTTCAGGTCACCGCCCTTGCCGAGGTTGATGAACCCAAGCGCAAACCCAGCTGCGAGGCGGTAGCTTTCATCGCGGATTGACCCATCCTCCTCTTCGTCACTACTACTGACGTGCTCAATCTCTGACAGCATGATCTCGCTCATCCGCCGGTGTTGGCTGTTGCAGTAGACCAGTCCGATACCCATGACACCAGTAGTTTGGGTGGCTGTCGAGAGGTTGAGGTCGGCCGCCCCACGGGGTAGCATGCGCGTGATATGGACAGACAGGAGGCGGGTCATAAGCGCGTCCATGGTTCCGATGTACGACGCTGCTAGACCGAGAAGAAGGCCGATGGTGGTCATGGTGTGCTTGGGGGTGAGGTACTTAAACGCAACCCATCTGGCAACCGACTTGAGGTGGCCGTTCAGCCCGAGCGCGAGTAGGAAGCCTGCGTGGCGGTTGCTGAGGTCCTGCCCCGGTTTGTTGTATAAGATCCATGACGTATCAATGCCCTTGGCCTGTGGTGATATTGCCAGACCACCGGAGACTCCTTGGTGAAAGAACGCCCAGCTGATCTTCTCTTCTGGGAACATGCTCTTGTCGACGCTCACCGTGTTGTTGGCGGGCTTGACGAGACAATTCAAGTTGAAGGCCGAAATCTGGTACTTCTGGGTAAGGAGCGGGTACCGAAGGGAAAAGTGTAGAAGGCCTCGTCCGGCTGCGATGGCCAGAGTACTCGTCGCGATAGTCGCAACTAATTCTTTCTGTTTCTCCAAGTACTCGGGCTCGGTCCATTCGGTCTTTGGGTCCAGGCGTACAACACGATGCTTGCTGGTCGACAGCATGCCTTGTGCTTCATTCAATCTCCTATCCTCTCTGAACAAGGAACGCACAACAGCCTGGCGCTCGGCCGCGCCGGCATCCTCAACATGGTCGTTGGACCCATCGAGAGTCTGACACAGCGCGCGGAAGTCCCGCTTCGCTTCGTGCGAGGGCGCCTAGACAAGGATTAGCAAATGTTTGCACGTTAAAACTTTCCTGTTCTCACATTGACGTCGGAACCAAGGGCCCGCCATGTTTTGGTTGGTTGCAACACGCCGCTCACGTCTGTCCTCCCGACGAGTGTAAGCAGGTCCTTGGGCCAGGAAAGAGGGGGTTTTGGCTGGCAGATGGAGATGACATCTTGGAGAGCCGTGAGGATCGCTTCTGGTAGCGTCTCGAGTATTTGAGGGGTGAAACCACACTCATGCATGGCCACCACCGCTTCCAGGCGGTGGGTTGTTGAACCAAGACGCCCGAAAAGTCTCTCAAACATCAGCGTGCGAGGCGTGAGGCTCGCCCATAGCTGGTGCCTTAGTTTCCCACCCAAAGTATCGCGAGTAGCATTGGCGTACAGGTCCGATAACGTGGGGTACTCGGTGCCGCGGCCGGTTGCGAGATGTCCCTGAATCCAGGTCAGGATGCAGTAATCGAACGGGGGCTCGGTCAAGTCGGCCACAACGAACGGGACTAAACGGGGTCAGCGGTTGGGTTGTATGGATTAGACCAAGGACAAACGTACCAAGGTCGTCCGCGAAATCTGGCTCCGCCTGGGCACCTAGGGCATAGACGGCCGCGTAGCGGTGCCAGCCCAGCCATCTGGCTAGTTGGTGAAGGAGTGCCTTCGTATCGGCTTGCCCAGGAGACGAATGCTCAGAGGCTAGAACGTTGAGCTTTTGTTCCTCGACGAGCAGGTGTAAAGCAAGCAGTATACTCCAGGCGGCCATGTTACGGGGTTCACCAGTCCTGTTTAGGGCTGTAGGGAGATACCCTTCAAAGCCGAAGGCGGATAGCCCGCCTGATGAAGCCATCCATCTTTTGGCGAGGGTTACGTGGAATGCAACAAAACTACCCGAAGGCCATGGTTGTGCACCGGCGGTGCTGGGCGTTCCCGACAGGTCGTCGAGGGCCCATTGCCACGCCTTGGTCCGCATCCACTGGGGGCAGGCCGATGAGTTTGGTGTCTCACGCAACTGCATCGCTTCCCATTTGTTTTTCGCGGCCGGTTTCACCGTTTCATTAGCAAGCGTCCGCAGCGAGGTTTCGCTGTTGTGTCCCAGAGCTAGGAAACTTGACAATATGAGGATCACGGCAGCCGACCATTCCACGTCGGCGATTGCATGTTCAAGTCCTCGGCGTTTCGCGTCTTGGAGCCATTGCATGACGTGCCACCACCCGGCAACGATCCTATCCGCATATGAAGCGTGGAGAACACCGCGACAGGCATCCAAGACTCGGCGTACTTGGGGGGAGGAGGGCTGCAGCTGAATTCGTATCCGATGGAACTTCCCGTCCTTGTCTCGAAGGTCAACGGCACCGAGGGAGTTGGGGTGACAAATCGCGTCGATTTGAGTTCCCGTCAGGCTAACGCTAGGGGGCCGCTGTCCTTGAATCGTTCCACTGACTCTGTGACTGCCAGCGAACTGGAGGCTGCCAATGTTGTTAACTAGAAGCGAAGGTAGTGTGACTGTTGTAACTTTGCCCCATGGTGACTGCAAGCTGAGCTCTCTGCCACCGCGCCTGTCCTCTGACAGGATCATGATGGACTCGATTCCATCTGAGATCTTGCAGGAATCGACCACACTCTGGACCCTCCTGGGTTCGCCAGGAATGATATCGAAATCACCAAGGTCTGGGAATTGTTTTGTTTTGTTTTTCTTTGGTGTTTGTCCCTCTAGATGTTGGACGTGGAGGGTGAGGAGCTGCAGTCTCTTATCGACCGGATCTTGAATGGCGATCAACAACTGTGATCGACCATGGTCATCTGTCGCCGTCGGGGGCCCTGCAAGAATGAACACTTTGGCCTGCGTTCTGGCCGGTTTGCCAGAGAGTGAATATCGCACGTTTGCGTTATCCATGCCAACGCTCTGGATCTTGGTGAGCATCATCTCGCGTACAAGCCCGTCAAAATCATGGTCGTCAAGACCCATGTTGTGAAAGCCTTCAAAATCACCACCGGCACGTAGCTCTTCAAGCAGGTTGTCGACTGGAGCCTCGGGTAGCTGGTTGATACGATTGTAGTTAAACGTCGCGCCGAAACTTGGTGCGCCGTAGCCGCTGCTTAGCCGGAGCCGCTGACTACCGTGCGACTCGATCCGCCTCCCTCCGTGGTTACCAAGCAACGGCTGCTCGGCAAATGTTGCTCTGTCTTGCGAAGCAGACAAATCAGCGCGGGCTAGCAGGGAGCTCACTCGCCGGGACTGCCTGCGTGTAGCATCACTGCCCTTTTCAGCGTCCACCAGCGAGCTTAAAGCGTTCTCAAGGGCCTTTTCCTTGCCCTCTAGCTTGACACTTTTCCTTGTCTTCTTGCCCGGGAGTGGGGCACCGAAGCTTTCTCTCGTCGACGGGTGGATGGGAGTAGCCGCGCCACTTGCCAGTCCTGGTGCCATGGAACTCCGCCGCCGCGAAGGTTTGGTCTTTTGCTTTTGCTGTGGATCTAAAAAGGAATCTTCGTATTCAGGGTATGTCAAACGCCATATGGTGTACATGTTAATCTCCCTGTTGACCGTAACTACAATGGTGAGCTCGCAAGAACTCGTTGCAGAGGTACGGGGGATTTGAACGGCCTGGATGTGAAGGATCTCTTCGGAGCGGCCGAGAAAGACGGGGGCGGGTGGGCTTTTTCGGCCCTTTCCTGTCGCCGGTACTTCGGGGTGCGTTACCACCAGACCAATCTCGAGCAAAGGGTCGTTGAGGCACACCAGGCGCGGCCAATGGCTTTCGCTCGCCTCCATGGGTTGTTGCCACATATTCTCTAATGTTAAGCTCAACCGCAAGGGCAGGGCTTTGGGGTTGCCCAAGCCTTCGGTCGAGAATTCTGTGAGGCCGTGGCCATGGGAATGGCGGGGGCCGAGTGGCTCGGAAGAGACGAAGGAGGCCGGGGGTATTTTTGGCAACCTCAGGGAGACCGGTGTGCCGTCGACTCGTAGTTTTCGTTGTATGATGACGCCTCGGGGGCCGGCACAGGCCGATTCGACCTCGAAAGGCATGTGGACCACATGGCTGGTACCGGAGAGGAAATATATATGGGCTTGCGACCTGAGGAAGACGACAAGGGCTCGAGAAAGGGCGGGTTTGTCGGGGCGATTCGGCGTCGACTGTTCGGTTTGCGAAGTGACTCCCGGGCTATCGGAAGAAGCTGGGAAGTAGGCGAGGAGGGCTTGCGTTACTGGCTCCTTCTCCGGATCGAAACTGAAGCTCTTTCGAAAGATACCTCCGCGAGACCAGATCACGCAGTTTTCGGTGGTGAGGAGCTCGTCTTCGTATTCTCGGCCGTCTTCTTTGCTGATAATAACCTCCCAAGAATAGGAAGAGGCGGGAGGGTTTGGTGGTAAAATCCCCTCGTCGACAGCATGACGCAGGCCAATGGGTTGATGCACCCCGAGAGATGTGACCGAGGCCATTGCCGAAGTAGATGCTTGTACAACGGAAATGCGGCCGTGATTATTATTGCTCTGCAAGCTGCACCAAAGGCCGGGAATTTGGTGTTGGGAGACAATCGGGTGATTCCATGCCGGTCGGGTCCTCGAGGGTCGAGCGGTTTGTTTGGTTGTTATTGAAATTGAATTGACAATGGATCCGACTACCCGCAGCAATTCATTGTAGTCCACTGCCAGCTTCAAAAGCAAGTTTCGAGACCTTTTCAGCGCCTTTCGGCGGACTTGTGCACCTTGAGGGTGGCAGGCGCGTTCAGGGCGCGACGGCCTGGCGAGGCTGATGCCCCACTGAATGAGGGGCAATTTCCAATTGGCCAAAGCTCACCAAGCCCCTGCAACGGTTGGGTGCGAGGCAGCTTTGGGGTCGCCTGAGCTCTGACGTAGCGCTTCGCCTCACGCCCAACCCTGGAATGGAAGCTCCCCGAAGTCGCAACACAACGGTCAGCTCTCTCTTCGACCCCTGCTTCGACACACCGTTCTCGCTCAACCGCGACGTTGAAACGCCATGAAGATACCTCCATTTCCCGAATCAACATGACCGAAAGCTCGCCACAGCCCGGCGACAATGATACACCTGATCAGACGATAAAACCAAAGTCGAGTCCCCAATCTCTACCCGACCGAGCCACTGGCGCGGCAGGAACAGAGGGATCCACGCGTGTTCACGCTTCCTCTGGCGATGGCGCGGAAATTGGAGATGACCCAGGAGGGTCTGTAGCGCAGTCTAGTGGGGATGAAGATGGTAGCGACGACGAGGAAGAGGGCGACGACGATGGCGATGATGATGGCGACGACGGCGACGATAACGACGATGAGGAGGACGAGGAGGACGATGATGAGCCGAAGCTCAAGTATGCGCGCCTCACGCAACACCTTGGACCTGTTTATCGAAATGGCGATGCCACGAGTGCGTTCCTTGTGGCCGGAGACAAGATGGTTTGGATACCCCAGCCCCCTGTTAGTACCGACTATCGCAGCCGCTGACTTTGTCAACAGATCGTCGGAACTCATAACGGCAATATTGTCAGTATCACTGTCCTATTTCTGTGCCCCGTACTTTGCTAACTTCTACCTCGGCGCGTAGCATGTAGTTCAATTGCCGGCGTTCCAGTCTCTGCGTGTTTACCACGCCCACTCCGCCTCAGTTACCTCCGTCTCGATTTCTCCGTTCCCTCCTCCGCTCCCGAGCATCAAGATAGAAAGCGCCCTCAAGCCTGTCCCCAACAGCCCCTTGCGACCAGCGACCGCAACGACCGAGAGTCATGCCTCCCCAGCCGCCGCCGCACGAAGGATGAAGGAGTCCCCAGTGTTGAATACTCCATCCAACAGCATCTACATTGCCACATCGTCTCTGGATGGCAACATTTGCGTGCAGTCTTTGGTGGACCCCAAGGATGTGCAGCTGCGGAACTTTGCCCGTCCTGTGCAGGCAGTGGCTCTCTCCCCCGAGTATAAAAGCGATAGGACGTATTTGTCTGGTGGACTTTCTGGCCAGCTCATTCTCACCGTCGGTGCACCGACGGGTAGGTCTACATCCATGACGGCGGGCGCGACTGCGCAGGCCGCTGGCTGGTTGGGTGGGATGGTTGGGGCTGGCAGCGGCAAGGACACGGTGCTACATTCAGGCGAGGGCACCATTAGCGCGATCAAATGGTCGTTGTCCGGGCGATACGTGGTCTGGTTGAATGAGCACGGCATTAAGATCATGCGCACGAAGCTCCATCTCGACAATGCCGACGCCGAGGAGGCCTGGACACGCATTGGGCACATTGACCGGCCCCAAACCGAGGAGTGGGAGACGATGGCTAGCGTGTGGAAAGGTCGGGTTGAGTGGGTTGACGAGCAGGCCGTCGAACCTGACGAGACCAGTCCAGATCACACTGAACGTGCTCTGTCACCAGCGGCCGAGAGCCTGAAACAGCAGCAACTCAAAAACATCAAGAAGATCGAGAGATTGCTCGTGGGGTGGGGCGGTACCATCTGGATCATTCATGTCCACCCTGGCGCCGTCGGGACGGGGAGGAACGCAGGGGAGAGGTCCGCTGGGCGGGCAGAGATTGTAAAAATGTAAGTTGGTGACAGTACATTGTGAGCGGAGCTTTTGCTGACTTTCCAGACTTCGCATGGATTGCATTATTTCTGGCATTTCGTTATATACCCAGAACTTGTTGTTGGTTCTTGCTTACTGTTTACCGGACCGCGAGGAGGAAGACGAAGACAGTCAACACACCCGGGGCCATGGTCGCTCGCTATCGGGAGCCTCTACCGAAAGTAGGCCTTCGGGTGGCATCCCGCGAAAGCAAAACAACCAGCCCCCAGAGCTACGTCTTATCGACCTCTCATCGCAGGCGGAGGTGGATAAGGATGGGCTCACCATCAGCCGTTTTGAGAGGCTATCGTCCAACGACTACCACCTTGGCATCTTGCCCGCGCAGAACGCGGCCGCCGCAGCATCCTCCCGCGGTGCTTTGGAAACGCTTGCAGGGCTTGGCACCGATGTGCTAAACGCTGCCCTGAACCCCATGTCGCTTTTCAGCTCCGCGGCGAGTGTCATGAGCAAGGGTAGCGACGGAGCCTCCGGATCCAATGTGCCTGCCTCAGGGGGCCGAGCCGGCCGCACCTCAGTGCATCCACACCTCATCAAGCCAGGCGTCAAGATCTTTATCCATAGTCCGTATGACTGTGTCCTTGCGACGCGACGAGACCTGAGCGATCACTTGGCGTGGCTCCTCGACCACAACCAGTACCAACAGGCATGGGAGCTGGTGGATCGGCACCCCGAGGTGACGACAGGGGTTGCTGATCTTAGCCCGACCACGCCACAGCACACGCAAAGCACGGATGACTTTTACGACGACACGGCATCGGTCGCCGAAGGCATGCGGTCGTTCTACTCGTCAGCCGAAAAGGAGAAGCGGCGGATTGGGGAGCTCTGGATTCAAGAAATCATCGAGACCGGGGACTGGTCGAGGGCAGGGCAGATATGTGGAAAGGTTCTTGGCACGCCTGACCGGTGGGAGAAGTGGGTGTGGACGTTTGCTGGCGCGAACAAGTTTGATGACATCGTGAGCTACATACCCGCCGAGCGTACGCGGCCGCCGATGCCGGGGACCTTGTACGAGGTTATGCTGGGGCACTACCTCCAAGCAAACAAACCCAAGTTCCGCGGGTTGTTGGACCGATGGGCTCCAGACTTGTACGACGTGGGCACCATAACGACCGCACTGGAGGACCAGCTCAAGTACCGGGATGTGCGGGAAGACAGCGTGGAGGATGGTGAAGTTGGCCGAGACTGGCGGATCGTCATCGAGAGTCTTGCCAAGCTGCACGAGGCAAACGGCAGAAACCGGGAAGCTCTCAAATGCCACATCAAGCTCCAAGATGCCGACTCGGCCATGCGGCTGATCAAGGACGGCCACCTTGCTGACGCCGTAGCTGATGACATCCCGAGCTTTATTGGCCTGCGCGTGCCCCAAGGCCAGGCCGGCAAAATGAGCCAGGCTGAGCTCGAAGATGCCACGGCTGAAGTGGTTACTTTGCTCGTCGACGAGGCACAGCACGGCTTGGTGAAGCCCGAGGTCGTCATCAACCAACTGCAGGCGAAGAAGTTAGACCTGTACACCTTCTTCTACCTCCGCGGTTTATGGCGGGGAGAGGGCATCCACGAGCACTCGGACGAGTCGCGCGCGCGCCTCGTGACCGACAGCAAGTCCCTGGTCGACCAGTTCGCCGACCTTGCCGTACACCTCTTTGCCGTTCACGACCAATCCCTGCTGATGGACTTCCTCAAGACCTCGACCGCATACGCATTCGAAAAGGTATGCCCTCCCCTATTCTCCATTTCTAACAATTCACGCTGACCCGCCTCCCCAGGCTGCCCAAGAATGCGAAACGCACAACTACATCCCCGAGCTGGTCTACCTCTACTCCAAAACCGGCCAGACCAAGCGCGCGCTCTACCTCATCATCGACCGGCTCGCCGACGTCAGCCGGGCGATCGCCTTCGCCAAGGAGCAAGACGACCCGGACCTGTGGGAGGACCTGCTGACCTACAGCATGGACAAGCCGCGCTTCATCCGCGCGCTGCTCGAGGAGGTCGGCACCGCCATCAACCCCATCACCCTGGTGCGGCGCATCCCCGAGGGGCTCGAGATCGAGGGCCTGCGCGAGGGGCTCAAGCACATCATGAAGGAGCACGAGATCCAGTTTAGTATCTGCGAGGGCGTCGCTCGCGTGCTGCGCAGCGAGGTCGCCGCCGCGCAGGGGCGCTTGCGCATGGGCCAGCGGAAAGGGGTGCGGTTCGAGGTCGCCGCGAAACGGCACGCCACGGAGCAAGACGCAGCAGCGGCACCACCACCACCACCACCACAACCAGCGGCAGCGCACCCCGCCGCCCACGCACCCCACCCGGAGAAGCTCCACGATCATGCGCATGCCAACGGGGACGCGGCGGCGGCGGCGGCGGCGGCGGACAGCCGGAAGGCGCGCAAGTGGACGCCGGGCCACTGCGCGCAGTGCCGCGAGCCGTTTGTCGAGTGGGAGGTCGAGACGCTGGTGGGCTTCGCGTGCGGGCACGTCTTTCACCTGGCACACCTGCTCGAGGCGCTGCACCCCGGACAGGGGCAGGACAAAGGGAAAGGGGTGGATGGTGTGGTCGAGCAGAGGGCGTCGGCGGCGCATCTGATTGCTGCCAAGGTCACGCATGCGAGGCTGTTAAGGGATCGCATCGCGGGGGGGTGTCCGGTGTGTGTGGTGGATGGGGGGGAGGACGGGTGGTTGGGGAGGTAGGCTGGTAGGCTGTTAGGCAGGGTGGGGCTTGGAAGGGTAATGGGTATATTGAGGGAGTGTAAATACGGTTCTGGTGGTGGGCGTTGCTGTGTATATCATCACTGACATTGATGTCCTGCGTGTTGGGACCCCTTTTTTCCCGCAACGGCGGCGCGTTAAGACTCGTTCGTCCGGACCCCGAAATCACAACACCACCAACATGGCAAGGGCGTGTGGCTCAGTTGGTAGAGCGTTCGCTTAGCATGCTTCTCTGTATGCGAAAGGTCCTGGGTTCGATTCCCAGCTCGTCCAATGCAAGACTAGGGTCCCAATGGGTCTGGTTGTACTTTTGCCCGTTTTTTGGACATTTTGGCGGCTTGTGCGGCTCTTGGTTTTTTTTTTCCCTCACCGCCATGGTCAGGGGCTGTTTTTTGATTTGTCAGGAGCGGGTGAACTACTAAGCATTATGTCGCTCTCGATCCACACCGACGGGCAATTTATTTCTCCCCACTGGAGCCTCAAGAGGGTCCCGCCATTAGTGGAGGGCTTGTCGGAGCGGAGATACCCAGGCGAAGGAAGTGTGTTTCGCAGTTAAGGGGAGCTTGTGAAACGTCGATTGGTCATGAATCGGGGGAACTGTGTACCGTACAGTGCACTCGCCGTAGTGCCGGGCTATCATCCCGCACTACGCGCGAGTGACGACTTGTTCCGTGGCACCGGGTGGAGACAGGTTTCGATCAGATTTTACGTGAGCGGGAGGGGCTCGCCGATGAGAGGGTGAGGTTGCTGCCAAGTGGTGGGAACGTTAGGACCAAGAGGGGGGGACTTAAAAAGGGGGGTTTGCCACCCGGTTCTTATGGTTCTAAGTTAGTATTCAAGCCTCAAATCTACCTTACTGTTGTCATTTCTTCTTTGGAGCACGCAATCCCATCCATAACTCTTCACACCACTCAGTCTCAACCCAATCCACATTTTTAGTCACCATGGCTCCCTTCGGCAGAATCTACACCTACGCGGACAACTACCGCGTCCAGCGGGTAAGTCTCCACTCGCACCTCCCTCCCCTCCCTCCCACCACTCACCCCCTTTCCAGGTCCAAGCCATTGCGGCCATGAACGGCCTCACCGTCGAGGTGGTGCCCGACTTCCAAATCGGCGTAACCAACCGCACCCCGGAGTTCCTGGCCAAGTTCCCGCTCGGCAAGGTGCCCGCCTTCGAGACGGGCGACGGCAGCTTCTTCCTGACGGAGGCGCAGGCCATCGCGCGGTTCGTGGCCGAGAGCGGGCCCAAGGCGGGTCAGCTGGTGGGCGAGGACCCCAAGACGCGCGCGCTCGTCGAGATGTGGTCGTGCTTCGCCGAGCAGGAGCTCGCCGCCAACGCGGTCCCGACCGTCCTCATGCTCGTCGCCAAGCTCGAGCAGTACCCCTACGACGAGGCCAAGGTCAACCAGCTCCTGGCCGCGCTCGTGCGCGCGGCGGGTCGGGTCGAGGCCGAGCTCAAGGACGGCCGGCAGTTCCTCGTGGGCGGCCAGCTCACGCTCGCCGATATCATGGTTGTGGGTGTGCTGCAGCTGGCTGGCAAGTTCTTGATGGATAAGGAGATGCGGAAGGACCTGCCCAGCGTGGAGGCCTATGTCAAGCGGATTATGGAGGTGGCTGAGATGAAGGCGGCTTTTGGCGACCTGCAGTTGTGCGACACCCGGGTTAAGAAGGAGTAAAGGGGCTGGATACAGTATGGCCCCCATAGACGGATTTGAAAAGCAATGATTTGAACCGTTGAATGTGCCTATGGGTCTTTGCGCTTCTCAAGCTTTTGACGTGTCATGATAACAGTTGTGCGACTTTGGAGCGCTTAATGACGATGCTACCTAGTTCTCAAGTTCATTTGCTGTTCCTAGGTACGTAATTACTTGCGCACATTCTAAGTGCACTGCTAAGCCGTCTACAGTAGCGCCACCTCGAGACTTCCATCCACCGTCACCGCTATAGGGAGTCGTCGAATGGCGCATCATGTGTTTCTTTGCCGCAGTGGCTGGTGCTAAAAGCATGCGCACAATTAAGACACTGTGCGGAGGTCGCGTTTGTTGTCCATCCGCAATTACAGCAAACCCACATTTGAACCTTTACCAAGGTTAGCGTAGAGAGAGAATAAGTGAGGGGGATATTACCCTGATGTAGCTCGGTCTGAGGGTCTTGGGACAGAAGTTCGCCACCACGCTCGCCCCTTGCTTCAGTCCGATAACGGGGTATAGAGAAGACGGATGGTGCTTTCTATCAATTTCGATCCCCCCTTGAATGCTTTTCAGTAAACCTGTTTGGCGATTCCAGGAATCAGTTGTGGCCGTGAACTTACCAATGTGTTTCCTGTTCAAGGCAAAGTAGGCTATCCGGCCATGGAGTCCGCATCCGACGACATCACCCGGGCGAACCGATGGACCTGTGATCAGGGGAGCTGCCGAGCCTGTAAATAATTCGCCGCTGTTGCCGCAATATACGTACAGCCCGTCGATTCCGGGCACCGCAACTGATGGCGTCTTGTCGGCACAGAAGCCGACACACACGTCTCCAGTCCGTACTGTAATCTCAAAGTAGACTGCAGAGGGACTTGGAGAAGCCGACATGCCTTTTCCCGACCTCGTCGTTCTAACAAATGCGAACGCACGAGTGTTGACGCGTGTTTGGGGGCCGGGGAAGGCTACCCCCAAACCTGTGGTGCTAATGCGTAGCTCCTGAGCACATGTCAAGGGATCCCAGCGGATTCTACCATCATTCACCAATCTGATCCGTTTGTACTCGGATATCTCGTGGTTCAGCGCTTCGTCGTCTTCATCCTGTGGTGGAGAATCAATACCATCTGAACTTGCAGGTGGACCAGGCCTGGCTTCCGCGGATTTGGATATATTGGACCGGTCGTTGCGGCCCTGTTCGTTGTGACTGTCCATTAAGTCGGCACTTTGGGGCTGGGGGATCTCAATCCTGCGGAATAATATGCCACAGTTCGGACTTCGTAGACTTAAAGTCAATAACCGGGGTTCTTCGACACCTGAGCATCTGGGATGATGTGGCTTACCACTCGATCTCTTCATCCTGAGGCCCGGCGCATTCTGCGCGGCAGCTCGGACAGGTAGTCGTTTTGGTAAATATGTTTTCGAAGAACAAGCTCATGTTGACTCGCTGGCCTGGTCGGAAACACCGTTCCCACGCGCGCGTGAGGTCTATGTCGCGGAGAGTTTCTGCATCTGTGATGGCAAACTTCCTCTCTTCCACCTTTCGCGCGCCACTTTCGCCATAACGTTTTTTCAGCGCGCAAATCAGAACCTGGGCTCTTTCGTTAGCGGGACCCTTAACTAAAAGGGCAATGGCACAGCTGACGTCGACACAGGTGACGAATTCGAGGTGAAAGGGCACCAAAACGCCACGGGCGTCTTCTAGGTAGACGGGCTGTTGACGAAGCACCTGCCCAGGGATCTCCGTCTGCGCTTGGGACATCATCTGAATGATTCGCGTCGTCGCCTGCCTGCGATTTGTCAACATCATAGAATCCAATTGTCTTTTTGTCCGCACAGTCCTACAGTGTTTGCATCATGATCATCGCTAAGTCTGAATTGCTTTCCCTCTGCTTTGTTGCTAATCTGGAATTCAAGATGTCAGGAAGCGGCCAAATGAAGGTAGTGCTGAGATCCCTACTCTACAACTCCGTTGCTGATCTCCTGCCTCAAATTGGTCTCGAGATTGGAGACGAGTTGCTGTAGAGACGATCGGTCAAGTTGTGCTTGGGACTGAACCTCATTTCGCATCCGGTTCATCGTGTCTCTCACAATGTCACTTTCACGCCGACAGGTTAGCAATGCCCCGTAGAAGGACCTTCAACCCTTAGGTCCTTCTCAGAAAAGGCCAACTTACATCTGCAGTAGTTGAAGCATGATGCCCATTGCCGCAGTGTGTCCGTGAAGGCGGGCCCTCAGTTCATCCACATCATGTGCCTTGTAAACGGCCCATTTAACCTTGTAAAATGCATCTTTCCACCACCTTCCCGTGCCTTCTTGGCTGAGGCACTGCATGTAGACGTCGCCTTTTTGAAGGAAATTGCTGATATCCGTTTGGCAATGAGACCCTGCTTGCTGAACCATCCAGAGCCTCGGTTCCAACTCAGCCGGCACCTGGAGGTCCCTGACTGCAGTCATGGCTTCCTTGAGGGAATGAAGCTCTTGGACTAAGCCCTGAAACTTGACGGTTGATCCACGGCCATCGCTTAGTGCGACAGCAAGGTCATGCACAAGTTCAATCACGGCTAGAAAGTCCCCGACCGAAAAGCCAAAAGACATGATGATTAGCGGAGAGGTTGCGCTCTTTGATAGTATGCGAATGTGATGGCGAGTAGACGTTGAAAAGGAAGAAAGAATCTGTCTGATCGAAGACGCCCAACTGCGTCAACCCCGCGCGAACTTAACGAAAGGCGGAGAGCAGGCTGCAGAGTCTGTGAAACCTCATCATGAGCTGGGACTGGCCAGATGGACGCCACTGCTACCATCCAAATGATCCAATGGACACGGAAGGGCAGACTCCTCGCTGCAGCCCACAGAAGAACGCCTATGCACCTTTTTTGTCTGCCTGAGGAATAAAGCGGAAGAGAACGGAAGCCTTTTGTGAGAAAGGTTGCGTTTACGAAGTACGGAACGCGCAACCATGGACCTCGAGAGCCCCTTTTCTGCTCGAGTGCTTGTCAACAATGCCATTTATTGCCCCATTCAGAAGCGTCACATACTCCGACTGCTTTTGAACAAGACGTAACCTTGCATTCTCAACCGGCGCCATAAGATCGTCCCTCATGTTCGCCGCAAACTGAAAGGTGAGAAATAGGTATGCCGCAGTACGGTGTTGCAAGTAGGGTAGGATGCGGCGCATTCCACAGCGTACAGCTTGCAGCCCAACTCCAGTCTCGATGGCCATTGCTGAGCGTGATTGGCCCTGGACGCAGTGCTGTCGAAGGGGCTTAAGGGCTAGTGCATTATGCACGCTGCACGCTGCGTGCTGCAGAGTGACACCGCCCATTTTGAGAAACCTGTGTGTGGCGAAGTCTTCAAATTGGCCCTCGCTTGGCCCTCTTTGAAACGAACATTCGATGATGAGTCTTGAAATTATATAATGCAGACGAGTGTAGAAAGAACACAGGCTGTGTTTCACTTCCGGGCCTTGTTACCAAAAGTTCCTTGAGGAGCAACTCGGCTTTCACTTGCCAGTTGTCGATCACAGTCTCAGGTGTTTTAGTCACCCGCATGTATACCTAGCTCAGGGTCCGCCATGTGTGATATCAGGCTGGTGGCTAGCATGACTGAATTTGTTGACTCGGTAGGTAGCTAGGTAGGTAGCTCGGTAATAGCATATGAGCTGACCAGGATCATTCAACACACTCCATCACCTAGAGGTAGACAGTCCCCCTACCGACAGACCTAGGGCCAGGGATAGCCCTTTGTCCAACTTAGCAAGCACCGGTGGCTCATCATAGCATTACCAGAGGCCCAGGGCTAGTCACGTCTTTGTTCGTCACCTTGCTAGTGCGACGCACGGCCAGCCGACTTGCTTGCTGCCACTGCCAGTATCGCTACCGCCGGGCCTGCTGTGGGTACCGTACCTCGTCGCCGCATCCTCTTCTTTTGCAGTCGTCACACGGGTCAGTGTAGCGCATGTAGCCAACCTCCCAGAGCTTGCATTCTCGGTGTCCCTTGCAGCGCGCCCCGAAAAGGACCAAGGGGCCGTAGTGGTCGCAAGTGTAAATTATCTGCGCCTAGGTGCACATTACGGCCGTGTGGACTTTAGACTCAAGTATTAGCAACCCCTGACCCGGCCATCCTTGGAATGATAAAAGCGTCACTTGCTGGTTACGGTCATAAGGGCTGTTGATTGGAATCCAAGGTATCCTAGGAAAGGAAGAGCTGGAGAAGAAACGCCGCGAAATGACGAATGGTGAAGCTTTGGCGGGAGTGAAGCGGGTAACAGAATGGTGTTGGTGATGTGAACCCGTTTTAGACTCGAAGTAGCCGGGCTCTTCCTCGCTTTTTATGCTTGTTGTACCCTCCGTCGAACCCTATTGTTGATTTCAACGGAGTCATCTTTCTTGACCTATAGCGGTCCTGTGATACGAACTGCGCTTGCATCATTGGCGTACTCGGCTGTTTTTCTCGAACATTCTAACGCCTAAGAACGCCTCCTGATGCCAATCGCTAGCATTGGGTCGTTGTCGTTTCCGTTAACCAATCCGCGTTTCGGGTTTACCTTGAATGTATCTCATATCAGGCCCTGCTTTTCACGGCTTCTTCCTGTAACTGAGATACTGGTGGTAGTAATCTTGCTAGGTACTATACCAACTCTCACGCCCCATGACCGCTTCTGGGTTTTTGGCCTTCCCCCCTTTTGTTCTCCACGACTGAATGACTACTCGAAAAGGCTATGTCACCCACACTAGATACAAAGGATTTACAAAAAGAGGTCAGCATGGACCTGGGAAAGCGGCCGTGGCATGTGTGCGGCTCAAATCTGGTCCTGGGGCGAATCGTCGTTGAAGAGCCTGCTGCACGTCAAGCTCAACCCTCAAGGTGACAATGGTGGATTTTGTGGGCTATCGCGCGTGCTGCGCTGTCTTGTTATCTATTGAGCTGTAATAATACCCTTGGCGGATCTGCAGCTTTGTGCCGAATAGGAGATGGCGTCGTCAGGAGGGGTGCCTTTAGCATTTTAATTCGCCTTCGGACTAAGACTCGGGACCGTCCTGTTTCACAACACGCGGAGGGATCCGGGAGTGACTTTTTCCCGGTTTCTTGCGAGGCAACTAGTATCCTACTTTATGATTAGGCCTAGACCTCGGCCTATTCGATCAGTAAGCTTTGAGGTATAGTACGAACTCGACTTTGCTCATCTTAGGCTGTCATCTAGTGCTGAATGAGGCTCCGAGGAGCCGGATGTGGGTTGGACTTCACTTGTAGGTGGGTGGGCCCGAGTTAAAACCCTTTCGGCTTAAAAGAGCTCCTCACTGTAATCGGGCACAGCCCGAGTTAGGCCCTGACGCATGTAAGCCTTGTTTTCTTGCTCGCCAAACGACAGCCTTGGAGCGGAAATTACGCAACGAAGAGGAAGAAAACAGGTAGGCAAGGTCATGGAGCCCAATCACACGATGTGGAACTTCATCGGCACACGCGGCCCAGTGAGAAAATCATGTGTGAACTACCTCTGAGTGCAATCTTAGCCTCCGCCCCCCCTAGGGAACTACTTATCTAGCTCTTACGGTATCTAAGAGACTTCTGGACACGACTCGTCTCACTCACGGCCCCTTTGAGATGTATCACCCGGAGACGCTTGGGGAGAACGAAGAGGATGCCATGCAGCTCATACCACACAACAACATATGGGCTAAGAACGAGCAGACTCAAAATAGCCAATATTTGCCTAGCATGACGAGTCTCATTGACGAGAGATTCCTCGGTGAGTCCCGCTAGTCGGCTAATAGATCATATTTCCAGCTCGGCTAATAGCTGGAGAAGCGGAAGCAACACACTCCTCAGACAAGCCTCGGCAGGACCCGTTCTGGTTACTGGCGAGGCGTCCGGCTCGCTCGGTACCAAGTTTGTTCCCTTTCTCGACGCACCAAAGCCCAGCTACTACCCTAGGTAGCGAAGGCGAGTTCAGCTCAACCCTCGACAACCCTACGTGTTCCATGTTGGACGCGGAAATGGATATCATGCCGCTCTGGGAACCCCAGGATATGTCTATCAGCAGCCCAGATAACGGCCCTCGCAAACACCAACCCTGCTGTGCCCCATTCGCCCCCTCCGACCCGTTTCAAGGTATCCCAGGGGGACGCGGTGCTGTTGAACATTATGGATTGCCAGAGGACATCGGCTGATGAATGGATGGATCTGTTACAAAAGCAGGGAGGGGGTGATGGCTCGGGGACTTCGACTGATGCGGACGGCGAGGTATCGGAGTATGACGATGCCTCGGAGAGTGAGAGTGCCGATGATATGTGGAGGTCGGAGGACGAGGATGAAAACCCCATGGTTACGCACATGTTATCACGGCGTTCTGGCACCCCGGTGCGGCGGTGACGCTGCACTGGGGGCCCGGGATATACCAACAATAACAGAAGTGAACACGCTAGATTCCTTTAGACAAATATACACGGGCACTTTGAGCATTTCCTTAACCTCAGATGTCTCGCCCCCCTACTCGAGTAACCTTTGGGATCGAGATTTCAAACCCAACTGCAATACCGTTTCTAAGCGGGTCGCACATTGGGTTTCAGACGTCACACACCCGGGTTGAGTTGTAAGCGTCATAGGGTGGTTACGCCGCATCATGCAGGCATATATTGATTCGTCATGGTCAGCACATAAGTGACAAGCCCACCGGTGGCTGTAAGACCACGGTTCGTTCCCAAAGGAGTAATCGAGTCCATGTCACAAAACAGGGTTTTACAACAATGGCCAACACAATCTCCGATTCGAGCCATAAACCCAAAGTCTCACACCAACCCCCCCTTCACAGCTTTATCTCCCCACAAACATACTCCAACAACGGCGGGATCCAAACAGTAACCGCAACCACCTGCCCAAAACTCCAGTTTTTCGCATCCACCATATCCAGCCTAATCGCGGTCGACAGCACCCAGATCTGCATCCCGACCCCCGCCAAAAACATCACCGTCGTAAACCAAAACGCCGCCCGCTGCCACGGCAACAACGCCCTCTTCTCGGGGCTCGGACCGGGGCCCTTTTCCAACCTCACACGCCGCGCCCATATCCGGGCACCCACCGGCGGCAGCAGCAGCAGCACGACAAACACAAAGGTCGACCAGATCCAGATCAGCGGCGTCAGCACGCGCAGCGACGTGTGCGCGGCGATGCCCTCCGTAAACTCGCCCGAGTCCGTGTCCACGACGGGGCACACGGCCAGCCCGGAGTACTCGCCGCACTCGGCGACGGCCGAGATGTTGAGCCGGTAGCGCTTGTAGACGTCGCCGCGCGTCATGCCCGGGCGCGGGTCCAGGTGGGTGTAGAGGATCCAGTAGACGACGGAGGAGAGGAGGTGGACGACGGCGGTGAGCAGCGTGATGGCCGGGGAGGAGGCGCGGTAGTAGACGAGGAGGAGATAGCTGAAGATGACGGGCAGGATGCTGTTGGTGGCGAGGGGGGTCACCAGGAAGGTGGTGACGAAGTCGACGGTGGACATGTTGGCCACGAGGACGGCGATCATGAGCGTGCCGCCGAAGTAGCATTGGGATTTGTGGAATTCGAGGAGCAGGTCGATCCACGCGCGGAAGTGGCTGCCTATGTCGGGGTCGTTGGCCGGTCCGTCGGTTTTCTCGGGGGGCTTGTCGGACTTCTCGGAGGGTTTGTCGGGCTTCTTTTTTGCTGGTCTGTCGGGCCGGCCCTTCCTGAGATGATGCCGGGTGAAGAGGGCGAGCCCGGCCCAGAGAATGGCGACGAACCCGCATTGCATGACATAGGATGAGAAGACCTGGAGAGCTCATGTTAACATCTCCCTTTTCTTTGCTTCTGTTCTTTTCTTTCTTCTTTCCCTCTACCCGACGTAGCTGAACTTCCTCGAAGCATTAGTGTAAGTAACAGCTGGACTCACCCCAACTCCCACGATATCCGGATCAGCCCACGGCAACGCCCCCGTGCCGGCATTGCAGATGTTGTTGAGGCATCCGTTGATCCCCCAAATATTCGGAAGTGTGCTGTTGGTGATCAGCCTCACTGGCGAGCAGGCAGCGTTGTAGCAGTAGCGGTTGTTGCGCGCGCTGCCACAGGTAGACGACAGGCAGTCGGTCACGGCCAGGGTGATATCCTCCAGGCTGGTCTCGAACTCGCTCTCGGTCGGCCCAAGCCGTAGGTGCTTCTGTACCACCCGCTCAATGTGGGGTTCGAGTAGGCGTTGCGACGAGAATGAGGCGATGATGGGTAGATTGGCACAGGCCTTGTATCGCGCGAGAAGCAGGGAGCCGTTTCCCGCCTGGTTGTTCTGCTCGGCCGACGTGTAGAGCGTCTCAGCTAACCGACAACGGCTGTAGAGACGGCATATCTCGGGGGTAGAGAGGCAGGCGCTGTCCAACAGGCCGTTTGTTGGCGCAAAGATCCTCCTACACGCCGTGGAATTCTGCTCGTTGAGGTAGCAGCATTGGTCACGGGCCACGGTGTCGCTGAGTGCTCTATATTTACCGAGTCCATCGCAGGCAATCAAGTTCGACAATATGCCGGTGGTCATGTCCTTAGACGCCATACTGGGCAACGCAAATAATTAATAATTATAGGGGGAGAGGGTGTTCTTAGATGTGGACAGTGGATGGTTAAGGGGCTGGGTGATCGAACAGTTTAACAGGCAGTTTAATGAATAGGTGGTGTTTTCTGGGAATGGTTAGGGCTTTAGGACTTTAGGACTATATATTATATACGGCTTATGTCGGGGTGTCCGTCAAGTAGTCGGTGGCGAAGCTGCTTGGCCCAAGGCAGGGATCTTCACCTGACGCAACCTTGCAGCGCGCATCCTTCACCGGAAGGCCTCTGGGCCTACGATTTTGATTGTGTGACTCCCAGGGCCAGCACAAGGCTTACTCTGGCAAAAGTGAAGGATGTGCAAACAGTCATTGGTTTCAAACCCCGTCAAAGGATGCCAGTGAGAGGAAGGAGACGGAAGTTGACCAATCGATCGAATTCTGGACCACACTGTGGTTCAAGAATATCCAGGAAGTGGAAAATACATTTAACACTCGGTACCTACCGTGACTTTGGTTGTCCGCGGCGCGAGAATATATATAGGTATTTCTACGGCGCAACACTTTGCCAACCGTCCAGCAGGACTGGACATATAACATCTCACCTGCCCCGGCTTAGCATCCTCCAAACCCTGGTGCATGCGCTGCAAGTCCGCGACTTGGGAAGGTCTTTGCTCCAGTCACGTCTAGACTTGAGCCGTCTTTTTTGGTTGTTCGCGCGATGAGCCCCTGATCGAGACAAGCAGCCATGTGGCGTTTTCGCTAGACCAGCGATTCTCGTCGATGGTGTTGGGGGTGGCGGGTCCCTCGAAGCGCGCTGTAGCGGCGGCGGTGGAGGTGGATGGCTGGCTTGTGGATTACACGGTGAAGTGTCGGGCGGCGGCGAATCGTCCTTATGTACCTTACCTAGGTACCTAGGTAGACTGACAAGCGAGCCACGGGAATCCTCACCCAACTCTCAGACATTATCTGCCGTGACCCGTCCATGAAGACGCTCATACTCTTCTAGCGCCTCCGTCTCGTTCTGGGCGACATCCGTGTAACGCTCCCATGTCTCCCTACCACTTTTCCACTTCATCCGCACTTCTAGGATACCGTCTTGCGCCGTTCTATGGCCACAAATCCCCTCCGCCTCCCATTCCTCCCCGTCGTCCCACGCCTCATCGGGATTCATCACCGCTGCCTCATATTCCTCCAAGCTGCCCTCGAAGCGGATCCCGTTAATATAGAGGGACGGCTTCGAGCTGTCGTTGAAGTAGGGCCGGGGGCCCCAGTCATCCTCCCGCATTTCCGCGTATCTCTGGGCAACCCGCGCGTCCAGCGCCGGGTTTCCACTGATCCGATACCCGTCTCCCGATTCATGGATAACAACGGCATGGATTGGCCGTGCCAGGCTCTCGTCTACCTGCCGACGGACCTCGGGCTTGCAGTCGTGGAGAAAGAGGTCGAAGCAGACCAGGAGGCGGTTGCGGTCAAGCAGGACGCCGTGGAGCTGCACGTCGGCCGTGTAGCTGGTAACACTGTCGGTTGATGTGGCGCCTCCGTCTGTAGCTATGGCGGGTGAAGGCACTGGAGGGGGTCCGAGTTGTGCGGGGATGGCGCGGGCAAGCTCCTCGGTCGATTGGCGGGCGAAGGCGATCGCGTCCGACGAGTGTCGGGACGGGAGCGGGTACCGCATGCTGAGGAGACATCGGATCGTCCCGTCTGCCGTCAGGGCAGCGGAGCTTTCGGGGGCGACTGTGAGTTGCATGTTTTTGGCTCTCGGTTCTGTAGTTGTGAGCAGTGAGGTGTTGCCGTGTTGGTGCCAAATAATACCTTACCTCCCTACCTCAGGGAGGTGCCCAGGAGATCGTCAAGCATTCTAATTTTAAACCGCCTTGGCCCCCACATTGCCACGCGTGTCCCAAGCAGTGTGGGTAATACCGAGAAATATCGCGAATTCGCGTCCACCGTCCACCGTCTGCGGACTTACATGGCCTTCGCTGAAGTTGTAGGAAAGGTACCGGGTCACGGGGCGTTGGGGTAACCCGCAGTCCTCCCTAACTAGGTATGGAAGAGATACCACTCCTGGGATTCCCGCCGCTCGGGCTTCCCGATTCTAACTAAGTTGGGGGCCGTTGGGGGCCGTAAATTCAGTTGCTCAGGTCTTGGTTTTGGGGGCGAGAAGCGCAGCACGGCCGAAACACTGGTGGGCCTTCAAAGCCTCTAATAATTTTAGATCAAGCAAGGATAATTTGCCCCTCTCTAGCCGGTTGGTTGGGGCTGCTGTCGATGTATCATGTGTTTAGCGGCGGCACAAGTTGAAGACTGAGGCACTTGGCCTCCGCGGTCTGCGATGGGCGGGCCAACCAGCCACTCAGATCAACTAGCATTCGCCGACAGGCCCCGTGGGCATTGTCTGCAACACCATAACCGAGTGTGGCCATGCTCGTGCCGCCGGAAGTATGTTCTATGGCGGGCTCTTCTCGTTTCAGTCAAGGGCGCAATCTGCCGACCTGCTCCAAATGCTTGAAAGTTGGCTCTATCGTCACAGCCTCAAGGGCCAGAGGAAAGGACAGGACAATGGCCGAGAGCGGCGCGATTGAAACGAAGCTAAACGCATAGCCGAGGGAAAGGGGGCAGGTCATGGCCCAGACGGCGGCCGTTGGCCTACGACGACATGAGTATTTACCTATATAAGGATCTCTTTCCGTCCAGCCTTTGACCTCTTGCTTGAATATCTAGACTCTATCACCCCATCGCCTACTCCCCTACTCCCTTCACTCAGCCGCCAGGATTACAAACGACCAAACACAAACCCCCTTTGAACCACCCCATTCCTCACTCTCTCAGACTTCTCTGGAAACCCCAACGCCATGTGCTTCCAGAGGATTGTAAGATGCCGGAGATGCCGCCAGGTCGTGGACGACAGAGTCGTCCGTTGTATCCCGTCTCGGCGGCGTGGAGGCAAACAACACAGACCTGGACAGGTTGGCTGGGAACTGCCGCGGCACCAGGAGACAAACCAGAGCTGCAATGACTGCCAGAACGAATCCGGCTATGCGAGCTAAGTTGAACACCTAGCACAGAGGGTGGTAAGTGTTACGCTATGACGAATTCACATCTGCCGTGGCTTCAAGACCACCTCCAATACTTTGCTAAGATATTCTAAGCTAACAACTGCCATATCAGAAGGTGTGGACGCCTTGGGTACCTCGGGTTTCGCTAGGATTGCGTCAGATCAGGCATGCTTACCTAGGGATATGTTACAAGCCGTGGGGGAAGAGTCGGATGACAGCTGCTGGACAGCGTTACACTGATTGCTGCTGGGCAGTGTTACACTCATTTGGTTAGAAATACACATGTTGGGGACTTTTCGGAATGCTTTGTGACTTTCTTGAACTATGAACAAAACAGCCTCCCTCTGGGCCAGTTCTACCAATGCAATAGCCTATTAACGGCCTGTTGACTCTGTCCAAGGTTACGCGTTTCGTCCCCTTAGTCAGGCAGCTCAACCTCCCCGCTCATGCCCCAACCGTGGACAGACTCGTTGGAGCCAACCAACCCACCGGTGACCTCGACAACAAACCCCGAATTCCCCGTCCCGTCAGGGCCCGGCCTACTAGTAGGCTTCGCCCACCAAGCCTGGTGGTGGCGGAGATCAAACCACCATCTCTCCCTCTCAGGCCCCGCAGAACGAAAGTCAAGCCGGTATCCGACATTCTTATCCCGGAACTTGGCGGGCAGACCGGCACCCTCGTGCAGCTTCTCCGTCCGCACAGCGTCGGCGGTAGCGACCGCGTCGCGGCGGTCGGGCGGCAGGGACCGCAGGGCGTAGGACACCAGCTTGCCGTCGCGGTACAGCGCCGCGTTCACCGTCGTCTGGTAGTACTTGTGCGCCTTGCTCACGAGCCGCATCATCGCCATCACGTACGGCCCGGCCTTGGCCCGCACGAACAGCGCGTCGGTTGCCTCCTTGCCCCACACCATCGGCAGCCATGACCGGTCCATGCCGCCGAACGCCCGCTGTTTCGGGCCGAGGAGCATCCGCTTTTCTGTTTTCTTGTCCGGGTTTGTGGGGTCGTCGATGTGGAAGGTCAGGTCAACCGTGGCATCGGCCATGGCGATGGGGCGCATCCAGTACGCTCCCGGGGCGACCTCGGCCTCCCGGTCCGTTTTGGGCAGGGTGGCATACCCCAACGACCGTTGTGTCAGGTTTCCGGTGATCCTGCCGGGGGCGTCGAAGGTCACGGTGGTGGTCGACAGGTCGGTCGCGACGTCGAAGGTGGCGGAGGTGCGGCAATTGTCGTCCTGAGACTCTTCCGTGCGCCAGGCGCCGGTTATGCGGCCATGGGCAACATCGGGGCCTTCTGAGGTGACTACTGACACTGGCACCACCAGGTGCTGGGACCACACGGTGCCATCGGCCCAGGCGGCATTGATGGCGGCCCTGAAGCTGGCCGGGGCTTGTGAGCCGTCGCGGAAGAAGGAGACGGTGAAGGCGGCGCTGCCATCTTCTGCCATGGCATCAAACAGCCATGTTTCAACGGCGGTTGGGCTCAGCTTCTCGGGCCATTTGGGGAATAGGTTCGCGCTGTCAGGGAGAACAGCTGTTCCCGGGATTGGTGTGTCGGCGAGAAACTGATCCCCCTGGAGGAGCGACGTGAATGGAGCTGCCGCCATGGTTTCGTGGGGGACGACGGCCCCGTGCACACGGGCTAGGGAAGGGTTATATTGGAGGAAGCGGAGGGGCACTACAAGGGCGAGATTTGTACCCGTGAGCGAGGGTCCCAGAAACCACCCTCTCGTTGCCTGGCTAGAAATAGGAGAGCTTCAAGGATTCCTAATGTAGGTACTCACCTCACCCTGTCCGGCCTCCGAACCCCAAGGTGCCCACTTCGATCCATAGAGGCGGAGTTAGACTTCCTCGCCGGGATACTTCGGGAGACGACAACTAAGTGGTGACGTACGCAAATTAAAGTCGTATTGGAGCGCATATTCTAAAGCCACGGCCGCTACACCGAAAAGCACCGAAGGTAAACGTGAAGTCTGGAGCTTCCACATCGGGAATACACCGCGGTTCACCGAACACCCATCCAGTCAACGTAACCTTCCTCGGTACAATCCGGCCTCGGATATAGCCAAGCCTCTTACGCGTCTCCGGCGCGGGCAAACCCGAGGAGCTCCGCGCGACGGCCGGGCCTTCTGGTGTTGTAAGTTGTGGTCCATCGTATTCTTTCGTGTTCACGGCTCGGTTGCCGATGTAGTCCGGTAACTCCGGTTTATCCCAGCGGCGCAGCTGACAGCCGGGATTCCAATCGGCGTGCTCTTGAGGATAATGCCCGGATGGTATGGTCGAGTTCTGCCGGAGGTAACGGTCGTGGGCGCTTCCTGTACAAGTACCTATGTATTGTTTAGTATTAGCTAACTCCGTCAAGTTACTGGGGAGGTACTCAACTTGCTGTCTCAGCAAGGAAATCAGGGCCCTTAACGCGACGGATATTTTGTTGAATATGCTGTTTCATACCGTGTAACCACTTTCTTCGTGTTGCAATAGCATTATTATGGGTATCAGTGGTTGTTCCCACCCAGGTAGGTACCTAGGTTGGAACTCTCACACGAGTTAGAGTTACGTTCAGTAATATATCTCATTAGCAGATAGGGTTTCCTGTATTCATGTACCCATTAGAATATCATCAGGACAATGATTTAGAGTGCTTGTTTTCGTTGTGTGTACGATTTGGGTGGTTCGGGGATATCATCAGATAGGTATTATCAACACTTGAGCTTCACGTAGGTGCGGTGGAGTTTCACTAGGATTCCAAGGGGGCTTTCGTAGAGGAGATGTTCTAAAGTGCTTCACTACTGACGCCGAAAAGGAATGAAACTTCCGCCTTATTTAACAAAATATTAGCCTCCCGAATCACAACTGGTGCTTAGTTCAGCAACCGCGTTCTATCGATCTTGGCCACTGCAGATGCGCAATCTACGGCGGCCATGGCGAGTAGATTCGAGTCCTGCTGGCAGAGCATAAAACGGACGTTGAGCGTGTTAATAGCCCACTCGTGCAGCTCCCGGTTGTTGTAGATGCCCGCCAGACCCATAGTCTTCCCGCTGTGTCGGCACGCGGCGCTTACTTTCTCCAGCGCCGTCCGGAATGCCCTCGTCTCGAACCGGCCGGGCATGCCCATGTCAGTGGACAGGTCGAGGCAGCCGACCAGGAGCACGTCGACGCCCTCGACGGCTGCGATGGCCTCGATGTTGTCGATGCTGGAGGCGGCCTCGATCATAACGATGACGGACGAGGCGGCTGCGTTGCAGACCTCGACGATGCGGTTGATGGCCGTCACGCGCATTCCCAGGGCGGGCTGCTGTCCCCACATAGAGCGCACCCCCAGCGGGGGGAACTTGCACGTCTGAACAGCGGCGCGCGCGTCGGCCGCTGTGTGGACGTGCGGGAACACGATGCCCATTGCGCCGCCGTCGAGTGCTTGCTGCACAAACCCGATGCCGCACTGGTATGGTACCCGTACGAGCGGCGTCAGACCGCTGAGGAGCCCTGCGCACGCGATGGCGCTGGCGTCGGCGAGTGACAACGTAGAGTGTTCGAGGTCGATGAATAGCGCTTCGAAGCCGGCGTTCGCCGCCAGCTGCACCACAAGCGGGTTGGCAACCATCCGGACACCCATGGCCTGTAACTGCGCTTAGCTCTCTTCTTGAGTAATACCGTGAACATGTTTCATGTGTCCTTCCCCCACCCATTACTTGTGTTCAGGCGGGGTCAACTCGGAAACGAAAGGAGAGCCATAAACACACCTTGCAGAGGCGCCCAGCGGAAGCTTTGGTCAAGACATTGTTGAAGGATGCCATCTTGCCAGAGAGTGTGGAAATCGGAATGCGTGAGGTGGATCAGACGAGGTTCGGAGCAGGCCAGGTTCAGAGTAGAGCAGGAACACGTACACCGAAACTTAGCAGTTTGAACGGACCACCGGAGCATATATACTACGTAAGCAAGCACGACATGAACACTCGATTGGTGAGGTCTCCAGTGTCCCCTTCTTCATTTCACCGGGCAAAGGGAGTGTGCCTCCTGGACGGGGCAACGGAACCGCCCCTCTTACCTTTGGCATTCTGCCGCCGCGTTTAGGTGCGGCCTACTTGCACCGAATTACTCCGTATGGGCCCCGGAGATGGGAGGTCAGTTACCATGGCGAGGTCGCTATTAGAGTACGAGGAGAGGGCTCAGCTTGGTTCTCAGCCGCGGGTCCGTTGGTTGGGAATCTTGGGATGGGAATGATACAAGTCATTGCTCGGTATGCTCTAATACGTTGCACAGCCCAAAGTAGGTACCACACCATTTGCTATCAATACTCTTTGCTAGAACCAGTAGAAATAAACCCCTGAATCCTCCTGGCAATTTATCGCGTGCTCTTCAATTTAAACCCCCCTGTCGACAGGCCGAACCCTCCTCACAGCAAGTAAACGAGCTTCTGCCCAGAGACCTTCTTAGCCCGAATGTCATCCAGCCCACCCAGGGCACCGGCCAGACCCGTCTCCCGCACGAGCTGCGGGTGGGTGCGGAGCAGATCCTCGTTCAGGAGACGCTGCAGGGTGCGGGTCCAGGCCTCGCAGAAGACCCTGGCCTCGGGGTTGCCCTTCCTGCCGTGGGGCTCGGGCCAGGCGATGTCCTCGCCGACCAGCTCCGGGCCGAGCACCCAGTCGGGCTTGACGATGGCGCGGGACGCGGCGACGGCCTCGCTGAAGGGGTCGAGCGAGACGTAGCGGCCGCCGGAGCGGCCCAGCGCCGCGTAGCATAAGCGCGTCGTCTCGGGCGTGGTGATGCAGTCCAGCGCGAACCGCAGCCCGTTGCGCGTGCGCTCGCGGATGTCGGCCGCGCACGTCGGCGAGCTGTGGTCGAACACCTCGTCTGCCCCGTACTCCCGCGCCAGGTCGAAGTTGCGCGCCGAGCAGGTGGCGATGACGTGGTAGCCCGCCAGCTTGAGCAGCTGCACGGCTGTAGTGCCTGTTGAGCTGGACCCGCCGCTGACCAGTACCGTGGCTGGCTTGGTGCCGCTGCGCAGGGCCGTCGCCTTGACCCCCGGGACTTCCGGTGGCGGCACGAGGGTGTTGAGTGGCTCGAGCTGGGCCCCTGCGGGCAGGCCCATGGTGTGGAAGAGGGCCCATCCGGAGGTGTACCAGGCGTTGCCCATGCCGGCGCCCTGGGCGAAGCTCCAGTCGTCGCGAACCTTCAACACGACGTGGGCGGGCGCGACGGTGTGCTCAGAGAAGGCGCCGACTTGGGGCCGCAAGGGGTTCATACCCATGATGGCGGCGCTCACGCGGTCGCCCTCCTTGAGGCCCCATTCAGACGTGGCGACGGGTCCAGCGGACGTTACGACGCCTGAGAACTCGCACCCGAGGACGGCTCCTGGGGTGTGGAAATCACCGAGCATCTTGGTATCTACCGGGTTGAGCGCTATGGCCTTGACGGCCACCGCGACCTGGTCATCATCGAGCCGCGGTGGGATCGGTGCTGCGGTGGATAGGATAATGTCGTCGTTGTTGCCGCCAACGAGGGCTGATTGCGTTGTGGTGACGGCCATCTTGGGTCTGCTCTCGGGCTCTGTATGGTTCTGTATGTGGCTATTCCTCTGCTTCTCTCCTCAACACTTTCTCTAGGTAGTCTCTTCCTGTTCCCACAATCTTTGTATTCTTATTCTAGTTCTTACCGGTGACCGGTACTTCAAGCCACCAACGTCTCTGGAGTATCTCGGATTTGGGTTTCACGATTGAGTCTGGAACCGTTGTATGTCCGTCTCAAGGTCAAGTTGCACCGATGGTGGGCTGGCCGAAAATATCCGAACTTGGCCGTTCCGGCTTCGCGTTTGAGGGAGCTGCAGGTTTCACTTCGCTCTCCGTCCTGTCCGTACTACTGGCCAGGAACGGGGAAACGCGGAAGCAAAGAAGGAAGGTAGTAAGGAAAAATGGCAGTGCCCATATTGCACCGGTGACCGATGGAATTATGTGAGACGCCCCGGGCTAAAGAGGAGAGGAGGCCGAGGGCTTGCTGAGAGGTTTACAACACGTTTTACACGGGGGATACCAGTGAAGTTATAGGCACTCAGATAAGTATTAATGGTGAGTAAATTGTTGAATATTACTCCATGCCGTGCCGCCCACGAGACTATAAAGCTCAGAGCTAGGCTAACAGCGCTAAGTACCTTAAGCTCCCTGAGCTTTGTCTACATGTACTCTGTCTGCTGAGTGCTCTGAAACATGAGTCACATGGACGGACAACTGCCAGGCCCCTGCCTACGTTGTATAGCATTGAAGGAGCCCGCGGTAGAACCTCCTTACCCCCCATGTGTTGCAATCCTCAAGTACGACGTAGCAAACCATTTGAATTGCGGATATCACTGCACTCTTGCCGCCGCGCGGCTTGTTGTTGCTTCTCCACCAGAACCGGCCAATGTGCGTATTCGTATCACAAAGCAGGAGAAGTGATCGACATGAAGAATATGCAGGATTCGCTGTCTCCTTTGATGAACACACGTAAACCTTCTCGCTTGTTTCGATGTCTCACTCGTCTATCCAACGGCCAAACACTGTCACATCGCATTGCAACGGTCGACGGACATGATATGCGTTGATGAAATCCCGCTCCGCCCCCGTGCCCTACCGATCGATCCATCATCCACCGTATAACTATTTCCGCGCATCCCGTTATAGGCCCATCTTCTCCCGCAACAGTTCCTTCACCGACCGCACTTGTTCGCCCAAGTTCCCCAGCGGATCCTGGAGTTTGACCGGTTCCAACCCCGAGCCCTGCGTAAGAATCGACAACACCATCTCACGTGCGACCTCGCCCCCTTGCCCCAACTGCTCCTCGACACTGTGGAGTGCAGCCAGCAACATGCCAAGCGCGGCATGGATCCGGCTCACATCGGGCATGGCGCCGCCACTCGGGAGCTCGCCGAGCTGCAGCGTCGGGCTGGCGGCCGGTGTCGGTCCGCCGGGGTTGCCGGACGGGATCCGGTTGAGATGCGCGTGGAAGTGCCCGAGCACGAGACCATACAGACGGACCAGGAACACGTACCCGCCCAGCACGAGCAGCACGGTGGCCGTGCTATTGCTGGCACTGCCGCCGCCGTCGCCCCGCCCGGGCTCGTACAAGGAGGCACCACCAGCGCTAGCGCCGGCCGCGGCCATCAGCTGAAGGTTGGCCGCGTCCGGGCCGTAGGTCGCCGCCAGCCCGAGGACCTGCCCAGCGAGGGCGCCGAACTCCTGTGACAGGCGCAGCACCGCGCCGATGGGATAGTGGTCGAAGCTCTGCGCGCTGTCTTGCAGCCACGCCCCGTTCTCGAGCGTTTCCAGCCGCTGCTGCATCTCGGCGATCAGCGCGGGGAGACGTCGCCCTGCGAAGGACGCTGTGGCCATGCTGATGTCGCCCATGGCTACGGTGCCGTCGCCTAGCGATCGGTGCGCCGTTGGAGAGCCGGTGGATGTGGATGGTGGTGCCGTGGCCAGGAGCTCCGGGTCCAAACAGTATAAATCGTTCTGCCCGCCGAAGTCGTGATCCAGCCAGTCCCAGTCCATCATGCCGCCGCCGGTTGTGGCATGGTGGAATGGTGGTGGAGGACTCTCCCCTGACTGGTGGAGGTGGTGGTATGGATATGTGGGCGGTGCTTCGGGCTCGCACTCGGGTAAGGTTTCGAGTGGCGCTTCCATTCCGGAAGAAGCGAGTGAAGGAGGCGGTGTAGTTCCTCCAAGAGCTTGGTCACTGGTGGATGAGGTTGTGGAGAGGGGTGGAGTGAGGACTGTTGGCTCTGGGTTGGTGCGCGGCGCCATGGATCGCTTCGACGACGAGTCTCCTTGCTTCTTGTTGTCGCTCGGTCGGCTTGCTCGCCGTCGTCGTCCAAAGGCGCATGGCACCTTGGCCCGTATGCAGCGCTCGCACACCATGCGGCCGTCGGACTCCATCGACTGGACGGTGCATTTCAACTTCTGGAGTCGGCAACGATCGCATGACGACCGTATCGACTGGAGGGGGCTGCTCGCCGGGGGGTGGGATTCGGTTTGGAACATTGTGGGCATAGTGATGGACTGACGGATGGTTGAAAGGACGTTGTTACCTGTGCAGGTGAGTGCGGACGGTGTTTCGGTATATGGCGACATTGTTATCTCTCCTCTCAGTTGCTTTACATCTCGAGTTTCTACACACCCACCGTGCAGCTCTGCGCAGGGCGTCGCGCGACGTTGCATCCAATGCCGATCTCTTTGGTTCTCCTGAAATGCCCTCATGCCGTGCATATCAAGCGAAGCACGCCTCCGTCTCGTGGCGTCGAGGTGGGTGGCACGGGTGCACCGTCGGGTCAACTGTCAACTCAGCTTATCCTGCGTCAGAAAAGCATACGCTCCCTCCGCATTACACCTCTGTCACCTCCCCGCACCACCACACGGCCTTCCTTGGTTGCCGCGGCGGCACACCATATCCACTCGACCAGCCACACAGACGGGCCGATGGGATGGGACGGAAATGCCGGCGGGAAGTGCCCCCTCGACGCCTCTTGGCTTCGCGACGAAGGGGGCCGCTAAACGGCTCTTATGCTGTGCACCACACCAGTCACAAGTGTCACAGAAGCTAAGGTACTCAGCCCTACGAGAAACAAACCATGGCTGATCGGGGTTAACGACCACGCTCATCAGCACGACAACCGCGCCAAACAAAGACGTATTTTGGACAGGGCACCAAGGGGATGGAAGAGCGCCGGGTAAAGGCGGGGCGGAAACATGATCATCATTGTTGGAAGCTTCTCCAGGTCCCCGATGCATCCCCAACACAACGTGGCGAGATGGGACCCCCACCTTCTGTGGCCTTCTCTGGAAGACGCTCCTCTGGACCGACCACACACGCCCGGGGAAGAACCCCCTGAAGGTTGTGTTTGCCGGGCTCCTCCGTTGTGGATCCCCGGGCTTATCGTGGTCCAAGAACGCCCCCGGGATACAACCCTGGCCCGGCCAGCATGGGTGCATGGTTAGCTCGAGGCTGGGCCCCTTTCACTGGACATCAAGATCGCGTTCGACAGCAAGACAGGCCAGCCTACATACAACCGGCCAGTTCCGTCGCAGTGGCGTCAACCATCCGCCCTCCATCTTGCGGCTAGGACCCTGCTTTGCTTCCTTCTCCAAGCGTACACCGAGCCCCAAAACAGTGCGACTTGTCCTGTCGATAATGAAAGGGGGAAGTTGGGGTCCAATCGTTTCTGCTGTCAAGAAAGGCGTGCTGCTGAGAAGTCCCCCATGTCGGCCTGGGTTTACTGAGCCACCAGGGCGAATCGCCGGCCACTTTGTCGACGCACGTGGTTTCCGCCGTCGTCCCCAACGCCTGATGAGATCTCAGATTCAAACCCCAGAGAGACCCCGGACGATCAAGCCACGCTAGTGCGTTGGCGAGCAACCTCGGACTGAAACTTGACAGCCAACCGAGACCTGTCCCGCTTTTAGTTCCGTTCCCCTGTCCCTCAAGACCGGGGGCTTTCCGCAGACGGGCTAAATAGGGACAGCGGAAACGAAAACAAGCCCACAAGCAGCTCTGCTGCCTGCCGTGTCACTCCAGCGGGTTGTTCACATCATCGTCACCCTTGTTGACTGGCCAGGCAGGTTGCTTCACGGACGGACGGGCGGAGGGTCGCTGTCTCATCCGCCTCCTCGTCGGGGGCCACGCTGCAAAGTTGCCGTAGGTTCATGGTTCGAGTCTCGACGCAGGCGCGGGCTGTTCGGCTCATGGCCCCCCTCCTTCTTGCCTAGCGGGCGGTTGCGCAACATTCCGCGCTGGCCCTTTCTTTTCCGCCACAGTGTCAGCAAGAAGGGGCATGTTAATGGAGTGAGTTACTAAGTATAGTTAAGCCAAGCACATCGTGTCTGCCGAAACGTTCGAAACGAAGACATGTTTCAAGAAACTCTTGTTATTGGCGGGTAATCGTGCCCTGATACCCAGAATCAAGGTCTCATCACTGCACACCTTGCTGATCTGCTAGATTATTAGTGCGGATCTACCGGAAGGCGTGGCTGCCAGGTGCTTACAAGCCCGGTCAATATTAAGGTTATTCTACGAAGTACGCCGCTCGATCGTATCTCGCGAGGTGGCCCCCTATCTGGCTTACGCTTGGCGTGCAGTCTGGAGGTATGGAAGCCCAAATCGCCAAAGATGAAAGCACGTAACTCTTCCACTGCTTCACGAGACCCTGGAAACTTACCTGGTACCTTAGTTACAGGCATAAACACTGCCGCCTTCGCATTCCTCACCTAGTTTGGGCCAGCAATGGCCGGACCACAACACATAAACAACGGTATGGTTTGTAATTTGTCCCCGGACAAGTGGTGCCCATTCATACGCTATATTGTCCGCTTTTTGTTGGGCAATCATAACAGACTGTGTATGCTGTGGAAATCCTCGGGGACAGATTAGAAAAGGGATGGTGTGGGTGTAATTGTGTGGTTGCACTCGTACCACCGTAATCATGTGGCAAACCGCCAGTCTACCTGAACCACCCCTACCCCTTAGCCGAGCCGCACCCCGACTTGATCATCCTATGCTACATAAAGGCCACTTCCTCCGTCGATTGCCCCGCCGAATGGACCGTCCGAAGATTATCTCCGCTCACTCATCCGTCACCGACGGCTCGAATCTCGGCGATGGAACCGTCCTCGGCGCTAAACCAGCCATTCTCCTCGGCCAACGAAGACGCCACCGACTCGCCAACGCCGCCGACACAACGCGGGGCGGCAGGTCTGCCGCAGTCGCAGCCCCGAGACCGCCGGCGTGAGAAACCTCAGTTGTCGTGCAACTACTGCAAACGTCGCAAGTACGCACGTCCGAAACCTCCCCACACCGGTCCCGTTCTGATGGCCCTTTCAACAAAGGCCGCCCTCTTGAACCGGCAAAAGCGCCGCCGTGACCGTCCCCGGTCCCTCCAGAGTGTCCGGGAGGTGGTTCTGGCTTCTAACTTGACCCTCGTAGGATACGATGTGATCGGCGGCTTCCCTGCACGGTGTGCGTGACCAAGGGTCTCGAGCTATCCTGCTCATACACAACTCGCCCGCAACAAACCAGTCCCGTAACCGTAACCGTGAGCGAACGTCTCCAGCAGCTCGAGGGTATGGTGCTTTCCTTGATGCGGCAACAGCCGCAGCAACAGCAACCGCCCCCAGCGGAGGGAGCTGATACCTGGCAGACACCCGCCGTGTCTTCGGCCTCTCCCGTCGTGCCATCCACTGGTTTGGGCCCATCGAACGACCGGGAGAGCGCTTCCAACTACCCTGAACCCGTTGAACATGGGATGCTGCGGGAGCACTCCCACGGCGCGAACTATAGCAGCAGCGTTCACTGGGCGGCCGTGCTAGACAGCATCTCCGAGCTCATTGACCACTGCGAAGAGAAGGAAAAGGAGAAAAAGCCAGCCCCACATGACACCCCAATGCCATCACAACTTCCCGGCCCCCGTCTGCTCTATGAACCCGTCAAGGTCACCAAAACCGACATATTGACATCAATGCCGGCTCGGCCCATGGTCGACCGCATGGTTGCGCGTTACTTTAATGCGCTGGGAATTGCGCCAGGTACTATTCCACCTCTCTAAGGTTTATTCAGCGCTAGATGTGGCTAACATGCAGTGCAGCTATCCTCCACAGCGCCCAGTTCCTCCGACAGGTACGGCCGGTCACCATCCCCCCTAACCCCTGAACCGGCTGGATGTTGGCTGAAGCGACTATGTTCAAAGTACGAGAGCTTTTGGAGGGACCCAGTGGGCACGCCATTTATCTGGATTGGCCTTTTGTTCAGCGTCATCTGTCTCGCCACGCAGTTTCAGCAACCGGGCGAGGAATTAGCTGAGGCATCCTCGCTCATGCATATCCACCAATTCCACGAACGAATCGTCCAGTGCCTGGTCCTGGGCCAATACACTAGGGGCGGGCCATATGTCGTCGAAACCATGATCAACTACTGTGCCAGCGAGCTTTGCATCACGAAGGACACCGACGTCGGCCCATGGCTACCCCTGGGCATCATGGTCCCGCTCGCCGTGAGCCAAGGATACCACCGAGACCCAGCGGGCTTCCCCAACATATCCCCTTTTGTCGGAGAGATGCGGCGGCGCGTGTGGGCGGCCGTAGTGCAGATGGACCTACGACTTTCCAACCAGATGGGCCTGCCGCACCTCCTCAAGTCGACGCAGTGCAACACAGCAGAGCCACGCAACCTGTTCGACTGTGACTTCGACGAGGACACGGTCGAGTTACCCCCGTCCCGACCGGAGACTGAGATCACGCCGGTGCTCTACTCCTTAGCCAAGAACAGGATCGATAAGATCGGTGGTCCTATCAGCGACATGGCCGCCGACGCCCGCGGCTGCCCCTACACAGATATTATGGCTCTAGATAGGCAGCTACAGGAGGTAGAGACGTCACTACCGACCATCTTCCGCTGGCAACCGCTCAGCCAATCCTTCATGGTGCCGCCGCAGGTCCTCATGTTCCGCATCTGGCTCCGGCTCGCCGTACTCCGGCTTGTCATCTGGCTGCACCGCAAATACCTCGCCCCCTCGTACAGCGATGCACGCTACGAGTACTCCCGCAGCGCTTGCGCGCGAGCATCCATGGAGATCCTCGAATTTCAAGTGCTGCTGAACGATGAAACGCGAGCCGGCGGCCAACTCCACCAGACGCGCTGGATGCAGTCCTCTCTGATGCACTCGACCTTTCTGTTGGGCATGAGCGTGGCATGCTACTATATGCAGCTCACCAGAACCGCGCTTCCGGAGGAGGCTCCGAACCTGGAAATGCGCTCGCGAATCCGGGACCTGCTCCGCGACACGTACCCACTCTGGCTGCGCTGCAGCGCCGGGTCCCGGGACGCGCGCGAGGCTGCTGAACGGCTGCGCCAGCTTCCGGATCTGCAAGGCCACTTGATGGAGGTGGAGGGCCAGGTGGCTGGGCAGGAGGCACCCCTTTCGGCGGTGCCGGCCTACTGGGATATTTTTCACCAGGGTACGGGTAGGCATCATGCATTAGACGCGGCTCTGATAGCCCAAGCCCAGCTCGGGGCGGCCGCTGATTCAGACGTGGGCTTGGGACCCGTGAGCAACGGCCCCTCTGCGTTTGGTGGGAACTTGGCGTGGGATGGGGAGGGTTTCTCGTTTCATGGCCAGCATGGGGATGATCGGTAGCGGACGTCTTATTGATGAGGATAACTAAAAGGGGCTAAGAAATGGCGGCGGATCTGTTGTATTTAAATTTCTGACACGGAGATAACATCGCATTTCATGAGGGATTCGGGTCTGCGAGGCTCTTATATGCAAAAGTGATTATTTATTATGCCCAAATTATTACATGTAGCTCATAACGAAATATGTGTTAGTGTACTACCCATCGTCTTCATCACATTTAAACCAAACTTTGACTTTCTACATTCCTCACGCCAGCGAAGGCTGTCTCTGATCACTAGTAGATGGAGAGCTGATAGGATGTACCCCCTCCGCACACCGAATAATCACGCTTCTACCTCTCGGGTCCCGTGCTATCTGCTAACTGGCTGGTTTATTTGTAGAAATGATAGATTGTCTCGTTTCAGGGGTTTTGCCTGGCCTGAGCAGCTGTTTATATGTGAATCTGCCAGAAAAAGACATCGATTACTACTATACTGCGGGTCATATGGTTTCCTCCGCGCGCGAGGACCTCCGATACTGCTTTACTTTCGCAACTCGGCGTGACGGTATTCGGACCCTGTACGATGCAACACTCACACACTCGTCGTGGTGAAAGTTAGAATAGCGAGATTGCTCGTATTGCCTCCTCCCGGGTAAACAAGCACGGGTCCCGTGTGGAATCGGAAATACTACCAAATCGCAACTACTCGGCGTTGTTCGGGAGACGCCGGGGAGTGGTAGACCGTAACGTGGCAGGCCGTAACCCTCTAGCGGCACGGCCGATAAGCCCGGGAAATGGCACCATTCCGGCCTGAAGGGAAGAATCCGACACTGCTCGCCGAGGCTGGGTGACACCGAGCTGAACCGGTCATGGTGGTTTGGCCCAGCTGGGCCTTCTCCGACCCGGAAACATGGAAGATGGCGGATGGAGCATGGCCCGGGAGCTTACAGGGCTTGTATGCGGAGATGTAGTGCTGATATCGTGTCTGATATATAGCCTCTTATGTCTTTGATGGGTATTGTGCTAGGGAACTGTTGTTCACCAGGGATATAGCCAGCTTCAGCTATCTGGCACTCTTTCGAGCTCTTACATGTCAGGAGCTTAACCTCTTGTCTGTATCCTTGCCCCCCCGCGCCGTCTAGTCACTCCTTCTTACCTTCTTTGACCGCATCCAACCCGGGTGTAAGACGTGATTCCAACTTCAAACACCACAACCGCCACCATGAGTGCCGCAGAACAGGAGCCCATCGCCGTTATCGGCATGTCATGCCGCTTCCCCGGAGGTTCCAACTCTCCGTCGAAGCTCTGGGACTTGCTCAAAGCGCCCCATGACATTGCAAAGCCGGTCCCCGCTGACCGGTTCGACTCGGCAGGCTTCTTCCATGCGAATGGCTCGCACCACGGAGCCACGGACTGCAACGAGGCCTACTTCCTCGACGAGGATGTCACCCGCTTCGACAATGCTTTCTTCAACGTTCAGCCGGGCGAGGCCGAGGCCCTCGACCCCCAACAGCGCTTTCTGATGGAGACCATCTACGATTCGCTGTACGTTGAACCCCTGAGTTACCTTTTTAGCAGCTTGAACCGCTAACAAAACCCGTCAACCAGGTGTTCTGCCGGCCAGACCATCGAGGGCCTGCGCGGCTCGCGCGCGGCCGTGTACGTGGGCCTGATGTGCGACGACTGGTCGCAGATGAACAGCCGCGACTGGGACCTGGTGCCCACGTACGCGGCCACGGGAACCAGCCGTGCCGTCGTCTCCAACCGTGTCTCGTACTTTTTCGACTGGCACGGCCCCAGCATGACTATCGACACGGCTTGCTCCTCGTCGCTGGTCGCTGTTCATGAGGGTGTCAATGCCCTACGCAGGGGCGAGTGCCCTGTTGTGGTGGCCGCGGGCGCGAATATGATCCTGTCGCCCGGTGAGTTGCTTGCCGTTGCAGGGGTTTTCCTTGCCTTGTTCGTAGGGAAAATGTGTTGCTGACGGTGGTGATCTCCCAACAGGAATGATGATTGCTGAGAGCAATCTGCACATGTTGTCGCCCACAGGGCGGAGTAAGATGTGGGATGCCTCCGCTGACGGCTATGCCCGTGGCGAGGGTATTGCGGCGGTTGTGTTGAAGCCGCTGAGCGCTGCCCTGAGAGACGGAGATCCCATCAACTGCGTGATCCGTGGCACCGGGGGTATGTACACCTCTCACGCTTGGCCGTTTGAGTGATCAACACCACTAACATGGAAGTGTAGTCAACCAGGACGGCAGGACCCCCGGCTTGACGATGCCCAACAACGTGGCGCAGACGGACCTCATCCGTGACACATACGAGCGCGCCGGCCTCAACCTTCAAGACCCGAAGGACCGCCCGCAGTTCTTCCACGCCCACGGCACCGGAACGCCGGCCGGTGACCCGCAGGAGGCCGAGGCAATCTCGCGGGCGTTTTATGACGGAGGAAGCCCGAAGGATCCCCTCTTTGTAGGATCGATCAAGACCGTCATTGGGTGCGTCTCTCCTCTACCGCTCCTACTCCCGTTGTTTTATCACGATCACACTAACTCGAACTCACCTCAAGGCACACCGAGGGTACTGCTGGCTTGGCGAGTTTGATCGGAACCTGCTTGGCCATGCAGCACAACACCATCCCTCCCAACCTTCACTTCAACTCGCTGAGCTCCCGGGTCGCGGAATTCTGCAGCAACCTCCGCGTTCCCACCAAGGCCCTGACCTGGCCAACTCCGGTGGCCGGACAACCGCGCCGTGCCAGTGTCAACAGTTTCGGTACGTCGTTGTTGAGGGCATACATATGCAATGTACTGCTTTACTGACGAGAATACGTTGCAATAGGCTTTGGCGGCACCAACGCCCACGCCATTATCGAGAGCTACGAGGCTGCCCCGGTGGAGAAGCGCACCGTTAGCACCACCGTGCCGGCTTTCACGCCGCTCACGGTCTCGGCAGCCTCCGCGTCTGCTCTCCGCACGACGCTGTCGGAGCTCAGTGACTTCGTGCAGACCCACCCCGACATTGACCTGCGCGACCTGGCCTACACGCTGCAGCACCGTCGGTCCACTCTTGCATTCCGCAAGTCGATCGCGGTCGAGAACCTCGAGGGCGTTGTCGCTACCATCGGCGCCCTGCTTAGCGAGGGCGGTGCCGGAGACGGCGGCCTGACGTCCCGCTACTTCGACTCCCAAGACCCCAAGATCCTTGGTGTGTTCACTGGCCAGGGCGCGCAGTGGCCACGCATGGGCGCACTCCTGCTCGAGCAGTCGCCCTACGTTAGCGAGCTGCTCACCCAGCTGGACCAGGCGCTAGCTACGCTCCCCGAGGGTGACCGTCCTGACTGGACGCTGCGTGGCCAGATCCTCGCCGAGGCGGCCCAGTCCCGGCTCTCCGAGGCGGCTATCTCCCAGCCCCTCTGTACGGCCGTCCAAATTGTGCTTGTGGACCTCCTGACCCAAGCTGGTATCAAGCTGAGCGGCGTGGTTGGCCACTCGTCTGGCGAGATCGCTGCGGCGTACGCGGCTGGGTTCCTCTCCGCCACAGACGCCATCCGCGTTGCTTATTACCGCGGTCTGTACGCCAAGCTGGCAGGCTCCCCGGCGGGCCGTGGTTCCATGTTGGCCGTTGGCACGTCATTCGAGGACGCGCTCGAGTTTTGTGAGCTGGAGGAGTTCGAGGGCCGCATTAAGGTGGCCGCGCGCAACTCGTCCAACAGTGTTACCCTGTCTGGTGATGAGGACGCCATCGAGGAGGCCCTCGAGATTTACAAGGACGAAGGCCGGTTCGCCCGCCAACTGCGTGTCGATACCGCCTACCACTCGCACCACATGGAGCCGTGCGCGGTCCCGTACCTCGATGCCCTGGCCCGATGTGAGATCAAGGTAGGTGAAGGGAACGGTATCCCGTGGTACTCGAGCGTGGTCGAGAACCATGTCATGTCCACGGCGGACGTGCAGCCACAGTACTGGGTCGACAACATGACCAGCGCCGTCCTCTTCTCCCCGGCTGTGGCGCACGCCGTCGCCGAGGGTGGGCAGTTCGACCTCGGTCTGGAGGTTGGCCCCCACCCGGCGCTCAAGGGCCCATGCCTCGACACCGTGGAAGAGGCAGCCGGCCACCGGATCCCTTACACGGGCCTGCTGGGCCGGAACAAGAACGATGTTCTGGAGCTTTCCTCGGCGCTCGGCTTCATCTGGACTCAGCTGGGTGCCGGCTCGGTCGACTTCGACCGCCTCGAGAGGGCCATCTCGGGTGGCCCGTACCCCAAGAAGGTGGTCGCCGACCTGCCGACGTATCCTTTCGACCACTCCCGTTCGTTCTACACGCTCACGCGTTTCTCGGGCGCCCATCGCAACATGCACGCGCCGCCCAACCCGATCCTTGGTCGGCGGTGCGTTGAGAGTGAGACCGCCGACGAGGTCTCGTGGCGTAACATCCTGAAGTCCGGCGAGATTAGCTGGCTTCAGGGGCATCAGCTTCAGGGACAGACCGTCTTCCCTGCCATGGGCTACATCGCCATGTGTGTTGAAGCCGCGGCAGTCCTCGCGGGGCCCGAACGCCCGCTTGGCCTCGTCACCCTGGAGGACGTTATCATTGGCCGCGCGCTCGCCTTCCAGAATGAGAGTGTCGGCATGGAGTCCAAGGTCACAGTCAAGATCGACTACACTAGCGACGACGAACTCCGCGGCCACATCGCGTGCCACTCCGGCCTCCCCTTCGACAGCGCCGCGCCTCTGGCCCTGAACTTCAGCGCGAACATCCACGTCCACTTCCACGAGCCGCGGGCGGATACCCTCCCCGCAGTCCGGGCCGACGAGATCAGCCTGGTCAAGACCGACCCAGGTCGCCTCTACTCGCAGTTCACGCAGCTGGGCTACAACTACAGCCCGCCCTTCACGGGTGTAAAGGCCATCGACCGGAAGCGCGGCTTCGCCACGGGCGAGATCGAGGATATCTCGGGCGAGGGCTGGGAGGACCAGCTCATTGTGCACCCCGGCTGGCTCGATTCGGCCCTGCAGACCGCCTTCGCCGCCTACTCGTACCCCCACGATAACCGGCTCTGGGCCCTCCACGTCCCGACCGAGATCCGCACCGTCTCCATCAACCCCTACTTCACCGCGCGTGGTCCTGGCGGCAGGACCCGCCAGCTCCAGTACCAGTCCACGGCGCGTGAGGGACTGGGCGCGCCTGTGGCGGCTGACATTGACGTGTTTGCGGCCGGCGAGGGCGAGGGACACGCGTTTGTGCAGCTGGAGGCCGTCCAAGTAAAGCCTTTCGCTGCGGCGAGCGCACGGGATGATGCCATCCTCTTCGCGCGGTTCGACTACCGCCTGGCCGGGCCCGATGCCATCGCCGCCGTCGAGGGTGACGACCTGTTGCCACCCAAGACCGAGGCGGTGGTCGAGACGATTGAGCGCGTCGGCTTCTACTACCTGCGCCGCGTGCACGAGACCATCACGCCGGCTGAGCGCGAGGCCACGCTGCCCCATTTCCGTCATCTCATCGACCTCACTGGTCGCGTCGTGCCCCTGGTAGCAGCTGGCGAGCATCCCCATGTGCCGCGCGAGGCAATCAATGACTCGGCCTCGTACATCCGCTCCCTGATCGCCCGGTACCACGACCGCGCTGACATTCAGCTCCTCGAGGCCGTGGGTGAGAACCTGGTGAGCGAGATCCGCCGCAACGGTATTATGCTGGAGCACATGATGAAGGATGGTATCCTGGATCGCTTCTACGAGGAGCTTGCTGGTCTTGACGTGGCCAACGTCTGGATCGCCCGCATGGTTGCCCAGGTTGCCCACCGTCACCCGCACCTGCGCATCCTCGAGATCGGTGCCGGCACTGGTGGCACCACACGTACCGTGCTCCCGATGTTGGGAGATGCCTTCCAGAGCTACACCTTCACCGATATCTCGGCCGGTTTCTTCGAGCGTGCCCAGGAGCGCTTCCGCACCTACGCCGACCGCATGGTGTTCGCCACTTACAACATGGAGCTTACCCCCGAGGAGCAGGGCTTCGAGGAGGGGAGCTACGACGTTGTCCTGGCATCCAACGTGCTGCACGCTACGGGCCGGTTAGACGACATGATGGCCAACACGCGGCGCCTGTTGCGGCCGGGTGGCTACCTGATGATGCTGGAGTTCGTCAGCAACGACCGCACCGGTATCACCGCCTGTATGGGTGGTCTGCCCGGCTGGTGGGGCAACGGCATCGTCGACCCGGCTCGCGGAGACGGACCGTGCCTGACACCGAAGCAGTGGGACGAGCTAGTCCGCCGCCACGGCTTCGGCGGTGTCGACACCCACTGCCCCGTCGAGAAGCACCTGCAGTGGTACACAGTGCACTTGTGCCAGGCCGTCGACGACCGCGTGCTAGCGCTGCGTGACCCTCTCGCGTCCCTCGAGCCCGCAGCCACCCTCGCCCCGCCCCCTGCCGAGCTCGTCATTGTCGGTGGCACCACCGCGGCTGTCACCAAGCTCGTCGACGAGACCTCCGCCCTTCTCGCTTCCCGCTACAGCACCATCACGCGGGTCGCCACGCTGGAAGAGCTCCATGAGCGCGGCCTCGCCCTGGGTAGCTCTGTGCTCTCGCTGACCGAACTGGACAAGCAATTCTTCGAAGAGCGCACCGAAGCCAAGCTCGAAGCCCTCAAGGGCCTGTGGCGCGCGGGCGGCAGCATCGTGTGGGCAACCCGCGGCGTGCGCGACGCAGCGCCATACTCGGCCATGATCCTGGGCCTGGCGCGCGTGGTGCGGTTCGAGTACCCCAACATCAACCTGCAGATCCTGGACTTCGACGAGGCGCCCACCGCGGCCGCCCTCGCCGCCGATCTCGTCCGCCTCGAGATGGGCCGCCACTGGAAGGAGGAGGGCGCCAACCTCCTGTGGAGCGTCGAGCCCGAGGCCCACTACGAGAACGGCCAGCTGTTCATCCCGCGCATGTACCCCGACCGCGACGCCAACGCCCGCTACAACACCCAGCGCCGTACTGTGGCCCGCGAGGTTGATCCCCGTGAGACGAGCGTTGTGCTAGAGCCTGCGGGGCCAGCTGGGGATGCGCTGGAGCTTTGCGCGCCTTCGCCCCTGCGTGTGGCTGCGTCGCCGAGGCCCGGGGCTGAGAAGACGGTTGAGATTCTGGTGGAGCAGAGTGTGCTCCACGCCGTCAAGGTCCCTGGCGCTGGGTTCTTCTCCCTGTGCTCGGGCACTAACGCCGAGACGGGCAGGCCGCTGCTCGCGCTGGTGGACTCGCCGGTTGAGTCCCGCCTGCATGTGCCGGTTGAGTGGACGGTGCAACTCCGGGAGCCGCTATCCCGCACCGGGACTTTCTCTCTAGGGGATGTTGCCAGCCATCTTGTGGCCAGGGCTATCCTCTCTGACGCCCCTGGCTTTGGCTCTCTGCTAGTGCACGAGGCCGATGAACTTCTCAAGGAGGCCTTCGGGCGGGAATCCGCCGGCCACGGTGCCAATGTGGTGTTCACTACCGCGGACAAAATGAAGGCCAAGGCCAATGCCGGCTGGGTTCTTGTCCACGAGAAGCTCCCCGGACGTCTGGTCCAGAAGCTCCTCCCACACGACATCTCGGCCTTCGCTGACCTCTCCAACTCCGAGGCTTCAGCGAGCGCCCAGCTCCTCGCCCGCTGTCTCCCGGCCTACACTCCCGTCGCGACCGCGCAGGACGTGATCAGGGCCCAGGCTGGCGCGTCCCCTGATGCCGCGCCTCAAGATGTTGGCGCCGCCCTTAAGGCAGCCTGGCAAGCGGCCAGCCGGAAGCGCAAGGTTTCCCGGGCCCAATCCCAGACCAACACTAGCACTGTCCTCGCGCTCCAGGACGTCGGCCGCAACGATGCCCGGCACGCGCCCCTGAGCGTCGTCGACTGGAACGCTGCCTCGGTTTCCGTGGCACTGCGGCCCATCGACGCCGGCACCATCTTCCGGGCCGACGGCACCTACTTCCTCGTCGGTCTGTCTGGTGAGGTGGGCCAGTCCCTCTGTGGCTGGATGGTGGCCCACGGTGCCCGTCACATCGTACTCAGCAGTCGTCGGCCGAAGGTGCACCCGCGGTACATTGAGGAGCTCGCAGCCCTGGGGGCGACTGTCCGGGTCATGGCCCTGGACGTCACCAAGCGTGAAGCCCTCCGCGAGTGCTACGATACTATCCGCGCTGAGATGCCGCCTATCATTGGTGTTGCCAACGGAGCGCTGCTGCTCGAGGACGCCCTGTTCGACATGGTCCAGTTCGAGACCCTGCAGCGCACGGCGCCGCCCAAGGTCGAGGGCAGTGCCTTGTTGGACGAGCTATTCTACGATACGCCGCTCGACTTCTTCATCCTGTTCACATCCGTCGCCAACATCACGGGTAACACGGGTCAGTCCGCCTATGTTATTGCCAACCAGTTTATGACGGCCCTGGCCGCCCAGCGTCGTGATATCCGCGGTGTGCCCGGCTCGACCATCGCCATCAGCTCCGTTCAGGGATTGGGCTACCTCGAGCACTCCGACATTGACAAAGACCGTTTGGTGCGCTGGGGTTACCGCAACATTTCCGAGCAGGACCTGCATCTCCTGTTCGCTGAGGCTGTTCTCGCTGGCCGTCCGGGAGCTCCGGGCATTGCCGAGGTCGTCACCAGCATGTCGCCGTTCCGCGACAGCGTCGAGATCCAGCCTAACTTGCGCTTCGACCCCAAGTTCCGCCACTATATCCTGCAACAGGCCGAGGACGGCGCCGGCGGTAACAAGGGCGGCGCGGGAGGTGCTGGCGGCAAGACGGTGCGCCCGCGCGCTCGCCTCGCAAACGTCACCTCGCAGGCCGAGGTATTTGACGTGGTCCAGGACTCACTCACCGAGAACCTCAAGCGCATCCTGATGATGCCGGCCACCGAGTCGGTCGACCCGATGATGTCTCTTGTCGAGCTGGGTATCGACTCCATTATGGCGGTCGACCTCCGTACCTGGTTCCTCAAGGAGCTCGATGTCGACGTGCCCGTTCTGAAGATTCTGAGCCCTGGTGAGACGGTCAAGTCGCTCGCCGAGGAGGCCATGGCAAAGATCCCCGCCGACATTGTCGACCTCACCAAACTTGCCGAGGGAGCGCCCAACGGTGGCAGCGCACCCGCTGCTGCGGCCCAGCCCACCCCGGTCGCCCCGGTCCCAGTCACCAAAAAGGTCATTGACGAGCAGGCGAGTGAGCTCGGCGGGGCTAGCGTAACCACCCCCTCAACGCGCGCCGAGACGACTGCGAGCTCTCCAGCCCTGGTCTCTACGCCGGGTACCTCCCTGGAGAGACCCGACCAGGAGGAAGACAAGCAGCTGTTCCAGCCACCCCCGAGGCCCCAGGCCGCGGCCGGCACCAAGGAAGATGCGGACAGCTGGCGCAAGGCCATTGCTCGCGCGTCCACCGAGCACGTCGAGCACATGACCTTCGGCCAGAGACGTTTCTGGTTCCTGAGCCACTACGTCGATGAACCCACGACGTTCAACATCGCCTATCTGGGCAAGCTCACGGGCCGGCTCCGCGTCAACGACCTTGCCAAAGCGGTCGAGAAGGCCGCGCAGCGCCACGAGACTCTGCGCACGCGCTTCTTCTGGTCCAGCGACGATACCCGGTCGCCCATGCAGGGCATCCTCTCGCAGACGCTAGTCCGCCTCGAGACCGCCACCATCGAGACCGAGGCTCAGGCGTCCGAGGAGCTCGAGGCCATGCGCAAGTACGAGTGGAACCTTGGCGACTGGGTGCCGCTGCGCATGCGTCTGCTCTCGCTCTCGGAGACGTCGCACTACCTCATCCTGGGCTCGCACCACATCTCCATGGATGGCCACAGCTTCAGCGTCTTCCTCCTCGACATCCACCAAGCGTACAACAACCCGGCTCGCCCTCTTCCCCCCATGCCAGCCACCTCCCAAGCCCGCGCATTCGGCCAGAGCCAGATCGCCGCGTACGAGAGCGGCCAGCTGCGCCCCGCAATTGAGCACTACCGCAAAGTACTCCCGGCAGCCGACCTGGCTCGCCCGATCGAGCTCTTCCCCTTCGCGCGCACCAAAGTCCGCCCGCCTCTCGACCGCTACGGCACGCACGTCGCGCGCGCCCACCTCGGCGCCGACACCACGGCCAAGCTGAAGGCGCTCGCCCGCGGCCGCCGCGCCACCTCCTTCCACGCCTACCTCGGCACGCTGCAGGCCCTGCTCTTCCGTCTGCTGCCGACCGACACCACGGAGCGGGTGTACATCGGCATCGCCGACGCCAACCGGCTCGACAGCCGGTTCGCGACCAGCGTGGGCAACTTCCTCAACGTGCTGCCGCTGCGCTTCGACCGCACCAGCGGCGGTGGTGGGGCGACCTTTGGGCAGGCGATCGAGACGGCGCGCGACAAGGCGCGCGACGCGCTCAAGCATTCGGCGCTGCCGTTCGATTTGTTGTTGGATGAGGTCGGCGTGCCGCGCTCCAACGCCTGGGCGCCCGTGTTCCAGGTGTTTATGAACTACCGCTTGGTGGTCAAGGAGCATGCTGATAAGCAGTGGGTTGGGTGCCGGATTGGTGAGGAGCGCTGGCATACCGCCCGTACCGGGTATGATGTGGCGCTGGAGATTGTGGAGGATCATGATGGTGCGACGCTGGCGATGCATGTGCAGCAGTCGCTGTATGATGCGGATGCCGCGGAGTTGTTGGTTCGGAGCTTTGCCAATGCGGTGAAGGAGTTTGCGGCCAAGGGTGATGCTATGGAGACTAACCAGCTGCAGAAGTGGGATAAGCAGGACGTGGAAAAGGCGCTGGAGATTGGAACTGGTATGTGTGGTGATGCGTCTTCGTCTGCCCCTATCCCCCCTTACTCCATCGTCCTCCCAAGCAATGAGCACTTTTGAGTTAGCATGTGTCTTCTAACGGGCCTACAGCACCAGCCCTGAACCTCGAATGGCCTGCGACCGTCGCCCATCGTATCGACGAGGTGATTGCCCAGAATCCAACGGCCGTTGCCCTCAAGGACGGCCTCGGGAACGTCCTCACTTACGCCCAGATGGACGCACGTGTTGAGAGCATTGCCAACGCCCTGCACGTGCGCCTGCCGCTCACCGTCGACAACAAGCCCCCCGTGGTTGGTGTCTTCCAGGCTCCCTCCGCAGACTGGATCTGCTCCCTGGTCGCCATCCACCGTATCGGTGCCGTCTACCTGCCCCTAGATCTCCGGAACTCGATCCCCCGCCTGAAGAGCAACGTCGCTGTGGCGCGTCCGGCTGCCATCCTTGTGGATGCCGAGACCACGAGCCGCACGGCCGAACTCGAGGTCAAGGACGCGGTCCCCGCCATCGATGTATCCCGCCTCGCCGCCAGCACCGCAGGCAGAAGGGCAACCGACACGGCCGCTGCCAAGGCCGACCAAGCCGCCTACATCATCTTCACGAGCGGCTCGACCGGTGAGCCCAAGGGCATCGTCGTGACCCACGCCGGGCTCCGCAACAACCTCGAGGGTTACCATCGCGCGTGGAACATCCCCTCGCTTGCCGGCGTCGTCCTCCAGCAAGCCTCCTTCGGTTTCGACGCCTCCCTGCTCCAGGTCTACGCCGCGCTGACCACCGGCGGTTGCCTACTCGTCGTGCCTGCCGACGCCCGCGGTGATCCGGCTGAGGTCACTCGCCTGATGGTCGACCACGGTGTCACCATGACCCAAGCCACGCCATCCGAGTATGAGATGTGGCTCCGCTTCGCCCCGGACCAACTACGCCGCTGCACTTCTTGGAAGGCGGCGTGGTTCGGTGGTGAGCGCGCCGCGCCGGGCCTGGTCCGCAGCTTCCGCGATCTATGCGTCGAGCTACCCAACCTCGCCGTCTACACCAGCTACGGTCCGACCGAGTCCACCATATCGGCCATGAAGGGCGTGGCCGACGTGCGCAACAACCCTAACCTGACCGTCCCTGTCCCCGGCCGCCTGCTGCCCAACTATACGGCCTATCTCGTCGATGATGAGATGCGCCCGCTCCCCATCGGCGTGCCGGGCGAGATCCTGCTCGGTGGCGCCGGCGTTGGTAAGAACGAGTACCTCGGCCGGCCGGATCTGACGGTGGAGGCATTCATTTCCAGTCCCTTCACCGTTCCCGGCGACGGCGGCAGTCCCGCGCGCCTGTACCGCACCGGTGACTACGGCCGTCTGGACAAATCCGGTTTCCTAGCCATCGAAGGCCGCATCGCCGGCGACACGCAAGTCAAGCTGCGCGGTTTCCGCATCGAGCTAGCCGAGATCGAGCGCGTCATGCTCCGCGAGTCCGACGGCCAGCTCGCCCAGGTCGTCGTCACGGCCCGCGGCGTTGACGACGGCCAGGAGGACGGTTTCCTCGCCGCCCACGTGGTCCTCGACAACCAAGACACCACCACCGCCGACACCGCCAAGGTCCTCGACAAGCTCCGCGCCCGCCTGCCGCTCAGCCTGCCGCAGTACATGTGCCCGGCGGTGATCGTCCCCCTCCCCGAGGTCCCGCTAACCTCCAACTCCAAAGTCGACCGCCGCGCCGTCCAAGCCCTCCCCCTCCCGGAGACCACCACCACCACCACCACCACCACCACCACCAACGACGGCACGCAACCCCTGCAACCCCTCACCCCCACCGAAACGCAACTCGCGGCCCTCTGGACCAGCGTCCTCCCGCAGCGCGGCCTCGCCGCGGGCGGCGCCCTCCAGCCGCGGACCGACTTCTTCGCGGCGGGCGGCAACTCGCTGCTGCTGGTCAAGCTTCAGGCGGCCGTCAAGCGCGAGTTTGGCGACGCGCCGCGCCTGAGCAAGCTCATGAGCGCCACCGAGCTGGGCAGCATGGCCGCGCTGCTGGAGCAGACGGGCGCGGGCGCGCTGGATTGGGGAAAAGAGACGGCGCTCGATCTGAGCCGCCCCAGTGAGGTGCCGGTGAAGGTTCGTGAGAATGGGGCTGGCCTCCGTGTGTTGGTTACTGGCGCGTCCGGGTCGCTGGGTAAGCGCATTGTGCGGCGGCTGGCGGGCGACGGTCGGGTTGCCGCTGTCGTGTGCCTGGTGCGCCCGGCCGAAGGCCGCGATCCGGCCAACCTCTTCTTCGCCCAAGGCCAGGCCGAGAACGCCAAGGTGCGCGTGGTGACAGCCGACCTGCCCACCATCCCCACCGACCACCCGGACCTCGCCATCAACAACATCGACGCGGTCGTCCACTGCGCCGCCGACCGCTCCTTCTGGGACGGCTACAACGCAGTCAAGCCCGTCAACGTGGACGCGCTCAAGACGCTCGCCTCCCTCTCCCTCCGCGCCGGCGCCCGCCTGCACGCGCTCAGCTCGGGCGCGCTCGCCGCGTTCCAGGACCCCAGCGACGAAAGCGCCCAAGCCACCCTCCCGCGCCCCAGCCCCGCCGACGGCTACATGGCGTCCAAGTGGGTAGCAGAGCGGTACCTCGCCCGCGCGGCGCGCGAAGCCGGTCTCCGCGTGACGGCGCACCGGCCGAGCGAGGCCGTCCCCGCGTCGCAGAAGGAGAGCGCCGACGTGCTGGCGGCCATGGCCGGCGACATGCTGCGGCTGTCGGCCAGCCTGGGTGTGCGGCCCGACTACGCGCGTCTGTCGGGGTCGTTTGATGTGGGGCGGATTGAGGATGTGGCGGCGGCCGTTGCGGGCGAGGTTACCGCTGATGTTGGCCAGAGTGGAAAGGCTGAGGCCATGCACACTGTTTCGTATCCGGGCATGGCGCGCGTTCAGATCACCGAGTTAGCGGCGTATGCTGAGTCGCTGCTCGCTGCTGGAGGTGCTGATGCGGATGTTGTGCGGGGGCTGCCGACGGTGCCTGCGCTGCACTGGGTTGGCCTGGCAAAGCGCGCTGGGCTGTTTGAGTGGTTGTTGACGGCGCAGCACTTGGTTGTTGATGATGAGGAGGGCCGCAAGATTGTGTCGAGGCGTTGAGATGGTGACGTGACTGCGATTGGAATTTGGATCATTGGATAAATGGAATTGGGTGGCGTATGGATTTGTTCTGTTCCTTTGTTCATCTTCATATCAGTTGTATGGGGCGTTTGCGATGTTGGACGGGTTTGGACGGGTTCTTGTCTCTTTTGTTTTTCAATTAATTATTAAGTGAAGGAAAGTCGTGGATTTGTTGATGCAGAGGTTTCATGGTGCAAACTGCTTGGCGGAAAACAAACCGAAGCCTTTCAGCGGGTCCAAGTTTGAAGATTGCTCGTTCCTCCGTTCCGTACTTTCCATATTCTCTATCTCCTTGTCGGCTTAAAACCACTACTACTAATTGCGTATATACATGTATTTCTCAAGTCAGAATGAACAGTCTTCCGATTCCCAACACCCCCTTGAGCCCATCCAGCATTGTGTGTGAAGTAGGTAGGTACCTACCTAAGCTAAAAGTTTAGAAGAACTCTCGGCGGCCTTTCATCCGCCCCGGTGCCGTTTAAGCAAACGGCCGGCCATGGTGCTGCCCGTTGTTTCTGACGGGGCTGAGGGTGAGTTCGGCCGGTAACAATTGATCATCGTGTGCGATATTCTGCCCCCTTACTAATTTAAGGTAGGGGCATTGAATGATAGCAACTGAATCACGTCGGGGTCAGAGAGAACTGGACTTTTGGTATGATATTGCCCGAGAACAATGCTTCCCGACGGCCGAGGAAACCAGGTTTTGATCGTTCTCACACCAGTCTCGGTGTGACTGCCCGCTCGAATGGTGTTCAAGTCCCTTGATTGGACCATTTGAGCACCGCGTAACGGCTGACTCGCATCTTTTGGTTCGTACGACTTGTTATCCTCGCCCGGCCGGTGTGTCTTTCAGCCAAGTCTTGATCATGTGCGAGGTTTTCCATCGCAGTACGAAATTGTTGTCCGGTAAGGTGTGTAAGACATGATAATTGTTACTCCTTTAGAACATATTAAGTGAAGACTGTGTATAACAGCATCTCTCCCCTCCGTGCCATGAAGGTGAACTTCCACCACACCATCCAACAGGGAGGCGGTGAGGGACAAACCTGGGGAGTCTGGGACGCAAATTCATTCCTCCGTCTTACTCTAACCTCCATGGCGCCACGCTCGTATCTTCCCGCCCTTCAAACCTCTCAACCATGACCAGCGGATCCCACGGCAAGCCATCAAAGCCTTGGGCTGTCAATGTTTTGACACTTCCCGGAAAGCCGGGCGACTGTCACTCAACATCGGGCGCTTCATGCAGCTGCAGCGTAACCAAGCACGCGCTACAGGGCTGAAGACACCGTCGGTTCCCGCATCCCGCTGCCAACGGAGGCCGCAGAAGGTTCCATCGAATCATATTACCCGTGTCCCGCCGATCGGGGGTCAGCTGCTGTGTTGTTTCCAGCGCCACAACAAGGATGCCAAGCCCCAACTTCGTATTTCTTTGTGTCGTACAGCAGTTCCCGAAAGCAGCGTGACATCGTGGATGGCTAGATTAAGAGCCATGAGTATGCGTGGCATGGATCGCCTGGTTATGGCTTGGCTGACGAAAATAACTTGATGCCGGTTGAGGATAGGAGCTGGACCGTGGACGCCGGGCTCGGTCGATGTATGATGGGCAAATGTTATAAAAGGGCTGAGTCGGTCCAGCTGTTGTCATCCATCCGATTTCTTGCAACACCTCATCCAACCCAAAGACTCAACGGGCAACATACATCATCTACAACCAACACCATGAAGTATCTCAGCATTCTCGCCCCGGCCCTCGGCCTCCTGGCCACCACTTCCGCCATGCCGCTCGAGGAGCGTGACGACGTCCAGACCGTCCACCTCACCTTCCACGCCGGCCCGACCAACTACACCATGGCCATCCCCGCCGACGGCAGCTCCCACGACACCAGTACGCACCCAACCTCTCCCATCCCCCTACCAAAGCGAAACCCACTAACACCTCCAACCCCAGACCACAACGACCTGGCCGTCAACATCATCGACGCCCCCGACTACAACGCCTTCTACCAGTGCGACTTCACGGCGGTGGGCAACCCCACCCTGGCCAGCAGCATCTCGCCCACCGGCCAGAACCAGATCCTCGTCGGCCCGCCTTCCCCGATCACCCAGGTCAGCTGCCAGGGCATGTGCGTGCCCACCTACAGCGACTGCTACCGCGACGGGCAGTACGTTGGCCCCTGCTGTGCCGGGTTCTGCGCTGCCAACAAGTGCCGGCCGTGGGTCAGATCGTGAGAGTAAATTGGGAAGGGTCGGGGGTGGTCGGATGAGGTCTGGGCTTCTGTTGTATATATTTATTTTTGGGGTTGTGGGTTGTCTCCATGGCCCCCCTGGTAGGGCTGGTGTTGTTCGATTCCCGGTCGACACAAATGAAGATGAAATTTCAATGACGTTGCATACATGCGTTGTCGGTGATTCCGATCGATTCTCCAACATCCGGATGGCTGGATTTGGACGGTTGCTTATCATTTGCCACTCCCCCTCCCACCAGAATTTGATCTCATGTTGCTACCCGTCCCCCTTTCCTGTATTACTGGATACTGCGACATCGCCCCGCCAACCTCCATAGTCGACTACGTATGTAGCCTGTGGGCACGACTCGTGTCGCTGTGAATGCCCTGAATTGCCCCACTACTTAAATCCCGTTGTCTCCCGTCTACCTACCTACCTACCTAGGTAGGTACCTATGTATTGATCTGATCTGACCGCAAACGGAAAGGTAAACAAACGGTGGCCTTCACTGAAAGGGACTGCATTCCTCTACACCTCAATTTACTTCCCCGCCTCATGTCAATTTACTGCTCTAGCTCAGTCTACTTTCCACTATCAGCGAACGAATCGAAAACACCACCAAACCGGCTGGTAACAATGTCAACCTGCAACAAAGTCCAGCGTTACAACCAACAACACCTCTTGGACCAAAGCGAAGGCCTCGATGTGCCTCTGCACACTCTCTCCGGCCCAGACTGCCGCACCTGTGGCCAGCCTACGAGGCCCTACGTCACTGGCTTCGGAAACCTCAACGGCAATGCCGGGCGACCATACTACGCCTGCGGTCTGTGTCCGGTCGGCCGTGGATGGGGGACTTGGGCTGATGATAAAGGGGTAGAGGTGGAGAATCCTTATTGCCACTGCCCCGAGGACATCGGGGAGTGGTGGAGCAGGAAGCAAGAGTCTACGGTTCCACGAAGCCGTGGGAGGGTGTTTTATTGCTGCGCGGTTGGGGCTTGTGACTTTTTTGAGTGGGCTCCGCCCCATGTGAAATATTAAGGGCGCGAGGGAGAGGGTCATACAGTCAGGGTCAATAAATACCTTACCTACCTAGGTAGGTAGGTACCTACCTACTTTTTGACCATGACTTTAGTGAAGGACGGGTGGTGATGGAATCACTGTGGTACTTTTGAGGGGGGTAGCTTCAGGTTGCAAATTCCACCCACTTCACTTTGCATCACGGATACTCTTTCTGATCGCTGTGTCGCGCACCCTCCATTGATATCGCCTTTTCCAGGAAGGTTGTCCGCACTCGTGCCCTTCACAGGATGGATATACCTTTTCATGGGAAAGACACCTAACAACACTATCCGAGGCCCATTTTCCCAACGGCATTTTCATCCCTTCCTGTCTATACCAAGGGGTACCGCCGCATGCTGGGACCGCTCCAACGCCGTCGTCCCGAGCAGCATGCGTACGATATGGCAGAGTCAGAAAATGGCTATCTTTATGAAGATGAGTGAGCGAGAGAAAGGGGGTGAGTTCAAGTTGAGTGTGTAACTTCATGTCGATAGGAAGAGTCGGCGACTTGAGAAAGCCGGCGAGGACGAAGGAGCCATTGTTGTAGCTAGTGATACTGGGGTACATCAGTACACAGATCCGACAGGTCTTTTAAAGGGAACCGGTCTCCAACTCTCCATTTTGGGACCTCCGATAGCCATTTTAAGCTGTCTGCTGTGGGCGCTAAAACCGGCTTCTCGAGGGCCAAGACCTCGATACAGGAAGTTGGAAACAGAGTTAAGAGCGAGTAGCAACTGTGTCGGTTGGCACGGCGTGCCGCGGCGGGGGCTGACAGTGGGAGCCAAGGCTGCGACAGGTAGGTACATACATACCAACCAGGTACATACGGATGTATGTACATACAGGGTAGGTAACTTGATTAGGTAGCATCCTGCGTCGCGGCGCCCCTCACTGTCGAGGCCGTCGAGAACGGCGACAGGCGCCAGCCAAATTCAGCCTTTTTGTCGACTTCGTGTGTACCTACCTAGGTAATCAACACTGACATTCAACCTTTGTTTTTCTCTCTTCGTAACTCCAGACACTCAATGATGCCATTAGAAAACGATGAGGCGCCATCACACTCTGACGCCACCACTGACCCAAATGCAGCTGGTAGGGAATTCGCCCTGACCATGTCCGAAGACGAACTATACCAGCGGACTCGGGGGCTCTACGCTCCATTCCTCGCCTACCCACCCGACCGCCCTATGGTGTTTGTGAAGTTCGGTGGCCCTGCAAAGGAGGCCGAGGGCGATATGCAGAGGCTCGCCTTCGAATACCTACGTCAAGAACGTCAGAGAGACCCCAGCTGCAACATCCATGTTCCCGAAGTCTTCAAGGTCTTCACCAAGGATGGCGTCACCTTCATCATCATGCAGCTTCTCCTGGCAGCCCAAGTTGGGGACTTCGCCAAAACATTCGATCCTCTGACCTGGGAGAGCAACCAGGCTCTCTACTACGGCATGATTGCTGATGGAGTCCGTCTTCTGAGTCGCATGCCTGTCCCGCCCGACGCCACTCCTGGCCCATACACTACATGTAGTGCCAAACGCCTCATCAACCACATGCTCTTCAAGGACCAGGAAGCCCCAGTTGTTTACGACACCGTTGAGGACTTGGAAAACCACTTGAACAGGGTATGGCCATTCACAGAGGGCCCGCCCGGGCCATATGAACGCAGCATTCAAGGTTGCTAAAAGCTATTTTCTACAGGTTGCACAACGAGCATATCACGGTCCCAACCGACCCAAGCTCACTCTGGAGAAGGAACTTGTTTACTGCTACACCGACTTCAATGGCGAGAACTTCATGTTCACCACCGACCCCGATGGCCGTCCTCGTCTCTACATTGTTGACTTCCAGCACGCCTCATTCTTACCGCTCAGCTTCCTTGCCTATGCTGTCTTGACAAATAAGCGCTGGTCCACAAGCAACTGGATTGAGAAGGAGCTCGGCCCCTCTCTTCCGCGACATAATATTGAGGTGATGAAAAGAATATGCTATATATTCCAGATAAGTTGGACAGGAGTTGGCCTCAGAGAGGTATAGATGGTGCTATGGTTAGTGGTCGGCCTAAGCGCCCCGCCTATGTGATCGGGTTATGGTCTGGTTCGTACGTATCTCGTTACCTACGGAGGTAGGGAGGAATGCCACGCCCTAATTACTTCCTGGTGTTGCAATTCCGACAAGTGAAGCCGCTTCCTTTTTTCCTTGGTTTAGTTTTCATTTAATAGAGTGCGTTTAATGGTGCCTCGAGCCTCCTCTACCACATGCTGGGACAAAGTAACTTTTATATACTAACTCCCTATTAAGGAGGCCTGGTATATAATATACAATTATAGTAGCAATATCGCCAAATCACTCTTTCCTGAGATGATGACACCTCCACATCCCGCCTCTTCTCACTGCCGCTTCGTCTGGCTCAGTCCTCCTTGTGTACGAACGACTTTGCTGTCAGTCCCCTCAATCTCTTCCCAAAGAACCAGAAGATGATGCCGCAAGCACAGAAAACGACCGTCATAGCCATGTTCATCAGAAGCGGAGGCTCGAAGCCGCTGCTCGCCGCCCAGGGCGTAAGGAACCTCCTACGAGAGATGCATGTTAGCGCAATCCGTAACAAACAACAAGAACTAACCGGTCGCTGCCGATTCGACAGCTCGGCGGTCACCTACCCGATACCATAGCCCCACAGATTCTTGTTGATGGTGATCATGACAAAGATGGACCCGGTGACGGGCTTGTAACTGTCGACGGCGTACGTGCTGGCGATGGACGGGATGGCGGCGACCTGCATGCCCAGCGCGCCGTAGCCGACGACGACGACGGCCTGCCACGGCCACGCGTTGTCGTAGCCCACCGCCGTCACCACACTACCAACGACCATGACGAGCACGTAGGGCACCATGGCGACCAGCCGCATCTCGGGCTCGCGCACGCCGCCGTTGCGCTCCGTCAGCCGCGCCGCCACCCAGTCCGACAGCGGCCCGCAGGTCAACAGGCCGATGACGCCGCCGCCGAACAGCGCCAGGTTGAAGAGCCCGATCGTGCCGCTCGCGTAGTTGTACGGCGGCGCCGCGAACGCCTGCGTCTGCGAGAGGTTGACCACCAGGTAGCACGACGCCGACCACGACACGACAAAGGCCGCGAAGTCGACCACCGGGTACGCGTGCAGGTATAGTGGTAGCCAGATCTCCCGGAGGATGCTGCCCTCGTAGCGCTGGAATGGGAGGAACTGCGCGCGCGAGGGTCGGCCGCGGCCGAGGGTGGTATTGCCGCCGTCCGCTGTGGCGGCGAGATGGGCTGGTTCCGGTTCGACCGCGCTGCCCTTGCTGACGGCGTCACTGCTTGCCGGTGCGTTCTTTTCGTTCGTCTGGGAGTCGTCGCCGTCCGGAATCTTCGTTTCGCTGCCGGACGCCGGCGAAGCGGTCTGGACCGTGTTACCGGAAGACGGTTCTGGCGTCCGTCGGTATCGCGTCTCGGGAAACAGGAAGATGCTGCAGATCAGGCAGAAGAGCACTAACCCCGTGTAGAGCCACCAGAAGCTCCGCCAGCCCACGTTCTCGGCCATCGGACCGGCGACGATCGGGCCGACGGTCAGTGATAGGAAGTACATGCCGAAGTACAGCGTCTGGTACTTGCCGCGGTCGTGGAGGAAGACGACGTCGGCAACAACTTGCGGCATTAGCGTCTCGCTCGGCCCGGCACCGACTCCATTGAGAATGCAGGCGCCCATGAAAGAGTCGTAGCTGGTCGCGCGGGCCCGCCAGATGGCGCTGCCCAAGCACACGAGTGTCGAGAGGATGGCCACGGGCCGCCTGCCGAAGCAGACCATGATGGGCACCCAGATGAAGTTGCTAAACCCCAGGACCAGGATGGCCACGCCGGTGAACTGCACGACGTCGGCCAGGTCGCGTCCCCATTCTTGGATGTAGGAGCCGAACATGGGCGCCAGCGCGAGCGGACCAAAGGTCTGGGCAAATGTGAGCACGGTAGCGGAGAATAGCGTGAGGCCTTTCCAGAGCGGCGACCAGTTGAGCGGATCGTGAGGGTCGGCCGACGGCTGGGGGACGAGGACGGACCGGTGACCGCTGCCGGCTCTGGCGAAGTGGTATCCGCCAACGTCCTTCATGATCTCGGTGCCGGGGTAGATCTTGGTGTCCAGGAGCTGCTCCAGCTCCTGGACCGCCGCGTCGCTCAGGTTCTGATCCATCTTGAGCCCGCTCGGGCGCTTCCGATGTGGTTGCTAGTTGCTCGTGTGAGCGGAGGACTCGAGGCAACTAAGTGCTCACATCGACGAGAAACAGGTAATGAAGGGAAGGAAGGTTACTGCATCGCTAACGAGCTCGCCGGTGTCGGGGAGACCGTAATTAGATCATGAAACCCAAAGGGAATATTTCGGCGTACTGGTCTGAATGCATGACATTGGCGGCTGGTTGGGTCGACAATCTCCCATCAGGGTTGCAGCCGGAATGCCCTGACCGGGGCCGGTTGGAGAGCGGCGAGGCAGGCCACATGGAAGGAGATCCAATGGGTCTCCAGGGGGGCAATCATGTCGCTTGCTGTACCGGGGAGGGAAGCCGCAAACAATGCGCCGCTCAGCTGCTTCGGTGTGAGCTGCAGCAGCTTGTTACCAACTTTACCCCTGAGTTTACCCAAGCCCATCTGCATCTGCACATCCCTGCCCAGGGTGCAGTCCTGCAGCCAGACAGCCAGATAGCCAGACAGCCTGCCACTGGCCACATGGCCACCTGGGTTGCCTTCCTTGGATTAGGAATGGAGACGAAACATGACCGGATTCTGGGTGGAGTGGCCTCGAGGTTTGCGAGCGAGTTTTTACACCGCCAGCCTACCTAGGTACTCTCTTCGGTCCGCACGTAGGAAGAAATGAAACGTAGGATGAGTCGTCCGTAGGCTACCTCTCACCCACTTGCGCCATTTACGCTCCACATCCCACGACCAGACGGTTTCCGGTTGACACTCTTCACGTGCGGCTGGTGAAGGTATGAGACGGATAACTCGAGGTAGCGAGTCGTGGTTAGGGCTCGGAGGTTGGCCTGTGGCTACTGCTTGCCAGCAGCAGCTTGCAGTCGGCCACCCACCGATCTTATGTCCTTCTTTCTCTCACAACTACAAATACCACACACGGCAGAGACAGCTAGGCTACTAGTTTCTCTAGCTCCCTCCCCGGCTTTACAGTTCCCCGGCGTCCCACGATGCACATAACGAATCTTCGGATTCTGCAAAGGCTCAGCCTGTTAACTTCTCCTCGGAGGGGCTTGGTTTCCCGTAAACAACCGTCACCGTGACGTCTCTCCTGATGCCGTCTGTAGCGTTATCCCGTTCCGGCTCCTCGTATTCCACCGCTGCATTAACTCGGTATGTACTGTTTTCGGTGGGCGGCTCCCAGTCGGCGAGGTCGATCTCCTCGCGGGATGAGGGCTGGCTAAGGGTCATGAACGGCCCGGCGCCGTCCGGGTTGGTCATCTTTGCTCTCTTGGATTGGCTCCACCCGCTCTGTCCTGTCCCGTATCCGCTTGCGTCGTGGGTGTGGTTTCTTCCACGCTTGAATATCGGCCGTAGCGTCGGCATCGAGGCTGCTATCAGGACGAGGTAGGCTTCGAGGCTGGAGTGAGGTACAGAGTGTCAGAGACGCGGTCAGATCACTCTACTGCTCTGGGACAACCGAGACTTTACTCACGTCCACCAAATTGCCAAATCTGCCATGGCGTCTGATGCGCGGGGCGAGTCAGCCACAATCCGGGGGGGATCTTGTGCTAGTGGATATGTTGTCCGCGGGGCTTACAAGTCAAGTCTTCGGTCTCAGTAAGGGCTCGGAGTCCGACGGTCTTCACGATGGATGCAATCATCGCGCTGGATACGCAACCATTGTTAGAGCAGGTACCTAAGGCTGTAAAGGCCCGCCGCTGGTGGATAGAACGACTCACAAGACGCCCAGGCCCATGAGGGCGCTGAGCGCGGCTTTCTGCTTCCATTCCATCCTCAGTGACCAGAATAAGGTGACGGGAAATAGAGCAAGAACAAGGTCAACCAGCGAACAAAACGCTGTTGTTGGCGCTCAGTCAGCATTCGTGAATCTCGATATCGCTAGACCAAAGGTTAGGGTGGGGATGAGGCATCGACTTACAGCCTTGGAAAAACCCGGTGTATTGTTGGATATGGGGCGGCCAGCAATCCGCGTTCAAACTCTTGTCCCAGTAGCCTTCGATAGGTCTGCACTGCGCGAAGCTGATGATGACAGTTCCGACATCGACGACGAACTGGGCACCGATGACGCTCCAGAGAAAGACTTTACGGCCGGTAGTCGGCGGGATGATGCTGAGAAGCAAGAAGGCGAACGATATCCGGCCGAACCCAGGGCACATGATGGAGAAGAACTCGCAGAGGTACACCCACTTCACCGTGTACATGATGCGCGCGGGCTCGGCCTGGAGGACTGAGAGGTGTTGTCCCAAGCCCCAGTCCACGGCCATGGTGAGGAAGATGCTATTCCCAAACCCGAGCAACTAGACATTTTGTAATTAGGCACTGGGTTCGAGTTTGTGACCGTGAAAGTAGTCGCAGTGTAAACGTGGACGCCACGATGGGCAGGGGTGCGGCGCGCAACAGGGAAGGGCGAAAAAGGGGTCCGGGGGGGGGGGGGGGAGACTAACCAGTGTCAAGAGGATAATGTAGTCATCGATTTTCAGGGTTCGCAAAAAGCGCACGCGGACGTAGATCCGTGCTCCAACCACTGCAGTCGCAAGGGCTGCGAAAGTCCAAGCAACCGCGATGACGGCTGGGCCAAGATCATTCGCAGCCATAGCGAGGAGAAGCGCAGCCAACGCGTGCTAGCGCGCGGTCCGTTGACGATGTATGTACGTTGCTGGTGTCAGTGAAAATGGAGGGTGGGCCCTTGATGGTTTTCTCTTTTTCTCTTTTTCCCGTCCTCTCTCCCGCATCATGCTACCCTGCATGCTGATCTTTAGAACTGCCCGGGCTGACCGGGTCGGCAGCGCAGACGGTCCCCCTCCGCGCCGTCCGAGCCGTCCGCGCCGCCCGCGCCGCACCAACCAGGGGAGGAACAGACGAGTTTACAAAATGGTACCCTCCTTCACACTTGTGTAACCTTCCCTGCGCGGAACGCTGAGGCCTCGACGCGCCGTACTGGAGCGGCTCGTTATCGAACCGGCCAACTGCATGGGCAGTGCAGCCAACCGCAGCAGCCAATTCTTGGCCCCCATGTGGGAACCTGCAAAGCACCTCGACCCGGCAGGTACTTTGCACCCGCGAAGGCCCCTTAATATATTATGCTGCCGTTCTTGTCGCCCAGTGTACGGGGTACCTCCAAGAAGGGAGATCACAGGCCAGGTTGGAAGGATCATGGAAATGCTGGCCATGGATACCCCGGAGGATGGCGGGCATGTTTGTCACACACAACAGGGGGCGAGGAGGCGATTGTGAAGTCGAGCTCCCCAACTGCCGGTTTCTCATCCTGGAGGTTTGGCCGGCCGGAATTCAAAATGGCCACTTTCGGCACCCGGCAAGACCGGTGCGTTCCAGCACTCGGCCGCCCCCTTTTCGCCCTGTCCCAATCAGTAGCAAGGTCTCGTTACACAAGACCGTTGTTTTCCATCTCGAGAGAAAGGGGCCAAAAGGTCAAGGAGGAACCCTGCTTACGTCCACTGAGACCGAGTCCCTTCATCGATAACATACCAGCCGTGCGGGCCACTTCTCGCCCTCCCTCCCGGTCACACCCAAGAACTGTCTGGCCATGGCGGGCCCCGATCAAGAACCAGCCGACCTCATTACACAACTCAACAACCTCACTGCCAAGCTCTCTGCAGGCAACGATGAGACGGCACGAAGGGAAGCCCTCCGGTTGAGCAGACAGCTCACAACATGTCTCGAAGATCCAGTGAACATAGCCGTGGATCTGGCATTTTCTGTACGGCAGGCCAACTCCAATTTCAACCAGGGTCCGACTTGAGGCGACGCTTTGATCTGACAAAAGTCTCTTGACAGCCTTTCCTTCCGACGGCTGCGAGAATCGCCATCGAGTTGCACCTGTTCGAGTACATTGCAACCGCAGAGGTTCCACTCAGCTCGGGCGACCTTGCCTTTCTCTCGGAAGCGGAAGAGCTCTTAATTAGTGCGTTATTCTCTTGCGGCTTAGTGCCCCCTACCCGCACTGCCTGCTTGTGGAACTCAAAGTCTGACCCGGCTCACATCACCAAGTCCGCATCCTGAGACCTCTAGCGGCCATCGGCTTTGTCAAGGAGGATGGCGAGCAGAGGTGGGTGGCCACGGCCCTCACAAAAGCGATGGCGACGGAGGAGATTGCGGCGGGCCATCGGATGGTGTACGTGATGAAGTTCTTATTATTATTTCTTTTGATGGTCGTGACGCACGGGTATTCTAACACACATGCAACACTGCTACAGCGGTGAGATGATTGTGGGTGCAGCTATCAAAGCTCCCAAGTACCTCCGCGAAGCCGGCTATCACTGCCCAACGGACCCGCAGAACGGCTTTATGCAGTACGCCTTCCAGACCAAGCTCAACACCTTTCAGCTGTTCAGCTCGATGCCCCGGGTCTTCCAGGATTTCAACACCTTCATGGGCAACACGATGGGCGCTCGGAGCTACTGGGTCGATTGGTTCCCTGTCCGGGACCACCTTCTCAATGGATTTGTCAAGGACGAGGATTCTGCCCTGGTTGTGGACGTGGGGGCTGGAAAGGGCCATGACCTGGCGGCGTTCCACTCGGCGTATCCCAATCAGGGGCGGCTGGTGCTGCAAGAGCTACGTTCCATGATCGAGAACGGCGCCGTTGCGGGCCTCGATCCCGCGATTGAGCTTATGAGCTATGACTTCTTTACCGAGCAGCCCGTGAAAGGTGGGAGCTTCACCCCTTGCCCTGTGCCTTCAGAATCCGAGCTAACGAGAGGCCTACCGCTTCGCCTCTATAGGTGCGCGGGCTTACTTCTTCCACCACATCCTGCACGACTGGCCGGACCACATCTGCCTCCAGATCCTGGCGCAGGTCAAGGCAGCAATGAAACCGGGGTATTCGAAGCTGCTGATACACGAGATGCTTATCCCGGAGCAGGGCGCTTCCACGTTCCACGCCATGCTGGACATGACAATGATGTGTTTCAACGCGGGCATGGAGCGTACCGAGAAGCAGTGGCGGGCATTGCTCGAAAAGGCGGGCCTGAAAGTGGTCAAGTTCTGGCTCCCCACGCAAACGGATGCCGATGGCATCGTGGAAGCTATCCTGGAGGAGGAGACTGAAGCTATCCTGGAGGAGAAGACTGAAGCTATCCTAGAGGAGAAGACTGAAGCTATGCTAGAGGAGAGGACTGATCGGTCGTTCAGACCTATCTAGCTACCTACCTACGTACCTTACATCGTACGTAAGTAGGTATGGATAATAGAACTCATTTCAGCATCGTGTCAAGTAGCACCCTGCTTAGGTATAGATCTTCTGAATCTCATCCTCATATTCATCACGAGGACAAACTCGACAGCAGCTTCTTAGTAGGTATCTGTAAGTTGGCGTTTGTGCCAGACTCCCGGGCCTTACCTTCAGACACGTTTGATGAATGCCACCAGACGGGGCCACCTCCGACACTCAAGCCGGGCCGACAGACGCCACCGGTCTCTGAAGCAAATCCACGTCAAACAAATCGAACCTGCGTGCGCCTGCCCATTGATCTAACGGCTCCCACTTTGCACAGGTGTGCAGGGAAACGTCAAAATTGGTGGGATAGAAGGCAGATTTGTCCTCGTGCTGGGCCGTGTCGTTGATCCAACGGAATGTGACGAGCGAGAGGTCCGGCTGGCACATGAGTGCCTCGCGGATATACTCGACACAGTGGTCTGATATTGAACATGCCACGCACGGTTAGTTAGCTAGTTGACAAGAAGCACCAGCGAACGCATCAGGGAGCAAATCTTCTCCCTGAGGATAGAATGGAACGCGTACCAACGTGTTTGATCTCCCGCGCCATGGCTTCTTCAGACTTGCCATCATGGTAATACGTCTTGAAGAGCATTCTCTTGACCTTTTTCTGTATTTGCGGTTAGCATCACGGTCCCCACGTCCTGAACGTACATAAAGGCAAGTGCGTGCAGTCGGCTGCTTACATACCAGGCAGTGCAAAGCGTGGTAGGTGCTGAGGGAAGCGACCCCATGCGTTCCGTCTTTGGTGTAGATGGAGGTCAAGTTGCGCTCATCGAGGTACTCCTTGGGTACGAGTATATTGTCGTCTGGAAAATGACCATTAGTGGGCTGTCCTTCGCGGCAGCATGCCCTAGCAGTGCCTGGACAAACGTACTGTGCAACAGGTGATGCCATGCCTCATCCAGTTCTGGCCGAGGGTCCCCAGCAAAAGCGTTATTGGTGATTTCTGTCGGGAATTTTCGCTCCTCCCAAATGAGTCCTTCGCGGGCCGGAACTGTATCACCGGTCAACAACAACCCGCCCATCTCCAATCAAGGTAAAGAAGTGGTGTGTTCACTGACGGCGATGTGGTGGCCTCGGTTGGGGTACCGAAGGATTTGCATCAGGGGGCCTGGTACTGAAAGTTCGAAGGAGAAGGCCTACGTAGATGGCGGAATACACCAAGATCAGGACAACATGGAAATAGATGGGTCGGAATTTCCGTGTGCTTCGTCCCTCGTGCGGACGAATGGGCTGCTTATCATCGTAGCAATCCTCATCCGGTAGGAGTCGATCTTCGGAGAGGACGCGGTTATACTCCTCGTCTCCACAGTCATCCGTTCTGCCCATCCTGCTCTGTCTGGCTAAGGTAGCGGATACCACTACCTACTAACCCTCTGGGTCTACTGTTCTCGTGAATTCAAGAGGTCGTCGATGACGGTACGGCGAGCAGGAAACAGGAAGGCTCCTGCAACAGAGCCAGCAACATAAACAAACCCACTTGCAGTGCTTCTCGACCAAGAAATCTGAGTGGGCGAGTGCAGGGATACAGAGCTGGCCATCTCTGTGCGTTCAATGCTACGCAGTAATGTGGACAGTGGTGGGTACCTACTATGCATTTTAATATCTCCGTACCTCGGTAGCTCTGGCGGGCGCGTGATCAACGCATCAACTGTTGGTGCTGGCTGGGCTTGATGGTGGGTTGCATGTTGGCGCAGTTGATTACTACCTACCTAAATACAGGTACATCGGTGCGGGTGATTGGCCCCGGGCAGGAAATGATTTCTGGAACCCGGGGAGGAAAGGCAGAAGGAAGAGTCATGCAGGGGTCTAAATTCACATCTTCCCGAGCCAAGGAGGCCCGGGTCGTCTTCCTTGCGAAGCCAGCTTCCCGCTCAATGTTACAACAATGTAAGGCTCCTCGGGGTGCCGAGGTCGTCTGCGTACAAGTAGGCGACGGTGCTCAAGGGGAGCGCCCCCACGGGATCCAGCCCCCTTTTCACGACGAACACAATGCGCATGTTCCGTTCCAAGCCGGGCTATCTGCCCATCCCTGCCCTCCAGGAACGTCCCACTGTTGCTGCGAAAGATGACGGCGCAAAGAGAATCCGCCACCTCCTTGTCATTCCCGCAGTTGCGGTCCTCTCGTTTACCCTCGGGGTCATTACAGCGGCGGTCATTCTTGCACCTGCTGGCTCACCAGCAGACAATGACTTTCTACAACCGGCCAAGCTCGACATAACTATCCCTATCGTCAGACAGACATTCAAGTATAACCGCACCTTCAGCGAGGACCCGCACCTCAACACCACTACGGCCCAGGCCTGGGACGATCTTGTTCCACGTATGTCACACCCCCGGACAGCGATTATTCCGATGTTGACGGCAATGACAGGGGGGCAGGGATCGGTCCGATACCCTCCGGCCACGCCGCAGGTTTACACGCTGTCTGCAGTCCATCAACTGCACTGCTTGGTTCGTCTTTCTCCATCTTTTGTCGCTCAGCTAGACACCGCAAGCCCAGGGTCCAGGGCCGGAGGCCCGTCTGCCCCCTTCCGTCCACTTTCCATCTCTCTCCCAGCTTGACCTCGCCGCAGCGCTCCGGCTGATCGGCATCCATGCACGAGTGTTAGTGGTCCGTTCACCGGAACTATTACGCCACCCTAGATCGGCACCCGGGTCATGATGCCGAAGACGCGGTCCGGCACATGAGGCACTGCTTCGACTATCTCCGCCAAACCTTGATGTGCGCCGCCGATGCGACGCTGGAGCCGGTTGACCCGGCGCTCGGCGGCGTGACGGGGTGGGGAACCGCTCGAGTTTGCCGCGACTACGGCGCTCTGGCGGCCTGGGCCGAGGCCCACCGAGTGAACAACCTCCACGGCTTTCGTCAAACTCCCGAGTCTCACCAGCACGGTAGTCACAAGTAAGTGCGGATATCCCGCTTAGCTGGAACGGACCAGTGGGATAAGGGCCCGGGCGGCGGTGAGATATGGACTAGGAAGAGGGAAGCTCCATGTCGAAAGCCGTCTGTTTGTAGTGGTCTAGAACCAAGAGGAACAGTCAATATACAGATCGAGCAGGCCTCCGATGTTCCACAGGGCAGAAAGGGTGGCAGAGTCCGAGGACAGTCTCGAGATATTAGTTTCACCACAGAAATTGAGTTCACCGAGAGATCCGGCCGAGTTCACCTGGTTCTGTATCACCATATATGTGCATGCAGCATCCTTCCACTCATCACCGTGCCATGTCAGATGGGTCTGGCCGCCCATCGATTGTACATGGCCAGCAGAAAAGGGCCCGCCAGTCCAATCATGGCACTGCGGATGTACCGTTGCGAATCAGCCCTGCCAGGCTGTGGCACAGACCGGCGCACACAGTAACGTCCGTCACACGTCACGTACACCGAGCTCCTACCGAACGATCTCCTGCGAGTGGCGTGTGGGAGCGACGAGAATTTGCACGGCGTGCGGAAAAGGCCGGGCACGAGCTATTCTCGGCGCTGCGGGCACTTTCAAACGCTGCAAGGACCCGTTCGTTTGTTGGACGAAGTACGAAGTATGTAGCATCGAGTCAATCATCGACTGTTCCTGACACGGAAGTCGGATCTACCGAGATTGGGGGCCAACCATGCCGCACCCTTCCCAACCTTGGCTGTGATCCTCCGCCCTCCCGATGAGCGGTACAGCGTTCGGTAATAGGCCTTCCAGCTGCCTGCCAATGCTGTCGCCATGGTTGTGTAGAACTGACAATGTGAGGGTGCCAATAACATGCGGGATGCAGCCTGCGTGGCGGATTGGTGAACGCAATGTCCAACAAACCAAGGCAATGCGTTGCATGCGGATAAAAGAAAAACACAGTTAACCGCGTGCTCGTTATCTAGGTAGGTACTGTACCTGCCTGCTGTGCATACATAGATAGACCCTGCCACATCCCCGTCTGGCCGTCGAATACAACTCCCCAACCCCCATGTAGATCATACACACGCTTCCATCCTCAGCAGAGCCCTACGACAGAAATAACAGCATGAAGATCCACGCCATCCTCGGTTCTCTCCTGGCCCTCGCGGCCACCACGGCGGCCCTGCCTCGGCCCAGTGAGTGCCTTTTTTACCGACCTTATGTGTGAGATACGTCGACAGCTAACAAACCTCCAGCTCCGGGTGACGCTCAGGTTGTGGATGCCGACGAGGCTGTCGCCTATCCTGCCCAGGTTGATCAATCCTGGGTGGATGCAGCCAACACCAAGAGAGCGGGTGGGTGAACATGACTCGGGACAAACTGTGTCCGTTCTCTATCGTTGGAACACGCGCTGATGGGTGCTGCTGTAGCCGTTGATGCCGACGAGGCCGTTGCCTATCCGGCAAAGGTTGACCAGTCTTGGGTTGACTCTCCTGATGCTAGCGTTTGAGGCCGGGAATTTCTAGAATCGTGAGGAATAGGGATTCAGAGATCCGCTCGCGATATATCGTGCACCAGAGAATACTCAAGCATAAGCCGGGGTTGGGGATGAAGCCATGGCATTCCTCAAACAGTACCGCAGTATTGAAGCCACCCCATTTCCGAGCCGAAGCCTCTGCTAGTGTCTTGTGATTTCTGCATCATCCGTGGACGGCAATCGGGCACCCAGTGCCTCCCAGACACCTCATATCTAGCTCCCAATGCCCTACAAATCCATCGTGAAATCCGTGAGGGCATCTAGATACCTGCGTGGCTCAAGTGTTGCAACATTTAGATCGTCCAAGGCAGGGGTATCTAGGTAATGCTCTGAATTACCATGGGGTTTCCCCCTGAACCCAGAACTCGATACAAAAGAACTACATTATGATTTATCGATTTACAGCGCTCTACACGTGAGATATTTAGATTGTTGGCTCTAAAAAGGGAGCAGCACAGAGGACAGGATTGGTGGCTGGTTCAGTATGAAAAGAGGAGGAGGGGGAGCGGTAAGGGGGCATACATGCACCTCCCGTGCGCGGATATTATCATATTTGGGCTGCCCCCCGCACTTTGGCCCCGGACCCTCCATACTCCGTCTCCCATGGGCGCTCTGCGCCACGCTTCCTTCGTTGTTCTTAGTTACTTCTCTTCCGCAACATGGCTCCTCGCTCAAAAAGCTATCAAGCGGTTCAACAGGACCCCGACGAGCGATGGAGGGACGATGAGTCTTCCCAAGTACCCTGCTCCGTTCAACAACGCCCGCCTCGCCATCCGTTGCTGTCATGGATTGTTGCTGCTACAGCACTTGTCTTTCTCGCAGTATCCATAACAGTCAACATATTCCTCGCATGGCAAATCAAACATGTGACCCCCCCGCCGCAGGAGACTGACTCTGTCTCGTACTATGGTCCGTATTGCCACGTTTTCCCATCCCTGGGAGTCATTGTTACTCACTAAAGACCCTCGCAGCCGGTCTCAAGCGGACACTTCCCCTTCAGATCTATCCAGACACCGACTACACCGGGGATAACCTTAGCGCTGTGACTGATCTGTGGGAGAAGCTCAGCGGCGACCCGGGCGTGGTCGCACTGCCCTCGGACTACGTCAGCGAGAAACGACTGCCGCACGCTTACCGCTTTCCATGGGATCAAGACAAGGGCGTTTATCTACTCCAGGGATTTCACAACCTTCATTGTTTGGTATGAGTCTGTTCCGTCTATTGAGCCACAGGGGGTCCCCAGCAATCACTAACGGCACGCCATTCAGCGCACGCTCTTCCGCTACATCAAATACACGGAGCAGGGCGTCCCAAACCACATTGCGCTCTCGCACGCGCTGCACTGCCTCGACCAGCTCCGGCAGGACGTACTCTGCAACGCCGACGACACGCCCCGATACGCCGGCTTCCAGACCCCGGCCGGCACGGGGGCAGGACAGGTCCGGATGTGCAGGGACTGGAGGGCGCTGGAGACATGGGCGTTGGAGCACACTGCTTGCTTCAAGCACGAAGATGAGGTCCCCGGGCCCATGGTGGATCGGTTCAAGTCGTGTCCCGACGGGCGTGTCCTCTGGCCGACTGCTGCCGCCGTTGCAGATCGAGGAAGGTGAATCTTGGTACGGACTGGCGTCCCACCCTTGATGGGGCCAGATAACGTTACAATAGGAAAAGGTTTTTGCAGTTGCATGTGATGAGAATGGCTATCCCGCGTCCGGCATGATCCTTGCATGTAAGTACCTACATACACATGCACCTCGTCGTAAGTCGACAACCGCCAGGTTCTGGCACAATGCCGAGATTACTACCTACCTCCCGAGCAGAGCACAGGCGGATGCATTCCCCCTCGAAACGTGGTTGGCCGACTAATTTACGGAATCGGTCGGCGCCTGGCCTTGCATGTGCCAAGTTGATAACCGGCGAATCCCACCGTGCCGAACAATCCGGGGTGGTTCTGTTGTGTGTATATCAGTGGGGAATCAGGGGGGGCAGCGCCTCTGGGACGCAGCGCCGAGCGCACAGCGAATGCTTCGTGTGGACATCCATACCACGCAGTTGCGGCGGAGGGCAGACTCTTGGTGGTTTCGGACATTCAACACAGTTACATACACGGACACCTGTCTCACCAACGCTCCCTCGCGGCCCAGAACCTCTGTTTAACCGCTGTTTTAACCGCGTAATCCTGACCTCGAGACCGTTGGTTTTCCAACAGGTTCAGCTGCAGCCTGCAGGCAATCGAGCCCGGAACGGAAGGTGGCAACCAAATATGGACAGAACAACAGTCGCCACGGGGAACGCTGACGGCGTCCGTCCCTCGAAGCGCGCAGGTCGAGAAGCCAACCAACAGTCCCACGCCAACAACGATACCATTACCAGCACACACGAAGCATCCGCCCACATCCAGAACGCCTGCCCTGTCTACACAACTTGAAGTTGGGGAGGATTCACCCCAGCGGCAACGCACTGAACACACACGCAGTAGAGACGACGCCCGCCCCGTGACCTGGTGCCGACGCCGCCACACACATCATATCATGCAGTCGAAAGAGCATGGAAGCATCGCCATTTCTGATTCCCCACCTGATCCGCCGGCCCCTCCCCGAACGGACGATGGAGCAGCAAAGGAGATCGATGGCCAGGAGAACCACCCAGAAGAGGGCCTAACCATCCAGCGGCCGAAGGAAGACGCCTTCGCATGGCTGCAAGTCCTGGGCGCCTTCTGCCTGAATCTGAACACCTGGTTAGCGAGACCACAGCCCCCCCTGCGCCCGTTCCCCTTTGCCCCCAACTTTGGCCACCCAGAGCTCCGTCCCCCGTTCTGCATGCCCAGCCTGCTAACCGCCATGAGCGACCGTTACATACAGGGGTCTGATGAACGCCTTCGGGGTCTTCCAGACTTTTTACCAGCTGGACTTTCTGCGCTCGTACTCGGCGTCGAGCATCGCATGGATCGGGTCGACGCAGGCCTTCCTGCTGTTCCTGGTGTCCCTCGCCGCCGGGCCCATCTTCGACAGGGGCCACCTAAAGCCCTTGTTATGCGTCGGCTCCGTGCTGCTGGTGCTAGGCACGTTCCTCACCAGCATCGGCTCCCAGTACTGGCACGTGTTCCTGGCCCAGGCCGCCATGACCGGGCTCGGCTTCGGCTGCTTGTACCTGCCCGCTCCCGCCGTGGTGTCCCAGTATTTCCATGAGAGCATCGCGTTGGCGAATGGCGTCGCCTCTACCGGCAGTGCCGTCGGTACGTCCTCTTTCTTTGTTCAGCCCGCCCACTCGCCCCGACATGGCATATGAGATACTCGTTACTGAGACGGTGGGTGAGGGCGCCAGGCGGCGTCATATTCCCAATCGTCTTCACCCGGATGCAGTTGCAGATCGGGTTCCCGTGGGCAGTCCGCGTGCTGGGGTTTATCCTCCTCGGGACCTCGATCGTAGTGGTAGCGGTGATGAAACGGAAGACGCCGCCTCCTGCCGCGTCCCGCAGCCTGGTCGACCGCTCCGCGTTCCGGGACGTGCCGTACATCCTGCTCAACCTGGGCCTCTTCTTCGGCTTCATGGGCCTCTACGTCGTCTTCAACTACATCCAGCTGCTGGCGCTCAGCAGGACCGACGTCTCGCCCGCGCTAGCCGACTACCTGCTGGTCATCATCAACGCGAGCTCGCTGCCGGGCCGGCTGGTTCCGACCTACTACGCCGACAAGATCGGCTCGGTCAATGTGCAGACGGCCGTCGCGCTGGCGAGCGCCGTCCTGACCTTTTCCCTGATCGCCGCCCGCACGGCGCCGGCCGTCGTCGCCGTGAGCGTGCTGTTTGGCTTTGCGGCCGGCGCCTTCATGGGCCTGCCCGCGGCCGCGGTAGTGGCTCTGAGTGCCGACAAGTCCAAGATTGGCACGCGGCTGGGAATGACGCTCGCGTTTGTGGGGGTTGGCGTTCTGATCAGCAATCCCGTTGCCGGCGCCATCTTGGGCAGCGACGGCAACTGGGTTGGTTTGCTCGCGTGGGCCGGCGCGCTCCTCGCCGCCTCGAGCGTGTCCATGGCGGCGAGCCGGGTTGTTAAGGTCGGCTTTGGCTTGACGAGAGTGCTGTGACCTGTGCCAACATGTCAAAGGCTGTAACCCGAGGCACGTTATTAGCGGCGGCCCAACCGTTATATCGAGCACCTTTGGGCACATGAAATGAAATCACCGAAGCTAAGGGGTCACAGTACGAATGCGGGTCTGCTGCTGCTACTTGGGAGAGCCGATCGATTATGACTACTAAGGAACGTGAGCCTCTGCAGTTTCTCTTTCCTAGGTTCCCGATGAGTTTCATATAGGTACCTAAGTAGAGCCCTTAGTGTTGCCTTTGTCCCTCTGGTTTCTTAGCTCCTCATAAATGTGGAGGGCCTCAGTCTTCACATACGGAATACACCAGGTTTCTGTTGAAAACGTTGGTGTGCTCCCCCAACTAAGAGAAAGCCCCTCTGGAACAATCCAGGAAATGCCGGTAGGCACACAGTAGCTGTGATGGTATGTACCATGCCGTGGAAAAGGCGGGCAATGAGCCAGCTGGAGAGAAGGTGCACGGGCGCCCAGGAATCACGTCTCCGTTGGCAATGTCCTCTATATTCCCTACCTAGTCTTGGAGTTTCCGACCCACCCTTGATTTTGGGATGTGGCTCATGCAGACTCCCAAGCCTCGTCCGGATGATGGTGTTCAAGTCCGGAAGAACGGCGGGGAGGTTGTTGGTCAGTACGGTCCGTAGAGCCTTTACAAAGCTTACGCCCTCTGTTCCTCGGCGATCGAACTAGTTGAAGGTATGTATGGTGTATATGGGTTGGAGCATATGCTTGGCCGCGGCCTGAAGCGGGAGCAACGTATCGGGTGCAGAGTTCATCTCCTTGATGTACTTGGGCGATGCAACGAAGACGCAGCGGCCATCGGGGGCCGGAACTTTATAAGGCTCGCCGTTGGCCTAGAAAGGTTTTAGGACTTGTGTATCCAAGTTGTTAACCCGATGCTGGTTATAGGACCTTACCTTCTCAAAGCCGTTGCATATGATGGCTATGCTATTGATAAGATAAATTTATACCTGAATTCGACTCGTGACCGGCTTCAATATGCCATTCACGTCGAAGACCACTTGAGCCTGTGGACCTTGTCAGCTGCAACCCGTTCTCCCGTTGGTACGACCGGGTGCGTGATACTTACGAGAAGCTTGCTTCCAGACGTGTAAGCCTGGAGGCAAAGTATTGCAAGCGCACCGGCGACCACAACAGCAGCCAGAGGGTTGGCCTGAAGTGGGGAGGCCGGCGGTCAGGTCTGCTGAAGCCCCAAAGCCTTAACCGTGATTGTCTTGTTTATGGTGCTCACATATGCTGGCGAGGAAGTCGACACTGCGTCCAAAGACAAGTCAGAGCAGGAGAAAGAGCCCGGTGGAGGAGTATTTGGACTCTTGGCTCCTCGTGACGGGTCGATGAGAAGACGAAAGAGTGCATAGCTACATGGCCACCTAGCTAAACGATAGGGCCGAAACTGCCCGGCACACCTTGTTACACTGCAGTCAGGTGGAATCGGATACCGAGTCCCGTCACCCTGTAGGGTACCCCGACGTGATGCCCGTAATCCTGCATAACCCCAGACCCCAACTCCCGTCAGTTAGTTCGCCAGAATCTCGACGTGCCAGGTACATGTAGACACAGCAAGGCTTTGGACCCCAAGCTCCAGTCGGCTCTCTCCTGCATGAGGAAGCACCCTCGTGACATTCATCACGGCTCGGACAAGCAAGCGCGCGGGAAAGTTGGATCCGACTCCAACCAGGTCCCGTTCGTGGTGCCTTTGTCCCCTAAGTGGCACGGTGGCAGGGAAGATGGGCTGGATGTATCGCCACACCAATGACACCAGAGTGGCCAGACTGTATTCGAAAGTGAAAGGCTACGTGAAAGGCAGTTTTGGGGTCAGGTAGGTGTAGTTATAACTTATTATAACTTACACACTTTGCCAACCTCTTCTGCATTGTCCTTCTTTCCCCCGAGGTATGATACCCGTTGCCATCAACAATCATCAATATCGGGCGATCTTGCAGGATGCCGCAAGCGCTGTCTCAACGTATATTTCGCGCGAGTATTGTATGTACATGTATCATACGTATGTACATTCACCACCTCCCGCGCCTCTTCACTGTGCCGGGCCAGGGCATGTGTTGGGGCCAGCGTTGGTTACCTATTTCTCGTCCCGCGTTTTCCACAGTACAGATGTACATATACACAGTCCAGAGACACTGCGGCTGGTGCCTTGTTGGTTGTTCAGAAGGACGGAAGGGTTGTCCAGTGACTCCAGTCTCCTCCTCCCATGTCATGTCCCATGTCAGCACCTGGACAGCCCCCAACGACCCAACAGTCTCCAACGGACCAACAGACTACAGGCAAACAGGCGAAGCCTGGGCCCGGGACAAGTCGCCAGCCCCTGCATTCGGACCTCTCAGCTCCTGGCCGGCTTGCCTCCTTTCAGCTCTCGGCCATATTTCCGAATCGTTCCTAGCGCTTGCTTCTCCCGCGATCTCGGCTCTTTCCATCATCTCCGACACCGACACGGAGACCACCGACATGGAGTCAGAGAAGGGTTCTCCCGCCGTTGCGGTAGATCCGACAATACCATCGACAACCACCCCGGGGACGAGCGAGCCGGTGCCCGTCCCGGTGCTGGCGGCCGGGGATGACGCACCGCCCAAGAAGCGCAGGCCGGCCCGCTTCTGGATGGTCATCGTGGCCCTCAGCCTGCTAGCCTTCATCTCGGCCCTCGACGCCATGATCCTGGGCACCGCGCTGCCCGCAATCACTGCCGAGCTCGGCGGCTCGTCCGTCTACGTGTGGATCGCCAACTGCTTCGTCTTTGCCGCGGCCGCCGTGCAGCCCCTGATCGGGCAGCTGTCCGACATCTTTGGCCGCAAGGGCCCGACCGTCGCATGCGTGGCGCTCTTCACCGTCGGTAGCGGTGTGGCCGGTGGCGCGACGAGCCCGGCCATGTTCATCACCGGCCGCGTCATCCAGGGCGTCGGCGCCGGTGGCATTTACGTGCTCATCGACATCATCGCCTGCGACCTGTTCCCGCTCCGCGACCGTGGCAAGTGGCTTGGCATCATCAACGCCTGGGCCGGCCTTGCTGCTGCTCTGGGCCCGGTGCTGGGCGGCGTCCTCGGCCAGAACGCCTGGAGATGGATCTTCTACCTCAAGTGTGTGCCCCTTGCCTGCTCGAGCTACGGGCATTCCGTCCATGCCCCTTGGCTTGCAGGTGGATGGCTACTAAGTACTAACCCGACAACAGCATCCCCATTTGCGGCATCGCACTCGTCACCATCGTGCTGTTCATGCACGTCCGCAGCGGCAGCCCGGCGTCCAGCATCACGTCGCTCGACGTAGTCGGCAACCTCATCTTTATCCCCAGCATCATCTCGGTGCTCATTGGCCTGGTGACGGGCGGCGTCGTGCACCCGTGGTCATCGTTCCGCGTCATCGTGCCCATCATGCTCGGCGTGCTCGGCTGGATCGGCTTCCACCTGCACCAGCACTTCCTCGCCCGCAACCCGGGCGTGCCCTCGCGCCTCTTCAGCAACCGCACCTCGGCCGGCGGCTACCTCCTGACCTTCTTGTCATCGGTCCTCCTCCAAACCGCCGGCTACTTCCTGCCCGTCTACTTCCAAGCCGTCCTCGGCACCACCGTCTTTGACTCGGGCATCTTCTTCCTCCCCTTCGCCATCGGCACGCTCTTCGCGGCGGGAATCGGCGGCGTCGCCCTCAGCCACTTCGGTGTCTACCGCCCCATCCACGCCATCGCCTTTGCCCTCAGCGCCCTCGGCTTCGGCCTCTTCACCCTCCTCGACTCAAGCACCCCCAAGGTCGCCTGGGCGTGGTACGAGCTGCTCATGGTGTTCGGGCTCGGGCCGACCATCTCGGCCATCCTCCCGGCCATCCTCGCGGGCCTCCCGCAGGCCGACGTCGCCGCCGCCACCGCCGTCTTTTCCTTCATCAAGACCTTCGGCTTCGTGTGGGGCGTGTCGGTCCCGTCCATCATCTTCAACGCCGTCGTCAACAACAACTTGGCCGCCGTGCGGGACGCCACCCTGCAGAGCCAGCTCGTCGACGGCGGCGCCTACGCCTTTGCGAGTCGGGCCCACGACCTGGCGCCCACCATCGACCCGGCCGTGTGGGCCGAGGTTGTCAGAGTCTATGTGACCAGCCTGAAGGCCGTGTGGTGGTGGGGGGTCGCCCTCAGTATCGTGGGCGTGTTTTCTGTGGCTATCGAGGACCATTTGCACTTGTCGACCGAGCTGGAGACCGAGTACGGGCTGCAGGAGAAGGGGGCGCCCGCGCAGGGGGGGGATGGTACGGCGGAGTCGGCGGAGACGGGGTCGGCGAGTGTATAGCGGCTGGGCCCTGGGGGATTCCACGGTGTGTGTTTTGTGTGTATTTAAGCATCGTCTGGTGTCCACAACAGCGGGACAACGGATTCATTTCAACGACGTAGCTAATAGAAACCGCAGCGTGAACTCGTTTTGTATTAACTAGTACTGGACAGAAGGTACTCACAGTTCGAGGAAGCGCAATGGACGCAAACGGGGTCAGCCTCATCGACTCTCGGATGGTCGCGTCGACAAGCTTGAGCTTCTAGACGGCATCGCGGGTCCAAATACCCCCGGCCTCCTTAATGACATTGGAGCACTCCTCTCACAAGACTCGCGCTCGGGGTAGTTGTAGATGTCCGGCATGAGGTTCTTCCCGGTAAAGCTGGTCGAATGCAGGGCCGGCCCCTTCGTTTCACCAACACTTTATCGGCAGAGCAACGATTCCGTTCAGACCATGCTTCCCTCCTCAAGCCCTCATCTTACACGCGTCTGCCCAGGACGTGGGCCGTGCCCCTTGCCTGCATATGCAGTTATCTTCGGGCTCTGTTTGTGCTCGAGTTGGCTAGAAACGACAGGGGGTAGGCCAATACATTATACACAGTACCAATACAACAACGCGGGTGTTTGGGGGCCATCTGCATGCTCCTGTCGGTACGTGGCGGGGGCGGAGGCGTCCGTACCAGCATGTATTGTACATACATGCATGAGGTGTGTATATTCTATGCAGTGGAGCAATTAGTAGGGTAAGACTTAACAATACATGTCTCGCTTCTCCAGGGGTACTGGACATGTAGAATGTGTTTTCCTACATTTGAGGGACCGCCTTCACACCGTAATCCTCCTGAACTGTACCTTATAAACTGTGTGTTTTGGAGGAGAGGAGAGTTCCGCACACTCGTGGTACTACCTCCAAGTTTCGGTTACTCTGATCCGTTGGTGCCACGACAGGTCTACGAGAGGTCCACCGTGCAGCCAACAACGCCGTGTTTATTATATTACCCGGGAAGGATTTATGCTCCGAGAGAACTGTTTCAGAGCCCGCTTTAATGGGGCTCGCCACGCTCTTTCTCACCCTCCTCGTTCGTGTCCTCAGCTTCCATCCGTTCTTGATCCTGATGGCGTCGACAAACGGCGCGGTTCAGGCCTTGCAGGCGGCTTTTCCCGGAGGGCAGATTCACGTCCGGGGCAGCGACGATTACGACACGCTGAATGGCGGGTACCTGTCCGGCCTGGAGAGCGACCTCAAGCCTCTGCTTATCTTTCAGCCGTCCAGCGTCGCAGAAGTCGCCGGCTTCGTGGATACCATCAGGCCCTTTGCAACCCTGCTTGACTGCGCCATCCGTGGCGCGGGGCAGCAGCCCCTCCCCGGCTGTGCCAATGTCGACAACGGCATCACTCTGGACCTGGCCCTGCTCGACGACATCACCCTCACCCAGGACAACTCGGTAGTCCAGATCGGGGCCGGCGCCCGCTGGGGCGCCGTCTACCCGAAGCTGGATGCACTGGGTCTCAGTGTGACGGGCAGCCGCAGTGCCACGGGTGGTGTGGGAGGTCTGGCCCTGGCCGGTTCGTCGCTCTGCCGTTGAGCTTTGTGTTGCATCGATGTCTTGATGCTTAGGGGAATCATGGCTAACCAAGTGGACCCTCTGTAGGAGGCCTGTCCTTCTTCTCCAGCCGCGAGGGCTTCATATGCGACAACGTCGTCAACTTCCAGGTCGTCCTCAGCTCCGGCAAGGTCGTCGATGCCAATGCCAACGAGAACCGCGACCTCTGGATCGCTCTCCGCGGCGGCGGCAACAACTTCGGCATCGTCACCCGCTTCGATTTCCGCACCTTTGAGCAGGGGCTGCTCTGGGGCGGCAATGTCTTCTACTTTGCCGACAAGTTTCCCTGCCAGATTGATTCTCTGGTCAGCGAGCTCAAGAAGCCCAATGCCAGCGACCAGACGCACATCATGATCAGCATCGGGCACTCGGGCGCCATGGCCGCGGCATTCGGTGCTCCCATCATGTGCCTGAACCAGGCGTACTACAACGAGCCGGTCGAGAACCCCCCGGTCCTCGACCCTTTCACCAAGATGACGCCGCAGATTGACGTGCTCAACAGCATGTCGCTGAAGAACGTCACGGCTGCGGCGAGCGAGCAGACTGCGGCCGCCCAGACCCAAGTCAGGTACGAGCAAGGACATGCACACGTCGCCGTTGCCTCTCTCTAACCCTGTCTTTCCCCGCAGGGCGGCATACATCAACATCGCGGTCAAGGCCGATGTAGCCACGCTGGAAGCCATGAGCGACATTTACACGGCCGCCCTGCCTCCGCTGTACGGCGTCGCCGGCGCCACGCTCTCACTCACGCTGCAGCCTTTCCCCACCTCGCTGCTAGCCAAGTCCGACGCCCTCGGCGGTAACGTGCTGGGCCTGCACGCGGCCGACGGCCCCATCGTCTCGGTCCTCCTGCTCTCGTACTGGGAGAAGCGGTCGGATGATGCGGCCGTTATTGCCTTTATGGAGACCACGCTGGCGCAGATGCGCGCCGATGCGACGGCCAAGGGCACCATAATCCCCTACATCTACATGAATTACGCCTTCACTGGCCAGGACGTCATCAACTCGTATGGGCCGGCCAACAAGGCCAAGTTGCAAGCGGCCAGCAAGAAGTACGACCCCATCGGGCTGTTTCAGAGGGCGTTTCCTGGCGGGTTCAAGCTGTTTGACTAGGTCGGTGGCAGGGCCTCGGTTGTTAAATGGGATCAAAGTCGGCTCGCTGGACGGGGTTTGTTGACGTCGGCACCACGAACTTCTAACCCCTTTTCACAATACAGGCAGGCAATTCGAGTTGTTTCACAATAATTCCTCTTACAATTGAAGGATGCCTCAGTTGAGTGAACATGTCTATGCCTGTTTTTTCACAGCCAACTCGACCTATTCAAGGACAAGACTGTCAAAAGCAAAAGGGGGCCTCAGCAGAATTGATCTTGCTCTGTAGTCCAGATTTGAGCTAGGCCTAAGAGCCTTCGGCACTTCCAATTCAAACAGGGTCGTGTTTACTTGTCTGGCCCTCCGGAAATCCCGGTCCATCTCCCTAGGTACATGTTCAACGCCCAACAGTTGTTATTATGCCTGCCACCACCCCTATTCATATCAGTTCAGTCAACCATGCCTCAGGTAAGCAGCCCTTCAGCGAACAAGGTGTCAAGTGGACCACATGCACCAGATGTCTTCCCCGAGTTGGGCAAAGCTCGCCCGTCCTGTCACCCCAGACTAGCAAGACCCGCAAGGCAGAACAGCAAGGCCTCACGAGTTGTTGTAGAGACCCTGACGAAACCCTACAGCATGTAACTGGATGCACCTAGACCCGAACCAGGCCGGATGAGCACAGCTTGAGAAAGGTAACTGCGCGGGATCAAGTTGATTTGGCTGCTTCCATATATTCGGCGGTAACGAAAATCACAAGCTCGCGTCAGGGGAATGAAGCACACGCACCTCCTCAGCTAGGAGCCCCCCGCCGATCCTATACTCACCGCGAGTGCTCACCATCCCGCTGGTAATGGGGCGAAAACCAGGAAGCAAATAAGAACAGTCAGCCAGTTCCCGCAGTACACTCTGTACGTCCTCGACCCTGGTGCGGTTTTCGTACCGGACGCCGTCGACCTCGCGCCGGGTCGCGTGGGCGGCAGCTCGCTTGGTGGTGAACTGCACCCGGCCCGCCGTCGGCATCCCCTCCCACTCGAGGATGGGACTGAAGAGCAGCATCTTTCGTCCTGCCTTGCCGAGCAGGGTCTGCACACCAAATGACTTGAGATGCCCGAGGTTGCGCGCCCAATCCCGCAGCACGGCGGTCCAGTTCTCGGGGTCGCTGAGGCGGACGTGGCGAACGTACAGGTGCTCGAGCGTGCGGCGAAAGCGCGACGTGAGAGAGGCCAACACGTCCGACGTCATGTCGCGGGGGGCATGTCTGACGTCGAGGACGGTGAGCGGGAGGTCGTCGGGCGGGGCGGCGGCGAGGCGGCGGTAGAACTCGGCCGGGGCCCCGCGCATGCAGAGCTTACGGAGGGACCTGGCTCCTAGGACGAGATCGACAAGCACGAGCAGCGAGTCGGGGTCGTGCATGGAATACCACTGGAGATGCAGATCCACGAGGTTGCTCGCCCAAGACTCGCCGAGCGAACCTGCCACGCTACGAGGCAGCAGGCTGCGCGTGTACCCGTGTATCATGGAGGGCTCATGCACAATCTGGAAGGATCTGATGGTCTGGAGGCCGTTGGCAAGAAGGAGGGCGACGTGCACCGTGTCCATGAGCAAGAGACCCCCCGTTTCGCTGGGCTCTCGCAGCTCCTCGTTCGCCTCGTTTTCATCCCGCACGGCGACGGAGTAGCAATTGACGAGCCTCGAGACGATTGCGCGGAGATCGCAAATGACGGGGGACGAAGGGTCGAGGCAGCCCGTCGACGGGTCGCGGGCCCAGCAATGGCCCGTTCCCGGTAAGTGTCGTGGCGGGTTCGGACAGCCATTGGCCAGTTCGCCGACGACGAGTTTACGGACGTACAGGCGCAGTCTCTCGTCGTCGGCGATCTGGCGGAGCCTCTCGAGGGGCTTTGGGCAGAGGTCCACGGTCACGCAGCCGAAGAAGGCGGTTGCGAAGGCCGGAAACGTCTTCTCATACAGCTGCCGGCATGTGGAGCGCAGATGGAGGATGTCGGCGTCTCCAACCGAGCCCGTGATTTGTTGGACGAGTTCTGGGGGGAGGTTCTGGAGCATGGCGCACATGGCGCATAAGAATTGGTGGACGAAAGATTGTTGGTTTCTGTCTCCAACAGGGGCTCCTCTGGGTTGTTGCCGACTATTAAGTATGTACCACTAACTAAATGCACGTCACTAAACCCCCGCTTCCTTTCCCTCCGCTGATCTGATTCGATGTGACACGAGGGTTCCAAGCTGACCTCCCTTCCCCCCCAACCTACGTAATTTATCCCAGGTAATGCATCTTTGAAGACCCATCAATTTCCTTTCTTAGCACTTAGCTACCCTTTCAAAGAGGATGGCATATCCATTACATGACTTAGATATGGAGGGTACGGGTAGGTAGGTACCTAGGTACTCGTCGATTTCAGAACGTTTGTACTGTATCTCGGACACTTACGGTGACTTACCTTAAGCTAGGTGCGCAGTCCGGGGATATTCTCCTTGCGTTCCTCCTTGTATTAATAGTATAATTAAGTGATTCCAGGCGAACCAGGCGTACAATTATAGCACGTTATCAATTCATTGCCTCCCATGCTTCACTGGACTACGGGATCCTAATGATGCAATGCTCACTTCTGGGATAAGAATCTCACAGAAATCTTGAAGCGGTAATATTACCTAGCTAAGGTACCTATTATCTACCTTACATCTTCTGACGTCGATATCTTAGGAAAGGACCAGCACCCTGATGGGTCGATTTCAACGGCATGACGGACAAATGCCTTGTAGGGGGTGTCCTTTACTCGGTCGGGTTATTTGTGTACTGCTTGTTGCCGTCGGTCGTCAGCGAAGAGATCGCAACGTTCATGATGGGATCGAGGACGAGTTGTCCGTTTTGGTTGTTAAAGGTCAGCTCTATCCGGGGTTCCTCGCTCGTCATATACACGCGAAGTATTGAACGCTGCTGCCCCGCCCCCGGGCCCGCCTCCGGCGTCACGGTGACGAGAGCCTTGCCAAATATTCCCCCGGGCGGACCGTCGATCTCGCCCGAACCGCCCTTGTATTGGTTGTAGTGGAGGTTTGCGGGCGGGATGCCTTCTGCGACCATCCACTCCTTGAGGGCGGCTGGGCCCCTGTCCCAACCCTGATCGTCATCCGCGACGGTGCCCATGATCCAGGCGAAGCGTTCGGTGGGGCAAGTCGGCGGAGACACGTCCGCCAGCGAGGTGCCGGCCTCCGTAAGGAAGCTTGTGATGCGCGGGATTATCTCGTACTGGGTCTCGTCGCGCTCCTCGAACTCGACGCACCCGGTTGGGCCGATCTGCGCTATGTGGCCAAAGATGATGCGCTGCGAGCCGACAACGACAAAGACAGTGCACCCGTAGAAGTAGTCGGTGCCGATCTTGAGCGACTGACCGGGCTGCAACGGAAACTCTCGGACCCGTCCCGTGCGGACCCATTTCAACTCGGCAGTCTCCCGAGCGCCACTTCTCGTGGTTTCGCGGACTGCGTTCCAGTCCTCATAAAGGTCCCGCCTGGAGAGGCGATGATGGGAACCACCAGAAAGCACACCCTCACCGGGCGCCCTCTTGACGTGTTCGGGAGAAGGGCTGACAGTGAATCAGCTCTTGTTATCACAATCCGCCAGAGTTAAGAAAGGTTTTGGAGTGGTTCACGTACCTCCGCTTCGTGCCTGCGCCGTCGGTGCTTATCGGTAGGATGGTGAAGATTTCCGAGTCACTAGGATTGATAGGGGTCCTCGTTTCCGTGCTGGTGGGCAAGATGGTGAAATTCCCGCTCTCACTCGAGCTCATCAAGGATTTCGTCCCCGTGCAGTGTCGGCACACTGTATCCAAGGACGTGGAAGTCGTGCTGGTCTGTCCCGCAGAGCAAGTCTGGGAATTGGTGACTATGACGGTGACCGTCTGCGTCTGTGTCTCCCATACCGTGGATGGGGGAGTGCAGGTCGGAGCGGCAGGACCGCAGCTGCTCGCCTTCAGGCCAATGGGAAAGCACTTGGTCTGCCCGAACTCGGGATCGACGTAGATGTTATACTCGGTGTCTGTGGCTGGGCACGCCCAGAAGTCGGGCGAGCCCTGATACAGCAGGTTCTTGGACGCATCAATGGAGAAAGCGCTCGTGGGCGACTTGCCCTGATCACACTGGATTTGTGTGGTTGGTGATCCTAATTTCTCCCGGTCAGTTGAACGCCCTCATTCCGTTGGTGGGAAAACTGACCTGTTACAATACACCCGTAACCATCCGAGTCCGTGATACCGCCATCGGGGTCAAGGTAGAATGTGGCTGTTGGGTAGCTGCCGTTGAGACGGATCTGCCCGTCTTCGAGCTGGCCGGCGGGACAGACAAAAGACCCCGACGAACTGAGAGTGAAGGCACATCCGGGGGTGGTGTTGGCTCGAGAGAGCCACCTGGCGAGGGCGCTATGGGGGGCCAATGCCGCAGTCGCGGCCAGAACAGCAAGGGGCTTCATGACGGACAGGAAGGCGGGGGGGAAGCAAAGCAGAATCTCGGAGCTCAGCTGCGCGCCTTCTTCTGGACTGTGATGGGAGGGGTTTCCTCTGCTCTCCTTATGCGATGCCTCCCTCGATCCTCTCGGACTTCATGCTCTACGGCCCACTTTCCTGGTCTTCTTCTAACACCCCCCCAGGACTTTCAATTTTTACAACTGCCGAATCGAAGGATCTCCCTTTCCCACCGCATGACTGTCGATGACGGTCTGTAAGCATCGATCTCTGCGTTGGAGGACCTGTTGCCGTCGGATACGCCGGGGTATCGCCGGTCATGGACCGGAGGAGGGGAATCGCGATCATCCTATCGGAAGCCCCGTCCCTACTTGGTCGGGATGTCATGCCATCATCGCGGCCCCAAATTCAGGTTTTTTATCGTCCCTCACTGTCAGGTGGATGGGTAGGAACGAAGCGGCCAAGGCATGTCTGACCACCCGCAAGTCATCCATACACGGACTTTGACTACCTAGGTAGGTAGTTACAACAAGGACGTCAAAGCAACGCGGTTGGGGTGTGATGCCGATAGTCGCCATTGGGTGGCCTGTTTCCGCGGGTAGGGCTGACGGCGTACAGACGAGAAACGAAAAACTTGGAAATAACCAGGGCAGTCGGTTAGAATGTGGCACAGGCTGGTGTATGTACCTCCATGTCACCCATTGATCGGCGCGTCTCTTACCCCCGAGGTGGTCCCTACCAGACATAGGTACTAGGCGGGCCGAACCCAGCGCGAGAAGTATAGTGTATGTGTGTATCTCTTCCCCAGAGACGGAGGGGCAGATCAAAGCAAATCCCGGTCCAATCCCACTGGGAGAGCCGATCAAAACCGGGAAACATCGATAGTGATTCGATTACGAGCGAACGGGTTGGTGGCGAATCCCGCTTTTGGTGTGTTCGCCGGCCCAATCGGCGACAAGGGAGAGCCAGAGAAGGATTCCTCGGTATTATGCTTGGTACGTCACAAACGGGTGAAGACGGCAGAATTAACAAGAGTAACGGAAATCATAACGGAAACCCCTGCGAAGGGACCTGCTAAGAATACTGCTGTGGAGGGTCGAGAGATCATCAGGGAAGAAGAGACGACTGACAGTTACGGTAATACTATGTTGTGGTGTGGAAGGTCCCATTCACACCGGGAGTAAAAGAGTCAAGTTTGATCGCGTGGTATTTTAGGTACGTAGGTAGTTAATAGCAATTGAACAACTGCTACGAAACGCGCGAAAATGAGAACCACACAGCGTATAAACAAGAGAGAGAGAATCACACTTAAGCGACCGTTACCATGCCCATTTTGCCCAATCCCTGTGTTTCCGTCCGACGAATGACTTGAATTGCCAAGCTGCACCACTTCAGCACTCCTCCTCCCGGCCCCTGTCGTGGCCTCGACGCGGTTGCGGAGAGTTCGCTCAGCCGCCGTCTCTCATTACGAGCCGCCCTCTGGTTAGATGAGAAGCGCCACGAGGAGGAGCAAAGAGACGCCCTGAAGTTGTCCCAGGCAAGGTACATCATCTCGATGTGCTCATGCCGCCGCAAGGTCTCAGTTCCGGCCCTAGCCGTCTGGGGCATCTCCTCCGGGGCTTGCCTATGGTTGAGGTGGACATCTTCGTAGCGGACTGTCCAGATCTCGTCTTCCGTGTGCGCAGGGGCTGAGTGTGAGGTCTGCATGTCCCGGGCTTCAGCGACAGGTTCATGATGCCGCTCTCCTCCATAGCTTGGCGGCCCCCCTCGGAAGTCTCTCTGAAACCAAATGTTGGTTGGGAGAGGTGGTGCCTCGGCCCCATCGCCCGGATCCAGACGCGAGAGAGGCCTCGAATAAGCAGACTCGGTGTATACCGCTTCGTCTTCGGATCCCTCGTCTTGGTTCGGACTTGGTGTCAGGCGCGTCTGGTCCCATTGCAGACCGTTGGGGCTGGTTGCCCGTCGGGGATTAACATCGGAGCGGCTGGTGTCGACAAATTCGAAGCGCTTGCGCATCTCGGCAATGGATTCTCTGTAAACAGAGGCCGGACACGTAGGCTGTTCTGCGGATGGCGGTGTGATGGGACTCGGGCACTCGTGGAGCTTCTCGGGCGCAGTCGAGTCGCGATCCGAGTTCAGAATGGAATTGTTCGTGGCTATCGAGGAGGCACCCCCCGAACGGATGGACAACTCAATGGCGTCGAGCCGACCCTTTTGGCCATCGATTCTTGTCTCAAGACGCTGCAGCGTCTCGAGTATCTCGCCAAGGACGCGGCCCTCAGACATGTTGAAGTTGTGGTCTAGCGGTGCGGTAATACGGTGATGTGGCTGTTGAGGATGGATTGACGCCGTGGAAGTGCTGAGCGGAGGGTTAATGACCGCTCGAAGGTCAACCTACAATTACATCATCCGGGTAAGACTCAGTCGAAATGTGAGACCGAGGGAAAAATAAAAGAAAATGTCTTGTCCATGATCAGCCCCTCCATCAGGTACCTACCTACCTATGCACCCGACTGGAACTTTGAACACTGCCCGTGGCCACCCTCCGACAAGTTGGTGTTGTCGATCCAGGGCCGTGATCCTTCAGGTATACCGATCCCAGGTACCAAAAGGTACTTGTATAGATTCTTGATGGTTCTTGTGACACCGCACATTATTGGTTCCAACTACGACGACATGGCGTCAGCTTACTCACCTCCCCCCCCCCTTCCCGCCTTTAGTCCGGGGTAGTTGTGCTGCTCGAACAACATGATTCTATGTACCATCCATTCTAAGCGGATATTCTGATTCGATCCCCAATCAAAGCATGTGATACCATCGTTAATATGGATTTCACCGAGTGGATGCTCCACTGCTACCAAAATCCCTAGCTCGCATAATATTTTGTTGGATTTGGATAGAATCTTGTTTGACGGACGAATGGCCCGGTTGTGAGTCACGACTTGGCCGATGTCCACCCTCCCCTGCGATCCGGAGGACCGCGGCATAAACGTTCCTGCTTCGAAACAAGAATGGGATTTTCCGAGGGTGACGAACCAACCGTGTCACGAGAGTACCAATGTACCATGGGGTTGAGTTCTCGGGGGGTTGTCCACCGTAGGTAGTTGTTCCGGCCCAGTGGACGGATATCAAAGGCAGCCGCCATGACTCGGGAATTCTCCAAGTCTTCGTTCTTTGGTCCAAAGACTTGACCTAGCTTTCTGTCCGGGACTACTGCGTGACCCTTCCCAAGCTCCGTTGACATGTTGTCCATGTTGTCCATGCCGTTGAGAGCCATTCTCTGGCTCGTTGTTTTCACTGTCTTGACGGAAGCCGTCGTCATCCGCTCGACTTCCCGGTGTGCACCAAACGAGTACTGGTGCCAAGATAGGTGCGGGTCGGACGACTATGGCAACACCTGCTGTGAGACTCCTGACGGCCAACATAACCTCTGCGGCGCCGGTGAGTAACTTTCTGAATCAAACATGGACATGGCCACGGTGCTGACATTCTGAATAGACACCATCTGCTGTATGTATGGCTGCTGTCCCGCTGGCACAATTTGCAACGCCGTCGGAGGCTGTGACAGCCCATCCGGAAATATTACCTCCTCCGAAACACCGCTGTGGACGTCAAAGAGCTGCCCAGGCTCGCCATCCTCACTCACGTTTTACACCACAATCACCGAGTTCATCACCGTGACGCCGTCCAAGCCATGCAGCTCAACCGGCGCCTCGTCGGTCTCATCCACAGCTTCCTCAAAAACGCCAAACCCACCGTCGCCATCTGAATTTCCGCAGAACCCGCCTTCTTCCTCAGAAATGTCCCAGACATTTCACTCCAATACCGGTATGTCATCGCAAACCACCGGATCCGGCGGCGAGCAAGCTACAAGCGTTACCACGTGGACGGCATCGGACGGTGAGACCATTGTATCTAGCGGATCGGCCATCATTATCGGGGGGACGAATACTATCCCTGTTCCGACCGGGTTTACGACAGTGACAACTGGCGGGCAAACATTCACGTTCGGCTCTCCTTCAGCCACCTCCACGGGAGCTACGGAAGCCACGGGAACCACGGGTACCACGAGAACCACGGGGACCCCTAGCACCGGGGGAGGCGGAGGTGGTACGACCTGGACGAGACCAGATGGTCAAACTGTCATCTCGAGCTCCGGCGTTGTCATCATCGGAACCAGTCCGCCCATCACGCTTCCCACTGTTACCGCACCAACCACCCTCACAACCGGAGGAGGGACGTTCACGCTAACCCCTCCGTCTGGCGGGACTAGTCGCACTTCGTCTCCGATCGCCACCACATGGACTCAATCAGACGGCGAGACAGTCATTTCTAGCTCGGGGGTAGTCATTATTGGGACGAACACCCCTATTACCTTACCAACCGTCACGGCACCTACGACGCTCACGACCGGTGGAGAAACGTTCACGCTGACCCCCCCATCAAGCAGTTCTGGCGGAACGTCGTCTCCCATTGCCACCACATGGACTCGGTCAGATGGGGAGACGGTCGTCTCGAGCTCGGGGGTAGTTATCATTGGGACTAACACTCCTATTACCTTACCAACCGTCACAGCACCTACGACGCTCACGACTGGAGGAGAGACATTTACCCTAACGCCTCCCTCGAGCGTTAGCACGACAACGACAACGTCGTCTCCCGTAGCGACAACCTGGACACGGTCGGACGGGGAGACCGTCATCTCCAGCTCGGGCGTAGTTATCATTGGAACTAGTCGTCCAATTACGCTTCCGACCGTCAGCTCACCGACCACACTCACTACGGGTGGTGAAACATTCACGTTGACGCCGCCCCAAAGTGTCACAACCACACCGCCATCCACAACAACAACGTCCTCGACCGACATAGGCCCCATTACCACCTTTTCGGAATGGCCGTCTGGAGCCGTGATCACCCCCGTGACGACCGAGGTCGACGAGCCGGAGGAGACAGACGGCGGCGCTGTTGTTCCATGTGACCTATGGTTCTTTTTTGTAAGATCACGGCGTCGTAGGATTGGACTGGGTTAATCGTGGCCACTAACCGGTTCTAGGTCTGTATTAGCACGCCAGAGATCAACATCGGCGGATGGTTCTGGCGATTGCCACCGGGCGTTTATCCACCGTATGTTCACTTCCTCCCACCCTCGTATAGATTCCAGCTAATAGGCCTCAAGGGGCCCACCACCCCCAGGTGTCATCAACCTTCCAACGGGAATCAACATCCAGGGTTCTCTACCACCATGGCCGCGAATCACGTAAGGTCCCAGCCTACCACTCATCCTCGTAGAATAACTAGAAAGCAGAACGGGTGAATGCAAAAGCAGACGCTGACAAGGCGACACAGGGTGGGCCCGGATCATAAGCCAACATACTCGTCCAGGCCAGACGAGTGCGAAACCGAGTCGGCGACGCTGTGCGCGACGACGTCGTCAGTCGGCGCCTCAACGACCAACGTCGCCTCGACATGCACTAACATTGTGGGTTGCGCCGTGACCGACTCGGATACGACCAGAACCACAACCTCGTCCTGCTCCACAGCGACCGTGACCGACTTTTTCGTGTCGTGCACTACGACCGCCCCAGGGTCATCCTCGTGCACCACGACCAGCAGCCTAGTCGAGTCCGGGTGCTCGGTCACGGGGACGGTCAGCACCACCTTCGGATCCGGGTCCTGCGTCTTAAGGACGACCCGCACCACGACCATCGAGGAGCTCGATCCTCCGACCAGCACCACGTCCAGCATCGCGTCCACCACCTCGTCCAGCACCACATCTAGCACCTCGTCCAGCACTCCGGCCTCAATAACAGCCACGGCAACAACCTTCTCGACGTTCGATTCTACCGACTTCCCCACACTGTCAACGGCGTGGACCACCCCGGAGGGAAGCACCTGCGCCTCCACCACGACCTACACGTCCTGCATCTTCCCCGGCGGTGGCAACTCGGCCTGCGCGGTAAGCACGACATGCGCGTCCTGGGCGGCCACGTCCACTTCCACAACATCCACAGGCCCAACGGAAACACCCCTAGCCATCAACACCAAGGGATGCTACTACGCGTCCGAGCTCTTCCCCAACGAAGACCCGCCGGACATCGACGAGGACTTCCAGCAGCAGTACATCCCGTGGGCGTGCGCGACCGACGACACGGCCGCGGTGGACGTGGTCTTGGGCCCGGACAGCGAGCCCATGACGTTCGATACCAGGACAAACGGCGTGCCGTACTGGTACTCGGTCTCGTGGATCGAGGACTGCGAGACCAGCGTGAGCGAGCAGTACGCCTACGTCCCCATCCCCGGCGGCGAGGATACCTGCTATAGTCTGATGAGGGGTAACTTTGAGAATTGTAAGTTGACTTGGGTTTTCTCTCAACCATCCCATCCCGTCCCACCTTGCACTGCTTTAACGGAGAGCCCCGTCAGGGTGAATCAAACAAAAGGATCAAAGGGCTGACAGCAGGAAATAGGCGAGAAGGATGGCGGATATGTGGGAGGGTATGTCGACGCCGGCTGTTTGAGGTATGTGTTTGAGCCGTGCGATCCTGACGAGAAGAGCTGTCACAGGTGAGGTGGAGGGGGGGTGACCGTGGGCCGATAACATCAAATGGTAAGGGGAGACAGGTAGCAGAATAGTCGATTTTATATACGCCCAATTTTACCATGCCGCTCGTGCGATACTCACCCTGGCTCACCCAGCCCAGCTGGCTCATCCACCCAAATTGGCAGATGAACCATGCACACCGACCTGTTGAGGTACTGTGTTCTTGTGCGTGTTGAGTCATGTATCCACGCCTGCTCAGTATACCTGGTAAATAACCAACGTACCTAGGTAAGCAATTCTCGTCCGATTAGGTAGGTAGGTAGGTACCTTTCAGAACGATGGTTACCTAGCTGTCTGTAAAAGGGTTTCTAACACGTGCAAAGTACAACATCAGCGTCAACATGACACCATGTCGCGTAGACTCCGCCAATCGCTCGCTGGATCGTGAAGTTTCTCCCCTTTATTCGTGGGAAGTCCTGGCCCTGAATTCCACAGTCTAATATGCGACCCAGGTAGGTAACTTGCTATCAAATCCCTCCCCTCCTTGTGACGACTCCGTATAGTTCGTTTATATTATAGGCGTGGTCAGGTTCTGACGAGGGCGTCGCGCAAGGAGGTGATCGACACTTGTTTCGAGAATTCGGTATGGGGAAGGTTTGTCTCTGTCGGAAGCTCATAGGCGGGATAATAGGCGGGATATCTGGCTCCGCCCTCCGTTTCACGACAAGACCGACAGGGTATCATTTGGGAGCAGCAACCTCCCCCCTCCCCCCCCTTTCCCCGGTTCTCAGGCTCCATCGTTGGAATAGAGTTCCCTTGGTTCGGGACCCAGGAACCTACCTGTCACATTACTGAAGCCATCATACACAGTAGTACCTGACGGTCTGGGCTGGGCGTCATGCATTAATACGACCTGTGACTAAAACTTGGCACAAATCTTGAGTTTGCTCCATGTTAATATCGCCATTCCAAGAGCTTCTTGAATACCTCCAGCCTCGGGGATCCCGTGCAAACTACCTACCTAACGTACCATAGGCGGGGACTTCCTTATAATAAAACATTCACCGCGGAAAAAGAAATAAAACCGTCCAATGCGGAGCAACTAAGGCTGCGATAGTAACTGATCTTCTCAAGTCAGCTACGGCTAGAGATACACCGACAACTCGTGAACCGCGAGCCCAAGGATGTACTTGAAACATCGAAGTCGCTTGAGCATGCCCCAAAGTAGGGGGCCAACGATGAAACCTTGAACCCGGGCACGGGATTCAAACCCCATGGGGATTCCCCAGATTTTCCGGCCCCTTAGGGTCAAATCGGTCGCTCCTCCGCCCCTAATTCGAACCCTGTTAGGAAGGCAAGAATGATGATCGCTCCTAGTTGCGTTTCTCATGGCTCTGAACAAACGAAATCCAATTTCCCGCCAATGACATTTTGCACTGCCTCCAAAAAGCCGTTGGTATCGACATGGGAGGAAAGAGTACTATAAGAATGGCAACAACAGGCGGCTTCTTCTCAGGTCTCACACCAGAGCAGACCTGCCATCACCACAAGAACAACCCCGTCAAGCCCTTTCCAAACCTCCTCAAAATGAAGTCTGTTACTATTTTGGCCATGTCCCTTGCGGGCGCAGCTGTAGGCGTTTCTGGTGCGGCGACGACCACATTCCCGGAGGCGACCGGCGAGACTGCCCTCCCTACCCCCATGCTCGTTTCCGGCGCGTTCGACGGAGGCATGAAGCGGTACAACCGAGACCGTAAGCAAAGTGTGAGCTCTAGAGTCTGGACACCGACTTACGTTATTTTGCAGCCGACACCTGCGAGAACCAGACGGAGACGGGTGAAGACGCGGCCATGTTTATCGTCGAGGACGGAGGAAGCATCTCCAACGTCGTCATTGGCAAGGCTCAGGGTGAAGGTATTCACTGCCGGGGTGCTTGGTCCGTATACCCAAGATTCTTGCTTTCAACCCCGCCGTCCCGCTAACCGTTTGATAGCACCCTGACCAACGTGTGGTGGGAGGCTGTCTGCGAAGACGCCGCCACGTTCAAGCAGGCCGAAGGCAACTCCTACGTCATCGGCGGCGGAGCTCGTGGTGCCTCGGACAAGGTCTTCCAGTTCAACGGCCGCGGAACTGTGTCGATCGAGGATTTTTATGCCGAGGATTATGGCAAGGTTGTCCGGAGCTGCGGTGACTGCACGGACAATGGAGGACCTCGCAATGTGGTCATTGACGGCATGGTCGCCAAAGACGGTGGACCACTGTGCGGTATCAACACCAACTTCGGCGGTAAGTTCGAGCGGATCCAAGAATGTACGGAACCCATTGTACTAACGTTGGGCTTAGATACCTGCAGAATCTCGAACTCGTGCCAAACTGACGGCAAGTCGTGCGACAGGTACGAGGGCGTCGAGAAAGGAGAGGGTGACACGGAGAAGATCGGGAGTGGCCCGGACGATATTTCCTGCTTCGTGACCGCGCTCACGGAGACGTGCTAAGGGATGGATGGCGCACTCTACCTACGCGAGATGGGCCGGGTACGACAGGAAGGAGACTGGATGGGGATGGCTGCTTGGACGTGCAGGGCGGAGAGAGGAAAGGGAAAAGCCGCGATAACCACCGAGATTATGGGCTTCCGGGCAGCCTCTGCTTAACGCGACTGACTCTGGGATGGCAGAGAGACGACTTTAGTGGCAGTCTCATCAATGCATGGCGATTTAATACTGTGGTATTTTGTACTCGGATCCGACATGCTGCCACCCTGTCCAGGACCGTCCTTGCATAGGTACCTAGGTAGGTACCTGGTGATGCTGCCCCGCGCTGAGAGAAAGAGAGAAAGCCGTTGCATTTGCAACATGTGTGCCATCATGCTCGCCATGCTCCGACGGCTCTCGGTGGACCAGATCATGATAGATGATTAGTCACACCAGGTAAACCTCATGGTTTTCAGCATATGTTGTCGCAAGCGTGCTTATATTCTGGATTTGAACCCCCCTCGCGTTTGGGATAGCGATAATCTCCCAAGTGCCGCCGAAGCCGGCGTGAGTAACATGAGCCCCAACGCGGAGGGTGGTGGTCGAGCCCTGTAATGATATACCCAGGGTGGATGGTAGTTAATTAGCCGTGGCCTAAGAGTGTAGGTGAAAAGATTGATGCAGCTTCTTACCCTATAGTTGTACATTGTTTTAATTACTAAGGGTATGAGTGCAGTTGTGAAAGTTGAAATTGTTTGGAATGGGCACGAAACATAAGGTACTGGGAATCCGTGATCCGTTCAGAGACCCCTTTAAATACCGCGTCTTGGGGGTCAGGTGAGCTCAGCACAACTCCACCGGTCTTGCATAACGTACTCAGCCTCCACCCACTTCGCACGGTACAAACGTGAGGTAGTCTGGGCTGTGCTGCTGGGAAACATGCACAGACGTACCCGGTCGTCGGGCGGGGGTGGCACGAGTGAGTGAGCTCAAGGCTCACCCACAGCTCACCCGCAGCTCACCCCGCTCACCCCCATTGGCGGGTGAGCCAGAGCCATGCGACGAGGGGCGCGGTATTCCCGCCGACCCAACCGCGTCCCACAGAACAGCTGAGCCAAGGCGTGCTCCAGAACGGACAAAAAGACAGCATGACCGGCTAGAACATCCTCGTCAGAGCGTACAGGATAGTGTGGACGCACACTGCGGGAGACAGAGACAGACATCATTTATCGGAACGGGGGAGTCACTATTGGCGGTTGGGTACCCCATCGCTATAGACTACAGCACCGTCGGGCTTGTTGACGTTCAATGGCAGATAGTTTCGTTTAGAGCTGGTTGCTAGAGATGGCGCTAAGGAGAAGCTGTTCGAAGTTATGTCCGCATGGGAGGCCACGTTCCCAGACTCCTGGAGCCTTTCCGCTCATGCTTCTGGGCTGGACACCAAGCTTGTATTATTCGCTCAAGAACCCAATGGCATAAAGGCTGCCGTGGAGATACACATTTCGCTGGGAAGCGAGGACAATCCGGCCGCCTTGATCGCTCTGGGCCCGACGCCGACATGATAGTGAGCTATTAACCGCAGGAGCCTAGCTGCCTGCCTTCTTGAGACGGACCCACTTAAGCCGCCATCAGTGCGAGGGTCTTGCATTGAGTCCGCGTTTACGGGATGTTTATTTATGCCCGTGCTCTCTCGGTGCATCCTTGAGGTAACGTGAAAAGGAAAGCCACGCTACCCTTTCCCCTAATGCATTCACTGGGGGTATCAAACTTGAGAGCTGAAAACTCCTGGTTAGGTACTAGGAAGCAGTCTGGAGATACCTACCTACCGAGGCAACGTTGCCTCCAAGGTCCCGCTGCAAGGGCCTCGTGTTAAGAAGACGCAAGTTACGCCGCAGTCTCTCGCGCTAATTGATTCCAGCTCAGTTGCCGCTGTCTGATCCTAACATTCCACTTCACGAGAACATTGCGGACCGTCTCTGACCCCCATCACATCACCAAGCCAACCAACCCCCCCCCCCCAGGCCTCGACGGCAGGGTTTAACCGGTCAAATCCTCGTGGGCTTTTTGGCCCCCATCACCGTGTGCGGCACAGCGAGATGCATTCTAGGTACCTACAGTTACCCACTAAGGCCCCTGCAGGCTGCAGCTGAGCAACTCCACAGACACGTCGTATAGTTGCCTGGTAAGGTCCCTGCAGCTGAGCGCCGCCTTCTAACTCGAAGTTGACTTGAGCAGGAGGCTCAGCGACCTAACCGATGATATGACAAATCGGCGTATCCATCAAAGACCGCCGTGATTGGGACTCTGGGAGTCAGCCTCGTCGGTCGGGGACAAATCGGCGCATCCATCAAAGACCGCAGTGCTTGGACTTTGACCTCGTCAGTCGATCGATGCAACTCCACGGTCGATTGAGGCAGCTTGCTTGGGCGACGACGGGGCGCATCCGGGGCGAGACGGCTCAGGGAGACCGAGACATAATGGGCCACACTGATGGAGTATTAAACTGAGTACTTTGCCCCAACATCAGGTCTGTTTTCTGTTCCAACAAGCTCATCATTCCTGAACATCTCTCAACCTTCCTCCACACCCGACGACTCCATACAGCAAGACTTACCAACCAGCACAACAATGGCCAAGTTCTTCATCGCGTCTGTCCTCGGGCTTGCTTCCCTCCAGGGGGCTATGGCGGCTCCCGCTGCGGAGGTGTTCCCGGAAGTGATTCCCGGGCCCGGTCTTCCGTCGCTTGCCGACCTCGGCCTCACGTCTGCCCAGCTCTACAAGATGCCCACCCCCAAACGTAAGAAGAAGAAGAAAAATGAAGACCACAGGGAATCTCCTGTGGAAGCCTGCGCTGTCGCTAACTGGGATACCTACAGAGCTGGCTGCTAGACTCGACCCGCTCAACAAGCGGTTTGATGCCAAGTGCGGGCCCGCCGAGAATGCGTACACCAACGTGAACGATATTATTGCCTGCTACCACTACCTCAACAACTTGGGCACGACCATGTGCGTGGGCTCTAGCGCAAACAATGTCTTCTGCACCGCAGGATTGGCTCACGTCACCGGCTCGACCCCCTTCGGTCCTACGCAGTCCTACTGGTAAGCGCCGAATAGTATCCTGGCGGTGTGGTTGTCTGCTGCTTCAGGTGCATGGCTAATACTAGGTTACTTAAAGCCGGGATGTGGCGGCTGGTGTCTTGTGGGCTATCGACAGCTGCACCCGTCCGGACCAGAGCTGCGCTGGTAAGTTTATCACCTCTGGCTTGGCTTTTTACTGGATGATCCTGATTTGTATTGTGAACAGGTTCTGCGTCGGCTTACGGCAATGGAAACCTCATCATTACCTCCTCCCACCGCATCAACTGGTAAAGGCATCGGGCCTGGCTGCTGCGAGGACAAGATTGAGGTGGATGTTGATGATCGAAGCAAGTGCAAAATATGTTTCTGTGGATTTCTATCCGTTAGGAATAATACAAACGAAAGCCTAACAGTCGATCAAAGCTGTGGTTATTGTCACTTCATAAATAAAACTGCCCCTATCCGTAGTATTCGCGGTTCAAGAGCTTATGGCTTGAATGAAGGATGGAAACCAACCCCACGCGCTTCGTATAACACTCAGACAATATCAAAGTCCTCCACAACCGGATCTCCCTCCATACACTGCCCGTCCATGATTCCATGTACGTATGTGTCTCCCACGTACGTGAAACAGTTCGCCGCTGGCCGCAGGACTATCGGCACTGGCGTGCCCAGCAAGATGGTCACCACGTCCCCTGTCTGTAGGTTCTCCGGCCCCAGGCCCAGCCTGCCTCCCTTGGTCGCAAACAATGTCCGCCCCCGGCATCTGGCCGAAGCCTGGCGCAGCAGGATTTCCGAGTATTCATCCACTTGGGCCTGGGTCGCGGTTTTAGGGTCTGGGTGGTGCGGGAACGGGTAGATTCTGCTTAGCATGTAGGTTACCTGTGCTTCGGTGAGAGTAGCGAGGGGTACTGGCTCTTGACGAAAGATGCGTGCGGCAGGGGCATCGTAATCGACGGGGCATCTTTGCGCGTTCACAAAGTCGGCTACGATAGTGCGCCACAGCACGGTTTCAAGCTGGGCACCGTCGAGTTCCAGATGGGCCGCGATGGCAAAGTTTAGGATCGCTCGTAGGATGCGTGTTCGTTGCTCACGATGCCAGACCAGCGCCCTTGCGAGTGTCATCACAGGTCCTGTGCTGGTGCAATAGTATTCATCGCTGGCGAAGACGGTAGCCACAACATCGACCGAGCACCCACGCTGTCGTAGAACACGCCATGCTGGGATTCCATTTACAGGAGTCGGAAGCAAGCCAGTGGGTGGTGGCTGAACCCGGCCTGCGGAGCTGTTGAAGTTCGTGGCGTAACTCAGCGGCTGTGTACTCACGAGCCCGAACCGACCGACTCGCTGCCAGTCGGGTACCCAGGACGGCAGATCGTCTATGTCTTTTGGAAAGATGCAATAATTCAAGAAGTAATGAGGACAGCGCTCCACCATCGCCCTCGTGGCCGCCGTGTAAACTTCTGTCACCGTTTGGTTGTAGTCAGGTCGCAGGCCGAGGCGCTCTGTATCAGCAGCGACGCCGAGAAGGCCAAAGATGATGTCTCTCGGATCTGAGGCTTCGTAGAAGGGCCGGTCGGGGGCCGCAAGGAAGTCGGACAAGAGAAACTCCAGAAGACCCGCCTCGTGGTTTCGTCTGCGCTGGCGACGGGCGACGAGGCCGCGCAGCCGGAACAAGTTATTGTCTAACTTAGCACCGAAATTGCGCCACCGCGGATGCTCGCGCGTAAAGTCGCCATTCTTGCAAAAGAAGATGGCGGCAAGGGCGGCATCGAAGGCGTCGAGAGACACGCGCTCGGTGCCGCAGAGAACGAGGCCGTCCCGCGCCAGCGCAATCTCCTGCACGATCCAAGCCCGATACCAGTTCGGACGTTCGAGCAACGATGCGACAGCGGCCAGCATTCCAGGCGATCGTAGCTCCTCGTCGTCAAGCGCCCGGGCCAGGAAAGACTCTCTCCTTTCCACGCTCTCGGTGTCGTCCTGGATATACATTGGTTGGTAATTGAAGGATTCCCAGCTGAACCACAGATCAGATATGCCTGCGCGATGTGCATCCGGGCCGATGCGCCGGGCCATCCGAAGCACGTCGCTGTCATCACTACTCGGCCCGAGCCAGAGGTACACAAGGGCGGCGCGGCCGAAGATGTGACCCATCAGGCCAACCTGCCAGGACCGTTCCTCGGAGTTGTCCTGGTTAATGCAGATGGCGTCGACCCAGAGCCATTCCTGCGCGTCCCCTAGTGTGCGATGCACATCGAGGAGGGCCTGGTGCAAGTTATGGGCGACGGGCAGGGGCTTGCCGTTGACGCGGATGCTTCTTGTCGGCGCGGGGTCCCCCCATATATAGGAGAGCGCGTGGTAAGACGGCAGGTCGTCCAATGATAACCGGTGTAGTATGAGCTCAACCTCGAGAGAGGATTCCGAGTTGCTGAACCGCACAAGTCGAACCTCGCGATCGTCTCGACTGAGGTTGTCGTATGAAAACGTCTCCATAGATGTGGGGTGTAGTGGTTGCTGCTCTGGTCGCGCGCGCGTGTGGTGCTGTTCTTGTGTTTGCATGTTCTTCGTCTTGGGTGGTGAAATCGGGCGAATCGGTGTCACGGGGGGTGCTGACCGGGTCGCTGCCTGGCTGAAGGGGGGGCTGGCTGCTGTCCCGTGACGGCGGCTGGTAGCCTGCTCGGTCGCCCTGCTGTTGTTGGGTCTTGGCACAATATAGGAGTGGCCAGGCTCCAGGAAGAGAAGAAAACAAGATCGGGAACAAGACCGACTATTTACCTAGGTACCTACCTAGGTATATTAGTACCGCGGCGGGATTCTCAAGAGGGCTGTACGCCTTGCAAAAAGGCTTTGACAAATTCAGGTAGCCGAGCGATTTTTCCACCTTCAGCTATTCATAAAAGTACTAGATATCATACCCGGCCTCGCCGATTCTACACAGTAGGTAGGTAGGTACGTACTAGTATAATTAACCCAAGAATATCCCATCTACTTAGGTAGGTAGGTAGGTAAGGTACCCAATCCAACCCCAGCTGGTACCCAAAACCCCATCCATCTCCCACCACAGCACCCATCTCTCACATCCCCTCCCCTCCTCGCTACTCCTTCCCCCTCAACGCAAACATCTCCCCAACCCACCCATAAGCCCTCCCCAGCCGCCGCCCGATCCGCCTCGCCACGCGAAACGGGATCTTCCCCGCGGGGTGTGGCTCGTGGAACTGGATGCTGCGCTCGACGTCGAGGCGCGACGGCTGAAAGTCTGTGCAACAACAACAACCTATGTCAGTATTACCCACTCCTCGACGTGAGGTTCATTCAAATGGGGAGAGCTCGGATGGATGGATGGGTTTTTGACGTACGCCACACGGACCCGTACAGCTTCTCGGCGCCGAAGCCGGCGCTGGTCATGGCGTGCAGGAAGTCGGGCCACGACACCTCGCCCGGCGTCGACGTCACGGCGGGCTGGAAGAAGAGGGTCCGGAACACCTTGAGGGCGCGCGCGTCGACGGGGATGGTGGGCTGGGTGTCGAGGGTCGGGGTTGCGTCTGCTGGTGGCGGTTGGGGTGTTTGTTGTGCCGAGGTGGCTGCGGCGGCGCCTCGGGTTTTGACTTTTGTCTTGGGCTGCGCTGGTACGTGCTTCTCTGGAGGCAGGGTGGATGGCGGCTGGTACATGGTGTCGACTTCGGGGGAGGCCACGGCGGGTTTTGCCGTCTTTGTCTTCCCCGCGGATGCCGGCGCCACCCACTCTGGTGTCCGCTGGAGAGTGCGTTTCTGCGATAGCAACCTCCGCAGTGCCGTCTTCCCCAGGTCTCCGGCTTTGGCGTTGAGGGTCCTGTCGAACTTGTCCCAGAAGGCATCGAGGTTCGCTTCGGCCTGCCGCAGCGCCTCTACCGTCTCCTTGGTGCGGCGTTTCTCGGTTGGATAAAAGGATCGGTCGTCGGACGGCTCGGCGAGTTTGAAGTTCGCGACCATGGGCCTCGACTTCATCGTGTTGTATATCCCCGTCCAGCTGTCCCTCCACCCTACCAGGTCCTTCTTGATGCCCTCTTCCCGATCCACGCTCGCGGACTCGTATCCGTTGGCCCAGGGCTGGTAGATTTCCAGCTGTCGGAGACACTCGCAGAGGATCGAGAGGTCACCAATCCGCCCAGCGACGTAGCCAGACACCAACTCTCGCGCACGCGGCTCCGCGCGCAGCAGTCGCTCGAGCTCGTCGACAATCATGGGCATGCGGGCAAAGAACAGATCTTTGCCGTCTTCCCATAGCGTTTTCAGAAGCCACAGCAGCTCCTTCTCCACCGCGTTCTGCTTGAGGCCCGGCTTGGTCGTGATGGCTATGTGGTTGAGGTTTTCTGCAGGGAGGCGGACAAAATAGCTACGCATCGGCGGCGAGGCCGCGACCGTCGTCTTGAGGTCGTTCAACCAGTCTTTTGCCAGCTGGTTGATAAAGAAACGGAAGCGCAATATGGCGACCAAATACTCTTCCGGGAGGTCCTTGAGCGGCGAGAGAGTCGCGGCATACTTGGCCTGGAGCCGTCCGAGTTCCTCTGCTTGGCGCGCCAGTTCGGAAAAGATCTCGAGCTGGACATGTGCGGCGAGCATGACGTTGCCGATGACACGTTCCCAAAACACTTCCATCTTGAGCCCCTGCAGAACCGGATGAGGTTTGCCGTTGGTGTCCTTAAGCATCTCCTGGCGGTGCTCCTTGTAGGTCAGCAACTCGTCAGAGAGGTAGCTGGGGTCCTCCCGGAGGGCCCAAAGACTATGAACGAGAGTCAGCTGCGGATATGGTCAGGAAAAGGAGCTCGCATACTGATCCTCAGATGCCGCGGTACGCGCTGCAAGCAACGACTCGATGCGGTCGAGATCCAGATGGCCCGGTGGTCGGTACGGCGCCTCTTCGGCCATGACGGCCAGCGAGCCGAAGCCACTCCCGGGTTCCACCGCCGACGTCAAGGCTGGCTCGGGTTGAACCGGGTACTTATCTCCGAGCAGCTCGGCCACGGGCATGTCGTGCAGCAGCTGCTCGCAGCAATGCACGAGAAACTTGGTGAGGCGGTCCTGGGCCTCCAAGATGTCGAGTGCCTCGCCGGGCATAAACTGCTTCCGCGTGTGCATCCAGTCGAAAGCATCCGGGTGATCGTCCCAAGCCACAAGTCTGCCGTACTCTTCAGGGCGGGTCATGCCGTTCAACGTGACAACGTAGCAATTCAAAAAGATGGGCACGAGCGCCTTGGTGGTGCGGCCCAGGTACATGGCGTCGCCGTCGGCCGCGGCGAAGTCGCAAGGTGGATGCCTGCCCCTGGATTTAAGCATCAGGGGGAGGCTCTTGGGCTTGAGCAAGTCTTCCTGGTTGATGTAGGGCCACACGAAATGGGCCCTGAACTTCGTGCCCGATTCACGCTGCGCCATCGACTCCCTGCGAAAGGCGGCAAAGTCGGGGCGGTGTGTCGGAGCCATGTTTGGCCAGCCGTCTAGCAGCATCTGGAGCCGCTGGCGCTTCGTCTTCTTGGCCCAGCGCTTCTGGATGGTCAGCTCGTGGCGGTCGAGGATCCGCCTAAGACGGCCATGGTTGGCGAAGATGGCGCTGGATCGCTCCTTGCATAGCTGGCGGACCTGGGTGGGTTCCATCAGGGCAGGCATGGGCAAGCCGCCTGGCTCACCGGCGTTGAGATGCTTGAAGAAGGCCAAAGGGTCGCTCAAGTCGATGTCATCGACCCCGCCAGCGAGAGGATCGCTGTCTTCAAGGGCCAGGGCCTCAGGCCCGAAGGGATCGAACCTGTGGTCAGTTCGAGACTGCATGGTTGCTGGCTTCTGATAAAACTTAGTTGGCAATGGACAGGTGCAGCCTGAACCGCAGGTACCTATTTACATACAACTTCAAGTACACTAGAGGTCGGGGTTTGTGCGGGGCGGTGAAATTTGAAAATTGCATTTTTGGGGTTGAAGTATTTCGGTCTTTTACAGTGTGAATACCTCCAGCGCCGGGACTGAGGGCATGGTTCCCAGAAGTACCGTTGGAAATGATAGACGCGATGTTGATGACCAAGGTACCCCTAGTAATGGATCAGTTAACCATGGCACTGCTTTCCTTCATAGTATTAACTGTATAACTGTTTACCGGACCGGGACACCGGGTTAAAGCTCTGGCCGCAAATGCTTGATTCTCACGGTCATGGCGGAATTGAGAGCCCACTGTTTGCATCAAACAACCTGCTGTGTACAGAGGTACCTAGGTACCTACGTAAACGAAGATTCCTTTCCTCTCGCACCTGTGGCAGCTGGCGGGCTGCTCCACAGAGCTAGGACGAGCCACTTAATTGTCCATTTCTCTGTGGTGCACACGCCTGCTTGGACGCCTTGGCGTTTTTCAGAGCGAAAACACGTCTAATTTTGCGAAAAAGTCAGGTACCAAAGGTAAGGTACATATATCCCTAGGTACCAAGGTAGGTAAGTTCGCTTCCGACCCGGTTCGGACTAACAACGCAATCGGCAACATATAGGTATTTTGTTTCGGTCGCGTAGCTGGCGGGCGGCGGACCGACAAGGAGTCGTGTTTCGGCTTTGGCCTCGGCCTCGAACTCGCTTGGGGGCGCAGCGGCAATCCGAGCCCGCGACCCATCCTCAGGAGCTGAAGCCCGCAGCCTGCTCGCGCTCAGGTAGCACCCCAAGACCCGTTCGGAACCTGGAACGGCAGTTCAACGCTGGGCACGACTATGTCAGGCTGCAAATGAGCGGTCGAGGCCGGCCCATGGGGCGGTTTGGGTTGCTCAACCTGAGGTGGTTTCGTGACGGGCAAAGATGACTCGGACTAGACGAGACCAATATACCTGCCTAATAGCTACCTACCTACCTGGTAGCTAGGCCCATATATAGGTAGGCCCATACAAGCCTCGGTACTCAGCGCCCCCCATCGATAATCTCCCTCTTGCCGTGCAAGTGCCAACACATATTTTGAGAATTATCAACACATAACGAAACCAGCTTCGGGCGCGCGATCAAATGCACCTCACTACCATCATTATCTCTGCCACCCTCGCCTTTGCAACTGGCACCAATGGCTGGGCCCCAGATGGAAAGGGAAACCAGGTTGCGAACAAGACCGACTATGTACTAGATGGCAGTACGTAGCCCGGGGAAGAGGATATGACACGGGCCGTGTACTAATTTTATAATCTTGCAATAAGAGGTTGTGGACGAAGCGTGCACCGATTTCGACACCAATGAGATTGTAACAAGCGGTCCCTGCAAGTACTGGGCTGACGGCAACGGGGGCATCACCGAAGGCAGTAAGTGTCTCGACCTCTGAAAGAATATCCCCACCCGCTTACAAAACCGCCTATATAGCATGCTCAGAAGCCAGGCATGAGATTGATGGCGGGGGAGGCAGTGAAGCAACCTTTATCCGATGTAATTGAACATGGAAGCAGTCCCTAATACGAGTAAAACACACGTCCACTCTACGTCAGTTTCGAAGTCGACCTTCTATCACGGCAAGCCCCATGTGTGCATGCCCGCAGATCAGTGCGCTGGGTTAAACACTGAATGGAATAGAGCGGACGCGTACGACTGTATCGAGTGTGCATGTCGGCGAAGTGACCGGCGGGATGCGAGATCTGAATTCTCAGAGCATCCCCATCTTGGGATACTCAAGTCGCTATTATTCTGATTTCAGTCTAGTGATCGAGCCACAGAAATCGCGGCTAGCGTTTTGAAAAACAACCGCTCAATCTACTACCGATACATTTCCGTTCAAGACCAACAAACAGTCCACGTCTAAGCGCCTTGCTATTCATTTCCATCTACCCCAATCCCATATCTTTTCTTGCCTTCCCATCGTGCCGGGTTTGTTAGTCAGTCCATCTTAAAGTTTCCTCGTAGATTACTCCTGAGGCCGCTTGGCTAATGTGTTTTGGAGGGATCGGAGTTCTTCTGGGAAGAACTTGGCGCACAAGAGGGTCATATTATCTTTGACACTACGACGTGTTAGTGGGTAAGCCTTCTGACCATGGGGTTGTTACTGACATCGGACGTTGCGGGTTGCTAGGACCTGGAATGTTGATAGCACAACCCAGGTCAAAACGGAGCGAGTAAAGTAGGTTACGGTCATCCCACTCTTCCTCTAGGCCGCGCGTTAGCGTTCGGTATCAAGCCAATCACCCTATTCCGGTCACTTACGGGGTTCCGAAGGCGGATACGACTGTTTATAGCCCTCGATATACTCCTTGGCGCTTAGCCTGACCCTTGCCGCCCTCCAATTGCCCATCTCGTACTCGTTATGGGCATAGAAGCAGCACGGATCGAAGATGAAGGGCTTGCCGGTCACAGCGTCCATGGCCGTATTCTCGTCCCACAAATCGCCGTGTACCAAACAAGGCTTGATACTGCGGCCATCGGACTGTAGCGGCTCCAGAAGCCTCGGGATAACCTTGTCTACGAGGAGCTGACTGACTGCCTTGAACTCGGGCCATACGCCGTTCGTTTCTTCGTCGAGCTTGATCATTCGGATCATCTGTTTGCGGTATAGCACAGCCCAGGAATCTTCCCAACCGTTTACGGCCTGCGGCAGCTTGGCGTGGCAAGTCGTCATATGAAAGCCGAATTTGCCTGTAGGTGAGGTGGACTTCTTGTGCAGTTCCGCCAGGCGCTCCGTGAACGCAACAGGCTCTGCGGGCTGTTTCCCGATATGGCGAAACTCGGTGAGTAGGAACCAGGTTTGTGAGTCCTCGTACTGGCCCCAAGCATGGGGCTGGGGAGCAAAATCTGGAAAAACGGTGTGGATCGCGTTGAGGGACTCAAACTCGCCGTGAACCATGGCACGACCGATATTTCCCTGGTTCACGGTCTGCACGTGATGTTATTGTGAGCATCATATCTGGTCCTAGATCAATGCCCGGTGGATCTGCCGAGGGTAAACTCACCTTGAGAAAGTAATCTTTTACCCCCTCGCCAGGAACATCAACCGTGATCTTTCCGACCCCGCCCCAGAGGGATGAGCCATATTCCCTCGCACTTACGAGCTTTGACCCAGGCACCGGCAATGCTAGCAGAAACGGTTAATTCCCTCTGAGGTCGAAGTGCATTTGTCAACTTCCAACTCGTACCTTTGACAACCGCCGCGTCCAACTCTAGCGGGCCCCTGACCTGCGGCTTCACCACGGGGCCGACAGGTGCCTCGCTGCTTGTATGGCGGTCGTTTTTGAGGACCATACCCGGATGGGGTTCGGGGGTTGAGGCTGCTTGCGAGTGCACCATGGCTCCGGACTCGAGGTAATAGTGGTGTGTGCCTGAGTGTTGACTTCCGTTGAAACTTAGAGGTTCAGTTACGTTGGCAAAATAATACAGCAGTACCTGGGTAGTCGATAACAATGATTAACAAACAGAACAACTCAATGTCGAGCAATTGTTAAATAATCCAACCCAGCCATGTGGCTGAGCAAGTAGCAACCCCCAACCCGGCTGCGAACTTGGCCAACACACTTGAAACTTCCATCCCGGGCCAACATCGAAGTTCCCGCCGCATGGCACCCGCATCCTGCGGCGGCCGCGATTCGTACCCAACAAACCGCACACACATTCTGCCCACCAGCAAAAATCGCACATTCAACAAGCCACCAGTTATCGTGGCCAGAGGATTGCCTGCTCCGTTTGACTTGGCATCCCATGGGCCGTACTGGCAGCAACGGCTCCAGCAAATATCAATGCCAGGTGCTGAAGAAGAAGGTGCAGGACATATGCGAAGATGAAAGCGCTGGGGCTGTGCCATTTTTGTTTGAACCCTTGGCACTTGTAAGCTCGTAGGAGGCTTTCATCGCTGACGCCGTTTGTGGTAAAGACAGGTAGCTGGCCGCTACAGAGGCGGCCTCGGTTCGGGAACGCGAGCGGGATCTCGTTGGAGTCGTCCTGCAGAATACCTATCAGGTGAAGGTTAGGACGGGTTTGGTGACTCGTACTCGCAGCTTTGCACTAATACGCCAACCTTTACGTCTCGCCCACTCTCATCCCAAAAGTAACACAATTGGCCGCCTTCATGGGCCGAGTAACTCAGGTAGGTAATTACCTCTTCATCAACGAGTCACAAGCTTGGGTGAATATCGTATGTTGCGGGAGGTAGTGCTAGGCGACCGCCTCTGGGTTATGAGGGCCTTTGATGATGATGGCTTGGGTGCGAGTTTAGATTAAATTCGGTAGCAACTGAACTTGATGAATCATGCGGTATCAGCAATGACAAACTGATCGTAATTGATCGCGGTTGAAGACCATCAAGGGTAGCCCTCGAAGAAATCGTCTGAACGCCGTCCGCGCTTTACTTAATGCGGTTCGTGTCGACAGGGAAATTTTATGCATTATCCATGTCATTCCCAAGCATAACAATGGAGCTTGGGGCAACTTCGAGTGTTCTCGCCCATCGGCCCATGCACCCAGGTAACAGGCGAGCCGAGACCGTGAGAGATACTACGCGTACGTACTTGGAGTGGTTTGAGGGACAGTCAACAACACACATGATACCGACGATCTTTGAGAGCTCGGAACTGACCCGAGACCATCAAGTGGAGTAACTATCGGCCCGGGCTTCAGAAGACACCTGTCCTGAATCAATGACGGTGAAGTGTCACACGGAGAGCAGAAACAGAGCGGGAGGCCGACCCAACCGTCACTATGACGCTTGAATCGGGGCTGCAAACCATCTCAAGTGATCATTTCACGGGGTCTAGACTGTGAAAGAAGTGCCCAGCCGGCGACTCACCTTGCTAGCGGGCGATCGAAATGGTAGAAATACCCCCCGAGGACCGTGTCCCTTAGGTCTTGGGTCTCCGGACTTCTCACCTTCTACAACCACTGCAGTCCACCCTCAGCTCCTCCACAGACCTCTTCGCTTCCCTCCCCAACCCCCGGACTGCACAGGAGGCTTCCTCACCCACACCGCCGGCAATCTCCCAGACATCATGGATTGCCGCGCCGCCCCTCCACTGCTGTTGGCCCTCTTGTCCTCCACACGGGAGCAAATGGACAAGTAGGCTCAAGTGTCCTGCAGCACCTCCTCAAGGAGGGCTACCGCGTGCGAGCCGTCGTCCGCTCGCACTTCAAGGAGCGCGACCTCCAGCGCCGCCCGACGATCCAGGCGACAAATCCTGGACCCCGCCTGAGCTTCGCCATCGTCCCAAGCATCATGGTCGACGGGGCGTACGACAGTGCGATGGAGGGCGTAACCAACGTCATCCACTGCGCCTCGCCCGTGGCGACGGGGGCCAAGGTCGTCTACGCCAACGACGACGGCACGTTCTTCATCCGGCCCGCGGTCGAGGGCACCCTCAACATCCTGCGCGCGGCCGCGAAGGTGCCCACCGTCGCCCGCGTCGTCGTCACCAGCTCCCTCGCCGCGCTCATCCCCTTCCAGGACCTCTCCCGCCCTGGCGGCGCCCCCGGCGGCGCGCGCGCATACACGCCCCTCGACCGCGCGCCGCTGGAACCCGCCCCCTACCGCAGCGACGTCGCGGCCTACGTCGCCTCCAAGATCTCGGCCCTGCAGGCCGCCGACGCGTGGGTCACCGCCAACGCCCCCCACTTCGACCTCGTGCACCTGCACCCGGGCTTCGTGCTGGGCCCCCACCACACCGCCACCACCCTCCCGCGCGCGCTGCAGGGGGGCAACACGCTGGTGATGGCGGCGCTGCGGGCGGCGGGGCTGCGGCGGCGGCGCCCCCGCGGCAGCACGCACGCCGCCGTCTCGGTGCACGTGGACGACCTCGCGAAAGTGCACGTCCGCGCCCTGCACCAGGGTACCGTCCCCGGCGGCTGTGGTTATATTGTCGCCCGGCCGGCCGCGTGGGAGGATGTGCCGCGCATCGCGTGCGCGCGGTTTCCGGACGTTTTTGGGGTGTCGCCACCTGCTGGTCCTGCTGGTCCCATCGGCAATGTCACGGCCAAGGGGCTGAATATCGATGACGAGGGAACGCAAGACGCGTTTCCCCGCATTCAGTTCGCCGGCTTCGAGGAGCAGGTCGTGAGCGTCATCCAGCAGTACCTGGACTTGGCTGATGAGGCGGATATGGCGGCCCTGCGTGAGATGGCGCGGAGGATCGAGAGGTGATATGGGACGCTGGCGGAGGGATGAGACGACGGGATGGACTTGGGATTAGCTGGTTGCTGAGGCAGGTTGGGTGATGTCTTTGAGTGAGTGAGGTGGGATGGAGGAGGAAAGTTATAGGCGGTATATTGATTGCCCATGTATTTACGTGTACGATACCCCATTATTTCAAGGCCCTTGTCCCAAAGAGGGAAATGGATTTCCGCATTAGTTAGGTATTTCAGGTGCCTTTTCCCAAAGAGGGAAATGGATTGTACGAAGTACATACAGTTCCCCCCTCGTTAGTTTGTTCGTGAGCATGACTCAAAATCCAACCACTCCTGTTGCCCTAGACTTTCGAACAGGTCTAGCACACCCTGACTTGGCCTCCAATCACCAACCTGCCACTGGACCAGCGCGTGCCGCTCCCTACCGTTCCCACCGCTATTGCTAGCGACATATCCTACACCCCACCTATATACACCGTTTCCACGGTTATTCGGCACCATATCATCTCCATACTCGTTTGCGCGAGTTTCAGAAGGATGCCACGCTAGGGATGCAAACAGCTCAGCATCCTCAAGGGCGCCCATATTCTTTACCGCCGTAGCAAAGCCCGATAGTAGAGGTCCAATCCGCTCGTTGACCGGCTCGGTACGGAATACATCCGGGAAAAACTCGACCTCTTCGCCGCCCTGGGGATCCTCGTCCCACTGTTCGTCCACATCCTCGTCCTCAGCCGTAGTCTGTAGGGGAGGGTAGTGGTCTTCGGAGATAGCAAAGCCCTCTGGGTAAGGGTCCTCCCCTCGTGGGCCAACGAAATACCAGCTACCGTCTGGTCGTAGTGGGTGGAACTCGATGGTAAGCCGTCGCATACGTGACCATTGCGGCGCCTCGGGGGCAGGGAATAGATGCTCGGTGATAAAGGCTCTAAGGTTGAGCTCCTGTAGCTGGGCCGCTAGTATACACACTCCTACCGACAGGGGGTCCCGCTCGGCTGGCGCTACGAGGTCTGCCATCGCCAGCGCCTGGTTGTTTTCCAAAGCAAGTCTCGGTTGCCAAAACCACAGCCTGGCCTTGGTCAAGGAGGTAGGGATTCGCAGACCCAGCAGCTCCTCCTGCTTCTCCATAGCAGCGCCAAACTCGTGACGCGCATCTCGCCAGGGCCCTTCCCAGACCCGTGTAAAGTGGCGCATGGGCCGGCCGGCCGCGGGGACCGGGAGCCACTCCCACAGCCACGGGCAGTCAATCTCCGCTACGGAGGGCAGATGGACGAGGCATTCGAGAGGTACGCGTAAAGAGACAGGCCGGACACGGCTGAAATGGAACTCTCGCCGGGGCCCAGAGCCCTGCGCAATGCGAAGCTTACGCACAAACGGCAGCGTAGGGAGCGTCTCTGGGTTCAAGTCATGGAGTGTCAGGCGGCGCGCGTGGTAGATGAGGTGCTGGCAATGCGGGTAGCTAGTAAAGGACTGGCACCCAACCGTCATTTTGACTACAATGCCGTTTTCCGTATCTATAGGTGCTAGCTTTAGTTCGGCTAGCTCGGCTGCGCTTCTCGCCTGGTAGTCGGCCAACTGTCGGTATAGGGCGTGGATCTGGGCCGAGAAATGACGGCTAACAGCGGTGGTTTCTTCAACCGGCTCGCGGCAGGGGAGAGGATCTTCTTCCGGCCTGGCGTTTTCGAGTAGCGGCATGTCGATATCGTGGCCAACAGACCCAAGCAGCCGGCCGACCTCAGCGTGCCGCGCGCCACTGTGTTCAATCGAGACCCGGGCACGGCCATCGACGTCGGGTTCTAGAATGAGAATTGCCATGACGGGTTTAGCAATTCTGATTGAGATTAAGAACTTGAGAAGAAACCTAAGGCGATGAGGATAGCAGCTTGGAAAGCTTGGTGGACGCGGGACATGTTTGTATGAGTACCTGATGAGGAAATTCGGTCGGGACCGCTAGGGGGGTCCCGCGGGGTGCAGGAGGAGATATTCGGTACCGATGTATTATATGTAATCGGAACCATGATATATGTACATACCTAGAGATATGTGTAGCGTTATATTTAGCGTTACAGAAACTAAAAGAGGCATGTACGTCGCAGTGATCTGGAAAACCCTCTACGCCCAAGTTAACACCGATTTAAGGTACTGGGTACGGAGGAACTCCCTCACTCATCCGTAAACGACAAGGATGGACGATCGTTGTGGGCGTTACATGTCGTTAGCTGCATAACCCCGATCAACGAAGCAGGACCGTGCACCTGCTTTCACCATGCGGACCGGGGCCGAAGCTGCAGCTTGTGACGCCACCATCGAAACGGAAGGCCCGCTGCCCTCAAGGTGCCTGGAGCAAAAACCGCAGCGAACAAAAAACATTGCAACAAACCCTCCCGCAGCTCCAACACCAACGCCATCGCCACCATGGCGCGACTCGACGAGATGCGATTCGATCCGGCTAGCCTGAACAAGGCGAGCGCAGCAGATTACTCGTCTTCCGAGTCCGATGCCGAGCAGGAAGACGAATATTTGATGCCATCGCGCAATCCCCACGAAAGTGAATTCGCCGACTTCAACCCCCGCAAGAAGCGCCGTACAGGACGCGACGCGAAGGAGAGCGCCGCGCTGGGGATATTCGGGTCCGAAAGCGAGGACGAAGGGTCGAGCAGGAAATGGAAACACAAGAGTCTCCGAAATAAGGGCGTGAGCTTCGTTTCGTCCGCAAAGGCCAAGGCAAACTCCGACGACGAGGGCGACGAAGACGAAGATAACGAGTACGATGATGCCAACCCTGGCGCCGTCCCAAGCGACGCAGGGGAGGATGAAGAGGAAGAGGAAGACATGGGCGGCGTGGGTTTGGGGTTCAAGGGTGCCGGTGCCGGTGCCGCTGCAGGGCAAGGCCTCGGGTGGACGCCCCCAACGGAACAAGGAGTTCCCACAAAACGAGCGGTCCCTCCCCCGAGCTTTGTCAAGTCGAAGGCCAACGAAGCCAACCCCCTCGGTAACGGCTTCACGCCAATGTCACAACGGGGCCCGACCCTGCTGGTCAAAGACGATGAGCCCGCTACACCCCGCGCCGCAATGCCGAGTGCCTTTAGCAAGGCAAGAGGCGGGAAGACAAAAATCAACACCAATTCCTTCGGCGCCCGCATGATGGCCAAGATGGGATACGTCGAGGGGCAGGGTCTCGGAAAGGAAGCCCAAGGTCGGAATGTCATCATCGAAGCCAACCTTCGGCCCCAGGGAGCTGGGTTGGGTGCAGTGAAGGAGAAAACCAAACAAGAGAGAGAGGAGGAGAAACGACAGGCACGTCTCCGTGGAGAAGAGGTGGTAGACTCGGAAGAGGAGGAAAAAAAGAAGAAGGCCGCGCGGCGGAAGAAGGCTTTGACCGGCGGTGTCAGCAGCGGGGCCGGGAGCGGTGTCAGTACGCCGAGGCGGCAGAAGCCCAAATACCTAACCATGGACGAGATCAAGAAGGCCGCCCCTGGACTCAACATACCGGATGCCTTCACACCGATTCTCGACATGACGGGACCGGGGAAGAAGCTGCTTACCACATCATCAGGATTGATGACCCCAACGGGAGGCGTTGCGCCGGCCGAGTCTACAGAGGCGGCCGAAAACCGGAAGCTTGTCAAACGCGCCCAGAACGACTTCATGGCTATCCTCGAAGAATGGCAGAATCTGCAAGAACGGAAAGCCTTCCTGGACCTGCAGTTGAAACAAGAACAGCAAGGGCTGGAAGAGCTCTCAGCAAGCTTACAAGGGAACAAGTCTGTAACGGCGGCTTGCACAGCGGCTTCCAGACCAACCGAAAGTGGCGAGGCGGACAGGAAAGCAGACCTGAGCTACCGGCTCGGGCGAGTTATCGCTGGACTTGGAGACGCAAACAACTCCCTGTCTGCATCCATGCTCCCGCAGATCAAGGATGAGCTCGCCTCGCTAGCCGTTGCCGCAATCCATCCCCTGTTCAACCAGTACCGCCAGCTCTGGGAACCGCTCGAGGAGCCCAAACCCGCGTTCGTGGACGGTCTGAACTCCATCCGCGGTTTGCTGGGTCTCGACCACCAATCCAAGAAAACCTACCGCAAGCCAACCGCCACCCCCTACGAAACGATGATGTACGAGCTCTGGCTGCGCACCCTCACCGCCGCCGTGCGCGAGTGGAACGTCCGCGACCCCGACCCGCTCATCGCCGTGCTCGACGCCTGGGACCCGATCCTCCCATCCTTCGTACGCGCCCAGCTCCTCCAAGACATCACCCGCAAGCTCGAAGAAGCGCTCCAGAAATGGCAGCCCAAGAAACACACCCACAACCTCCCCCACCGCTGGATCTTCCCCTGGCTGCCCCACCTCCCCGCAACCCACCTCGACCCCAAGAGCGCCACCGGCCTCGTCGCCGACGTCCGCCGCAAGTTCCGCCAGCTCATCGACGCCTGGGACTTCACCCGCGGCGTCATCCCCGGCCTGAAGCAATGGAAAGACATCCTCCGCCCCACCACCACCAGCGGTCGCGACCGCGACATGTGGAGCCCGCTCGTCATGAACCACCTCCTCCCCAGCATGGCACGCCACCTGCGCGCCAACTTCCGCGTCGAGCCGCAGGACCAGGCCCCCTACATGGAAGCGCTGGACCGGCTGCTCGAGTGGACCGATGTCGTGCGGCCCAGCATGCTGGCCGAGGTGCTGGTCGCCGAGCTGTTCCCTGCCTGGCACGCCGCGCTGTACCAGTGGCTGCTGCTGGAGGATGCGGATTACAATGAGATTGGCGCGTGGTTTCAGTGGTGGCAGGACGAGGTGCTGCCGGAGGAGATTAGGGTGTTGCCGTCGGTTGTGGCCGAGTTTGAGAAGGGGTCGGCGATGATTGAGCGGGCGCTGGATTTGGGGGCGAGGGTGAGGGCGGAGTTGGAGCCGCCGGAGAAGGGGCCCGCGCTGAAGACGGGGCGGGAGGGGGGGAGGGAGGAGAGGGAGAGGGAGAGGGAGAGGCGGCGGGAGAGGGAGAGGGAGAAGGTGCAGGAGGCTGGGGTGGAGGCTAAGCGGCCGGAGGAGGTCACTTTCAGGGAGGTCATTGAGGCGTGGTGTCAGGAACATGATTTGCAGTTCATGCCGGAACGGAATAAACTGCATGCCGAGGGGCCGGTGTACAGGATCTCGGGCATGGACGGGAAGAGGGGCATTTCGGTCTACTTCAAGGGGAACAGTCTGTTTGCGCTAGTCAAGGACCAGAATCCGCTGGAGATTAGGAGGGACAGCGAGGATGATTGGGGCGTGTTGGTGACGTTGGCCTCGTAGTTGGGCAGGGTGGCAAGATGCAGTAACTGGCGATACATCGATACATTGCGTTATTGTACAGCTTTGCCTGCGTTTCGTGGACGGTCTGCATCGTGGAAGAATGAGGAAGGTCGTTCGTCACATGCCCTCTACGTTACTCTACTGCGTTCCGAGGTAGCTCTGTCGGATTGTCCTCGGCCAATCCTTCCCGGGCCGGGTGACGGACCACGCAGCGGGCATGCCGATATGGATAGAGGTTGTTCCCACTCACCGAAGCCCCAGTTTAACCAATGTAAATCCTATCAGCGGCGACCCCACGTTGCGGTCACCAGTTAGGGCGGGGATGAAACATTCAGGATTGCGCCATGAACTCGGAGCAGTTGGCAGTTACTCCACAATACCGCCGGCCCGAATACTCGGCGCATTAGCTCAGGGGCCGCTCGAGGCAACCGCCATTCTTGACCCTTTAATTACCCCTGTCTTGTCCCTCTGTAGCGTAATATCAGCTCAGCAGTGAGGATTATGTTTGTTGAGACAACGGTTTGTTGCAGTGCGGAGTAAAACGCCGACGTCTGTCCGTGAGCTTTAAATTAATGGATTGTTTCGAGTCTTGAGCCGGCCGGCCTTGGTGGCCACGTCAAAGCAACTATGCCGGTTTACCGTTGGGTTCACAAGCGCCGAGGTGGAGCGGCTTGGACAGTGGTCGAGCTGTAACATCTACCCTACGCTGGATTGTCTTTATAAGTACAAGTATGGCCCATGTTTCGATGGTTGAGACTTAGTTGTGTCAACACCAGCGTGATCAACATGTCGTCCTTCATCCGCTTCGTTGCGGCACTATGCCTGGCCGTGCTCTTCGCCGGTAGGGCGAATGCGAAGGTCCAGGGTGTTTTTGCCCATTACATGGTAAGACATCCCACTATACTCCGACTATCTAAGTAACAGACAGTCTAACCTCACCAGGTCGGCGGCATGGGTACCATCGATCAAGCCCTCACCGACGTCAAGGAAGCACAATCCCTCGGCCTCGACGCCTTCGCGCTCAACGTCCAGCAGCCCGACGAGTGGTGGACACGCGCCTCGCTCGACTTCCTCTTCGAGGCCTCCTCCCAAACCAACTTCAAGCTCTTCTTCTCCATGGACATGGCCGTGATCCCCTCCCCTTCCGACTGCGCCCCGGTCCTCAAAAAATACATCACCCACCCGGCCTACTACCACGTCAACAACCGCCCCTTCCTCAGCACCTTCCGCGGCGGCGCCCAATCCAACGCCAACCAACAATGGAACTCCGTCTTCGAATCCCTCCCCGCCGGCGCCAAGAACCCCTTCTTCGTCCCCAACTTCGAAGACCACTCCTCCGTCTCCTCCGACGGCGTCTACCCCGACTCCATCTTCGCCACCTTCCCCAGCCTGGACGGCGTCATGTCCTGGGAGACCGCCTGGCCGCGCTCGGGCGAGTCCGCCTCGGCCATCAACGGCACGCTCGACATCGACGCCACCAACCTGGCCATGACGCGCGACGCGATAAAGGCATACATGCTGCCGCTGTCGACGTTCCAGGCGAAGCACCACCCGGAGCATGGGAACTGGTTCCGCATCGGCGGGCTGAACCTGCCGCGGCGGCTGATCGGGGCGCTGGATATGCAGCCGGAGTTTGTGGAGCTGCTGACGTGGAATGATGCCGGGGAGGGGCATTATTTTGGGAATTTGTGGCCCGAGTCGATGCCGGATCCGGTTATGGCTGAGATGGTGCAGGGGTGGGGCCATAAGGCGTGGATGGTGGTGCTGAGACCGTTTGTGGCGGCGCTGAAGGGGGGTGCTGGTGGTGCTGCGGGGGTTTTGCCGGAGGGGCGGTTTGAGGGCGCGTTTTGGTATCGGCCTTTGTTGAAGGGGGCGGAGTGCTGGGGGGATAAGTTGGGATTGGGGACGCCGGGAGGTTTGGAGGCGGCGGATGATGCGGTGAATGTGGTGGTTATGTTGGGAAAGGAGAGCGAGGGGGTGAAGATTAGGGTTCTGAGTGGGGGGAGTGTGGTGGATGAGTTTGATGGGAAGGTGGGGATGAACATGCACCAGGTTGATGTGAAGAAGGGGGAGCAGGTGGTGCAGTTGGTGGCAGGGGACGGGAAGGTTATTGCGGAGGGTCGAGGGAAGAAGTCAGTCACGGATCAGATGCAGGATGTTGGGGGTATCTGCAACTTCAACTACCAGGTTGTCAAAATCGAGTAAGGAAGTTGAACGAAGAACAAAAAAGGAAGAATAGGGCTTGAAGCGGGCTGACCCAACGCTAATATCGGAGCTTTGAACCGTTCATATTTCCGTATCCTCCTACCAATACATCACGCAGCTCTCATTTCATGATATTGGCGAACTCGTGGTCTGCGACAGAGTCAGCATATAAGCAGCAAGGATGGACATGCCGAAGCTTACAGTCAATGGAGCCGTCGCCGTTACGGTCGGCCAGCTTAATCATCTCGTCGACCTCCTCGTCGGTCAGGTTCTCCCCGAGGGACTTGAGCACGTTACGCAGCTCATCGCTCGAGATAGTACCGCTACCGTCCTTGTCGAAGACCTTGAAGGCGTTGAGGAGTTCCTGCTCCGTGTCCAGCTCCTTAACCGATTGAGACATGAGGGCAAGGAATTCTGTGGGTGTGTATGTTAACAACCAATATCGGAGAAGAGGGTGAGCGAGGACGCAAAGTCCTTACCCTCGAAAGAGATGACCCCATCGCTGTTTAGGTCGGCCTCGTTGACGAGATCATGCAGCTCGGCCTCGCTGGGGTTTAGGCCGAGCTCGCGCATGACTTCACCAAGTTCATCGGCAGTGATATCGCCTAGACGGCTTTGTCAGACAGAGACATCGTGGAGACGGAAGCCTAACGGCAGAAACTCACCAGTGCCATCCTTGTCCTGCATCGGCACAGCCACAAACACGGATTAGCCACTGTCACCATGCCATCCCCATGCCATACCATGCCATGCCGTACACGCAGTTGCAGCGAGTCGCGTGACTTGGTTTTAGTATGATAATCAACGTACAAAGATCTGGAAAACCTCCTTGTACTGGGAAACTTCCTCATCTGACAGCTTGTGCGGGGCCTGGGACGAAACCACAACGCAGTCAGTCATCGATTGCTTAACGCCGAGGGAGGGGAGGAAGAGATGGGATTTGGAGCCGATTCAGGGTAATTTTCACTGTTTATGCAAGGGGCATGCATACCATGATGTCGGATTTCGCCGGTAAATTTATCGTTCTCTAGTAATTGTTCGAAAATATCGTGATGAGGGTCAGCGAACACAAATCGGAGGTTATTCGGGCTTGCTTGGGGTGAGCCTGATGAGGGGGAGGGGTCGATATCGAACAGGCCCCATCATGAAACACGTGCCTCTGTTGGCCAAAACACGCGGCCGACGGCTTGGCAACCTCCGCTGGCAGGGCTGGCTCATCGGCCTCTGATTTGGTGGTGAGCGAAGCCACTTCTCAGGGGAAGGGGAAGGAAGACCCTAACCCTAACATCCAGCTGTGCCCCTTTCTGTGCTCCTGGACCACAAGCTGGAAGAGCTCAACCGAGCCTCATGACTTGAACTTGTTACGAGGGCTTTTGCTGGCACCGATACCCATCCAGTGGGACCGATGGCAACAAACAGAAAAGGTCCTTAAACACTGGTAATAAGGTACGACCAGCGGGACTACGTGGTTACCCGCTAGCCACCAGCATACCCACCATGAGCCGTCGGATACGCATGTGCTCTGAGCAGCCGGATGTAACGAGAGTAACAATAGTATTCTTGGTCACTATGGGCGTTTCACTACCGCCAGCCTGTCCGTTAAACCAACCACAGTTGCACATGCCGCTCTACGGTTCACAAAGTTGACTCAGAAAAAGGAGATGCGGACTATAAGTAGGTAAGTAACCTATTTCGGGTCTTAAAGCAAATACCTAGCAAGAAGTACTTGAAGCCCATATTAGCATAACAATATCCCTTGCTTCCATGTACTTTGGACCCGGTTATCCCTTCACCAACAATGCCCTTTCAACCGAGAACGGGAGGTCAGAGACCCAGTAAGTTGAGACGGGATTCCTGCCTCGCTATAGCCATAACGCTGACAAGTCCAGCAACACCCGTATCGACCACAGTCCCTGATATCATAAACTGGCCGATTCAGAGTAAGTCGTGACAGCCCAGTCAGACATAACCGCGCCATTCCTGACACTAGGGTACCGTGTCTCTCAATAGAACGGAAAATGTGGCATGGAAAGGGCCACCTCCCTCCGTGGATTGAAGTCCGCCGGGTGGCAAGGGGAGCGGTTGATGACGGCCTCGAGACACATTCTCTTGAAGAGCTTGTCGACGTCGTCACCCAACCTTGTAGAGAGGCTGGGCTCAAGGCCGCAAGGAACAAGCGTGACGAGGACGCCCAGGTTAAGCGGGAGTACCATAATATGGTCATGGATCTTCTACAGCGCAAGTGCACACTAGTAAACGACAGTAGGTTTCCGCTAATTATTGTGAATAGAAGCCTTGGACAAACAGGCTGGGGAGAAAAGACTTAAGGGGGGAATCACGAAGGAGGAACGATCTCAGGATCTTGCTTTGGTCGATCGCAGCCGTTCTTATGGTGGGGGTGTCGGCAGAACTAACAGAGTGAACACAGCTGCAGCGCGAGGAACGCAGCAGTCAAAGTCGCCGCCAAATTCCTGCTTGGCCAAAGGTAGAGTCCTGTTTCATTCAAGCCCCATACATAATACCATGTGACTAACGGACAATGTTACAGCTAATACTCGGAGCCTTGAGGACCTGCATGTCGAGCTGAAGGTTCAAGAGCGGGCTTATGGGAAGGTAGAAGCGCCAAAGCAGCCCGTCATAAACATTCCTCAACACACCGGTTTCTACGCTAGCTTCTTCAACGGCTTCTTCGCTCCATCCTTTTTACAAGCACCTGCCCAGGAGGAAAGCGGAAGTCTCGGGGCGTCCAAAGACGAAGGGCTAGGGAGTGTGTCACCAATGATTGAAGGGCATAAGCCCGCACCGGTCAAGGAAAGTCCTGATGATATCTTGAAGGGTTGGGTGGACGTTGAAAATGAGCTAGACCCGAAACATGGCCTGGCGTAACGAAGCAAGGCCCCGAAGTAGGCTTCCAAGGAGTTTGAAATTGCCTGATATACACCATTTCACTACCTATCAATACAATTCGCCAGTTATGTCCGTTAGGCTTCTGAGTGAGGACTGAGAAGGTCGGAAAGTCAAGGTAGGGAACAATAATTCACCCTTCACGGCATTTGGGAGAGGGTATCGACACGACTGTCCGCATCAAACTTGCGACCGTGTACCCGATGAGTCAGAATACACCATATTATACAGGAAACTCACAAAATAAAGAAACCCTGGCCAATCTATTAACGGCTCCCGTTATTCCATTTCCACCACTCTACCAAGATAGGTACTTTACGCGGGTCCTGCCCAAACCGTACTTCACCTCGACAACACCGTAGCAAACTTACCATCCCCATCGCGTCGCCACGTTCCCTCACACATCAACCAACCAACAACAGAGGCCCTCCTCTCCCTCCTTTCCCAAACTACCCCATCAATAAACCACCCCCTCCCCCACTCCAGGCACTCCACCCAACAAGACCTACCTTACCTGAATCACCGATAATACGGATTCTGCCCCTGGTAATAATGCCCGCCCTGCCCCTGCTGCTGCCCCTGCGGATACGTCGGCGGAATAACCGGCACATGCGTCGGCACCACCACCACGGGGCGCTGCTGGTAGGCCGACGGCTGCACGACGGGGGCCGGGACGACCGCCGGCTGGTAGGGGTAGGTCGAGGGCTGGCGGACGGGCGGCTGCCGCGCCGGAGTTGCGGCCGGGTACCGGGAAGGCTGTGGTGTGGGCTCCGGGGCGGGGTGCCAGATCTCGTAGGGGTTGCGCGCGGCGGGGGCGGCGGAGGAGGAGCGGCTTGTTCCTTGGGGGGCGGGGGGGATGTAGGAGTTGCTGCGCTGTTTGTGTGGGAAAGGGGTGGGGGTTAGTTGGGTGTTTGAGTGTGTGGTGCTGGGGGATGGGAAAGGCGAGAGAAGGGACTGGTTGCTAGGGGTGGATAGGAAAACTTACTCCGCGTGACTGGCGCGGTGGTTGCGCCGGCGCCATGGTAGGCTGCCGAGATGGCGTGGGGACCACGCGAGGATTGCGGGACGGCGTTGCTGCTTGCGTAGGTGCAGGCGGACGAGCGCTTGATACCTCGCGCCGCCGTCCGGTAGGAGCTGGGGGCGGAGGCGGGAGGGGCATGTCTTGAGCGTGGAAAGCATGCTCACGCTGGTTGACCTCCTTCTCGGTGAAGCCCCTCTCGCCGGGTGCATAATCCGCCGCGCAGTCCTTGAGCCATTTCAAGAAGCGGTCGCCGTGGCATTGGGGGGGCAGCAGCTTGACAGAACCAGCGAGCTCCTTGAAGAACTCTGCCTGGGAGGGACGGTCCCGCCTCGAAGCGGCCGCTCCGAAGTCGTACCGGAGGGCGCTGACGTGCAGAGACAGGGCAAGAAGGGCCCGGTAGATGGCGCTCTGGGCTGAGGCGACTCCAGCCTGGCGACGGAGTTCAACCGTTCCCAGTCGGGGGAGCGGAAGGAAGTTGCTCGACAGATATCTGGTAGCAGTATCGGTCGGGTCGTGGTCCGTGACTTTTGCTCCCGCCATTAGACAGGCAAACATGGTTAACGAGTACTCGGCTCTCTCCTCCGCGGATACATCTAATCGTGCTGCCCATTGTTTACCCGATGTCGCCGCATTCCTGATGGACTGGAAAACGGGTCCCCAACCGTAGTGCGGAACACCATTGTACTCGGCGGTAGCAAACGTCGTGTGGTTAGCCTCGGCGTATCTGTTGTTCTTGCGCTCCTCTGGGAGGATCGTCTTAAGCGCATCTTCCCAGAAGTAACTGGCACATCCAATCTGGATGAGCTGATCATAGGTGTACTTGCTCGCCTTGAGGGGACCTGGAGAAACGTGAACATGGCAAGCGCAGAAAGAGTTGGTCCAGAGCTCGAACTCCTCGGCAACGGCGGCAAAGACTTGGTGAATCTCTTGCCGCCACTGCCGCCCCGCCGACATGGGCGGAGAGATGATCTCGATTCCCCCTGCGATGTTGCATTAGTCTATAGCCCACAGTAGGTAGGGGATGTAGGGAGTATCCACGTACACCACTTGAGCGGCTCAGGGGGCTGTGTCAGTTTGTATTCTTTCAAGCTCGCGTCGGCCTCGCACGACCAGCCGTGGCTCGGACCCAAGGCAGTTTCGATCAAAGCCTCGATAGCCTGCCCAACGCATTCCCGTTGCTTCTCCTTCTGGAGCTGATTGCCCGTGCCGTTGCTTAGCGTAAAGTCCCAGTTCCGCCAATGCTCCTCGTCGAGCTGATGCCCCTCTCGGCGCCGTTGAATGATAGCCCGTTCGAGTTCAGGACGAAGCTTGACAAAAATTTCGATTTCGAGCCCAAAGAGAGGCTTCGGTCCGGGAGGGGCCACCGATGACGACGACGCGCCTGCGGTAGACGAGGCCCGCGGTCTTCGGGATACCGGGGCCGCGGGCGTGGTTCTGCCACTAACGTGGCTAGGAGGAGGTGCGGCGGCCGGTGTCCGCCTGCTACTCGACGAAGCCCCTCCAGTTCCGGTATGTCTTGTGCTCATGACTGGAGCCGAGTGATTGCCAAAGCAAAGAAACAGCTAGGATGAAACGGAAGTGTTTAAGGGTATGCTGGTGACGGCTCGGGGCTACTTATGATGGAAAGGCGAGGGTGGAAAGTTAAAGAATACAAAGGAGACGCCTGCAACAGCCAGTGTCGGGGCGAGTAGAGGGCAGGAGGTATGATTGGCAAATGGTGATATGTAACCCGTGGAAGTATGGTGATCCAGCTCTTCTTGTCGGCCCGTCCTGATCCATTGCGTAGCTTGTGAGGGACAGAACGTCGTTTTATACTGTCGGCTCCCAGGGCAACCCTCCCAAATGTGTATGTTGACACGGGGGGAGGCCGCACGGCGGTCAAGTCTCGTACAGCGACGACCTGTACATGCCTAGGTACCCTTGCCCATATTGATAATGGTTACCGCCATTTCTCAAACATGCGGCCAAGGGCCGTATGGCTCACCCCTGGGGCCCAGCAGTCCATCCAGTCTCAAAATAATACCAAGAAGAAACACTGGACAATGTCCAGTGTTTCTAAGCGGCCCCCCGCCCAAGCCTACCTTAGACGGTGGAAGGGGTGATTGGGGACCCTGCGTGGTAGCAGAATGCCGGTAATGTAATCCCTGTACTCACGACTAAGCGCCGATCGTTAAGTTGTTCTGATTAGTATTCCGATAGTTGCTGTTGTCGCATGTTGGGGGCCGGGGAACTAAAAGTCTTCTGGTGTGCCCCTTCAACAACAGACCAAACAGCGGCGGGGAGGTGGATCATAATGGCCTGTCTGATTTGTGATAGGGCTAGTTGTATGCTGACACCTCGTAAAGGCTATTATCATAATTTGTGTGGCGTGGCCGTGGTGGTTTCAACCAATGTGGCGGCGGCTGACGGAAGTGCGTCAAAGTTGCACCACCACTGCACAAGCTTACAGCCGTGAGATGACTTGCAACTCGAGGGTCCCATAGAGCGTCTGATGCTCGTTTGTGGACTGCCACTGTGATGTGCACAACAGTATAAGAGTTCTGGGCGACCCCTTTGAACTCAAAAGGTTATGATTGTTGCAAGCCCCGTACCAGTTGACACGCGTTCCAGTAATTACTACCCTCGACTTTGAACTGTACTTAAACCATACTCCCCTCCCTCAACGGTCCGGAATCTCCCCGTCCGACTCTTACTTCTCATTTCCATCATGCCCGACGCGCACCGCAAGAAGGAAACCGCTCCCGCTCCCTCAACTCCCGCCAAGTCGGGGCCCGCGAAGACTAACACCACGAAGACGAACACCACGAAGCCAAGCTCCGCCTCCGCTACTCCCGCCAAAACAGTGTCGTCTTCTTCTACCCCTGCCAAACCGACTCCAACTCCGGCTTCGACCACTGCTGCGAAGTCCGGACCGGCCGCGTCCACATCCAACAAGCCAACCCCCACCCCCTCCGCATCCAACAAACCAAAGCCAACCCCGACCCCTTCCGCATCTGCACCTGGCAAACCAGCCCCGGCCTCCTCCGCCGCTGGCGGCAAGTCGGCCCCCGCCCCCCCTGCCCCGGTCAAGCGGCCTTCCGGCTCGTCGGAACACGGCGACGCTGACGCGCAGCAGCGCACCAAAGACACGTGGATGGAGGCGCACTGGAAGAAATGGTCGCCCCAAGCGGACAAGGACCGCTCCTACCCCGTGGTCTTTGACAAGTCCCCGCCCGAGATTAGGGCCAAGCTGATCAAGGTCCTGGGCGGCACCGAGCCCAAGCTGTCGAGCATGGCCAGCGCGCTGAGCTATCTCGAGGCTGCTTCCGGCGCGCCGGACCCAGGTCCGGTTAAGGTGGCGTTTGTGGAGGCGGACCAGTTCGATGCTATTTGCGAGGCGTTCGTTACTGATGGTATCACTATCAAGATGCCTAATAAGACCGGCAAGGGCTTTAAGAAGCGGAAGGCGTTTGTGCCGGTTAGTGAGGCGAGGAAGGCGTAAAGTTTCCGATTCTAGTCAAGAACGAACCCGGAGCAGTGGTAGATAAGACGCGGTAGACTGTGATCGTGGTGTTCTTCATTCGCTTGTGTTTGGGAGAACGCCGAGGAGGGAAGTGGGAAGCCTAGATTAGGGGGAAGGCAATAACTAAGTACCGAGGAAAGGAGGTTGCGGCGGTGCAGGCATTGCTAAGGAGATGAATTAGAAAACAATACAATCGGAATTAGTTTGATGGCCGAGTTTTCTCCCCTGACATGCTTTAACGTTACATGGACCCGAGCTTCGGGATGAATAGCTTGAGCCCGTGGGATGTATACAATACTGTCAAGAATCGACACGGGGATCACTATGCGTGGCTTGTAATGGTTGGCTCTACGTGGATCAACTATAGTATTAGCATAGGTGTAGATACACCCCGCCTCCAAGCCTTGTGATACAGATCCCGTGAAGTGGCATGATGTTCAATGACACACGACGTGAACTAGGTAGGTACTTAGGTAGCCTTACCTTTAGCGACTTACAGCGGTTGGAATCTGTGCCCTGCCATCGGTCCCTGCATCGTCTGAATCATCGGAGTTCGTCAAATCGGACGACAGGGAAACATCTGAGTTTCCAGAATGCTCGTCCTCGTCCGAGTTTCCCCAGAGTCGTGGCATACCTCCCGCTTGTCCCATCGGGCGGTCCTCGGCCAAGGAGAGAAAGCAAGTCCCGTCGTCGTCGTCACCTTCAAGTTTCCACTGCACCGAGTCGGTGGTCGTGGGACTCGTGGCTAGCACCTTGACCACCGCAGCCATGGATTTGTCGCTTATTAGGCCTAGCAAGCGACCTACCACCCTGAGCATCTCGTCCTCATAGTCATCGAGCTCATAATGTGAAACGCCCTCGACAATACAGACGACCGTCACCCCGCGTGGCAGCCGCCGAACCAGGCACGCAAACAGGTTGCAGAGCCTCGAGATGCCCAGGCCATCACCAACACCCTCCTCCCCTCTCTCCACAGCGCGCAACTGATTTTGTATCGCCCCGTCGACGGCGCCGTTCTCCTGTACCCGCCGCAATTCCTCATCAAAGCCAACCCAACCACTGCCACGAGCGCTATCACCATTCCCACTACCACCACCACCACCAAAGCCCCACCGCAGCAACTGCGCAATAAGACTACACACCAACGCCCTCCCCCCACAGTACATATCATCCCTCTCCACATGACTCCCACAAAAAAACACCAGCGGCACATACTCCCCCGGACGCGCACGCAGCGCCCGCACCAGCGTCGCGCAAAACCGCGTCAGCGCCGACAGGTAGCGCGGATCACCGCGTCTACCGCTACTACCATTACGACCGCGCACCAGGTGCAGGTCACCGTGGACGAGCGGCTTGCGCGGCGCCGCGGCCGGGCCCGCGTCCACGAGCCAGGCGCGGAAGGCGGTCGTGCTGGCGACGAGGTCGGCGCGCCGGCGCTTGGCGAGCGGGATGGTGCCGCCGCTGGTGGATAGGATGGTGGAGAGGTCGGTTTCGTCGAGGACTGGGGGGATGTTTGAGGTGGCTGAGGAGGGTGGCGCGGGTGAGGGTGGGTTGGGTGTTTGCTGTTGTTTTGGGTGTGGATCCGAAGGGGACCGGTGGGTTGAGGTAGTGCTGTTGTTGGTGGGGGAGGAAGCCGTGGAGGAATGGGGGGGAGAGCCACGGCGGCTGTTGAAGGCCCGACTGCTGGAAAGGGAGTTGGGGGAAGATCATCATGTTTTGCAGCTGGGGCACATGTAGGGAGCCCCGCGGCTGCTGAGTGATGCTTGGATTTAGCTAGTATAAAACTTGCTGCGAAGGAAGCTGTCGCCCAGGGGTAGGCGTTGGTGGTCTGGACTTGTTGAGTTCCTCGAGCATGTCTACCATGGCCGGGGCGCGTGATTGTCAGTCAAGGGCCTGCACATAACTCCATTCCACGGGAGACGGAATGATCTTACCATCGAGGTCTTGCTTTTGTTCCGCGCGAGCATAGTTCAGCATCTTCAAGAGGGAATTTGGCAGTGCTGGGTCAGCGGCTTCACGCTGGTCAAGCTTCTCCAAAATGATGACCGTGTAATCCGCCATCGAGTCTAGCTTTTGAGATACTCCGTCCACTGTCTTGCTTGTTTCCTTGTGCACTATGTTGTCAGGAATCCATTCCGATGAGTAGGATGTACTTAGTTACTGGGTTAGTTTGAGCCAATAGATCCCGTACCTTGCAAGATTCCGTTCAGGGCTTCTTTCGTTCCGGTCATGTGTGAGTTTTGAGCCTCATGGATCATCTAGTCGCTCCGTTTTTGAATATGTTCGATGCTGTCGAGGAGAGGCTTCTGGTAGTCTTCGCCCCTGTAGAGAACGTTGACCGCCGTCTTCACTAATACCTAGGCATTTTAGTAAAGACACAGGCGGTAGGAGTCAGAGTTCGGTCTTGGTTGTATAGGTGCCCAGCTCGCCATCACTCTTGAGAAAGAAGCCAATGGCATGCTATATTCCCTTGGACACGGCGGCAACGGGCTCGACAGATTCTTCCTTAATTCTGGGCTCTTTGGGAAAGGTCACTAAAAAAACCTCGATGTTCCTGAATGTCCGCTCTAGGTCATCACCCTCGGAGCTCATAGTTACCACCTTCTCCCGAACTTGAGATGCTGTTGCAGCTGCCTGTTGCGACTTAATTCACGACCGCCCTGTGGATGGGGTTGGCAGCCGAAGTAGAAGGTTATAGAGCTCACATCTAGAAGAAGCTCAACAGCAGCCACTACGGGAGAGGTGTACTCGCTGTTCGGCACGAATTTGCTCACCCGCTCCACAAACGGAGAGTGGCCGACCATCCAACGCTTGGATTTGTTGTAACGACCCCAAAACCCTTTCTTGTCCCCATCGTACACCTCGCGTGCTTTTTGAAGCTGCGCGTATACACCTGCCCAGCTTGTCTTTGAAGAGACCTGCTTAAAACACAGTCTCGAAACGCTTGAGGTTCCAGAGGGGGAGTCGAGCACTTTCGGCAATTATGATGGATGCTGTGGGTAAGTTCATCACTGTGATCACGGTCACTATGTCGGTTGTCTAGATGGTGTTAGATATGCTTGACATCGTCAATGTGGTGGAGCAGACAAAGACGGTGTGCGACCAACTCGACGGGCCTATCAAAGATGGTGGCTACAAGAAGAATTTCGATGGCATGACCACGGAGCCCCAGCAATTACAATGCTGCCATGGATGGGACTGCGAGGGCTTGACGACGAGCCATTGAGGCTGGCGGTTGGGGTAGGTATGGCACAAGCAAGGAGCACTCGCGGGAGAGTTCGTAGGTTGATTGAGTTGAAGTACATGTAGGGGGGGGCCAAAGGTTTCTGCTGGTGGATTGAGTTTCAGTTTCAGACGTGCAGATTAAGAACTTAGATGTACTGTACTGAGCTACCTTATCCATCTTTCCATCTTTTAATTAGGTAGGTACCTACCTAGGTAGTCTGGATTTCATCGAGGGAACAACAGATTCCACAGTTCCACATATCAAAACTACACCTAGGTACCTAGGTAACTATTTCAATCTTTCGGAATTGTCGGATTTAGCTCGTTTGAAGCCTGGGCTGCCTAGCAGTCCGCCCGAAAGCATTGTTTCAGTTGGGTGGGTGCCTGGCTACCTCGTTATAGGTTACATGTAGGCTAGTAGTTGCAGCATTAATCCGAGGCCGGATTATGAGACCATCCAACGGGCCAACACAGCAGGACATACAGCAGCTCATCGAGAACAGGTGATGTTTGCAGACTTATAAAACTCCTTCTCATACCGCTCTTTCGAAATCTCTTCTCTCATCATAACCTACCAAATCCCACATCCTCTTACCGCACGTGCTTGAAGCAAGAACTTCCCGCCCTCTCCCGCTTATATCAATCTCAACCATCACTCTCCCTGATCCGCTGGTCGGATCTTCCTTAGGTTTTAAGTTCTTTAACAGGTCTTATCTCCTACGCTTTCTGCTACTTTATCCCAAGTCCTTATATAAATTCCGTGGTATCATCCCTTAACATGTCTTCTCGTCCTACTCCCGCGAACGGTCGGTCCGGCGTCCCTCCGAGCAGCTCTACCGTTAGAGTAAGCTCGGCTCCCCATTCCATGTTCACAGAGCAAACAGCTAAATTGGTCCTCAGGCAAAGTCCGGACAGGAAACCAAGCCACAGTCAACCACACCAGGCAAGGCGCCCGTTAGACAGCCACCCCTGAAGCAAGGACAAGCAAGCGGCCGCCCAGCGCCCAGCAAATCCAACACAGCAAGCACCACGAGCACCACGAGCACCACGAGCACCTCGGTCAAGCACAACACGTACATACCCAAAGAGCGTATAGCCAAGCTCAGCGGAGAGGGGGATGACAGGGCGCGTCGGGAGGCCTCTATTGAGGATGCATTGAACAAGTACAAGAGAGCGGTTGTGGCAGAAGGTAAGGCCAAGAAGGCCTACACGGATCACGTATCTATTGTTGAAAACGACCCGAATATCTGCGGTACGGACTATTACAGAGGGGGGTTGATCGCCGGAGAGCTCGGGACTGAATGGGAAAAGGCTGCACACAGGTATGTCTCCTCTATCTGGTTTGGTTATCATGGTATACAATATCCAGGGGCTCTATACCTGCTACTTGTTGCAATTTGGAATGAAGACTAACGTGGTACATCTAGTGCTGCTCTTGCACATGAGGCATTCAAGCGCGCAGCGGCGCAGTAGGAGAGCTGGACTGGGTCGGAGCTTTTCTGGCAACACTGTATCAAATGCTAGCGGTAATACAGCGGTACTTGCTATATTGGCCAATATCCTAGGAATAGCTTTTCGGTGACAATTTAGGAAGTCGAAAAGTAGAACCTAACGACTATTGATGTGATGTGATTGTGTTGTAAGCCTGGGCAAAATTCGGCAGTTCCGACCACGACACATGTATGCCAGCAATTACTTCTGCTCACACGCCACCCTGACGAACGTAGGGGACCTAGGCACGAAGGCCGGCCAGGTAGAGACCGCCCTCGAGCGGCACTTTGCTTTGGCCAACAAATGGGGATGCGTCCTGCTCCTCGACGAGGCGGACGTGTTCCTCGCCGAGCGGTCACCACAAGACTTTGAACGCAACAGCTTGGTAGCGGTATTCCTGAGAGTGTTCGAGTTCTACGCCGGCGTTCTCTTCCTGACCACCAATCGCGACGGCGCTTGCTCTGGCCGAGTTCAAGGCGTAGCGCGGAGCGCTGAATAGCGATGTCGACACCACGGCCGAGGTGGGTATTATACCGCCACCAGCTGGGCCTGACAGCAGTACGGGGCCGCCAGGGAAGAACAGTCGACGCTGAGTGGAACCTGCCTCAAGCTTAATTCGATGCTGACGGGTTAGCACCTTGGGAGTTGGATTGATGGAGGGACAAGAGATTTCTTTCCTCAAATACAGCCTTTTCGTAACAGGTTTTGGATATTGATTTGCCTTACGAACCTACGGCCAAGACCGTGAGCGGAGCCAGGACGTATGTCCCACAATCAGGGCAAGGAGGCCTTAAATTCGTAATCCGATAGTGACTGTGAGAGAGCCGGCTTCAACTACCTAGGTACCTAATGTGGTGGCATTGCCTTCATCAGTGGTTCAGCCCTCACCGGACAGGCAACTTCCCCCTTATCAATACCGGGGACCCTAAAAGCTGATCTTGGTCTTGACCGCGGCAACAAAGTCCTCCACATCCCCCAAAAAGGCCTCGGGTACTTCGAACGCCGCAAAATGCCCACCCTGTTCTCAATTAGCCCATAGCTCTGGGTTAGTCCAGAGAGGCGACGTACCTTTTCATGGGCCCGGTGAAACACCAGATTCTCTGGAAACCAGTGTTCCAACCACGATTTTGCCACCGCCAACGGCTCGTCCGGGAAGAACGAATACCCGATGGGCTTGTTGGTGATCTGCAGCGGGGAGGGCAACTTGTCCGGGACATCCCGCAGTATCGCCTCCCAGGCGGAGCGGTACGCCCACAGCGCGCGGCCGTAGGACTTGGTGTACCAGTACCACGAGACCTGCTGAAGGATGACGTCGAGGGGGGTATTGGTGGCTTCGGCGTACATCGAACCGATCCTGTTATAATGTCAGTTTTAAGGAGAACGCATCAGGGCCTGTCCAAGGTCAACCCACCACCCCAGCAAGGCCATCGGACCCGACATCAGCACCAGCGAGATGGCCCCCGGCTTGGTCCCCTGCTCCAGCATGTAGCCGGTGCCCGAGTAAGCAAACTCGGCACCGGCCGCGAGTGAGGCCTTCTCCTGGGGAGTGACGGGCAGCTCCGCGACGCCTGCCCGCTCCGTGTCCGTGAGGAGGAAGTTGTTGACTGCGATCCGTTAGCTCCTTGAGCAATGTCCAAAGGCAGAAGCCCGCATCTTACAGTGGACAGCCTTGCACTCGTCATGCTCGGCCCCGATCGCCGCCGTGATGCCCGATCCCACATCACCGCCCTGCGCGATGTACGCGTTGAAGCCCAGAGCCTTCATCAGCTCGTTGAGCGCCTCGGCGGCCTTGGAGAAGTTCAGTTCCGTCTCCGTCAGCTGGTTGCGGGTGGAGAGTCCATAGTCCGGAATCGAAGGGGTGATGATGTGGTACGGCAGCGTCTCGGGCGTGTACTTCTCGGCGAGCAGCTCAAAGATGGGGATGAAGTCCAGCCACGAGCTCGGCCAGCCGTGGGACAGGATGATGGGCACGGCATCCGGATTCTGGGAGAACAGGGCCGCGAAATGGAGGTCGAAAACCTGGCCGTCCGAGGGCGCCGTGACGTTGATGGTGAACTGGGGGAACGTGTTCCAGTACTTCTCGTGTTCGCGCCAGTCGAAGTCGTTGGCCCACACATGAGCCGCCTGGGCGAACCAGTCCCGTGAAGCGCCAAAGGCGTGGTCCGGCCCGTCCGTGGCGTTGTGCGTGTTGTAATACGAAGGCACCCCGACGACAGCACTCTTGACGAGGCTAGATAGTTGGTGAATGTCACTGCCCGGAACGTGAAGGGTAAACGGGGCCGGGGTTCCCGGGGTGCCAAGGGGCACGAGTCCGAAGCCAGCGTCGACCATTGTTGGTTATTTTACGGGTTGTGATAAGGCGAGGCTGTCAAGTTGGGCGCTACATCTCTTTCGGTCGTGTCGAGCCTTTTATACCTGCAACAACAAGACACAAAGGAGATCACCACGTGTAGATCTGTGGTGGTGGATTTGTCAGGGAGGATTAACAAGACCTCCACCTCTGCTGACGCCAAGGACTTGGGTACAACGAAATCAAGGGGTTTTACCCCTAATGGGGCTAAGTTTCTGTCGGTAGTCGAGGGTATGGGTGAGAAAATGAGTCAATCCCACTCATCAAGGTAAAATGGCATGACGACATTGATTGAAGACAGTTGTAACAGCAGCGGGGAGGCCGGTTGTTCCGGGGCAACCCTGTTGAGGTTTTAGTAATCGGAAACACCAACTGTCCAGCGACTAACAAGGCTCCGGGGACACCCGGAGCGCTTGGTTTGGACGTTTTGGGACAACCTCGCTGACAAGCGTCTTGGCCTGGGGTATTTCCGTTTCTTGAGCTATTACACAGTAATCTCCTTGAGGGCGAGGAGAGAGAGCGGCAATTAAATCCTCCACGTTCCTTTGTCATTTTCCGTCTCCCTGATATCCGCCTCAGTGACGCATCGCATTCTTGCTCGCGCCCCTAATCCTGGCACCATACTTGTACAAGAGAAACGGCACGGGAGCCAATACCGTGGCGAGAGCGGCCGGGATCGTTAGTGCCTTGTGCGGCCCTAAGTTCTGATACATGGGAATCGACGCGGGGACTAGGGCTCCCGCAATGATGTAGCGGACGCAGGTCATGAAGGCGAGGGCGGACGCCGAGTGGACACCGTAGACGAAGACGGTGTACAGGAAGGTGGTGGTGAAAATGGTGACCAAGCCGTAGCCGAAAAAGGCCGAGCCCACGATGGGCACCCAGATGCTGATGTCAGACTGCGTTGCGGTCAGGTTAGCTACAACAACACATTGGATAGTTCGGGTGGGGGGCCTTACGTAGCAGGTCCAAGCCAGCCACCACAGCGAGATGGGCAACATGATGGAGCCGCCCAGCATTCCGTACCACAGGCACAACTCGGGCGTCAAAGTTCCCTTCACAGCGGCCTTCTTTGCCCAGCCGTAGATCAATGGGATAAGAGGGAGGGCGGCAAGATCGCCGACGAGGAGAGCAACCCAGAGGATGAAGGTCATGGAATGGGAAATGCCATAGGTCTGCTCGAAGATAAATGGGTATCCATTGAGGAAGGCGAACAAGACGAAGTAGATGACGGTCAGATAGAAGGTGAAAATCAGGATAATCGGCTCCGTGTAGGTCATGACGAAGGGCCGGTACAGGTTGACTAGAAGCCTCTTAGCCAAGGTGCTTGTGGCGGCGTGCTCCTCGACCCGATATCGTGCGTCGCCCGTGAGATCGCGCAGGTGTTTAGCCTTCCACTCCAGAAGAATCGGTCGGTATGTCTCGGGCTGGAACAGAAAGACGTATGCCAGCACGGCGCCAGCGATAATGAGAGCGAGCCAGTCGGCCCAGCGGAAGCCGATCTGGGGAAGATAAGCCCCAAGGATAGGGCCGACGATCGGGCCGGCATACGATGTCATGGCACCGACGGGAACACAGAAAATCATTTCGAGCGGGCTCCACATGTCGGCAATAGTTCCGCCAGCGGCCGTCATGGGAGTCGAGCCGAAAAAGCCCGTCAGGAAGCGGAAGACGATTGCGCCGCCGAAGTTGGGCGCCATGGCCTTTGCCAGAATGAAAAGCATGAAAACGACAAATGTCGTCATATACATGACATTGCGGCCGAAGGTTTCCGACACAGTACCGGCGAAGAGGGCGCCAAAGCCGGTCCCGAGCAGATACATGCCCGTAGTCATGGATCCTGCCATGGGGGAGACGCCGAAGTGGTCGTTGAAGGCTTCGGCCACCGGGGCGTCGATGGAAGACGGGATGGTGATGGCCAGAGTGAGCAGGCATACCGCAAAGGTACACGCCCACTTTTGGGAGCGTTTCCAGTTGTGAGGGTTCTGAGGGTCCCCATCCTTCCAATCTACCAAGTAGGCCACACTCCCGTCATCTTCTGCGGGCCGAGAAATCCTGACCCCCAGTGCGCTCGCCCAAGTCTTATCCTTCTCCAAATCGTTGCTCTGAGAAACATCGCCGTCGGGGACTTCCTTGGTTTCCAATGATGATGAGTTTGGAGAACTGGTTCCGGCTGCCTTGACGCGAACGTGTGCGAGGTCACTTTTAACTGACGCTCGCATCCGGCGATATTGGAGAAAAGATTGCATCGTCGACTTCGGAGGGAGGAGGGAGGAAGTGAAAACGATTTGTTGGCTGTGGTGGTTGTCAACCGTGGTGTTGGCGTGTGTCACTGCGTGCTTGGGCACTTACACCTTCACTAACAGTCTAACGGGATCGGGCGAAGGAAGCCAGTTAAGAAGCAGGCACATCCAGAATCCATGGTCGTTTGTTATTTTCAAGGAAGACTATTGTCGCGGAATTCCAAAGTCATCTGGCGGAAACGGCAAGAAATGAACCCGGATTTCTCAGCCGGGTTAACAGAGTCTCGGAGATAGCATCCATCTTTTCTTTCAGTTCAAGTTGTTGAGAGTTAGGTTGGGGGTTCAACCCGCACAGCCAGCAGTCACAACTCACCGGGCCCCACAGAGTCAGGTTTGGGCCCCACCGGAGTCAAAACCCGGACCCACAGGAGTTAAGCCGGGCGGGCTGCCACACATTGGCAAGCTTAAGTGGAAAGACCAACAGATCTGTATGTACATTCCTCCTCCGCCGTCCTTGCCTTCGAGACTGCCCGGCTAACGAGAGGATCCGATTTTCGAAGACGGATTTAAGACGGAGACGCGGCGTTTGCCGGCCACTCCAGATAGCCCGGGATGCACCTAATCAGGTTCCGGCCCGGGCGGGTAACTCGGCCTGCTTCGCTTGCGGTTTTTCCGAGTCGGATGGATGCGCTTCCCGTCCTTAGTTTCCTCCCCCCTTAGCGATTCTGTAACCAACGGGAACCGTGACTGACTGCTGTTGCGCGACTTACCCTGGCGTAGCACGCACCCACTCCGCCGTCCGCTCTACCTTAGTTTAGCTCGGAATGTTGCCAGCTTCAAAACCCCAAACATCCGTAACGACCCCGGATCGGCATTTTGACCAGTCTCGGACGTCGGAAAATATCAGCACGGATGCGCCTCGTCTGAGATCTTCCATCAACACGGGGAGGTGGTCAGCGACCGAGGACGATCGTCTGAGGGAAGCCGTGGCCAGATGTGGTACACGGTGGGTGACCGTCGCTGCTGGTGTTGGCACGCGCAACGCTGAGCAGTGTGCCAAGCGATGGAACGACAATGTCAATCCAGATCTCGACCACAGTTTCTGGTCTGCCGAGGAGGTCCGTCTCCTTCCATGCCCTTCCCTAGGCTCTAGCCGTGAACCATCCCATGATCGACTAGAACATCCCGACTAACCGGGCTATCCTGCCTACAAACAGGATAAGCTCCTCTTGTCCCTTGTCGGTGTCCACGGTCACAACTGGAAGCTCATGGCCGAAAGCTTCCTCTCAGCGCGTGCGCCGCTTGCCATCAAGAACCGCCACTCGCTACTGATGCGGCGCCAGAAGCGGCAGAACGCCAAGCAGCAACTGCCGTCAACCGCGTTATCCTGGGACCGCGGGCTGTCAACTTTAAACACACGTTACACACCTCCGACTGGGCCACATCCGCCGTGTCGCGTGGACATTCTTGGTATCGCGTCCGCTAGTTCCAGCAGCTCGAGCAGCTCTCCATTTCCCCTCCAAGGTCACGCATCGGCCGATTCGGCGAGTCCTCCTATGCATGCCGTCGGCGCGCCCTTTACGCCATCCCATCAACGGACAATCACTCATGAAGGCGGCGTATCGACCAAGATGAACTACGCGGTGGACCTCTCGGACCTACTACTCTCTCACGGGACCCCCGCGGACCAAGGCGGTCATATAATGGGGAATCAGTCCACCTTCTCGCCACCCGGCGGCGACCCATCACAAAGCCGAGAAATCGGATATCCAAGATGGGACGGACACGGTCTCGGCAACGGTATCGACCTCGGGAGTCTACTCGGCGGCGCCGATCTACCCATGCGCTCAGGGGACGGCGATAACGTGATGCTCGGCCCCGATGGGGGGACCCAAGTCGGGGGTGGGAGCGATAAAGGGATCGAGTTTTCAGTCACTTGCTCGCGATCGAAGCTGAAGGCCATGGTGTGCCATGCCTTCGAGGGTGCCATGACGGAAACAGCAGAGTTGTCGGAAGAAGAACCGGTGACCGTTACATTACGACTGAGAAGATGAGATGATGTCGTTTACTTTGGGCGTTGTACAGGCAGGAACAGGATTGGGTGTTCATTCGTCAAACAGACAGGAATTGATTTATTCGTATCCATGGTTCCTCCATTTTATGAATCCCGAGTCCAGTGTTTTGAGCCGGACTCATACATCAAAATAGGTACCTACCTAGACGAAAAGATTTTGGATAAAAAGCAAAAAGAAAACACTGAAACCCCCCTATACGACCACTTACAAGTAGTGTAATAATAGCATGGAAAGCGTCCCCATATCCACTAACAAGAAACAGGATCCACGCCGACCACCGAACCGGACGACTCCACCTCCTTTATATCAACCTCCTCGATATCCACCCCCTTTATATCCACCTCCCCATCCACCTCCCCCACCCCCCTTCCCTCCGACCACCAGTTATTGATGTGAACCTGTGCGGGAGTGTTCCTCAGTGCGCAAAGTCAAAAGGATGGACTCCTACTATCGTTTCTGCTAATAATCCTCTTCCTGGGCGCCAAAAACCTCCATCCTCCCCGTCACTTGTTCCCACGTCTCGGTCCCCTCAAGCAAGCCCCTGATTGCCGCCATAACCTCATCCTCCAAGCCTCTGACTTGGACCATGGAATCCCGCTCCCTCAATGTCACCGACCCGTCGGTTAACGTGTCAAAATCAATCGTCATGCCCAGCGGCGTGCCCAGCTCGTCGTTCCGTGCATATCGTTTGCCAATGGATGCGCTCGACGCATCGATAATGTTTGCGATGCCCATCTTTCGCAGCCGGGCCGAGAGCCTGTGAGAGATGGCGTTGAGTTGGGGGTGAGACGACAAGGGGGCGATGAGAACTTTGTTGGGTGCCACGGCCAGAGGCAAGGACAAGACCTGGGAATCGCTATTAGCTAGAACTTATAGAATAATAGATGTTCGTGCTCACCGCTCTCGCGGCATCGTTGGGCCGATGCCAGTACACTTGTTCCAGCAGACTGTAGAGAATCCGCCCGATGCCAAAGGACGGCTCAATCACATTCGGCGTGTATTCGCGAATACTTTGGAGGCGAGTAATTTTGGAGATGGCCAGAAGCTCCTGTGACAGTTCCACATTCATGGTCCCGTCAGATAAAGCTGGTGTCTCGATGACCACAGCTCCGTTTTTCTCGAGTTCAGCAGCCAGACTTTCAAGCGCAACTTGGTCCAAAGCTTCGACAGCTGACTGGACTACCTTCGCATCTTTTTTGAAACGCGGCCCAGTACGCTTCTTGTCAAGAGTAGCCTGCCACTCCTCCACTTTCACAGGCTCCGGAAGGACCTCCTTGACAGCTAACGAGGTACCCGTGTACCTTGCATGCACCGTCAAATCATAAGCGCTTCGGTCGGCGCAGCCAACGCACTCGACCCAGCCGTAACTCGTGAGTAGTTCGGCGTCCCAGCAATCGCAAGCGTAGTGAGCCATCTCGTTCGCCAGATGCTGTCTGAATCGGACCTTGGACTGGTCGACGCCGAGTTTCGCAAGGAACAACATGATCCGCCCCATGAAGTAGCCGAGGGTTTCGTTGTCAATAACCTTGGACTCGACGGCCTGGCCGATTGTGATTGTCCGGGATGTCGTCTTGCCCGACAGCTGGGTCTCCCTGTCAAGTAGCGGCAGTACAATGTCGCTCACCTCCCGAAACCGAGGGTGTTGCTTCTTTTCCGGGTCAACGTAATGTTCAATCTCGGCCAACAGGAACTCTCGAACCCGAAGAAGCCCAGTTCTGGGAGAGATTTCGTTTCGGTACGATTTGCCAATGCTGGCTGACGCAAACGGCATGGAGCCCTGGTTGTAGTCCAGCAGCTTCTTGAAATTCAAGAACTGACCTTGGGCAGTCTCGGGCCGAAGATAAATGGGTGCGGCGGTGCTTGGCCCTATCGTGGACTTGAACATTAAATTGAAGGGGACAGGTGGCAGGACTTCGTTGTTGTTCTCTGGGTTCCGGATGCCATGTTGCTTGATCAACTCGGCTAGCCCATCGCCGTCGTAGTTGTCGATCTAGGGACGAGCCCCGATTAACACCTGTACCTGCGGTACTCACAGGGAGGGAATAAAACAGGGGTTACCTTGGCCAGTATTCCATTGTATTCATCAATGGTTGCTTGCTCCAGGTTAGGCGAATCCTTGACGAGGCCCCGGGTGCCCCGAGCAAGGCGCGCTTTCAGGACGGTCGCGACGAGATGGTCCGCTCGCAGGTAATCGCCTAATAATCATGGCGCCCAAAAGGGCCAAAGTGTTAGCAAACCAATCGTTGATCATGTTTTACTTCGGTGAGGAAACATGAGAACTAGGAATCACTCGCCCTTAACCGAGTCCTTGCACATCCAATCCGCAAATTTGTCAACGTGCCCGCTGGTTTTGAGCACAAGCTCGGGCGTAACAACGGTGCAATCCATTTCTAGCATATTCTCCTCGAGAACGAAGTGTTTCCTCCACATGTCCACAATATTGGCCTGGAGTGCACATCCCGGGGGGCCATAGTCGAAGAGGCCACGGTTGTCGCCTTTGAAGTTTGGGGACAATCGGTAGATTTCAAACGCCTCGGTGAAAAAGAAACGACGCTTGAGAACAGATTCGAAAAGCTGCCTGTCGAACTCGTCGCCTTTGAGGGTTGTTGTTGATGAAGCCATGTTTGAATTGAGCTGAGCGCGGATAAGCCGTTGACTGACCAGCTGCATAGGAGGTGAACAAAAGAACGAGGTGCCTGAACAGCGGGCTTGCTTTCTTATCAATCCACTGTTGCAGGTTTAGCCGCCGTGCCAATCGGGCACCTACCACAGACCTAGTCGGCCTGACTCACCCAATATTTATAACAACCGCCCTCTAATAAGAACGACCTATGAGTAACGTACAGAAGCTGTAACACCTCAGACGATCTGAGTCATAGCTACCTACCGTGCTCACAAAATTCTTCAAATACGGCGTCCTCTCCAATCCTCCATTCTGGATTTCAGAGCACACTCCGACTGAGTCAACCAACCCATACCTCAACCTGAAAACAATACATCTCTCCATTTTCATGGTCATGCCTCCCAACGAGAGCCCGCCTCGCGCTGAGAATCCGCCCCCCGTCGAGAGTCCAGCGCCCGCCGAGAATGCGCCTCGCGCTGACAGTCCGCCTCCCTCCGAGAGCAATCCCCGCGCCGAAAGCCCCCCTCCCGCCGAGGACATTCCACCTCGTGACAGTCCGCCTCTACGCAAATTGCCATCCCAGGAGGTTAAAGGCATGAAGCAGGAAATGGCTGATGTCGAAGCCATGTTCAAGGCCGCAAGATTGACACGCGAGAAATTGCCGCTCTGGCGCGAGCTCACACGTCTAAGGGACCAATTCAAGGACCTCCAGTCCCGTGGATTGATCCTAAGGGACAACGAGCTACCTTAACAGATCCAAACCCGAGCTCTACAGGCAGCTACGTAAGTAACCGCGCATAGGGGGCTTTTGGTTACTAGTTTGTTGAAACCGAAAGCTTTTTATGAACTAGCGATCTACCTAAATAGATACCTACCTATATATCATTCGGTACGAACCTCTCTGCGGCTGCTACAACACCAAATCGGGGAGCCTTCAGACTGTAGAACAATATTGCCTAGGTACCTATCTAGCTTACAATCAAACCCATTGCCCTTACTATCTCCCGGAATCTGATTTGATATCCCCCAGCTGCAGTCCTTCAATTTTATCCTTAACAGCTGTGCTGAGAAGCGCGGGAAGATTGGCGAGGGAGGTCTCCTTTGTAATAGTGGTGTTCCCAATACTAGACTCGATGCCTTGTGCTCCACTTTGTCCTCTCGAGGTGCACTGGTGTTGCCGCCAAGTCCGTTTGTCTTGATACCAGCCAGGAGACGATAAAGTGTGCCAAATTGGGGGCTTCATGGTTTTTATTCTGTCCACCACCTCCACGAGACTGGCATCCCCGAAAGGGGTTTCCGGGGAATGACCGCTGAGGTTGAGGTCGTGCATATTCTTGGTCAGGGCACCAAGGTGCATAGCGCTACACTCGAAACTGCAGCCCTCACGGCCCTCCGTGTAGTCTTGTTGGAGGCCATGGAGCCCGGTGGCAATCGCATTGAAGGATTCCTTGCGGCATTGATTGATGCGGTCTATTTACTTACGTTAGCTTGTTCGTTACTAGGTAGGTACTGTACCTACCTACGTTGGTAGGTACCTAGGTAATTAAGAACTTACCGACGACAGCTGGAGGGATTGGAATCCCTTCTGGAAATTCCACATCCTTCTCACTCCATAGAATAGCGGCCTTGGTGATCTCGGTAAACGCTGTTGCGTATCCAAAGACCCAGGAGACGAAGATCCTCAAAACATCGTCCGGTCGGAACGAAACGATGGGCAAACCCGGGTCGATGGATTTCATCCACAACAACGTCATGGGCTGGAGTGCTTCATGGAGTTTGTAATAATCGACGATAATGGCGATCTTGACGAGCGACTTCAGCGTCAACCACTTCGGAACCTGGCGATAGTGGCTATGCAGAACGTCCATGACGATCGTTAGGGCCATAACATCCCAGTCTTCAGCGTCGATCCGAAATACACCATCCTTCTTGTTCCCTTCGTCCCATCCTCCCTTCAGCATTGCCTTGAAGACAGGCGAGGCCAAAATGAGGTGGCGCGATGAAACGAGAAAGGTCACCGGTTTGTCCACCGGGTGGTGGGACGATGCGCGAGGCCGACGTCGGTCACCCTTTGCCGTCTTCGGTTTAGCGGCGTCATCCAAAGGGTCGTATAAAATGAGCGGCGCGTTATTGGGGTTTCGCAACGAGAGAATGACGTCGCCCAAGGGGTCTACCTTGTGGTCGTACATTGTGCCCGAATGTCAATTCGAGTTGGGAACGTTTAAAAATGGAAGAGATGAGGGGGTTTGGGAATGGAACTCGGACCTGTCGAGGGACAGACGCAGATCGGGGACTCGGGGTTGGTGACTAAATAGAAGCTCAACTGTGATTGCCTACTAATAATGGGACGTCTCGTAGGCCTCAGCGCATCTGCATGCATCATGATTCATCTGCATGTACGTCCGCCTTCGCAGCCAGTAACGGTACCTATGTAGGTACCTTACGTACATTTACCCCGTTGCTTGAACTCTGGGCGGCCTACCAAGAGAGCCCGCCAACCCACTCCCCGTTTAATGAATACCATCAGGTGATGGCATCAAAAGAACCAACTTAGTGATGCAATAGTGAATAGAGGTACCTTACATTTTGACGATGATCAGGTGCATATGACAATAATCCAAAATGTTGACGTCCAAGTTTCCGAAATCGTCCAACGAGTTCGTTCCCGCGCTGAGAGCTCATTCGGTTCGAAATCCTTCTATGCCTTCGTGGCCCGGAAGACGTGACCTGCTGATAATACTGGTTTCGCCTTGGGGGTATACTATACGCGGGGACAAGTTAATCATTGCCTGCTTGGAGCAGAGGCACTACGGAGGCCTAGCACGAATTATCACCTCACCATCTCGCCAACTCCTTGGCCAAATGATACTACTGATAGACACGGACACCCAACAACCCAGTGCTCGCACTAATCAGCACGCGATATCGGTGAGATGATGTGACCGCGCTCACTGACAGAGGCAAACGACAATGCGGTGGCGAGCTCAATATAGGAGTCACATTTGCAGTCAGTGCCCAGCCTGCTTGAACCAAGGTCGCAGTCCCCTCGCCCGCTCCCTTCCAATTCCACTTTCCTCGGACCAGACACTGCGACCACTGCGACAACTGGAAACCGAATTTTGTAAGTCGTCCCAGCCCAAACCCACCCTAGGTACACGGACCCCATCTAACACACCCATGAGAGCCAGCCACCATGGACGCCGCCCGGTCTGTCTTTTGCTGGGGAGCCATCTGTAAGCACGAGCAACACCCCCGTAGCTCCCACCCCACCCTCGTCGGCAGAGTTAGTTACGTACTAACCCCGTTGCCAACCAACCACAGCCCCCCGTATCTTCCTCCACGAGGGGGAGGAGACGAGCCGCTTGCGCGCGTCGTTCTTGCTGGTCCTAGGGCGGGCCGTGGCGGACGCCGCCGCCACGACCCACTCGCCGGGGGAGGTCGTCGCCGCCGCCCGCGCGGTGGAGGCCGAGGTCCGGTCCTGGCCGTTCACCGACGCCAGGCAGGGCCTCTGCTGCGTCGTCGCCCGCGCCCTGGTGCTGGCCGCCGAGTGTAAGTCCACCCCCCCATCTCCCCCCCCCCCGCGCTGGTATGGTAGCCGGTAGCCCGTTGTTATGCTAACTCGGTTGTTTAGCCCACGTTCGCCAAGTCCGCCAGCAGGAGGCTCGCGAGGAGGACCGCGCCCACCGGGTGTGCGAGGAAATGGAGGCGGCGGCGGCAGGGACGCGGTAAGTGGTCCGTCCCCGCGGGGGGGTAGGAGGGGCGAGGAGGTTTGCGGTTGGTCCCGCATTGGTTGCCTTCGGGCTTTTTTGTATTCTTTTGCTTTTTTGTACTTTTTTTAGTATTTTAGCCCGTGTCATTTTAGATTCTTCTGCCCTTTATCTTGTGTTTTCGTGAAGTCTGCTTCTGTCTTGATGTGACTATGGGTGTTAGTGTCCAAGCCCCTTGTCAGTGGAACGCCCTAAGCTCGTCTATACCCAGATAGGTACCTAATATGTTGATGATGTGACAATGATATGAACAACCAACCCCCTGACTGCGGTCCCATCACTTCTAATGTTTTCAGCCTGCTTTGTCGAGAACGTTACTGCTCCTCTCTGCCTTAACATTCGGTGTACTTGCTCCTACGCTTTGACATTTAGGTTGTCAGTACCTATCTTCTGTCGAAACCGGAGATGTATTTTGTCTAATTCCCTCTAACCATAAATCAGACAGCTCTTTTATCTTCCCCCGATACGCCCCTCTTGCAGACCCATGTTGTCTACCCTCCTCTAAATTCTATTTCATCACTGCCCCCAAATCCCCGACTCCTCCCCGAACTTCATGATCCGATCATGCAGTTCACCGCCGCGTACCGCCTCGTAGATCTCGCCTGACATGGTTCCGAGGGTCCTACCCCGAAGCGCCAACTCTTCTTCCAGCGCCGTCAGGTCCCCGTTTTCGCCCTCGCCACTGGCAACATGCCCATTCGGACCGTCAGCAGTACCAGCCCTCCGAGCTTCCTCGACCTTCCCCAGGAGCAGCGGCGGGTGATCCTCAATACCCCGGTTGAGCGGGATGTTCAAATCCTTCCGCACAAAATCATAAACCACCCTCGACGCGGAGCTGATATAATCCGTCGTCGTCTGCGAGCGCAAGAACTCGACCCGGAGACCGGCATAGCACGTCTCCATCGCAGCAGCCATCCGGCCCTGATACTCCCGCACGCCCTCCAACGAGGCACCACACCCAGCCAAAGTCTCCAGCACCGTGCCAAGCGACTCGTTCACCGCCGTCCGGCACCGATCCCCCAGGTCCAAATGCGACAGCTGATCCCAGCGCGCCAGCACCGCGTCCCGCACGCTCTCAGAAACCACCTCCTCCTCGCGTTTCCCCCCCTTCTCCCCACCAAGAAAGCACCCGGCCACCACCCCGCGCACAACCTCCCCCAACCTCTCCCGAAACTCCAGCCCCAAACACCTCAGATCCAGCGCCTGGCACAGCACATACACATACGTCGCCGCCATCAGGCTCACCACCTCGACCGCCTCGAGCGCGTAGCGCGCCGCGACCAGGGCCATGCTGTTGACGCTCTGGTTGGCCATCTCGGCGACCTGGACGTGTGCGCTGACGGGCTTGGCCAGGTAGGCGAGCTCGGCGGCGTAGGCGGCCATGTTGACGTCAAACCCCTTGCAGGTGAAGCTGGCGCTGGGGTCGTCGAGCGACAGGTTGGGCGGCAGGCCCTTGTTGGTCGCGTTGTTGATGAGCTCGGCCGACTGGGCGTACAGCAGGCGGCCGATGTTTTGGAGGGCGAGGAGGGTTTTTTCCATGGCTGAGGTGAGGGCCGCGGCTTGGAAATTGCCGCCGTGGTGCATTCGGCTGGTGTTGCTGCTGGTGTTGCTGTTTGCTAGGGATGGGGGGACGACTTCGATCAGGGGGTTGTCTGTGGTGGAGTTGATTTCGGTGGTCACCTGGCGCGTGGCCAGGAGGAGGTCTTCGAGCTGGGGACCGAGCCATTGCGGGGCGGTGCGCAGGGAATAGCGGTCTTGGGCGAGGCCGACGCGGGCGATGGATTGGGAGGAGGTAGGCGGCGGACAGATCTTGGAGCCGGAGAGGAAGTGAAGGATGTTGGTGGTAACTTCTGCTTGGCCTGGGTGCGGGCGGATGGCGGAAATGAAAGGGTGGTAGTTGTGAGAGTTTCCGTTGAGGGCTTCGGTGCCCATGGCAGTGAGGAGCTGGGCGAGAAGGGCGAGTTGGTTGGCTTGGTCGATCGCGAGGCATGCTGCTGCGCAGCTGGGCGCGGTGCCGTTGGTGATTCCGAGACCTTCTTTCGCTTGAAGGCGTACCGGATCGATCTTGGCAACTTTGAGCGTCTCGCTGGCCGGAAGAATCTTGGTCTTGCCGTCCTCGCCGACGACCTTGACGAAGATGTCTGGGTTGCCCTCAATGGCGCCTGCGATATGCGAGAGGGTCGAAAGATCTCCTGACGCCGAAATGCTACCTCGTAAGGGCACAACGGGGGTCATATTGAGGGACAATAACTTCATAACGGACTCAATGACGCTGACTCGCACACCTGAGTGGCCTCGCATCAACGAATTGCAGCGGATCAGCATTGCCGCTTTAACAATGGGTGTCGGGAGGGCGTGGCTTCGCAACAAGCCATTCTCTTGGTTATCCGAACCCGGGTCCGTCTTGTCGGCTTTCAGCAGGATTCCAACGTTGAGATGCTGGACAGCCGCACTCTGGAGCCGCTCGAAATCTTGTGTTCTCGTGTCGGCGCTGCCGCCGAAGCCGGTGTTGACGCCATAGATGACGTTGCCGGCTTCCAACTCCCGCGCCAAAAAAGCAACACTCTCGCTGACCAGCTCGAGATCCAACGGATCGTCCGTAAGTTTAGCAGGTCCGTTGTGTCTAAAGGCAAAATGTCAGTAAGTAGCCATTCCGTGCCTACAAAAAGAAAGTATGAATTAGACACTCACAGCGAGACAGCCAGGACATCAGCGATGGTCAACTCGCGGCCATTGACTAACACATCCTTCCTCGAGTGACGCCTGTTTTGCAACCTGATCCATTCCGAATAAGCAGCAAACGCATGCGGAACGGCATCTCCTTTTTGGCTCTTTATTATTTCGCCCATTGTGAAGTCAAAAATGAGAGATGGGAGGGAATATGCGAAATCCTTGAATCCTTGTTCTCCGAGGTGCTTCAAGATGGCGGACTTGGGGTGCGGTGTAAGAGTTCGGAAAGAGAAACGGCGCCCAGTGGCCTTATCAATCCATCCACCGCCTTCCCCACGTGGCGCCTTCCTAGCGTACAAATCGGCCCGCTCGGTTTTTAATGTCATTCTCGTTTTAAACCCCCGGAAGATTCGGGATTGCCATAGAGATATTCGTACGCGGTTACCAGCCCCCCGTCACCGTTTTCTTCCGGGCTCCGTATCTGAGACAAGTGACAGGTCATGGCCCAGCTAGCCAACGCCGAGACAAAAAGGGTGGTAACAGACCGCTACATAAAGCACGCATAGCCGCAAATTTGTCAGACATGCAGGCGATAGTCAGATATTTGGACCTGGCTGAGGGCTCAGTCACCGTCTCGAGCAAGATGGTCGGGCAAAAATCTCAGCTCACCTAGGTTCTGGACACGAGATTGTCTTGGCCGCCCTGCGGAATTTGATGGGCAATGGAAACATCAAAATGGTGGGACGGGACTCGGACTCTGACGGGGCCGCAAAAGCAACTGCGAACAGGACAAACTGGCATTAAACACCAACGTGTTTCAAGGAGGCTGGAGGCTTTAACTGTAACAGAAAAAAAAGAAAAAAAAAAAAAAAAAAAAAGAAAAGCCCACTTTCAAAGCGTGCTCCCCATTTACTTCTAGTTTGATGCCGTTAATTGCACCCAGTTCGTTCAACGCAGTGACATGTAGTTCGGGTTGGCAGTTTCACCTTTCTGTAACCCTAAGTCCTAACCCTAAGAAAACCTATCTCCAACCCCAACCCCAACCCATTGCCCCGAGCCTTAACCTTGACTCGAACCAAACCCTCTTCAAGAAGTGAACCGACTTCGTTAAACTCGCCCCGTTGAACTACCTAGGTGTAGTCGGCCTCATTAAATTGACGGCGATATACGGGGTTAAATTGCAGTGTTTGAACGTTAGTGTTTAAAGACAGAATCTTTTCTGCCCAACAATTTCTCGCGTTTCCTTAGAGCTCGCACCCGTTATCAGCACCATCAGCACCTGGAGGTCCGCCCTGGAGCGGGATGGGGCTGTTAGACGATGTGCTTGCTGAGAGTGCTCGATAGTAGCTGACGATCCTAAATAGCAGTCGTAGAAAGAAATACTTTTCATCCAAGGTCAAGTACCTAGGAAGCTTTTGGCATCATCAAGAACTCTTACCCATGGCCAAATTAGAGGAGATCAAGGGCCGTTCCGAGTCCCAGAAACGGTAGCTTCCTGCCCGTGGCAGCTAGCCCCGACCATTTATCAATAGGTAACCTTTAGCTTTCGACCTTGCGGTTGCTTTGGTAGAATACACATCAGGGGTATTGGGAATTCCTGACACGTAGCATCCCGGCCTAAAGTCTCGAACAAATACAATGGAAGTCATTGAAGATCGTGATTCCGGGGCGCTTTCGCACCGAAGTTGTTGATTTAAACCTCGGATTCACGCAAGGTACAGCCTACAAAAGAGATTACTGATTTCGTCAAATCCCGCCCATTTAGTCGGATGAAGTCTACCCTCTAGCCATGCTGTTGATACGGGCTTATATACCTTATAACTACGAAGTACGCAATGAGCTACCCTCGCCACCTTGCGTTTCGGTAAACGAGAGATGGAAGTAGTAGACCAGGGATGGCAACGGGCTTTCAACAAAAAGAATTGGCCCTAGCTGATCAATGGCGTTCTTGCAGAACTCGGGCTAGGAGAGGCACAACCGTAACTCCGGCAGTCGTTCCCCGGGCCGGAGATTCCCTTGGGCCATGACTGGCTGAACAATTGGCTGAAAGTGCCGGACCTTCTGCGGGAATTGAACGCGGTGGTACGTGAAACACGGAAACTGCAGCCGATCATAAGACCAAGTGCCCAACGGGCTCGTTCCTTTGGCTCGTTCCTTCTCCTCCCAAACGTTGACAAAAGCTCTACAAGGTAGGAATTTTGGGCGACACGTGTACAAGTTGTCCCCGGGCTGTTTGAACATCGTGCATCCTCAATCAGCTCGTACCTGCAATGCCAGCCGTTTCGCCAAAATGTCATGTCCGCACCCGTGCCTGTTGCTACGTACATTCCAGCGTGACCACCATATCATGTCCGTAATGCCCAGGCCGGCCTTCCTCCAACCTGGTCCGACGGCCGGAACCCAGACGGAAGGCACCCCAAAAGCACGCGTACAAGCTGAGCGGTGCTTCCCGAGATATAAAACGAAGCAAGAACCATCGTCACCCGCCCACGGATATTCTTCCCATCGCACAAAGTCCTACATTTAAAGACCTGGATCCTGCCCCCGTGCAGCTCACCGAATGAGACTCTCTGACATCTTCCGCCGCCTTTTGTCTTACTTCTTCTCAGCCCACTCCACCACAGAAACCAAAGAAGCCCAACAACAACAACACACGTCCCAGTCCCCAGCTTCTTCAAGCACAACGATTCCCAAACTCCCCACGACTGCCACAGTCACCAGCTCCTTAACAAGCATGCCTGGACTTACTTCCCACGATGGTACCAGCAGCAAGTACGACCAAATCCCGGGTCCCCTCGGGCTGGCATCGGCTTCGCTGCAGGGCAAGGTGGCTCTTGTAACTGGTGCCGGTAAGTCCGAATTTTGTTGTTCCACCGGGATTCTAGACTCAGTTATTGATTTGCTTGGTGGGCTTGTCTTACCGCAAAGCGGTACTCCCTCGTGCCGGACCGGTGGGCAGATTACCCCAACTGATGTCCGGCCACCCCCAATCCAACCCCCACACATCCGCGGACATGGTCTGCAAGTTCGGCTTCTCACGCCGGAAGCTCTTTCATACCGATTTCAATGCATTAAAAAGCCAAGAATGAGAGATAACTAACCCCGACTCCTCCGGGAGTCCGCAGGCCGCGGGATCGGCCGGGAGATGGCACTCGAGCTCGGACGTCGCGGCGCCAAGGTGATCGTCAACTACGCCAACAGCGACTCGGCCGCGGAGGAGGTGGTCAGCCAGATCAAGAAGAACGGGTCGGACGCGGCGTGCATCAAGGCCAACGTGACGGTGGTCGACGAGATCGTGCGCCTGTTCTCGGAGGCGCGCGAGACGTTTGGCCGCCTCGACATCGTCTGCTCCAACAGCGGCGTCGTCTCGTTCGGCCACGTCAAGGATGTCACGCCCGAGGAGTTTGACCGCGTCTTTAGCGTCAACACCCGCGGCCAGTTCTTTGTCGCCCGCGAGGCCTACAACCATCTCGAGGTTGGTGGCCGCCTGATCCTCATGGGCTCTATCACGGGCCAGGCCAAGGCCGTCCCCAGGCATGCTGTCTACTCGGCGAGCAAGGGCGCCATCGAGACGTTTGTGCGGTGCATGGCTATTGGTATGTGGTTGGGTGTCCGGCTTTTGGATCTTGACTGACGAGATTAGATTTCGGCGACAAGAAGATCACCGTCAATGCTATCGCGCCCGGCGGCATCAAGACCGACATGTACCATGCCGTGTGCCGGGAGTACATCCCCGATGGCGGAAAGCTTGATAACGAGGGTGTTGACGAGGTATGATGATTCCATGTTCTGCGGTGCTTGGTCTATGCTAATCGCCTCAGTACGCTGCCGGCTGGTCTCCGCTCCACCGGGTCGGCCTTCCCATCGATATTGCGCGGGTCGTGTGCTTCCTGGCGTCGCAGGATGGCGAGTGGGTGAATGGCAAGGTCATTGGCATCGACGGCGGTGCTTGCATGTAAAGTGGTATACAGGGAGGTTTCTGCTTCAAAGGAATGTTTTATCGAACTTTTTGGGACAATTCTTACAATTCCGGCGGCATTGATATGGAGGATGTGTGGGAACTGCCAATAGAGGGAGACGACGCGGGTGGAAGGTACAATGGGAATGTGTTAGGCCAGCTTCCTCTACCGGGGAGAAATACAAGCTGGTACAGGAAACGTGATGACAATCGTGCATCGACATCTCACTGGTGACGGTGATTACGTTTCCGTCGATTCGAGTTTGATCCTAGTTATCCTGTTGGTGTTTACTAGATTCGTTTAGTATCACCGAGTTCCACTGCTATGAACCATCCAAGAGGGGAGTTCACCGGATGGTCGTCACGAAGATATTGCCCTTGGATTCTAACGATATTTTACATGTCTCTAAATGCAAAAATTTCACTTAAATGGGGAGTAAGAAAGAGAGAGGATAGCAGAGACGTTGATAAAGGAACTAGCCGTTTCTCAGCCCCTCCCACTCATGTCTCATGTATCTTCTCATAAACAACTTCAAGAAACAACTTCCACACAGAATCAGAGATTACAGTATCCGTCTCATTACCCCTACCATTCTGGCTAGCCACTCATTAACCCTAATAATCCTCCACAACACGCATGGAACCATGACGGGAAATCAGAGACGGACGAATCCAATCTCAAAACATCCCTTCATTCAATACCCACACCCCTTTACAGACACACAGCCACAAAACCCAACACGACCGCCCCCATCGCCGCGCCCATGCGCGCCGCGCCAGCCGTCACGGGAACCTGGCTGGTCGTCACGGGCGGCTTGGTCACGGAGCCGGTGCCGCTCGGCGAGGGCACGGCGGTGAAGGACGGGAGCACGCTCGGCTCGGGCGTGTTGTCCTCGTCCTCGTCGTTGTCGCTGTCGTCGGAGTCGTCCGAGCCGTCATCGTTGTCGTTGTCGTCGCCGTTGTCGACGGGGCTGCAGGCCTGGCCGTTGCCGGGGCAGACCACGTTGGGCGGGTTGACGGGCGCGACGGTGGTGGTGGTGCCGGTGGGGACGGGGGGTGCCGGCGCGACCGTGGTGGTGGTCTCCGGGGTGGGGGCCGGCGGGGTCTCGGTCACGGGGCAGATGGTGGTGGAGACGGCGATGGTCTCGGTCACCACGGTCACCTCGCCGACGCCGGTGCCGGATTGGCAGGGGCTGGACGGCGCGCAGGAGGTGATGGTCTTGGTGGTGGTGGTGTAGACCGTCGAGGTGGTGAAGGCGGTCGTCGAGGCCGTGGTGAAGGTGGTGTTGGAGAAGGAGAGCGTGCTGCTGGAGAGGGTCGGCACCGCGGTGGTGGAGGACTCGACGGCGGCCTCGGTTGAGCTCTCCGCCTCGGAAGAGACAGAGGAGGAAGCGGCCTCGGAGGTGGAGGTGGCGTCCTCGGAGACGGTGGTCGACGTGGCCTCCTCGGATGTCGTTTCGCTGGGAGTGGCGGCCTCGGTGGTAGAGGACTCGACGGCCTCCTCGGTCGAGGTTGAGCTCTCGGCCTCCGGAGTCGAGGTCGAGCTGGAGGTTGTCTCAGCCGAGGTTGTGGTCGTCTCAGTGGGCGTCGGGCTCTCAACCTCCTCCGTGCTTGTGCTTGTGCTCGTGCTCTCGGGGGTGGGTGTGGGAGCGGGAGTCTCCTCCGGATCGGGGTCAACAAGCGTGGGGCCGGGGATCTCCTCGCCGTCATCCGGAGGAGTCTCCTCGCTGGCCCCGCCGGTGGTCGTGGCCGTCGCGGAAACCGAGAAGGTGGTGGAGCTCACACCGCCATCGCCGGTGCAAGTGTAGCCCTCCGGGCAGCAGCCGTCCTCGCCGTCATCCCCAACAACGCACATCTGATGGGGCGGGCAGCCTCCGGTTTTCGCCGGGCAGCAAGTGTAGTCCAGAGGAATGCAGCCGCCACAGTCTTGCATGCCCAGCTCCTCACACGACTCCTCGCCATATCCACCACCACCACCACCAGTCCGGCGGAGGACGAACGGGGACGACACCCGGGCGGCAAGGGCAAGGGAGGGCAGAACGCCCAAAAAGATTAGCTTGTGCATGTTTTAAAGAGTGTGATTATTTAGGATTTCAAAAATGAACGTAGTGGTCCCGAGGGACAAAAAGAGTGACTGTGTCTTGAAGACGTTGAGTGTCGTGAGATGCGCACTGCAGTGAAAGAGGAAGAAATGAAAACCTCAGAAGATCAGCCTTCGTCGACCATCTTGTATTATGGGGTGCCATGATCCCCCCGAGCAACTCCAAGTGGTGCCTGGATCCAGGGCAGAATGTAACATTGGTCTGCAAGTGCGCCGGCAACCGTGGGGCACAGCTTTGGAGTTCAGGGGTAGAACTCTTTTGGGGGTTCCTTTGCGCAGCCAACAGCCCAATGGCAGACCCTGGCAACAAGAGAGATCTGCAAGAAACCCCCAACTTCGTCGCGCTTGGGCTCTTCGGCTTGTGATGGCGCCGCAGTTTTGACAGGTGTGCGCGCTCTGCGGGAATATTTTTGTAAGCTCGGAAATGAAGGTAGGCTCGGCTCACTGCACTGCCTGGGGTGAAATATTGGTGTGGCTTGAGAATTGACCGATTTGGCGATAGTTGGCGTTTTTATTTTGGAACACACAACGGCTTCGTACTTCGTAAACGCGGAAAGCTGCCTCACTCTCAACACAGCTGAGCCAAATTCAATTCTTCGCGCTTCGGAGAACGCGAAATTGCAGAAACAGGGGTTCACTTTGTAACTTGACCCTAACCCTGTACTGCAACCGGATGCCGACGAGGCAAACGCTGATCAGATGCCCACATGGAAGTGAAGATGGACCCCGCATCGGAGCCCTCGGACGATTGTTTCGCGGTCCATCCCAAATCAGGGTGGGTCAAGGGCTCCTTCCATGCCGAAGACAATGACAACTCTGGTTCTGCGCATCGGAAATGCACAACTTCATTTATAATTAAACAACCAACAACCACCATGGTCAGCGCCGAAAAAGATAAAAATGAAATCAAGGTGATGGTGGTGGGCGATTCGATTTCGCACGGAAGAGAGGGCGATTGGACTTGGAGATATCGCATTTGGGAGTGGTTCAGCCAAGAAGCCATCAACGTGCGCTTTGTGGGACCTTACAAAGGCACAGTCCCTCCGGAGGAACCACATCCACCACGCCCACCCAGGTTGGAAGATGAGCCTCTTCAGTTGCCAGCACCTCTCCGAACTGATGGAGGTTACGCTGCTGGAGTCCATCGGGACTTCCTCTCCAACTGCCACCACTTTGCCGCCAGCGGGCAACAGGCGTTCGTGGCCAAGGACCTCGTGGCCGAGCAAGTGGCCGCCTACCAACCAGATATTTGCTTGGTCCAGCTGGGGTTCAATGATCTCGGCTGGCGGATGTGTGGGCCCGGCCCGACTCTCGCCAGCATTGGAGATCTTATCGAAGAGGCAAGGTCTGCGAAGCCAGATCTGAAGTTTGCTGTTGCCAATGTACCACAGAGGACGGACATACCTGGCCGTGAAGACCTACCGAGAGATACGGATCTGTATAACCACATGCTTGTGCAGGAGATTACTCACTGGAACACACCCAAATCGCCCGTCGCCCTTGTATGCTTCTGCGAAAACTACTCGTGTGAGTTGTTGTGTTGCCGAGCCCCTTGAGTCCACGTCTGACATTAACAGGCGGCGGCACCAACTCGGACGCTGCCTATGACGGCCTTCACCCCAACGCCCTCGGCGAATATCAGCTCGCCCAAGCCTTCTCGCGGACTTTGGTGTCCGATTTCTCTCTCGGCCGCAGCCCGCTCGCGATCCCGGAATCCGTGCCTTCTCGACCCCTCCCTACCCCGGCTCGGTTCGGGGCCGCCTCAACCCCCGCCGGCATCATCGTGAACTGGAATACTGTTTACGGCGCACTTGGCTATGATCTTCAACACAGGCTTGCCGGTGACAGCGAGTGGGCCACCACACACATAGACTGTAACCGATATTACTGGTCGGCTTTGAGGGACGGCCAGCTGGTGGAATGCCGAGTCCGCACCAGCGGGGGGGACAACCTCAAGTCTCCTTGGAGCTATGTTGCCGCAGCAGTTGCCAAACCGGAGACGCCACCGCCGCCTCACAACATGGTGACACGCGCGACTGCAACTGGCTTCACAATCACCTGGGACCCCCCTCCACCGACTTCGTATACCGGGGAGATTGACCGCTATGGTCTCATCTACTTCGACTGCGATCAACCCGGCGTTTTCCCCGAAGTTATGGGTGTCAGGGGAGATAGCGCCGAGTTGAAAGACCTCAGGCCGGGCCACCGTTATGCCATAGCCATGGGGTCGTGGTCCACTGTGGGCCAAGGGCTTCCCGCCGGTGCACCCTCCGTGGTTGTGGGCGGAGAGATCCCCCATACTCCGAAATGTGTGCGCGTCAAGGCCTTTGACTGCCACAACGTCGAACTTAGTTGGCAGCCGGTTAGTGGTGCGACGGGTTACGGTATTTGGCTTCGATGCTGTGGGCCGGACGGGCCTGAGGATCCCATATTGCATTCACGGATGAACGCTACCATCAGGGATGCCGCCCCCTCCGAACCTCAACGCGAGACGTGCGAGATTTGGGTCCTGGACCCGCCCTGGCACTGTCGATTTGCCGTTAGCGCTCTCAACCACAACGTCTCGTCTCGTCGCTCCAAATGGCTGACCCCATCACGTCCGAGCGGTGAGGAGTTTACAATGCCCGAGAACGCGACAATTCACATTCACCTTGGTCAAAAATGATGACCCTTTTGCCTGGATATCATGGTGGGATGCCTACGAGCTCTGCTTCTTGTACACATCTCCGGTCCGCTCAATCTCGAATGCCGCGTCCCGGCCCCTTCCCTGCGCCTCGAGCTGCCTGACCAGCGGCAGCACCTCCCGACCGAACTGCTCGACCTCCTCCTCATAGTGCAGGAACGCCGTGAGGACCTGGTTGACCCCGAGGCTCTTGAGCAGCACGATCCGCTCGGCGACCTGCTCCTTGGTCCCGACCAGCTTGGTCTTGAACCCGTCATTGTACTGCACTAGGTCGTTGAACGTGCTGGTCGCCCACATGCCCGTCTTGTTCCCCGTGCTCGCCCCGGCATTCTTCACCTCCCCAGCAAACGCCTCCACCGCCTCCGCATCCGCCTTCCCCTGGATCTCCTGCAGCACCCTGACCGCCTCCTCCTCAGTCTCGCGCACGATCACAAACCCATTCACCGCGAACCGCACCTGGCCCTCCCTCCCCGCCTCCCGCGCCCGGCCCTTGACATCCTCAATCTGCGTCCTAAACCCCTCCAAATCATTCCCATTCATAAAATACCAATCCGCCACCTCGGCCCCATTCCTCCTCGCATCATCACTATTCCCCCCCTGAAAGATCTCCGGATGCGGTTTCTGCACCGGCTTCGGGCTCAGCTTATACCCGCGAAACCGATAGAAATCCCCACCAAACGTAAACCCTTCCTCAGCCGGCGCCGTCCAGATCCCCCGCAGGCAGCGCATGAACTCGGCCGACCGCCGGTACCGCTCCGCGTGGTCCAGCCACCACTCGCCCACCGCCGTGAACTCCCCGCGGAACCACCCCGACACGATGTTGACCGCGATCCGCCCGGAGCTGTAGTGGTCGATGCTGGCGATCTGCTTGGCGACTACGGCCGGCGCCCATGGGCCGGGGAGGATGGCTGCGATTACCCGCAGGGAGGTCGTCCCTTGCAGGAGGGCTTGCGAGAAGGAGACGGACTCGTGTTGGTCTGGTGGTGAGCGGGGAGTGTTGTTAGTTACGGCCTAAGGAGGGTCTGTCGTGCTCCGCTCTCGCCCCTGTCCGTTCAAGGGGGGGTCGGACCCGGGGGGGGTGGTGGGAGCCGGGAGCCGGGCGGGGGAACTGCTGCTTACCGGACGCGCCGTACGACGCGGTGAAGCGGATCTGGGTGAGCGCGTACTCGAAGCCGGCCGCCTCGGCCGCGCGCGCGTACCGCAGGTTGGACTGCAGATCCCACGAGGTGCGCTGCGGGATCTTGGAGATCACGAGTCCGCCTGAGACATTGGGGACCCAGTAGCTGAGGAAGTGTTAAAGTGGGGGGATTTTGGGCTGCAGAAGAGGGGAGGGGACGTACGCAAACAGGAGCCGGTCTGGGTCGCTGTTGAGTGGATGGGGTTTGGTGGTGGCCATGGTGTTGTTGGTCAGGATAACTTGTCGTGGGATCGTTTTCCGTTGTTTTACTGGTTTTTTTATTTGGTGAATAGGTAGGCACGTGTGTGTAAGGCAGGTTTAATGTTTCCGTTCCGAGACGCCATTATGTTGTTTGTAAGTAGTCGTCGCCATTTGGGGTTGACGTCGAGCGGCATGTCCCGCCATCCCATAGCTCGATGATGCCATCCATCTCCTCCAGCCGATCGGTGCCCTTGGCGTGGGGGATGGGGGCCGAGAATCACGCAATCCCGTAACTACTCCGAACCGGATTTTGAGATCTCACAGATCTAGAGCGACCTTGCGAGCCTGGTGGTAACTATTACATGTGAAACCTGTTTGATCGCCCGGTTGTTGGTGGAGCTACAGGATGGCGTCTTCATCGTGACCCGTCCCGCCAACCTCACCCCTCCCCCCACAGCTGAGAATGTTACGCAATCATAAAGCAGCTGGATTCAGCCATTAGTACCTCAGCTTGCGTGATAGCGCAGCTCTCGTCTCCTGCCCAATCGTTATGGAGCTGGAATACATGAAGATACTCCATAGACCCCCAAGGTAAAGAGGGCTGTATGCTAGCGGCGGGGGTAGTGCATGAGGAAGTACCACATCCTTGAGCTACTGAGCTAGTTTTGAGATGAGGGGTCTCGCATGGTAGGGGAGCTTTGAGCTCCAGTTGTAGTCGGCGACTCTGGTGATGAAATCCCGGTGGCTTTGTGCGCAATGCGTATCATCTGAGCTGAGAGCCTTACAGGAGCCTCGAGAATGGGACGGGAGAAAGCATATGAATGCGCCAGGGTACGCGTGGGACATGTCGTGCAACAGGTCTAACATCAGCCGCCCGTATCCCCGCCCCTCGTTGTGATCCCAGAGTTTGTTTTGACCACAAAGTGCTCACAGCAGACACCCAGCTGCTCACCATGGCGACCAGTGGCCTCCCTGTGATCAGCAAAGCTCCTGCGAGTTCAGATCCCGCAGTGTACCAAGAATACCAGTCTAAATGGGCCTCATATCCAACAGACACCGAGGGTTGGCTTCAACGGGCGCGAGACGTCGCCGCCGTCCTGGTCGTTGACGCCGCCGCCCGTGAGAAGGCAAACAAGTCTCCCAGAGCAGAAGTGGCACTGCTCAAACACTCCGGCCTGCTGAAGCTTCTTGGCCCGAAAAAGTACGGAGGCGGCGAGCAGCCGTGGAGCGTGGGCTACAAGGCGATCCGCGAGGTTGCCAAGGGAGATGGGTATGTCCTAAACCCCCTCCATCCATCTGGTGACTCCAGACACTGACGTTTCCCAGCTCCATTGGCATGCTCCTCGGCTACCACCTTCTCTGGTCACGCACCGCCAACGTAGTCGGCAGCGACGAGCAGGCCGACCGTCTCCAGAAGCTTATCATCGAGAACAACTACTACGTCGGTGGCGCCGTCAACCCGCGCGATAGCGACCTCAAGATCACGTATGACGACGAGAAGATCACGTACAGCGGCTTCAAGAACTTTACCACAGGCGCCGCCGTCTCGGACCTGATCGTACTCGAGGGTGCCGTCGATGGTCGGCCGCCGGAGGAGCACATCTTCGCCCTCGTGCCGACGGCCCAGGCCGGTATCGTCTTTAATTACAACTGGGATAACATCGGGCTGCGGTTGACTGAGTCGGGGGGCGCTAAACTCGAGAATGTGTCGGCACCGTGGGCGGATGCCCTAGGGTGGGATGCGAAAACGAAGAAGCCCGACCCGGCGGTGCTCGGAATCCCGTTTCCCTCGCTGCTGCTCCCTAGGTACGTGCCCGATCGTGGCCGGTTCGTGAGAGTGCGCCTCCTAACAGCTGCGTAGCATCCAACTGGTCTTCAGCAACTTCTACATCGGCATCGCCCTCGGTGCTCTCGACTTTGCGAAGCAGTACACCGTTGCCCACACAAGGGCATGGCCGTACGGCGGCGATGTAAGCCAAACCCACCCCTTCTTACTTACCGGACACACGCCTGACTAACCCCCCGTAGACCAAGGAATCCGCCACAGACGAGTTCCACATCCTCTCGACCTACGGCAACTTCCACGCGCACCTGCGCGCGGCCGAAGCCCTCGCGGACCGGGCCGGCGCCGAGGCCGACCGGCTCTACGGCACGTACGCGCCCAACCGGGCCGGGCTGACGCCGCAGGAGCGTGGCGACTGGGCCGAGTGGGTGGCCAGCGTGAAAGTGGTCGCCACCGACACGGGCCTGCGGGTGACGTCGGGCGTGTTCGAGGTCACGGGCGCGCGCGCGACGGCGAGCAAGGTCGGCCTGGACCGCTTCTGGCGCGACATTCGCACGCATACGTTGCATGACCCGGTCGCGTATAAGAATAGGGAGTTGGGGAGGTTCTTCTTGCTGGGGCAGGCGCCGGAGCCGACGTGGTACACTTGAGGGGGGAAAGGGGTGGTGGTCATCGTTGGGGGAAGGCCTGCGGGTAGTGGTGATTTGGTAGACTCATACTCATATGGCCAACATTCTCTCTTCACCTACCGATTACTGCAAGTATGTCATCGGACAAATGCTCACGGGAATATGGTGGTTTACACACGTGCCGCGACGGGGGTAAAACGTGGCCAGCACGGGTCGCCGCGGGAGCGATCGACGATCTTGGCAAGCTCCCACTCAACTCCATGAAACCGTTGCTTTCTTTGTTTCAGCAATCTGCAGCGCCAGAAACCAGCAAGCGTGTGCCGCTGTGCGGGGTTGACACTTGGCAATTCGTGTGAATCCAAACATTGGCCGTGGGGGGTAACATTTAGTGGTGGTCTCAGAGTGAAATGGGTCCTGATGTCATACTCCCGTAATTTGAGCGATTTCAGACCATGATCGTTTGGGCTGCTGCGGTGGAAGAACCAAGATCATTGCAGCCCAATTTCAGGGGTCCTGTTTGAGAAAAGGGAATCCAAAATCGGAGACCGACGGCGCTGGCAGCCACGCAGCTTGAAGGCAAGAACATGTGGGCAAGGTTCTGGTCCGAGCGTCTCGAAGCACAGAACCCGCGTTCTGGCTTGGAAAGGGACCAATCAACAGCCACTCATAGTGGGTCTCAGGTAAGAAACAGGCACCCCGGCCGCCCAGGCGCCTGCCCGGAGAACCAGGGAGGGGACCCGTGAGGGCTGGACGAACAGCCCGCAATCAACATCATTTCCTCGCTCGGTGCTTCAGGCTTCGCACCACATCTCGAGACACAACCATCAACCAACCTCCCGCCATCTCTGGCTGTCCTAGTCGCGGCTCTACGACAGCAGACGTCTCTCCTTTTCCCATTCGGCCCTGCTCGGTCGCGTTGTAATTGTAGCATTATATGCATTCGGCCGAGGTTTCCATCTGTTGTACGTTCCATGCCCTTCTCCGATCGCTGGTCCGACCCGCATCCCGCCGAGCACCGAACACCCCGCGCTATCCTTAGAACCCTCACCATCGAGCTCTCAGCTCCCGCCGAACCTCTGGCTTTGGCTGCGTTGGTTTGGGTTTCCTGGTTGCTTGCTTTGGGTCGGCTGCTCGGTGCTGCGTCACCCCCACTTTCTAGTTGAGACCAGCTCCCCACCAACTCGCGAGCTAATCATTTCGACCCCGCCAGATACCTTACTTAGACATTGAGATACCCGTCCGTTGCTACGGACAAATTTCAGCATTTGCGGCGTCGTCTGGACAAAATTCATTCGCCTTACATTCGACCAGGCCGCGCGCGCCACCTATTACCGTCCCCTGACCGCCGCGGGAGTCGCCGCCCGACCGCTTCTACCACGAATATTCCCCCTCTTTCTGCGATTATCGGGAACGTGCGAAAGGCCTCGGGTTTCCGACACGACGGCTTACTGTCAGCATCCCACCGCCGGCGCCGTGGCAGAAACCCCATTGATTGCCGCCCAACATGTTTTGGAGATTTGGCGGCTACGCCAATGTCTCCACCATCGATACCATCCTCGAGCGGGACAACTTCCAGCTTGAGGAACTCCTCGACGAGAGCGACCTGGTGCAGGAACTGAAGCAACACAACGCAAGGCTTGTCGAGTACCTTCGGGACCCCGAGGTGCTCGAGAAACTGCTCAACTATGTCGTCGCACCCAAGCTCGAGCCAGTCGCCTCGCCCGACGACGACGAGGAAGATGAAGACGAGAAAGGAAAGGCTACTTTGCGGGCCTCTACCGCATCCCAGACCTCCTCAAGAGCGGATGACACCAGCCCAGAGGACAGCGAGAAGAAGCGTAACCGCTACGCCTTCGTTTCCACCGAGATTTTGTCGTCCGAGACTTGGTCAATGTACGACGCGCTCATGGAGAGCAAACCGCTTCTCCGGAACTTTTGGCAGTTTTTGAAGCGCCAAACCCCGCTCGATCCCCTTCAAGCGAGCTATTTCACCAAGGTCAACGAGTCACTCTTCGACAAGAAGACGGAGGAAATGCTGGAGCTGCTCAAGTCCATGGAGGACGCCGTGTCAGACATCTTGAGACATGTGGATTGTCCTATGATCATGGATCTCTTGCTCAAGATCATAAGCCTTGAACGCACCGAGAGCGGACAAGGTATCGTTGAGGTATGTCAGCCCTTCTTCGTTGGTATGGCGGAGCTAATGTTTTTTTCGTCCAGTGGCTCTACACGCAAAATGTTATGTCATCCCTCATTTCTTTTCTCGGATCGGACCACAGCTGGGCCACCCAGACATCCGCGGCGGATTTTATCAAGGCAATCATCACCGTTTCCGCCAACGCTTCGCAAAACGAACAAACGTGTATCGGGCCAAACGAACTCACCCGCCAACTGGTGTCAGAACCCTGTGTCGAGCAGCTCGTCCAGTACATGCTCAGTGGAGGCAACGCCCTAACCTGCGGCGTTGGCATTATCATCGAGGTCATCAGGAAGAACAATTCCGATTATGATCCGGAAGGGGTGGACATCAATGCAGCCCCGTCGAGTCGAGACCCCATCTATCTTGGGACGCTCCTGCGTCTATTTGCCCAGCATGTCCCCGATTTCATGAACCTTATTCTCAATGTGCCGGTTCAGAAGCAGCGCCTTTCTTCCACCTTCAAGGACAAGATTGAGCCCTTGGGATTTGACCGTTTCAAGACGTGCGAGCTTATGGCGGAGCTTTTGCATTGCAGTAATATGATGCTGCTCAACGAAAACGGTGCCGAGGATTTGATCGCCGCCCGCGACGAGCAGCGGCAGCGACTTAGGGCCGAAGGGCATTTACTGCCGGCCAGCGGCAATGAGCCCACGTCAGCTGAAGACCTCTCCATGAGGGCCTCGCAACTATCCGCCCCCGACTTAGGCCGCAAACTTGAGGTTATGAACGTCTCTGCGGATGATGACGGCTTCGAAGAAGTGTCACATACCGCGGACGAGGAAAGCACGCACGGAGTTCTGGAGCTTCCGGATGCGCCCACGCACCCCCCTGGGTCGTCTTCTCTCGACAAGGACGAGGATGACTTTGTCGACGAGCCTCTCAGCTCGCCCGAACCGGCCGTGCCTGGACCAGAAGGCGGGGCGGCGAAGGAACCACCGGCGTTCGAAGATGCCGACTTGGTTGTTGCGCCTCTCTCACCTAGCAAGAAGATCGTGCCAACGGCAGAGGGTACCGAGACCACAAAGGAGACGCCTGGCGAAACCCCTACCCCGGAAATAGGGGCCCCGCAACCGAAGCCGGAGGAGACACCAGCGGAGACCAAGAACGTCGATACACGCGAGACCGAGCAAGCAGACGTCGTAACTGATGCTTCGACTGTTTCGGCGGCGGAAAAACCAAAGACGGAGATCGCAACTGCGGAAGTTGAGGCCAAGGTTCCAACCCTCATGTCCCCGCATCCAGATGACACACCTGCTCCCTTGTTCTCGAAAGAGAGCCCCACAGAGCCGTCAAAGAAGTCGTCGCCGTCCGCCGAAGAAAGAGCTGACTCGCCAATGACCGATGCCCCAGCGCTGACACCCGCTCCGGTGCAGGAAACTGCGGAAGCGGAGACCCCTGCCCAACCGCCAGCGCAGGGCACTGGCGACGCGCCCATCGCTACCGCTGAAACAACAAAACCCACTACTGACGCCAACGCCCCGGCCCAGGCCAGACCTGTTGTCGGAGACTATCTAAAGATGCAGTTTGTCGAGCACCGTGTTGTCCCGACCATCCTCGGTTTCTTTTTCCGGTACCCGTGGAACAACTTCCTTCATAACGTGGTGTATGATATCGTCCAGCAGGTGTTCAACGGACCCATGGATAGGGGTTACAACCCGACCCTCGCCATCAGCCTCTTCGAGGCCGCCGACATCACAAACCAGATCATCAACGGTCAGCTCGCCAGCGAAAAGTCCCAGGCGGAGAACAAGACGCGCATGGGATACATGGGCCACCTGACCCTCATTGCGGAAGAAGTTGTGAAGTTTACCGAACGCCACTCCCCCGAGCTTCTAAGCGAGGTCGTGCTGGAGAAGGTGATGGCCCAAGACTGGGTCAACTACGTTGAGGGCGCTCTGGCAGAGACTCGCGAGCGCGACAACGCAATCCTTGGCGGCGTACGCCCAGAGGTAGCTATGAGCCGCGCCAGTGGGCAGGGTCTAATGGGCGCAGGGTTTTCCGGCTTGAATTCGATCGGCCTCGGTGCCGGAGCGTCCAATGCTCTCGCAGACGCCGGGCTGAACGGGGGCCCAGACGTTGCCGAGAACTCCGGCGGCGGCGGGATCGGCCCGTTCGCTATCAGCGCGGGGACTCTTATGAGCGGATTCGGCAGCTCCAGTGACGAAGACGAAGACGAGGAACAGGACACCGAGGAGGATGTAAACAACGAGGTTCGTGATGACAATTTCCTTGAAGATTTTCTCTCCGGCGATTGCCCTTTCGACCCTGATGATCTGGATGGTATGGATTGGTCCGTGGAGGGCGACGCCGGTGGCGTTCAGAGCGACACTGGCGTCGGCGAATCGGACTACGACCACCTTCCAGATATTTGGAACAGACTACCTCAGTCTCCGGAGCGCGTCCCCATCAGCGTTGTCCGCAGTTTTTCCAGATGGTGTGTCAATTAGGCGAGCGGTGTTGAAGCTGGAGACAACCACCACAAATGAGCTTTGAAGCCGAGGCTCGACAGCGATACTTTTTTTTATGCACCATGCCTTTATGGTATGATACAAGCAGCCGGAACCGATAGCCGTGACTTCTCTCATAAGTCTCGAGCTGTGTTTTCGTTGCTGGCGTTTTGCACGGAAAGTCTTCGGTGTTGTGTTCTATTATTTTCCTTCCCAGCCATCAGATGCCTAGTAGGCAGCCACTCTTTCCTCGGACCGGGCGTCTCTTTCCGTGGGCGCCCAATACCTTCCTTATTATCGTTCTTTCCTATTGCAAGTTTCCGTTCCGCCTCGGCCTCGTCCGCTCCGAAGGCCCGCCGCGGGTTTTCGCGCTTGCCTATTGTTTACTGTCCGCGTTGCTAAACCAGCCAGCTAACGTCTCTATGCAGTTCCGAGCCTACACCGACCCCCTAAACGCCAACAGTAACACCATGAACCCTCCATCAATTCCGCCTCCTCCCCCCCCGCCGCCCCCTCTCAACGTTCCCCCTTCGCGAGCCCGCCTCCAACTTGCCGCCCGGCTAGCGATGAACAAGCGCAACGCCGCGGCCGCCACTGCTTCCAACGGCGAGCAAGAAGACAGCTCTCCTCCAACGGTCGAAGACGCTCCGAGCTCCGGCGTCTTCAGCCCCCCAACCACGACAACAGGTGAACGCATGCGGAACCCGTTTGCCGACTACGATGACGATGACGAAGAGAACTCCGGCAGCGGCAGCGACGACGGCGAAGTCGAGACCGTAGAAGGCGGTGGCAGCCTGGGGATGGAGAGCAACACATCCTGGGACCGCGGGTCGTGGTGGCGCGGCGTCGTTCGTGGTGCCAGGCGGGGCGGGAGCGGGAGATTGAGTCGGGATAGTGGCGGTGGTGACGCCCGGAACGCCGATACGGAACGGTTCGGCGACGGGAGGGACGACGACAGCAGCGACGAAGAGGGCGGGCGGCGCTTGGCCGAAGTGGATGATGTCGAGGACGAGGAGTTTGGCGACTTTGCCATGCCCGAGGTGGAAGACCGCGCCACCGTGTCGGGCATCGATCCCGCCCGGGAAAGCATCCTCGTCAAGCCCATGGCCCTGCACCCCACCACCACGACCCTCAAGAGCAGCACCATCAGCCCGTTCAGCAGTCTGTGGCCCTTCTCGCGGGAGAAGAAGGAGGGTGAGCTGGCGGCCGCGCAAGCGGGCGGGTCAAATACCACCGGCACGCCAACGGGCGGCATGCCGGCGGAAGGGATCACGGAGGAGCCGGTGGAGCTGACGCGGGAGGAGGAGGCCATGATCAGCGAGGACGGCAAGAAGATCGACCGCGCCGTGGAGGCTACCCGGCGGACGAGCATCGAGGACCCGGACGACGACGAGGTCGATGTCGGGGAGGAGATCATTGTGCGCCGGGCGGCGGGGGTCCGCTAGAAGAGGGCTGCTGCTGCTTCGTGGGGCGTGGAGTGATGGGTGATGGTGGGGGGTTGCGGTGTGGTGTGGTAGGGCATGGCATGTGGGATGATGAGCGATGGGTTATGGAGTCGGATTTAGAGGGGGGTTGTTGTTATGTCTGGGTGGGTGGGCTTGGAGGGATGGGGTCGGTTGTGTATCTGTACTTGTAGTCTACGTTACGTTAGCTATTGATGCGTGTTGGTTTTGGAATGCGCTTGTTATTGTGGGCGTGTTCCTTGTATGTGAAATAGTGAGTGATATGCGGTATCGGGTTAGCCGGCGTGGAATCAGTCCGTGCCTCGTAACTCAGAGAGTTGGGGACAGTGTGGTATGCGAAAGTGGTCTGCATACCGTGGGCTGCTGGTAACAGACTGCTGGGGAGGAGCCCGAGTTGGAAGGGTTGGGAATGCAAGGGGTGTTACGGCAACTGCTCCCCTAGATATCTCATCACATCGATGTCGGTCAAGTAGCAGCGCCGTCTTATTTGAAACATTATATTATACTATATAGTATTGATCTAGATGTATCTAGGGGTATATAGGGGTATCATCATATGCCTGTACCATAACTCCAAGTCCAAACTTCAGTACCCAAGGTCGCCACCGAAGCCACCACCCTACTCCTCCTCCTCGTCGGGGTGCTCCTCATCCGGGCCCTCTAGCTCCTCCACGTCCGAGTCCACTTCCCCGTCATCATCCTCCTCTTCTCCCTCCCGCGCAATCTCCACCGCCACATGCGGCCAGTCACACCAGCACCGAAAGTCCCCCGTCATGGGGTATGTCCGCTTCGACCTTTGACTCGCCGACGCACGCGCCACCGTACTAGCACCCGTCACCGTCACCGCACCCGCACCCGCATCACCGTCACCCACCACCCCCTCCACCAGGAACTCCACGCTCACCACCGGCCTGCGCAGCACCGTCGCCTTCCGCACCACAACCCCCACCGGCCCGACCACCCGCCTCGCCTCGTCCACCCCAACCCGCACGTGCCCGACCGCCCGCCGCGCCCCGTTCGCGTAGTAGAACACGGCGCCCTCGAACCCATACCCCGCCAGCGCGATCTCCTCGTCACCACCAGCGCGGTACAGGTCCACGCGCTCCACCCCGCTCAGCGGCGCCGTGCTGAACACGCCGTGGCGGTGGGCGGGGGCGAGGAGGGCGCGGTCGGGCTTGAGGGGTTGGGCGGAGGGCGCGAAGGGCGGGTTACAGGGGACGTTGTTGGGCGGGTAGTGGTAGGGTTCGTCGTCGCCGGGGGTGGGGGGGGTGGCGGCAGGCGGCGAGGTACGAGACGGGTTGCTCGCCTGGGCGGCGCGGCACGCCGTGGACGAAGGTTGTGGGGTGGGCTTGGAGCGTGTCGAGGGTGCGGGGTGGGTTGAGGACGGTCGTTGGGTTGGGCAGCCGGCTGTCGCCCATGTGGGTGTCGCCGGAGAGTTGCTGGCGGACGAGGAGTTGGGTTCTGCGGTGGCCGGGCGCGCGGGTGGTGGTGGTGGTGGTGATGTTGGCGTTGGTGGATGGCGCCTCCCGGAACCCCATGGCCAGGATGGGGTCGGTGGCTTGGTTGACTGGGAGGTAGGTCCAGGTGGGCTTGCGGTGGCGGGCGAACCGGTGGCGGGCGAACAGGCGGCGGTACGCTGCCAGGGCGGTGGGGTGCTTCGCGTCGTGGACGTGCACGGCGACGATGGCCTTCCTGCGGTAGAGCCGGGTGATTCCGGTGATGGCCCGGAGCTCGAACGCGCGGGTGATGACCGGCACCTCCCGGTCGTCTTTGACGAGAGCAACGTGAGGGGTGTTGCTCAACGGCGGGGACGGTGTGTTCCACATCTGGAGGTGCCAGCGCAGCGGGCTCGACGGGTCGCGGGAGAGCGCCTGGATGCGGAGGCGCCCGTTCTGGTGCGAGAGGGGGAGCTCGCGGATGGCCGAAAGCGGCGCCACGACGTACGCGGCGTCCTCCCTCGCTGGCCCCTTGGGCGATGGCCCAAACCCGTGGAGACGCTCGAGCTTCTTGATGCCGTGAGCGTCGAAGGCGATGCGCACCAAGGGTCCACACTCCGAGTCCTCCCCAGGGCTGATGAGCGTCAGGCCGGTATCGCGGTCCCAAAACGCGATCTGCTCCAGCGATAGGGTGCCCTGGGTGCGGGCATCGGACATGTTGGGGAGATCGGCCGCCAGGGTTAGCGTCGCGACGGCTCTCCAGAACCAAGAGTGCGGGTCCTTCACTCTGGTCATCTCGAGCAGTTCCGCTGGCAGTTGAGGGAGCTGTGGAAGACCCGCGGCGGCGGATACTCTGTCGAGCGCATGTCGGGACATGACGAATGGGTGCTCGACATCGAGCGGGGCGGCGTCAAACAACGGGAGGCTCCATGCCCGGATGGTCCAGACGCGACGTAAGGCGTCCTCAACCGCAAGGGGGCAGTTGTGCCGCAAGAGGTTGAGGCAGTCCGCGTGGACGGGCACTGCCAGACCGAGCCTAACAGCAAGGTCAGCATAGGCTAAGGAAGAGCGAAGAGTACACTACATACCATCCGCACCGTTCAAAGTTGCGGCAGAATAGGCGGCTTGCGACGATGAAGTCGTCCCAGTGGAGGTTGGGAAACGGGAACTCGTCCGTTTGTCTGAAATAAGTAGGCACGGTTCTATCTCCAACCACTGCAGGGTGTTATGTTAGTATGTACCGATCATACAGTAAGAGAACGACAACGTACGTGCAACGACCTTGTCGCTGGCGTTGATGGGGGTATCACAGGTACCGCAGCGGGGAAGCACGGCAAAGTGTGACCCGTCAGTGTCGTGACAGGGGGCCAGGACTGAAGAGCAGTTGCTTCCCATCTTCGACAGAAGATCAAGCACGAAAAGAGCGACGGGAGGATCTCAGGTCAGAGGAAAGTTAGGGGAGAGGGAGAGGGCAGAGAAGGAGAGATTTGGAAAAATGGGGGGTTTTATCGCCTACCTTTGCTTGAACACATCCATATCAGATGAGCACGAAGGTTTTTGCCTTCATCATCACCTTCATCGTCTTCATCGCCGTCATCTTCATACCCTTCATGGCCTTCGTCGCCGTCATGTACTTGTACTGATGACGACGGCATATTGATGCGGGTTACGGAAGGCCTGTTCTGTTTAGCAGGAAAAGGCCCATAGACACTAGCGGTTTAACGGGCGGTGAGCCAGTTCTTTTGGTAGGGTTATCCATACGAAGTACAATGATGATATTCAGGCCGAAGTCAACATTAGAACCATCAGTCGATTCGGAGTTCAGGCCGGTTGTGGGCCCACTCCCCTCCCAAAAAGGGCAAATTCCCTCTCCTCGACTCGTCTCGCCCCTGCAGCAACCGGGACCTACCTAGTAGCCTAGATGCCCCGCGCCTGAGCCTTGTCATCTTCTGCGTCTTGCTGAAAGCTGTGGTGCTGTGATCACGGTGCTGAGGTTTCGATGCCCTGTCGATCCCAGGCATGGGCCAAATGGTTTCTTTCTTCGTCAACCGTAGTGACGGATATGACGAGACAACGATGTCACCACCTATTTCGGGTGACTTTTTGTCCACGTCACGCCGGAAACAATTATATCATCACAGTCTAAAACACCCTGCTCTAGTTGGATCGATCGTGACCAGGCGTGAGATGAATGGAGTTACCTAGCAAACTGCTCGTCACAGCCGGCTGCGGCTCTGGCTGCGGCTGCTGGCTGCACGATTCCCTCCTTCCAATTGCCCGGCTTGCCCCTCACGATAATGTTACACCAGACAACCAGACAACCAACACCTTCCATCACGTCTAATAGTCGTAGAAGCCCTTCCCGCTCTTCTTGCCCAGCCATCCCGCGTCAACCATGTTACGCAGCAAGACACTAGGGCGGTACTTGGAGTCGCCGGTCTCGGTGTGCAGCACCTTCATGATGGCGAGGCAGGTGTCGAGGCCGATGAAATCGGCGAGCTGCAGGGGGCCCATGGGCACGTTGGTGCCGTTCTTCATGATGGCGTCGATGGAGTCCCGGTCGCCGACGCCCGTCTCCAGGCAGATGACGGACTCGTTGATGTAGGGCATCAGGATGCGGTTGGCCAGGAACCCCGGCGAGTCGGCCGACACGGACGTCACCTTGCCCAGGCGCTTGCAGAAGGCCACGGCCGTCTCGAGCGTCTCGGCCGAGGTCTGCAGCCCCGAGATGATCTCGACGCCCTTCTGTACGGGCACCGGGTTCATGAAGTGGGTGGAGACGACGCGGGAGCTGTTGGAGGTGTCGGTGGGGTTGCCGGGGCTAGTGGCGGCGGCGATGCGGGTGATGGAAATGGACGAGGTGTTGGTGGCGAGGATGGCATGCTTGGGGCAGATTTGGGCGAGCTTGGAAAAGATGTCAAACTTGAGCTGGGGTATCTCGGGCACGGCCTCGATGACAAAGTCGGCGGATGAGAGGTCGTCGATAGAGGTGGTGGGTTTAAGCAGGGCACGGGCAGCGTCAGCTTGCTCCTGTGTAATGCGCTGCTTCGAGACATCCTTGACGAGAAGCTTCTCTAAAGACATGGGGTTGGGATTGTTTAGCTGGCAAGTTCTGGCCTGGCCTGCTATGAGTACTGGTTGTCACCAACCTGCAAATGCCAAGCCTTTGTCAAGGGAAGCTTGGGAAGAGTCGACCAACGTCACCGGCACCTGCGCCCTTTGGGCGGCCACCAGCGCAATACCAAGGCCCTGTATGTTAGTAGAAGAATATGTCAGTCTCATCTTAATTCGGCCAAAATAGATGATGTTGATCGTTTCATACCATTTGCCCTGCGCCAATTACACCCAACCGCTTCACTTCCGCAGCTGGCCTCGCGGCAGTCGAGCTAAAGTATCTCACGCGGCTCGAGAGCCGGAGTGCCTGCCGTGCCGACATTATTGAAGCCGCCATTGTTGGAGGGAATCTTGGAAGAGTTCAAGTTGTGGAATGAGAAGTAAACCGAAGCTCGACGGCGTCGGGAATTGGATTCGAGGACGTGGGAAGTGCGGTTAACCTCGGCCATGAACCCCAGTCCCGGCTGACGTAACGTAACGTCTCTTAGCGGGGCCAAGCCCGTTTGTCTCAGCCCACAGGGGCCGAGGTTCACCCTAACCGCCTGTGAACAACATCTACAGGGCTGCCCGAGGAAACCTCCGGCGCATCAACTGCAAAAGGCATATTCTACCTACTTCGTACGCGCGGACATCCATTGTGAGGTTATTGGGCGTTTACCGCAATTGTGCAACCCCTCAAACACCCCCCACGAGCAGACGTCATCGGGAAACTCGGCACGTCCCGGTAAGGTAGGAGGGTAAGAGGTACTGTACTTCTAACAGACCGTTGAATGCTGATCCGAAGCCGGGTAAAACCACTATCGAGTAGCAATCAACGCTGCCGATATATTATGCCGTTGTCATAACGCGTGTCGCTCCCCGTGCCACTTGTCTCAATGTTTTCCCGGTCGATCTTTCATCTATTCTCCCCATTACCATCCACGTGTTTATCTGTATGTTTGTGTATTTGAACACCTGCGCTCATGCCTCCGAACTTGACCTGACTACACGCACGTTCAATCGTGATATTGCTCAGATGCTCTGCTCCTGAAACTTACCATGACTAACCTCACCCAACGAAGGCAGCGGGGGGATATGAACCCGGAAGTCGACCATGACAAGCAGATCGTGGTCCGGGAACCGCCCCCCTTTCTCACCAAGGTCGTGTATGCCAGCTACATGTACGGCTTAAAGAGTATCCTGAATTCCGTGCTCTGGCTGCGCGAGTGGCAGGAATCCAGAGACCCCCCCGCGGGCCATCCCGACATCGTCAAGAGTTATGAATGCCGCCCAAACCTACCCGTCCGGTGAGCCCACCCTATCCAATGGCCTCGAACGCTCACAGCCTGACCGGGCACAATCTAGCATCTTCTTGCCGGCTTCCTACGACCAGACCTCGCAGGCCACACTTCCCACCCTCTTCACGATCCACGGCGGCGGCTTCTGCATCGGCCACCAGCGCGACGACGACGAATGGAACCGTGCCTTTGCCAACACCCAGTCCGCCCTCGTCATTTCGCTCAACTACTCCAAAGCACCCGCCTATCCCTTCCCCACCGCCGTGCACGACCTCGAAGCTCTCCTGCTGGCCGCCCTCGCCGACACCTCCCTCCCCATCGACCGGACCGACTCCCCCACGAGTCGCACAGCAATCCTAGGCTTCTCAGCAGGCGCCAACCTCGCACTATCCGTATCACGTACGTCCAGTCCAGTCGCTCAAGCACCCACCCACACACCCCTCCAAACCCACAACCCACAACCCACAACCCCCTACTAACCCCCCCCTCTTTTCCCCCACCAACAGAACTCCCCAGCATCCACAACCACCCCCTCACCCCAGCCGCCGCCATCACCATCTACGGCTCGCTCGACGTAAGCTACCCGTCCACCGAGAAGCTGCGCAACCGGCCCTGGAAGGCCGCGCTCGCCCCGCCGCGCGGCTCGCCCACCGACCTCCTCGTCAGCCTGGCGGCCGCCTTCGACTGGAGCTACATCCCCTACGGTCAGGCCCTGCACGACCCGCTGCTCAGCCCCCACCACGCGCCGCGCTCCGCGCTGCCGCCGTATGTGTGCTGTGTTGCGGCCGAGCTGGATATGCTCGCCCACGAGAGCTGGCGGGTGGCGTGTCGGTTGAGTAGGGAGGGGGGTGGGGTTGGTAGGGGGAGGAGGGTGGTGCCGGATAGGGGGAGTGAGGAGCCCTGCTGGAGGGTGTGTGGGAATTGGGCGAATATGGTGACTACAAGGCGGGGGGAGTTGATTGGGTTGGTGCCCGGGAGGGAGGATGAGAGGTTTGCGTTTGAGGAGACGTGGAGGGGTGGGGGGGTCAAGTGGTTGCTGGTGCCGGATGTGTTGCATGGGTTTGATAACCCCCATATTAGGGCTATTCTGGGAGGGGCGGAGGCGATGAGGGATGGGGAGATGAAGACGAGGGCTTACATGGCGGAGGTTGGGAGGTGGTTGAAGGAGGTGGTGTGGAAGTTGTAGACAGCGCTGGGGCTTTAGGGGCAAAGGCCTGTATTTATTGCGGGCCTGCTACCTACACGACATCTTTTTTCTTCCTCGCACATGATACCGAGTCTTGTTAGTAAAATATCGTTCATGATGTTACTTGATATCTTACGAGACTACGTATAGACAATTGGTAATTTCTTATTTTCTTTTTTCGTTTTCTAGTTTAGCCTTTTGTTTCCCGAATCATCGACATCTGCTTCGCATGGTGTCCGGCCAACTTCCATGTGACTCCGGTATTCGGCATTCCGGGATGACGCCTCGGCGGGGCTGTGGGGTTTCTCCCTGATAAACCCCGCCTCAAACCCCGCAACCCAACAACCAGAAATCCCCTTGTGGTGTAGTTGGCTATCACGTTCGGCTGTAAAGGCATTTATTGATACCGAAAGGTCACCGGCTCGATTCCGGTCGAGGGGACATATTCTTTTGCCTTTTTTTCTCGTTTCTTTTTCGCCCGTCCCTCCTCGATACCCCTGACAGCCTCATATTACCCCTCATACCATACTCTCGAAATAAAACCGCACGATATCCTAGTGGCCAGCAACACTTCCAGACACCGTGCTCTATGCACCCTGTCAGACGAGGATAGTACTGATATGCACGGTATTGACTATTCTAAACTAGTCTATACTCTATGGGTATCTCTATCGCTACGTGTTCCTTTTCCCCTTGGCTCCATCATGAACGGACGCCCGTGACCACTTGGACCCGGCCCGGACCCGTTTTCCATAGGCAAAAAATACAAACGGAACGGGTATCAACAACACAGAAAACCCAGCGGGGATCGACGACCCAGGACCGACACCAAGGTTGTGGAACATGGGTCCAACGACCAGCGGGAAGGCACACGCAAAGCAAGAACGCAGGAACGTATTGGCAGCCACGGCTGAGGCGGCATACTCGGTGAAAGTGTCGACGAGATAATTCAGGGCGGCCTGGAAGATGGTGAAGAATCCCGTCCCGAGCATCACCAACCCGAAACAGGGCACAATCCAGTGGATGCTGGGACCCGCTGTCCAGCCAGTAATGAACTGTCCGCCGGCGAACAGCACCGACCCAAGCATCATAGGGGGCAGCCGCCGCTCCGGGACCGCCCTGTTCCCGGCGGCGCGGTACGCTTTGTTGTAGAGCACTTGGTTGTAAACGTTGGCGCCGCAGCCGAGGATGGCGCCGATGAAGATACAGAGGAACGGCAGAGCCGAGAGCAGTTGCGACCAGCCCCGGACCTCGCCAAAGATGATGGGGATGGAGCCGAGCTGCATGTACAGGATACCATAGCAAAAGCTCGCGTACAAGGCGACGAGAAAGCAGATGGGGGTGCAGAGCAGCTGGATGGGACGCACCAGGAACTTGCGGGCCAGCTCGGCGACGCTGACGTCCCACTCCTCAAACTTGGCATGGAGCGCCCAGTTGCCGCTCTCGATGCGCAGCCGGCGGGCCTTGTACACGAGCAGTTTCGGCGGATACGTTTCGTCGATGAAGATGACGGCCAGCAACAGGATCCCCCCCTGAAGGATACCGGCGAGGTGCTCGGTCCAGCGCCAGCCCAGTCCGGGCTGCACAACCAGCGCAGTCGAAACGATCGGTCCTGTCTCTGTCAGCACAACCACCCGTCTACAGTCCAAGTAACCGGCAATAAATAACGGCAAGCAAACCGCACATACCTAACGCTGGCCCGGCCACAACAGCCATGGCATATCCCGCCATCGCCACGCCCCTCGCCTCGGGGCCATACAAATCGCCCAACACCCCCCCAGTATTCGTCACGGGCGCGCTCGCAAAGAAGGCCCCCCAAAACCGCGTCAGCATCAACGTCTGAAAGTCCTTGCTCGCCGCACTCCCAAAGCTAAAACACGCCGCCACAAACATCGGCACAAACACGGCCAACCGCCGTCCATACACCTCACTCAACGGCGCCCACAGCAGCGGTCCCACCCCAAACCCGACCAGAAACAACGACGTCCCCAAGACAGCCACCTGGCTCGACACGGCAAACTCCGCCGCCACCTGCGCGGTGCCGGCGCTGTAGCACGACGACGCCCACGTCGCGCTCATGGTCACCAGGCCGTACAGCAGCGTCGTGCACACCTTTTTGGCTAAAGGCCAGTTGGCGGGGCGGTAGGGGTCCGCGGGGCCGTCGAAGTCGACGAGCTGGTCGGCCGCCGTGGGGATGTGCGAGAGCGGGTGCGTGAAGGTCGTGGTGGCCCCCTGCGGTCGGGAGCGGATGCGTGAGAGGAGCGTCGTGGTGCGCCGCGCGAGGGTGGTGTTGGGGGTGCCGCCTGCTGTGGTGGTGCCGGGGTGGGTGGTGGTCCCTTGGTCTGCTCCGACTCCTCCCCGGCCGCCGGTGGTGCTGGCGGCGTCCCGGCTGGTGACGGTGGTTACCGTGCTGGCCGAGCGCACGGTATTGGCGGTGCGCGTACGCGAGAGGCGCATGTCCAGTGGCGTTGGGCGGTGGCCGTCATAGTCGGCGTCTGTGTCTGACGTTCCGGTGGGGTCGTCATCATCATCGTCGTCGTCGTCGTCGTCGTCGTCGTCGTCGTTGTCATCTGTAGTAGTGACGCCCTTCTCGTCTAGGGTGGGACTAGAGTGAACATGGGACGAATTGCCTTCTGATTGTTGTAGCAAACCCGATGGTGGTTGGTGTAAATCGGAATTTGGGGTGGGATCGGCCATCTTCAAAGTAGGCCATGTCGAGCGGTCATTGGAAATGTCGTGCAGGTGAGACAGAGGCGATCTTTTTATTTAAATAAAGAAAGGTTGTGTGGAGAATCAAGTTCTGCTTCGGCGCCGTTGACTCACGACGTCATGGTAGGATCGGCAGGGACCGGAAACCCGCCGTTGGCCGAGGGAGATCTCCGATCTGTAAACCACACAACAACCCATTGCTCCTCAGACGAACAGGAAAAAATGAGGGGCCGAAAAGAGGAATGACTTGGGAAATTCAATAAACATTGTAAAATAGCCATACTTCAAACATCGAGCAATAACTCGGAAAATGAAGCTCACCGGTACAACTCGGCGATTATCTCGATTTTCTCTCGGGTGGCGCCGGCTCCGCTCCGCTCAATTATGTGGGGCCGAGCCAAGAATCGGGCCGGTATCGCCAAGCCGGGGACCTCTGCGGCAGTTGTCGTTACAGTGCCCCAACGCACAATTATCTGTGGTTGGCTAATCCCTTTCATCAGAACACCAAATCTGCGCATCGGGTGCGCGCCTCTTATTCCCGACAAGCCTCCTTCCAAATCAGTGCAAATTGAAGATGAAACCATCCGAGCAAACCCGCTTCTACTCGCTCGTTGAATGGTCCGAGAAACACGGCGGAAAACTGCATCCGTCACTCGAGATCTACAACGACGAGGTCACCAAATATTCCCTCCGCGTCAAACCATCAGCCGGTGAGGCCCTGCAGCCGGGTTTCAGCGCCGTCACCTGCCCCGTAGCGACAACCCTTGGATACCTGAACGCGCTCGTCGACGGCCCCATCCTCGATGCTACTAACTCCCAGTCAACGAAATCGCAGAACGGGGCCTTCCCTCCCGGCTTCACGCAATCCGTCCCGCCCCATGTGCTCGGTCGCTTCTTTCTGATCAAGGAGTACCTCAAGGGCAAGAACTCATTCTGGTGGCCTTACCTCGCAACGCTACCCTCTCCAGACCAAATCAGCGGCTGGCTTCTGCCGGCATTCTGGCCCGACGATGACATCGCATATCTGGAAGGCACCAACGCCCATGTCGCCATCCAAGAGATGCAGGCCAACGTCAAGAAGGAGTTTAAGGAAGCCCGGAAGCTCCTAAAAAACGAAGGCTTCCCAGAGGTTGCAGCCTACACCTCCTTGATGTACAAATGGGCCTTCGCCATCTTCACCAGCCGCAGTTTCCGGCCCTCCCTCATCCTCTCAGACACCGCAAAGCAGCACGTCTCCACCCTTCTCCCACAAGGCATCCAGCTCGACGACTTCTCCATGCTCCAGCCCCTGCTCGACATCGCCAACCACTCCCCAACGGCCCACTACACGTGGGAAACCAGCTCCCCCGAAGCCACCTGCACGCTCGTGTGCGGGGACAGCTACCCGCCCGGCGCGCAGGTCTTCAACAACTACGGCCCCAAGACCAACAGCGAGCTGCTCCTCGGCTACGGCTTCATCCTGCCCCCCACCGAGGCCCTGCACAACGACTACGTGCACGTGCGCCGGAGCGCCCGCCCGCGCCCGAGCACACAACCGCGCAGCAGGCACTGCTCGCCCGAGGATGATGCGGATGATGAGGATGATGATGAGGACGGTCATGATGGCGAGCCCGAGGCCCCCGAGAGCTTCCTCATCTCGCTGCGGCCCGTGCGCCACCGCAGCTCCGTCGTGTGCCGGCAGCGCCGCACCATCCCGCGCGGCGGCACCGACCTGGCCGCGTCCCCGTGCTTTGCCCACTTCGAGCCCGCGCTGCTGGATGACTTGGCCACGACGGTCGCCCCGGTTCAGACGGCCGAGTTAGTGGAGACGATGAGGGGGTTGCTGGGGAGGAAGGTGCAGGATGATTATGAGAGGTTGATGCAGGTTGGGCTGGTGGCCGATGACGAGGAGGAGGAGGCGGAGGAGGAGGAGATGCAGGAGGGGAGGCTGCCGCCGGCCCGGACTGCAAATCAGAGGCTTGCGGCGACGTATCGGCGGCAGTATGCCAACGTGCTGGAGGCGGCGTTAGCCTGCCTCGTTGGAGAGGGATGATCGGGGTGCGTCGCTTGTGGAAGACTTATGAGGAGGATTCCAGTCTACCCCGGCCTCCGATTGGTTATCCTTACTGTGTAGCTTTGGCCTTTGCACTTGGCTTGCGAATCTTACCGAACCTGAAGACTGCTTGGTGATTACAACACCGGGTTACCTATCTGCTGGGAGAGAATGCTCGCTGTTCCGTGCTACCCCTGTTTTGCTGTCACGCCTACCACTGCTGCCTTCTTAGTCGAAAGTATCACCAATAACTTTTTAATGACAACTTGGCCGAGTGGTTAAGGCGACAGACTTGAATTTCCACGTTCACGGTATCTGTTGGGTTCGCCCTCACAAGTTCGAATCTTGTAGTTGTCGTTGATTTGTTTTTGCCTTTTTCCTCCCCTGTCATTGCAATCCCCCTTCGTTTTGGTTCGCCAACCCCAGCGATATGTTTTTTGGTTATATTCGTGTCTAGATGGCTGCTGTCAGTCCTGATCCGCTGGCCGGGCCCTCTGGCTACTCGTCATTTATTAGGTTTACCTGGCTAGCACACAGTTAAAGATTTCGCATCAACAGACAACTTCAACGTGGTATATGTACCATTGCCTAGTGTACTCACAACAACTTGGCTCATTCCGAGTCTGCCTCGATTCTTGGTCCCTCGATCGGTCCCGAGCTCTCGCTTCGGCACCTTCTTCATTAAAGAAACGGTCCATGAAGTCCGGGTCCAGACCATCAGACACACATCACACAGGTTCGCTACAGATACACGGCGGCTAAACAACACAATCATGGCACATATAGCACTTTGTGAGCCGCATCGGTCTGCCGCATGTCCGGTATCACGTCGGGGGGAGTCCGGAGCCAAGCATCGCAGCACTCCAAGCCCCATTCCGGACATCCTGCGTTATATCCTCGCCCGCAGTTCGAACCCCTCGACTCCGCTCCGAGCCATGCCCTGCCAACTACTCTCCTCGAGCAACACAAACCGTTCTACTGTCATACCATACCGTCATACCCAAACCCCTTTACAACACTCCAGCCAAACACCACCACCATGTCCACCACCACGACCACCACCCCAACAACCCCCCTCCCCGCAATCCTCATCCTCTGCACCTCCTCCACCGCCCCCGGCCACGTCCTCCCCCTAACCGCCATCGCCCGCCACCTCGTCGCCCACCACTACCCCGTAACCTTCGTCGGCGGCGCCCAGCACCGGCACCTCATCGAAGCCTCAGGCGCTACCTTCTTCCCCGTCTGCGACGCCCTCACCCTCGAGCACGGGCCCTACCGGCAATGGGGCGCCGAGCGGGCGCGCTATGCCGAGGGGTTGCCGCGGATGGTGCAGGATTTTAGGACGTTTTTTGTGGGCCAGGTGGATGGGCAGGTGGAGAGTACGAGGCGGGCGTTGGAGGCGGTGAGGTGCGGGGTGGGTAAGGGGAGGGAAGTGGTGGTGGTGTGCGAGACGATGTGGTTCGGGTACTTGCCGTGGAAGTGGGGGGCGGAGAGGACTAGGGGGTGGGAGGAGGGGGAGGCGATGCCGAGGAGTTTGGGGGTCAATGTGACGCCGTTGATGCTGGATGGGGAGGGCGTGTCGCCGTTTCCGTTGGGGTTGTTGCCGGCGGAGGGGAAGGGGGTGGGGGAGAGGGATGGGCTGTTGAGGGAGTGGTTATATGAGTATGTGGTGAGGGAAGCGTATGATGGGTTTCGGGAGAGGATTAGGGAGGCTGGGGGGGTCGAGGTGCCGGATGAGTGGATGATCAATCTGAGCGTCACGGCGCATGATACTACGCTGCAGCTGTGTCATCCGGCGCTGGAATACCCGCGGCCGGACCTGCCGGCGCATGTCAAGTTTGCGGGGAGCTTGCCGCCGAGTAAGGTGGTGCCGCCGGGGTTTGTGTTTCCGGATTGGTGGCAGCGGGAGGTGGTTGGGAACCCGGGGCTGCCAGGAAGCCCAGGGAGACCGAAAATCGTGGTGGTTTCGCAAGGTACATTGGCGAGGGACTACAGCATGGTGTTGGTCCCGACAATCAGGGCATTGGCTGGGAGGAGAGATGTGATGGTCGTTGCGCTGCTGGGGAAACAGGGGCTGGCCGTCCCGCCCGGAGTCCTGCCTGCCCCGGAAGAGGGAGTCAATCTCGACAACGTCCATGTTGTCGACTTCTTCCCGTATGACTCGCTCCTTTCATACGCGGATGTCATGGTCTTCAACGCCGGCTATGGCGGCTTCATGCACTGCGTCGTCAACGGCGTGCCGATGGTGGCGGCAGGCTTGACGGAGGATAAGTGCGAGGTGGCTGCTCGGGTTGAGTGGACCGGTGTTGGCATAAACCTGCGCACTGGGAGGCCGTCCCCGGCGGCGGTGGCTTCTGCTGTTGATCGGGTTTTGGGCAGTGAGGGCAAGTACCGCGCGAGAGTCAAGGAGTTGGCGATTGAAGTGTCCAAGGGGAATCCGCTGGAGGTTGTCGAGAGAGAGCTACGCGCTCTCGTTCAAGGGTAGTCGACTGCATTATATAACCGACTAGTTTGGGAAACCCGGTTCTGCGTACCACAGAAGAAGCATCACTTGGGCACGGTATGAAGTTTCGGCTTGCTTGGAATGGTTTATGTACTAAAACCAGGTACTATATACGTGTTTTCGTACTACTTGTTCCAGAGCACCAACCTTCATCCGTGGCCTCGATATTAACAAGAGTTCTGGCCGTTGGGAGTGAAGGTTCCGGACTGGTACGCGCCCTCGGCATCGCCCAGGCATTCGGCTGTGAAGAGTCAGCATATTTCTCTCACGAAACGAGGCCCAATTCAACTCACCAACGGTAACGAGCTTGAGGTTGTTCTGCTTAGCCCAGTTAATCAACCACGGGGTGAGCGTGTTGACGGTTCCGGCGTAGGTCTCGTGCATGAGGGAAATGTGGCCGTTGCCACCGGCGCCGGCCCGCTGGAAGGCCTGCTGGCTCTGCTGCGGCGACTGGTTGTTCCAGTCACCTGAGTCGACATCGTTGGTGATGACCTTGTAGCCCATCGACTGCATGGTCGGCAGGAACTGGCCGCCCGTGTCAAGGTAAGGGGGACGAATGTAGGCCGGCTTCTTGCCGATCAAGTTGACCATGGCGTCCTCAAGCTTGGTCATCTCGGTGCGGATCTGCGACGCGCCCATGCTGCCCATGTGGCCGTGGGTCCTATTGTGTGTGAGCACCTAGGTATACAAAGGGAGATCAGAAATAGGGCCACCCACCATGTGTGCGAGGCAATCTGGTGACCGGAAGCGAATGTCTTCTTCACCGCCGCAGCCTGGTTGTAGATGCAGCCGTAAAGAGTGCCGGTCCAGAAGAAGGTGGCCTTAGCATCGGCCGCATCGAGGATGTCCACCAGCTGCGAAGTGTACTGGTATGGGCCATCATCATACGCAAGGGCGAGCATCCCGGGGTTGCTGCACTTTTGGATGACCACTCCGGGGCTCGGGGCCCGCTTCATGAGCTCGAGCGGGTTTGGTGCCGGAGCGGCGACCGCACCAGACGCCAGCAGGAGGCCGGCAATGACAGTTTCGGCGAGCATCTTGATGTGTGTCTGAATCCCGGTGAAGGCTGAGTGCGTGCCAGCCAAGAAGCTTGACCAGACAGCTCATCAGCCCTGACTATATATATCGAGTGGGATTCCAGCCATCCCGGCTCATTGTCCCGGCATCAGACTCTCGACCCGGGACACGTCCCTGTTCATCTCGTTGCTCCGCCCTGTGTGGGGAAAGGTGTTGTTCTTCGGAGCAAAGGAGCGGAATCAAGTCTCAAAACAACCATTCAGGGGTCCGCCCGAAATCATGGGAGCATGAGAGTCTGGGGTACTCGACGCCAAGGCCCCATGGCTGCGGACCAGCTGCCGGGTTGCTCATGGGTAAATATCATGCAACCGCCGGCTTTCGCCGTGGTCTAGAATATATTAACCCGGGGCCCAGTTCGGCATTTAGCCGATGGTTCAACACTTAACCACATACGAGCAAGATCTCCGTCCATCTCAGGAACTGCACGTGGGCACAGCAAAGAAGCATTACACAGTACAGCTTGATTAAAACTAGATAGATTAAGCTGAGGCACAAACGACGACCAAACTTAACGAGACTAGATGGATACTCAGTAGTTATGTAACCTACGGCAGTTTAAGACGGACGGCCGTGAAGTCATACCCTCGCTCAATGCTAAAACGTCATGCTGCTCTGCATCAGGTCAAAGCAAGTCAACTCCGCTAGACCCCAACCATGTCATATAAGTCCTCCACTTTCTTTGCTAAATTCTCACACGAATCAGAGTCATGGAGGAACCCGAGGGGTTGCGGCTACTCAACCCGTGGCCCCTTGCGGGTCGCACCGGGAGAGGCCTCAAGTGTGCTCGCAGCATAGTGTAGTTCCTCTGTTAACTTGAACTGAGCCGTGGCCAGGATAAGTGGCTCGCTGCCATCTTAACTGTGTAGTAAGTAATATAACAAAAGAAGCACAGAGACTAGATTTGGCAAATATTGGGAAATAATTCCGGCACTGGAATGCTGCGGATACCTTTACTAGAAATGAAGCTTACTGCAGGGGTCGAATCTCTCTGTGAAATCTTGACGGAAGGTTTGATGATGCCCCATGGGTAAGCAAGGCAGCGGTAGCTAGCGCTCGAAATTTGTTTCTTGTGTCAAGTATGTATGTCGAGCGTGTGGTACATGTAGTTGATCAGATTCAGGCGTCCTACGGCTGAGAAACGCAGTCAAAAGAATGACATAGCGTATGGGGTAGGATGTAAATTTATGGGTGACCCAACCCCGAACTTCCTACCATATACTTAAAGACCGGAACATACAAGGAAACCTGGAACTAAAATCTCAAAGTTAGGAAGCTCCGAGTCGGCTCTCTTCTCGCCACTTCCCCCCTTTTCGCTCGCTTGCTGTCTGAGGTCGTACCTGAGTAAATTCAAGGTTGCAAGGACGTGATCGTTTAACATAAATCTCACTTTGCCAAATGTCAAATTGTGACGGCCCTGTGTGGAGGACTCGGTATTACTCTGTGCTTTCCACTTGGCTGATCGGTCAGCATTTGCACGACTTATTAAAGTGCTATCCGGTTGTCATGTATCTACTGGCTTGCCTCAAACCTGGGCTGGGATGACCTATACAACCTTTTTTATCGACGGAATTCGGCCTAGGAGTGACCGTTTCCCGCTACCCTCTTCACAATGTCCGAACTAACATGATGATAGTAGATAATGATTAGGTACCAATTAGGTAGGTATTAGTCTATTGTATTTTTGTGTCTTCAGTTATGCCTAGGTAGGACTCTCTCGTGTCGGGCAAAGTGTATGGAGAAGATGAAGGATGATAAAAAAAAAAGGCCGACGATGCTCTTTTTCTCTTTGCTTTTACTTTGCACCCTTTCCTACTATCTCTATGGCCACACTTTCTTTTATCTCTCCCCTCCTATTCATTTTTCTTCCCTTTCTTCAGTTTCTTTTCTTGCCTTCCTTCTTTTTTACCTTCCTCTTCATTTTTTTTTTAGTCTTTTTTGTGTGGTTTCGCCCTGTTTATGGCATCCAGCCGAATTTGTCATTCTCCGTGATGGCGTCACAGCGGTGGGCCGTGGTTGCTCTCGACCCAACCCTGTCCGTTTCAAGATTGTCTCACAAACAAACCCCTGCACTTCGGTGACAACCCAGGGGCCACCTGCGGCCCCAACTCGTACAAGAGAAAGAAGCAGACGCAATGATGGAAGCATTGGAGGCCGCAATGGTTTGCATGAAGGAATTCTGGAAACATTCAGTTGCACCCTGGAATTCCACCGAAAACCATGCGCGCGCATCAAAGGATCTCGAGCCAAGCGGCGGCGAGACATGCCATCTTCGGGGCCGACGTCAGCCCATGCTAGATCCTTGATACGGGAGTCGCGATGATGGGAACAGGTGGTTGTCTCCGATGATGCAAGCTGCAAGGCTGGAACCCCTGCCACGCGCTTGGCCGTTCCCAAACGCCGGAGCCCGGGTCAGGCACACTGGTCCTGCGCCTGATTTGCTCTGCCTTTCCTGGGCTTTGAACATCAGGTTCGGGTGTCGCTGATTTTGGTTCCGAAGATCGTTCGTTTGGGGGTGTGCAGGACCATGAAGGTATTGAGGTAGGTGGGTAGGGTGAGGTGGGCTTCTGTTGGGATGGAGATACCTCGAGTCAGAGGAACCAAGAGGGGAAGATAACATGATAATCCATTGTGTCCAGTAGTAACTGGTTTTTAGAGCTTGATAACTACCTACCTAGGTTACCCAACTATGATGTACCTTAAGTTCAAAGTAGAAAAGACTTGTGGCCATCAGATCCTCAAAACACATCGCCCGGTTGCTCCCGCCAGAAGGGCTTACCAAGCACTTTAAGGGGACAAAGGTGAGCACCCTGAATTTTGGGCGATCGTCCGTGCGCTCGGACGGTTGTCCGCTCTCCCCACATGCTTCGCCTGGCACCGGTCCAGGCCCCGCCATAAGACGCGTCAAAGCACTGCCATCATCGACGGGCACTTTCCTCGCATCAACCGCCTTTCGTCTGGTCTTCGTCCTACAGTTCCCTGTCGACCTAAGATTTTAATAAACAAAAAGTTGGGATCAATCCTGGATGCAAACAGCAAACTTCGCCGTCTTGAGATTCCCTCGGCCGCCTATCAGCCCTACTTCAATTAATCGCCACCTGCATCCGTTCCCGGGGGTGGCTTCCCACCGTGCCCGCCTCTCCACACTGACGACCACCAAGGATCGCTTAGACATCCACAACTCGGCTCTGCCACCGCCTACAACCAGACGATATCATCCTGTGACGTCGAGCATGCTCCGGCGATAACCAGAAGTCCTCTCCTGGTCATTTTTCTGTGCACGGCTGCTCAGCCTCTATTCCCGGTGGTTCCGGCCCATCCTGTCCTCGGAGTGGACGGTAATAATAGCAGCTTCCAGTCGGCGGCTACACTGCTACACAAGCACACCCCCCGCGGTCTCGAAATAACCTTATCTCATTGATCCTCAAAGGCTCCCAGCATCTCTTCAACCGTTCCCCGTCGAGCCTTGGATTCCCGTTCGAAACGACATAGTTTCGACCGCTTCTCGCCATGGATCACAACATGCATTCGGGCTTTCAGATGCCCATCGCCCCCCCACCACTCATGAACCCGCCCCCCCAGATATTCGGTGGCTACAACGAACATGGGCTCCAAATGCCCCAATTACCACCTGACCTGATGGCCGCGCAAATGTTTGGGGATCATGGGTTGTTGGAAGATACAAACGAAGCAAAGAGGAGGAGGATAGCGAGGGTGAGTCGAGGGGGTTCCGGCTGTGCTCGGACAGCATAACCTAGGCGGCAGACATGCTGACCGAACGCTACCAGGCATGCGATATGTGCAGGAAGAAGAAGATCAAGTGCGACGGAAAGCTCCCGGCTTGTACGCACTGCAACAACTACAAGACGGACTGTGTCTTTACGCAGGTGGAAAAGAAGCGGAATCCTCCCAAGGGGTGAGTTCCCGTTGCCTGCCTTGTGCAGGTTCTCGGCTTACGAATGGAAACAGGGCCAAGTACATTGAGGGGCTTGAGAATCGCTTGGGGCGCATGGAGCACTTGTTGAGGTTATCCGGTACGCCTGGTCTTTTGATATCACTTATAGCCGTCTCCCGCTAACGTTGTTGGCGCAGGTTTGCTCGGCGAAGACGACAATGGCGCCACTGACCTTGGAACCCTGGAGAAGAAGCTTGTCGAGAAGCACCAGCAGTCGAGGCAAGCTTCCCAGGCGGTTTCCGATCCGACCTCGCCCCCGCCAGTACCGGGTCAGGAGGCGGCTCGCGCCTCAACGCCTCATAGTTCACTGGCATCTCCCGAGCCCGCCAAAGACAGCGATAAGATGAGCTCTGTCACTCCGGAGAAAGACAGCCAAGATGGCGATCGAGAAGAGGTTGCTGAGCTCTCAGAGATGATGTGCTCACTAGTCACCAACACCAACGGGGAAACGCGATATATCGGTACGAATTAAGCCTTTGCTATGTCATCCCATGGCCACTAACATATCATAGGTTCATCCTCGGGATTCTCTATCTTTTCGCCCAAGGGAGTGCAGTGGGTCAACGAGAAAATGGGGGATTCATCATTCCAGCAGATGATTTCGGATGTTTCAATTGACGATCACAAGTGGACGGCTTGGAAGCCCGATGTTTTCGGGGACCTCTTCCGCCGCACCGTCTTCAGGGACCTGCCCCCAAAGCCAGAGGCGCTGTCCTTGCTCAAGGACTACTTTGAGAACTTCAACTGCATGTTTCCACTATTCCACCAGCCCACCTTTATGCACCTGGTGGAGCGGCAATACTCGGATGACCCCTACACAGGATCCGGATGGTGGGCAAGCCTGAACGTGGCTCTAGCCATCGCGCACCGCTTGCGCGTGATGAGCAACCTAGTCCCGCAAGAGGAGGATGACAAGGCCTGGGCCTACATCAAGAACGCCATGGCTGTGTTTTCCGAGTTGGCGATGCGCAACACCGACCTTCTCAGCGTCCAGGCCCTGCTAGGCATGTCTCTCTTCATGCAGGGGACCCCGAACCCGCAACCGTCATTCCTCCTCATCGCCACGGCGATCCGGCTCTCGCACACCATCGGCCTCCACAAGCGCGGGACAGGGTTCAACCTCAACCCCATTGAGATCGAGCAGCGGAAGCGGGTCTTTTGGATAGCCTACATGTTAGACAAGGATTTGTGTCTTCGGTCGGGAAGGCCGCCTGCGCAGGACGACAACGACATGAACGTCGAACTTCCTGATGCTGACCCCGCGGATGGCATCGGCAACATTCCATTGGCGGATGGGAAGGGCAAGATGAACCTGTTCCGGGTTATGTGCGAGCTCTCCATTGTCGAAAGCAGAGTGTACACGAAATTGTACTCGACGAAGGCAACGAAGCAATCGGACGGCGAGTTGCTGAACACCATCGGGGAGCTCGACAAGGAGCTAGAAGATTGGAAGGACCGCATCCCGATCGACTTCCGCCCGGAACACGAGATCAAAGCGTCACATACACCCCTGATCCTTCACATCGTCATGCTTCACTTCAACTACTACAACTGCCTGACCACAATCCACCGCATGTCGATCCATCACGGCTACTGGACCAGCCGCCTATCCGATTTTGCTATTCAGGGGCTCAACGCGAGGCCACTGAACCCCCGCATTTTCTCTTCGGCGGCATTGTGTACCTCTGCTGCCAGAGCATCGATATCTCTGCTCAAGTACATCCCCCAGGGTGACTTCTCCTGCGTCTGGTAAGCCGACCCCGTCTCTTTGTTTTCCTTGGTCTCCGCTTCTAACTCGCGACAGGATGGTGTTGTATTTCCCAGTGTCTGCACTTGTCACATTATTTGGGCACATTCTGCAAAATCCCCTCGACCCCAGGGCACGCTCCGACACCAAACTATTAAACGTGGTTGTCAACTTCTTGTCAATGCTTGGCCACGAGGCGGAGACAGGCGGCGTCCACCGCATGCTCGGCGTATGCTCCGAGTTTGACCGGATCGCCAAGGTCGTGATCGACAAGGCAGAGAAGGACCACGCCTCGCGACGAAAGCGGAAGAACCAGGACCAGCCGCTGAGCAAAGCAGCAGCCAACGCCAACAACACCACCACCACAGCAGCCGACTCCCCCTCCTTCAACCCCAACCCGATCCCGCCCACATCCCGACCTACCACCGCGCGCTCCGCAACCCCGCAAGCAAACGGGATGCACGCCGCCGCAAACAACAACAACAACAACAACAACAACCAGGGCCACCTCTCCCCGCCCCCCAACGACCGCCGCTCCCCGCCCACCGCAAACGGCTACAGCCCCATGAACGGCACCATGAGCCAGTCCCCCTCCCCGGGCCTCGCCCCGACCGGCTGGCACGGCGAGTTCACCCCGGACAGCTCCGACTACAACACCTTTGCCGACATGGCCTCCTTTGGAAATATGGGAGGTGGCATGGCGGGCGTGGAGACGACGGGTGGGCTGGGCAGTCCGCCACTGGCGGGCGCCGCGGGCGCCGCGCTGTTCCAGCAGCCGATGCTGCCGCAGGATTTGTTTAGTCTGCCGATGACGCTGGATTGGAATTGGGCGGAGATGAGCGGTGGCGCGTATCCGAGCGTGGAGAATGGGAATTTTGGGGATATGGATTTGAGTGGTGGTGGTGGGGGGAGTCAGGATGGGCGGGGGCAGGGGCAGAGGTGATGTTGGTGAGATGAGAGGTTGTGTGTGTGGGGGTGTGGGTGTGGGTGAGAGGTGGGTGAGAGTGAGAGGTGAGGGTGGGTGAAAGTGGGTGGGTGAGAGTGTATGGCTAGACTGGTTGCCGGGTGATGGATGGATGGGTGGGCTCGGTTCTTGTCGGTTATAGCGGGGCGCAGGTATATATCTTTTGTCTGATTTGGGTGGATTTTGTTTCTGTTTCTTTTTCTTGATCTTGTTATTTTATTATATGTCTTGATAGGGATTTACGACTTCTATTTCTTGTCTGATCATCTTGCGCTTGGTTAGGCGTACTGTGTTGGAAATTCCATGACCTCTTCTACTGGGAGTTCACGGATGAGATTGGACGAGGTAGGGGAGGGTGACGAGATCATTCCGCTGGTCAGTTAACGATCGGGATGGAAGGAAGCGTGGCGGGGTTATTTTGGCCTGTTGGGACCGCTATATATAGTTTGGGGTATTTGGGATGCTTATCTCGTCAGTTAAAAATGACATCTTATGAACTGATATCACCCCATATCCCGAAAAGTAACATCTCATTCTTTTTTTGCGTTGCATTTTGTTTTTGGGCAACTCCCTGCCTGGGGCTAAAGTCAAGTTATTGTAAAAATGGGTAGTTTGCAAACTCGTCCACGTCAACCTCGACTGCCTGGGTTGGCAGCACCGGCGTTAAGAAGTCAACATGTCCGGCACGGTGCAATGGGTTGCCCGGCCCCAGCAGGTTGGGAGCGAACAGTCAGCCGAAGAGGTCTGAATTTGAGTAACACGTGACCTCGCACTAACCGTCTAAGGACTAGCGCCTTGAATTCGCGGCAGGTTTCCCGCCGCCGACCAGGGCGTCATCCATTGGACTGCTGCAGGGCTTGGATTTTCCGGCTCGGCCTTGTCGGACTCACGAGACGCACACACCACCGACCCTCCACCGGTGGCCATTGACGATTTCGGCGGCGACAAAGCGATCGCCAGGGAGTGCGGTAGCAGGGCAACAGGCCAAGGAGGATTGAGCAGAGAAAAGAAGAAAAAGAGAAGGTTTCAGTGGCCTGTGGTGCCTCGGAGACTTCCACGCTGTAGCGGGACCCAAGTTTGAGAGAAGACCCGCAATCTCGACAGACACCTTTAGATTCGGTTTAACGACCTCCATTCGCAACGCACCTCGCCTCAACCACCCCTCACTCCCCTCTTCCTCCCACCACCACAGCGATCATGTTTCGCACCTCAGCACGCCAACTGGCGCGCTGTTCAAGACTGCCATTACGGCCATTAGCACGACCGGCATTCCGCGTCGCCCGCTTTCCCCACGTCACACCCGCAGCAACCCACCTCGCCGCCAGATTCAAGTCGACCAACTCGCCGAAACCCGAAGACGAGAGCGAGACTCCAGACCAGCCGCCGAAGAAACAGGACGATGCCACCGATGGGATGCGAGAACCCCGCGCGCCTCGACGGCCACCGCCCCCGGGGTTCGTGCGCCTGACCAAGGAAGAACAGCAGGTACTCGACCAGATTATGGGAACATTTCCGTCGCAAAGCCAGCGGAGTGAAATACAGGAAATATTTAAAAGCTTCGAGGAAATCGGCGTTCCGGAGGAGCTTCGGGAAATCCTGCGACGCAAAATGAACGGGCAGCTTGGCATGATGGATGCTTTGAAGATTCCCAAGATCGCGTACAAGATGGCGTCGGAACTCGATGCAATGGACCGGGATTCGGTAAACAAGGCGCCGGACTTTACCTCGAATAGGCCGGGGGAGGAGAAGGAACAAGGTTCTAGCAGTGCGCAACAAGGACCGGAAGGGGAGCAACAAGAGCAGCAACAGGGGCAACAACAACAGCAGCAGAAGCAGCAAAGGCAGCAAAAGCAGTCGGGCCAACAGAAGAAAAAGAAGCAAGGGGGTGCCGACCAACCACCGCCGCCGCGCCGCTTCGACGCCTCCGACCCGGTGACGTGGATCATCAGCGCCGTCCTGCTGTACCCCTTCTACACCATGTTTTTCTCCTCCGAGTCCTCGCGCGAGATCACCTGGCAGGAGCTGCGCAAGAACTTCTTGGACCGGGGCCTGGTCGAGAAGCTCGTCGTGGTCGACAGGCGCGTGCGGGTCGAGCTCAACCGGGATGCCGTCCGGAACATGTATCCCGACTCCCAGGCGGCAAACCCCAACTTCGTCTACTACTTCTCCATCGGCTCCGTCGACGCCTTTGAGCGGAGGCTAGACGAAGCCCAGCAGGAGCTCGGCGTCCCCAGCACCGAGAGGATACCGGTGAGCTATGCCCAGGAGGGCATGGCGGCTAACCTCCTGATGGCGTTTGGGCCGACCATCCTGATCGTCGGTCTGCTCGCCTGGGTGTCGCGCCGGGCTGGTGGTATGAGCGGCGGCTCAAGCGGCATGTTTGGGTTCGGGAAGAGCAAGGCCAAGATGTTCAACCACGACCAGTCGGTCAAGGTTAAGTTCGCCGATGTGGCGGGCATGGACGAGGCTAAGACCGAGATCATGGAGTTCGTCAGCTTCTTGAGGACGCCCGAGCGGTTCCAGAGGCTAGGTGCCAAGATCCCCCGCGGTGCCATTCTTTCTGGTCCTCCCGGTACCGGTAAGACGCTCCTCGCCAAGGCGACGGCCGGCGAGTCGCAGGTGCCCTTCTACAGCGTCAGCGGTTCCGAGTTCGTCGAGATGTTTGTCGGTGTGGGTGCCTCCCGTGTCAGGGATCTCTTCGCCACGGCGCGCAAGAACGCACCCTGCATCATCTTTATTGACGAGATCGACGCGGTTGGCAAGTCTCGTGCCGATGGCGGCGGGTTCAAGGGCGGCGGCAACGACGAGCGCGAGGCCACGCTCAACCAGATTCTGACGGAGATGGACGGCTTCAACACCTCGGAGCAAGTCGTGGTCCTTGCTGGCACCAACAGGCCCGACATTCTGGATAAGGCTCTGATGCGGCCCGGTCGTTTCGACAGGCACATCCACATCGACAGGCCGACCATGAAGGGCCGCAAGTCGATCTTCAAGGTGCATCTGCAGAAGATTCTGACCAAGGAGGACATGGACTACCTGACGGGCCGTCTCGCTGCTCTGACACCGGGCTTCGCTGGCGCTGACATTGCCAACGCCGTGAACGAAGCTGCGCTTATTGGTATGACTCTCCTTCCCTTTGTCCTGCGTTTTCTAGTTTAATTTATATGCTAACGGTTCCCTAGCCGCCAGAGCCAACGCCGCCACCGTTGAGATGATCCACTTCGAGCAGGCCATCGAACGTGTTGTCGGCGGTCTCGAGCGCAAGTCTCTGGTCCTCAGCCCGGAGGAGAAGCGTACGGTGGCTTACCACGAGGCCGGGCACGCCATCTGCGGCTGGTTCTTCCGGTGGGCCGACCCGCTGCTGAAGGTGTCCATCATCCCGCGCGGGCAAGGCGCGCTCGGGTACGCGCAGTACCTGCCCGCCGGCGACGCCTACCTGATGAACACCAACCAGCTGATGGACCGCATGGCCATGACGCTGGGCGGGCGCGTGTCGGAGGAGCTCCACTTCCCGACGGTGACGACGGGGGCGAGCGACGACTTCAAGAAGGTCACGCGCATGGCCACGACCATGGTGACGCAGTGGGGCATGTCGGACAAGCTGGGCCCGCTGCACTTTGAGAACGACCAGAACCAGCTGCACAAGCCGTTCGCCGAGTCGACGGCGCAGGCCATCGACGCCGAGGTCCGCCGCATCGTCGACGAGGCCTACAAGCAGTGCAAGGACCTGCTGATCGCCCGCAAGAAGGAGATCGGCATCGTCGCCGAGGAGCTGCTCCGCAAGGAGATGCTGACCCGCGACGACCTCGTCCGCCTGCTCGGCCCCCGCGAGTGGCCCGAGAAGGAGGAGTTCGCCAAGTTCTTCGACAACCGCCAGGGCAAGAAGAGCGCCCCGCCCCCGTTCCCCACCGAGAGCACCGACACGCCCGACGAGGCGCAGCCGGCCTTGTTTGACGAGAAGAAGCCGACTGACGGCGAGAGTAAGAGGTGAAAGACGAAAGCGGGGTGAATGAGCCGGATAGGTGACAAGACAAGAGAGAGGCGCAACCCGCGTTGCGGTCGGTCGGTCGGTCGGGCGGATCCCCGACCCTGTCCTCCATAAAAGCTACTCAACTCGTACATGTTTGTATCATTAGGTATGGCGCATTGCAGCAGGGAGGAAAAGGGGAGAGCGAGCTGCTAGAAAGAAGGCCTTTTGTTTTCTTGGTTCCCTCCTCTCTTGTTTTCTCCGTTAGCATCATCAGCAGCAGCAGCAAGGCAAGCGACAGCCGGGGGCAGGCAGTGCGGGAAGTGGATAGACTAGTTGCGCATCAGCAAATGTGTTGTACGATACCGTTGGCGTCGAGTTTTCATTGTATCTATTGTGTAGAGTATGTACTACTGTGTTGGAGAGTGTTGCCTGGCTCGACTTACACGACGCCAAACGTGGTCGATTCCGCCCCGGTCCGGGCCGGAGCCGGCTTTAAAGTCATCATCGGGAACCTGAGCCACTGAAGGAAAAGCCGGAGCCACGCGCAAAGCTTCCTCCCATAAAGGTTTTACTATCAAGATACAAGCCTCTGTTGTCTACAGCCTTCGGTATCATTTCCATGATACTCACTTGAGCCAGTCCCTTTGTTATACCTCACACCCTCTCCGGAAAACCGGCACCAGATCTGCACATTGTCCCCAACGGGTGTGTTAGCCTGGCGCCATGCCGCCTTTTCGCACACGGTTCCGTCCCCGGTGTGGGTCCATTTATCCCTGCTCTGCCCGTTCTTCCTCGCCGTTGCCGGGAGGCGACGGGGTCCATCCGAACCTGCAATTCTTTTCGGAAGATGGTAACCTTGTGTTTTTTTATTTCATGTTTCCATCCCTTTCATTGAGACCCGACAGACATTTCCATCGGGAAAGACAACACCAAGCCAAAGAGCACCAATGATGAATCGCGTCGTATCCAAAAACTGAAAGAAAAACTGGGAAGTAACAACACACCGCACCGCAGAAGATGGCCTCAACATCCGAAAAACCCACCACCGGCTCCATCCCCGGATCCGGAGACGGCCTCCCCCACCATCACAACCAAGACCGCTCCGGCACCGACAGAACCAGCACCGGCCTCCGCATCCGCGACTGGGTGCGCTCGCCCGCGTCCGGCGAGGCCCGCCATCACCATCCGAGGCATGACGCCGACTCCCAGCATGCCGACACCGCCGCCGCCGGTACCGGACCGGACCCGGCCCCGGAACGGCATCGCGGTCCGAGGCACGACCCCTGGTGGAAGATCCACCTCTTCCGCGGCATGGTCAATGATGTCCGGAAGAGGGCGCCCTTTTACCTCAGCGACTGGACGGATGCGTGGAACTACCGCGTCGTGCCGGCGACTGTTTATATGTTTTTTGCCAAGTCCGTTCTTTTTTTTCCTTTTTCTTTCCGGTTTGGTTTCATCGTTGTTGCTTGCGCTGTCTCCTCCTTTTTTCATTGTCTCCTCCGTTTTGTTGTCGAGGAGACGTTTGTGACGGGAGCTAATCGTGAATCTCTCCGTCGTGTAGCATCTTGCCTGCGCTGGCATTCTCGCTTGATATGTTCAACAAGACGGGTATGCAATACGGCGTCAACGAGGTGCTGCTGGCTTCAGTGCTCGGCGCCGTCGTCTTTTCTGTGCTCGCCTGTCAGCCGCTGGTCATTGTGGGTGTGACGGGGCCGATTACCGTGTTTAACTAGTATGTCTTTGGTCTTACTTCTTTTGCTGTACGGGGTGGTGGGACTGACCTACCCAAGCACCGTCTACGACATCATGATGCCGACTGGCACCAACTACCTGGCCTTCATGTGCTGGATTGGGATGTAAGTCACCCGCAACACATAGCCAGGGTCGCGCATAAGAGAGATATTGACTGCTACTAGATGGTCCCTCGTCTTCCATTGGATCCTGGCCGTCACTAACTCCTGCAACTGGCTGCGTTACGTGACGCGCTTCCCGTGCGATATCTTTGGCTTCTACGTCGCCTTCATCTACCTGCAAAAGGGGATCCAGATCCTCGAGACGCTCGGCGACGAGGAGCCGTTCTATCTGTCCGTCGTCGTGGCCCTGCTCGTCTTCGCCATCGCCTACATCTGCGGCGAGCTCGGCCAGAGTAGCCTGTTCAAGCACCCCGTGCGCGTCTTCTTCAAGGACTACGGCACCCCCCTGACCGTCGTCTTCTTCACCGGCTTCGCCCACATGGGCAAGATGAAGCACATCCCGCTCGAGACACTGCCGACGGGGATCTCCTTCATGCCAACCGTGCCGGAGCGAGGCTGGTTCGTCCACTTCTGGGACATCCCCGTCGGCGACATCTTCATCGCCATCCCCTTCGCCGTCTTGCTAACCATCCTCTTCTGGTTCGACCACAACGGTACATCCCCCCATCCACCCCCCCCCTTCCACCTATCCATCCACACCTCTCTAACCAACCGCAGTCTCCTCCCTCATCGCCCAAGGCACCGAATTCCCCCTCCGCAAACCCGCCGGTTTCCACTGGGACCTCTTCCTCCTGGGCCTAACCACCGGCATCGCCGGCCTTCTAGGTCTCCCCTTCCCCAACGGCCTCATCCCGCAAGCCCCCTTCCACACCGAATCCCTCTGCGTCACCGAAGTCGTCCCCGCCTCCTCCCCCTCCACCACGTCCACCACGTCCACCAACAACAACAACCCCGACACCACCCCAAGTAACGACGACCCCAAACACATCCCCACCGGCTTCGCCTTCCGCGCCGTCTGCGTCGTCGAACAGCGCGCCTCCAACCTCGCCCAGGGCCTGCTGACCCTCGTCGCCATGGCCGGCCCGCTGCTGACCGTCCTGCACCTGATCCCGCAGGGCGTGTTGGCCGGGCTGTTCTTCATCATGGGCTTTCAGGCGCTGGCGGCGAATGGTATTACTGCGAAGTTGTTATTCCTGATGCGTGATGCGGCGCTGACGCCGGCGGGGCATCCCCTGCTTGGTGGAGGGGGTGGTGGGAATGGGGGGGTACGGCGTGGTGCGGTGTGGGCGTTTGTGGGTGCGGAACTGGTCGGGTTTGGGGCGACGTTTGCGATTACCCAGACGGTGGCGGCTGTGGGGTTTCCGGTGGTCATCTTTGCGCTGATTCCGGCGCGGGCGTTGTTGTTGCCGCGGTGGTTGACGCCGGAGGAGCTGGCTGTGTTGGATGGGCCGACGGCGAGCCCGTTTACGATGGAGAGTGTGGGGGGCACGTTTGGCGGGCCCGGCGGTGGTGTGGTTTTGGATGATGATGGGAATGTATTTAGCGGGGAGTCGGGCGAGGAGGCGGAGCGGAAGAAGGAAGGGTCGGCTGCCGGCGACGGTGGTCGTCGTCGTGATGGTGAGGGGCGGAGCGACGAGGAGCTTGCGGAGCTTGGGGAAAGTCGGTCGGGAGCTGTGAGGCGGCGGTTGAGCACGCTACATCGCGAGGAGAATGTGTAGATGGGTAGACTCGTGCTTCGTCAGCGTGGTTGTGTCGGGCGGGCTCGTCGCCGATCGGTCTTCGAGTTGTCGAAGGGCGCCGGAGGCGTTTAGCACCACATAAAAGGTTGTTCGTCGTTTAACATCGATCGCCACGAGGCTCAACCGTTCGTCATCGGTCCATATCCGTCGTTCCCCAAGTCTTCGCCGTGTTGACGGTCAACCAAGGCTCGTTGCCCAACATCATCGTTCACCAGTGCTCTTCCTCAACCCTCCGGGGCTTCGGCGCTGCATTTGTCCAGGACCGGGGCTTCAACAGCACGAGTAAATCGGGGAAACATCCGTATAAAAGGAAGGTACCGAGTAACAGGCGACTTCATCATAGCCAGACGGCAACAAGGGAGATAATCTCGGGTTTCATCTAGCCAAATCACTCGATTGTCCCCCAAAGCCCCAGGGCCGAGACGAGTTGGGCACCGAGCATACGATGTTGGAATTGCGCCTAGAAAGCACGTATACACAAATAGCGGCTTGTATATTCGCCTACTTTACAATCTTTCGAGAACGCTGATCCTCATGGCTTGATACATGGCCAACCGCGGATCGTGGTTCATCCTTCATTGCGTCGAGGCATGTTGGCACCCAACTGTGTCCTACGCGGGCGGCAAGCCCGATTACCCGCACCGCCTATGCCTCGCCAACCAAGAACACCGACATTGGCTTAATTTGCATCGACAATCAAAGCCTATCAATACAACTGAGAGTGCTAGGATATCTTCACCTACAGGAGAAGCCTTCATAGATGAACAAGTGTCTCGCTAGGAGCCCAGACGATCCCTCGGCCTCCCCGTGGACTGGTGGTAGGAACCCCCCCGAGCAAAACATAAAGGGGCTTGTTGTCCCCTGAGCCAAATCCGATAGTTGTAAAGAGGAAATTTGGTTACCACGGTCGATACTGCGACTACTCGCTCGCCACGCCCCACAGCGACCTGGAATTGGGCCAGGTAGTTGTGAGAAGTCGCTGGTACTTCTTCTCGCCTCGACTGTCCATCGACCCATCTCCAACCGGGCGGAATGCAACCCTAGAGTGGACAGACAATGGCCACGGCCGGGCTAGCCCATCAACGGCACCAACCAGCGCAATCGGGTGGCTGGACTCCTCACTGCCCGCACTGTGCCGGCTTCTTGTTCCGATGTGATCACCTTGGCTCCCGTGACGGTCTCGCTGCCGGCGGCGACATCTCATCACTCACGCGCCTGGGGCCCTAATGACAAACGAAAAATGTGAACCTTGTTGTGGAGAGAGGCGGCTGCGAAGCGGCAGGAACCTGGAACCGACGGCTTTGACGGGCCCCTCGCGCTGGCGCTCCTGTTGGTTGACAGATGCAGCGCGTTTTTGACTCCTCGGAACGCCCAGAGGCTGGCGCTTGCTCGTTCCACCAAAGCCCTTGCCTCACTGGAGAGGTTTGCGCCAGAGCCGCGACTGGCCGTTGCCCCGGTCGCTCGGATCTACGACATGGGCAATGGCAAGAGGAAAGCGACCGCAGTCGAAGCCCGGCCCATCTGCCGCGATGCTCGGATCGGCAAGGAAACGCGAGATAATGCCATGTTCGATACGGCCCCTCGGAAGCGTGATGGAGCTCGAGAAAGCCAGCTTTGATGGGCTGAGCCCTCGAGATGCGCAACTGTCTTCTCAAGAAGGCAGGTGGTTGACACAAGCGAGGCATTTCGTCACTGGCGTTGGGTGTTCTCCCCCGACCGGCGGCATCTAGCTCTCCCCGGCAATGAATTAGCTCGCGAGGGCTGAAATCACGGCACGTTTTCCCTCCTCTCCACGACATCCGGCGCCATTGTGCATGATGCCGTGATGGATTGAGCCGGTGGGGGCGAGGTGGCCGTCGTGGAGGAGCTGCACTGGTGTCATTTTCAGGCCGAAGGTTCATTGCCTGTGGCTCGCCCGCCCATCTTTGGAAGTCCGCCTAGCTTCCGGTGGCTCGATTTTGACACTTGACGTTTGCCGGACCGTGGCACCCTCTAGAGGGGGCCGACCCCTAGCATGCCAGACATACCACACCCGGAAGTTAAATGAGGAGAGCCACCGAACGGCAGTAGCCAGAGGACAACTGTGGCGCCTCGGACAACTCGGGGGGTTCCTGTCGACGGGGCCAAGAGATGCGAGGCTCTCAGTATCGAACTTGTCCCATGGGGAAGGCAGCTCGCCTCCAATTCAACGAGGACGCAGGTAATTTAGCCGAATGAAGCGTATATTGAATCCGAACCACCAGACCGCTCAACCAGGTCATGGACCAAGGGGAAGCGCAGGAGAGCCTGGGAAGAGAGCGTTCCGCGTGCGCGAAAAACGGGATACGGCAGAAATGGCACAGGGAGGCCGGGGCCTCACACGCCCGCCTGCAGTATCTCGCTGCGGGCTTCCTTTGAATAGTTCTTGTTGTTTTTGAGCATCGAATCCTCTGCCGCGGGTTCGTCCAGTCGTCTCGGCTCGCAAATGATGATCCCGATGGGCGGGTCAGGCACCACGACGTCTCTTCGGTACCGGTGTTCGGGGGTCGCGCGGTGACGTTGCAGGCCTAAGGTTCGGCTGTGACAGGCAGTCCCACCAGGCCACCGGGGGCCGTTGCGTACGGGTCGCATTTCTTATATTTGAGAGTCTCCAAAGCCGAGTCCAGGTCGTCAAGGTCTTTTTGTTCGGTTGATTGGACTTGCAAACCTAGAAAGGTAGGTCCGGACAGACACACGAGTTAATTCGTCCGTTCGACTTTCAATTCGTTGGTAAGAAAGCGGAATGGCCGGTGCCAGTGGTTCAATTGGAGCGTGCATCGTGAAGTGCAGCGCCGGAGTATTGGATCTGGTAGGGGAGGAAGGTGAAGTGGTGGTGGTGGAGGGCTGGCCCCTGCAGCAACTGCCTTGGCTCCTCCTGTCAAGCTTCGCTCTTACCGCTTTAGGCAATGGCGTTGAGCACTCCGTCGCCTTGGTCAGTGCGCATCCGGCAGGCAGGATGGAAGCTGGCAAGGAAGCAGGAAGGCACAACAGGGACCCTGGCGGTGTGATCGAACGAGGTGGGCCCAGATCGTCTCATCGAAGCTGACGCTTGCCAATTGTTTCCTTTGCACCCCCCTCGCACCTTCCAGTTCACCTCTCGCGCTTCTCGGTACCGCGGTGCTGTGTCGGCTTTTCTCGCCAGTGGCAGCCCGCCGCCTTCCCAGAAAACCTGGTGAGCCAGTGCCACTCGTAGGAGCTTCTTCCGCCCCCCATTTCCTCCTCCCCAGAGTTGCAACCGACCGAAACTCCCTTGCCGCAGCCCACGCGGGCGTCGCATCTGGAGTCTTGGGGACATTGCCGGACTCGTCGGTCCACGACTCAAAGTTCAACCCGTCCCAAATCTACCTCGGCCGGGTCGATGCTGCTCTTGTTGCCGTGCCGTCCTTGGTTGTCGGGTTCAAGGTTGATGTATCCGTCTCGAAATGTCTCATCTCAACGGCTCGGACAATGCTGCGACAGCCCTTCAATCTCGCCGTCCGGGACTGGGGCGCGAGATTCCCGCCCGGATCGCGCTCGACAATTTTCCGGCAGTCGGAACCGTTTCGATCTGCCGTGGCTGGGTCCGCTGGGTCCGATGGGCAACGCAACGGGCAAATCCAACCCACCATTCTGCATGCCCCTTCGATCGCCCGGTGCGGACTTCGAGATGCGAACCCTATTCGGGCAGGGATCTTGTTGCACACTCCCCCCTCCAGTGACATCGTGCGATGAGACATGCCGCAGAGAGCGCCGCTTTCATCCCCTACGGACATCTTCCACTTGAGCGACCGTTTTCTCGACTCTTGATCAAGTCGGCCCGGCTTACCTCGCTGGCCGGTGGTGACCATACTGCCGCTGTGGTACAAGGCTGAACGGCTCCTGCACAGCAGGCCCTCCTCGCATTCCGTTTTGGCTTGGAATCGAGGCGAGGGGAAGCGCATCTCTCTTTTCGCCTGTCCGCCAAACGATGTTGCATCTACCCTCACCCTGCAGGCCGGCCTCGTCCCTGGAGAAAAGCGGGCAGCCGGTGATCATCGAGGTGACACGAGGTTCACACCAGCCACCATTTGAAGATGATCTGCACAGCCTTCTGTGCACCCGCAGAAACATGCAGAGATATTCTTGTCGACTCAGTGACCAGACCGTGCCGCTGCAGTCCGCATCACGTAACCTGGTCCATGGTTGGGTGGTGGGCTCAGCGCGGCTCGCCCGGAGATGCACCTCCATCCCTTTTCGTTGACTTGACTGATCCCAGGAACGATAGCCGCGGGGATAGCCGCGCCCTTGGTCCCATAACCTCACTACGGCGCTTGCCTAGCTTGGGGACATGGCAGGTCTTACCACTCTTCCATTTGAGGGGGAAGGGGCGGTGGTAGGGAAGAAGGGGGTACGCAGGAACCGTTGTGGATAACTCCAGGTGGGATGCGCAGATGTCATCGCTAATGCTGGCTCCCGTAACTGCCTTCCTCGCCCGCGGCTCCTCGCCTCCAAAAAACTTGCCAACATCGACTCCCACCAGTGGCGCAAACCCGTCGTAACCGGGTCCCTGTCGACGCTCACACCGTCTTCCGCACAGCTAACAAAAACGGTCGGCATGGTGAGCGCGACGCAAGCACATGTGGATAATGTTCGTGCAGTGGCATCCCATGGCTTGAAGGAGCGTTGGACGGATTGGGATGCTGGGATGTCTGATTCCGAGCGGCTTGTCCCGACATGTCTAGTCCATTGAAGATCACCTCGAGTTACCATGCAGAGAACATTCCTGGCGCCGCCCCGTCCCCGGAGAGTTTCGACGAAGAGGGCATGGCCGCACAGGACCCAACGCCAGTCTGCTCCGGAGTGGGCAAGATCAGCCGGCAATTGCAGAAATGACCTTGAGAACACCAGAATGCCTCTCCGCATTCCCGGCTCTTGGTGTAAGTGACCCTCGATCCTATAATCCCGGCCAGGGCCAAAGCAGGCTGATGAGTAACAGGCTGTATTCGACGTCGCAACATCACGACGTCGTCCGTGTTGAGCTGCATCTCCAAGATGGCTTTCGAGAGATCTCCCAATCAGAGGTGACGGCGGCGTCCCATTCCGCAGTTAATGACGGCGCACGTTTTTTTAATCTGCCTTATTTTCCGATCAAGCCTTTCCCCGGACTCTGGGGCCAAGCCGACCGTTTCCCCCGCGGTTTCAAGGGAAGTATGCGATACTACCGCGGCAACTTTGGAAGATAAGCAGGCAGGTAGGAAGCACCACGATGCCGGCCACAGTTTGCGGACGGGACGGCCGGTCGGCTACAACGGCGGCCGCTGGGGATCATTGGTGGTGGTTGGTCGAGCAAGCACTTCCCAACAAGGAAACCTTCGAGATGCTCCGCCGAAGACTGGGCAGTGACGACGCGTCCGTGCCATTTGTCGCTGCTTGGCTTGCCCCATCACGACCAGACTGTTAAGCTTTGGGGCGGGGTAACGGATCTGCGCCTCTTCCAGAGGAGCACAGTCCAGAGGACACAACGGTATTGTCCATCCCCCTCCCACTTGCTCGAAGACATTTGGCGGGGTTATTGCATATTCGCACGTCGAGGCTGGTTGCATACCGGACGCGTTTTGCCACTCCGTCTGGTACCTGCGTATTGATTTCACTCCCAAAATGCGGGACGGTCGACCAAACGTTGACCGAAATGAGGCCGTCGTCAGTGGCAGCCAACCACATCCGGTACCAGACAGACCACCTCCCGGCAAGAGCTCCGGACAACGGCGAGCCACCAAAGCCACTCCGAAAAGCCACGGTGCTGCTTGACAACCTCCCTTGTCATTTCACCGTGTCCGAGTAATCGACCGAGGCTAACGAAGACGGGATTGACCGCGCTGCAACCGGCAGCAGCCAAGGCCAGGCCACAACTCCTCACTTGCTGGTGGGAGTGAATGGGGAGAGGCAGGCAGATGTGGCTCCGTTTCACAGGCGATCCCAGCCGGGGTTGGACCCAGTCAAGGTGCCATGTACCTGTCTGTTCTCCTCTTTCTTGTCCGGCAATGACGGGCCCGCAGCGAATGGGGGGCGGCTCCCATTTGCTGCGCGGGCGAGATGCAGACTCAAAGGTGCCGTGTTATGCATCAGAGTGTGGAGAATGCTGCAATGCAAGGCTCGATGTGGATGTCATCGCATCTCATGTCTCACCTCCCATCTTTCCACACCCCATCCGACATGACTGGTTGAGGCACGCAACCCTGAATCCAGCTCGGCAGATCCCGTCAACAAACCCCTCCCCCATCTTCTGTGCACCTTGACCGGTGCATCTTCATGCTGTCGGATCAAGACTCCTTCCAAGCGGTTGCAACCCAACACATGTCTTCCGGCCACGGCAGTTTTCGCTGGGTCTGCGTTAAACGGGGAGAGTCGACTAACGGAGCCGGAACCTTGGGCCACGACCCGAAGACTGCTGTATGGTTGAGAAATGCACCCAAGACAGGGACCGCGGAGACCCGGAATGAACTCAATCTTGAACGTCCTCAGTTTGGTCGTCTATCTATGTACACGGCTAGTAGAGAAGACAAAGGGGAGAGAACACGCCAGCAGGCTAGCCCCTATCCCTACCAGACAAATGGTAACACACACACACACACACATAACCATCCGCAAAACAACCACCCAGCCACCCAATGCAAACCCCACCGCCACCAGCAAGCAACCTGACCCATTCCACCATTGAAGTTTGGTTTTTTTTTCCCCGTGAAACAACAACAGCCTTGTCAAATTCGCCAGTAATCATCAACCCTCCGTTTCGCCAGTCGTAGAAACATAGTAATAGTGTTAACCCGTCCGTGTTTCCAAAACATCAAAGTAATCTTTCCTCTCGCAACCAACACCAATGATATCCTGGAATCGAGCCGCCCACAGCAGATTGTACCCGATCAAATGTCAATCGTAAAAAAAAAACAGAGTAAGATAAAGGTGAAGATCGAAGGAGACCGGATTCTGGCAGGACAGAAGCCGATCCAAAAAGGGCAATGCTGCAGCATCTGAAGAAGTAGAATGAATATGCGTTGCGTTCGAGCCAAAGTAAGGGTAAAGGTAAAGTTGGGTATTTCGGTCCCTTGGGGACAATTGAAGAACCACAGTTCGTCGATAGGGGCTGCCGGGGTTATGGTGCCATGTTTCGTAACAACGTTCGTTCCGCCGTTGAGTCATGTTTATGCCGTGCTGCCGTAGGCGCCGGGCCCGGTCGTGGTGGCGGAAGCCGGTCCCGTGAAGCTGCGCTTGCGCTTCATGCCCAGCGGGTCCGAGTACTCGTCGCCGCGGTCCCCGGAGCCCTGGCCCTGGCCCAACCCTAACGGGCCGCCCCCGAAGGAATCCCGCATCGGCGTCCGCGAGCTCGAGTTCGACATGCTGGCCTGGAAGGCCTGCGAGAAATCGTTGGGCGGCGCGATCGGCGCGCTCATTTGGGGTATCGAGTAGTCGCTGGTCGATGTCCGGTAGCCCGATGACCTGGGCAGAGAGAAGTCGACGGGCGCTGCGAGGGGCGCTGACGGGAAGCTTCCCGTGTAGCTGGACGAGACGCCGCCGAGCTGGGGTGTCGACGCGGTCCGGGGTCCGGGGGAGTGGGCCGAGTTATGCATGCCGCCGGATCCGATGGCGGATCGGAATTGTGTTCGCAGGTCCAGGCCCAAGGGAAGGGAGGCGGACGCGGCCCTGAGTCGGGAGTTGCGCTGTTGGTTGGCCTGTAGGCTGGAAGGCTGGAAGCCAGAGTAATGTGTTGGTGATTGGACGGTAGAGCCTGCTATTTTTGGTCAGTTAGTTCTCTATCGCCACTCTGTTTAGCCCCCGAGTTCTCTTCAGAACCTACCGGAATAGTTGCCAGAGTCGTAGCCGCCCATACCGCCGGCAGAGCTCCCGCTCACTTGATCCTGATGGTAGAGACCATGTTGCCGGCCTCCGATATGAGGGGACGAGTTCCCGCCGTGGTAGGTGGTGTAGTCGATCGCGTCGCCCTTCCATGACATGCTCGAACGTAGCGGCGATTGGAGGCTATCCGAGCGTGATCTGGTCATGGTCTCGCGGAGTTGAAGCGGCTGCAGCGGGCGAACCTGTTGCCTGGAGTGATGGTTATGCATTTGCATCCCGGAGTCGAGGCTCGACTGCCGCGCGAATGGGTTCGATGTCCTCGGTCCAGCGCTCAATGGCGGGTTCGAAAGATGGTTCGGGTAGCCGTACCGGTCGGTAGAGGTGGGCGAAATGGGTGAGAGGATGTCTGGGGTGCTGAGTCCAGTTGATGGGTTGAAGCCTATGCTTCCGAACGCCGGGCTGAGGCCGGTGGGCGACAGATGCTCGTCACCCTCGTGCCGCCTTACATCCACCATGAGAGGTCGCATCATGTGGTCCGCATACGATGAACCGCCGAGGTCAACCGGCGAGGTGATGGGTGTTCCCAAGCCGTGAACTGCGCCATACGGGGAGTGGAGTGCACTCAGGCTGTCGAAGTCCTCCGGGACCGCCCTCATCTTCATCATCCGCTCGCGGTCGTCCGCTGTTAGGCGCTTGATTTTGGCGCGGCTAGCTGCCGGTCAGCACGCCACTATTCATTCTCACGCCCAAGACGGCAACCCAAAATTGAAAACTCACCGGTTCTGGAACCACACTTGCACTTGCCGTGGGCTCAGCCCAGGGATCTCTCGCGAGAGTCGTTCACGGTGAGCGGCGTCGGGGTGCGGTTGCTTTGCGAATTCGCTCATCAGGAATCTCGTTTGCTGGTGAGTGAGCCTGGGGAATGTTAGCCGCCGCTCGTCCTTTTTCAACAGACAACTCCGGGGCGAAGTACCTGAAGCGCTTCATCTTTCGTCGCTGCGCGGTCCTCTCCGCGGCTGTCTGTGGCTGGGCTTGTGCGTCTCCGTCTACCTCGCCTTCAATCATGTCTTCGTCCTCCACCACCTCCTCATCCTCCTCTTTGATGACGGCTTGCCCCTCGTTACCTGAGTGGCTCGGTGCCGTTTCGGAACCTTGTCCCGCCGAGGATACCGAGCTCAGAGGATTCGACCCTAGGGACATGCCCCGGGTCTCAGTCGAGGTCGATGACTCTTCGTGTGCTAACTCGGACGCCTTGGGTGGGTATTGCTCTCCTTGATTCTCCGGTTGCTCTGGGATCGGGGACGGCTGCTTTGGCTGCCGTAGACCGAGAGGGTCGAGACGATGGTCCAGGGGTGAGTCCTCCGACTTGGGCCCCTCGCTCGGCGCAACCACTGTCCGTGGCTGCGCCTGCGACTCCGCGTTCTCAGCCGAACCTGCTACATGTTCGTATGGCTGCGAAAAGATGGTGTTGTCGCCTGGTGGGAGAAACGAGTACTGGCCCTGCCAGTCCGACTGCGTCACCGTGTCGAAGTTGTTCGACATGCGTAATCTCTCCGCAGACTTGCGAAAGGCGGTTTCGAACTTGTTTACGGACCAAGAACTCTGCTCCGTAGGGGTGTGCCTGGTAACAAGCATTTGGAATTGTTTGTCGGTGGTCGACGAGGGTACGGGCGTCTCTGGCGGTTGTAAAGGTGGGCTAAGGGTCACCCCAGTAGCGCAAACTGATGCCCACGAGGCAGGTAGAAAAGCGAATGACGGGGGTGCAGTAGAAGCGAGCGAGTGCTGGCGTTGGTGTACGAGAGATCAGGAGCCACGGATGCACATCACCGACGGCGACACCGGGTAGGCGGGTCTGTTACCTCCAAAGCCACGAGTTTGGTTGGTGATCTCTTCAGTAGATCCCCGCGATCTAGAAGCAGGGGGACGAAACGTGCTGGGAGTCGAGGGCGATCGTTAAAGACTTGTCTGTGACCGGCCTTCCTGGGCCTTTCCGGGGTTGGAAGAGACAGCGGCGGCGCGGGGGGAAACAAGATGTCGGATGAAGAGAGAAATCCCTCGGGACGAAGTGTGTCGTACCAGAAAGATAGGTTCCCGCCAGTTAGAGCAAAGATCAGTCGAATCCACCAGTGCCGTTTTCCCTAGTCCAATGGTCTCCGTCCTATGTTGAGCCGGGTTGTCGTCGGCCGTGGTCGTCAGTCTGACAGTGAGGATGATCGAAGAACACAGAGGAGCAAAAGTTGGCCCTGGCCTGAGGAACCTGGAAGCAATAAGATATCTTGGGTGAGGTTGGGTGTTTTAGCCAATTCACGGCGGGGCCGGTCTGCTGGTGGATATCCTCGAGAACGGAATAGATCCGGGAGTTATGGTTCTTGAGGGCTGTCCTTGGTGGTATTAAGGCCCGCTCCCTTGGTCCCCTGTTCCTAAGGTGGGATGGAGGTGGGATCAATACCGGCGGAGAACCCAGTCCACAACGGAGGAGCGCCGAGGCCGCATTCGAAATCAGGCCAGGGTCTGCACGGGCAACCGCAAGAATGGATGGGACTGGCTGGGGGGAGCTGGGGGGAAGGGGGGGGGGTACCTGGTACCTGACAGCAGACGGCTGCTATAACGGCGGCTCGCCCAGGGGTGGCGTCTGGGGGCGGGTGCCTCGATTAGACAAAAGCCGCGAGGTATGAATACCGCTATAATAATATCGGGTTTGGCTCAGGCGGGCGGCTTGCTGGCTGAGCCACACCATCCAGTGATCGGGGGCCACTCCTCCTCTGTGGTCAAGGGTCGAGGCGAGCACCAGGGCTAGAGTGAGAAGCTGCTCGACCACACAAGATCTCGGCTGAATGGCTAATGCTGTACTAGGTTGTTGATGGAACCAACCGAAGTCACCGCTGCCACGCAAAGAGGAAGCCGGAAAACGGATGAAAACGTTGATGTCAGGCCTGGTAGTTGCTGCTGACAAGCAGCGAAAGGCAAGCGGTTCAGGGTCAGAACGAAAGCAGCACACGCAGCAGGCTTGGGTTCGGGATGTGAGTTGCGAGGGCGGACTGCGTGTCTGCATGCATGAAGAGACACGAGAGAAGACGCGAGGGCCGATTTAGCACAATGACGCCCACGCAGACTTCCATCATAGACAGTGAAGCAGGCGAGAGATCGGTTCTCAAACCACACGCCATACACGAGGAACCCGTGTGAACGCCGTCCAGGAGCAACCAAGGCTCCCTCGACCGGGGGGGCGCGCACCGATCTGACAGCCTAACCGTGCAGCCGCCTCGATGCAGCCGCAACTTCTGGCGGACAGCAGTGTGGCAAGAACAAAAACCCTCAACGAGAGCGTGCAGAGATGCATGGAGAGGTGGCATGGCATCTCGGCTCGAGCATTGAGGGGTGGCTGATTGGCCCTTGGTCCACATTACATCTGTGTCGACTCCACGGACGAAAGCATGACCGTTGTTGAGTTCCCATCCAGCCCTAGCCAATCGCGGACCTTGATCTCCAAGCAAGGTTCGGGGGTGGGTGCGGTGCCTGTTGCTTGGTCTGCGGAGAGGGGGTGAAGGCAACGTCAGCAGGGGTGTGGGTGCAGATCGGGCAACAAAATGACAGGAGAGCTGCACCGCTGGCGCTGACAGTGTGAGAAACGCGCAACAAGCGGTCCATGCCCGGTGGCAGCAGTCTCGAAACGGCAACGCTGGCTTGTGATCGTGGTGTCGGGGGTGGGGAGCATGAGGTCCATAGTTAGTGTCTAACCCTCGCCAACTTGGACCGAAGACGACGAGGGAGAATGGAACATCACGGGCGAGCAGATCTCTTCTGTCTTCGCCGCATCTGAACCAAGGAAGTGCGGTTGAGGCCTGGTTGAAGTTGTGGTGAGGTTGTGTCGCAGCGGCGGCGACGGTGGTATGCAGCCGCGTACTGTGCCGATTAGGAAGGAGGTTAACCGGCTTGGATGCGCTCAGCTCCGAACGGTAGCGTTCAATGCCTGAGGATTTAGCCTGCCTGGGAGAGGGAGCCCTGCATCGAGCGATTCTGAACAGCGCCGCTCGAGCTCGAGGAACGGTTTGTTGTGTGAGAGGAACGACCCAGAAAGCCGATCTCCTCCCCGCCCGCGGGGTGCGAAGCTCGCAGTTTGAGGTTTGGGTGAGCGAGACACACAGGCGACATGCCTATTTCTATCCAACCGTTGAGGACGGACAGGCGTCATGGTGGCGGCAGCCCGCTATCCAGGGTAACTCTAGCTGTCTGGACTGACGGGTCGCGGCAGTGGTGAGCGGGCTACCTTGACATGGACGCGGCATTTGGGGCAAGCTGCGCCGCCGCACCATTCCTGTGTGCGCGCCTTCTCGAAACGAGTGCCGACCCGGCAGGGAGCGAGGCGTCTGGGGAAGAGCTGTGATGGCATCGCATCTTGTCAGAAAACAGGGGCCGTCGGAGAGGTGGGAAGCAGCGCCGAACAAGCCGCAGGCTGTTCTCCACCCAGGCGTCCAAACAGCAGCGAGGACGGATTCCAGTGGAGTTTGGTGTGACGGGGTGGTGGGAAATCCAGGAGCACTGTTGTGGTAAGCGGGCCAAGGGCAAGGTGTCGTGCATCGAGAGGGTCGCATTGAGAGAAGGTGGTGGGCGCGAGACGTGCGTCGCGACAAGCCGGGCCAGGGCGCCCCCGGGCTTGAGTGTGGCTCAACGGTGGAAGCTTTTCCACGGTTCGATCAATGTGTCTCAAGGCTTGGGGGTGTGGTTAGTTAGCGAGTTAGCGCAGCCGAGAGTGAGATCAGAGACGGTGCATCGTTTGAGCCTTCTTTTCTCGCAGGGGTGGCACCGACTGTTTCAGGGGTTGTGTTCAGTTGGGGCGACGACGCGTCCATGATTGAACGCACCGTCGAGCGCACCAGGACGACGGACAACCCACACAACCCACACGACCGGCGCAGCCGCGAGATGCCAGGAGTGACGGGTGGAGAAGCGGCTTGCCTGGGTGAGATCCCGCCCAACCAGGGATGTGTGTGCCCTTCCAGGCGTCTTCCACGGGAGCGCACAGAACGCCAGACCACGCTCCGCTGCCGCTGCTGCATCAGATCGTCGGGCAACGCAACCCGTTTGTTTTCGCTTGTTTTCGTTTGCGATTGCCTTCCAACTGCCCATGTGGGCTTGTGCGCCCGGAAATCACGTTTGTATGGTCCATGAGCCTGGGAGCCCCAACGCTCGGCGCGATCCCGCATCTGAAGTGTGTGTTGTGCTGGAGGTGAGTACATTCTGTACTGTGTATTCCGTACGAGGTACGCACATATTGCGTACTCGTAAAAAAGGGAGCCCCGTGGAGGCGCCCGGAGGCGATCGCGTTACGGGGCACTGACGGCTCGACCCGCCACAAAAAAGGATTGCCGTATGGTAATGGATCCATGGAGGATGCTGTATCACGGTGGCTTTCAATGACGCATGGTGATGGCTAGACCAACGACGAGAATCCCAGTCTCGCTCACCCGCAACGGAACTGAAGACATTCCCGCCGTGGGCTGTTTGCAGACGTATGGCTCGGTACCTGTTGGGTGCCTATTTGTCAATTCAAGTTTTGTGAGGAAGGAAGAATTTGAATTTGGCGTGGGCGCGCTGTCCGAGCTGCCGCGGGGAAGTGGGGACCCAAGACATCGAGATGTCCCAGCTAAGAATTCCAGAAGTTAATATGAAAGAAAGGTGGTCGACGAGGCAGCTTCAAATTTCAGTTCGATTGCTTGAATAGAAATAAGGATTCCAAATCTGACTTGATGCAATCGAAATTGCGCAATAATTCCACCTACCTAGGTAGGTAGAGGAGAGGGAAAGAGCCAGGTACAATGGACCTTCCCGTCCATACCAATGAGCACCCAATTGAGGAAGGAACAGTTTTGAAATTTGAGAGCCACGAAGTTGCAGCAGGCCAGGCATCTTTCTCGCCATTTTCCCTCTTTCTGTATGTACGAATACGCAATACGTCTGTGCAACATCCCCAGCCAACATCATCATTTCAAGAAATACCACGACTACCGGTTTCAATCCCGCAGCTCGACGCACAGGTATTGTCCTGCAGACGATTGGAATCAATTTGCGCGAGGTTGAGATAGATGCTTCGCAGACTTCAGAGCGAGGAAAGGCGCTCTTCCACAAAGCTAGGCATACGCCCCAGAAAGTGCACTCGCTTCTTGCAGCTAACCGTCACCAGGTTAGGGATCCCATTGACTGTAGTCATCGCACTGTGTTGTAACACATCGCCGACCGTGTTTGTTCGCTGAATCCGCGACCCCCTGGGAGAATCAAGTTGGGCACCAGCCCAAACAACAATGAAGCTGAATGTCCGTGGGAGGACAGCAGCGGATACCCGGCTCTCCCAGGGCCAGACAAACTCCATCACGGACGCCCCTTCGGGTCGGTATCACATCTCCAAGCTTCGGCGGTGGCCTGTGAGTGCCTGCTCAGATGTCAAACAAATGCGGTCCCACTCGGCGGGAACTGCCCATCCACGTGCTGGGGTTGGTGAAATCCGATGCCAACTGTGCCGATTGGCTTCCCGCGAGATTCTGGAAGCATGTCCGAATTTGGGATGGCGCGACGGGAGGGCGGATGGTTGGCGGCCGAAACAACGCCATTTCCCTGTGGAACAGCCACTGAGATCTGACCCTGCGCCGGGAATCACCCCTGGCCTATTCCCAAAGCTGCCCTGGTCGCGATGATCATGACAACAAGGGCCGGAGCTGAGGATGCGAGTTCCGCTTTGAGCTCGACTTCCATGTTATCGAGCATTTCCTGGGGATTTTGGCCAGACGCAACCTTCTGAATGAAGCGCAAAAAAAGGGGTGCCCGCGGTTTGAGAAGCTTCGGCCAGGGTTCGGCAACGGCGCTAATTCACCCCACGGTCATTTCCGTCTTGCAGATGGGACAGATGCCGAAACTCGGTTTCCCCTCCGCAACCCACCGATGACCTTGCAGACGCAGGACTGTGTAAACCACGGCTTTGGCATGGGGATTCAGATGCAACTGCCATTCCTCGGCTTACCCCCTTCACGTATCAGATTCAACTCGGCCATCGACGAGGTCACCGCTCTCGCCTGTCTGGCCAGGGTTATTAATACACAACCGATCCGACCCGGGTTTACCAACAAAATATGTTCATTCGTATGTACATACATGCGGGCCATTAAAAGGCTCGCTCGCTTGTTTGTAAGTCTACGGTCAGTCAACCAGCTTGAGGCCTCGGAATCCACGGGCCCGAAATGCGTCTACAGAGATCCCGTCCCACCGGTCCCGGTTGTCAACACCTCCCTACATGTATCATGATGGATGATTGTCGATACGCCTACTTGGAAGCGGTTCATTGAGTTTTTGCTCACATCCGCCAATTTCACCGAGACCCCCAGTAGCATCGATGAGGTTTCCACTCGGCTTTTGGGAGGGCTAGTGGTGGTACGATGCTGTGAGTAACACCTCCAGCCATGAAGCCCTGGACGTGCCCTAACTAAATAGGCTATTGTGATCGTGATTTCCTCGAATCCGGTTCTTCGCCTGAGCGAACACACCATGATGTATGGCGGAACGGACTTCCAGTCAGGCACGAGCAAATCAGAGAAGCCACGCCGTTCGCGGCTGAAGAAGGAAGCGGCCTGGTCCTCCCGTGCAAAAGCTACCAGAGCCGCCTTCCCGAGTTCCTACGGCGCCTGGCTGTGGATGAAACCCCTGGCACCCAGCTACATGTTCTAGGTTCACCAATACGAGTGTTGCACCGTCATCGTGGCTTCCGAGCTGCGCTGACGGGAACACAAACGTCGCCGGTTGGACGAGATCTAGGGGCCCTTGTGATGGACGGCGGCCCTTGACAATGCACTTGCCCGCCGGGTTCTCCAATCAGCTGGTATTTCTATCTGTTTACTGCGCCTCCTGGGGCCCCGAGACGAGGCAGCGGGAGGAACAACGCGCGGTTCAGTCCTCAGGGGGCAGGGCATGGACCACGGGCAAGATGCGTGGAGGTGCACAACCATACCTCCTACGCGCCTGCCCCTCGACTTCTACCCAGACTGCGGTGGTTCAAGCCAACGCATGCCTTGCTGAAAGTTTTGAGGTGATGCTCTTTCTGAGGGAGCGCGGCATTCTTGAACCCGCATTTTACGATTCCTTCATCTGCTGGAGTCAGAGGTCAACCGGTTCTGTCTTTCCACCAAAGTAGGCCATGAACCTGCTCGTTGCTATACCTGTGCTTTCCCGCATTTTGCCACGGTCAAGGAGCCATGCGCGCGCGGTCCAGCCTGGCAGGCAAACTCATCTCCTACCAAACAAGTGATGAGCTCGCTCCCGCCGTCGAGCGAGTAGCTCCGTGAGCAGCACGGTGGGCGCAAAGCCATCCGTTCTTTTGCAACGAAGCATCTCCAGTCTAATCATGTCCATGCTATTCGATGTTGCTACGGGCAGTCAGGAGGCAGGCTGCAGCCGTGTCTTCGATGTGGCGGCACCATCTGAGCTCTTGGGCCAACCGCATCACGCAGTTGTTTCTGATGTGCGACATTGCGCAGGCCCGGCTGGCGGCGTGCAGCTCGCGCGGCGTGGTCGACGAAGCAATGGCCCACCCACCTATCCCCATGGTCTCCCGCTGGAATCCGTGTGCCGTATCTCTCACTAGAGGCTGCGCAGCTGGGCCGCCAACCACCACATAGCTAAACCAGTATGGCTCAGGGCGGGATCCCCGGCTCCTGTAAGTTTGCTTGCTCTTAAGTGCATGATCTCGCTGATATGCATATTGTTGGAGTTCCACTGACCACGAGACCGGCCCCATCAGCACACCAGGCGCATATTAATATCGACCCGTGTGGATTGCATGGCGAGAGGTCGGCTTGACGGCAATACACGTCGATTCGCCAATTGGACAATCACAGAAGCCGCAGCCTGTACGGGCACATGTGGGTTCTCGGCTCCAAAGACTGGGGGCACAGCCCGGCGGCGCTGGTCTGGAGACGGTGCGCAGTCGGGCCTTCGTCTCTGGACACGCGCCTTGCGGTGTAACACTCGGCACAGGTGCGCGTTCTTCCCCACGCTTCAGCACATTTGACCTTCCCTTCGGGGCATGGCGGCCTGGTTAGGTGCGTCCGGCCGTTCAGTGAAGAGAGGCATGTTATGTATTTCTGTGATATGGTCGCCACGCCGAAGTCGATCCGGCAAGGAGGCTCTCCAGCATCACACTAGCATCACCCCTTCTTGGTGGAGCAAGCCAGGCCCAGCCCAGGCTAGGCCTTGACTCCATCGGCATTGACATGCGCGATCGATACTGCGTGGCGTGAAGCACGGCAGAGGTTGCAGACGGTCCTCTCAACCCCGTGGCGTCCGACGGCACCCAGCATGGACAAGCAAAGGGAGTGGCCACGGGCGTGATATGGAACTGGACGGCGCCTCAATTCTCCGTTTTGCTTTCCTGCTTAATCGTCCGGTTAGGTAGGTGCTGGAAACAAATTCCGAAACCCTTCCCATGTACACGGCTGACTTCTTGGGCTCGCAGCCACGCGCCGTCAGTTATCGGCTGTATTTCGTTACAGGCACCGTTGCCGGCTCAAAACCCGGCGAGGATAACACTCCAGTGCGCCTTTCAACCAGTCCGCTTCTTGGATGGATGTCCGCGATGACCGGAAACATTTCGGCCGTGAAAGCCGGCTTCGCAATTATGTTTTCCGTGTGCGTTGAATCGAGGGGCCTCCGACAGCCGAATGTGAAAGAGCTCTATTCTTGGAGACGTTCGATATCGGCATGCTGGCCATGCCGCCGTTCTGGTTTTGGAACATCCCGGCGGATAAATGGCCACAGAACTGCTGGGCTTCTCCAGGTTTCAACTTGCCTCTATTCGCCAGCAAGGGAACGCTTCTCCTTGAAGTTTTCCGTTAATGTCTGCGCTTGTCCGACCGGCCTTCCACAGGTGGCGTAACCATTGGTTCGAGTCGACCCTTTCGTTTACGTCCCCAGACTCTACCATTTAGCCACTCGTGGGATTTGGCGCCAGCGACCCAAGATCCGGGCCGTGGTGCGCGAGTCATACTGCTGCATGAAGAGGACATGCCGTCCTGCTCCCTCTCTTCCCCGCATGGGGTCGGGTTCCACGCAGGAATAGCGTGCGTCGTCTGGCCTTCTTGGACACGCGGGATGGAGTCGGCCGCTTCCAGAGAGCGGGTTGGGGTGTGGCTTGACCCTTTCCGCGCCAGGCGGGGGCATCTCTCCCCGTCAGATGATGACGAGCAGCCGGCGATTCTTGAACGACCTCCCGGTTCAGGAAACAAGCTCCTGCTTCCGCATGCGGGGAAGTATAGCTCGCGGATGCGCACCCGAGCCGCCACGACCTGGCAGGATTGCGGGCAGGTCTGCGTCGGTGGTGAGCGGCTAGGTACCAGGGACATGTGCTCCAACTTCTCCTGATCACACGGCGGCTATACCCCTATACCATAGCTGTTCTCGCCCCCATCTTCGTCATCGGTTAGCAAGTTTTCAAGCGGCGGTTCGAGACTGACGGACCACACAGATGGATGATGGCCAATTTGGTCCAGCACGCCGAGAAACGCAATGCCGAGCGCCAGACCAGATTTTGCCCCTGAGACCCGTCAAAATGCTCGGCAATCAAAATATATTGCCGGTTCACACTCCCGCGTCAATAATGGGGCACTTACTGTGTGCGGTGGCCACCATAGGCCGGCTGCACGAACGGATACTCCGACCACCGAGCCACCTCTCATGCCCTCCATCATGATCTCGCCCGTGAAGGCGCGGGCCTGGGCCTTTGTGGCGCACGCGTTCGGCCATCCCCGCCGTCCGTCTGCCTTTACCAAGCAGCGTTTTGGGGTCGGGCACGTTCCTGAGGGGCGCTGGGTAGTTCGTGGCGAATGAATGAACATGCATGAACGTTGCCGGCCTTTCCCGTGGGAAGGGGTTGTTGTAATCTGTAAAAGCTTCCCGATGGGGAGCAAGCTGGCCGGAGGCCGGGCGGGTGCTGGGCGTTGATAAAATACAGTGCGATAAAACGCAGTATCACCCGAAATGCCAAGAGCCACACTGTCCAAAGCACTGTAGAATTGAGAGAACCCAAGAGCTGAGTGGAACGCGTCGCGCTGATTGATTGATCGATTAATTGATTTCGACGCGTTTGCGCGCTCCATGCCAAGCAAACGCTCAACACCAGCCAACGCCAGCCAACGCTCGTCAACGTCACGGCCGAATTGTGAGCTTTTTGACACTGGGCTGCACATGTCGAAATCCTCACGTTCTATTCCGTCTTTGTGATCTTTGCCCAAGATGGAGGACGCCGAGGTCAACAACGACACTGTGCATCCCGAGGTCCGGGCACACATCACCAGCCTGGTATCTGCAGTAGGTTGCTCCCATCTTCTTCTGAGCTCGTTTAAATTGGAACTAGATTGAAACTAGAATCCCACTGACTCTTGATTTCGTCCTCTAGCTCGGTGGTCACGGTGTCGACGACGATGACGGTTACAATCTCGGAGACGACGCCCTCGAGGTGCTCCGCGATCTCAAGAGATGGATCCGCTTCTACGACGAAAAGACGAATCGAATGGACGTCGCAAGATGCTTGGCCGAGTCGAATCTCGTCAGCTCCGACCTCCTGCAAATTCTGGCCACATGGTCGCCAAACGAAGGCAGCAGCAAGTACAAGGAGCGGATTGCCCTGGGCTGTTTCGAGGTCATGGTGCCGCTCACTTGGCCCATCGAGAGGGACACCGAGACCATGACGGTCAACCACCATCGCCACTTGCCCGTCCTACAACTCGCCCAGCTGGCCTACAAACGGGCCATCATAAACTTCGACGCCGCGCCCATCCTCAGCACCGCCGTCAGGCTGGCCCTGCCATCCATGGCCATCCCAAACGGCGATCGGTCGTCTCGCGACCAGGGTGTTATCAAGCTCGTCTTATACTTCCTGAGGAATATTGCCATGATCACTCCTCCCCCGGGCGTCAAGTACGAGGGAGATGAAACACAAGTCTCTCGATCGACCGTCATAGACGCCTTCACCTTCCAGGATATTTTTCTAGTCATCCTCACCATCGCTTCCAATATGGGTGAGGACTTCCGGACCGAGGACGTTATCGTCTTGGAGATCATCTTTCACCTCGTCAAACGGGTCGACTCGAGCAAGCTCTTCGTGAGCGAGAAGCGGCTGCACAAAATGAAGGAGGACGAGCTGACCGCCGCCATGAGGAAGGAGGCGGCCATGTTGAAATCGTACAGCAAAAACGCGCCGACTCGACATAGCCGTTTTGGGACCATGATCTGGGTTAAGCGAGAGAGCGGCAAGCTATCAACCGTCTCGGGCCAGGACGCTTTGCTGGATGCTGCAACTCGTGAGAGGAAGATGGACAGCAGCAAGAGCTTCAAGCCACCGAGGCGCGCTAGGAAAGAGGACATGGAACCCAAGGACTTGGGTCCCCGAGTATCTCTCGACGAGAGAGCCCGCCAGCAACTTCAGTCATTTGTGTCCGAGTTCCTCGACTCCGGCTTTAACCCCTTATTTTCGCACGTGAGGAAATCACTCGACCGCGAGGCGCCACACGTGCTGCAATCCCACCATGGCCAGTTCTTTTACTTAGTTGCATGGTTCTTGGAAGCGGAACGGATGCGCAAAAAAGCGGCAAGGGACTCGAAGAAGCAATCCTCGGCGGGAGACGACGTGGGGAGCTTTAACCTCGTTGCCGAGGTGCTCAACCAGAAAATGTTCATCACCATGAGTCGTACCTTGGATCGCGCCTATGGTGACAAAGATTGGCGGTTATTAACCACGGTCATGCGCTGCCTTACCCAGATTCTTTTGACCGTTCAGGAAATGGCCAGCTCGGGCAACGAAGAGAACGAGGAGATTGCTGACAACATCCTCAGCCGTCTGTTTTATGAGGAGACAACACATGACTTGATTGCGAATATTGTTCGCACATACAAAGATCAGGGGTTCGAATACCTTGATGCCTGTACCGAGCTCACACATACCTTCGTCCGCATCCTCGAGGCATACTCGAAGGAGAACGTCGACCTACAAGTCCGTTCCCGCAAGAGGACACGGCGGAAGAAGAAAGCGGTCAGGGCTGCGGGGGAACAGGGGGACGACGAAGGCCAAGGCGATGCCGAAGACGACTCGGCAGACGATGAGCGGCAGGCTGAGAAGACGAGCCAAGAAAGGAAATTCGACTTTAAGCGGTTTGCCATGAGGTTCGTGCCCCAGGGCGTGGTCGACACATTCGTCACCTTCACCAAATACTACCGGGATCTTGACGACTCCCAGCTGAAGCGAGCTCACCGGTACTTCTTCAAGCTTGCCTTCAAGCAAGATATGGGCGTCATGCTGTTCCGCCTGGACATCATCCACCTGTTTTACAACATGATCAAAGGTCCAGAGCCGCTCGATAAGAGCTCTTCCATGTACAAGGAGTGGGAAGATCTCGCGATGCAAACCATACGGAAATGTATCAAAAAGCTTGAGGAGCGGCCAGCACTGTTTACGGAGCTGCTGTTCTCCAAAATCAACAGCACGGCTCACTACCTCGAATACGGCCACGAGAAGCAGACTATCTCTAACCCCAAGCCAGCCGCCGAGCTCGAGTTTAAACGCGAGGTGGAGCGGGAGCAACAGATTGCTATTGTTGTCGGCGTTCTGATTGATAGGAACCAGACTGATCACCTGGAATGGATGAAGAAGCAGCTCTCCGAAGCAGAGAGCGAGCGGCGAGCCTGGGAAAACGCCGAGAAGGCCCTGGCAGCCGAAAGGGCAGACGGCGAAGCAGCAGACGAGTCTGCTGAGCCAGCCACCGCAAAGACAGCTGCTCACGCCACCGTGCGGCCAGATAACGACGCCCGCCGCACAGCCATGTTCAAGAACCCGCACCTGCGTCTCCTCATGAAGCTAGTCGGCCTGGAGCGCCTCACCCCGACGCTCGACGAAACCCCCGACGCAATCTGGGTCATACCGGGCACCGTCACCGCCGACGCCCTCAAGGAAACCCTCTCCCTCATCAACAAAGCCGAGTTCACCCCACCCACCTTCGACGACGGCGAACTCGCCGAGGACCAACTCCGCCGCAAGACCGCCCCGCGCAAACGCGTCGCCTACGACGACGACGACAACCAGGACGGCATCAACGACCTCATCAACGACGGCTCCGACGACGACGGCACGGGCATGCTCTTCCCCGCGGGCGGGCCCACCGCACGCAAGCGCACCGCGCTCGACGAGCCGCCCAAAAAGCGCCGCCAACGCCGCCGGCGCGCGGGCAGCTCCGACCCGGACACAGCCGAAACGGACGCCCAACTCGAGGCCAAAGCGCGCGCGCGCCGCAAGAAGGAGCTCGAGAAGGCGCGCAAGATCAAGAGCGACGTGTACGTGGACCCGCGCGAGGACGATTCCGACTGGGAGGGGAATAAAGAAAGGGATCGCGCCTTCTTTGCGCGCGAGACGGAGCGCCAGGCTGCGAAGGATGCTACGTTTGGGCTGAGCAGCAGGCCCTCTGGTGTCGAGGCGTCGGCGTGGGAGGCGTTGTTGAGTGCGGCGGTGGGGGAGGAGGAGGAGGATGCTGCGATGGTTGTGGAGGGGGCGAAGGAGAGGGGGAAGGGGAGGAAGAGGAAGTCGGGTGCTGCTGCGCTTGGGGGGGATGAGGAGAGTGAGGATGGGGATGGTACGGCTTCTGAGGATGGCAGTGAAGAGTCGGAGGCGGAGGCGCCCGCGAGCAGGCCGAATAAGAGGAGGAAGCCGGTGCAGAAAAACAAGGTGGTTGATATCAGCAGCGGTGAGGATGAGGACATGGATATGGACGTAGATATGGACGCGAACGCGGACGCAGACGCGGATGCTATGGACTTCACGCAGGCTAGCAAGGACGGCGCAGTTACAGACGACACGCCTCTGTCGTCTAACCCTAAGAAGTCTGCGGACAAGGGGGATGGGGAGGATGAGGATGATGATGTACCAGTGGCAAAGCCCGCTGCCAGGTCTCGGCCGAGAGCCAGGGCGGGGTTCATTGTGGAGAGTAGCGACGAGGAGTAACCGGCAGTTATGTATTGCATGATGGGGAGGTGGGATGGATAAATGGCATTGTATTGGCACGGTTTCAGGTTGTGGATATAGCATGGCGTTTGGCAGTCATGGGGGTCTGTACACATTGCATTGAGTATCAAAAGACATTGGGTTGGAATCAGAGTTAGGGGAATACCGGGTGCAATTCATGCTATGAACATGTGCGAGAACTCTGCTTGGGGTTGTCCCCTGTTACACGTTTACCACAAGTATTATTAACCTCGAGACGGACTAACTACTCACTGGTATTAGACGCACCGAAATGTGGTCAACAGTAGATGATTGGTCAACTGAGCAACCTTCAGTCCCTTGTGGCTTCTTCGATTCGCTTCTACACCCATACACCATTATAATTAGTAGACGCGCATGGGTGCATGTATGTCTAAGTACTGAGACTCCTCTAACACCCCCTAACCGCTCACCCCACGCCCCCTTTTCTTTTATTCTTCCTGCCGAGCCAGGTTCGCGTGTAGCTTATGCTGTTTCATCAGCGAGATGCTAATCAAGGCGGCAACAGTCAGAGCAAGCGCGACAACCCACACGCCCCTGAAGGCCTCCATGAACGACTTGATCACGCCGTCGTCCCAACCCGCAGGCAGCCTCGTGAGCTCGCTCAGGTCGTCGCGGATGCGCTCGATCTCCTCGGCCGCGCCCGGCAGGTCGCCAAACCGCTCCCACAGGCGGGCCCTCAGGATGTTCTGGTACACGGCCGACGCCACCGTGATGCCTAGCGTCGCGCCCACGGACCGAAAGAGGTAGGTCGAGGAGGTGATGACGGCCTGGTGCGTGTGGTCGACCGCCGCGATGCACGCCAGCAGCGTCACGGTCAGCATGCCGCCGTAGCCCACGCCGAGGAGGGCCATGGCCACGAAGGGGACCCAGTTCGGCGCCTTCTCGTCGAGGGTCGCGGTGAGGGACATGGCGGTGGTGGAGACCAGGAGAGTGGCGATGCCGAGACCGACGTACCTGCCGGTCTTCTTCATGATGAGACCGCATCCGACGGACGAGACGGAGACGCCGAGGGAGGATGATAGGATGCGGATGCCGGCTTGGGTGGCGGAATAACCGAGTACCTGCAGGTACAGAGGGAGGTAGTACATGATCATCATCGTGACCATCGTGCTGGCTTCCAGTTAGTCCCATATCTTTCGGTTTCGGGATGGTGGACCAAGGGGGACACATACGACAGAAAGCTGGTTACGCAGGCGTTGAGGACGGTCCGGTCGAGGAGCAGGCGGACCGGGATAATGGGCTGCTTTGCCCGGCTCTCCCACCATATCAAGGCAACTAGCATGGCAGCACCGAGTGGGATGGTGGTCAGAACCAGGGGGTGGGTCCAGGGCAGGACGTTGCCGCCGGCGTTCAGGCCGAGCAGCACCAAGACGAGGAAGCCGACGGTCAAGAAGGAGCCGGGGTAGTCGATGCGCGCAAGCAGCGACTTGTTGGAGACCTTGGGCGGGACGTCGACGAGGTACCACACCAGCAGGCCCGACACGGCGATAACCGGAACCTGGATGAGGAACGCTAGACGCCAGCCCCACGACGAGGTATCGTTGATGAAGCCGCCCAGCACGCCGCCGAGCATCGCACCAGTCCTATATCACACCAGCAAGCAAGCCTTGGTCAGCACTCAGCACCGCCAACGCAAATTGTCCCCATCCATCCACCCCACTCCCCCGGCATCACGGGAATATGTGTACGTCTCAAAACAAGCAGCACTCACCCATACGCAATATTCCCCAGCCCCTGAACCACCCCCCTCTTCTTCAACGGCACCAAATCGGACCCCAAAAACGTGCTAATACTCATCAACCCACCACCCCCAATCCCCGCGACCACCCTCCCCAGGATCATCACCCCCTCATCCCGCGCCAGACCACACACCAGATTCCCCACCGCAAACATCACATTACTAAACACCAGCCCCGGCCCGCGGCCAAAGATATCCGTCAGCCGGCCCGACAGCGGCTGGAAGGTGGCGTTGGCGATCAGGTAGGCCGTGGCCAGCCACGACAGCAGGCTCAGCGAGCGGAACTCGCTGGCGATGGGCGCGGAGAGGGTCGCCATGATGGAGGCGTCGACGGCGCCGAGGAAGACGCCGACCCATGTCGCGCAGAGGGTCAGCCAGAGGCGGGTGGGGGTGAGGGGCGTCGTGGGGAGGATGGTGGTTTCGTCGGTTTCGGGTGAGGGTGAGGGTGAGGGTGAATGTGAGGGTGACGGATGGGTTGGGGAATGGGGTGAGATGGGGTCGGGGGGGACGTGGTGCAGGAGGGGGGTTGTTTCGTGGGCGGTATGTGAGAAGCTGGAGCGCGCCGGCTCCGGGTCGGGAGCGTGGCCGGAGGTCATTTTTGGTTGGCGGTGAGTGTCTGGAGAGAAGACGATTTGGGGGTGGAAGAGGTGGAAGTAAGTAGAGAAAATTAGAAATTGAAGCGGGCGTAAGCCGTTACTTTAATGGCCAATGGCTCATGGAAAGTGAGGGTTGGAAGTCAGACTTCTGAGGCAATGACACAGCCTTATGTGAGCGGCCCCGGGGAAAAATGAGGTTGGCTGACGTGCTTGTTGAAGGAGGTACTCGGCGCCGCTCGGTGCTAAATGTGAGCGGCTTCGGCTTTGTGGAGCGGCGCCGGAGACTAAATTGAGAGGGGCCGGATAGCGCCGGAAGGGGACATGGTTGCGCTGTAATTTATATGTGTTCCGTAACTAGGTACCTAAATCCGTCTGTATGTACATACATATATACAGGTATCTCCGATGAGTCGTCAGCGACTTCGACCCGTACCTAACCAACGCCGCAGAGATGCATCAGATAGGTACGAGCATAACTAACTGGCTCAAACTTGGAACTTGTGTTAACACCTCGCACTGTTGCACAGCATCTAGCAGCTCTCGGTTGGTACGAAGTACGTATTCTGTACATACATGTGAGTTCGGCTTAATTGGACCCTAACCCTTGTCCCTCGGGTAACCGTCTGCCCCTAAACAAAAGGAGCCCCTGAGAAGCATTGCTTCGTACGAAGATACGAAATACGAAATACAAGCAGCCCGCCGATGAAAACAAAAGTCATGTCGGCTCTTGACGGTCTCTAGCAGTCATTCTTGCCAGAGGGGTTTTACAAAAGACGAATCTCAACTCTCAAGTGCGAAGAAGGCTCGGATCGACAACCCGAACCGCACTCGATTCCAACGCCCTATCTAAAACATTCCAAAAAGCGCGAGAGTAACATGTTGTTATTTATCGGCGGCAGCAACGTGTAGGATAGCCCCGGTTGGCCCCGTTACGATCATCGGTGCCTGCGGTACTCCTATCGTACCAACTCGTTCAATGCTCTCCACTTCTGTTTCCTCAGATAACAGGGCTATTATGCTCTCGGAATCGGACCCTTCACTCTTCGCCGCCTCTGCTAGGTTGTTCTTGAGTTCCCGGCTCACGTCCGCCCCCATCTCCACCAGCAGCTCCACCAACCGGAACTGTATCACTGGCTTTTGCATCAGTGTTTCGAGCGGCGTCATTTGAATCCCCTTGTTTACATCTGCGCCGTTCTCAATCAGCAGATCCATGATAATCTCCGTCACCCCATTCGCCGCTGCCTCCAGAGGCGTCATCTGGATCCCCAGGTTCGGATCCGCACCACGCTCAAGGAGCAGCTTCACGTTTGCCACCGACGTTTTGGTAACAGCCTTCTCCAGCGGCGTCATGACCAGGCCGCCGTTGATATCGGCCCCGGCATCTAGCAGATGCTCAAAGACAGGAGCCGCGGCCCGCAACGCCGCCGCCGCCTCGAGGGGCTTCTGGTCGGCGCCCTCACCTCCGTTGGCATCAGCCCCGCGCTCGAGCAACAACTTAACCACTCTGGCATCAGAATTCGCCACGGCACGCTCCAGCAGACGCGCAAAACCACCCGCCCTCTCCACATCCGCACCCCGATCCAGCAACACCTCAACCACGCCCACCACCCCCTCACTACACGCCAGCGCCAGCGGCGCAGCCGGCGTGCCCAGATCAATATCCGCCCCACGATCCAGCAACAACCGCACAACAGCGGGATACTCGCGCGCAGCCTCCAGCGGGCGCGCGTAGCGCCCGCGGTTCGGATCGGCCCCACGATCCAGCAACATCGCGACCACGGCATGGCGCCCGCCGCGCGCCGCGCACTCCAGCGGCGTGTCGTACCCGCCCGGCGCCGGGTCGATGTCGGCGCCGCGCACGAGAAACAGCCGCACGATCTCGTCCTTGCCGCCCGCGGCCGCGTCGTAGATGGGGCTCTTGCCGCGGTAGTCGCACGCTTCGAGGTCCGCGCCGCGCGAGAGGAGGGTCTGCGCCACGGCCAGGTGGCCGTGTCGGGCCGCGAGGTGGAGTGCGGTGCCCTCGAATCCGAGGTGGTTGATGGATGCGCCGTGGTCGAGGAGGAGGGCCACCGTGCTGGCGTGGCCCGAGGTGGCGGCGGCTATGAGGGCGGATTCGAAGTAGTGCTTGCGGGGCGGGGTGGGGCCGAATTCGTCGGCGAGGACGCGGACGATGGGGTCGAGGCCGAGTCTGGCGGCGAGGTAGAGTGGGGAGAGGATGCGGTCGCCGAGGCCGTCGCGCTTGTAGCCTGTCCATTTGTAGATGTTGGCCCAGCTGACGAGAGTGCCCTCGTCGTCGTGGAAGAGGTCTAGGGCGAGACGGTGGAGGGCGGGATCTAAGCCGTCTCCTTCGCGGTAGTGCTCTGCCCAGTTGGCTGCCGCGTACGTGGCTAAGGGGTACATGGCGGCGAATCCGAAGCCCCAGGTCTGGTTTATACACGCTTCGGACAGCTCGGGGTCCATCAGGTAGACCAGACAGATGGACGCGACTTCGGTGTTGGCTTCTCTGCGCCTGACACTAAAGCTTGCCGTCCCCGAAGTAAGGATCCGGTCGGATTCCAGATACTCCTGGACCGAGTAATGCGCGATGCGTACCGTCACCTCCTTGTCTTCCTTATTAAAATCCACCTCGATAAACCCCGGACAGATGTGGCGGATGTCGTCCTGGTTCATCAGTCTGCTATCCTCGTTGAACTTCGCGTCGTCTCCGAGTTCGACCGCAATGCCGTCAATGAGCTCCTCCACCTGCAACGGCCGCTTCGCTATACACAGCAGCGTCAGGATCCTCTTGGCATCGTCAACTGACTCCTCCTCGATGTTGTGCAGCATGCGTTCGTATGTCTTGTCCAGAGTCCGCGGTAGTGATCCAAGCAGGGCATCAAGCCGAGTCTTGCTCCCCGGACAAGCCTCCAACGCCGCAAACTGGCACTCAACCCAACGAAACCTATGCAGGTCAGCCATATTGACCCCCTCCACCACACCACCCGGACAAGGAAAACTTACACTCCCTTCGCGCCCTCGGTAAGCGCCTTCTCAATCTGGCCATGAAACCTCTCCCACTTCCTCAGCCTGCGATTATCCCTCAAATGGCCCGCCACAAAAGCCGCAATATCCGCATCCACCAACCCATCCCCCATCGCCACCATCTGATCCTCCGCCGGACCCAACTCCTCCCTGATATCCTGCTCATCCCGGCTCGTCACCAGCAAATGCAGCTCCGGCCCCTGCCAGCCGCGCATCTCGTCCAGCGCCCGCAACAAGTCCTCGCGGTGTTTGTGCCGCGGGCTCTCGTCCAGCGCATCCAAAACAATATACACATCGTCGAACTGCGCTATTAACTGGTGCAGACAATCCAGCAACGCCTGGTCGGGCGGGGTGCCGCCGCGGTAGTTCTGGTGCAGGCGCGGCAGGGCGTCCTTGCTCTGGAGCTGCGGCACCAGCTGCAGGATCAGGGCTCGCAGCATGGCGGACGTGTCCTGCTTGGCGTCGTCGTTGAAGGTGAAGTAGAAGAAGGCGATGCCGACGCGCGGGTTGGAGCGCCGGTGTCGCAGGGTGTGCTGGATGATGGTGGAGGAGAGCACCGATTTGCCGCAGCCGGCGAAGCCCTTGAGCCAGAGGAAGGAGTTGGCCGTCTGGAGCCAGGTGCTGAATTGGGGGCTCTTGATGAACCAGAGCCCCGTGCCGGGGTATTTCTTCTTGCAGGCTTCGTTGTAGTTGATCGAGGCGTCGGGCGCTTTGAGCCAGTCTCGGATTTCGGCTGAGATCTGGTCGGCGCGGACTAGTTCGAGCAGGGCCTTGGTGTCCTGGATCTCGTCTTGGACACTGCCGAGGTCCTGCTGTTGCAGGACCTGCAGGGCCAGTGTGAGGTTGGCGCATATCTCGTCGATGTCTTCGTCGAGTTTCTGTAGCGTGCTCTGGCGGAACGGGTATGCCAGCCGGCGGCCTGTCACACGCACGCCCGCCGCAACGCCGGCTGAGGGTGCTTTGGTGAACTTGTCCGTCTCCTCCTGGAGTTCGTGAATGAGATCCTCGCAGTCGCCCACTGAACGTTCGATGGCCTCGAGCAAGGACTTCTCGTCGGGCTGGAACTTGCGGCAGACCAGGTTGTTGCGCAGAATCCCCAGTATATTAAGAAGGTGGATTAGACGTTTCACCGTATGAGCCGTATCCGATTCTCGATCCTTATAGGCCGTGTAATACTTCACCAGGCCATCCGCAACTTGGATGCCGAGTGAGATGATCCCCACAATGGCCCCGGGATCCATTGTGGGTTATAACTAGGTACTGGCGCTTGGTGTATTCGAAGTGACGGACGCATACAAAACTGACAAGCTATCGTGATTAAAGGGCCTCGTTAGAGGAAGCCTTGTTTCTTGAGGCAACGTCAGACATGTTGTCTTTACTGGGGCTCAGCCGATTTGGGCGCCTCTAAGTGTGCGGAGTCGCGCGGGGGGCGCAGCTATTTCAGGGGTGCTCATTGGCAAGGCTGGACGGCTCAAGCACGAATCCCTCTCGGCCACCGTATGACGAGCGGTCTTCAATAATGCGGCGTCCGCGGCAAGAAGTCCAAAAAGAGGCTGATATTGTGTAGATTGAGAATTTTACAGTGCCTCAACTACATCAAACCAGCTTCCAGGCCCCGTCCTTGCTCTCGATCCTCACCTCCCTGTTCTCGTCGATACTCCGCCGCCCGGCCTCGAGAATGGCCGTAGTTGCAATGGTATTCCTCAGAGTCGGAAGCCCCTTCGCATCCAGATCCGCAGGCTTCAGCTCCCGGGCGTTAACAGCCCGGCAACCGTCTACAAACTTCTCAAACGAGACATAGCCATACCCGCTCTGGCCATTGAAGTTGCCATCTTCATCCGGGGCGTACCGCATGTAAAAGGGATTGTACCACACAAGCTGGCCGGCGCTGTCATCGGCGACATCATAGCCACGCTTCGCCTGGTTGATGGTGATCTCACCGTCCTTGGCGAGATAGTGGAAGTACTGGTTGGAGTGCACTCCGGCCTTCTGCGGTGCCGTCCACGAGGCCGTGTACACGCCAGTGGCCCGCTTGGACGGGTCGTCCTTCTTCTCCCAGTGCACCAGCAGCGAGATGGTGTCCTCGGTTGATTCGTGGCACCCCAGGCTCACGGCAACACCTTTGGACGCCGAGGCCGAGACCTTGGTCGGGACGTAGCCCAGCTGTGAAACCATGGAGTCGCAGATGTCGACGTGGTGGCTGTTGAGGTAATACGAGATGTCCGAGTCGATCCCGGCCCACGCCTTGAAAGTCTCGAGCTGGAACTTGGGCTGTGACATGTAGCTGTAGAAGTAGTTGAAGTCTCCTAGCTTCAGGGCCCGGGCCTTGGCGTCCCAGTAGGCAGGGTCGAACCGCTTGTGATGCTCGATGTACACGTAGACGCCGCGCTTCTCGGCCGCGTCGAGGAGAGCAAGGTGGTGCTCCAGCAGCTTCACGGCTGGCTTGGTGATCATGACGTGGACGCCCCGTTCGATAGCGTAGAGGGCAATGGGGTAATGTGTGGTGTCGGGGGTAAAGATGGTGATGGCATCGCCGGGCGAGAGGGCATCAATGGCCGCCTTGTACGCGTCGGGGTCTTTGGCATCGTCGGCCGGGTACGATTTGAACGATGTGTCCAGGTTGTTGTAAGCCTGGGTGATGTTCTTTTGGAGGTGCTCCCCTGCAGAATATCGTCAGGAGATGTTGTGTCACCGCGGGATATGTTGCAGCTTACGGATTGCTGGGTATTTTGTCCCGTTGACACCCACCATCGAGAGTTCGCCCACCTTGCCTCTCCTCCGAAGGTCGAACAGGGTCAAGCCCACGACGCCAACTTTCTTATCCGAACCAGAGGCACCACCACCAACGAAGCCGGTGGTGTACTCGCCGGTACCGACCTTGATTGACCGTTGTCAGCCCGCGTACATGAATAGCACTTGATCCTCTGAGCTTACCATCAACACATTGAGGGTCTTCATCTTGACTGCGATTGTAGGGTACCAAGGTAAGGTAAGGTATTGAAGGTGAGGCTGTTGTGGAGAGGTGTCGACGGCCTGAGAGGGAAATACCGTGTGAAACCGGAGGGAGAAGAGCCCAATTATTGGAGCGCTGAGCACAGCACCGTCGGCATCTCCCTCTCACCTTGATTGCCAATCCAATTCATCCCCAGGATGGAACGGGATCATGCACAATCATCGCCGGGAACCGCTGCTTGGAGCCGTTCCGGAAGAATTCGTGATGAGGGGTACATGTAACAATGGGATGGAAAGAGGGGCCAATTGGGGCATTTGGAGGGGCAATGGAGGGGCATTGGACGAGTTGTGAACCATTCCATGTCACAAGTTGCTCCAACTCGATGTCGCTCAGAGCGTTCATTTGTGGAATGTTTGCGCTGCGAAAGGGGAAAGGATCCATCTTCAGGCCTCCGCCTTCTGAGATCACGCAGTACCTAGGTGGTGAAAGGTTGAGCCGCTGAAGAGCCGTGACGGAAGTTCAATTCAGGGGACAGCAAGCCCTGGCCAGCAGCCACTGGTGGATTGCGGGGCATCCATTGGGGAAGCCAAGTCCCAAGCTGCCAAGGCGGCTGGACCCACACTCAACATGGACCCACCCCCACGTTTCTTCCCCGCATCAAACTTTCCGCTGCAGTTGATCAGGGAACGTCAACCGCGCTTCCTTCTTTTGAATGCGTCTCCCATTTTTCCCTGCAATGATGGCGACGAGGAGGATACCGTACCGAGGCTCGAGTTTCACCAGAATCGTCTTATCTTCTACCGGCTAAATGTCGCCATCCATTTCTTATTCTTCCCCTCCATCACTTCTTTAATCCAGAGCCGCGAGTTCGACATCCGAAGTCGAGAACTTGTGAAAGAAAGCGCTTGCCATGATTGGCGGAATTCGTTTTTCCGTCTCACACCGAGCAGACGAGCTTGAACCCGTGTCGCTTCTCTCGACTTCACATCACCCGAGTCGTCGTTGAGATCCATCCTCACGCCAACGAATGCGGGGAGAACGGGGGGACTGACATGCTCCCCCTCCCTCCACTTGTCCTCCCCAACGACTCACCTCAGCAGCCATTGTGGTATGCTTCTCGTGGCCTTGCCGTCTCTCCGAGCCAAGTTTTCGTTCTTCCGTGGTCTCCGCCTCCATGTTCTTTCCGCGCATGTTTACCTTATTACCGGCATCCGTGTGTGTAGTGTGGGGTCTGCAGATTGCCCAATCCGCTCCCCCTCCATTCTGCCGCCATCCCGCACCTCCCTCCGGCGACAACGTCGCGAAGCTGGGCCAGCCTCAAGCCGGTCTCCGTGCTGCCAAGTTTTACTTGATGGGTTGTGAATGGCTTCGGCAGCAGAGAGCTTCATGCCCGTGCCTCCCCTTTCGAGCTTCCGGACCACACCCACTGCCTTTTTCTAGCCATGCTTGACGGAACCATCATCTGATCAAGGACTGGTCTCCCCGGGTTCCCTGCAAACGTGGCAGCCAGAGCGCCCACTTACACCATTCTCGTGGCTTGAATCCCGAACCAATCAGGTATAGCACCCGCAGATCACCTCGACCGGCTCTCGAACCCCGGCTCGCACCCCCGTGAGCGGTGGGATGTTTTCTGGTGATCCAAGGAGAGTTCCCTGTCCCAAGACTCCGGTTCCCTTCTTCTGGGTCTCCTATACTTCTGTCTTGAGCGTTGAACCTCAATCAAGAGCTGCTTGGCTGGACCCGGCTGCCGGGACTAGTGAGTTCTGGCTGTTGCCCGCCGTGTCTTCTGCCGGCCTACCGGGTCTCGACGTCCATCCCACTGCTGTCAATGGTACTTCGGTGCGTGATTTCTGGTCTAATCGAGTTATATATTACCCCGATATAGCAGCCCAGAAGGAAAACTTGCCGAGCCCACCACCCTGCGTGGAGTGGTGGTCGCGGAGATCCATGTTTTCCCGCATCTTCCCCAGAGTTTCAGCCCCATCGGCCTTTTGCGTGAGCTTTTGGCCAGGTCTCGCCCAGGGAGCCAGGGACACCGGCCCCACGACCTCCACCGCCCCCGGTTGCCCCAGTATCTCATTCGGGCTCCTCGCAGGCGACAGACGTCTACAAGTAACTAGGTTTCCGGACACGCTCCGGAACCCCACCGGCCCTGGTCAAGCTTAGGTCATGGAACGTCTGTTCACTTTGCGACCCCCAATTTCCTTCATAAGCCGTCATCTTTCCGCTTTTACTGTCTCGTCCTCTTCCGTCCTCCATTCCCGTAGTCCCCCACGTGCCCTTGATTCCCACTACGTGTTGACCTCTGATCGTCTATCTCTTTCCATTCACACCCGCTCCCACGTCTCGCTACCTCGAACCATCATGACTGTTGGCAACGGCACCGCCAATGGCGGCGAGGCCACCCGGCGGCCGCTCCCATGCGGCATCTACGCCCCCACCATGACCTTCTTCGACCCGGAAACCGAAGACCTGGACATCCCCACCATCAAGAAGCACGCCGAGCGTCTCGTGCGGGACGGTCTCGTAGGCCTTGTCACCATGGGCTCCAACGGCGAGGCCATCCACTGCACGCGGGAGGAGAAGCTGGCCGTCACACAAGCCACACGGGAGGCCCTCGACGCGGCCGGCTTCACCCAGACGCCCATCATCATCGGCGCGACCGAGGGCAGCGTGCGGGGCACCATCGAGCTGTGCAAGCAGGCGGCCAGCGCAGGCGCCGACTACGCACTGCTCCTGCCCCCCTCCTACTTCCGCGCCCTGATGAACGAGGACGCCATCCACGACTACTTCACCGAGGTCGCCGACGCCAGCCCGCTCCCGCTCATCCTGTACAACTACCCGGGCGCCGTGGCCGGCATCGACATGGACTCGGACCTGCTCATCCGCCTCGCCGCCCACCCCAACATCGTCGGCACCAAATTCACCTGCGGCAACACGGGCAAACTGACCCGCGTGGCGCTCGCCACCGACGCCCAGACCCCCACTGCCCCAGGATCCGGCTACATGGCCTTCGGCGGCATGTGCGACTTCACAGTCCAAACGCTCGCCAGCGGCGGCAGCGGCATCATCGCGGGGGGCGCCAACGTGATGCCGAAGGTGTGCGTGCGCGTGTGGGAGCTGTACGCGTCCGGGCGGGCCGACGAGGCCGTCGCGCTCCAGCGCACGCTCGCCCGCGGCGACTGGGTGCTCACCAAGGCGGCGATCGCGGGCACCAAGCAGGCGATCCAGAGCTATTTCGGGTATGGGGGCTTTCCGCGCCGGCCGCTGCAGCGGCTGGATAAGGCGCGGGTGGCGGCGATTGAGGAGGGGGTGAGGGAGGTGATGGAGGTGGAGAAGTCGTTATAGGGGGGGGGGGGGGGCTGTGGGTGTGGATAGGGGGTGGGTGGGTGAATAAGGGGGTGGGGGGTGGTGTGCTGTATATTTTTGGATGTGTAAAAGGGGTGCAGCTGGAAAGGGGGGTGGTTATTTGGAGGGGTTTATCGCGTCAGCCGTAAGAGCTGGCCACTTAATGCATTGCACATAGGTAGTAAATAGCATCGAGGTATACCGTCGAAAGGGCATGTCGGGAAACCAATGCGGCTTATACGTTCAAGAGCTACGCCAGGCGGTTATCGCCATGTCGTGGAGTGACCAAGAACGTGCCATGTGTTCGCCTTCACATTGCAGCCAGTGCCAATCTTTGGATCAGAAGCCAGATAATAAACATGCAAGGCAAAGACGACGGACCATCGGAAAGGAAGCAATGAGGTGTTTGAAGAGGCTGGTATCTCGACAACGGGCAGATCATCGCGTGTATATAGATGGTAGAGACCAAGGAAACGCCATGAGAGAAACTCGTAAAAAGAAAAAAAACCCTTTACTTGCCCACTAAATCTTTGAGTTCCGATCCTGGTATCGAAGTCCCCTTTAAACCACGTAAACAGATACCCCCAACCTCAAACCTTAAACTTCCTCGGATCCAACCGCCCCACCCCCTCATCCGTCTTGTCCCCAAATACCATTCCCGCCATGAGGTAGCCCGTCCCCGGGCCGTTCTGTATCCCCCAGCAAGTGTGCCCCGCGGCGACCCACAAACCCGGCACAGACGTCGGGCCGATCAATGGGCCACGTTGCTCGCCGAAACGGATGTGCTGCGGCAGATAGCAAGCCTGGCGGGCCTTGACGGGGGCGGCGGCCAGGGCGGGGGAAACGGTGGCGATATAGGCCAGGAGGTCGTCGCATTGGGATTGGTCAACGGAGACCTCGTCGGCGGTAGCGGGAAGGGGGATCATGTTGTCGGTTTCGCCTGTTGGTGATGTGATGTTAGTCGGTCTTTTTGTCCTCAAATATTTCTCTGCTCTTCTCTTTCCCCAGGATAACTAGTAATTTCTTACCACATGCGTACACCTCCCCGAAGGGACGGGCATATATCTCCGGGTCGACATTCCCCCTATGGCGTCGTTTCTGGCCCTTGCCGGCGCGGTGGTCGGGAATGTAGTCGGCTGGCAGTTGGATATCGGTAAAAACAGCGTAGGGACTCACGTCGGCTTCGTAGACCACGCTGTGGGCCCGCAAGCCTTCGACTCTCGTCCGCGGGATCAGCTTCCCCGTCCACGGTCCCGCTGCTACGATGACGTCGGTTACGTGGGTGATGGTGTGTGATTCCCCTGTATCGCGGTCCTCATAGGCGACGCTGTGCACGCCAGCTATCCTAGTATCGTGGATTTTGGTGACTTTAGCCCGCAGCCGGATGTCGGCCCCTTTCTCCTTTGCTAAGTCGGCCATAGCGTTGGTGAAGTAGAAGGGGTGAACTTGGGATGTTTCGGTCGACCCTGGGGAGCCCATCTCGTCGTATTGATGGACTAACCCGCCATCGATCCAATCTAGGTCGGACGGCAAGGGGGAATCTTGTAGTAAACCGGCCGCCCTGCTGTCTTGTTTTGGGAGCTTCTCCCACTCCCCCGTCGTCTCCTCTGAAACGGCACTTTGTATAGGGAGGTCGCCATTGGTACCGTTACTCGCTGAAGGTGGCGGGGGATTTGATGGCCTCGATTCTAAATCATTCGCTTTAACTACGGCAGCCAAGCTGCCGCATCCCAGACGGCGGTAGCCCCATCGCTTTGCGCCGTTGTGTTCGGCTGCCAGTTCCCTGTGTAGACGGTATGATAGCGGTACGAGACAGGTCGGATATGCCCATAGCGCCAATAGCCCGCCGGCTTTGCCAGATGCGCCCGAGGCAATGGCGGTCGCTTCGAGGAGGGTGACGGTGTGCAAGGCCGGGTTGAACTTGGGATGGCGTGTAAGGTAATAGGCCGTGGTGCATCCGATGATGCCGCCGCCTGCCGGTTAGGTTGCATGAGCATTAATTGTTTTTTGTTTGTTTTTTTGCGCACCTGGCAGGGTTCGAGGGACTTCAATTGACGTACCAACAATGACGATGTTCCTCTTCTGCTGCGCATCCATCCTTGCTGCACCTCGGGCTGCAACTGCGGCTGTGTCGCAGGATACAAAGCAAAACTAGTTAATTAAATTGGGCGATATATCTTAGTAGCTCCCTCGGATTTTAACTCATGTGAGATAGTACCGGTTTTTCGATTTCGAATTCAGATCAGATCTAAGCTTCTCTTCGGAGTGATGTTGTTTCGCAGTTGCTCAGTTGCCGCTCGGAGCGCCCAGACGGCCCGCTGCTGGTGCCGTCATCCTCTCTTGCCCTGGCTCAAGCTTCTGACAGGTGGGGCACCCACGTGGCGGGGAACCGAGTATTTCTTTGTTCGAATCCAATCGACTGGATTGCACAAACAACTTGATGATTAATAAGTCTCGGCGGTTGAACCGACATGATCCAAGTCTTGTATTGCCCATCCAGACCTTGGATTGACTCTGGAACTTGGTGCCTTGATGCGCCGGAAGGCAAGCTCAACTGAGTGGAATGCCCGAGCAGTGGGAGACGAGGGGCAAGAACGGTGGGGCTCGCCAAAGCGCCCCTGCAGCAAACGCGCAAACCTCGGCGAAGTCCCTGATCCAAACTCAACTCAGATCAGACGACCTCGGGGCCTTTGAGTGTCTCCTTTCTGTGCACGCAGGAGGCGCTTTACTCGGCCATCGTGCCGAGCATCGGGGTTCGGAAAGGAGACCAGCCCGGATCCCGAGGCATGACTAAGGTGGTACGGTGAGTTACCTAGGTACTGTACTGTGTAAACTCCCGCGCAGTGACCGCTCCGGAACATGAAGCAGAGAAGGAGCAAAGCCCGAAACAAACTAGCCAATAGGATAACTCGGTAGTTGCGTGAAATCGGTCTGAAATCCGAGGCTGGACCCCACGCAAGCTTGCCTCCGAGCCTTCTTCAAGTTCTTATTAATCCACGTCTTTTCCGTCTCGACTCCTCCCCACTATCTTGACCGATGCTTCTCTCGACATTCATGCCCATCTCCCGCCAGCTCATAGCTCGCCTTCCGTGCATTCACCCATCGTCATCGAGACTATTGACAGCAACTACATCATACAATCTGCGCCGCTTTCACTCGTCGCCTTTACAGCACCCCAAACCCGCACCCAACGTCACAGCTTTGAAGCACCAACTCCCCCTCCACAGATCCTTCGCAGCCATGGCTTCCGCTACAAGCTTCTACGACTTCAAGCCCCTTAACAGTGCGTAATTCCCGCCTCTCACCGATTTCACCTCATTTCCTAGCGTGGCACCCACTAACCCCACCTTCAGAAACCGGTGCCGAGGTTCCCCTCGAGGACTACAAGGGCAAAGTCGTCCTGGTCGTCAACACGGCCTCCAAGTGCAGCTTCACCCCGCAGTTCGCCGGCCTGGAGAAGCTGTGGAAGTCGGTGAGCGAGAAGCACCCGGACAACTTCGTCATCCTGGGCTTCCCCTGCAACCAGTTCGGCGGCCAGGACCCCGGCAGCAACGACGAGATCCAGGAGTTCTGCCAGGTCAACTACGGCGTCACCTTCCCCGTCATGGGCAAGGTCGACGTCAACGGCGACGACGCCAGCCCCCTCTTCCAGTGGCTCAAGGCCGAGAAGCCCGGCCTCATGGGCCTGAAGCGCGTCAAGTGGAACTTTGAGAAGTTCCTCGTCGGCAAGGACGGCGCCGTCAAGGGCCGCTGGGCCTCCACTACCAAGCCTGAGTCGCTGGAGAGTGTCATCCTGGCTGAGCTGGCCGCTAAGCAGTGAGCTAGCTGTCTGTGGCGGTTCGAGGTTTGGTGGAGAGCGAGTGCCTGTGCTTATACCCAACTTGTACGACTACGCGCCGGTTTTTGGGCGAGGATCTTTGGAAGGGAGGCAAACGGGACGTTTGTTATTGAGTTTATGGACTAGGGATGAAGAACTGAGAATGGTTGATTGGTGGATATCAGCCGAGATTGTCTTAACGCAAGCAAGGAAGATGAAGCATATAATTAACACAACACTATGACAATTACCTCGGTCCTCGCTCTCTTGGAAACTAAAGTTCTGTGATTGACCCATTAGCAACCCTTGAGGATTATAACCTCTTAGTGAATAGCATCGTAGCGCTGCTGCTGCATGGTGGCGGGGTGTCAGAATCATGATTAGCCTCCGTGTTCCCAGCAACCTATGATCAGTTTCCAGGAGAGAACACAGTACCGTAACAACCTTCAGATCGGATGGTGACACTGGGAGACGTCTTGTAATACTCATGACGCAGCGTATTGCTTCCATGGTATCACATTAACCCTCGAGCGCTTTATCAGCCGAGGCTAGGGATGTTGGAAGTATGGGAAACTTCAGTGATAATTGCATCTAGGTGACACTTTTGTACATTGAAGTCATAGTAGAGGTGACGAACTCACTGCCGTATCTATATCTTTCCGTCGAGTCGTGCGGCTATTCACTCCACGGACTCGGAGCCTCGCCACTCATCCCCATCCCCAGCTCCTCGGTCGTACCTCTGAGACCGGTAAACATACACTATAAAAAGAACCTGAATATCCCATCCTCTTGTTTTCTGCTCAATCTGTCTTCCAGCTATGAGCTACAAGACTTGGGATGGCGACAGTGCCATAAGCCTTTATTCTAGAAATATGAATCAATCTCTCAACTTCCCTTATAATCCGGCGAACTCCAATCCACCCGTGACTCGTGTCCTCGAATGCCTAAACGGGACGTCGGTCCGAGGGCTCACGTTTCAAGGTAGATAGATACTCCTATATACAATAACTTGTCCCCACTCTTAGTGTGCTCCCCGTCATCCCCAGCGGAGGTAAGGGAAGGTTTGGTCAAGTTAGCACAGGGGTTAATGGCCATAACCAGCGTACTTAGCTACTCTATTTATCTGTGGCGGCACTCTGACAACAAACTGGAGACACGCAGGGTCTTGCTTCAAGCAGGCCTGTCTACGTAGCTTCCTCTTGAGGCACTCTCCGTCCTCTGTGTTTCTACTAGTAATGATGTTGCCGACTAGAACTGACCACAACATTGGTGTTAATAACTCAAGTCCCTTCAAAAGGGGACCAGCAGCAGCCCGTACTGACTTGCCCGGGTCGAGCACGGGTACCTCGATAACAACCTGCGGCGACCTACGGGTGCGAGCATGAATGCTATGGCGGACAATGCATGTCAAGGGTAAAGGCGGCTTTACATAAAAGGTACTATCAAGATATGGTTTATTGTGTGGATCATAGTCACCCACATGGTCTTGTCAAGACCCCCATATCGATACTACCTAACCCACGCCGTACCTTTCATCCGTTGAAAAGGGGCAAGTGTGATGTGACCTGTCTTAATGCCCAAGTCGTGTTCCGTTGTGTATCTCGGGTTTATGGACAACCTTGGCCAGGGCGTAACAGTTGTACAACATGGCCCCTGAACGCTGCGCATAAATCATGGTCCCTCGATGCTCGATCACGATTGAGTACGGAGCGGTACTCGTTATTCTTGAATGAATAGTAGCTACCGGCGAGTTGGCCGGCCCAGCCAAAAGTAACCCGTCAGATCCCGGATTGCGTCCATAAATCCGCCGCCATGTTCCGGGTCCGTACGACGAATGGTGTTCTCGGAGGCCGGATCCGAGGTGTCACCCTCGGTTCGTATTGTTCAGGAAGGATTACTTGTTTGGTAAACTGCAAGGGAATACGAATTATGACGACATCGCTTAAGCCTCATAGTTCAAGAGGGAACCGATGGAATGTGATGGCTCATGGAGGAGTCCCGGTCTGAAGCCGAGCCCCTCCTCCTCGCCGGTCACCGTTGGTGTTACTGCGGGATGGAAGACGAGACCCACGGTGAGTCGACTCATGGGTTTTGGCTCGGAATCTTCGGGGGCGGTAGCTCAACCGTGAAGGCAAGAGCCCCGAGCTGCAGAACGAAAAGAGCCACGCATCGGGATCCGCGCTCCCGTTGCCTGGGCTGACCGTGCAGCGTCACACGGGATGCAGTACCGCGTGCTCCCCGAGTCCGTACTGCTACCCGGCACGGGTTGGTGTTTTGGTCATGAGGGGCGTTCCGTTCTAGGTAAACATCTTCGCTGTTCGCCGCTCGGGGTGACCAGGCGTTTTGGTAACACAGAGGAGATGTACGGAGATGTGGCTCGGCTCATGTCACCTCTAGTTTCTGGTTGCTGGTTGCTACGCTGCCCGCCGATTTCACGTGGGGGCCGCCGAGCCAAGCAGTATCACCCACCGCCCCGCAAGAAATAGAAACGGATGCAGGTGATGAAAGCAACGCGAGGGACATCCAAGGCGTGGTGTAAACCATCGATAACTCCGAGAGGATGTCTTCATCTTCCCGAGTGGGGTAAGGTTCACGCCTCAACGGGCAAGTGTTTGGCTCCCGGTATGACTACCAAGATTCGAAACGCCACATCAAGTGCCCGGAAGTAGCAACTAAGAAGTGAGAGAGCCTGTGGGTTATATGAAGAGACCTCCCTTACCGGCTCCCTTTACACCCACTGCTGGGTAAGGGCTTCGTGAGCACGTCTATGATCAGACCGCGTGGGACGGCGGCAGTGCAGCATGCAGTGTTCTCCAAGGGATAAGCAAAGCAATATATAGCTTCCGACAAGCGGGGTCCACGGTAAGCCGCAATGTCCCGTCTTTGCGTGAACTCGCCTCTACGTGAGGTCATCCGTCACACATGAGAAGAGTCAACATGCGGTCGAGCCGCGCCAGGCGGCCCTCTGATGACTCGCAAAAGGTCGGTGATGGCACAAGCGTTGGGTGGCCCATGCCCTTTTCCCTCGTCACTTTGTTTTGTACTTTTGGGGTACAAGGAGGATGGCTCAGACACGGGTCGATATTGGCGACAGCCGTTTGATGCATTACGGGTGAGCGTAGGGCCATTGCGTGCGCAGCTTAACAAGAAGGGCGCTATTCGTCGCCGAGTCACAAGCAGAGAGACGGCCACGAGTAGGACCAGAGAGACGACCGTTCGGAGGAGCGTTCTCGAACGAGCGGGGACGCAGCCGCCCGCCGCGGGAAACATGACTCTTGTAGGAAAGGCTCAATGCCAATTCGGGTGCTGGGGTTGACCTGAGTGAGCCTGTCCATGCCTGTCTCAGCTCGGGCTCGAAGATATCGACGCTTGCCATGCGGCGGGCGGGCGTGGTGTCTGAGTCGAGCGGGTCTGGACAAAAGGGGTCAGACGAACAAAGGACCCCCTTCTCCATGGAAGTTCCATGGCCACGGGGTACATGGTGAGACATTGTCTGTTGGAGTCGAGATTGGTTCCAAGCGGGCGGGATGGTTTGACCTGGCCCCGCGTGTATCCGCTTTCCCATCCGCCAGCACTGGCCAGCCACACCAACCCATCGGGGATCGCCCTGTTCGTGGCGAGGGATCGGCATGATCTGCTGCGAGGCATCGTAGGCGCCAGCTTGAGGGTTGGGCGAATGATGGTGAAAGGAGAGAGGAGCTGGCGGAAATTCGGCACCAAAAACGTCATTACCGGAGATTGTTTCTAGCGCCGACTGTTGAACTCAGATGTCAGAGTACCAAAGTTGTGAACGGCTTGACGTCCAAGATGCTGAGCCCCTGAGCCTGATCCCTCAGCATCGGGTCGACTGCCGGATACACTGACACCTTGGCGTTACAGGCAAGCCATGAGAGAGACAAGGCGGTACTCAGCGCACAAGAGGGCCCCCTGTTTGCTGAGCCTGAGCATGCGACTGCGACGACGCCACGCCTCTGGACCTGGCTCGGTGACAGAAAGGGGGCTAGGGCAGGGCCAAGACGCGGGGAGACCGTGCACGATCAGCCAGGAATCGGAACCTTGCCGGACGCGGCAAGGCGCTGCCACTGCGATTGCAACGTTTCATCCGTCCCAACGGTCGGAGAAAGCCGTGAATTTCAGCAATCACAAACACGCTGTGGGCGCTTGCGACGAGCGTGTGATAAAAGAGGGCATCGGGTCCCTGAGAAGGTGCGAGATGCTCTGACGAGATCCCTCAAGCTGCTGTCATCAACAGGATCGGAGGGATGAGGGGGACCTCGTGGATGCTCAGAGGGGGACAATTAATTTGGAATGCCGTCGAGCTGACTGGCAGAGGGCGGTTTTGGTGACGGGTTGGTGCTTGATGGCGCAAGCTTCAGCTGCATGATGCAGTGTGCCCTGTGCGATGCAGCAGTCCTGCAAACTTGGACAGTGCTTCTTGTTTTCCGTTCTCGCCCAGCGCAAATATCCGATGGGAGTGTGGTCAACCAGTCGGCGAAAGGCATCTGCGAAAGCTTATCAACCGGGTGATAAGTGGCTTGGGCTTGTGCGAATCTCAGCTGGGGCTCGAGCTGGCGAAACGAGGCCGAGAGTCGCTACCGAGGCTCTCCAACTTTGTTGCGGCGCCCGCGATTCGAGATGGTTAGGCGGAAGCCAAGACGCGGTGCCGTGAAGCGGCGTCAGGAAAAGGGCCGTTTTCTCCAGCCACATCTCTGGGCTTGCATCCGCGTCCCCGGCATCCCACTGGCTCGACTGGCGACCCCAAGGAACCCGTGCAAAGCTTGGGTGTCGCGTGCAGCCAATGACAGGTGCATCCGACTCTCGGCCATTGCCAGAATCGGTGGAGCCGACCGGCGCAGGGCTCAAGGAGAGGGCAGCGGCAGCGGTCAGTGGTTGTCCACACAATCCGAGGCCGCTCAAGACAGGCCGATTCAATAGGAGCTGGCTCACTGGCAGGCTGAAATCCGGAACCTGTCTCAAACGACGATCAATTTCAACAGTGCTTGATGACAGAGACACGGCGGCTGTCAGCCGTGATTCGTCGCCTGTCTATCAGGGATCAGCATCGCGACCTGCAGCTGAAAGTGCTTGCGGTTTCGGTGCCCGCCGCCGACCAAAACCCACTTCCATTCTGTTCACGCGAGCACGTGAAGGAGAAGGACCTCGACCGGCATATCTTGCGCCGGTGTGGAGCACATGGGAGTTAGCGAGAAGTTTGGATACCTAACCGACACCTCGGGAAGACGCGATGGCATGGCCAGCAAATCGTTGCAGCAAATGGCCGCGACAATGGCGGCAGATCAGGCATCTCCTGGCTTCGGTCGAGGTTGCCTCTCCTCCGCAATCCAAGCACGTTCTCGCGAAGAGAGAAATGCTGAGCCGGAACCTGCGGGCTAAAAGCCTTAATGCGTGAAGGACGAGGCGCCTGTTCGGGGTGGTATGCAGTACATATTCCGGTGTAAAAAGTGATCCCCATTGATGTTCGAGACACTGAAACGGAGGGTGAGGCACAATCCAAATTCCCTCCTGGATGACCGACTGAGATGCTGCGTACTGTGTAGGCAGTTATTGTTCAGGCGCGGGTCTCTCGTGGCTGTTCAGCGGTGTATCAACCAACTGCTTCATCGTTTCCTCGGTCTTGCACAGCCATGATTCAGTGTCTTTTGGCCGTGTGACGAGGCATGAATTTAGGTAGCTTGGCGGTTAAGACTAAGACGGATCAACACCACACAATCTCCGTCGAGGGATGGGGAATGTTCGAGTGAAGACGCTAATCAGTCGGAACGTTTTATGCTAAAATCACTGGCCAATGGCCAGAGCAGAAACGAGGTTTGTTCAACGCTAAGAAACCGGGGGAGTAAGTTTGGACTTGTGGATTTGTGATGGAGTGGCGAGCGGTCGGTCGGCGCCCGCCCCGAGGCCCCTTCATCAGAAGCGGCCTGCGACATGCTTGGCGACCCGGAACTGGGAACCCCGACGTGTCCGACCAACTCCGTTCCTCACCACATGCCCCCCCCGGCTTCCGGTTTGATTCCGGAGATGTGGCGGGAAGCGTGTCGTTGGCGAACATGACAATGTCATTAAGGTCCGGTCGCATTGCTGTTTTCGCGTAAGCGTTGAGGTGCTCGTCTGTTCATCAATAGTTACCTTGGTCAACTGCAGCAATGCCGAACTGGCCGACAGTTTCGGTGGGCTCCGGAGTTCTCGGCGTCGTATCTCAACCCCCGCTACAGATCTCGCCCCTTGCGTTCACCGGGCGATCGATAAGCAACGCTCCTCATCTGCCCGTACAGAAGGTCGCTGGAAGCCCGTGTGGAAGCCTTTGGTGGAGGCTGTGTCCTCTGCATGAGTAAGTCAAGGGCCAAACGGCGGGGTGGTCCGCTGACCGGCAGCTTGCCACCAAAAGTCGACAGCGCGAAGGACTTGGTCGATTTTGGGGGTCATTGGTTTGTGAACGTTGGTGTTTGGAACGGCTGGAGGTGAGTGAGAGAGCAATCGGGAGAGGCTTATCAAATGAAGTCCCCCCCTGGACAACCTCATGGGGCAGGTCATCAAGTTTTGCTGCTTCGCTGGGCTCCGTCATGCTGCTTCGCCAACGGTGGCCTTGCATGATATCGTTGGTTTTCTGGCCCAGCAACCGAGATAAGCGGCCCCCGAAACTATTAGCTGCCGCGAGAATAGCGATACTCCGTACGTTTTGTGTAATCACGAACCCCCACGCCCGGCTGCTCATGGCGTCGTTTTGCGTGCTTCCGCTGCTTTGTGCCAAGTGGAGCAGGACGGCAGCCCACTGCTTGCTTGTTTTCGATGGCTCATTACTGACGACCAGGCACACCCGAAATATTTCGCTACAAGTAGCTGCGAATGATATCAGCGTCCCGGAACTCTCCCAGCTAGAAGACTCTAGGCAAGGGGAACGGCGACATTTGACGAGGAACACAGGCTAGCCTCCGCTTGGAGCAACGCTGACAATTTCTGATAAATCCTCCAGAGTTCGTCTGATAACCGGGTGGGGTGCTGGATTCTGATACTCGAAGACGGTGGGCCACTACCCACGAACCCACCTCGCCTCGGGTTGGAGCGCTAAATCTCACCTGCCGAAACTGCAGCCAGTCGAAAAGGAACAAAAATGTTCGCGATGTCCGACTGGCGGATGAATTTAGCGAGATGTTAGTTGCGCGCGGGGAAAGACAGAAGAAGCTTGAAGTGGGTGTTCGTTCTCTGAAGATGGCGAGGTAAGATGCGAACTTGAAGCTGAAAGTGAGAAAAGAGAGAACCGAGGGGTCCAGTCGGTGGTGAGGTACGATTGGCCAGAACTTGAAATAACCTCCCGGTCCAATGAACGTGTTTGTGTTGTTCCCCAGAATCGTGCCTGCCATTTTTCTTCAGCTTCACGAATGCCTGCCTCAACCTGGAAAGCCCTGTGGTCTCCGCTTCTGGTCATCCACTTTTCAGAGGGAAGGAAGCGCTTCGGATGATGGAATCCGCCGTGAGAAACTCGTGCTGCTTTCAAAACCCTGCAATCAACAACTCACCTCAAAGCCTGCAAAAACCCTGCGCCGTTTTGAATTCCTTTTCTCGCAGGGATACCGATGCTTGCGGGAATCTTTTTCTTCTGAGCGTTGCGGGTTTCCCGAGATCAAGTCGAGGCAGCTGGGACGATCCTGTTCAGTTGCGTTACCGGCAGCTGTCTGATCGGAATCCCGCATGGCACTTTTACGTGGTATCTCATCCCGTGTGCTCTCTTGCTACTCCCAGCTGCAGTTTCAAATCCTCTCTGTCAGCTTTTGCTTGTCTGTTCCGACTTGACCGCGGTACCGTCCCGCCCCTGGCGCCATCCGCCATCGCCCCGGTCGAGTGGCCAGGATTGGCATCGATGGATGGGGTGTGGGCCTCGGCAGCCCTTGGAAACCCCTGCCCTTGCGGACCTGCACACCCCCGTCACCTGTCGCCGCCCCAATTCCCGATTCCCAGCCGTTGCACCAGTCACCCACTGAAGGGCCGCCTCCACACCGGGGCCTATTTTGCGCTTGGGGGGTACCAAGAGAATGTTGGTGTGGATGTACCTCAGAGTACCCCAGGCCTTGCCCAAGGAAAAGGAAGAGGGGGGTGCTGCTGGGCTGGACATGGGGCCGCACCACACAAGCGTCTGCCGCGGTGGTCAGTGAGAAACACCCCCATTCTGATTAAAACATGCCCTTCTGCCCGCAAACCTTGCCTGAACCCAGGTGTTGAACCTTCTTGACTCCCCCTTTGCAACCAGGTCTCATTGCCACTCAACCGCAGTGCTATGGGCCCTCAGTCTCTCCATATTCCCGCCAATTTACCCACACCAGTCAGCTGCTGTCCGTTGGAGGCCAGGCCTTTTCTTGGATAGCATTGACTTTGTCGCCCCGTTGCCCTGGGTTTGCCCTCTCCATAACACTGGACTTTGGACCCCTGGAGCCCGGTATCTGCAGAAGCGAAGGCGGACGAAGGATTGCCCTGGACACCGCTTCTGACGAGACGCTTCGCCATGACCGCCCCGATCAACACGCCGGCGACCTCGACGGCAAAGGACGCTGCTTCTGCGAGGAAGCGTAGGAGAAGGGCCCCCGCTGGTGGAGCCGCGGATGACTGCTTTACGTGCGCCAAGCGGAATGTGAAGTGCGATAGGAGGAGGCCTTACTGCTCGCAATGCCTAGAAATTGGCAACGAATGCTCCGGTTACAAGACCCAACTAACTTGGGGTGTCGGCGTGGCGAGCCGGGGCAAGCTGCGCGGTTTGTCGCTCCCCATTGCGAAGGCGCCGCCCGTGAGCTCGGCCAAGACGAAGTCGGCGGCGACGGTACGGGCCCGGACCGGATCTGTCGCCTCGACTGGGCAATGGCCGGCAGAGCAGGATGACCGGGTGATCAGGGAAGAGGTGGAAGTGAAGATGGAGATGGGCCACAGGCGGAACCCATCTGTACCAATGGCCACGCCTCACTTTCACCCTTACGACATGGCACACCTATCCCCAACCGAAACGGCGCCCCCAGGTTGGACTCACATCCCTTTCTCGTCGAGCATGACCGCGAACGATGCGTCGAGATTTCCACGGCCCCTACACATTCCGGTGTCGTCCCCCGGGGACATGATGCAGCGAGAAATGATCCAGACGCCAATCGATTCGATGAGCGACGTGGACTACATGTCCCCTCTCGGCCACTCGTTTCCGAGGGAAGACGTCCCCACCTTCATCCACAGCCCGATCGTCTACGAGGGCTTTCCCAGCCATACCTCGCCCGTCCCCCAAAGCCCGGTAGCGGCCATGATGATCGAGCACTCGCGGGCACCGGCCCCATGTCCCAGCCTCGTCTACACGCCATCGGAACCCGCGTCCAGCCTCCACTCTCATCTTTCTCACGTTGATAGCATGGAGGCGCAGTTGAGCCGCAAGATGCCTCAGGACTGCGACGTCCTGGGTGAGTTACACCACTTATAATCCCCGTGCAACAAACTCTAACCCCCTGCTCAAGTCCCTGGCACACCAGACCTCGACACGTACAGCTCGAGCGTTCAGTCACACGGCCCTTTCTGGGCTTCTTCAAACGCCGACGATGAGTCTGTGTCGCAGAGCGCCCCCGACAGGAACCCAGCACCATGGCCGGGGTCGTTCCCTTCTCAGTCACCCTCCCCAGTCCTGCAGGTTAGCTCGGACCTCATCACCAAGATGCCATTCTTCATGGACTACTACGAAAAAACCATGTGCCCCAGCATGGTATTCATCGACGGTCCTAACAATCCCTTCCGGGAACAAATCCTCCGGCTTGGAACCAGCAGCAGAAGCTTACAACATGCCATCTGCGCGCTCGCAGCGTGCAATCTGAGAATGAAGAGGAGGCTGAGCCGTGGCGGTCATCATGGCAGGGATATTGGCGAGAGGCAATTGGACATGAGCCCGATCGACAGCGGATCCAACGTGCAGCCCAGCGATCAGTCACTTGCCGAGGAGTACCAGCACCGGAATCTGGCTGTCCGTCTGCTCAACGAGCAGCTGAACGACGCCGAAAAGTCTATGCACGACTCTGTGCTCGCCACCATCCTTCTGTTATGTCACTACCGGATGGCTGAGTCGGGCGTGGCCAAGTTCCAAACGCAGTTCGCGGGTGTCAGAAAGATTCTGGGGCTACGGAGGATGTCGCCGTACCCGGCATCAAGAGACTCGGCATGGATGGAGGCTTTGTTCACTTACTTCGACTCGATATCTGCGAGCGTCAACGACAGAGAACCGCAGCTTACCACCTCCTTTTACGGCGTGTCACCGGACACGCAACTATTACCGCCAGGTGCCGAGAACCTGGTCGGCTGCGACCGCGAACTATTCAAAACTATCAGCAAGCTTGGCCGGCTGAATCTGCTATCACAGCACCGACCCGTACAACGTCTCCTCGCCTCTTCTCCATTACCGCGCATCACTACCTCCCGATCGGAATCCCCCCTCGACGCCCCATACAAGCCCCCGCCCCTCCACGCCGGCTCCGACCACCACCATAGCATCTTCGGGGGCTTACCCCACCCCGTCAACAGCAGCGTACGATTCGACGGCAACGGCTTCAGCACGTCCAACGTCGAAGACGACGACATGCTCAGCCCAACACACCTCCAGTCTCCGACCGCCTACGACGACCCCCGCAGCATGTTCTGGCGCGAGTGGAAAGAAGCGCGCCAGGCCCTCCAGAGCTGGGAGTTCGACGCGGCCCGCGTGCGCGCCTCCCTCACGGCGCCATCGCAAACCTCCCCATCTTCGCCGTCCCCGGTCGGGTCATCGCCCCACCTCCTCGCGCCGCCTCCCCCGACGAGCGGGCAGGTGCGGGACCTGGGCTCGCTGAGCGAGGCGTTCCGCTACGCAGCATTGCTATACACGGAGCGGCTCGCCAGTCCCAACGTGCCGTCCAACCACAACAACTTCCGCAACCTGGTCAGCCAGGTCGTCTACTACGCCACCAGCCTCGAGTCCGGCAGCGCCGCCGAGAAGTTCCTGCTGTGGCCTCTGTTCGTCGCCGGCAGCGAGTGCGTCAACGAGCTGCAGCAGGGCATCGTCCGCTCCAAGTGCAGGGAGATCATGGCCCGGAGTGGGTACATGAACAACTTGGCTGCCCTCGAGGTGCTGGAGCGCCTGTGGGCCGGCGAGGGCGGCTGGCGGGATCAGCATCATCCTCATCACCCTCATCATCACCAGGGGAGGATGGGCGGGAACGGAAAGGGCGGGCCGTTTAATTGGGCCAAGTGCATTGGCGGGCCTGGGGTAGAGGTGGAGTGGATTATGTTTTAATGGCTGGGTTCATGAGTTGCCAGGGGGGTTGGGTGGTATATCGTGGGGATATCCAGTACACACGGCGTGGTTGCACAGCACATACATGCATCGGGCGGTCTGTTTTTCTTTTGGCTTTGTTTGGGTCTGGTTTCTGACACGCGGAGCGGGTCCTCTCTGGTTGCGTTTTTTATCTACATCATCATCACTCATGGCAGAGCGGTCTACGACTCGTCTTTTTTTTACTTTCCATGTACCATGTATGCATACCCCTGGTAGTAGTTTGGGAAACGGGGCATTCACGGGCGCTAAGGCGTCGATATCTACGTTTGTCATAGTTCATAGTAGCTAGTTGGGCAGGCAGGCTCCTTGGGGACACGGGGAAATAGTCCATGCTGGTCACTACCTACTTGCGGTTCACTCTATCAATCAAATGCTCAACTCCCAGTGACCGTGCCGTCTATGTACCAAGTAAACGCCGTTTCAAGGACGGAGACCGCCACGGCTGCCAACCCCCATCCAGCCCAGGCCTTACCCGCATGTTGGCTGCGTCTCGGCAGCCGAGTACGACTCGCTCGTGCGCCATTTCCCCAGCTCCCTAGGTATGTCGAATTTTTTTCTTCTCCCCCCCCCCACCATGGATGTACGTCTAGGCCATGTATCAGACGTACCGCGCCGGTACCGACGCCAGGCACCGCGGCGCCATGCACTGTTGCCCGAGCGATCGGAGAGTCTAGCCCGGGAGGGAAAGGCTCGTGGGGGATGGGAGGCGATCGGGGCACAGAGGAGAGTTTGCTCCTCCCCCCTGGCGTAATGTTTCCGCCCATCACGCATGACGAGCTTCCCGATGCGCGTCTTGGCTGCTGAGCCGATATCTACGTATCTCTTTCTCTGTCTGCTGTGTATCCCACCCCCTTCCCCTGCTTCCTTGTTTCCCACAGACAACACGGCACATAATCTGTACGCACCCCTGCCTGGCGTGCCGGGTGGATAGATGGATAACCGAGATGTGCCGTTGGTGAAACCTGGGTGGGTGCTGCCGCGGTGGCAACCGAGGGCAGGGGGAAGGGTTACCAGGTAGGAAAGCAGAGCTTTTTTTTTGTCGTCTCTCATAGAGTGAGTGCAGGGGACGGGGGGGAAGCAGGAAGAGATGGAGATGGAAGGTGGAAGGGAAAGACAAGCAGGGCGCGGGTAAGCCGCCGCCGACTCTCTCCCGCTGTCCGCCCGGACTATTGATTCTGATCGGCAGGTTTAACTGTTTAGCTGACCGGACGGCAGCACCCTTCTAGACGGCTTCTAGAAGGTGAGTTTTGGAGGCAGTGCAATGCGCGTCACACACCCTCTTCTGCGGCTCACTGGTACGCTACCTACTCTCCCCGCATCGCCATGGCCCAACGCACCTAGCCAAGAAGCTCAAGCTTACTGTGTACCTACTAGTCGGGTGGGCGAGAGAGGAGGTGCGCAACAAATGGGCATGGGGGTTGAGGTTGGTGGGTGCCGGTTACAACGCGGGTTGCAGGTGCTTGGACTGCCACTTCCCCCAGAGTGGCCTCACGTACATGAACCGATCATACCTACACTAGGCTCAGGAAGGAAGGAAATCGAGTGTGGTGCTAAGATTTCAGGGAGGAAAAACGCGGGGTTGACACCGCTTGGCCACGGGAAGGATGGGGTGGTTTGCGTCGGCTTCGGCTTTGGGTTTCACGGGATTCCGCACGGAGAGTATGAAGGATGTGATTATTTTATTTTTGGAGAAGACGAGTTGTTGGGGTCCGAGGTGTGCCGGTTTGGGCAATGGTCAGACTATTGGGATGTGTGTCGTGACTTCCCCAGGAAGCAACTCCCAGGCTAAGATTTGATGCCAAGGCCACGGAGACTGGCGACCGTTCGAGGACATGTGACAGCCAAGCCACGGCTCGGAGTGGAAAAGTTAGCTGCACGATAACGAGGAGGGTCTGGCTGTGAATGAGCATTCTGGGAATATCCAGGGATAATTCAGAAAATAAGACACAACTTTTGATATGTCTGCAATCCAAGTACGAAGCTTTAGTTAGCTATTCCGGAATTGCAATGAGTGCTCCTCTCTCGACCAACAATCCATGGCTGGCAGGCTGGCAGCTTGGCAGTGGCCGCCAGCTGTCAGCCTCCGACAGCGATAAGCAACAAACCCCACCGAAAATCCGCCTTATCGCTCAATCGCTGGGAAATTTCGAAACAGCAGTCCACCACAGCAACAAGGCGAAGGAAGGTTGCTGTCGCCAACACCAACCCGAACCAACCCCCCCATCCACACACACACAATGGGTCGCGAACTCCAAAAGCGCAAGCGGCGCTCGTCGCGCGCCAAGGTCACCATGCCCAACCGGCGCAAGAAGGCGCTGAACCCGCTGGGCAACGACATTATCGCAAAGGCCTGGTATGTCACTTCCTCCCTCCCCCCCAGAACCCTCTCGAACCAACCCTCCCCCTTCAACCCCCACAACCAGTCCTAACCCCCCCCCCCCCCTCCCACCAGGAACAAAAAAGAGACCCTCTCCCAAAACTACACGCGCTTCGGCCTGGTCGCCAAGCTCGGCAAAGCCACCGGCGGCACCACCTCCACCAACCGCTCGACGCTCACCACGGCCACCGACCCGCTGGCAGCGCAGGCCGCCGACCGGGCGCACGGCCTGCTGACGGTGGGCGAGGTGCGGGTGGAGCGGGACGCGGAGGGGCGCATCACGCGCGTGGTGCGCGACAGCAACCCGCTCGGCGACCCGCTGAATGCGTTGGATTCCGACTCTGATGAGGATGAGGGGGGGGATGCGGAGATGCAGCTGCAGCGGGAGCAGGCGCAGGCGGAGGCGCGGTATGAGGAGTGGGGTGGTTTTGGTGCGGGGGATGGAAAAGAGGAAGGGGAGCGGCCCGAGGTGCTGCGCGCGCTGGAGCGCGAGGCGAACCGGCCGACGGAGAAGGCCGTGCGGCATCAGAGCGGGCGTGAGATGGAATGGCTGCGGCGGTTGGCGGATAAGCATGGGGAGGATACGGCCGCGATGGCGAGGGATGTCAAGCTTAACCCGATGCAGCAGACCGCGGCGGATATTCGGAGGCGGTTGAAGAAGGCGGGGTTGTTGGAGGCGTGAAGTGGTTAGTGGTGTCAAAGGGGGTGGGTGTTCCAGAGATGGAAAGGGCTGCCGCCGCATGCGGTTCTGATGCCCACGGGGAAGTTAGGGGAAACAAGTCTAGGTTTATATGGCGTGGTCCGTTCCTTGCGGGGGTGAGGGGACCAAATGGGCTGCAACATATTTGTCATAACTGGCGTTTGGCGTTGTCCAAGGGGTAGAGGTAAACAAACAAAATCTACACGAACACAAACTAGAAGTCGAAACAAGAAAGTTGAAACAAATTTTGCATGTTCATGGTATCTCTTGTTGATCTACCCTCTAAGACGCCGGCAACACCAAAAGCTAAGCCAAGTCAACGCTATCCCTATATCCCCCGACCAGGCGAGGAAACCAAAATGCACCAACTATTGAACCATCCCAGAACAGACCCGTAGCCATACAAGAGTGATCCGCCCACCCCACCCCCAACATCATTCAACCCGACATCAACCTACCCTATTCTGTCTCTGCCGTTAACCCAAAACCATGTCCCGCACTCATAGCCTCTCAATACGGTCATAATCAGCACGAGGGAACCTCGCGTCCTCGAACCCGTCCGCCGGCGCGGGGCTGGCGTACCGGCCGGCCGCAGACACGCTCCCGGAGTGGTACTCGGTGTCGTGGCCGTCGAAGGGGTTAGCCTCCTGCTGGCGGAAGGGGTTGTCGTGGTAGCTGCTGACGGTGCTCGCACCACCGACGTGGCTGGCGGTACCGGCGCCGCCGTAGGGGTCCGAGTAGTCGGAGCGGCCGCCGAGGCCGGTGCCGGCGCCGCCGTAGCTGGAGGAGCCGTCGAGGCGGTCGTCGTGGTCGTGGTCGTTGTCGTGGTCGTGGTCGTGGTCGGCCGCGTTGACGGGCGCGTACGACTCCTCGTCGTGCGGCGCCAGCGAGAAGGCGGCCTTGTCCGGGTCGATGTTCTGGCTGTTGAGCTGCGTGCGGTCGTAGCCCGGCAGCCGGTTGTTCCACTGGTAGTACTTGAGGGTCCAGATGCTGAAGAAGGTCGTCACGCAGAAGAAGAGGCTGCGGCGGGGTTTTGTTAGTGGGGGTTGCGATCAACAAAGTGGGTGGGGTGGAGGGGGGGTATAAGGGTCGCAAACATACAAGACGAACACGGCCATGGCAACGACGGCTTTGCTGAGGTGGCAGGCTGTCCCGCAGAGGTTAGCCGTGTTGTAAGCGGCCTGGGTTGAGAAGGCCGAGAGCCAGATGACGGCGAAGACGGCGTCGACGACCAGCATGGCGTGCGGCTCGGCGAGCTTTCGTGTGCGTGGGAAGCGCGGGGCCATCATCAGGTAGATCCAGGCCGGTACCGAGAGGAAGAACTGGAAAGCAAGCCAAGTCAGCGCTCCAGTTTTTGGTATCGGAAAACTAATGGTGTAGTCCATACCACTCCGAATGTCCAACCATTGTTACCAACGATTCTTGAGCCCTCTGCTCTGAAAACAGCAATCCCTAGCGCCCAAGACACAAAGCCGAAGAGGATCTGAACTGAGTGGAAGATCAACTTGAACATCGGGATCCGCTCCGGATCGAATTCGAGGTCCTCCCACATCTTGTCTGGGTGTTTGTTGTGCGCGGAGGGAGGGGTTGCTTGTCTCGGAAACGGGGGGTTTTGACGATCCGTTAATGTTGACTTTTTGGGAGTCGCAAACGCTAACTCGGGCAACGTTGAAGCGCAGCAAGAGGAGAGACCCTTCAAAACTCGGTGCTCGTCAGCCACCCAAAAAAAATAACAGAAGCAAAACAAAGTGGTGGCAAGAAGCTCACAAATAAAGAATCACTGTTTGATTTCTTGTCAGAAAAAAGGACGAAACAGAGCCGCGCGGTTTGCATCCCAAAACAGGGTCAGCTCGCAAGAAAATGGATCCCAACACAGCCGCCGCTGCTCTTTGCCCAGGCGACGGGGAGCCCAGGGCTTGGCGGTGGGTTGCACAGTGCCGAGCCACACGAATGACGCCTCCGCAGAAGCCACCGGCACCCTGAGTTGTTGGATGAGCCAATCAATCCAAGATGACAGGCTCTCCTGGTGGAGCCATGCGTGGCATTGTGCATGAGAGTGGGAAGGAAGAGTGAGACAAGTGTTTACCCCAAATGGTCTCTTGACATATCATTTCGAGATTTGAAGCCTGAACAGTTCAGAGCAAACGGGGTCCGCCAAAATCACATCTTGTTGCCCGACTTTGCTTCTCCGGGACTCTCGTGACTTTGCCCGGCCTGAGAGGCTCTGATTTCGCATACCGCAGCCAAGGACGACCTGAAGCAATTGAGGACCGTTGTTCGTTTTAAAAAGTCGACTCCAAATTTCAAGTACCGACCGGCATGCAACCCACCAATGTCGACTTCCATTTCCAGATGCCTAACTATTTATTATACTTGATGTACAGAATATGTAGTCATACATAACACCTAACTAGCTATGGGAAAACCGCCAACTCAACACTTCTGTGGAGCAAGTATGGACAACGTCCTCTGTACTTGTACAGTATGTAGGATTCCGTCGAGCTACGGAGTGCTGGCTGGCCCAGCAACCGCGGGCCACGGCCGCTGACGACGCAATCCCGCCTCAGCGCCAAAAATAGAAACAGCCCCGATCGCCACCGAACCGGAACCAAGCAGGCCGACGCCCGTCTCTCCCGGCAGCCTCGCCCGGGCTTTCCGGAGGACCGGAAAACCACTGGCCCGGCTGTGCCCGGTCCCGTAATCGGGTAGCATTGCGGCCGACACACCGGAGTCCCGATCCGGCCTAATTAATACATTCCACCATGTTCAAGAGTGAAGCCGGTGATGATAGTTACGAAGTAGCCTGGTTCCAACTCTCCTTGAGAACTCGAGGATAACGGGAGGTAATGCCTGGATCAACCCCGTGTATCCGGTGCGTACCATCGACTGGCACTTGTCTGCGCTGGTAACTTGCATACGGACACAGCGCCAATGACATGAGCCTTTTCGTTTGAACTTGAAAGGTTTTGGCCGCTTTGGCCCTCGGGGCATCCTTTGGCCGATATTACGTACCGAGTCCGGAGCAGAGCAGCTGATTCCCTGCCTCGTTTGCTTCCTCTTCACTCGCCGTCCCCATTCATTGCTTTTGACTTGACATTTCCGCCATCCCTCAGCCGCACCGCCGTCTCGCAAACAAACCGACGCCTAGGAATATGAGCATGGAAAAGCAGGAACCAAGTCTCGAAGCCGATGAACAGAGCGGGAGCTTGCTGTTCCAAAGGGTACCGCAGGAGATCCGGAACCATATCTACGCCCAACTCTTCTCCTCGATAAGATTAACCTTTGGGTTCCGGTGGAATGGCTGCACGAGCAGGGTCGCCGTTAAGCCTGCGCCCCACGGCTTCGCTTTTCTTCACAGTTGCCGGCGCGCGCGCCTCGAGATCAACGACTCGTGGCTGCAATACATGCTCTTCTCTTTCGAGGACCCTTACGAGATGCTCGACCATCTCTCCGCCCTCCCTACTGAAATGCTGTCCAAGATTCGCCGTGTGAGGGTCAGCGGCGACCAACTCGCCTACACCATCTTCGGGGAGCAGGAGCTCTATCCGCTCGCGGGCGCACTGAAGCTCCTCCCTGGCCTGCAGCTGGACCAGCTCACCGTCGTCGGCCTGCCCGAGGGCAGGGATAGCTACAACACCCTCAACGGTCTCATCAAGGGCAGCGGTGGATGGAAGACGTTGCGCTTCGTCAGCCCCAACTCCTCCATGCTCGGTTTCGAGGCGAGCCGGAAAGTCCCTTTTACCGACGATACCGTCGTGAACGATTGGGAAGATTGGAGGGAGTCGCAGCCCGAGAACTGGCAGGCGATGCTGGAGGCCCGCGATGGCCGAGATTCGCACCCTTCGGTGACCGTCTACCGCGCGAGGGAGCCCAGCCACCGCAGCTCGAGGCCAATACCCCGCCCCAGCGAATGCGTAGAGTACAGACAGGAACCGGTCCAGCAGCTCCCGGGTTGGAATCCCGACTTCGTCCCCGAAGACCCCGACCTAATGGGCGAAGGCGAGAAAGACAAAGCATTGCTGGTCGTGGTGAAGAGGGGCGCTGGCGTCGATTACCAAGAAAAGGAGGACTCGCCTTTCGTCAATGGGGATCTCCGCGAGCACGAACACGGGTCGACGTGGGAAGAAATCGGGGGCCCGTCATTATGGGCGAACGGGGGGAGGGTGCGCGACCGCCAACCGCCGATCGTGGACGACTACAACGATCCCGAGGAACACGTCTGGACCCAGCGTCACTTCTGCAAGGGTCTCTACGGGGTTCATTATGACTGTCATCGCGACGAGTGCTGACGGAGTTCCTGGAGTCTTGAACTCGTCATTATTTCTTCGGAATACTCGGGATCCGACCTACCATACACTCGAGAGATAGCAAAAAACGCAAGACATGTCTCATGGAGAAAGGGAGTTTAGCGATCGACTCAATGCGGTCTGATTGAAGTACCTATCGTACAGCTCAAATATCATACATGTCTAATTACTCGTACACTACATCACCATCACCACCACTCACTCAGCCCTGCCACCGGAACCGGCTCTCCCTCAGCATCGACATCAGGCCAGTGGGCAACAGCCCCTGGTCGACGACGTCAACGCCGCCAAAGCGCGCCACGATATCCTTGTGGTACAGCTGCACCACCCACTTCTCATAATCCTTCATCTCGTTCCACGTCACCAGGTCGGGGAGCGCAGCCTTGACGTCGCCGCTGGGGTTGAGGGACGTGACCTCGGGGGCAGCCATGAGCTTGCGGTAGGCCCTGCCGAGGCGGACGTCGGTGCGCTCGCGGTAGCGGGAGAACTCGGCCGCCGACATGAAGGGCTCGTCGCGCAGGTCGTCATACTCGGGCGCGTCCCGCCAGCTGCGAGCGGCCCACTGGTTGCCGTCGTACTGATCCTTCTCATCCTCCGAGACGAGCGATTCGTCGTCTTCCGGCTCAAAGGTGGAGGTAGAGAACCCCTCTGCATACCGCGCTTTGGCGCGCGTGTAGGCGAACTCCTCTTCCTCGAGGTACTTGTCCATCAGTTTCTCCGGCGTCCCCTCCACGTGACGACGGGAGAGGAGGAGGGAGATGAAGGGGTTTTGGAGGCCCAGTCCACCCAGAGAGGAGGGCCAGTAAAGATAGCCCTCGGGGATGTCGGACGGGGAGATGCCAAAGCGGGAGGCAATCATGAGCTTGAGGTGCTCGCCGACGCCACCGGGCTGGTCGGGGAAGAGCTTGTCTTGAATGCGGCGGAAGGTGGCGAGCATGCTGTCGATGTGGGCGCGGCCGTAGCAGTTGGCGGGCTTGCCGAAGTTGTTGGCAAAGAAACGGTGCCCGTAGATGTTCCACGCCTGAATGTAGTCCAAGATGCTACGGCACGCCGACAACTGAACGCGCAGCTCATCAATGTGCTTGTCGACCTCTTCCTGGTTGATCAAGAAGCGGCCCGTGGCAGGGTCCAGCTTCAGGAACCCCCACTTCACATCCCCCTCAGGCAGCGCCCCCGACGGAGTAGTTGATGCTGCGGTGCCGTTGCCGCTCTTGACTTGTACGGAGCCCGTTTTGTCCGTGTTGAGCTCTAGGCCCATGGTGTCGGTAAACTGCGTGATGACATTCCAAGCCTCGCCACAAGTGCCCGAATTGCCCCAGAGCCACATGTCATCGTGCAACCGATAGAGGTGCGTACCGTCAGCCTTCTGGTTTACAGCATAATCCAAACAGAAAAGAACAGACTCCCCGAAGAAGTCGGATATGGGGGTCGACATGGGAATGCCACGTTTCCGGACTTGCACAGGGGTATCCGGCGAGTCCTGCTTGAACCTCATATCCGACTCGAGAACGCGCCTGAAGAAGCCAGTCCACTCTGCTTGCACGCCAAAGAACTCAAGAACAGCGAAGATAGTCGAGTGGGGGAGAGACGGTCCAAACCACTTGAAGTCGGAGCGAATGACGGTGATATCCTTGCCCAGCTTCGTCTGCATGATGATTTCGGCTTGAAGGCGCTGCAGCAGGCCCTGGACGACCTCAACATGGCTCGGCTTCGTATCGTCCTCCTCGTCCCCGAGGCCGCCATACGTGTCCCTGACCTCGTCGAAGGAGGTGGGCAGCTGGTCGAGAAGGATGTCATGGAAGTGAGAATCACGCTGTTTTTGAACAGCGGCCGAGTTCAGCACGGTTTTGTTGTTGAGAAAGAAGTGGCGGCGACGGGCGTCAGCCTTGGAGATGGGCTTCGTGTCGGGTTTCCAGACGCCCTCGCCCTTGGTGAACGTAGTCAGAGCCTCGCGAAGTTGAACGGCCCATTGCAATCCCACGTAGTACACGAACATGGAGTGCAGTAGATCCTCGTCCGTGTAGAAACGGTATCGGCCGTTGAGGTTCCGCCGCTGTTCGACGACGAGTGGCGCGCCCCATGACCAGGTTGCGATGGCGGACATGCGCATGTTGAGCACATCTGCAATCTCCGAGAGGATCACTTTGTTCGCTTGGAAATCGCGCAGGGTGGTGCGCTTTTCTTCCGTCAGAATGTCGCTCCTCAGCATGCCCTGGATGACGGTCTCGAGGGTGTCCTCGTCGAAGTGGCGCCGCGACTGCCAGCCCTTCTGGAAGCGCTTCAGGATGTTTTTGACGGCCTCTAGGGAGCGCTTCGCCTCTTTCGAGGAGAACACATTCCCCAAGTACGTCTTGATAGCCTCGGGGTTGGTGTCCTTGGCCTTGAAGACGTACTCTTCCCAAGTGGCGCGCTGCTCATGCATCTCCTCGCGACCGACCATGACAAAGTTGGATCCCTCAGCCGTCGAAGCAGCGTCTGAGTTACCGGACGCAATCCACTCCTCAACAAGTTTGCCGTAGAGCGACGCAAATTCGTATTTGTTCGTCTGGGCGTCCATGTGCTGGTTGATGATGGCCTCATACTCCTTTAACAAGGGCTCAGTGACGGAGGGGTCATACTCGGCTTGCTCGAGGAACTCGGAAACGCTCCAGAGGGCGGCAGTCGACTTGAGGCCGAGAGACCGAAGCTCCTGGCAGCCTTTGAGAAGTGTCTTGGCTCGTGCCGCCGTGTCGATCTCGGAGGCAGCATCCTCATGTAGAGAGCTCTTTTTGTTTTGGTAAGCCTCCTTTTGCTGCTTGAGTTGGTCAAGTTTGATGGCCGTGATGGAGGAGAGGGTCTGAGAGAGGACGTCGGTGGAAGCCATGGCTCGATCGTGTATCTGGGAAATGGAAGTGGTGTGGAGAAGAGCGAGATTGAGGGGTGATGAATGTGCTGCCAGAAAACAACCAATGAAGGGTTTATGTAGTGGTGACGCCTTGGAGAGTGTCAAGTGTGATGCCTTCCAACCGCATCTTTGGAGGGCAACCAGTCCCATTTTATAGCGGGGATCGGCACATCGACTGTGGCAAACAGCGGAACCTCATTCGTGCAGACAATGAGGACGGGCGTGTGATGTTTGTCAGTGGATCAACCTGAATTGTACCCGACCGAACAAAGAAACGAGTTGAGGACGGGCAAGCGCGGCAGCCGTCCGCAAGTGAGGACGGACGGAACATCCTGGGACACGGTGTGACTGACTCGCCGCCTCGACCCTGCCTCTGGTAGGTCCATGAGATGGCTCAATGGGGGTTGGCCCCCAACGCAAAAATGAGCCAGCAATAGGTACTCAGGTTTCTGCTCAGCGTGCCAGTGGATTGGAGAGTGAAGAGGAAAGTACGAAAACCAGGGCGGGAAGTGGTTGCAGAAAGAGAAGGTGCGGTGATGCCCGGCACGACTACCTAAACAAAGCGGGAAAGAGCACCTCGACCGGGCAATATTCACCTCAAGTGCCTCAACCATTCATCTTTGAGCTACTAATAATCCAGTCGGTCAAGCGTCGGCCCTTCTTTGCTGAGGTCTTCGGAGGGTGTCGAGGTATGTAGACTGTGTGCTCTGCCACAAGTGTAACCCTGAATGTGAGCATCTGAGGCGGGTGTTGGGGGCAGCCGTTGGAAAGAGACTAGAATAAGGTCGGGAGGTATCACAACAGCTTTTCAAACAGGAGCAGTCGTAGTTCCATTGAGGAAAATCCTTGGAAGGCTAGCCATTAATTGGCTTGGTGTGGTTATTTTTACCATGGACGAGCTGGATAACTAGGTAACGATTGTGGATGCAAGGTGTAGACAGCAAACATCCAACCGTTAACCAAGGTCTCTGCATAAATTAAGTCATTTGGCCTTACCGTCTTGCAGTATTGCTTGAACCAAACATGGAGGAAACCCTCCCTCATCCAAGCCCCCTTCCGAGCTGTTAGGAACCAAACACCTGCCACCCAAGAGAACCCGTGAATCACACAAGCCAGGCATGGGAGCCCAAACACAACTCCTCCCCACGCCGGCACGTAAAACAGCCTCAAAAACGGACCATCAAGTTTGAAACAAAAGAGAAAGGAAGCGAAGCCACCCTCCTTAACTGGACTGGTACAAGTAAGTGTAGCACAGATACATGAAACCGAAACCCAACTCACTCGCTCCGCCCGTCCATTTCCGCCCGTCCCGCCATCATGATATCATATCTTGTCTCTTCTTAACCTAACCTCGGCCCCCAACTCACCCAACACCCCAACACCTCCACCAGCATCACACCACAACCCCAGCACCCCACCACAACACCACACCCAACACCGCCCGCCGGCCCACCAGACCACTACTAGTAATCCATCGGCGCATCCACCAGCGTAACACTATGCTGCTGGCCATGCCCAGACTGCTGCTGCTGCGGGCGCCCGCGCTCCTGGGACTGGGGGCCACTGCCCGTGTGCTGGTGGTGACTCGGCGGGGGCGTCGCGGTTCCCCCCGTGCGCGCAGCGGCGGCAGACGCGGGGGTGACGCGGCGGCCCGACGAGAAGCGGGCGCCGCTGCGGCCGAGGCTGTTGCGCTTCTCGACCATGTGCTGCTCCTGCTCGCCGACCTTGGCCAGCTGCGGGTCCGCCGCCGCGACGGGCGTCGGTGGCGTCCCTGGGGTGCCCGCCGCCGACGCGGCCGTCATGGCGCTGATGCCGTTCATGATGAAGTTGCCGTCGGATGGGTGGCTCAGGTTGGCGGTGTTGGAGTCGGACTCGCCTGGGACTTCGAGGCTGGTGCGCTTGGGGAGGTTGGGGCCGAGGCTCGTTCGCTTCCTGTGCTCGGTGGTGGGGCTGGACAGGGTCGTCGAGATGGGGAATCGTGTCTCGGGCCCACCGACGCTCCTGTCGCGACGGTGGGAAGCGCGTGGGCTGGGCGCGGGGGACGTCGCCCTGCTCCGGCTGCCGGTAGCCTTCTCTAGGAGCGCACGGTTGCGCTCTTCCATGTTCGCCTTGCGGTTGCTTTCATCGGTGGAGATCGCCCGTGGCCGGTTCTGGTTACCCTTAATGGAGCCAGAAGAATTCGCGGTCGACAGACGCTTCAGTTCGTTGAAAATTGAGTCCTTGTGGGTAAAGAGGTCGCGGACAAGGCGATAAGCGTGCTTCTCCTCCATTGTGAGCGACGTCTCCGAGCGTGGGCGTAGGACACAGGGGGCAAGAGAAGTCGCGAGCTTGGCGATGTACTCCTCGTCGGCTGATGTAAGGTCAATTAGGCGCGTGAAGTGGTTCATACAGGCATCCAGAGACGCAATGTTGGTGAGGCGTAGTTGGGAGAGCGTCTGCTGCAGGACAGGGACACGGGCCGCATCGCCGCCATCCGCCGTTGGGGTAGTGTAAATGGTCCGGATGATTTCATAGACGTGTGACGAGACAAGAGAATCTGACAGTTATTAGTATGCAAGTCGGCCCATGCAACCCTTGATTCCGAAAACATACCGGGAAGTTCGAGGAGATAGAGCTTCAGGAGACTCGCGACGGTGGGTATATCGAATTCAGCAAACGTCTCGAGGGCGGGTGCTTTCCCATTGTTGACCCTGGCTCTCAGCTTGTGCGTTTGGGCAAGCGGGACCTCGTGCAGCCACACTCCCCTGCGGGCTTCATCGCCCTCAAGGTCGGGGTAGTGGTGATCCAGGTAGGTAAGAAGTGTCGTGATGATGACGGGGACCCGCTTTCGGTCGGCCCTGGCGCGGGCCTCGAGGTCCACACCGAAAGTTTGCTCGTCGACCTTGTTGTAATAGTTCTCGTAGACAACCACCTTAGGGGTAAAGCTGCCGGTACGGTAGTTCTCCAGGAGGTAGCGGAGGTCCCCAAGCGGCTGCACGGTCTCCTGGTACAGCATCATGTTGTCGACGGTGGACTGCAAGCTAGGAATAACGTTGCTGATGGTTCCGGAAAAGTCCAGGATGACCGTTTTGGTAGCCTTGAGACGGTCCAGCTCACAACGCTCGAGGAACTTGAGATGTACGTGGATGGCTTCCTCCAACTCGCAGCGCATCTCGTCCAGTTTCTGAACGGCGGCCTTGTACCGGTCGTCCGCTTCCCTAGCCTCCCGGCGCATGCGCTCAGTGGGCGTCTCGTTCGGCCGCGACGTGTTCAGGACGTCCCACTTGGCTAGGTACTCGGTCACCGCGCCAACCACCGGGGAGTTATCGCCGTCGGACCCGCCCACAGGGATGGAGAAGGTCCTCGCAACCGACTTCTTTTCGGGGACACCGGCCATCTCAAATGCCTGCGGCCGCCATTGGTAGAACAGCTTGGAGCTGTTGGCGAAGGTGTTTCCGACGTTGCCGACCAAGCGCAGGAAGCCGTGGGAGACTAGGTCCTGACCAATGCGCTCAGCATAGCTCACACTTGAACTCCCCATATGCTGCTGGAAATATTCCACGATGTCGGAACCGGCTGAGGTATTCTGGTATATACCAAGAATAGGAACCTTGGTCTCGCCCATTTTGACGGTCGCGATCATATGCGCCAGGATTTTCTTCACCTGTTCGGGGGAGTATATCTGGTCACCGATCTCGAGTGGTTCCTCCTCTTCTGCTGGCTCCTGGTCCACCTTGATTTCCGGGATGTTTTGCAGTTGCTTTGGGCTACCATCCGGGTCCTGGAACGCGAGCTTGTTCTCCTCCTCGATATCCTCGACGAGACGGCATTTGTTGAAGTAGCTGCTCCTCAGCTTCTTGACGGCCTCGGACTGCTTGTCATGGGCCTTGATACGCCCTTGCAGTTCCTCGTGCGAGTCCTGTATCCGGGTTTCGTGCGCCTCACACCAGCGAGAGAAGGGGTTGACGACCAGGTCGCGAATGTTCTGCGCAATCTTCTTGTGGTTTTTGGACGCTTCTTCCATCTCGGTTCGTACGCCGTCGTACGCCTTGCGCACGCTGGCGCCATCGTCGCGGGCGAACCCGCCTTGAATCTTGTCGACCGCAGGGGTGATATCGGAGAGGCGCTGACCGTAGATCTCCTCGGCTTCGGCGCGCATTCGGGCGATGGTGAGGACTTGGCGGTTCTCGACGACGCCTTGCTGGAGCTTGCCAAACAGGACACCAAGTCCTCGTGTTCAGTTAGCGAAATCGAGTTCATGCGATTCGTACCCGGAGCAGCAACTCACCTGCGGCGTAGTCGTTGGACCAGAACGATTCTGCGAAGCCCGGCATCTTTGCTGGGAGTGCCGATCACACCTTGGTTGCTGTTGTTCTCAACTCTCTCCAGCCGGCGCAAGAGGAAATCGCAAGAGACGTCTTTCGGATGTTTAAGGAGTTAATGATCTGTATAAACTCTTGCAGGCCAGTCGTGGCACAGCTCCGAACCTGGCGGCTGCAGGGGAGGCCAGAGTTTGCGTTGGGATGATTGAGGCTGAGGCTGGCCGAAATCTTGGCTTCGTAGTGGGCTGGGACTTGGAAGTCAAACTGCGCAAAGAGTCCACAGGTGTGACGGGAAATCGTGGGAATCGGAGGCTATCGGGTGTACATAGGGCAGTTCACAAACGCCGATAATATCGCAAGCAGGAGGTCGAACGCAAAGCAAGGACCGTAAAAAAAGGGTTCCGTCTTGAAGTTGGTAAACCCTTCCGTCCGTCCCAAGGCACCCGACGCCGAAGATGCAGGTGCCCAGCCGGACCCCACGTCTCATTGGACAGGGCGCATCGCCTGCCCCTTCCAGTCGACAGTGACAACCGGCCCCCCAGCCTGGCACGCCCAGGTGAGGCCACCACTGAACCCCAGCTCCCAAGCATCGTTCAGCCCCTGCAGAACCGCAGGGGTCCACATGAAATGGGCCAGGACCGGCAGAACTGTCCACGCAGCGCCGGGGTTTGATCACACACCGACACTTGAAACACGAGATGCAGAGCCAACCGCAGGTGAAAGGACTCTTTCATTGAGCAGAACCCACAGTGTATGGGCCCTCAAGAGAGCACTGCGGGAGAAGCCGAGTAAACATTGTTTGACCACCAATTTTATCTTTCTGTGAAGCTGAGAAAGGTGTCTCTGGTGTTCGAGGAATTCGAGATTCCTCAGAGTTACCTGGTACGCACACGATGTAATATATCTGAAACATGACGTATGGTACAGACTCGGGTGGGTCGGCCGTTACGACGCACAACGTGGAAGCCGAGAACGAGAGTCGAAAAAAAAGCAATCGACAACGGGCGCTAGTTGACTTGTAAGTCTTGCGTCCCGCCAAAGTACGAGTATCGCGAAATGTCTTGCAAAACTCAACCAGGTAGGTATTTGACAACCTTAGAGTGCACACGAGAACTTGGGACGTCGGGTTAATGGGACAGAAGAAGCGCGCAGGTGCTGCGGAAAGAACGGAATCCACCTGGAGCCCAAAGAAGCTGTACAAGTATTAACTCAATTTACATTTGTTTTACTCGATTTATTTTTATCTGTATTGTTCTGCTTGATTTCTTATTTTACTTCTGAGTCCGGCTCTTTTTGCTCGTGAGGTGTCTGGCGGACTTGAGCCAGTCCCGTCGTATTCCACATTTGTCATCGTATCAATGGCGACCCCGTGTCGGACTCATCCTCCACCGCTGCCACCGGTGAAGTGAAGTCAAGCAAGTAATTTCCAGAACCATCCGAAAAGACGCTCTTCGCTCCCCCCGACATTGCATACCTCCACACCGTAATCACAACCCATGAAGACTAACCCAGAACTCCCCGGACCCGTCGGCCGGGCCGAGCTCAAATCTGGCGACCCGGCAGTTACCGGAGGTGCTCGGCGGAAAGCCGGAAAGGCCGTTTTATACGTGATACTGCCATTGGTGCTCTTTGCGTCATTCATCCGATTATTTCCTGTCCATTCAGTATGCATTGGGAAGTTCCGCCCTACCAAACCCAAGACCATCGACGAACGTGTCGAGCAGATCTTACGCCATACCCCCTTGATCGGTAACCACCCTTAGGACCCTCATTATACCGTGATCTCCAGCTAATATTTTAGACAGACGGACACAATGACCTGGCCATCTTTATCCGGGCATTCTACAACAACCACATCTACAATGAGACCTTCAGCGAGCCATTTGCCCAGGGCGGTCTCCCCGGCCACGTCGACATCCCCCGCCTCCAAGCCGGCATGAACGGCGGCGCCTTCTGGAGCGTCTTCTGGCCTTGCCCAGTCAACGGAACCGACTTCTCAGACGAGAACTACCACTCCAGTAACCACCCCCCTTCCCTTCCCAAACCCTCCTCAACCCCCCATGGACTAACCACCAACCCCACCCCCAAAGCCGTCCAACAAACCCTCCAACAAATCGACCTCCTCGCCCGGCTCCGACACTCCCACCCCTCGGTCTTCTCCCCACCCACGCTCACCAGCACCGAAGCCCTCCACCGCTTCCGCCACTCCCAACACAACAACCACCACCACCACCACCACGGACACCCCCAGCTAATCAGCCCCCTCGGCATCGAAGGCCTGCACCAGATCGGCAACTCGGCCGCCGTGCTCCGGCAGTTCCACGCGCTGGGCGTGCGGTACGCGACGCTGACGCACAACTGCGGCAACCGCTTCGCCGACGCCGCCCTGCACGAGCGCCCGCTGCGCCGCGCGGCGCCCTTTTGGGGAGGGCTCAGCCCTGCCGGCCGCCGTCTGGTCCGCGAGATGAATCGGCTGGGGATGATTGTGGATTTGGCGCATACTAGTGTGGATACGATGCTGGATGTGCTCGGTGGTGGTGGTGGTGGTGGTGAGGGGTGGGAGGGGAGTGGTGATGGTGGTGGTGGTGGTGGTGGTGGTGACGACGGTGAGGGGTGGGAGGGGAGTGAGGCGCCGGTGGTGTTTAGCCATTCTAGTGCGTACGCGCTGTGTCCGCACCCGAGGAACGTGCCGGATGAGGTGCTGGATTTGGTGGGGAGGAAGCGGGGGTTGGTGATGGTGAACTTTAACCCGGATTTCATCTCGTGCGTGGAGGCGCCCGACCGGGACGACGGGCTGCCGGAATTTTATGCCAAGAACGCGACGCTGCAGCAGGTGGCGAGGCACGTTTTGTATATCGGGGAGCGGATCGGGTTTGATCATGTTGGGTTGGGGAGCGACTTCGCGGGGATTGTACACGTCCCGGAGGGTTTGGAGGACGTGTCCAAGTTTCCGGACTTGGTTGCCGAGTTGCTGAGGCAGGGAGTGAGTGATCGGGACGCCGCTAAGGTGGTTGGAGGAAATATGCTCCGGGTTTGGGGGGAGGTTGAAGCTGTCGCGCAGGAGATGCAGAAAAGGGGTGAGCCCGTGTTGGAAGACGAGTTGCCCAGTCTTTGGTCACCAGGGTATCGGGGCACGGAGAAGGAGTTGTGAGCCACATAGGCCCGCTCCAGACCGGCGATTGTTGACCAAAGGGTTCCTCTGGCCCGGTATGCATAGTTATTCCGTATTGTACATAGAAACACACGCCGGTGCGCCGTTGCTCAGTCGGCATGACCACGAGTCGTCTATCGACCTCAATGCGCCCGCGAACCCCGAATCTCCTGCACGGCCCGCACAGGGGCGAACATCATGTCGAATATCTCGCCCAAACCTGCGATCCAAACCAACACCCCGGGGCCTCCTTTCCCTTCTTTAACCCCACCGTTCGACCTTGTTGAGTTTCCTGGCTGACTGGGTTTGGTTCCTTGTCCGTTGGCCGCGCACCGGCAATCCCATGGCGTGTCGCCTACCACGGTATGTCCCCATATCACGTAGCCGCTTGATGTTGTCTTGGAGCACCCTCCTGGCGTCACTTTCGATGTTCATCGTCGACAGTTCGGCGGTTAGGGCTGTGAGGGTTTTGGGCGGCAGGGTGCCGATCTTAGCCCCGGGGAAAATCGAGTATTTCGCCAAAATGCGGTCCGCTGTTTGCGGGCCGAGGGCATAGAATGATTGAAGCGCTTTCTAGGGGGGCGTGAGCGGGCGAGCGAGAGGAAGGGGTGGTGTGATTCAGCGCACCTTGACGAGCTTCTGTTCGTTGAAGTTAACTCCGAATATGAACACCTGGTTATAACAATCAGCACAGCTTCGTGGGGTATCTAGTGAAAAGGCCCGTACCATCTTGTCTATTACGGCCGGACACCCTCAGCCAATTTGTCGTCAACAGCACATTCGGGATCAGCATCAACGTCGCGACCGCGGGTCGAGATGTGAGCTGCAACAGGGCCCAGCGGATGTTGCCGATAAAAATCCCAACTGGGGCTGACAAGTGCTGCCGCTTGGCAGCATGGGATTGACAGTCCGCCAAGACTTTACCTGACAACCACCACTAACTGATCCCACTGCCCTAAAACGGATTTCCGCCCAAAACATATGCTGAGAAACAAACCACCCAGTCACAACACATGCCTCCGGCAAATCATGAGCCACTTTGAGACGAGGCCAACCCGGCCACTCCCACACTCGGATGAGTTCTCCTCGACAGACGAGTATGTGAAAAGCCTCTTGCATTTCGCTACCAGCTCGGACCTATTCCGCTTTCTCTGCGGTGGCGTCCACATTCTCGATTTCTTCACCTCCGACCCGGGAGTGTTTGCAGCGGCCGTGCCCAAAGAATGGCAGGAATATCTGGTGCAGACTACCCCCATGGATCTTCTGGATTTTATGATGCGGGATGACCTCTCTTCGGTTTCCCCAACCCCGGGTTCATGCACACCCCCTGAGTCGCTCATCCAGTATGTCAAGGACATCAGGAAACTCTCTCTGTATCGGTCGTTCCACCCCAGCAGGCCAAAATTGCCTGTTCTTCCGAGACAGGTGGCGTTGGGTATGAAGACTAAAAAGGTCCACGAAGTCACCCACTTCGCGGGGTATATTGACAGGCTGGCCGAAGATGCGGCCCGTGCCTCGGGCGCCGAGTTTACTCACTTTGTAGACTTTGGGAGCGGGCAAAACTATCTCGGTCGCACATTGGCTAGCCCGCCCTACAATAAGCACATTGTTGCCGTGGAGAGCAAGGAGGCCAACATGGCCGGTGCCAAGGATCTCGATATCCTATCGGGGCTGGCCGAGAGGGAGAAGCGTGTGCGCAATAAAAAGCTCTATCATCGGGTCCGCGAGGCCGTAGACCCATCACTCCACAATGACGAGGAGGCTCTGAAGCGGGCAGCAAAGAAACTTGGCATATCCGACGAGGACATCACCACCATCGACCTCAGGTCTCGGAAGGAACTGCAGGCAACATACGCCGTAGAGGAGGGGAAGGGCACAATCGAGTACGTCGTCGGTCGCCTCGAGCATGCCGACTTGACCGACGTGCTCTCCCAGCTGCGCGGTCAGGAGGATGAAGTTCGGCAGGAGGACCTTCGTATGATGGCCATCTCGATCCATTCCTGCGGAAACCTATCGCATTACGGCATCCGTTCCATGATCCTGAATCCGTGCATCCGGGCTGTTGCCATTGTCGGCTGCTGCTACAATCTTCTTACGGAGAAGTTGGGCCCGCCATCGTACAAACCCCCCTTCAACCGCCCGACTCTGCAGCCCATCAACGCGCGGGTTACTAGGGAGTCGGAAAGACGGGACCCGCAGGGCTTCCCGATGAGCGAGCGGGTTTCGACGCACGGAGGGGACGGCATCCGACTCAATATCACCGCCCGCATGATGGCGTGCCAGGCCCCGCAGAACTGGACCGACGAGGAGAGCGATGCCTTCTTTACACGCCACTTTTACCGTGCCGTCCTACAGAAAATCTTCCTCGACAGGGGCGTTATCTCTCGGGTCTACCATGGTGAAGAGACTGACGAGGAGAGCCCCTTTAACTCGAGCACCAATCCGGTTATCATTGGATCATTGCGCAAGAAATGCTACACCTCATTTGCGGCCTACGTGCGAGGCGCGATCGCCAAGTTGACCACCAATTCCGATTTCAGCCAATACAGCCAAACCATCAAGGAGAAGATGGGCAACATAACAGATGAGGAGATTGCCCAATACGAAGAGACATTCCGGCATCGGAGACGAGAACTGAGCGCCGTATGGAGCTTGATGGCCTTCAGTGCCTGTGTGGTGGAGTCACTTATCGTGACAGACCGTTGGCTGTTCCTCCGCGAGCATTCTGATATTGTCCGCGACTGCTGGGTTGAGACGGTTTTCGACTACCGCGAGAGCCCTCGGAATTTGGTTGTCGTCGGCATAAAAAAGTAAAACGATGGCCACGGAATCAGCACGGTCGGGGGTTGCATCCACCCTTGGTTGCAGTCGGATAGTGCCGGCGGATATCTTCCTGAGGGCGGGAGGCCGCTGGCCTCGCACAGCAGCAACTACCCCTCGCCCGGCCAACCAAGACTACTACTCCCAAGTCGAGCAGCGTCGTTCGATACGGCGCCTGGCATGTGGAGATTGGGAGCAATGGCAAGAAAGGCGGCACACGAGCGGACCACCTCGACGCAACCAGACCCCGGCTGTAACCTCAAAATGCTGTGGTCGGAGACAATGTCCATTTCTCTCGACGGCGCTCCCACCCTCCACCCATTATCGGCGATGTCAACGCCGGCAGAGACAACACATACCTACCTCTTCCGAGAGCGCCGTTCTGTGGTAGGCACCTCATATCTAACCCCCACCACCTTCGCGTCACAATCGCGACCCCGAGGCAAGCTGAGAGTCGTTCGTCAGGCCTTCCAACCAGATGACTAGCCAGTTGGGGAGACCGAATGAGACAAGTGTACCATTTCACGATATCCATCCCCTCGTGCATGTCTACACCGAGTCGGTCGAGTTCCTCCCAGTGCACGGAAAGAATGGGAATTGGGCAGTGTTACTCTGCGCGCCCATATCTCCTAACAGTCCACTCATGTGGTGTTTTGTCAGATGCACTCCGAAAAACGAGCATGACCTATCGTATTTCTTACTGGCACATCGGCCGGATTCATCCCAGGTTTCCTTCATGCGGCTGGTCCGTTCCCCTTTGCACGCCGAGGAGCGTGCTGGCAGCTCATGTCTCTGCTCATTTGTCCCCATACGCCGTCAGATATCCGAATTCGGCTAACGGCATGGTGGACAGTTGAGGGGAGGGGGTCAACGTGCAGATGCGGGGTGCTCCAGGAACCGCCTGCAGGACTGCAGCAAACCGAATGCATCAGTCCTCGTCGATATGTGATGCTCCAGCTTCAGTGGGCGGCACATGTTCCTCTCAGGAAATGCACGTCTCATGGTGGGTGTCATTGGTCCTGATTTTCCTCGGCTCATTTTCAGGGCATTGCCATGTCAGGAACTTGAAAGAGAATATACACAGACCCCTTCCCGTTCGCCATTGATCCGTTCTGCACCCCCACGTCCATCCCCACCACATCAGCCAAGCTGCAACCTAAAATAGCTTATACCAGCCCTGGGATATTCCAGCTTGATGCCCCGAAAACCGAGAGGTCACGAGTCCATTCGGGGTACCAACACCATACACAGAGCCCTAGGATATCCAATGGCAAGCTAGCAGTTGTTTTGCCTCCTGCCGTCTTCAACAAGGATGGAGCTGCGCTAATTGTAAAGTTTCGTGATACGATCCCATCATCTTCTGCGAGGCTATCTGCGGAGCTCCTCGAGGACCCATCAAAATCCGTCTCTTATCTATTCCCTTACCTATCCTTTTTACCATCTGTGCAGACTTCCACGTGTTGTGCTTTGTACTCGACTCTTCGACAGCACTTCAAACAGCTTCTGAGAATCACATTATCTCTGCTGGTCCTCCACCGTACCCTCGCGTTGCTGGGGTGCCTAGTTGTCAAGGAAGAGCAGGTTCACCGCCATTGATAAGTGACAGCTCCGCTTGATTCCCAGCCGGGAAGTTATCTAGAGTCGCTGCGGCTGGGTTGGGTGTTTTCTTTTTTGTATACGCAGTAGTTCCTAGACTTACCCGTTTAGAACACCACAGCTTACCATTGTGCGGGAAGAACAAAGAGGCGGGAGCCCACTTGAACCTCACCTCACCCCTGCAATACTCGGTCGATAACCGTACTCAAGCACCAGCACTCGGCGCTCTTACGTCAACTGAATACTTGAGCGTTGAGTTACTGTTGGGAGACGGCACGCCCACTGCCAGAAAGGCGATTTTACCGAGTCATGACCGCGCAGGTCTCGTTCCTGGTAAGCCTGCTACTTCCCATTGCCCTCCGCCACTGTCGATCGACAAGACCACATCCCATCACAGTGCTCTCATATTCATGACTTATCCAGTCACGGCCGGCAGCTCACTTCCCATGCAATGATACTTTCTTCTCCTACTCACAATATCCCTTCTGCAGGAAGGCACCTTAAGCCTGATCCACATCCCTCTCGACCTCTACCCCAGCCTCCTCCAGCCTATCCTCAAGGTCCTCCTCCCACCCAGCCAGGATCCCAGCCAGAGCACGGTGGATATTCTAACCGTTGAGGGTCACGGTCATGGCTTCCTCAACATCAGCGTCACGCCAATTGAGTGTTCCATCGTGTGCAACTCAGCTTGGGCGAAATCTGTCTTCGAGCCTGCCATCAAGCGCTTGCCCGAGAGCCAGGCCAAGGCGGTTGCCATCTCCAAGGACACGTACATGGCGCTGAGCGTGTACGGGTCGGGCATGGACGCGGGGTCGCGGGTTGCAGACCTGACGTCGCCGCTGGCCCTGGCCAATATCTCCATCTTCTTCATCACGACATATTGTAAGCCCCCCAACCTTCCCAGCCGCTCCTACTCTTTTACAGATCAACAAGCACCAACTGCCCCTCGTCTCTAAACCCCCCCTTTGAAGACCCCACGGCTGACCGTGACTCAGACTCCGACTTCATCCTCGTGCCAACCAAGGACCGGCAGTCCGTCGTCGAGACCCTCCTCGCGCGAGAATTTGTCTTCTCCGACGACGACGGCCAAGGCTCTCCCACAACAGCAACAGCAACAGCAACCCGCCACCAGCAGCCCGGCACCCACACCCGCACACCATCCACCCAGCAAACCAGCGACCCCGCCACCGTCTCGGCCCTCCAGCAACGCACCTTCGCCCTCCTCCAGAAGCGGCACATCACCCCACACATCGAGCCGGGCCTGACCCTCGTCCAATGCAGCGGCATCCGCGGCGCCGTCACCCCCTCCCACCAACCCACCTCCTCCCTCTCCCGCGGCACCCGCGCCCCGCAACCCCCGCAACTCCGCACCACTACCAACGGCGGCGGCCGAACCTCCTCCGCCACCGGTCCTACGGCCAAAGGGCCCGCCTGGGTCGACACAATCGACACCAAGCTCTACACCAGCACCGTCGCCGCGCTCGCCGCCTCCCCGCGCTTCCTCAGCATCACTCTCACGCCCGACGACCCCCCCGCACTGCTAATCGACCGGGCATTGCTAGGGCTGTTCGGTGACAGCCTCGTCGGACCACTTGCCGACGATAACAACAACGACAACGAGGAGGAGGGGGGTGGGGATGGGGATGGGGATGATGATGGGGCGCTGGTACCGCTGTTCCTGGATCTTGCGGACTTGCCGTTTGAGGCGGCGGGGATTGTGTCGGGGGTGGCGGGACGGTTGGTGGCGGAAATGGGGGTTGCGGTAGAAGGGGGGGCGGAGTTGTCGTACCTATCGACGGCGAGGGCGGGGGCGGTGATTTTGGGGAGGGCGAGGGCTAGGGTGGCGATGGGGGTTTTGGGGCGGTTGCTTGCTGGTGGTGGTGGTGGTGGTGGTGGTGGTGGTGGTGCTGTGGGTGGGGAGGGGGAGGGGGTGGGTGGTTGAAGGGATGGTGGGAATGGGTGGTGAAAAGTCGTGGTGGTTGTTGAATTGAGTGCGGGATGGTTACCTATAGAGGCTTGCTCCAAGGTTGTAGTCATGCCCTCAGCGATGATGGGGTGTAAATATCACAGACCAACTTCTCCTCTCCTTGTCACATTTCACCGCCGCAAAAGGCCATCCCAACGTGCCACCACTTCACTTCCCCCCTTTCTTCTTCCCTCCTCCAGCCGGAGCCTCCTCCCTCACCAACCCGGCCCGCACAAAGGCGTCCCTCGCGGTCTGGTTGATCAGGGCGAACCGGCGCGGGCCCAGCTTCTGGCCGCCGTACCAGCGCGTCACGACGACCATGGCATCCCACAGATCCATAAGCTGCATGAGATGCAACAGCCGGCCGCCGGCCGCCGTCTCCCCGTCGTCGTCGCAGTCCTGGAAGCTGGCCCCGTTCGGGCCCCGGATGCGCCAGGCAGTGATGTTGTGCGTGGCCGTGCGGACCCGCTTGTCCGAGGCGAGGAGGTGGGCGAGGAAGTCGGCTGCCTGGGCGGGGGATGTGACGGGCGCGCAGCGGGCGACGAAGGTGGATTTGTTTTCTATAAAGGGGGCGGAAATGGTCCAGGCCGGCGGTGGGCCCAGGTCCCCGGCGCTGGGTTCCGTTGAGGAGGGGGTAAGGGTGGGTTTGCTGGGGGTGTCATCGCTCGCAGGGGAAACGGGGGCTTCATCCTCTCCCTCACCCTCGCCCTCTTTGACGGCTAATAGCAACTCCTGGACTTTCTCTATGCCGTCAAACAGGCATACTTGCCCCGGTTCGTACACCTCGCTAACTGCATCCCGGAAAAGGGCCAAATCCCTCACGGCAGCCCCGTGTTTCCCTGCGGAACCAGAACTATGGGTTCCGAGGACTGTGGGAGGTACGTCCGGGTATGTCTGAGGGAACTGCAGTCGTAAAGAAGCAGTCTCGCCAGGAAGAGTCAGGATGAAGATGGAAGAGTCCTGGTCTTGGGTGGAAGGGGCCAAAGTGTTGTCCCCGTAGATGGAATTAATGGCTTCTATCTCGTCGACAAGGGCTTCTGACATTTTCGGGGCTGGATTGTGAGAATGGGCTTTTAACAATGGAATTGATGAGTGAAATTGTGAGTGGTTACCTAATATTCGAGCATTTGCAGATTGGAGTCGGGAGGTGCGATTAAGAAACGGGTGGAGTCCGTTCTCGGATGCATCGCGGGCTCGAGCCAGCTAACAAGACACTAACATGTCAAGAATTCAAGTTACGAGATTTGTCATACTAATTTACCGATTTTGAGCATTGTAGGCCCATGTGGTCTATTGACCGAGCCATCATAGTTATTTTATCTACTATTCCTCCTCTTTTACCGAAGCAGAGAAACGGAACAGAGAGTGTTGAGACAGTCCTCGGGATAGCGGTGCGGTAAGGAGTCATGGCGGAACGCGGGTCAATGTCGCTGACCTGACTGCATCTTGCTGCCTTTTTCGTATGTTCCAATTACATTAGAAGGATAGTCGGTACCTAGGTACCTATAATCTGAAACTAAAGACAGGCTTGATTCATCATTTCCACCGCACTGTTTCATTGTTCCGTGTTGGTCAGCCGCCGAGAACAAACATATTACCGTACCTACCTAGGTAGGTCTGATAAGCATGTTTGCCTGCGCTGTGCCTCCTTCCGACCTGGGTTCGCTTGGCGCTGGCCAGCCTGGGAAGTGACCAGTAAGTGTGAGACTGCACCACAGCGGGTGAACATTAAAGGCTCACAGTCTCACCCGCTTTCAGATTCACCAAACAGCACTTCCAAGCTTGCATTTCTCGACTCATACCTGGCCTCTCCCCAAATATTATAAAGAGCCGTCAACAACCCAACTCGGCTTTTCAAATTCTAAAGCCGAGATTCATTTCCTGTTCCCCTCGTAGAGGTTCACCCAACTCGCTCCCTACAAGCGACTCCATGAGGCGAGGAGGAGGCCCCCCCCGTCGTCCTATTCGCAGGATGGACGCCAACAACGGCACCCAGACCAGCAGCTCCCAGACCAGCAGCTCCCAGAGCGATGAGGGCAAACACACCGCCTTCGTTTACGGTAAGCACCCTTTCGACCACTTGGCTGGACGTAATCGCTAACGATTTCAAATCATAGGCACACTGGTATGATAGATGATAACCCCTAGACCCCAAGCGATAAGATGCTAACCAACCGCCACCACACAGATGATGCCCGACGTCTTCCACACCGTCTGCTACGGAACCAAGGACGTCCCCGACGCCATCAAAAAGCTCCACAGTTTCAAGCCGGCCGTCCTCCAAGGCTACCAACGCCTCCGCGTTCAGTACGCCGACTACCCCGGGATGATCGAGAACAAGGACCACAAGGTCGTTGGCAAGCTCGTCACGGGGCTCACCAAGGCCAACATTTCCAAGCTGGACTACTTTGAGGGCGGCCAGTACGAGCGCAGGGCCGTCACTGTCAACCGGACCAGGGAGCGTGTCAACGCGAAGGGCGAGCGCAAAGTTGAGTACGTCAAGGTGGACACCGAGGCCTACGTGTTCTTAAACAAGCGTGACCTTGAGACGAAGGAGTGGTAAGTAATCTCTCACCTTTTCAATACGGGCTTTGGCTATCTCGGCTTTTGATTTTGGAACGGGGTTGGAACAACATACTGACATAATAACGTAGGGATCCGGAGGAGTTCTGTCGTAATAAGTTGAAGCAGTGGTCACACAGCTGAGCTGGTAAGCAGCCAACGGTAGCGTAGCCAGCATCTCTGGGCTCTGGTACCCCGAGCCGCCGGCTAGGCAACCCGCCATAATCGGTGCCGACTCTTGAGAGCACCCAGTGTGTAGCGTGTTGCATCACAGCCAAGACCCATATAGTCGGGATTATATATACCTCAGACCCTCTCTTAATAAGATACACTTGGATCGCAATTAACCTTTTTTGAGGGCTATTAGCAGTACTAACTTGGCTGGTGCTTTACGTACAGTTGATGTATGTAACTCTCCATATGTCCAATATTCGATAGGATGATTCGGGTCGGCTCGAATCTGCCCACCAACCGAGTCCATTGGACAGTTTGGCAGCCACGTGTAATTAACAGGAAGAGACGTCAACATTCTAGCACACCGTCTACCTGTGAAATTTCATGTACCTACCTACCATAGGGCGCCACCGGTGTCTGTGAAAATGATCCAGGCATATGTTTTCCTTGATGAAAATGAACCTGAAAACTGAAAATAGAATTCGATTCAAAATAAATACGCGTTCAATTTCAGTTAAAATAACTTTATAAATAAGATATTTTTTTATAAGAAAGATAATCTCTTATATATAAGAAAATATTAGATATTATTTTAAATATAAAATAGTTTTATATAAAATTAACTTTAAAGATAATTTAATTTTTATATTTATTTATAAAATCTTATATCGATTTAGAAGACTAATTGCTTAACAATACTATACTATCTAGACTTTAAGGAAATAACTTTAAAATTATCTCAAGGCTTGAAAATAATCTTCTATATAAATCTCTACAGAATATCATTTTAGGTTTCTGAAATGAACACGCGTTCATTTCGAATCTGAGAATGGATTTTGCTTGACAAAACAATTGCCAGGAGCATTTTCACAGACACCGGTGGCGCGCTATGGTACCCAAGGTAAACAACTAAGCTGCTACCTCTTGGGTAGCCTTATGACCCAGTAGGTCACCCCCATTAGCCTCGCTCATCAATGAAGTATAGCATGAACAACGCCTACTTGGATGAGCGTGAATCCAAGAACGGAATTACATCTCCCATCGTCTTTCTCAACTCGGTCACAAAACTTAGCCCCTCCCTAGACGTAAACATATCATGCAGCATTTGTAATCGGCCGAGGGTTGGCCACCCAGCAACCAAACTCCACCCCTAATTCACTTTGATATAAACAGACACATCGAGCCGACCACCACTTACCGTTCATGAAGACGACTGTGTAAGCATAAGCATACGAGAAACAAGCCCGCGGTCGGGGTAATTAGAGTTCGAACACCCGGGGCCACCGTGGCAAACCTTTAGCGCGGCGAGCAGGCAGGCGCGGCCGGGCCCGAAAACCACGTCACCCACGCGTGGCGTTGCCGGATGGCATTGTCCGCCTTGGCCATTCCCAAACGGCGCAACAGTCCGCCATAGGTATCCCTCACCATGAGCCATACCTCACGGGGTTGTCACCAATAACGACACAGGCGGCTACGCATCGTGAACGGCTTTGGAGGCCACAGTCATCATCAACCCCCCTTCAAGGCGGTGACAATGTGATTACGGCCTTGACCCTTCGTCGGCAACTCCTCAGCCTCAGGCGCACTGCAGCTGCCACGACGCTAGCAGCCTACCATCACCCCTCCAACCCCCACCCGAGAACTGCTGCTTACATTCCGAGAAGAGTCAGGCTCCCCCGCTAGCGAAATACCTACCTGTTCGAAGTCGCTTGCTTTGGCTACGTGTATGTACCTGACCAAGCAATGCCTTGCCCTTGGTTTGCCTCTAGCCATTTGTGAGTGACGATAATGGAGGTGTTGGGATGTTGGCGGCGGGATGGCGGGATGGCGTTGTTAAGGTAACGTGCCCACCTAGAGATTGCAGGAAATGGACGACTTTGGCGTTCTGGAGGTTCCAGTAGGTCGGCGATCGGGAGGAGAGGACGGTAGGGTGTGAGAATTGTTTGTTATCGGTTGAGAGTGAGGTGCGTGGTGGTTGAGGGGACGTAGGCTTCTAGGGGCGCAACTGGTGAAGGGGGGTTGGCGAGAGAAAACCACTTGGATGGGGGAAAATGAAAGCATGGCCACTGTTCTGGACGACGGCGAGACTCTCCCGCATGTGGTTGTTGAGAGCCTATCGAGATCAGCCCCCCCCCCACCCGGGGGATTGTTTACCCCACCAGTGCTCGCTTCTCATCTCCTCGACCGTAGCGTCTGCGATTTCTCTTTTGAGATCGTTGCTCGCTCGTTGCCAATATCCAGCCAGACGATTTGCGATGCTTAGAAAGCCAAGCCGTTATCGCATCACTTCATGGGTGGTGATAGGTAGGCGGCGATCGAAAAGGCATGAAGACTCTGCCTGGTATCATTGTGGGTTTCGGCCAGTTGATAGGCGGGCGGCGGTAGAATAAACTGTGATGTTGATTAGACAGACGGTTAGAACGGTGTGGACAGAGTGGGGATGTGTTTTTGAGCGGGGGCTAAAGAATTGTCCCCATGGCGTGTTCATTAACATTCAGAAAAAATATGGAGTTCGGCAAGAGTTGGCGGCAGGAGAAAGTCCGAGAAGAGCACGATTTTGCGGTGTTGGGCCTTGTGTTGGTTTGGTGTTCGAGGAGTCGTGAAGACCGAGGAGGGATGGAGGAAGTCTGATGGATGCTGATGCTGATGCACTACAACCCAATCCGGTGAGATTGGGGATGCACCGAGAGGGTTGCAGAGTGGGAATGTGGAAGATGGAAGAGGGTCGCAAGTTCATGCGCAGCTGCCTGGGTAGGTACCTTATGGACCCCAAATTTCATCCTCATCTCATCCCCCCGAATGCCGTCGGCAACAATTGGCAGAGAACACCTAACATCGGGGCTGGGTGTCCTTGCTAACGCCCTATTTTTGGAGGAGCGTACGAAACAGGCGGCCGTGGGGCTTGGGCACAGACGTTGAGTAACCTGAAAAGAGCACAGAATCCATCAACTGCGAGGTTCCGGCAATGCACCAACCTAAATGTCATATCCTTCTGGCCGTCTGTTGGTTTCGACCCACGGAGGCTGCGACAACTTAGATACCTCCCTCGGTAAGTGCTTCATACGTTTCTAAGTTTTTAACTGTCTGTTCAATGTAACAGTATGTGAAGAACCTGGAAGCTATGTACATGGGTAGGGACGCAGCGTCTCTTGCCATGGAACAGGACCACTGTCAGCATGAGCCTCGCCCCGCCAACAGCCCATTTTCCAGCCATGAGGCCGCAACCCCGCCGCACGAACGAAGCATCCCTGCTTGGCACGATCTCAGGTTTCATTCTTGGCACAAGGGTCCCAATCGCCCCGCTTTGCAGATCCATGCATGGATCGAGGTTGCTTGGCAGATCTTTCGGGCCGCTTCGCTTGACATGCAGCCTGTCCCGACGGGGACTCCTGCGAAATTCCATGTTTCGTTTCTTCCATCGAACTCGCATCAATGTCCAAGTTCGTTCAAGAATCACCTGCGCCATGACGCAGCCGTAAAAGGGTAACAAGAAGAATTTCGCTAACAGTTGCCATAACGAACACACTTGGCCGCCGTCGCGCAGAATACATAGGATGATGTTTGATGCCTGTCGTGGGCCTCGGCCGTGACCATGGCCTGGCGCGATTCCCACCGTGACGTCTCACATCACCTTCGTACCTCGTACCAAGTATCAAAATCCCAAATATCCGCAGACAGACGCGCCCCCACTCATTCTTCCGCGGCTCACCGGCACCAACTTCTCTTTCGTATTGGCCTCCGTGCCGCCTTGTCTGTCAGCAAGTGCTTGAACGAGTCGCCGCGCTAGATCAGTTGGCCGGAATGTACCTGTCTGAGACATTTTGGTAGTTGGTTATTGACTACCTGAGGATGAGCCATGGGGGCGGGCCGCACCATCCTTGTAACCAGGCTAGGTGAGTGTGTTACCTTTGCTGAGGAGCTCGACTGTTTCGAATAGTCTCCCCAACACACGACGACCCGAACACGGCCAGGATTGTGATCTGGTCCATACAGGCCGTGCTAGCTCCCGTCTTATCGTCCCAGCTGAAGGGCCTGCAATGTGACCGGCCGCCTTACGTCTCAGCTCTAAGCGGCTTCATCTGCCTTCCAACCCTTTCCAGCCCCCGTTTGACGGGCGTAGCCGCAACATGACAACCCCGTTCGATAGCCAGTCGCCGAGCTCGAGGCCCACCGGAAATTCCCGTTCAAGGAGACTCTCACAGCACCCGGCTGCGGCACGTCCTGTTTTGGTTCTGCCCGCCAGGGGCGTCTGTGTCTGAAGGCATGTTTCCCCAACGGCTTCACGCCGCTTTTCGTCGCCTCTGGTGGGGATGGCCCAGTGCCTGCGCCCCGTCGAGGAGACCGACCGACAACCACCTCTGTCGAAGGATATAAGGAAGCTGTCGAGCCCTCCGTCGAGGTTTTGAATTCCTCATCCTCACACTCACTCACCAACCACTCCAGTCCTTCCTTTTAGGCTTTATTTTCTTGATTTGCCTGGTGCAATATCTTTCTTTCACACTCCTTTCTAATCGCAGTACTCGTTGACCGAGCCTGTACCACATTCCTTTCCGGATACTCCAGCATCGAACTAGCTCCAGTCTTTTTCTGAAACTTCCAGTCGAATACATCCGTCAAGATGTTCTCTCTCAAGTCCTTCGTTCTCGCCGGTGGCCTTATCGCCCTCGCTGACGCTCACATGAAGCTGAGGGTCCCCACCCCTTACAGCAGCCCCCCCATCACGTCCAGCCCCATTGATGCGGGCGGTGCCAACTACCCATGCCAGACCGATGGCAACGACTACGTGGGCGAGCCGACCAAGATGGAGAAGGGCTCCAAGCAGGAGCTGGGCTTCACCGGTTCCGCCGTCCACGGCGGTGGCTCCTGCCAGGTCTCTATCACCTACGACGAGAAGCCCAACGCTCAGAGCTCCTTCAAGGTTCTGAAGTCGATCCAGGGTGGCTGCCCCGCCCGGGGCGTGGCCGGCAACATTGAGCCCGAGGCCCCGGAGGGCGACGCCCCGGACACGTACGAGTTCATGATCCCCGAGGACATCCCCAGCGGCAAGGCGACCATCGCCTGGACCTGGTTCAACAAGATCGGCAACCGCGAGTTCTACATGAACTGCGCCCCGGTCGAGATCTCCGGCAGCGGGGGCAGCGAGGCCGGTCTGGCTGCGCTGCCTGACATGCTGATCGCCAACATCGCCCAGGCCGGTACTTGCAAGACCGCCGAGGGTAGCGACATCGAGTTCCCCAACCCTGGTTCCGACGTTGAGACCGCCGAGGGTGACGTTAAGCTTGCCCCCCCCGATGGCGAGTGCGCTGCCGCCGGTGGCTCCGGTGGCTCCGGCGGCAGCAGCGGCGGCTCTGCTACTGCTGCCCCCGGTGGCGCTGCCACTCCCGCTGTCCGCGGCCGCCACTTCCGCGTCTAAGCAAACAACGCGCAGACTTTTCTTCCACGCTGCAGAGCGCACGGGGATAAGAGCTCGGGCATCTCGCATGCCCGAGGCCAACAGTCGTTACTTTCCAGCAGAGTCGGGGTCGGGGTTTGGTCACTCGTTTGAGAACACATTCGTTAACCTGGTGGGGGATGGACCCTTCACTTCATGCTTACTTCAGCATGGCAATAGGGGGATGCACTCGCTTCAGCACAACAACAAGGACATTCGTTTGGACGATATTTCAGAGAGAGATGGTGGAGCAGCTTTCGAGCTAGATATTCCTTCTTTAAATGAAGCCTGGGTATAGGCTAGAGTGGGTGGTGATGGAGGACAGTCATTCCTTTTAAGAATAAACAATACATTCCTTTTAAACACACGCATGGGGCAGTTTGATATGTGTCCTTTCGGTTTCAATGAGCTCTTGTAAAGTGCTTCCCGTTGTTGTTGTCGTTGTTGTCGTCGACGTTGCTGCGGCTCCACACAAACTTTAAGGTGAGGCCTTCTTCAAGGGGCCCAGGTGACATCCCGGCTCCAAGGCCACAAGCTCCGTTCACATGGCTGCATCGGCAGGGCCTTCGAGCATTGATAAGATAAGTGACAGTTATGGGGTCACGCCGCCGGGTACAAATAGGTGACGACAGCCTGGTCAAGCCCGTGTCGGGCGACCAATCATGTAGTTTGCCAAGTGGTTTAGCGTGACGGAAGATGAATGTTCCATGCCTAGCGCCCTTTGATTTCGCGACAGCATCCCCCCGACCTTGGGGAATTTTCGATCTACGCGCAGCGCGCAGCATAGCCTTGTCCCAGAGCGAAACATTCACACCACGGCGATTTCCAAATCCCGACCTTACACATGCGCCCGCACCTGCCCCCTCATCGGCAGCGGATAACAAATCCTCTTCCAGCTTCTTTCAAGACTGGATTTTAGGGCCGAACTCTTTTTTTTTAATGCTCAGCCTAGCTTTAGGCGCCAACGAACCAACTCCCTTATCGAGCTATTGAGCATCGATACACTCAATCATCGACCTCTCCCTCCACAGCTCGGCGGATGTACCATCGCACGTCCACCTTGCCACAACCGAAGATCTCCGCGTCCCTCCGCCCGGTTTCGAAGCTTTCGACACCAAGACATCGGCGGGAGCGATTTAAGCTGTCGCCATACCGCCCGTAAGGGTGGATGTCGCAATCATGGCGAGCAGTCTCATTGAGGATGTGGTGAGGAAACTAAGTGCCTCGGAAACCGGTAGGTTGACCCTCAACTCAATTCGCGCCGCCGATGCTGCCGCTGCGGAGTCGCCCCTCGAGACTAACTATAGTGCGTTCTCTAGAGCCCCGGCTCAAGGTCGAAGCGGCATGTGCCCTGCGCGACAGCCTCGATCATTACACGGCGGGCCCCAGCTACACAACCTTCCTCAATCGATTAATGCCCATATTCATCCACATACTCCGCCAGCCATGCGTCCTCAACACCTACCTCGCCGATCAGGCCAACACGCAGAAGTTGCGAAACTGCGTGCTCGAGATCCTGCACCGGCTGCCGACGTCACAATCCCCGCCCGAGCCGTTTGAGAAATTCGCCGAAGAGACTGTGGACCTCTTGATGCAGCTCGTCCGTAACGACAACGAGGACAATGCTGTCTTATGCGTCAAGATCATCTCGGACATCATGCGGCACCAGCACAAGGCAATGGGGAACAAGGTCCAGGCATTCCTGTCCTTGATTCAGGAATTGTTTGAGCAAGTAGACAAGGTCGTCCGCGAGCAGCTGGACAACATCTCCTCGACTGCGGCACCGGTACCGCCGTCCACACCAGGCAGCACGCAGACCACGTTCCTGCCGCATCAGCAATCCCCGAGGGCTGGCTCGCCGGTTGCCGCAGGAGCCCCCGATTTTATCGCCGATGTCAACCAGCCGTCAAACCGCCCCCTGCTACGGGGGATGCAATCCTTCAAGGTCTTGGCCGAATGCCCCATCATTGTCGTTTCGATATTCCAGGTCCATCGGCCGAGTGTCACGAACAATGTAAAAGCATTCGTGCCCTTGATCAAACAGGCGCTGCTCTGCCAAGCCAGGGCCCAGGACCAAGCGCACAAGGACGCGGCCGCGCGCGGTACCATCCATACCGGCGTCAGCCCCAATATCAAGAACCGCGCTGCGTTTGGGGAGTTCATCACCGCCCAGGTCAAGACCATGAGCTTCCTGGCCTACTTGCTCCGGCAGTACTCTGGCAATCTCACGGACTTCTTGCCGTCACTCCCTGAGATCACGGTCCGCCTCTTGAAAGACTGCCCCAGAGAAAAGTCGGGAGCCAGAAAGGAGTTGTTGGTAGCTATTCGGCACATCATCAATTTCAATTTTAGGAAAATCTTTCTTCCCAAGATCGACGCCTTGTTGGACGAGAGGACGCTCATCGGGGACGGCTTAACGGTTCATGAGACCATGCGACCCCTCGCGTACAGCATGTTGGCCGACCTCATCCACCACGTCCGCGAGAGCCTCACCCCCGAACAGATCCGGAAGACGGTCGAGGTCTACACGCGAAACCTCCAGGATAACTTTCCGGGGACCAGCTTTCAGACTATGAGTGCGAAACTGCTTCTGAACATGGCCGAGTTCATCGCTCGGATGCCCAACAAGGTTGATGCGCGCCACTACCTCATCATGATCCTTAATGCCATTGGCGACAAGTTTGCCGCCATGAACAGGCAATACCCGAACGCGGTCAAGCTCTCGAAACAATATGCTCAGCAGGCGGCCGACGATGCCCGAGAGACCTACCTGTCCGATAGGGAGCATCCGCCAGAATGGGACGAAGTTGACATTTTCAATGCCATGCCGATCAAGGCGTCCAACCCCCGGGACCGCGCCGCCGACCCAGTTGTCGATAACAAGTTCCTTTTCCGCAATTTGATGAACGGCCTGAAGAACACCTTCTACCAGCTGAAGAGCTGCAACCAGCCAGGGGCCGTGGATCTGACCGGCGCCCCCGCGCACTGGACTGACGTCGCCTACGGCTTCACAGCCGAGGAGGTCAAGGTCATCGTCAAGCTGTTCCGCGAAGGTGCTTACGTATTCCGATACTATGAGATAGAGAAGCCAGCAGCCGAGTCGCCATACAGCTCGCCCGTCGAATACATGGCGAACTTCTACATGATTTCGAGCAGCAAGGAAGAAAAGGACCTCCTCGAGACCTTTGCGACAGTCTTCCACTGTATTGATCCTGCCACATTTCACGAGGTGTTCCAGCAGGAGATTCCACGACTTTACGACATGATTCATGAGCATACCGCACTCCTCCATATACCCCAATTTTTCCTTGCCAGCGAGGCGACCTCGCCCAGCTTCTGCGGCATGCTGCTCCGCTTCTTGATGGAACGCATCGAGGACGTGGGCTCCGCCGACATCAAGAAGTCATCCATCCTCCTTCGACTCTTCAAGCTGGCGTTCATGGCTGTCACCCTCTTCGCAGCCCAAAACGAACAGGTGCTTTTGCCACACGTCGTCGACATCGTGACCAAGTCCATCGAGTTGTCGACCAAAGCAGAGGAACCGATGAACTACTTCCTTCTGCTCCGATCTTTGTTCAGGAGCATAGGGGGCGGGAAGTTTGAGCACCTTTACAAGCAGATCCTGCCGCTCTTGGAGATGTTGCTCGACGTCCTCAACAACCTTCTCTTGGCTGCCCGCAAACCTGCCGAGCGGGATCTCTATGTGGAGCTCTGCCTTACCGTTCCAGCCCGGCTTAGTAACCTCCTGCCGCATCTCAGCTTCCTGATGCGTCCCTTGGTAGTGGCGTTGCGAGCAGGTACGGATCTGGTTGGTCAAGGACTCCGGACTCTCGAGCTGTGCGTCGATAACCTCACTGCCGACTATCTAGATCCAATCATGGCCCCCGTGATTGACGAGCTGATGACGGCTCTCTTTGACCACTTGAAGCCTCACCCCTACAGCCATTTCCACGCCCACACCACCCTCCGGATTCTCGGAAAGCTGGGTGGCCGAAATCGAAAGTTCATGACGGATGCGCTCCCGGTCACCTTCCAACAATACGTCGACGATCGGTCGAGTTTCGATGTCCGGCTCATTGGGTCGAAGAGGGACAGGGCTTTCCCGGCGCATCTCGGGATTGACCTGGCCATCCAAAATCTGATGGAGGTGCCGAAGCCAGCTAAGGGGCCGTCGCCATCGCTGTCGAAGCAATACGACCCCTATTATAAGAGGCAGGCCTTGCACCTCATCATCGCTCAGGTCAAGTTGCGGGTTGGCTTTGACAGCCTGCCCGACGATTTTCCCCGCCTTGTTCGCCTCCAGGTCCAGGACCTGATCAATCGCAACAAGGCCGTCGAGGTCTCCATCTTTGAGACCTCCGACCGTGAGCGGTCAACGGCCAAGAAGGACGACGAGGAAAACCTGCTCAAGCGCCTGATCAAGGCCCTCATGTTCGCTCAGTCGATTCCCGATTTCAAAGCCGAGGTGGATGCGCTGCTCCTTAACCTGGCTCGCCACTTCACCATCCTCGAAGTCGGGCGGGCGCTGGCCGACATGAAGAGGGCTCATAGTCCCTTCGATACAAAGTCGGGTGAAGGTCTTCTCTTTCTCGATAGCCGGGTCCTCTCTGATGCCATACTGGAGTCCATGGCCTCGGATAGCCCGGACGTCCGCGATGCCGCTGAGCGTCTGGTGAAAGAAATGTACAACTCGGCCGTCATCATCTTCGGGTCGCCCGCACACGTCGCCCGCCTGACCTTATTCAACAGCCTAGCATCCACTTTTTGCCACGGCTGCTACGAAGAGGAGTGGTTCACCAAAACAGGCGGAACCTTGGGGATCAAGGCCCTGCTGACTGACGTCGATCTTGGCGACGCCTGGGTGGCGACCAAGCAGATCGAGTTTGTCCGCGCCCTCATCTATGTCGTCAAGGACATGCCCCTAGACCTACCTGAAAAGACGAGGAGGTCGGCACAGGTCGCCCTCGAAATCCTCCTGACGAGGCTCACCAAAAACATCACGAAGGCGGACTGCTTACCCGCCCCGCCGTCAGCGGCACCGCAGCCGCCGCAGCCGCCGCAGCCGCCGCCGAAACAGTCTCGCATCGCCCAGATCATTATGATTCTCAACGGGGAACTTTCCCATATGAACCGCCACGTCCGAGACACGGCAAGGAGATCTCTAGAGCTGATTGCCAAGGCAGCCGGGGCCGAGGTCTGGGAGCTCCTCGAGCCTCACCGCAAGCACCTGCTACAACCTATCTACGCAAAGCCCCTCCGCGCTCTGCCTTTCGCCATCCAGATCGGTTTTATCGATGCGGTCACCTACTACATGTCGTTGAAGCGAGACTTTGTTGCTTTCGATGAGAACCTCAACCGACTCTTGATGGAGTCGTTGGCGTTGGCAGACGCAAGTGACGAGTCGCTGGCGGGGAAGATGCTCGAATTCAGGACGCACAACTTCATCGTAAATCTGCGCGTCTCTTGCATCAACATCCTCCGCAGTGCAATGGGCTTCGACGAGTTTGGGGGCAGTGTCAACAACCCGACTAGGGTCAAGGTTGTGTCGGTGTTCTTCAAATGCCTGTACTCCGATTCCCCGCCGACCATCGAAGCAGCCAACGACGCGCTGAGGTCGGTGTTGCTACAGACTAGCAAACTGCCCAAGGATCTCCTTCAGTCCGGCCTCAGACCAGTTCTCGCCAGCTTGCAGGATGCTAAGCGCTTGACGGTTCACAGCTTGGACAACCTCGGTCGGTTACTACGGCTATTGACGACCTACTTTAAAGTAGAGATCGGCGCGCGTCTTCTCGAGCACGTGAAGCAGATTGCCGAGCCAGGCTTTCTTCAACAGGTTTCATTCACCTTCTTCGAGCAGCACACCTCCCTGAAGGTGATTGCTGCCGTCTTTAACATATTTCATCTGCTCCCCGAAGCCGCCAAGCAGTTTAAGGAGCGTGTTATTGATAATGTCCTGGACCTGGAGGAGAAGCTGCGCAGGACGCATCACAGCCCGTTCCGCGTCCCCTTGTACAAGTATCTCAACAAGTACCCGTCCGATATCTGGGCTTTCACTCTCAACAAGCTCGAGGAGCTGAAGTATGGCCGGTTCCTATCCCAGGTGCTACGGCACCCAGACAGCCAAGTCCTCCGAGACTATGGCGCTGCGAACGTCGAGTTCATCATTAAGACGTGCAACAACTCGATCAACCAGGGCAAGGACACCAAGTTCATCGCCACCATCAATACCATCAACATGCTGGACGCCCTTTGCCAGTTTCCCAACACCTTGTCATGGCTAGACAACAAAGATTACATCGATTGGCTGAAGCAAGTTGGGAAGGAGCTTGAGCAAAATCTGAAGGCGAACACATTACCACCGAGCCTGCGGCTCCCGGCCGACCAAGCTTCTGAACAGCTCATCGCCATCCTGACCAAAGCTCTGGCCCGGAATCCCAAGGAGCTAGACCCGCTCTTTGGTCTCGTCGAGTCCATCACAGCCGACGACTTCCGTGAAACACCAGCCTTGGTGTCTCACATCTACAAGCACATCATCTGCAGCGACTCGATTGAGTTCTGGAGGACCGCTGTGCTCCGCTGTCTTGAGATCTACGCGGGGAGGAGCGCATCACAGCGGACAAAGTGGTATCTGCTCCACAATATCGTCAACCCCATCGTCGCCATGGACGTGATGCGGCACTGGAATCGCGGCGAGCCGAGCAAAGGCCCACGGTTCCTCGACAAGTCCATCATCGACTCGATCAACACCAAGATCTGGAAGGTCAACCTGCCTGATCCACAGGAAGACTTGTCGCATCCGCGTATCGACCACACCCGCATGGAGGTGCTTCAGCTCTCGGCCATGATCGTCAAGTATCACCACACCATCCTTCAAGATGCTCGGAAGGATTTCATCAAGTTCGGTTGGACCTACATTCGACTCGACGACGTTATCAACAAACATGCGGCGTATGTGGTCATTGGCTACTTCATCGCACACTATGAGACGCCAGCCAAGATTGTCACCCAAATCTACATCTCCCTCCTGAAAACGAATCAGAACGAGGGCCGGGCGCTCGTTACGCAAGCGCTGGAGTTGATGGCACCAGTTATGCCAAAGAGGTGCAACGCGGCACTCACTGAGCGCAATCCCGTCTGGGCAGTCGCGGCGCGCCGTATCCTCTCAGAGGAGAGCCAGAACGTCCAGCAGATGACGTGCATCTTTCACTTCCTCGTGCGGCACCCGGATTTGTTCTATCACACTCGAGACAAGTTTGCCATATTGATCATCCAGTGCCTCCGCAAAGTGGCATCACCTCCCAACCCATCTAATGAGAGCCGGAAACTCGCGCTCAACATGATGTGGTTGATATGGCAGTGGGAGGAGCGACGCGTGGAGGGGAAGATGAGCGAGCCCCTCCGCGCTGTCACCGAGTCACCCGGCACCAGGAAGCGGAAGCTGGAGGACCCGCAGGCATCTTCCCCTTTGGCCGCGCGTCAACCGGTCAAGGCAGAATTCCAAATCCCTCCTTTGGTCCGCCATAAGATGGTTAAGTACCTCGTTGAATTCATCGCCCAGTTGAATGAGCGGTACCAGCTTCCGTCCGCCAAACCACGCGATCCGGCCGCGCTGGCGCTTCCCTCGCCGACGACGGAGCTCTGCAAGAGGGCCATGACTTTGTTATACAATCTCCTTCAGCCGCAGTACTGGGGCGACCTGGACGTGGACCTGTTCCCCAACGTCACCGACGTGGTCCTGGCCAGCACCAAATCTGCAGGCCTCCTGTCGGCCGATCCGTCGGACACGGACAAGTACGATGATAAGTTCATCACCAATATCATCAACACCCTGCAGGTGGTCCGTATCATTCTCAACTTCAAGTCCGACGAATGGATTCTGAAGCACATGGCCCACGTGCAGAAGATCTTGGACAAGTGTTTGAAGTCGGAGAATCCCGAGATCCAGGACTGTCTAAATATGGCTGACAAGGACCACGACGGCGGCCGCGAGATCAAGCCGATCGTGAAACGTATCCTGGATGCGATCCCAGAGGACGTCCCCATGGAGGATGCGGATACCGATGGCGAGTCGGAAGCGCAAACCTCGGAAGTCATCACCTTCCTCTCGGGCATTGCCACGGAGAGCATGGCTGCGTCGAACTACGTCTCCGGCATCAACATCTTGTGGTCACTCGGATCCCGCAAGCCGTCCACCATTGACCAGCACATAACCGCCATCATGAAGTCGCTGCAGTCAAAGCTTGCCCGGGACCACGTCTCTCACTACGCGGCACTGGTGCACCAAGCCAGCGGCATCCGTCCGCAGCAAGACCCGAACGCGGCGACCGAAATGAATCCCTATGACCTCGAGATCCAGACGGGCCTAATCCTCAAGGCGATCGAGGTCACAGCGATGCGCATGGAAATCCTAGGCGACAACAGGCGGCCCTTCCTCAGCGTCCTAGCAACCATCGTCGAGAAGTCACTCCATGTGGGTCTCTGCGAGAAGATCCTCGAGATGGTGGAGGGTTGGGTCTTCCGGTCTGAAGGCACATGGCCCACGCTTAAGGAGAAGACGGCGGTACTGCACAAGATGATATCGTTTGAGCACCGCGCCGACCCGACCATGTTGATGAAATTCCTCGAGCTTGTCCTCCGCATCTACGAAGACCCCAAGATCGCTCGGACCGAGCTGACGGTGCGTATGGAGCATGCCTTCCTTATCGGCACGCGCGCTCAAGACGTTGAGATGCGCAACAAATTCATGACCATTTTCGACAAGTCCCTGTCCAAAACAGCGAGTGCCCGGTTGGCGTATGTCATTCTTTCGCAGAACTGGGACACACTGGCGGACTCATATTGGTTGGCGCAAGCATCTCAACTTCTCTTGGGCGGCGTCGACATGAATCCCGTCATTCAACTGCATCATGAGGATTTCCGGACCCTGCAACTCTCTCAACTCCTGGGTAGCTACTCCAAGGACAGCCGCGAGCCGACCAGTATGAGCGACGACAAGTACGAGTCGTTCATGACAAATCATCGGCGCTTTGTGGGGGAGCTTGGCGACATCAGGGTACGGGACGTCCTTGAGCCCCTGACGCAGCTGCAACATGTCGACTCCAACTTTGCGAACGACCTCTGGGTGGCCCTTTTCCCGATGTTCTGGTCCGCGACGGCCAAGGAGGACAGAGCCGATCTCGAGCGCGGCCTGGCGGCGCTGCTCACCAAAGACTACCACGCGCGCCAGCTAGACAGGCGGCCGAATGTGGTTCAGTCACTGCTAACCGCGGGCGTGAAGACGTGGCCACACTGCAAAATCCCGCCGCACATTCTCAAGTTCGAGGCCAAGACGTACGACACTTGGTACACGTCGCTCTACCAAATGGAGAACTCGGCCATCAAGCCTGAGATCGACTCCGCAACCGTACGGGAAAGCAACCTGGACGCCTTGGTCGATCTCTACGCCTCTCTAGGCGAAGATGATCTGTTCTACGGAACGTGGCGCCGCCGCTGCCAGTTTGTGGAAACCAATGCCGCATTATCCTATGAGCAACACGGCATGTGGGAAAAGGCCCAGCGCATGTACGAAACAGCGCAGATCAAGGCCAGAACTGGCGTCATTCCCTTCTCCGAGGCGGAATATATGCTCTGGGAGGACCATTGGGTGCTATGTGCGCAGAAACTCCAGCAGTGGGAAGTCTTGCAGGACTTTGCAAAGCATGAGAATTTCCAGGACCTGCTCTTGGAGTGCGCATGGCGGAACCCCGAGTACTGGCAGAACCAAGAGAACCGCGACCAGCTGGATACGCTCATCAAGGGCGTCATGGACGCACCGACACCGAGGAGATCATTCTTCCAGGCGTTCATGTCCCTTCTGAAGCTGCACAACAAGCAGGAGAACATGCCGGACTTTAACCGCGTGGTCGATGAGGCAATTCAGCTGTCAATTAGGAAATGGCATCAGCTGCCGAAACGACTCACAGCGGCTCACATCCCGGTTCTCCAGAACTTCCAGCAGCTCGTTGAGCTCCATGACGCCAGCGTCATCTCTCAGAGCCTGAACAGCACAAACGCCAACAATCTTGACGTCAAGTCGGGCGAGCTGAAGTTGCTTCTTGGGTCGTGGAGGGACAGGCTTCCGAACACATGGGACGACATCGTTGCATGGCAAGATCTGGTGACGTGGAGACAGCACATCTTCGGCCTCATCAACGGAACGTACCTGCAACTTGTGCCTCCGCAGCCGCAGAATGCGGGGGGCGTCTCGTTTGCGTACCGAGGCTATCACGAGACTGCATGGATCATCAACCGGTTTGCTCATGTCGCCAGGAAACACGCGCTGCCGGATGTCTGCATCAGTCAGCTGAGCCGCATCTACACCCTTCCTAACATCGAGATCCAGGAAGCATTCCTCAAGCTGAGGGAGCAGGCCAAGTGCCATTACCAGAACCCCGAGGAACTGACGAGCGGGCTGGACGTGATTAACAATACCAATCTTAACTACTTCAGCGCGCCGCAGAAGGCTGAGTTCTATACCCTCAAGGGCATGTTCTTGGAGAAGCTCAACCAGAAGGAGGAGGCCGACGGCGCGTACGGCACGGCTCTCTATTTCGACATCACGGCGGCAAAGGCGTGGGCAGAATGGGGCTACTTCAACGACAGGAAGTTTAAGGAAAATCCGACCGACCTGGCGGCGGCCAAGCAAGCAGTCACCAGCTACCTGCAGGCGGCGTCGAGCTATAAAAATAACAAGTCCAGGAAGCTGATCGCGCGGGTTCTGTGGCTGCTGAGCCTCGACGACGCAAACGGCACCATCTCGCAGGGGTTCGATGACTTCAAGGGAGAGGTTCTTGTCTGGTGGTGGATTACGTACATCCCGCAGCTCCTGATCGGCCTCGGCCACAAGGAAGCGCCGCGCGTGCAGACCATCCTCCTCAAGATTGCGAAGACCTACCCGCAAGCGCTGTACTTCCAGCTCAGGACCAACCGCGAAGACATGCTCGCGATCAAAAAGAACCAGGAGGCCAAGGAACGGGCAAGGCGTGGACAGGCCGCGGGCAACAAGTCGGCCGGCTCTCCGCAGCTGACCAAGAAAGACGCGGCGGCCAGCAGCAGCGATTCCCGACCCGCAACGGCTAACGGAGACGCGGGCGGACAAGCCAAGGTCGAGCCCAAAACCGAAGGCGAAGTTGCGAGCACACCCACGGGACCGTCTTCGACGCCTAACGGGCCGGCACAAGGCGAGCAGTCGGGCAGCTCCCAAAAGAAGCCCTGGGAGCTCACGGAGGAGATCATGAGCGTTCTGAAGACTGCTTTCCCCTTGCTGGCGTTGTCGATGGAGACCATGGTGGATCAGATACAGAAGCATTTCAAATGCCCACCTGACGAGGACGCCTACAGGTTAATCGTCGCGCTCCTCAACGACGGCCTTGCGTACGTCAGCCGTATGCCAACTTCGTACGCCCGGGATGTGAAGCTTCCGCCTGCCACGGAGAACAACATAACGCGTTTCGCCGAGACGATCCTGCCGAGCCACATTCGTGGCACGTTCGAAGCGGACTTTGTCAAGGTCAAGCCCACTATGTATGAGTACATCCACAACCTCCGCAAGTGGCGCGACAAGTTTGAGGAGAAGCTCGACCGGCGGGCGACGCCGGTGCCGCTCGAAAGCTTTGCCCATTACTCGCCGCATCTAAGCGAGTTCCGGTACCAGAAGTTTGACGAGGTCGAGGTTCCGGGGCAGTACCTACAGCACAAGGACAAGAACCAGGACTTTGTCCGCATCGACAGGTTCCTGCCCAACGTCGACCTGGTGCGCACTATAGGAGCGTCCCACCGGCGCCTCAAGATCCGCGGCCACGACGGCAGCGTGCACGTGTTTGCGGTGCAGCACCCCGCAGCTCGGCACTGCCGCCGGGAGGAACGGATCCTGCAGCTGTTCGAGCAGCTCAACCAGACGCTGGGCAGCAAGAAGGAGAGCCGGCGGCGGGATCTGCAGTTCACGCTGCCGCTGATGGTGCCGCTGGCGCCGCACATCAGGATCGTGCAGGAGGACACGACGTACATCACGCTGCAGGGCATCTACGAGGATCACTGTCGTCGGAATGGTATCCCCAAGGACGAGCCGGTGCTGTACACGATGGAGAAGCTGCGGGGGCTGGTGGACTCCAAGGGACCCGTAAGAGACGCGCTTGACCCTATCCACGGACACGGGCTAACCACTCATGACTTGCAGAAGCCGGCGGAGCACGCAGTGACGGCGCGTCTGGAGGTGATGCGGGCGATCCAGGAGAAGTACGTGGACCACACGGTGGCGCTCGAGTACTTCCAGGGCGCGTTCCCCGACTTCTCCGAGTTCTGGCTCTTCCGGCGGCGCTTCTCGTACCAGCTGGCGGCGGTGACGTTCATGACGTACATCCTGCACATCGACAAGCGGTACCCGCACAAGATCAACATCGCGCGCGGGTCGGGCAACATCTGGGCGTCGGAGCTCATCTCGTTCATGGCGGCCAACCGGCCGTACTTCCACAACCAGGAGCCCGTCCCCTTCCGGCTCACGCCCAACCTGCAGACGCTCATGGGCCCGCTCGCGACCGAGGGAATCTTTGCCTCGTCGGTCATGGCCATCGCCCGCTGCCTGACGGAGCCCGAGTTCCAGCTCGAGCACGCCCTCACCCTCTTCGTGCGCGACGAGATGATGTTCTGGTTCACCAGCTCCCACCGCTCGGCTCCGCTCACCGAGAACCAGCTGCGCGAGACCGTCCAGGCCAACAGCGATATGATCGTGAAAAAGGCCGTGTCGCTGGCCCAGGCGCCTGCGGGGAATCTGCCCGCGCACCAGACGGTTATTGACCTGATTGCGAAGGCGGTCAATCCGATGAACTTGGCTATGTGTGATGCGTTGTGGATGCCGTATTTGTAAGATGGAGAGGGATGGGGGGATGGGGTGATGGGGTGATGGGGGGGTGATGGGGTGATGGGGGTGATGGGGGTGGTGTGGGTGGTGTGGTTTGGAGGGGGTATGGGGGAACTTTGTTGGGATGAGCGATCGTTCTCTGGGTGTGCATGGAGTTAGGGGTGTTTTGTAATACATGCATGCAGTCTGTACATGCCATGGTTCGGGGTGGCAGGTGGTGGCAGGGCGGGAAAAGGGAGCTGGGTCTGGGGCTGGGGGGTGGCTGGGGACACCCGGGTCATGGTTCGGATGGTGGTGTTGGGGTTTTCGCGGCTTTAGCTTTATTTAATCTCATAATTGAGGTCTTTCAAATACCATTGATTCATACAGCAGAGCAAGGCATTGGGCCTGTGATATGTGTTCCTTGTCGAGCCGATGATTGTTTCATGGAACGGACCGGTGTAGCCGGCCCGAGGGGTGATCGGCGACCGACCCGAACCGGGGTCCGGGTACTGGTTTCCCCAACCCCGCATGCTGCATCGTGCTAAGACGGAAGAGTGGTCCTTGTCTTGGTGGTACAGAAGGAGTTTCTCGGAGTTTCCGGGAATCGCTGCCTCGGTTCACCTGTGGTCACTCTTTCTTTTTCACTCTTCAAGTGGTTACGTGTGCTCATTGCGGAATTTCATTCACGGCTATTAAGAATTCAACCAGGCAACTTATAAGAGTTACTGCAGTTTCAACGCGAGACGTAGTTAGAAACCGTTTGTTTACTTCCAAGAAAGTACATCCACACCGGACTCCGAGATGGCGAACCAAGACCAGCAAGCGGTGTCGGTGCCTCGGAAGCTCTGGTATGTTCACTCCCACAATCTCACATCGCCAACGAGATCTCAAGATGATGGCTGACCCTCACCGCCATACACACACAGGCAACACCCCAACCCCGAAAGCACCCAGATGTACCACTTCATGCAGGACCTCAACCGCGAACACAACCTCCATCTCAAGGTCCGTCCGTAGTCTCACCACACACCCACACCCACAGCCACCCCTCATCCACCCACAACCCCCATCCTCACCACCACCACCACCTCCCCATTTTACCAACCCCTAAACCCCAACCATTAACCCCCCTCCCAGACCTTCCGCGACCTGCACGCCTTCTCCCTCGCCCACCGCACCGCCTTCTGGGCCTCCCTCTTCGCCTCCGCCAACCTCCTGCACGAGGGGTCCTACACCACCGTCGTCGACGAGTCCCTGCCCCTCGACGCCGTGCCGCGCTGGTTCGACGGCGTGCATCTCAACTTTAGCGAGAACGCGCTCTACTCGCGCTGTCGCGCCACCGGGGAACGGGGCGTGTGGGGGAAGGAGGATGGGAAGGTGGCGGTTACGGAGGTGAGGGAGGCGGGGAGTGCCGTGAGGGAGGTGACGTATGGGGGGCTGAGGGGGTTGGTGGGGGGGATGGTGAGGGCGATGGAGGCGAGGGGGGTGCGCAGGGGGGATCGGGTGGTCGTGGTCGCGGCGAATAGCGTCGAGACGGTGGTGGTCTGGTTGGCGGCCGCGTGGTTGGGGGCCGTGTTTAGTAGTAGCTCGACGGATATGGGCGTCAAGGGGATTTTGCAGAGGGCGGTGCAGGTTGATCCGAAGGTGAGTCTCCGTTCTTGAGTTCTGGTGGTTGGTGTGTGGGAGAGGCTGTGCTGACGATGGGGGTAGTTCCTGTTCATGGATGATGCCGCGCTGTATAACGGCAAGGTGGTCGACCTTAGGGAGAAGATGGCCGAGATCGTGGACGGGTTGAAGGGGTGCTCCAACTTCGAGGGTGTGGTGTCGATTCCCCGGTTCGAGGAACCCAGGGATATCTCCCGCGTTCCCAAGTCGGAAACGCTGGCGTCGTTCCTCTCCTCCGCGGCCAAGGACGCTCCCCTGCCGGACTTCGTGCGCGTCCCCTTCCACGAGCCCTTCCTCATCTGCTACTCGTCCGGCACGACAGGCATCCCAAAGGCCATCGTCCACTCGGTCGGCGGCATCCTCCTCAGCTACTACAAGGAGGGCGTCCTGCACGAGGGCCTGGGCGCGGATAGCGTCACGCTGCAGTACACCACCACGGGCTGGATCATGTACCTCTCCAACTGCGGCGCGCTCCTGTACGGCGGACGCACCGTCTTCTACGACGGCTCGCCGTTCCAGCCCGACGCCACCATCCTCATCCGCATCGCGGGCGAGCAGAAGGTGACCAAGCTGGGCATCAGCCCGCGGTGGATGTTCGAGGTAGCCAAGGCCGGGCTCCGGCCGCGCGACATGGTCGACCTCTCCCACCTGCGCACCGTCACCTGCACGGGCATGGTGCTCTCGGAGCAGCTCTTCGAGTGGTTCTACGACGTCGGCTTCCCGCCCCACGTGCACCTGGGCAACATCTCGGGCGGCACCGACATCGCCGGCTGCTTCGGCATCATGAACCCGCTCGAGCCCGTCTACGTCGGCGGCACCCAGGGCCCCTCCCTCGGCGTCCACGTCGCCATCTACGACTCGCTGCTCCCGGACGGCGTGGTGGGCGAGGAAGTGCCCCACGGCACCCCCGGCGAGCTGGTCGCGGCCGCCCCCTTCCCCAACATCCCCTGCTTCTTCTGGGGCGACAAGCCCTCCGCCGGCACCAGCACCAGCAGCAGCAACAACAGCCCAGCAGCGCCGGGAACCAAGTACCACGCCGCGTACTTTGCACGGTTCCAGCACGTGTGGGCGCACGGCGACTTCTGCGTGGTGCACCCGGTGACGGGGGGCATCACGTTCCTAGGGCGGGCGGACGGGGTGCTGAACCCGTCCGGGGTGCGGTTCGGGTCGGCCGAGATCTACTCGGTGGTGGAGCGGCGGTTCGCCGACCGCGTGCAGGACTCGCTGTGCGTCGGGCAGCGGCGGCCGCGCGACGCCGACGAGTCCGTTATTCTGTTCCTGCTGATGAAGCCGGGGGTGAGGTTTGATCGGGGGTTGGTGAATGAGATCAGGCAGGCTATTGCGGCGGACCTGAGTAAGCGGCATGTGCCAAAGTATATCTTTCAGACGCCTGAGATTCCGGTAGGTTTAACTCCTTTTAGTATGTATTGTTGCTGGGAAGCGTTACTAACGATGGTTGTGCAGACAACGATCAACCTCAAAAAGGTCGAACTCCCCGTCAAGCAGATCGTTTCGGGGCGGACCATCAAGGCCAGCGGCACGCTGGCTAACCCGCAGAGCTTGGAGTACTACTACCAGTTCGCTAAGGTGGAGGAGCTGGTTGGGCCGAAGGAGAAACTGTAACGGTTAGATATTTCGCAGTCAGTTCGGAGACGGGCGAGGGCGCTTGATATTTGATAGCGTAGACATTAGACCCATGCGAGCCATGGTCATATTTTCCCCTTTTCCCAATCTCCTGCCCCTGACGACCGACACCCCTTGTACTTGGTAATCGTTCCCATAAATGCCCGGCGCCATCGCTATGCATGCCATGCCGTAACCCCAACGGCAGTGATCCATCCTAAGTAGTAGGCCGATACAAAAGAAAATGCAGCGTGTATCCGTCGCTGAAGCAAATCCACCCCCATCCTCCAACTCAATAATCATCGCTCATATCCATCATCGCATCCCCCTTCTCATCCACCTCAAACCCCCCACCACCCGCACCACCACCCGCACCACCACCACCCCCACGACGCTTCCCACCGCCCCGGGCATTCCCCCTCATAACCGTCTTCCCCTTCTCGCCCAACCCCCCCGCCGAGCTCCACCTAGTCCGCCTCTCCATCCGCATCCTCGCCGCAGCCTTCTTCTCCTCCAGCTCCATCTCAAAGCGATCCAACTCAGCACCACCACCGCCATCCTCCTCCCCACCGCCCAAATCCAACCCCGTACTCAACCCCCCCATCAACACCGCCACATCCCCCACCGCCGACTCCTCCAGCGCCTTATTAAGCAGCTCGGTAGCGATCGCATCCTGCGGGTTCACCGCCAGCGCCTCATGCAGGACGCGCGCCGCGTCATCGGGACGGCGCAGGTCGAGGAGGATGAGGGCCTTGGCGCAGAAGACGGCGGCGTTCTTGCCGCCGTCGCGCAGCACGGCGTCGAACTCGTCGAGGGCCTCGTCCAGCAGGCGCAGGCGCCGGTAGGCGTGGCCCAGGTTGGTGCGCGCGCCCAGCCAGGCGTGCGGGTCCGCGCCCGTTTCTTCGGCCACGAGCAGGGCCTGTCGGAAGAACTTGGCGGCGTCTTTCAGCCGGTCTTGGTGGTAGAGGACTATGCCCATCTCGTTGAGGAGGAGTGGGTCCGCGCGGCAGAGCTGGTAGGCGGATTTCAGGTATTCTTCGGCCGCTGTCATGTTGTTCATGGCGTGGTTCTGCATGCCGAGGAATACTTGGGGTAGGTGGGTGCCGGTGAAGAGGCGTGCTGCTGTCGAGTAGGCGGTGATGGCCTGGTCGTGCTCGCCCTCGGCCGCGAAGGTGTGGGCGAACCCGATCCAGGCCGGGCCGAAGGTCGCGTCCATCATGGAGGACTTGCTGAAGTAGCGGCGGGCGTCGGCGATCTTGGAGGTCGCGAGGTAGTAGGTGCCGACGGCGAGCCAGGTGCAGGCGTGCTCCGGGTGGTTGTCGGCGAGGTCGTGCGCCACGAGGAAGAGCTCGTTCGTCTGCTTCAGCTCGTACAGGCAGGCGAGGTGCACGGGGTAGGCGGGGAAGTTGGACTTGTCCTCCTGGAGGACGGCCGCGGTGATGGCCAGCGCGTCCCGGAACCGGCACTGGGTGTAGAGCAGGTCGGCGCGGGCGAGGAGGAGGTCCGCGTTGTCCTCGAGCCCGTAGTGGGTGGAGAGGGACTCGACTGCGGCGTTGAAGGCGCGGGGGCTGCCGTACTTGGAGAGTTGGGTCTGGTACAGCATGTGCACGTAGTCCCCCGGCTCCGTCCTCAGTTCCGGGTCGTCGCCGCCCTTGGGTGCCCGCGCTGTGTTGAAATCGAGCGATTGCATGAACTCGGCCTCCTCGTCGGGCGACATGAGCGAGTTACGGACAAGCTGGGTAAACGCCTCGTAGCACTGCACGTCGATGCGCAGCGCGTCCTTGTACGCCTCCTTGGCCCGGTCAAAGGCATTCTCCTTGGCGTAGCAGAGCCCCCGGAGGTAGCACATGCCGGCCTCGTACCGCCTCGTCGACCATTCCTCCTCGCTGAGATGGTCCGGTTGCCGCTCCGGGTTCTTGGACCCTGCCCGTGTGCCCCGCGATGCTGTCGTCCGGTGTGTCTTACGCTTAGTGTTCGATGTGAAGAGGTGGGTCGGGGTGAGCTCCCCTAGCAGGGCCAGGGCGTCGGCGAAGTTGTTCTGGCGGATTAGACAGTGGGCGGCGAGGTAGCGGCAGGACGGGTTCGAGCTGATCAGATTGTGTTTGCTCAGCAGATCGTGTGCGCGCGTGTAGTTGCCGGCGGCGAAGTGGACTTGGGCAAGCCAAAAGGCGTCGTTATCGTCTTCTATGGTGCGCGGGCTTGGTTCAGCGGGGAGAGTTCGGAGGATCGAGGATCGGGGGGTCTGCCCTACTTGTCATTGCCAACAGCTTGTCGCCGATGAAGATGGCCGACTCGTACTGCGCCTTGTTGAGCGCATCCTGTCGCCAGTCACGGAGAAACCTCTCCATGTTGGGCTGCGGAGAAACCATGGTTGTGTCGCATCGGCGTGATGGGGACAAGACGGAGTTGTCGGGGTTTATTGAGCTGCGTGGGGTGCTGAATTGATGCGGTGTGGTGGTGGTTTGAAACCTTAGTCGAGGAGGGAGGGGGGTTGTCTTCCGAAAGTCAACACTCAGAAAAGAATGGCATTTGGAGACGCGGTTGCCGAGGGAGCTTTCAGCACAAAGCAGCTGTGGGACGCGGCGCTAAAGGCGGGGCGCGACGGAAGTTCAGGTGGGCTTGGCACCTGCAGGGCTTCCATGGTAAAGAGGTATTGCCGTCGGCAGCAGGTCCATTAGTGGGCTTTCAAAACACCAAATCTTCCAGTTCACGAACATTCTGCATCCCACATCCTCATCTCGAATCTTGCTTTTTGTTATTCAATTCTAACGCCACATTTGGTAGTACATTCCGCTTTCACCAAACCAATTCTCCATGAATTACTGAATTACCCCTATCCCTCTATTACGCCCAATACTTTAAATTACAACTTCGCCTTCTTGCTCTTGCAGCCGTGGTCCTCCTGCGTCTTGTTGCGGGGCTGGCCCAGGCCGAGGCAGCTGGCGATCTTGAAGAAGACGTCAATGTTGCTGTAGGTGCCGCCAAAGGTCTCCTGGCAGGGGCCCATGGCGTAGACGGGCACGTCGGTCAGCGAGTGCACGCCCTGGCCCTGGTCGGTGGGCAGGGTGCCGTTGACGAGGAAGCCGTCGGGGCGGTCCTCGTGGTTGACGTAGACGGTGCCGTCGGCGCCGACGGCCGCGGGCGTGCGCGGCTTCTCGCCCACGCCGAACGACTCGCGGTGGTCAGGGTTGGCTCCGAGCCCGGCCGCGATCACGTAGCGCGGGTCCCAGTTGAGCGGGAAGTTGGCTCCCGTGCCGTAGCTGACGCCCTCCTTGGGCTCCGTGTACTGCGACAGGCCCGAGTTCTCGTACACGCCGATGGCGTTGCGCTTGGCGCGGTCGTCGTCCTGCGCCGCGGCGTACTTGGTGTCCGAGTTGCCGAAAACGTCTAGGTACGCGCGGGTTAGTCTTGCTAAAGAATCAAGGGAGGCGAGTTGGAATCCTGCTTACCAAAGCCGTGGCCGTGATCGGCCGAGACGACAACCAGGGTCTCGTCGAGGATGCCGAGCTCCTCGAGCTTCGCAAGGGTGGCGCGGACAGTGTCGTCCAGCTCAAGGAGGTCGCCCAGGGCGCGGTCGTAGTCGAGCGCGTGCATCTGCTTGTCGATCGAGGCGGCCTCGGACATGAGGAAGAAGCCCTTCTTGCCGCCACGCTCGTGCAGGACGTCAATGGCCTTCAGCGTCATCTCCTTCTGGCCGGGCAGGTCCGTGGCCGCGCCCTCGCCGCCGGACGGGTTGTTCTCGAGCGACTCGATGTTCTCGGTGTAGATGTTGCGGTCAAGCCACACGGGGAAGTTGCTCTTGCAGAAGATGCCGAGCGCCTTCTGGTCGTTAGGGGCCGCCAGCAGGGCAGTCTTGTTCCAGCTGACCGAGTAGCCCTTGTTGGCGAACTCGGCGTAGTAGTCCTTGCCGTTCAGCGAGTCCTCGCCGGGGATGAACTGCTCGGCGCCACCGCCAAAGTAGGCGTCGGGGCCGTTGGTCTTGGTCCACGAGTAGTTGCTGACGCCGTTGAGCGCCTGGTCGATCAGGATGCCGTACTCTCCACGGCGGCGGGTGTGGCCGCTGAGCGCGATCGGGGTGGCATCGGCGATGAAAGCAGTCGAGACGGCGCCCCAAGCGGAACCCTACACATTGACATTAGCGAACAACACACCCCCTGAGGTAGCAGGATAATGTCGCCTACCCAGATACGGAACAGAAGCTCGACAATGGTCTCAACCTTGGGGTCGTCCTGCGGGTCGGGCGAGGAGTCGACATAAACACTGCAAACGGCCGTCAGTTCTACAGCGCTGGCTATCCTTCACCCCAGAGCTAACTCACCCCATGGCGTTCACAGAGCTCTTGTGGCCCGTGTACAGAGCGGAGGCCGAGTTGGCGCTGTCAGTGATGTAGGTGTCGATCGAGTGCGTCTGTTGCGCATGGGTCAATTCCATCGCTCCCTCGCCCGGGCGGGTATTTGCCAACTCACCATCTGGTGGCCCACGACCGGGAACTTGTCAAGGGAAAGCAGGGACTGGTACCGGCCGTTGACGGTCTTGTGCGCCAGCAGGCGGGCAGCAGTGATCATGTTGGTGGTCATACCGTCACCTGTTTTTCACCGTCAGTCTCGAAACCACGTTCCCTCGAGCTACACAACCGACACCCACACCGACGTACCGATGAAGAAGATGACGTTCTTGGCCTTCTTCTTCATGGCCAGGGGACGGACGGTCCACTTGGCGGTTGTCGTCTTGCCATCGTAGTACTTGAGGGTGACGGTGTAGTCACCCGGCTCGTAGAGCGCCACGCGGCGGTACGCCTTGGACGCGACGTTGACGACCGAGGGCGTGCCGGCATCCTGGGCGAACAGGTCCTCGAACCAGGAGAAGGTCCATTTCTCCAACTCCGGCTCGCTTTGCTTAAAGAAGTCGGCAATGCTCTTCTCCTCGTGGCCGTCCTTGGCAATGGTGGCGGTGAACTTCTCGTCCGGCACACCGTCGTTGAAGGCCTCGGAGCCGTTCTTGGGCGCGTGAATCTCGAAGCGGATGTCGAATTCCTGGCCGGGGAGGAAGTCCTGCTGGTCCGGGGGCAGCACGCAGCCGAGATCCGGGCAGGTGCCGAGTCTCTGGAAGGTCTGGCCCGAGACGGCAGACAGCGAAGCTGCCAGGCACAGGGCGACGGCGTTGGCTTTGAGCATCATCTTGACGGTGGTGACGGTTGGGAAGCAAAGGCAGCCGACCGACGATCAAGAGCGAGCACCTCACGAGAGCTGAAGCGACTGCAGATCGGCAAGGCCCGCCCTGTTTATATCGAGTGCTGCAGTGCACCCAAACAACGTGCCTTCCCATTGGTACCCACATGTCTTACCATTTCCCGCATTTCCCAGAGCCACGGGGGGATGGTCGATCGCCCGACTGGAAGCATATCGACGTGACCTTCCGCAAATGGAAACCGAGCCCATCACTTACACGGGCAACTCCATGACAGCGCACGGGAATCACGACGAGAACCTGGGGCACGTGGTGCTCAAGGGAATCCTCATAACTGGGGACTGTTGGGCCTATTTCCGTTCCCCGGGCGTCGCCCACGAACCACAATCTGAGAAAACCTGATCAACCAGACCCCGGTAGCTCGGTTGGCCTTGTTGGGCGTGGGCACGGCGGGGTTGACCGCGTCTCCGCGTCTCTCCCTCGCTCTCGCGCGCCCTCGATTTGCCAAGGGAGCCAAGACGTCTTCCCGGCCCCGGTCCTGAACGTGCTCCGGCCCGCAAGTCTGATTGGCGACCGCCACACCCGGCCGCCAAGGACCGGCCCAGCCTGCAGGAACCCAGCCTCGGCCTTCCTGCGGGCTTTGATGAGAGGTGGGTTGCAATGCATACGAGCAATTGAACCATTCCCCGGATGTCGGCCGTCGTCGTATCTCAGGCGGGTCTGTCTCTTCACGGGTATCCGGACAATTGGGCCTTGGTTGTGTTGTGTCCGGTGTTAACAGAGTAAAAGTAAAGGGCACGTGGGTGGAACCGGAGGGAGAAGAGAGAAAATAAGAGAAGGGAAGGAGGAGAAACAAGAAACCAACAAAGAAAAGAAACAGAAGGCTGAAGGGTGGTGATGGAGCGGGGAACAAACGGGGTGGGAGGCAAGGCTAAATAAACGCCCGAGCTGACTCCTGAAAGTCAACACTCGGTCTGAACGGGGCGCGTTCAACCACAAAATGCCCTGCCGATCATCCTTCTGATCAGGCCCCCACGATATCTCCCCGTTGGATCGTCCTCGAGAGACATTCCCCAGAAACGCCATCAAGCCAAAATCTCTCCCCAGGCACGCCATCAGCGCCACGCCCGCAAGCGCAAACCCCCTAGCCTACCCTCCCTCTGTACATCGTGCCCCATTAGGTACACAGTCCCAAACTAACCCCCCCTCCCACCACCACCACCACCACCACCACCACCGCCCGGCCCCCCCCTCTCCCCAACCCCAAACTCAGTCGGCACAATATCCGCCCTATCCCGCCCACCACCACCACCACCACCACCACCACCACCACCACCCCGCCGCCTCGCCCGGCGCGCCTCCTCCTGCCCGCGTATCCACGCATCCGTCTCATCCGCGCGCCTCTTCGCCTTGGTCTCGAGCAGCAGGCTCGGCTGCGGCAGGCCCGACGGGCGGAAGCGCACCAGCAGCGAGTCGTCGCTGGTCGCCTCGACCGAGCCGCCGCAGGAGTTTGGTTGGGGGAGCAGAGCCGCGCTCTCAGCGTTGCTGTTGCTGGCGAAGAGCCGCTCCGCGTCGTGGACTACATCTGAGTCGAGGTAGGTCTTGGCGTCGAAGTGGTCTGAGAGCAAGCGGCCGAGGGGGGTGTAGGTGGGTGGTGAGGAGGAGGAAGGGGAGGTGAGGACTTGGTTGGTGGCGCGCTGGACGGGGAAGATGCGCGACATGGGGTGCGGTGCGAGGAGGTACCACTCCTGGTAGGTGTACGCCTCCAGGGACGTGTCGGTGGCGGTTGTGTCGTAGTCGTCGTCTTCGATGCGCAGGCCGAGGCGCTCGGCGATGATGTCGAGGTGGGTGACGGAGATGTAGACGCCGCGGGCTTCGGGGAAGCCGCGGATTTCGAAGCAGAAGGGGAGAAGGGGTTTGAGGGTTTCCGGGTCGAAACCTGTGGAGGCGAGGTTTCGGAGGTACTCGAGGTTGACGAGGCCGTAACGAGAAAGGTATGGCACCGGGAAGCTGAGCTTGAACTGGATCGGTTTCTTGATGTAGTACCCGGATGGCAAAGATAGGAATAGTCTGAGCCCCAGATTGTAGTTGGCGTGCCGTTCCTGCATGTGATCCTTGAAGTACGAGTAGTCTTTGGCGGTGACCGTGCCGTCACGTATGCAGGGTTCGAGGGCGGCGAACGCCGTTTGAATGAGAGTCTTGACCTGGGCGGTGGACGGTGCCCTCCCGGCACTCCGGACTGCGTCCTTGGACAAATACTCCTTGACATCCCTGACATCCAGGTACGATACGTCCTGCTGAGAAGTGTGCCTGAAGTCGAAGCCCTTGGATACTGATATGGTCTTGGGCTCCTCCAGATCAGGGGCTAGGCTGATATCTGAGCGGGTGCATATTTCCTGCGCGGTAGAAGGCCAGGTGTCACTTCCAGATTCCGAGAGGCGCTGCCATAGGTGGTCCAGGTGCTCGTCTCCCGTCCAGCATTTGGGTAGTTGTACCCGCTGTCCCAGGAACTCCTGAACAGTTCGAAAAACCTGAAAGCAATCGTTTCTAGTCCGCGTCATGTCGCCAGTAGCTTCGGAAAACCCAGCTAGGAAAATGTCCGAGTCTGGGTCGAAGGCGCCTGACACAAACACAGTGGACAGACAGATATCGTTGTGGACGATATTAAACCGGTGGAGCTGCGCAACAATCTTCAAGAGAGTTCGAAGAAGCCTGCGAGCCACTTGTAGTGTGGCCAGATTGCAGACGTCTTCGAGCGAGAAAATGTCTTCTTGGTACCGGCTAACCAGACCCAACGCGTCCCCAATTACGCGAACGGACTCATCTACTATGAAAGGGCCATCGACCTAGGTTGCCGTATTAGTGCGAGTGGCGATTAGGGTAACCGGGTGACAAGTCTAGGGAGACTTAGGGAGCCGGATAATTATTAAGGGCGATAGAAGGAAGAGAAGAAAAAAGAATACAGGGCGAGGGAAAACGGATGGGGGAGAGATAGGGAGAAAGACAAGCAACCAAGAAGAATGAAGGCAAGAGGAACTGAAAGAATGGAGAGAGGAAAACAAATTATGTGCCAAGTATTGGCTATCAGATACGTACGGGAAGCGGGCGCAGGAGCATAAGGCGCTTGTTGAGCGCATCCTGCTGTGACGTAGAGGACGAATATTTCTTGAAGACATATCGAGCACAAGTCCACCCATCCATCGACAGAAACTTTTTGATCGCATTACGGCTTGGTAATACCTGTTCCTCAAGCAGGTACAACCGGTTTGTCAGCTCCGGTGGAACGTTGGGGGGCGGAAGAGTCCCCGTGGTGGTCAGAGAGGTGCCGCTAGACTCGGTCCTGCTGTCTGGCGGAACTAACGGAGGGTACCGATGGTCCATTAGGTATGTGGCTGCATCACGGCTGTTGCGGCAATAGATATCTAGTTCAATACCGGCGGCACGGATGTGGTTAACCCTACCAGGCCATAGAGCATAGCTCGGCATGTCAGGGTTCAGCATTGTGTCTCGGTTGACCAGCGTTCCCGAGCCGAACATATTCCGGACAGCCCAGACGTCGTTCTTAAGGCCGAGGGCAAAGTGAACGCGACTGAGACTGGTCTTACTTTTCCGGCCAAGGCAAACGTCGATTTTTCGTCTGGCGGAGTCGCGGCCGAAGAGGAAACAGGTGGGCAGCCCGGCCTTGGTTTTCTCGTAGGAGAGTTGCGGCGTCACTAGACAGATAACTCCAATGTCAGGGGCGGCGTCGTCCATTTGTACGGTCGAGGTGGACTCCGCATCATCGCCATCGTCGCCGTCGTCGCCGTCCCTATCGCCGCACGGGGTTGATGATGAGAGCCAACGGCACATGGAGGGGTCGTTGAGTCTCAACAATTCCTGATAAATCTCCAAGCTTTTCATGACGACGAACACTGAACCCTCACCCTCCCACGCTTTCATCAACCGCCGCCCGATCTCAGTATCGGTCTCCCATAACGCCGGCATTTTTCAGTTGATAGAAGTTGGAAGGCTGAGAAATGGTCAAGAACCGGGAGTCTTGACCTGGACGGTCAGAAGGCCTGGTGCCCGGAGTCAATTCCCCTCTTTCGGCCGCTTTCTAGGCAACCGCCCACTGCACATGGTGCCTTCTGAATTGGGCATTATCTGGGCATCGATGTTGTTGGCGCTCCTCATGCTACGCCCCGCAGTAGGTAATATGCAAGTGGGAAGTTTGTCGGGTGGTATTGAACGAGTCGAGGACAAAACGATCCGTGTAAGTTTGATGGTAACGGAGCGTAATTACAGCCAGCCTGTAACGGTAAAGTCCAATCACGAGCCTCGCGCCCGTACCAAACTCGGTTCTTCCTTCGCGTCAACCGCGTTTTCCAGGCGACAAGCGCCAAATTGTGCCTCAAAACATCTTCTTCTCTTAACTTCGTCCTCATCTCACCCCGCCATGTCGGACGATGATGGCACATCAATCGATACCGACCCTTTTGACCATGTCTTGGCTGAGGAACAGTTAGCAGAGTTACAGAAAATACACGAGGAACGGACCGATGGCATGTATGCCGGCCGTGTTTTGTGGCCACCACCTAGCCCCGAGCGGCCGAAGCAGCAGAGAACGAGGCATATGTTGGTCGGCCTCGCAAACCCGTTCCCAGATCATGGCTTGAAACGGAGCCCCACCGGGAGGGTTCGTAGCTGGCGTTTGGAAGCTCAACGAAAAAAAGAGGCTGCATTAAACCCGCCATCCAAACGTCCTAAGGGGCAAAAAGCGAAAAGCCAAAGATCCAAACGTTCTAAGAAGGGCCAAAGCAAAAAGGAACCCAATCCCCAGCACCGCAAAGCCTGAGCAGCCAAGTGATCGTTTCACCACCGCGATAGGTCTTTGACACGGTCTCCTCACACAGGGCGCGGAAAGAGACGGGCAAGGAAGTGTGACGACTTCGCTCACATCCAGGTATGGACTCACATCATCCAACACAAACCTTGGACTGTAGGAAAATTAATCATCTCACAGTACCCTCACAAACCCTGCGCCTCGAGCATCCCCGTAGCCACCAGATCCCATTCCGGGCATGGTGCGATACAGCAGAGCCCAGCCGGGGCATTCGCAGGGCCCGGACTTCAGGGACTACGCCTAGGACGGAGGCCTGTCCCTACTTCGGATCCACCGCTTCTCGGCATCTGATCAAGGAAAGTGGTAGGCGAGGCCGGTAACTGGTTCTCCCTCGATTGTTGAAAGCCTCTCTGAGTGGCTTGCCGTTCCTGTTCGCTTCCGCAGCGGATAGGATACCGTCTACGTGAGCGGGATGCTCGCTGCAACGTGGCGCCTCGTGGACGAGTCGGAGGCTTCGCTGGCCCTAGACTGTTGATTCAGTCTGGGGACGCCTGACATCGGTTGTAGCATTTTCTCGAGTAGAGCATACTTTTCGAGGATGGTTGAATGGCCCGGGGGGGTATCTTCGGGGGGGTGGCAGCTGTATGCCGTTGAGATAACGTCCCATGGCACTTGACCCGCGTACCTGTCATGGTCAAGAGTCGTACGGTCAAGCATTGGGTCACAGCAGTTTGGCAAAAGTCCGCACAGCGGGAAGCACTGATTCCGATATCATTTTGATTGTACAAACAATCACCATAATTCAGTTACCCCATCCACAATTACTGGCTCATATACCAGGCAAGGACTCCGTTAGGTAGCTGGACGACCAAGGGGAATCCCCTTGCGTAAGGGTTGTTCTCGAGAGAATATTGATCACGTTACAATCCCATGTCATCTTGTCCCAACGTCTGAGAACGCAACTTTGTCGCCTAGATAGTCTTATCAACGCTTCGCTGACCGTCACGAATAGAGGCCCCAACCAGATGCCAGAGACGATCACCCCTAACCCGACAACACCACCCCCAGCCCTCTCAGCCCCTCCGCGAGCCCCTTCGCCTCCTCCACATCAAACCTCTCCCCGTCTCGCAAACAAGAAGAATGAAACCACACCCCATCCCCCAATCCGCTTTCTATCCCCCCTCCCAAACCCTCAACCAACCCCCCCAGATTCCCTCTCCTAACCCCTCCCCCAACAATCACCTCCACCCCCTCCCGCTCAGCAACCCTCACTACCTCCCCCAACCCCCCAACATTCCCCACCGCATCCCCCCGCCCCCCCGAAGTCAACACCCCATCAAACCCAACCCCCCTCGCCCCCTCCACCACCACCCCTTCCACCCCACCTCCATCCCCATCCTCACCCCCCATAGCCACAACACCACTCAAAACGTCATCCACAGCCCGATGCAGTACACACCGCAACCCAAACCCCCGCGCCAACCCAACCAGCTCCCGATGCCGCTCCCCATCTAATACAACCCTGCCATCATCATCGTTGCTGCGGCGCAGGACGCCCAGCACAAACCCGTCGCCGAGGGCGGGCGAGAGCAGGCCTGAGGTGGCGAACTCGCGGATCGAGGATGCCATGGTGGCGTGCTCGGTGGGGGTGTAGATGAAGTCTTGGGGGGTGGTTTGGGAGGAGTTGTTTTGGGGCTTGTTTTGGGAGGAGGGGGTGGTGGTGGTGGTGGTGGTGGTGGTGATGGTGATGGTGGGAGGGGGGCCGCGGGGGCGGATCATGATGCGGATTGGGACTCTTTGGGTGTGGTTTGGGGAGGTTGGGGTTGAGGTTGAGATTGGGGTGGGAGTGAGGGAGGTGAGGAGGGTGGTGAGCTCGGCGAGGGTGGGGGTTGTTCCGCCGAGGGCTGTGGTTAGGGTGGGGGATTAGCTGCTGTTTGGGATTGTGAGGTATGGTATGGGGAATGGGGAATGATGAAATGGTGAAGAAGAAATGAGGGGGTAGGATAGCCATTTCCGTACCGTAGGATCCGGCTCGGTTGAGCTCAAGGCGGCTGGCTCCGAGTGAGACCGCCAATGGGCCGTCATCTGGGCCGAAGATGGGCACCTCTAGCCGTGCACGGGGTTCAGGAGCCATCTTGACAGTTGGTGTTGGGTGTAATGGTGGGCCAAGAATGCCTCGTGAACAAAGAGTTGACAGAGTCACAAAGGTGATGATTTGGTTCTGGCGTGATTTCCGAGACACGCAGTTGTCACACTGATATGGCCCTTGTGAGTTAGTCTCCTGAGTTATAGTGTTGTCAACTCGTCACATCAGATCACGATCCCATCATCTCGGCGGCGATGTCATTCATTGCCTTGTGCCTGGAAATGGCCCTCCATCTGATTACCCCGCGGGGATATGACCCGCATAATCCCGGTCTCTCGGCATGCACGATCCGATCCAGCTCACAAAGCTTATCTCGACCACGACAGCGATGCTACATGGTAGTGGTGAGAGTGAACCACACTCCACCACTACATACACGTCAGGGAGAGTCGCGAAATTCGCGATCCTTAGCCACAAACTCGATGAGAAATCAAACTCGAACAAACCAAGCAAAAGTCAAACTCAAAGCCTGTTCACAACATCACAGACCACAGCAGTTGAACAGTAGTCCCGTGAAGCAGCGACTTGATTGATACCCTCCCCCTTAAAGACTAGAAGCGAAGTATGCTAGATCTCCTAGAGCCATGTTCCCGTCGGATAAGCAAGGGTGTTCTCCAGCAAATCACCGCAGCGATGAGCGTTGATGTTGACTGTGCCCGTTTCCTTCTGTCTGCCAAAAAAAAGCAAGTCCGCTGCTAAGTGCATGATGAATCATGGCCAGCGCCGTTCAGTAATGGTGATAGCTGTAGCTCCGGTGCGGAGCAGCAGCATCATCCGCCCCAGAAGCAGGCGGCTGGGCCATAAACGGGCTGTCACCCTCTGTTTCTGTGGTTGCCAAACGGTCGTGGTTAGCTGGGAACTGGTGGAAATGGTATGGGGGTGGCGGTGGCAGGAAGTCGGAGGGAGCGAAGCTCGCGGGTGCCGACGGGACCGTGGACCGGGGAGCTGGGGCGTGCGTGTGGTAGGACGGCACCGTGGGATACTGACAGTTAATGACGATGGGAGCCTGCTCGTCGCCGTTGGAGTCGACCTTAATCGGAGGCTCGGCATCGCCGGAAGCATCGGTCATGGAAGAGTCGGACCGCGCCTCCTCTAGCTCCTCAGCCATAACACGCTCCTTCTCCTTTTTCTTCTTCGAGGCCTGCTCTGAACGCATCAGTTAGTCGCTGATCTGTCTGGCAGTACGGCCTTGAGGGGGGGACTATACCACGCCTGTAATATCTCAGGTGCAGCTTGCCGATATTGGGCGAGAAACGGCCTAGGTAGGTATTCTGAAAATAATGTTCAACTGGTAAACAGCGGCCGGTTAGTTCGTGACCGCTAACCTGCGGGCTGGTATCGGCAACATGGGCAAGTAAGACTTACAGACACACAGAGGAGTGTACTTGCGACGGGCAGAACTGCCCATGCTCTTGGTCATGCGCTGGGCGACCCAGTTCCAGGCCTTTTCCTCATTGGCAGCGAGGTCGTGGCCAAGGCGCTTCGGCGAGTGAGGGATCAACTCGAGCCAGTAGACGAGCTCTTCCTTGCGGGACCAAGTCTTACCACCCATGGTTGACGTTGGGAAAGAAGACAATGAGGAAGTATTGGTGTTTTGTGTTGTGTGGGTGAAGATCGAAGGCAGCGGTCACTGGTGATTGCTCGGAAAAAGTGTTGGATTGGAGAAGGAAGGATAATTGTGAAGGAGGAAAACCCAAGGGCTTAAGTAAACGAGCAGCCGCCTGGGTGAACAGCCGTCCGATCTTTCCTCTGGCCACAATAGGGCTGCGTGTGCTAGAATGAATGGCCGCAGTCACCTGGGAGTGGTTGTGTGAGCCCCATCAATGGAAGAGAACACCTGCCAAAGGCAGTGACTGACCATACCGTCCGAACTCCAGAGCTGCCAACTCTCCCCCCTAAGGCTTGAAGCCGAAGCCCACCTAAGCACCCCACGAAAAGCCAGCCCAGTCCCACATTCCCCATTGAAGTCGAACCTTAGAGGCCACGGGGCCCTAGAAGTTATCATTCCACAGGTAGCACCAAGGGCTCAGTAGAGCCCACCCGGCCGAGGGTCCCCTGAACAATACCTGTTTAGCTGCCACATGGGATTTGCGCGTTGTTCCAGCAGCCTCGTCACTGCTCGTGATAAGTGACCCACTTAACGAAGAGTACTGGCCACACAGATGACTGGCAGTATCCGATGTTTTATATTGCACCCTTACTCAAAGGGACTTGAGGGCTCGGGCGCTGAGTATCCCCTAGAGAGGAGGTAGGGCCCGAGCCTCCTTTCGATCCTAGAAAACTAAAGACCGCGTCAGTGGGGAGGTCTAGGAAGACACGACACCATTTGACGCTCACAATGCTCTTCTGCTCTAGCGGTACGACCCCATTCTTGACCCAAATGCCCCAACTGCCCATCATGTTGGCCAGCATCATGTCGGTTGCTAGTCGATCGCCAACAATGGCGATTTGGTGGGGGCTTGTCACTCCAGTTTCCGGGTGCTGACGGAAGTACGATAGGATCTCGTCACCGCAACCTGGCTTCTTCACCGCATGAGAGAGGACATTGACCCCAGTTGATGCATTAACCGCCGATGCTAGCTTGCCACCGACATCGTAGCTCGTCGCACCGGCGGTGTTTGATACGATTAGGAGACGGCGACCCGGGTAGGCTGCTCGCAGGGCCTCAAACCGACACTTTTCAATCTTAGCATCATATCACGGTACTCAAAGATCGAAGCATAACTGGGAATATAACAAAGCACGTTGGAGGGGGCAAAGCAGGGAAGCAGCGCATGGTGGGCAAGATTACCTTGTACGGCTCGTGGACCTCGTTATGGTCTGGAATTGCAAAACAATCATCTTTGTCCAGCACTACAGCCCTGATGTCTGCCGGCTTGTCATTTTTAGCGAAGGCCTTGTTGAGTGGAATGGGCAAGTCGTCGAAGGTTGCGACCGTGGCGTGAGGAAGGCACAAGGAAGGCTTCGCTAAAAGCTTGAAAATGTTGAGCGATGCCGACAAGTTCAAGTTCATATCGTACAGCCGAAAAGGCTCTAAATGAGCCAAAATACCCCAGCTGGAGAAAGTCGAAAAGTATATGCAGGCTAAAGAGCGAAGGAGCGATTTTGGTGGGAAAGAGCGTGAGTTGTTCGAGACTACTTTCACTGACTTCTTCACTCTGGAAAGGGTTGAAGTCGCAGGAGCTTGGGCCACCCTGGGAAATCTGGGGCAGTCGCGTTGCTCGGCCTGGGCGCGTCTCAATTAATGGAAACCCACTCCTGGACTCTGTACAAGTCCCTGTCCTACATTAGAAGATGGACTGTTTCGACAACAATTCAAAATTCGAGTATAGGTGACAAGATGCCCCGCAGGAAAACCACAACAGAGGCTCCAGCGCCCCCTGTGTCTCGAAAGCGCGATCTGCCCGCCGACCCATACGAAGTCCCTGACGAAGCTGAGACCCCGAGAAGACGAAGGCGCCTCGAAAACAACGATGCGGTTGATAAGGAGGGTGTTGGGGAAGAAATTGTTAGCGTTGAAGAGGTGAAGTCCGCTGTCGAGGTGACACCCGCCAAACGGCGAGGCCGCCCTCCGAAGTCTGCAGTCACAGGAACGCCAAAGGCTCAAGCGACGACACCTTCGAACAGGCGATCAAGGACCCTCGCCGAGACCCCCGTGAAGCTGAATGGCATCAACACTCCGAGTAGACGGAATATTGCCGACAGGTCGGCCAGGAGGAAAAGCGCCAGGGCCTTGATAGACCGTGTGATAGGGGGCACCGTCAGCGATGACGAGGTGGAAGAAGGGGATATTGCACGAGAAATCTACGAATCAAGCGAGGATGAGGAGGCCGAGGCAGAGGAGCAAGCGGGGATAGAGGAAGGCCAGGAACCTGCAACACCCTCAAAAGCCCCGGGGAGAAAGCGCAGGGCTACAGGGCGGAAGAAATCACCAACCCCTCCTCGCGATCTGCCTCCTCACGAGCAGTACTTTTATCAAAACAAACCCGGCTTGGCCAAAACATCCAACAACACCTTATCATCGCTCGACCTCCTGAAACACGACGAATACTTCTCCGTTCTCCGCCAACTCGAAGATCCCCACGCTGCAGACGTCAACTTTCTCCAGTCCCTCCACGCCGAGTCCTTCCCTCAATGGGCCTTCGAGCTCTCCCAAGGGTTCAGTACCTGCCTCTATGGCTACGGCTCCAAACGCCGCCTCCTCCATAATTTTGCCACCTACCTCTCCTCCCAAAACCCCTCTCACAAAATCGTCATCATCAACGGCTACGTCCGCACCCTCACAGCCCGCGACATCCTCACCACCCTCACCTCTGCCCTCCCCTCCCTCGCCCCAGGCGGGGGAGGCGGCACAGGCAACCCCTCCACCACCCTCCAAACCCTCCTCACCAACCTCACCAACACCCCCGCCCCAGACGCGGACGGCTCCCCCACCACGCTCACGATCCTCGTCAACTCGATCGACTCACCGTCACTACGCAGCAAGCCGGCACTGCAATCCTTGCTCGCGCAGCTGGCGTCGCACGCGCGGGTGCGGCTGGCGTGCACGGCGGACACGGCCGACTTCTCCCTGCTGTGGGACGCGGCGCTGCGCGCGTCGCTCAACCTGGTCTTCCACGACTGCACGACCTTTGCGCCGCGCGCCCCCTGCGAGCTCGACGTCGTCGACGAGGTCCACGAGCTCCTCGGCCGCAAGGCCCGCCGCGCCGGCGGCAAGGAGGGCGTCGCCTTCGTGCTGCGCAGCTTGCCGGAGAATGCGCGCGCGCTGTTTCGGTTGCTGGTTGGGGAGGTGTTGGTGGCGGCGGAGGAGCAGGGTGGTGGTGCAGGTGCTGGTGGTGCTGGTGGGGGTGGGGAGGGTGAGGTGGCGGTGGAGTATCGCATGGTGTATAATAAGGCGGTGGAGGAGTTTATTTGCAGTTCGGAGATGGCGTTTCGCACGCTGTTGAAGGAGTAAGTTGTTCCCCCCTTGACCACGCATGGCACTGCCTGGTTGTGTGATGCAGGAGGATAAGAGCTGACTTCCGTTGCAGATTCCACGACCATCAGATCATCACTAGCCACAAGGACTCCATTGGCACGGAACTTCTCAGTCTTCCGTTTCGCGTAGATGAGCTCGAATCCATCCTGGAGGAATTGACGACATGATTGAGGTGATGGATTGGATTCCTTTGGTTTCGAGAACGAGTCGTTTGCGGCATTGGACGGAGTTCGAAGGGCATGAGCTGCTTGGATATCATGTAGAGTACTAAATAGAACAGGGCCACAGGCCAATGGAAGCGTGTCTCCTTGTTTACAATACATGGTATCTACCCGTCTATCTTGAGGTGATACAAGTGTGCCGAAAATCCCACTTTGGGTCACTCTCACGCGAGGAACGTTTGTAACTATGTCAACTCAGTTGTGTTCTACATACAAAGGCGTGTCCGGCTTATTATACCTGCTCAAGTATCTACGTGAGAGCACAGTGGTCAACCTTCAGCCTAGCAACTAACTTGTGCTGACGAACACAGCCCGGAATCAGCTACCGTAGGGCAAGGTCGGTTTGGCTACCTACCTATGTCCATGGAGGTAAAAAGCTGCGGTGGAAAGTAACCGAGATACTTGCCACGGATCAGAGTTCTCATGTTATCCGGCGAAAGTATCGGACAGCGACTCCAAAGTGCTCGGTTGTCAAGACGCAAAAGGAGGCACCATCAGCTGGTCGGGGGGTCACTTAGTTGAACAGTACATCAAACACACGATAAAAGCACATCACGGGCAACCAGACGAAGATGATAGCCCTTGCCGGGCTCTCGAGAAGGTAATATAGTAAAGTGGTTTTTTGCTCGGACTCCTCAGTATGGACCGTGGTCTGAAGCCACGAAGAACCGAAGCCACTGCTCGAGTAATTTGCTCGGTCGAGAAAACCGAGGCCCTGCCAAAGCCTGACCCATTGCGCACCCATTTTCCTGCGCGCTGCCTGTCCTTCGCAGATCATCGGTGTTCCAGTGCCGACGATGAGAGCCAAGAAGCATTTTCCCCTCTTCCGGCCGGAATCATCAAAGGGGTATCATGCTCCATCAACCGCTCCCAGTCCTCAACAGAACTGCCGAAAAATTACCAGTCCATCTCTCAGGCACTTCAGGAATGCCTCCTGTAATCCTCCCTAGACCTGAGACCGCCTGGCCAAAGTCGGATCGCGGTGCCGACCAGAGATAAAGAACCGAGAAATCCACTTTTGTCTATGAGATGTGTCGTGAAAAGGAAAAGTTGAAAACGAAAATGAAAAGAGCCTGCGGCGTACCATGACCCCCATTTCTATGTGAACGCATCGAGCCCTCTCCGAAAAAGCAGGCCAAGGGCAGAAACATGACGATCGTGAGGGTTGATGAGAGATCTAGTGTCCAGATCTAATCAACCAGGCCTGCAATTCATGCCATCCGTAGCATGAGCGCGCAGGGCGTTTTGACGTCCCAAGCCTTCTGCTCTAAGGGTATCAAATCGTCGAATGGAGTCGTCCCGTTTCAGTAAACAGGAAAACCCCGGTCTATCGTCAAAGCCAGAGAGGGAACCTTGGCATCGAAAACCTGCCGGGCTCCAGTCGGAAATGATAAGCCATGTTCGCCGCATTAGAAATTCCGGAAATTCCGAACGTGAAACCGAAAGCAACGCGCGACGTATGCGAGAAACGATGGGAAACAAGGAAAAGTCGATGCGCCGGGTAAAATGTGGTGTGTCGCGGCCTTGTCCCGGGCGGTTACCACCAGGACTGGGCACCGGCACCACCGGGGTTGCCGTAGCTACCGCCGCCGCCGTAGCCACCGCTGTAACCACCGCCATAGCCGCCGCTGGGGGGCGCACCGCCGTAGCCACCACCGCCGCCAAAGCCGCCGCCGCCACCGGAGCCATGCTGGGCACCGCCGAAACCACCGCCGCCGCCGCCGAAGCCGCCACCACCACCACCACCGCCGTACTTGCGGAAATCGGTGTTACCGCCACGGCCACCACGACCGCGACCGCCGCCACCACGGCCACGACCACCGCCACCGAAGGATGACTCGCGGGCAATGGTCTCGAGGAAAGCGGGAACCTCCTGGTTAGCCTCCTTGAGGAGATCCAGAAGCTCCCGGACGATACCGCGGTTGCCACGGTTGAAGAAGGCGGTCGCAATACCCGTGTTACCGGCACGGCCGGTACGACCGATACGGTGCACATAGTCGTCAACGTCGGTGGGAAGGTCGTAGTTGATAACGTGAGTGACGTTGGGAATATCGAGACCACGAGCGGCAACGGCAGTGGCAACCAGGATGGGGCACTTGCCGTTGCGGAACAGTTCCAGAGCGCGCTCACGCTCACGCTGGGTGCGGTCACCGTGGATGGAGGTGGCCGGGAAGTTCTGGTTAATGAGGAAGTCCGACAGGGAATCGGCCATGCGCTTGGTCTCGACGAAGATAAGAGTGAGACCACCGGCGTGGGTGTGCAGGATGTCCAGGAGGACGGACCGCTTGTCGACGTCCTCGACGTATTCGACCTTCTGGGTGATGTTCTCCGAGGTGGAGCCAACACGACCAACCGAAAGGAAAACGTAGTCGCTGAGGAAGTCCTGGGCGAGCATCTGGATGTCGCGGGGGAATGTGGCCGAGAACATGAGCGTTTGACGCTGACCAGTAGTCGGCATGTCTTCACCCTGAACAATACGGCGGATCTGGGGCTCGAAACCCATGTCAAGCATGCGATCAGCCTCGTCCAGCACGAGGTACTTGATGTTGCAGAGCGAGATGCGACCACGCTCTATGAGGTCGACAAGTCTACCCGGGGTAGCAACAAGAAGATCGCAGCCGCGCTCCATCTGGCGAAGCTGGGAGCCGATATCGGCACCACCGTAGACGACGCAAGGGCGCACCCACGAGCGGTAAGCAAACTTCCGGGCTTCCTCATAGATCTGGGAAACAAGCTCACGGGTGGGAGCGAGGATCAAGGCAGTCGGGTACGCCTTGCGCTGGCGGTAGCCGCCACCGGCTTGAGCGGGAACAGGCGAAGGGCCCTGGGTGAAAGACTGGTGCATGATGGGGAACAAGAAACCGCCAGTCTTGCCGGAGCCGGTCTGAGCGCAAGCCATAAGATCGCGGCCGTTGATGACAATGGGGATGGAATACTTCTGAACCGGAGTGGGGATCTGGTAGCGAGCAAGCTCAATGTTGGAGAGCAGGTGAGCATCCAGCGGGGGGTTGCTGAAGGTCAAAACCGGATCAGGCACATCACGGCCGGAGGGGTTGACCGGGATATCGTCGTACTTCTCGAAGTTGATGCCGGTGTGCTGCTTGCTCGGGTCGTCGGCAGTGCCAAAGAGATCCCGCTCCAGGCGAGGGTCGCTGTTACCAATGACATGCTTGCCCTCGATCCACCGACCTTCACCGCGGCCAGCGCCACCACCCATGTTACCGCCGCCGCCGCCGCCCGCCAGTGTTAGGTCCGCGGTAAGCATTGCGGTTGAAGCCACCACCGCCCCGGGGGCCGCCCCAAGGCTGAGGCTGAGGGCCATTTTCATAGCCGCCGCCGCCGCCGCCGCCCCAGTTGCCACCGCCGCCAGCGCGGGCATCGAAGTTGTTATTGCTGCCGACGAGTTAGAATCCAATGTTAAAGCGGCGCAGAAGTACTGCAGGAGAGTTCAGAACTTACCCAGCCCAAGCGCTGTTGTTGAGGCCACCCATGGGGCCGGGGCCGGGGCCCGGACCCGGCTGAGGAGGAGAATTGATGGGAGGGGAGTTAATCGGGCCGCCGGGGGAGCCCATCTTGCCGCGCATGTGAGGAGGAATGTAGGAACGAGCGGTGGGCTGCTGGCCAGGGTGCTGGCAGGGCTGGGGAGAGCCGAGGGACAGGTTGCCCATGTCGCCGTTGAGTTGGTCCGCCATGATTGTGGTTGCGGGGGAGTCGAACGAAAACAAGTCGGTCGGGGTGTTTTTCGACTCTCGAAGAGAACGCGCCGTTCAAATGAGAGTGGTCGAGTAACGAAGTCGATAAAACTCGGAAAGAACGCGGGGAAAATCGATTATAAGGCGAAGAAAACCGAAACTGGCGTCTCTTTGCGTTCGCGTTCCACCGGTGTTGCCTGGTGTCGCTCGTCTCAAATAATCAAATTATTAAGAGGGAGCGTGTCTCCTGCGATCCTTTCGAAGAACCCGAAATGCAGATTCTCAAAAGGAAAAGGAAGGACGATTGTAAAGGGAAATGCGGATCGGATGTGGGTTGGATTCAAGAATCCTTGTGTGGTGAGGAAGGAGGAAGAGTTTTCAGGAAGAGGGAGAGAGGATGAGAGGGCGCAGAAAAAGAGTTTTGGATCGGGTGTCGGACCCACTTTAGGAGAGCGGTTTTGGCAAGGCGAACTCAGCGAAGCCGTGTGCCACAAGAGATCCCTGCACGGACATTTTTGGTTTGGGGTCTCTGGCCACCCACGCTTCTCCTTCCTTGGCTGATGCTGGTCCAACCGCTCGTAACCTTTTGGGGAAAGGGCGATCTGATGGCGAAAGAAGTTCACAGTTTGCGCCAGTGATTTGCTCCTGTGGCGAGCCGGGTCAGCTGCCCGGGTATATCCTAGCAAGATGTTTATGACCACATTGTTTCGTTGTTCCTGTCGGAACCTCATGTGAGAGAGGGGAAGAGGCCTGACAAGGAGGCCATGGACTGCCAGACGAAAGGTGAGGGATGGGGGCGAAGATTCCAGCTCGCACGTGGCATTTATCTCTTCGTCCATACCTACCCGGACTGTTACACAATACGAGTACTGTCCATGTATGTACCTAGATAGACGACCTCGGAAACCCCGATGGAGGTCGAGGAACGAGCGGTGTTTCAAGGCGAGAAGTTATTTTCGCCCTCGGCACCCGGGGTCCCTCTTCCTACTGGCCCTGGATCGTTTTGGTGTGGAACGAGGCTCCTTACTAAGAACGATGTCGAGAGCAAAATATTCCACATTCGCCCCGCGGACCAGCAACCGGACCAGCAACCGGGAACTTCACCACCTCGAGCATTGAAAGCGAGGTTTCCAACCCGGTCTTCGTTTGCATTCTCCGACAATGGCAGACAATTTTAGGAAATGCATGACAACTCAACTCACAGCACGTTGTGAGCAGAGCCCTCAGCTCACCGCCTCGCAGGACTCCCATCCGTTGATAGGGCGAGTGGGACGCAGGAAGACGTGGGACATGCCCGTGTAAGCTAAATCCGGTTAGAAACGGTCGCAATAATAGAACTGCATGGATGGTCGCAATGGGGGGCAGACAATCGGCTCCACCTTCGAAGACGACCGAGCGCCTCCCGAGACAACAACGATGTCATCAGATTGCCAACAAGTTGCGCACCAACCTGGGATTTCTTAATTGTCCTTCGTAACTCCGGTCCCGAGTTTTTATCTTCTACCCGGGCCAGTCGAAACATGGCAAAGCCGTCATTGATATTAGAGGGGAAGCCGTAGTCGTAGTTTGACTCTTTTTGACTTTGGCCAAAGTGCGCGGTTGGATGGCAAAAAAAAAGAGTGAAATGGCGAGGGTGCAGGAAATCGGAGGTTGATACCGAGACCAAGAGAGAATGCATGTCACACGAGCGAAGCCAAGTATGATCGACCGCAAGTCTTGTTGGTGTAGCCATTCAAAGGCTGAAACCGAGGCAACAACAGGCTCACTCGGCCACCACTTGGCCAAAACGGGGACATGATACCGAAAAGAAACCCAGTAGGCGTCAAATGCATACCGACGCCCCTTGCTAGGTATCATACACAGTTTATTCCCGCCAGACTCCCCACCCGCTCCGACAATCAAGTGCCCCTCACCACCGCGTCTTCGTCGAATGGCTTGACCTCGATCCCATCCTTTGTAACGACCTTGACAATCAAGCCCTTGAAGTCTATCGGTAACCTCCTCTTCAGTTCGTCTGCGCAGAGCCTAAGGAGCTCCATGCCCCGCTCTAGGGAGATGTCGGGTTGATGGTGTTTGTCGAGGAGGGAGAGGCAGTAGTATCTGCGGGACAATCAGTCAGCACTTGGCGCCCTGCAGCGTGGACAACCCGAGAATCCTGTAACCTACTGGGCGTAGCCGTGCGCTGCGTAGGGTACTGGGGCCAGCGACGCAAGATAATCCAGCCAGTACAGGCTTGGCTTGTGTGTGATGGGATCAACCCCTCCAAGGAGGAGGTTGACGTTGTAGGGCTTCCGCGACCGAAGACTCGACGCCAGCTCGCCGCGCACAAAGTTGGCCAGCGCTGAAGGAGAAAGATCGGTTTCATTGCGCATCGAGTAAAGCTGGGCGTTGGCTTGAATGTATTCGGCGAACTGTACTATTGCGGGGGTAAGCGGGGTGAATGTGCGTATCGTTCCGAGTTCCTGGTCACCAACCCGTGTCACCGGCCTCGCCAGAGAATGCCATCAATGTGTGCTTGTTCAGCTGCCTCGTCTTGTCGTCGGAAACCTTCAAGATCGTCGCCCCGCGCATCGCGGCCTTGGAGGCCGCGATCAAGGTAAAGTCCTTGCCTGTGATGCCGAGCAGAACCTCCCTGGAAGTATAGTTAGCTATGTAATTCAAGATTATTCTAGGACGTGCAGCCTACATCTTGGCGTTTTCGTTGTCGAAAGATGTGGTGGTTGGGTGCTGGTGGTGTTGTTGCTGGTGTTTGGCAAGCTTCCCTTCTTCCTCAGCTTGCTTTCTCGCTGGAGCTCAGGCAGGCAGGAGGGAACGCGCACTTGGAGCTTCAGCCTGAGCGCACAGACACTGTCCGCCTGCCCGCCAACGGTGGTGGGCAGGTGGGGACCAGACTTGCCCCATAACGCCCCGCTCGGCCTCGCCCCGCTGGGGCTGAATGTGGCGGCGCGGCCTGGCGGCGTCGGTATCTTTCTCCACCGATGCAGGCTAACTTTTTTTCTGGGACCCGCTCAGAAATTTTGAGAGCAGTCCGCAGATCAGTGAAGAAAGGCAGCCAAAAAAAGTAGACGACATCGCCGACGCCCTGCGAAACTGGTCGCAGCCGCCACCATGTCGTCTTTTTTTACGACACCCGGAGCCCAGAAGAAGAGGAAGCGCACAGCGGCGACAGAAGCACCAAAGAAGCGACTAGCAACGAACAAGCCGTCATCGAAACCACCGAGCAGGGGCCCCGCCAAACCCTCTGTCGCGCCGAAGAAAAAGGCCATTGAGCGAGACGAGTCGATATCAGGCAGCGATATCGAGAGCGACGAGAGCGGAGATGATGTTCGGGACAGAAGCGGCTCTGATGGCTCCTCGGACGAATCGGATAGTGGAGGGGAGACAGTGGCAGAGAAGCGGTTGAGGCTAGCACAGCGGTACCTTGAGAAGACGCGGAAAGAGGTGGAATTGGAGGACGAGTACGCTTTCGACGCGGAGGAGATTGACAGAGATCTTCTTGCCGAGCGGCTGCAAGAGGACGTGGCTGAATCGAAGGGCAAAATCTACCGGCGGTTGGCTACAGAACTGAACTTTGAAGAGGCATCACACACCCAATTCCGCTGGAACTCGGGTTCGGTGACATCGGTTGCCGTGTGCGCTCCGTACGCCTACACGACGACCAAAGACGGCTATCTCACAAAATGGAAGTTGCAAGACCTGCCCAAGGACCAATGGCCGCAGACAACACGGAGGAAACCAAAGAAGCCCCCCGCGCCACCCAAGCGGAAACCCGAGAGGATATGCTTCGCCAAAGCCAACCCGGGAAAAACCAAGGACAAGAGTTACCAGGGCCACACGGGGGCGCCCCTCACCGTCAAAGCCTCCCAAGACGGCAAGTACGTCGTGACCGGGGGTGTCGACCGCCGACTCGTCGTCTACAACGCCGCCGATCTCAAACCGATCCGCGCCTTCACGCAACACCGCGACGCCGTGACGGGCCTCGCCTTCCGCCGCGGCACCAACCAGCTCTTCTCGTGCTCCAAAGACCGCACCGTCAAGGTCTGGTCGCTCGACGAGCTGGCCTACATCGAGACGCTCTTCGGCCACCAGGACGAGATCCTCGACGTGGACGCGCTCGCGCAGGAGCGGTGCGTCAGCGTGGGCGCGCGCGACCGCACGGCGCGCTACTGGAAGGTGCCCGAGGAGTCGCAGCTGGTGTTCCGGGGCGGGGCGGGCGAGGGCGGCGGCAAGAAGAGCCGGGTGCCGGCCGGGATGGACCCGGCGTCGGCCGCGCACGAGGGCAGCATGGACCGGGTGGCCATGATCGACGACGAGATCTTCGTCACGGGCAGCGACAACGGCGACCTGGCGCTCTGGAGCATCCAGCGCAAGAAGGCCCTGCACGTCGTCCCGCGCGCCCACGGCATCGAGCCGCCCCTGGACCCCTCCCAGTCCTCCGCCGACGAGGTCCCCGACCCGAGCGTCGTCCCCGCCCCGCAGCCCCGCGCCGTCACCGCGCTCCGCACCGTCCCCTACTCGGACGTCATCCTCAGCGGCAGCTGGGACGGCTGCGTGCGCGTGTGGCGCCTGAGCGACGACAAGCGCAAGATCGAGGTCGTTGGCGTGCTGGGCGGTGGTGGTGGTGGTGCGTCGCCGGCGACCCCGAACGGGGTACACGCGGGCAAACAACAACAACAAACAGCACCCGAGCAGGACTTGGTCCGCGGCATCGTCAACGACATCGCCATGTTTGAGCGCGGCGAGCGCGGCCGCGACGGGCTCTGCGTCGTGGCTGTCACGGGCAAGGAGTTGCGGCTGGGTAGGTGGAAGAACATGAAGGAGGGGCGGTGCGGCGCCGTTATTTTTGAGGTGCCGAAGGCGGTTGTGAAGAAGCCTGATGAGGCCGAGTTGAACGGGGCGGAGGCCGAGTCGGACGGGGATGATTAGTTTGTTGTCAGTATAGGGACGTGGGACAGAGCTCGGATCTAGGGTGGTCTATACCCGGAGCAGGCAGGCAAGCATTGTCAACCCTCCTCAGTCAGATGATGTATAAAATACGTGGAATGGAATCTGCGCGCACAAAGCGAGGCTGTTTTGTTCTTTATTCATTCGAGTCTCATCTCGTCTGCCATTGCAACTTCGCTCACATCAAGCGGACGGTTTCCGCGAGTTCAGATCAGCCAGCCCTCATTTCCCGCTCTATCTCGCTGCCTCAATTCTCCGTAGTGATATTCGCTAGCAGTGACAGGTACCGCAAGGTCAAGCTCATAAAACTGGCTAGGTAACTCATGGCAGCCGACCAAATCGAAAACAGATGTTGAGTACGGGTAGTTAACACAAAACAAAAAACAAACAAATCCACCTCGACACCGGATACGCTGCCATGCCATTGAGATGCCACCGCCACGCCGCTAAACTATGCTGTTAGCCCCAGACCCGAGACCGCGCCAGGCCCAGGCCACCGAGGGGGTATTGAATCTATCAAGCGATGAGAGAAAAGCGCGAGAAAACCTTCCGGCAAGACAGCAACGCTCAGTCATCCGTAAGATCGATCGGATCCGAAGAGCGCACCATCTCGGCCGTTACCACGGTCGGGCCGTCATCAACGACAAAATGGCTGCTGGTGTGCTGCGTGCGGGCCTTAGCCGCACGACGACGGCTCGCTCCCGCGGGTGACGAGGGCACTGAGTTCGCCTGTCTGGTTGCAGGCTTCGCGGCGCGCGGCGAGTGGGACGAAGCAAGCTCGACTTCGACGATGGGCTGACTTTCCTCGGCCGGCCCACTCGGTGGAGTGGAGGAAAGCGGGACGAGGAACCCTGGATCGTCTCGCGGTTGAGGCGGTGGGCTGGGGAGTTCCTCCCCATCGGGTGCCTCGACGGTTGGGAGGACAGGATCGCCTTCCACAGTGGGGATGGGAACTGCAGATTCGTCCCGGGCGTCTCGTTGAGGGACTGGTGGTTGAGGGGACGGCGCGCGCACCGTCCCTGAAGCCTGCGGCTGTTCGCTTCCCGTCGTTGGCTGTGGGACGGAACGTGTGGGTTCGGTACTGGAATCATCTGTCTGAGGGGCATCGACGTTCATCGGGCTATCGGAGGCGCTGGTGGGTGTTATGTGTTCCGAGAAACCTGTCTCGGTCCCGGGTTTGTCTTTTGGTGCGTCGTTAACCTCACTGGTGTTGTCTCGCGATGGATGGCGGCTTGGCTCTACGCTTGACTTGGGCGTAGGAGTTGCGGCCGAGGCGTCCAGCTTTTTTCTTGACCCCGGTTGCGTTTTCAAATGTTGTTTCCGCTCCCAGAATATCGTCTCGCGCCATAAATTACGCAGATCCGAAGGGTTGAATATCCAATCCGGGGACTCCTTTCGGAGCAACGTTCGAACGAACTGGTCTGGGTCTTTCACAAATTCTTGAATGTACCCGAGGAGGTAGACGCCGCAGTCGCACAGGTTGTCCTGTTCCGGTATGTTCACGGCCCTCATGCCCAGCGTCGCAGGGGGCTCGGTAATCACCGTATTGCGCTTGTGCTTAAACTCGGCAAAAAGATACTTCTTGAGGTGGGCGATAGCCTGGGGATGGGTCGAGCCTAGAGAATCAAGAGTGATGATCCTCGGGTCGTCAGGGCTGTACGTCCTTACGCCAGGCCTTGGCTTTTTGAGTTGCTTCGCCCGAGAGGTCGAGGTCAGGTCTATGCTGACGTTCTTATCGTCAGAAACCAAGTCGACGAGGTCGGACTTGACAATTTCGGGCTGGTCTATCGATGCTCGCACCGGGCGCTTCTCAGGTACGTCTGTCATTTCCACATCCGAGGAGGCGCCGTCGACTTTGCCCTCCATCGCAACGGCCGGGTCTCGAGTATCATCCGAAACCCGTCTCGAGGCCGGGTCCAGCTTCCCGGGATTGCATATGATGGCCACCCACCAATGGTAGTGTTCGTTAACGGGTACGATGATGTAGTCGTATGACAACAAGTCCACCTTTGCAGTCCAATTCTTGACACCATCGTAGTTGATGCCCCTACCCGCCTTGAGTTTCTCGTAAAAGAAGGAATTGTGGAGATAAACACGCTCGTGCAAATCCTTAGCCCGATCCTTCAACACGTCAAAGAGATAGCGGAGACCGTATCCGATGAGATTGTCGTTTAGGCATTGACCCTCGTCGAGCCTGGGTATGTCTTCCTTGTCTACGGTTGTGCGCCGGAGGATCAGGGGCATATTCCAATCCTGTGCCCACTCCCGATGTTCGTCAGACCAGCGGCGGACGGCAGATACACGAGGCGGTTCCAACGTCTGCCCCAATTGAGGAATTTGCCTTGTTCTCAGGGAGCGTGATGTAGCTGAGGCGTGTTCACCAGCGGTATCGGGCCGGGGAAGCGGAGTTTCTGCCTGCTGAGCTGAGACTTGCATCTGGCGTCGAATGGGAGTCCGAGAGCTGGCCGGAACACTTTCGATCGGAGCCGCATTCGCCCTGGGTGACCCCTGGGTTGCCTGCGGCAGGTGGGTTGGGGTGTCGACGGACAGTCGCCTGCCCGACGCCTGGCTGCGACTGTGGGTTACGTCGTGGTGCAGCTTTTTATACGACATGGCCAGTTTATCCCTGAATACCGTTAGCGTGGCACAAACAGCAAACAAGGCTCGTTGGGCAACAGTACTCTTCCTTTGCCGGAATGATGCGCACCGCGAGGTGCTTGCGAACCCACTCAACGACCCATAACGCTTCCGCACTGCTACGAAGCTTGATAAACATCAAACTCCCAATCGGTACCGAGGCTTGGTCCATTGATTGGCTGAGCTTGATGAGGCTAGATTTCGGATGATACAACAACGTGTTCGCTTTCCCTGTAATCTTGAGCCAGTGATAGGGCTCCGCAGGATGAGTCTCATCAGTAAACACGCGCAACTCTGGGCCATCGGTAGGTCGTAAGAAGCAGGAGTTGTGGCTGTCTTTTGCCACAAACTCAAAATTGGGTTGGCACACAGCTGCTGCCACGCCGATGCCGGTAGTCGTAAGGTCTCCTCGGTTGCCGGCCCACTTGGTCGATTTTATGTCTCCCCGCTGTGACAAACTGGGGGATTTATTCTTCGGTGAGCCCTTGATTGGCTGTCTTGTGCTCGCTGTAGGGGATCCTCCGCTGCTAGTCCCAGCCGCCAGTTCATCCTGATCCTCGATGACTTCGTGGCTCGGACGCTTTTTGCTTTGGGGACTCTGACCTGGCCGAGTCGGTTTCCCGAGGATGCATGCATCCGCAGGGTCGCGGGTGATCGCAGTAGACCGGCTGAGAATCAGACGGGCGGTCCGTTGTTGATGTGGAGTGGGCTTTTGAGCCGGGGCAAGCTCGTCAAAACTCTCGACAGGTTCCAACTGACGAGACATTCGGCCTCGGCCAACATGGCTGCTCATGACAGAAGGGTGGTTCGCCTGCGGCTGACGGCTGCGCCTGTTCGAGCGTCCTGTTCCCTTGGTAGACTCTTCCACGACCTGGTATTCCTGAATTCCAGGGGAAACGGAGTGAGCAAAGCTCGTCTGGCTGCCGCGCGGATCTGACCGTGACGCCGCATCCTGCTCAATGTCTATATCCTCGCCTGGGCCCCGGCGACGGGCATCGAGGAGGGTTTTTTGCCGTTTTGGTGGGGGGGGTTGGTCGGCTAGGCGGAAGGTGTTCGTCGTTTGAAGAGGGCCTGGAGGGCGATTGGGACTTGAATCGAGCGTGTTCATGTGCGTCGGGGGCGCCAACGCTTTCTAACTCGGGTCAGCATGTCGTGTACGAAGTAGCTGCTCGTCATGGGAGAGCGTACAAGGAATCCCGGTCTCGGCACCGTCATCCTGACTGCTCCCTTTACAGATCTGCATCGTCAGCTTTCTTTTCGTCGGCCGGTCCGCAAAAAAAGAGATACAAAAAAAACCAGGGCCAAGTCCACATACCCATAATCTGGAAACGAGTGTGCAGTTTTGTGGAATTCGAGACGACCCCCGCTTGTGCGCCGGGTTGAACTTCGGCTGGCGTTTGTCGCTCGTGGTGGCACGCAGTTTTTCGAGCCTTGCGCATTGTGAGGGCCGGACAGTTGGGCGGGCGTCGGTTCCTGTTCGGCTCTGTTTGCGAACGAGTTTCTTTCCCCCGGATCGCGGAACGAGGAATCGGGTGGGTCTCTCGTCGAGGTGCGGTGGGCCATTTCACCACCTGCAGTGACGGGGATGGGGAACGTTTATTGTGGGGCGTTCAGCCAAAGAATTGTCGCAACGCCAACATACTGAGAGCCATTTAAGTTGGGCGAGGTAGAGTTGGGGGGTTTAAAGGGGAGTCCTGTCCTCTACCTGCCTATCCGAAAGGAACAACAACGGCATCGAAAACTGAGGCGGTACTTCGTCGGTAGTTATCTCCAAACGCAAAGTCAATCAACCAATGTCACGAGGCTGGCAATCACAAGCCCCGATGCGGCGGCTCTTGCCAGGGTCCCAGGTTGGGTTTAGGGCCGCCTGGGCAATGTCACCCACGGCCTGGAACTTTGCATCCCTGTCCTCCACTCACTCAGCTGTTGTTGCCTGCCGCCTTTAACACCAACCAACCGGGGAGGCAGTCACTTCGAGAAGCTTTCGGGCTGCATCAAAAAGACTCGGCGAACGGCTTGTGGACATTTCGCCAAGAGCGAAAGGAGAACCAGGTGGTGGCCAACGGAGCATGGCAGGCTGCATCTTCCAATGCCTCTTCTCGGCTTCTTGCGTGGAAGTGCCTAATGACGGGAATCACATCGCATTCGTCAAGCCTGAGGTCCACAAATATATTTGTACGAGGTATGCATGTAAGAAACATCCTCTGATAATAACTAAAAGTTGCCACTTTAAACATTCGCCTCGACATTATGCCCATGATGTTGCCGAGATTCTTGTTGCTCAGCGAGGACCTCGATAACGGTGAGCTACTTCGTAGAATGGAATGCAGCTCTGTTTGACTTTGTCGTCCTTTTGGTTGTTTCTCTCTCGATCTGAGTGGAGGAGTTAATCGGCAGGGCCGGGCTGGGCGCGGGGACGGCTCGGACACTCCCCGACGACAAACGGACCAGGATCTCCGGTATCTGTTCGACGGAAGCCACTCGCTTCCCGTGCAAACTCGGAAAAAGCTGAAACTGAACTCATCGATAATCAACAACCCACCTATCCCTATCCCAGCTACCCTCTCTAATTATTCGATCATGAGCAAACAGAGCCATATCGAACGGACAGCCAATGAGCCCCGTGAAGCAGTTTGTCCCCTTGCCAACTCCCGAGTGACATATTCTCGTGGCACCTAACTCGCATCTCAGACCCTCCACACCCTCACAATTGCCCACATCGACCAAGTCTCCCCTACCATCCGAGTCATCCGCCTCGCCATTCCCCCAAATGACAACATAACTGCAAGTCCCCTCCCCACCCCTGAACCCCCCCCCTAAGCAAACAAACCCCCTATTTACACGCCACCACCCGACTCCAGTTCCTCCCCGGCCAATGGGTCGACTTGCACCCACCCCCCGAAGCCCAGGTCCCCAAAGCAGGCGGTTTCACAATCACCTCCTCCCCCACCCTCGCCCTCCATAACCCCAACCCCAACGCCCCCTCCACCACCACCCCCAACAAACCAACCCCCCCACCAACAACAACAGAACCCCCCTACCTCGAACTCGCAATCCAATCCTCCCCCAACAGCCCCCCCGCAGCCTACCTCTCCCAACCCATCCCCCAACTCCTGCACACGCCCGTCCAAGTCCGCATCGGCGGCCGTTTCGTCTTCCCACCCCCCACCCTTTTTCCTCTCCCTCCCCCAACCGCACCCACTACAAGCACCACCACAAATGACACCACAGCCCCCGTCCGCCGCCTCGTCCTCGTCGCCGGCGGGATGGGCATCAACCCGCTGGTGAGCATGCTCAGCCACATCGCCGAGCAGGGAGGCGACGACGACGACGGCCCGCAGGCAGGGATAGGGGTAGAGGTAGAGGAGGTGCGGGTGCTCTACAGCGTGAAGGAGCCCGAGCCCGAGCCCGAGCCCGGCAACAGCACCGGCGGGGCGATACTCTTCCTGGAGCGCATGGCGGGCCTGTTTGGGAGCGGGCGGGTCCGGGGCGGGGTGCGGGTTTTTCTGACTGGGGGTGGGGGACGAGGAGGGGTCGGTTCTGCTGTTGGTGATGCTGTTACGGCTGGTGGTGGTGGTGGGGTGGGGGATGGACCGGGGGGGTTGGGGGTAGAGGGTGGTGATGAAAGGTTTGGAGTGCCGTGTGTGAGGCGGAGGATGACGGTGGGGGATGTGGAGGAGGCGGTTGGGGAGGAGAAGGAGGCTGCGGTGGTGTATGTGTGTGGAGTGCCGGGCATGACGGATGAGTTTGTGGAGGCGCTGGTGGCGCAGGAGGGGTTTGGTATGGACCCGAGGAGGGTTTTGTTTGAGAAGTGGTGGTGACCTCTTTGGTCTAAGGAACGAGACGGTGCATATTGGGGTCAACTCTCCCAGTTTAGGAACTGGCTATCTGCGGTTTGTGTGTTGATACATGTATAGGTTACGTCAGGCCTTCCCTTCCGCTTACACAAATACTCATAAAGTCTCATTGCTGGCCGCTACTCGAGCACGTTGCTAAGACTGCCGACTGATCCGACGACTAAAACCACTCTGTTACGCCATGATAAAAACCCGGATTCGGATCAACTCCTACTCCAACACCACCCGTTCATCAACGAACAACAAGACACCCTTAGATCCGGCTTCCCGCGACCCGCTCAACGATGTCAGCACCCCCCTTCGTCTTCGGCACGTCGCGGCCGAGAACCATGGATGCCATCTTACCCGGCGACCCGCTGGTTTTGTTCTTACGAAGCCCCGCGAGCAGGGACCGGCCAGTCTTCTTAATGGTCTGGGGGCTAAATTTGCGACGGGCAGAATTCTCGGCAAGGCTTGCCCGGTCTGGGGAAGGATTCGCGACCGCCCACTCGGACTCACTCGACGTCGTGCTCTCGAGCCGTGAGAGTTCGCGATGAGAATATAAATCACTCGGCAGAGACTTCCTAGACCTCGCTCCCGCAGAAAATATTGTCCGCTTGGGTGATGTGAGGAGGGCGATGCCGCGTTCGAGCCCACTTCCGGTTGTGGGCAAATAGCGACCGGGCGACAGCTTCTCTGCCGAGAAGAAGTCGTCCGCAGACTTTGGAGATGCGTCGTAGTCCGATATCGAATAGTCAGCTGGATTGGGCTCGCTATCCGGAACGAAACTGAGAGTCGACTCCGAGGGTGGAAGCTCGACAAGCTGAGCGACGCCAACCTCAACCTCCTCCGGGTCGAGGGAATCTTCTTCGGCATATTGCTGTAGTGAAGGGGTTATCGACAAAGTGGTTGATAGCGCTGACGCCGCAGAAGAGCGTCTCGAAAGCCTGTTGGGCGCATCCACGGGGAGCTCCGGAAGAGGACGTTGCAAGTACGACTCGAGGTACGCATCGCGGAGTGCCTTGCTTGGCTGGGGGACTCTGAAATTGGACGACGCCGCTGGGAATCGCTCGGGTGGGCTCTTGAGGAAGTAAAACTCTGTTTCCTCTTCTCGCTCGTCGCCCGCATCTAGATCCTCAGTGCGGTCTCTGTAATCGTGGAACACGGCTTCATCTGCGCTGCCGCTCCCCGACAGCCACGACTGTTCCTCTGATGTATTGTCAAAGAGCTCCGAGGCTGCGTGCGCTTGAGCAATAGTCCGAAGCACTTTCGGGGAGACGGAACAGAGAAGCTCGAGTTCGGTCGCTGGAATGAGATTCAGTCGTTTGAGGTTCTGCAAGGAGCGGTAGTGAAGTCGAAATGTGGCGAATGGTGAGTCCTTTGCGTCCAGGAGATGCCAGTCGTAAAAGCACGCATCTTGCGGCTGGTCAAGAAGGCCGATGCTAGGCGCGCTGATGGGTCTGTTAGTGGGTAAAACAACATCGAGTTCGGTAACGGAGGCACCAACGCGATACCATAGTTCTCCTGGAACCTGAACTCTTCCAGTCTCGGCGCACGAGCACGTCTCGCCTTGGCTCGGAAGACCTGTATCTCGATGAGACCACCATCCTCGGCTACGGGCTTGTGCTCTTGGCCAGGCAAAAACACAAAGTTGCGGCCCTCGAACCCGACCCGGTCGGTGTAAAGCCTGCAGGGCGACCACAGCGACTTGACAACTTTGCCCTTTGGCCGAACGGCTGGATCAATTCCCCACGCAGCGATGGGTCGAGCGTTCATGTAGAGCCGGAAGAAAATGTACTTGCAGGGAGCAGCCGGCGCGGTGTTCACGCTGTAATTGATAGAAAACGGGGTGCCTGGGCTGTCAGTCCAAGACAGGTACGAGCGGCGTGTGTTCTGTTGGTGGAGGAAGGGACCGACCTGGGATTGACGGTATGTAAACCGCCACTGTCGGGCCGGCCTTGGGCTGTGATAGTTGGCCATTCGGGCAGGACGAGAGAGCGCCTAGGAGCCGAGCCGATGTGCCTTCTGGGTGCGGGTACTCGGGGATCTGCTCGTCTTCGGCTTTGGTGGTCAGGAACACCTCGATGCCTCGAAGGCACGGCATTTTGGAGAGGTTTAACGAATAAGGAAAACGCCGAATGCGACTGCGAGACACGACCAAACCCAGAGCAAAATCGGGGCGGGTGACGAAATCAAATCGACTCGGAGGAAGAAACGGGAGAGGGTCGGGTGCAATAGGTAGGAAATCGGAAGGAACCAGATGCCCTGATCCCGCCTTCTTCGCGTAGTTGCCAATGCGCGCCAGTTGGCCCGGGTTTCCTCTCAAATTGGTGTTTCCGGCCACCACTATACAAATGGAGGAGTTAGGATCAAATGGGCAAGTCGTCTGCCGGGCTCTGTCACAAAGCACTTAGCATCCGAGCCGGATGTTCAGAGGGACATCAATGGACCCGCATGGCTGGCTCAAAACGATGGTCATTCAATTCCGCCAACCTCTCTGCCTAGACAGTTAACGGCGGCGTCCACACAGTGACCGGATATCCACAGAGTCGGGTCGAGACGGCACTGTCGGCGGCCCTGCTCTAGTTCGTCCCCAGCACCTTCTTGGTGTCGTCCTCCTTGTCCAGCAACCCAAGATTCCGTATTTGGCCAGCGGTTGGGGGGTTCTCCTGCAGCTTCTTGGCCTCGGATTGTCGGTAAGCAGCTTGCAGCATCTTCACTCTCGCAGCCTGTAGAGCAAGCAATCCGGGTCAGCCAGGGTGGTTCGAGCGGGTTTGCGACAAATCGTTGAGGGGTTGACGCACCTCTTTCCTGTGGTGCAGACATTCGTAGTAGTCCTCCATGGCGGGCACGCACTTCTTCTTGCCCGAGTCGTCATCGTCGGAGCTGTTGACAACGTAGCACGAGAGAAGCTCCTGCCAGAAAGGAAAGCAGCGGGACGGGCCTGTGCAGGGACAGCATTGGGTCAGCGCGGTGCTGGGGTAACGCCGATTAAATATGTGGATCAGGCCATTGGTTCATGCGATCATACTCACCCCCGTTCAAGCCGTATCCAGAGGCCATGGTGGGCTGTGTCAAAGCTTGGGTGCGATTTGGCAGTCAAGGTGCGCCGCCCAATGCGATGCCAATGTCACTCGCTGGTGATGTCGGCGACGAAGTTGAGTGCACGGGCCGAGCGGGAGCTTGCTATTGATCTTGGCATTGAAAGAAACGCCACAGCGGGCAGCCACGGCAGCAAAAAACATTCACCCACCAGCCACATATTATTAAAGATTGCCAAGACTTCTGTTTGAACCCCCTTCCATGCCCCCGATCAAACAACCACCCTCACAACATCGTTGGAGCAGCAGAGGTGCGCCGTCACTTTGCATGCATGGATCTCGAAAGGACGGCGGTGGATTATGCCCAACAGTCACCAGTGCCACAGAGAACTTTTCTCATGTCTTTCTATTCCCTATTCCCAACCCTCTATTTAACAATCCGAATGCCATCTTCAACCCGACGTTCAGAAACAATGAAGAATGGAAATGCCACCGCCACAGACTCAAAAGTGCAGACACCACCTCTCTCAGATACTTTAATAAAACCCCACCACTGCTGATCGACCCGTACTTTATCTTCACCACCACTTAGGTAGATGATGGTGTCCCGATGAATGTGGTAGCGTTGGTGTTTGAGGAAGTCTGGTATGCGCCCCGGAGCTGTAGGAGATATTGGCTCAAGGGGCTGCCGGCCCTGGGATTGACGACTTTTAACCAAACATAGCGTCAAGGGAGTGAAGGCCGATGAGATCGCTGAACCAGAGAGGACACCAATATTCGTTGAACTAGCGAGAACAAAGTATGTCTGCTTTCGGCGTTTCCCTAGGTAGGTAGCCTTTTGAGACACGTCAAGGAGCTCCTTGCTATGTGCCAATAGCGAGAGTTAATTTTAAGTAGAAGACCGGGCCAGATCAGCCGTTCCATGCGCTTTGCCTTTGTACTGACTAAGTCAAGAGGGGTGGCATAACAAAGAAACACCGGGATCGCTCTGCAGCAGGTAAGGGACGGGAGGGACTAACCATGGCATCGAGCAAACTCATTTGATCCAGGTACCCCGGAACAGCGATAATGAGACCTGCCACACACCGGCCCTCTACCACAGTGAACAAAGGGACCAGAACGGGGTTTCCGAAAGGAGAGTCGCCGGTAGAGCCGGGTGGTGAGAAGAAGAATCCATGCGAGGCGGTGGCGATGCGAAACAAAGACTACTTGCTCAGCAACAAAAGACCAGCCCAGAAACATGGTGCCTCGCATGGGCACTCAACACCTCTTTTTTTTGCTCTCGAACTTGATCAACTCCACTTGATACACTCCATCCAGGAAGACCACCTGCCCACACACCCGTCCACTATCGGAGAGAACCATTGAACAACACCCGAAATGCTTCCAGAAATCATGAGATTCTGCTGCCACGAGGGTATGCTCTGTGACGACGCCCATCGCTGGGTCTACGATGCCGACCAGAGACGGTGGATCACCGTTTCGACCCCCATTCTTTGGGGCTCGCCGCTGTGTAAATATGATCATGATGATGCGTTTGAGGCCGAATGGGAAAACCGGGCCATCAAGGCCATAGAGGTGGTGAAAGAGCACATTGACACTGTAGCAGCCGATATCACGGCAGTCTTCGTCGAGGCCTCGGGCAAAGTGAGATTTGCCAACGAACACAACATGAGTATGGATTGGCTAAACCAGTCGACCTTTTATCCGCTGCTTGAATCATATCAGCTGCCCCAGGGAACGTTCAAAACCCTGCTGCGTTCAGACCTCACAGAGCTCGATCGGCTATCCGCCCACGTCGACCTGGTTTCATATCCCGGAGTGGAAAAGGCCGCGTTCAAGTACACCCATCACCACAAAGGTTTCGGCGATACGTGGGCCGAGTTCCAGATCCATGCCCGTCTCCCCAAGCACCCAAACATCCTTCCCTTGGACCACCTCGTTCTCGACGAGCAAACTGGGAAGCGTGTCCTTGGCTTCACCACCCCGTTTATTGAAGGCGGAGACCTGGATACCAACAAGGATCGTTTGTTCAAACTCAAGCATCTCAGACAGCTGATGGAGGTAAATACTGCTCGCTGTTCTCCTTGTCGCCGCCGGCAGCACTGACCTAGTACGCTACAGGTTGTCGACCTCTTGAACTACAAGCTCGGCATCGTCCACAATGACATGGCGCCCCGCAATTTCTTCATTGATCCATCCACCGACGACCTCATAGTGTTTGACTTTAACGTGTCCGCCAGGATTGGTTACGAGCCAGGACCCATGGAGCGGGACGTGATCGTGGCGATCAAGGAGCGCAACGACGTCAAGGGGGTGGTGATGGCGGTTCACGAGATACTCACCAGAGACCCACGCTACAAGGGCATCGGGCTACATTATCTCGACGAGACGGACCTCTTCGCCGGACCCGAGAAGTGGGTGAAGCACCCGGACGTGCAGCTAGAACCTGGCGTCGACGCCGTCGACTACTACAACGAGTTGATGCGCTGGGTAAAAGCCCGCCGCGGGCGCCCCATCACGGTATTCACCGAGGCGTCAGAGCCCATCGACTGGCCCCGCAGATTGTACAACAGGGAGAAGGAGCCGGTTACGTACGACCGTGAGGAAGCCGAGAAGCGCGGCTGGCCGTATATCGAGTGGGTTCGCCCGCGCTGGGCACACCTAGACCGCTCCCGCCCGCTGCTCGCCACGGGCAAGTACGCCGACGACCCGTCTGGCAACAAGGGAGCCGGTTGGGAGGATGAGGAGCCCGTTACCGAGACCTGCCTCAAGTACGACTGGGAATTCGGGCAGAAGACGGTTCCGGTGCCGGTTGCCACCACGAGCAATGCCACCGCAGAGCCGGAGACCGACAACACCACCACCATTAACACCATTAACACCACTCCCAACAACACAACCCCCACCAACCCCGCGCACCCCACGCAACCACAACCCCAACCACAAACCCAGCTCCCGCACCCACCCCAGGCCGAGACGGCACCCACCATAGTCCTCCCCACCGCGACCGGAGCCGGAGCCGGAGCCGGAGCCGGAGCCGGAGCCGAGACCAAGTCCAAGACCGAGGCGGAGACCGAGACCGAAACGAAAGCCGAGACTCGGGCCGAGAACAGGATCAAGGTGGAAAAAAGCAAGACGGAAGCTAAGCTCCCCAAGCCCAGAACCAGGAAGCGTGCGGCCAGCGCCGCGCTCCGGGACGGCCTCCCCGCGGCGCGCCGGAGCCCGCGGCTGAGGGCGAGGAGCTTGAGCCGCGGCTCGGGGAATGGGGTGGGGAAGTAGACTGGTAGTTGGGTGATGGGGGTGACTGTTTTCGGGTGGGGTTGGGGGTTGGGGGAATGGTTGTGGTGGGGGGTAGTTGAGATGGCGTGGTTGAAGAAGGAGAGGGGTGGAGTAGGTGTTTTGTTGGGTAAGGGAAAGGGGGATGGCTTAGTGGAAGGGGAGGTTGTGGCTGGGATGGTTTTGGGAGTGGCCTGCGGAGAGGGCTGTTGGTTCCTCGTTTCTTCGGTTGCTAGAGACTAGAAGGGTTGCTTGGTTGTTTTTACATCGAGATTGAATCGTATAACTAAATTGTTTTGAGACTTACAACAGTACCGAGGGGCCGTTTAATTTTATTTGAAGATGAGCCTCAAGCATGCCGATAAATAATAGGGGCGTAGTGGAATGAGACAGGTATCCATCTATACGTATCTTGAAGGCAGGCCAACTCAGCAAGGGGAGGCAATGGTCGTTCTTGACGGTTTTTGTCTCCCCAGGTCAGACCCTGTTCGTCCTTTGGAATATTGGGTAAGCCATTGCATAACGGCCCGGCCGTGTACGACGGACCGTGGATACACGGCGGGATCGGCCGCATCCTCACGCCTACCTTCCGGTGGCTACATCAGCGCCTGTGGCACATGGGCCGTGGAGAGACGGCCGAGACGTGCGAGTGGGATATCGAGGGCGGCGAGATGCGAGCGTTGGAGAAAATGTTGAGGGGTATATCGGCGTTCGAGCCTCGCGAGAGGTTGACGGTGGAACAGTTGTTGGAGTTTATCTACGTGGTAAAATGGGCGTTGTCCGCCTGGGAGCGGAAAATCAGCAAGTTGGGGGGCACGGCAGTTGAGCGATCTTATGGTTAGGTAGGTACCTTTGAAGAAAGGACAGAGCAATTCCACCAACCACTTCTGGCCAAACCCACGAACAAGTAATACCAACAAGGTGCAAATTTTAACCCTTGGGCCATCTTCTTCACCTTGCATGCACATGACGGGGAGAGGGTTGGTTGTGTATGGGGGATTGTCCGCCTAGTTTAACAAGTTTTTAAAACGAGAAAAATAGACCACACCCTTGACCATATCTCATGTTTAACCATGTGTTACTACTAGCTATTTTACGATGCTAAACTAAACCTAAACCGGGTGTTTCGGCCCTCAAGTGCTATCGGCGCGGCCACGGCGGCGTGTAAGTGATAAAAGTGGGACAGATACCTCACTTCACGCACGGGCTTGGCACGGCTTGGCCCACTTCATCGGCCCCGATCTCTCAAGCAGTGGAATGGATCCCTGCAACTTGGCCAAATCAATGCCAAGTCGGAAGGTGTCAACTGCTTCCATCTTCTCCAAGCCGCTAACAAATAAAGTAGCCATGGTCTCGGCCTCCACCCCGTCGATGCCCCCATAAATCGTGCCATCTTCCGGCGACAGAAACTGCGACGATGGCCCTCTTGCTTTCTCCAGCAAAGCTTGTGCTGTTGGCCGTGCACTGCGCCGTCAACAGCGACATCGACAGCTTGACCACCCTCGCTGCCCGCCACGGCACCGTCCTCCGAAAAGACCTGCTGCTGCGCATCCTCCTTACCTACCTACCCGAGACGCTACCCTCGAGCCAATACGTTGGACTTGTCGACCAGATCGAATCCGGCGTGTTTCCAGACACACCGAACCCAGAGGTCGACTGCTCGCCCGTCGAAGACCTCACCGAAGACGCCGCCGCGAAGAAGGTCAGGAAGCTCCGTCTGCTTCCATTAGTGTCACCCGAAGGCCCCCAAGCCCCCGAAAATGCCGCCAACGACGCTCTCTCGCTGTTCTTGCTGCGCCGGTCATACAAGGTGGACGAGGAGGCCGGGTTGCTCGACGAACTACCAGCCCTGCTGTTGCCTTTTGTCGATAACTCCCCATGCGCGCGCGTCCTGCTAGTTTCAACAATATTACCGCTCCTGAGGCGGAATTGCGAATACCACCCCCAGGAGCCCATATCGTATACCCTCCAAGGATTCCAGCAGCTCCCCGACCGCGTCGCTGTGAACTTGCTCCTGGCGCAGACTGGCAATCGCGAGACGGACCTTCCTTACGTTGGCCGAGATCTAAGGGGGCTGATTGGGCCGTGGTTGTCCGGGGAAAGGAGGTGGAAGCAGGGAACACATGACACACGCTCGTCAGAAGATCCGAGCGGGGCAGTCGAGGAACTTTGTCCTGGCTGGGATGAGCTTCTCTGCTGGCTCACCACGCAAGCGTCGAGGAATTGGCAAGTGACCGTCAGCGCAGTTCAACAGTGGGATGGCCCCGATGATGCCGATTTTGGTGGTTGGGGTTCCGTTGAACTAAGTGACGACCAACGGGACTACCTGGAGCGGAGTTATGCCCAAGCGGCGCTAGCATCTGCCTACCTCGTCCCGGACACATCCCTTCAAGCGCTAGACGGCGCATACAGCATGATTGTTAGAGTTACCAAGTTCCGTGATTTGGAGCCCATCTTCCCGCTTGCCTCGTCACTAGCCGAGTTGCCATCACTCACCGGACGGGTCCCCGACGATATCGTGTCGACCAGGAATACGGCCCACCTGCGCAATCAACTTCTTGCCCTGTCAAACCCTCTGACTTCACCAACCGATGGCTCCGTCGCGTTTCTTCAAGCGCTTATTCTGAGCGCCCACATCCTTACCAAGGCTGGTTGCCCCTGCACAATACGCAGAGCCGGCGAGCTCGCCCTGCTCCGGGACGAGAGGGAGCAGAGGGCCGAGGCAGCAAAACTTATCCACGCCATCAGTAACAATGGCCCAAAAACAGATGACGTGTTCTGGCGAAAGGCGAGAGACGAAATCCTATGGCTTAGGGACTGGGGGATAGCTTCCTGGTCCCCCGAGGATCCCCCTTGTGGCATCTTCGGCCAGGTCAAGCAGGACTTTTTGGAGGTCGAGATCCTAAGGGCCTTGCTTGCCAACACACGTAAGTTTGTTGTTGCTTTGTAGAGACGAAGTGCTGACCAGCAAAGGTTACGAACTTGCGCGCTCAATATACGAGGACGGCCCGGACCAGCCTCTGGAACGGAAGCTTTTGCAAGACACCATCTACGCGGCCGCCATGACTGCTTATGATAACGCCTCTAACCCCAACCGTACGCGCGGGGGGCTTAAGAAATGCAATGACATGTGAGTTCAACTAGCGCACCATGTGTCGCATGTTTTACTGACAACAGGTGTCCAGAATGAAAGCCCTCCCCGCGACGATTGGGGTATCATATCCACAAGCCAGACAAGTCGAGGCCCTTCTCCGGGCGACACATTCCCTCAGCGAGTACCGCCTCGTGCTCAAGCAAGGCGAGCCATTCACGCCTGTCGTACTGCGAATCCACGCCGACCCCATCTCCATCATCGGCAAGATCCTCGAGCAAAACCCCAAGAGCTACACCCAGCTCCACGACCTCGTCTCTGTCGGCACCCATATGGTCGAAGCTGGCCTCACAAGAGCCCAGCACAAAATTACCCTCACCCCCGAGCAAGAAGCCACCCACCGCCTCACAGCCCAACAACGCGTCACAGCCATGTGCATCGACGCGGCCCTCAAAGAAGACGACTTCGAAACCGCCTACTCCTACGTCGTCAACCGCCTCCCGACCCCGCCAGAAAAAGAAAACGAAAAAGACGACCACTCCTGGCGCGCCGCCCTGCAAGCAGGCCGCTACCGCCCACCCCCCAACAGCCCCACAAACCCATCCACCACCACCACAACCACCACAACCCCAACCACAATCGCAAGCGGCCTAGGCGGCAGCGCTAACCCCGCCGTGCGCCACCTCGAGCAGCGCATCGACTGCCTCGCCACCGCCCTGCGCATCGCCCCGCCGCACACCCTCCAGGAGATCGCCAACGCCTTCCGCCGCGCCGAGGAGGAGCTGGACGTGCTCGCCCGCGAGGACGATGCGCAGGCCGATGCGTGGGATGCAAGGGGGGAGTTGTTGCGGCGGGCGCGTCATGGGCATGGGCATGGTCATGGTCATCCCGGTACGCAGACCGTGCCGGGCGCGTTTGACACGCCGGCTCCTGTCCGTGGTGGGTCGGGGAAGGCGGCGACGGCGGCTGCGGCCGCGGAGGAGGAGGCCGCGCCCATGTCGCTGTTTGACCTAAGCCGCGCGAGCGTGCTGTCGGCGCAGCGCAACCTGTCGGCTTTGTCCGGGCTGCAGCGGTCGGCGTCGGCTGGGCTGGGGGGGTTGGGGCGGTTAGCTGGCGGCGGTGGTGGTGGTGGTGGTGGTGGTGGTAGCCACTCAGGGGGTAGGGGTGCCGGTGCTAGAGCCGGTGCGGGAACCACGTCGCCTGGTGGTGACGGTGGTGATGGGAGGGGGAGCATGGACATGCGGCCGCTTTCGGCGGCCGGGTCGGCGATGTCGGCGGGGAGTGCGGAGGAGGAGAGGCGCGTGCGCAAGAGGGACCAGCTGCGTGAGGCGGCTATGGGGACGCTGGTGTCGGGGGTGGGGTGGTTGGTGGGCGCGCCGGCGCCGGGTCCGGCGCAGTCGAGGGAGTAGACCCAGAAAAGGAAAGACATGTACCACCGGCCGGGGTGCAGGGTTGTAGAGGGAGGGGTGTCGGGTGTGGTTTGTTGAAACTGGGGATGATAGATGCTTATATTACTATACTATATACCCTTTGATTACAATGCAGCACGGACTATGGCATTTTTGAAGAGACGCTTGCAGTGGGAATAACTAACACATGATTTCTCGGTCTACTTGTGTAATTATTCGTGCCGATAAAATCGCAAGTACATGATGATCCTGACCGCGCCAGCTCCGCGGCACCCCAAACTCCACGCACATTTGCGAGTCCCTTGCCCTTCGCCGTAAACAATACAATACACTCCGAAAAGATGCCTCCCGTCTATGTGGTCTACCTCAGAATAAAGATGGGGGTTAGCAGCCCGGCACCTGCCCCCAAAATCCAGGGCAACGGAAAATAGCCTCGCACCATAACCAGTCCAGAACTCAGTCCGAGTCCGAGTCCCCGTCCATGCCAAGCAACGTCTTGTCGACATCATCCAGCTCGTCCTCTCCCTCGACTTCGCCCTCGCCTTCATCATCGTCGCCGAGACCAAGCAAACCCTTATCGACGTCGTCGAGGTCATCGGCATCATCCATGGGTGTATCGCCAATCGTGTCGCGGCGGTGTAAGCCGTTCGTCTGCCCGCGACCCTGGCCGGTCTGCGCGCGCCGGGCGTGGACTATGACCTCGTTCTCGTCCTCGGTCTCGGCGGGGTCAATCATCTCCTTGGAGGGCGAGTTCTCGCCCTCGCCCTCGCCCTCACCCTCGCCATCACCTTCTTCATCGTCGTCGTCGTCGTCGTCGTCGTCGCCATGTCCGGTGCCGTTAAGCTTCGGCCGCTTGACCGGCCGGATAACACCCAACGGTGGGCCTTGATGGTTCTCCCAGCGGTTCAGGCGGCGGTTCGTGCGGCGAAATGCGGCGGCATACGAGCTAACCTGCTCCCCGAAATCGTCTGGCTCGTCCTTTAGCTGAGCGAGGCCGCCGTAACCCCTCTCGCGCATGCGCTTGCCCCCATCGCCCGAAACGGACGCCGAGTGCTTGCCAAGGACGGCGGCTACCTCCTCGTCCTCGCTGTCGTCAAAGGGGTTGTCCATTTGGGCGAGCCGAGGGAGGGCGCGGAGGATGGCTCCTTCATCGCGGTGTTCCTTCCGGGCGCGGTGGCGGCCACGGCGCAGGCCTCGGTCGAGTATGTGCTCAACGCGCTGGGAACGGTTTCGTTCGACTGCTAGTTGGTGGGCGGTCGGCGGGCGCGGCTTACGCGCCATCACCCCTTCGATCATCCTCTCGCCGCCGGGGGACGAGCCCTCCAAGACTTGGTATTTGAGCGAATGCGGCCCTCTCCGACCGATACTTCCGAAAACACCGCTCTGCCGACCGAGGGCACGGGGTGGCGGTGTCGACCGGACACTATCCAGATCACTTTCGTTCTTAGAGGGCCGAATCCGCGGGAGGATGCCCGTCGTTGGGCCGACTTCGTCGCCGGCGGGGAAACCCCGACCACGGCCGCCGCCTCGCTTGCCTTGGCTCTCGGCCATGAACTGTTGGTCCGCCTCGATGATCTTGGCGCGCATTTTCTGTTTGGTGAATCCGAACTCGATCTCCTCTTGTGTGTCGACGTTCTCCAGTGCCGCCTCGTCCTCGGTAAGAGGGTCTACGCGAGGGACGCCCTGATTCGCGACGTCGACGTTGTAGTCTACACCAGCGCCGAAGGGGTTCTCCTCGCACCCTTCTTCGGTAAAGTCGGACTCGAGATAGAACCACATGAGCCAGAGAAAAGCGCGTGCTCGGCTTTCGCTGCTGTAGTTCGTCTTCATGATGAGATCGTGGAATTCTTGGCCTGGGGGGAAATGCAGCTCCGCAATCTTGGTTGCGGCCTGGCAGATGAGGAAGAGGAGGTTGACGGGATTCGTGCGCGGGACGTCGATCCCTTTGATCTCGTCTAGCGACGTCGGCTCGGGTCGGTCGTCAGAGCCTCCCTTCAGGATGGACTTCAGCCTGGGGGCATCTTGCAGTTGCTTGTAGGCGTGAGGGTCTTGCCGGGCTTGAAGGCAGGGGATCGCGTGGTAGGTGCGCAGCTGGGCTCGCATCTCGGGAAAGACTAAGGCTGCGGTCAGCATCTCGTCGCCGGGTGGGGAAGGGGGCAACGCAGGAATATACAATTGAGAGTGGTGTTCATGCGGCCGACGTTGACCAAGAGGCAGACCATGGCCATACCCTTGGCAGCCTCGCGATCACTCAGCAATTTATCTCGGAGGACCTTGCTGGTCTTGCTGCTCCGGGACATGGTATCGATGTAGAGGTCGGCGAAGCACTGGCTGCCAATGCGATCTTTTTCGTAGCTGTTTGTAAATACCTTTGCGTCATTATCGAAAACGGCCTTGAGGAAGTCGAATTGGATGTCCTTGCGCCAGAGCGGCTCGCCGTCGTCTTTCTTGAGGTGTCGAATCTTGCCGATGGGATTGCCGTTGGCGCCGTTGCCATCGTCGCGACCGCGCTTCTTGCCGCGCGATTGTCGCTCGGAAGGCTCTGGGGTCGCCATCATCCTCGTGTCGTCGTCCTCGGTGACAGCGGTCATGAATGATTTTTCGACGTGGACGGGGGAACTGGGTGGCTCGACGTCTGACATTACGGCCGCCGAGCTCGGTGTTGCGGCCATGGCAAGAGATTAAATACCCCGAATCGGGGGACAGTCGTGGGCGGTTGTTGGTGCCGTGGCTGAGTTTCACGAGTTGGTGACTTTCGGTGGAACAACAAAGTTCATCGAGACGGATGCAGGTGTGGTGCCGGGTCGAAGGCGCAAAGGCGCAGAGGGTGCACAGGGGGGATGCACGCGACGACGAACAATTAAATTCCGGCCTTGTTCGGGGAGGGACGGAGGGAGAAAGAAAATGGAGGGAGGGTTGCCGCCACGATAATGTGACTTAGGTGGCTGGTTTGCAATTAAGTGGGCGAGGAATTTTGGGTTGGGATGGAGAGGCGCGGATGCCTGCCGCAGCTTGGCCCACGGTCGCCGAAGGCATCGCGTCAGGAGCTGTCGCCGGGCGGGCTCATCAAATTATCCCCGTTTGGCGATCAGGACTCGCGGGCGACGTGAGAGGTGCACTGGCCCACGCGCTGTTGTGATGCAGGACAAGTAGTAACTAAGCGAGTTGTGTATTTAACGGGGTGGTTATTCAGTTAACTCAACATGGATGCTACTCATACCTCTCACCCACTCCTACAACTTCCAGTATTATTTGGACATGGACCTATGGCGGATAATTTTATGTAGTTATTACAATCACGAACTTCTTTTTGTTCACAGCCCTTTTCTGGGTCTCGTTTCATCCATAACTATTTTGTAGACGAGCAAACCCGGGAGTTCGTGCCGCGAAGAGGCGCTAACAGAGATAAAGAAACAACCTCGGCCCCTCCGGCCCTTTGCTCTTTACAACTCAGATCATCCAATTGCTGAGCTGCCCAACAAAGTGACTGGAAAATACAGCCGCTCAAAAATGGCCAAAATTGCAAATATTCCCGTCATTGACATTTCCGGAGACGACCAGGCTCGGGTGGCCAAGGACTTGGTCGAGGCCGCCATTGAACATGGCTTTGTCTACATCAAAAACACGGGACAGGATATTCCTGTCGCGGCGATAGATGGGGCATTCGAGATCGTAACATACCATACCAGTTCCGTAAAGTGAAGATGGCAAATCCCTGACGTTGCGCAGTCTAAGAAGCTCTTCGAGGCGCCCCTGAGCGAGAAGCAAGCATGCACAATCCAGAAAAACAACCGAGGGGTAAACGAGACCTGTTCATTATCGTCCTATACCCTCTTTCCATAACTAATACTGTATTCTCAGTGGTCGGGAATGAACTCCGAGACTCTTGACCCCGCAAACCAGCGTGTAAGTCGTCCCACCAAGCCTAGGTGTTGGCTCACATCACCGACTCATCACTAACTCCCTTACAGGTAGGCGACTTCAAGGAGTAAGCCCCCCCCCCCGGTTCACCCCAACCACCACCCACCCCCCCACCCCCCCACAAACAAACAAAACAACCCCCCTATTCACACTCAACAGAGCCTTCAACTTCGGCGACTTCCTCGCCCACAAAGCCCAACAACCCCTCCCCCCAACCCTCACCGCCCCCGACGAAGCAGCCATCAGCGCCTTCCGCGACCTCTGCTACCACCTCTCGCTCAAGCTCCTCCACCTCCTCGGCACCGGTCTCGCCGTAACCCCACCAACCTTCTTCACCTCGGCGCACGAGCGCGCCCGCGGCGCCTCGGGCACCATCCTCCGCTTCCTGCGCTACCCGCCGCGCAGCGCCCTCCCCCTGCCCTCAAAGGTAGGGGAAGGGGAAGAGGAGGATGACGACGTACGCGCGGGCGCGCACTCGGATTACGGGTCGCTGACGTTGTTGTTCCGCCTGCGCGGGCAGCCCGGGCTGGAGGTGCTGCGCGCGGACGGGCGGACGTGGGCGCCCGTGGCGGTGACGCCGCCGGGCACGGAGGGGGATGCGGCGCCGCCGGTGCTGGTGAATATTGGGGATTTGTTGGCGTATTGGACGGGGGGGCTGTTAAGGAGTACGGTGCATCGGGTTGTTTTTCCGGCGGCAGCAACGGAGGGAGGTGGGGATGCTGAGGGTGGGGTGGCGACTGGGGGGGTGGTGACTGGGGAGGGGGAAGGGGCGGCGACGAGGTACTCGATTGCGTATTTTTGTCATCCGTTTGGGGGGGCCGAGTTGGGGCCGGTGCCGAGTGAGCGGGTGAGGGGGTATAAGGGGGGTTTGGCGCAGGGGAATCCGTACGCGGAGAGGAGGGTGATGACGGCGGATGAGCATTTGATGATGAGGTGTGTTGCCCTTTGTTTCTTTTCTTTGTGCGGTTACCTCGCGGGGTGAAATACGTTGACGCTGGAGGGGTATGTTACTGACTGATACGACAGATTGAAGGCGAGCTATGCACAGCTATACGAGGAGAAAGAGAAGGAGGAGGCGTGATGCTGTTCGGCTAGCGATAGCGCGGGTTGTTTTACGACAGTTTTGATACTCGAATGCAAACACGCTAAATCAACTCCTATTTCGTGACGGGCAAAAAAACCCAACAGGAAAAACAAGCGGGATAAAACGTGGAAAAGGGAAAAGAAATCACAAAAAGCTCACGGGCTACCTCCGTAGCCGGTTACGAAAACCCCGTAGGGTTTTACTTCGGACTCGAACTGGCTGCCCCCCGAGAGTCTCGGTGCGGATTCAGCCAGGAGTGCCGCACTCCCCGCTCTGCCACCTAGCGTTTTGTGAGGGGGGAGATGTTAATTGGCGCCGCGAATCTTGTTTATAAACGCCTGGCACTGGCCAGTGGTGGGTAGGCGGGCGTCGAACTCGTACTGTGTGTGTCTGACATGGGATGGAAAGCGTGGTGTTGGTGGTAGGCGGGAGTTCGAAGCCGAGCTTAGGGTATTGATGCAGGTGGTGGGATCCTCCAACACTATCAGTATATCACTATCCTTCGAGCCACATGCTACTCTTGCCAGTCCCAGTCACTATCTTGCTCGGAATCTCTCCAGCTGCTGAGTGAAGAACCTTCCCCTGCTCGTCACACAACGGCTCGGTCGCGGCAGCCGATAAGTCGGGGTTCAAAAACACTTGTTAGCACAACAAACTGATGGGCGGTCATACACATATGCTCGTATTCTCTACCCTTCATGTCCATGTCTCGTACAAATAACCTCTGGGGTATACTCGCTCCCATGGATCTAATGCTCTTATGCAACCCCCCCCCCCCAAACGCCTCCTGATGCGGGACACAACCACCACCTCGGAACCACCAACTCCCCCTCACGCAGCCGCCTGGCCCATCTTCTCATCCCTCTCCTTCCTCCTCGCCTTCCGACTCCCATTCCCCTGCTGTTTCTGCAGCTGCTCCCGCCGCTCCTGCTTCCTAGCAACCTTGTCGATGGCACCAATAACCTTCTGCTCCTTGCCGAGAGGATATTTCGCCGCAGCGGCAGCCTCGTCGGCCTCGGTCCACTCCATAGGCAGGACAGCAAAGACGAGGTATGAGGTATGGGTCTTGATCTCGGGCTCGCCGCGCGTGATGAGGCGGCCCTCCAGCCAGGGTGCTGTTTCCGACGCCTCTTCGGCGACCGGGGGGGCTTCGTCGTTGTTCGTCGCGCCACGGCCTGTTGGTGGTGCGGGCTCATCTTCGTCGGCCGAGTCCATGTCCTCGTCCCCGTCTCGTGGTTTCGCCGCGTGCTCCCGGAATCGGCACTCGATCTCGGTCAGCCTCGCGATGGCCTCGTCGACGTCGCGTGCCGAGTTGTTGACGCCGCGGTCGAAGTTGAGGTTTAAGCCGACGCGCTCGCGCGAGGTGTGCAGCTTCCTGTTGGCGATCTCGACCATGTCGATGTCGACCCAGCCCAGGCGGCGCATGGCTGACACTGTGCGGGTGACTTGCTCGATGCAGGGCGAGAAGGTGCAGATGTGGACGCTCTTCTTGGGGTTCAGCGGTGATACCCATTCGGCTTCGGCGTCTCCAGAGGCGGCGGTTTTGACATCGAACGGGGGCTGGGGTTTCCGCCGGGATAGGTGGGGGAGGGCTTCCCACGGAGCGGGTAGGTCAAGGAACACGGCGTCGGCCCCCGGGCTGTTGCCATCGATGAGGAAACCCCCATTGTACACGTCGCGGTGAGTTAGGTGGACGAGCCCGTCCATGCCGTGGCCCGAGAGCTCCTCCTTCATCTTGTGGTAGCGCTGCTCATGAAATTCGAAGCTGAACACCTTGCCCTTCCGCTGCCCCTCGGCCGGATACCCGTTGTAAACGGCCCGCACCGACGCATGAGTGAAACTCCCACTCCCGGCGCCTGCCTCGATCAAGACTGAGCCTGGCCGCGCTCGTATCCTGTGCAGAATATAGCTGTAATCGGGGGTGTAGACGACTTGGGTTCGGTGCGGCAGACTCGTCGTCCAGAGCTCGGGGGTGGGGGGGAGAACGTGGATGAAGCCGCTCGTATCGGCAACTGCTTTCTTAACGGCCGTGCTGTCTTCATTTGCGACGGCGGGCGACTCTTCGTTGTCCTTCTCGCTAGCGGCCGTGGCGTCCCGGCAGGCATCATCGGCGCCTTCGCGCTTCCTCTTGCGACCCCGCGATCCGGTGTCGACTTTGGAAGCTCGGATCTGAGAGCCCCAAGGCACGTTCAACATGGTCGAGTGGGGGAACGAGCCATAGCGCGTGTTGACAACGGCGCCTTCAGCGTAACCGTCGTGGTTCCCCGTTGGCGACTGGAGGTAGACGGGCAGGAGGTTGTCGCGTGAAAGCTGGAGTATTGCGAGGGAATTGGCCCTTGTGCGCGGACCTGGGTCCAGAAACGGCGAGATGGCTTTTGTCGTTGGCGTCATGGTTGGGCTATAAGAGTTGAGGGACATGTTTTGTGAGTGTATTTGGCATTTCCATGCGCATGTGAAGTCCCAAAAGTACGAAGTAAATCCGTCGCAAAAAAGATTCCACCTCGAGCTTGAAAATTGAGCCACAGTGGGGGTGGCCTGGTTTGGAATCATTGCACTGTGCCGTGGCTGGCTCGGCTGGTCGGAGCAGAGTGGGGTCGCAGCACTTTGGGGATTCAAGCTTTTGCCAAGGCCCGGAGCACGATGGAATTTGCTTGGCAGATGGGACCGAACGTTCTGGGCTGGTTCGGTCAGGCCGGTTCAGGAACGAGGACGGGATACCTGGTAAGATGACACTGGTGATACTAAGACTGGCGAAAGTTAGATCGGGACAAACTCAAATTGACAACTGAGGTCAAAGGTGTCACGGAGCTTGTGGACGGGAGTCACTTCATTGCTCGAGCTACTTCTGATGACTCTGACGGGGTGGTTTGCTTTTACGCAAATCACTAGTTCAGTAGGTACTGGGGACTGTTGATAGTTTCTTTTCCACACTCTGAGCTCAACTGTTGTTTGCACTCTGAGGTGTGCGTTTGACAGACACACCTATCTACGCCCACTCCGCAAATGTCTTAGGGCCATGCTCGTCGGCTGGCGAAGCAACCCACTTGAGCCTATCTACCTATTTACACAGTGGTGGCCGGCTTCTTGTTGCAGGGGCCATTTTCGAACCCCGTGGCCGGCCCACGAGGCTCGAGGGAGGTCCAAGGGTCATCCCTATTTCGTCCGAGGGTCACGGTATTTAAAGCAGACGGGAGCTTTGTGACGTACCGATCGTGCGATCGGGCAAACAACCACCCATCGTTTCCTGATCATCATGCCGCCCCTCATCGGTGATTCCGTTCAAGCGCAATCAGTGTACTTTACACTGTTTCGCAACCCGATGACGGGCTTACTGGTAAGTCGAGCGCCGACGCATGGCCTATCTTGGACTGCTGACATGTCTAAGTATTGGGGTCTGTTTGTGACGGATTCCGACGAGACGGGCACCTTCCACTGTGTGGTCAACACCGGCAGTGGTTGGAGCCACGCACCCCAGACGACAACTGCTCAGGAAGTATCGTCGTTAGCAGCCTTGGTTTTCGTCAGCCGCATCACGGGTAGCGTCGCCGACGTCGCATCTGTGATTGCGAGAGTCCAGGTCGATAGCCCCCATTTATCACACGCAGGAGGATCATTTGTCTGCAAACTTTGGGTCCACGCCGTGCTCGTCGCCCTAGCCAACTACAGACTCATCTCGCGTCGGGCCGTTTCCTGTAGGTTCAGAACACCAACGTTTATTCGCGACTCGTGAGCGCTAACCCCGTGGCTAGATATTGTCCCCGGTCTTCGCCATACCAGGGCGGGTACCATTTTCTCTCTCTAAGAAAAGGCTTCGGAGCGGCTATCATCAACGAGACCTGCTAAGGGGGATTTACACCAAGGCTCACGTCGTCACGGAGCGCCACTGGCACGGCCCAAGGTTAACTATCGAGACGAGCTCGCCAGCGGGAAGAAGCTCTGGGAATATTCTACTGCCATTGACGCCATAGATGAGGGGCCCGTATAGGTATATCTAGTATCACTAGCACAGATTACTTGAGGTCCTCATATAGCGTAACGGTTTCCCCCCCCCCCAGATGTACCATGGTATCACGCTTAATATCCACCCAGCAAAACCCAAAAACACCCATATTGACATCCAAACCCAGGCCAACAAGCAACATTCCCAACATAACACAATCTCGCTCCCATCCCACTCCCATTCCATCCCCTCCCTCCCCCATTCATTTAAACTCCCCATCATCATCCCCCCACCCAGACCCATCATACCCAGCGGAAGAAGCAGCAAGCGCAGGCGCAGTACCACTCGTCTTGCCCGCTCCATTAGCACCCGCACCCCCCTGAGCCACCTGTCCCTGCCCCTGTGGAAGCCGCTGCTCTTGCTGCTTGATCGCCTGCAGCACCTCGGGCGGGGGTATGGTTGGTTGGTTCGGGTTGTTGTTGTGCTTCACGGACGGGAACTGCGGGTTTTGGCCTCCGCTTGCGTTGGGTTTCCACATTAGGGGCTGCTGCTGCTGCTGCTGTTGTTGATGTTGTTGTGGCTGCTGCTGCTGCTGCTGCTGGTGCTGCATAGTAGGAGCCTGTTGTAGGTGTGATTGCTGAGCAGGGTGGCCGGGCATCATCATCATATGCGGGCCGCCGGGATGGAACTGCTGCTGCTGCTGCTGCTGTTGGTTCGGATGGGGCTGCGGCGGAAATACGGGCGGTCCTTGATGAGGCGGTCCCTTTTGCAGTCTGTTCGCCGGGTTTGGTGTGTTTGCCTTTTTGACGGTGTCGCCCCTCCATAGGCGGCCGAACCAACCCTTTTCTTCCTTGACAGGTTGCGCGGCCTGGGGCTGCATGACGTAGGACCCGCCGGGCATTTGGCTTGGCTGCATCATGTGGGGCGCCATGAAATATTGCGGTTGCTGCTGTTGCTGTTGCTGATGCTGCATACCTGGTTGGAAGCCATAATAGTGCTGCTGCGGCGGCGGCATCCCGGGCTGGAAACCTTGTGGTTGCATCCCCGGGGCCATCCCCGGTGGGGCAAACATCATGGGCATTTGCGGAGGCGCTGTTCCCGGCCCCGGAGGACGGTTCGGCGGACCTGGCTGAGGAACCGTCGCGTGTGAAAACGTTCTCAGGGGCATGTTTTGATGTGCCTGATGCGAGCCAGTGGGGTTTGCAGCTGGCCCCTGCGAAAACTGCATGGGTGGCATTTGGCCGCCTGGTTGTATAGGAAGCTGGCTGTTCCCAACAACTGGGGCCACTTGCGGTACGATCGACTGACTTGCTTTATGCCCCTGGCTGGGTGTCGACGTGGCAGAGGATACGGCCGTTTGCTGGTTGACGGAAGATGGCGACACCGGCATAGGCGGGCGCTGGCTGGGCGGGGTCTGTGCCGGCGGTTGGGAGGGCATGGTGACCGGCACTGCTCCAGATTGTTGCTGGTTCGAGGTACCCCCCGACCCGGAAACCCCGGCGTTGCTGTGAGCCATCGGGGCAGACTGAGAGGAAATGACGGATGCTGTTTGCGCAGAGGCGGATGGCCCAGGCCCCGGCGAGGAAGGTTGGGGCGAGCTCACCGGATGGGAGGCAAGCGGGTGATGGCCAGACGGAAGCGAGTATACTGGGGCGGCCGAACTTGCCACTGGCATGCTGACAGGCGGCGCGGGCGAGGAGGTCGTTGCCATTGCGCCAGACCCGACTACCGGAGGCCGGAAGCCAACTTGGCCTGGTGGGGTCTGCGTTGCGACTGCTGTATTTTGGGCAAGATTGTTCAATGTTGGCACTGGTGATGTCAATGATGGGAAACCATTGGTGGGGTCAGCTCGAGTCGGCGGTGACGAAGCGCGTGACACAGGACTAGGAGTCCGGGGACTAGGCGGTTTAGGTGTGACAGATGGTGGTTGCGCGGCCACAACCTGCCCATGTGCGGGGTTGCTAGCCTCGTTGACCGAAGACGATGGCGGTGTAGCTGAGGTAACTGGGAAGTACGCGCCCTGAGTCTGGACAACCGAATCAGTTGGCAAGGTGACGGCAGGCTGCGATGGGGGCTGGTGGTGGACTTGGCCCACGGTTTGGTACTGTGGAATGGCATAGGAGGAATGCTGAGCGTCGGGTGCAACCAGACTAGGTTGGAAAGAGGTTTGGGTAGTCTCTTGTCCGACCACTTCGGACTTTTGGAGTCTTGGTTGCTCGACTGTTCGCGGATCGCCTAACGACGTCTGTGATGAGGTACCTGGGCCAGGAACACGAGCGCTTTCCGAGAGGGCCGATGAGTCTTGTGTATTAGCCATCTCGGTCGGGGCATTAACGGCCCCTTGGGGCGATGAAGTTGCCGGGACTGGTTGGTTGGTGCTAGTCTCAGACTTCACAGCAGCCGGCGGAACAGAGGCGAGGTCCCGAGGAGCAGGCAACATGGTGGATTCGACCATGACACTAAATCCGCTTGCAATGGCTTGCCCAGCATTACTAGTTGTGGTCACTGTGGTGCGCTCTGGGGAGCTTTGATGAGGCCGGTCCGAAGCGGGCACGGGATCGGGCTGGGCCATGACACCACTTTGCTCACCATGAGCACTCGTATTATCCCGAGCGGATGAATTTCCCCGGCCCGGATCCGGTTCAACAATCGAGCTGGCCACCGGAGCAGAAGCGATTGTAGTACCGGAGGGCGCAGGGGTAGTCTTCCCCGGTACGGCCCCCGGTATGGGCCCCGGCTTAGCTGTGATTGATGACTCAATTGTAGAAGCAAAGGTTGGCGCGCTGTTCTGAGGTGGTGGTGACTTGCGTGATAGATTGAGGGGTTGCGGTATGTCCGAGCCCGAGGGCGGTAGAGGGCCAGGGTATGGCTGTGTGGGTACGATCCCGGCCTCTCTTCCAGATGGGACGCCAGTGGACTCGCTGGAAGGCGCTTGACTGGACTGTAAACCCTCGCTCGTGACCGAGTGCGGTAGATGCGGGCGGACGCCCATGAATGGGAGCGCGGGAAGATGTGTCGGCAGCGTACTTGTCCTAGAAATCCGAGGCCTCATGGGGTCAGATGCCTCGGGGGCTGCCGTGGCTCCTTGGCCGTATCCGCTCTTGGATAGAAGCTGGACCGTATCCTCGATGTCCCGTTGTAAGTCACGGTATGGCCTATAGGCTTGGTATGACCGGGCCGGACTGGCCCCTTGGCTTTGAGGGGGTGTTTGATTGCGCAGGACGGGGCGGCCGCGGGCGGGTTGGAGGACCGAAGGGAAATGGGCGAGGCCACCGGAATTTGCCTGGGTGATGGGGCCGGAGATGCTCTCAGGACGTGGTCGGGAAGAACGAGGAACCGTGGTTTGCGCGACGCTGTCGGGTGAATCAAGAGGACGCACATCGGCCGGCTGCAGCGCAGGAGTGACTTCGGACATCCGAAACTGCGGCGGCGGCGGCCCCGCAAAGGTGTGCCGTTTATTATCGTCAACTGGCAATGGCTGACGATCCCGCGGCTCGACGGTCGAAGACCGGTTCGCGGCGGCAACTCCGTGCAGGGCGTGTTTCGCCGGATTATATGCCTGATACTTCCCTGGTGTTGGACCGGAGGCGGCAGGATTCGAGGGTTGGTCCAGAGCGCTTACAGATTGAGGCAGGGAGCTTTGACGAACAGGCTTGTATGGTCGGTTGAGCAACTCCCGGACCGCCTGGTGTGCTCTCTGCTGCTGTTCTTGTTTTTCCCGCAATGGGACCTGTGTCGCTATGGATTTTTCCTCGGCCACGTCACCGAGGGGGTTCCTTGCGATGCGCGCTTCGTTTAATGGAAGCTCGACCGGGGCGAAGTGAAACGCATTGGCATAGGGTGCTGGTTCTGATGTGTCAATCATAACTTCATTGCTGGGCATCTCCACGGGGGCCGGGTTGATCTCCTCGTCACACTGAGCCGTAAACTCGCTGGGAAGTTCCGCCATGAAACCGATCGGGTTGTATGGGATCTGTCGACTGTCCAGGAGGGGGATCTCGGGCGGCTCCCCGACAGCATCGGCCGGGGCATGTTCGTTGGCCCCGATGACTACGCCGCCACTGTCCAACTCGGGAGTTGTCGTGGCAGGGAGGCTGTCGATAACAAGCGGCGTAGTTTTCACGCTTGCTACTGGTGATATTTGTGAGCGCGCCGGGGGCACAGGGCTTTCGTTAGGGGCCACTCCGGTGGTCGCCGCAGCCGCCGTGACCACCATGTTCGTCGCAACAGTTGATGGGGTTGGAGCGTCTAGAACCTCGCCACCGCCGTCCCCCAAGCCGCGTTCCTCCTCTTCCTCCTGCAAAGGGCTGATATCATTGTAAGCGCCGGGCCCCATATACATGAGGCCGTCCGGCTGGAGCCAAAACGGGCCGCCGCCATCATCTATATCAGAAACGGCATTCGAGGGTGCCCGGTCTCTCCGAGCCGCTGTGGATGTTTGTTTGGACTGGGATTCGCCCAGGGTACTCCTCCTCTTGACCTGTTGCTGGCTAACAAGCTTCTCCTCGGGAGGGAGGTCGGGGGGTTCTGAGGTGTCGTCGACGAATTCGGGAAACTCGTCTCCAGGCTTTGGGAAGGTGAACTGGATTAGGCCGGTGGGCTTATAGCGGTAGAACCATCGCTTCCCGTCGTAGTCCCATTCCCAATTTTCTGGGAGGCCAGCCATCCCTACCAAATGCGCTGGCGTATTCGCCGCGAACGAATAGGCCTTGGGTTCGGGCGGCCGAGGGGCAAGGTGTTGACGAGCCGAAGCCGCGCAGCCTCGTGCTGGCCGAAAGATGTGATGAGGCTTGCGCGAATCGCGCCGAGTCGGAGACGAGAAGTGGGGGGAAAAGGCCTCAGCTGAGCTCAAGTAGCAAAGGTGGTCGCGATCTCGCTCACACAAGATGCATCGCAACCCAATACCCGTCACAAATCATAGATGGCGAAGATGGGTTTACGGGGTGGAGGTTCCGGTTCCTTGCGCCAGTGCAGATGGGGGAAAGAACGGATGGAGATACCTGGTAGTTTATGGGCGTCACGTCAGGTCCGGTGCTGAATTGTCCCGCGCGCGCTTGAAAAACGACCCCAACATCCCGAAACAATAGTGACATGCTAATAGCTCTTCGCATGGCGTCAAACTTGGCTAGTACGCTTTCCTGGAAGGAGAAAAGTGCGGCTGAGCACCTTGTCGAAGAAAGCGGGGGGCCAATGAACGCTACGACGCTTCGCGAACCCATGACAGCATCGTTGGTTCTGAGCCTTGGGCTCCGGCATCAAACGTGCCCAACTGACAGGCTTGCAGGAGGAGCAGCTCCCGAGACAGCGAGGGAGCTCAGACCAATGGATCCTGGGCGGGGATGAGATTCCTTGGCCCAATATTTCGAGCTCAGGCCCTTCCATGCTGTGGAGGAGGAACTGATATGTCCCTACCTACATAAGTAGACGGGGATCGAGGCAAATCTTTTGATAGGTAGGTAGCTGAAAAAAAATACCAAATAGGAAGTTATTGAAGATGCTGGGAAGATGCGGCGTTTTTATGTCCTGGGTCGGGTCTGTGAAACCACTGTCAAAGTGTCGCCCGCCCCAATGCTACAGTGCCTCCCGAAGCTTGTTGCATGCCCAGGGCCATGGGTGATGAATCCTCCAATCCTCCACAGATTCAGCTCGAGAACTGGTGATCCTGTTCTGCTACGCTCTCACCCATGTCGCCGACCGTATCGTTTATTTTATTTTGAGAACCCGAGCTTCAGCTCCCAAAATATGTATCGCTATTTCTTTCCGCAGCCTTCCATTGTTTTGGGATTCTTGGGAAGGAAATTGATGAAGATGTCGACCCCAGCTCAACGAAGACAAATTAGGCAGTAACGTGGTGGATACCCTCCTCGAACGGGTATGGTGTTCGTACGCCACAAATCTCCCGTTTTGCAGGGGTAAAATGCACCCACACCACCATCACCAACATCACCAAGATTACCACAAAATGCCAGCCACGCAGTTGAATTGAATAGATATTAGTATTACAACAAATAGAGTAAAAGAGAGGCTATTCCCAGTACGCCAAACCCACTAAAACCCTCCCACAGCTATTCAAAGATGGTGTTGTCAAACTGCATCTCCCTCTACACAATCTTTGCAAAGGTGATGACCCCCCGCCTCGAAGCCTTGTAGACCTTCTCCTGGGCCAGTTTGGCTTCTTTTTCCTCCCTATCAGCCGCCAATTGTTGAATAGCTTCAACAGTCAAGATACACGCATCGCCACAATGCTTCCTGGTGGCCTTCTTCCGGCTGTTGAACCTCTGTTGAACAAGCTCCTAGTTCAACGTGTTGAGGGCTATTATATCGGCCTCCAACTGTAAAACCTTCTTCTTAACAGGGCTGGCGATAACTATCTCGGTTAAACTGTTAATAAGGTTGTTGATTTCGGTAGAGGTAGAGGTTATTGGTTAGGGTAACTGGAAGGGTTCTATAAAGGGGGTTGGTTTTGGCTAATACCGGTTAAGGATCTTTATAGGTCTAAACAGAACTAAGCTAGCCCCCTGCTATATACTGTCATGAACCAATCGGAAGGACGCGGGGTCGAGCGGAGACCTCCCATCCGGAGGACCAATCACATAACGAAGGAGGCGCTCTGTAGGTAAAATAGGCCGGGAGGTGCAGAGCACCACAGAGCACTACAGAGCGGGAGGCGCTCTGTAGGTAAAGTAGGCCGGGAGGTGCAGAGCACCACAGAGCACTACAGAGCGGGAGGCGCTCTGTAGGCAGAGTAGGCCGGGAGGTGCAGAGCACCACAGAGCACTATAGAGCAAGGTACGAAGATACCTGGATACTTAGATAGTATATAGTTACTCGTTCTGGAGAGCTCTGGGAGTTCTCCAGTTAGCAATCACAACTACAGTTCGTTACAAGCTCGAGAACCTACTGTTGAGACAAGTCTTTGTTGTGCACCCTTTGGCTGCACCGAACCTAAGCACACTTGAGAGAATACCTTCGACCGATACTGAACCCTAACAGGACGGGTCCAGAGACAGGTTCGTCACACGTTGCTAACTCCCTTTAATCTGTTACAGTTCAGGTTCGAAGGTAAAACGACATGGCAACTCAGCCCACGCAGGCCCAGATCGTGGCCGCACTTGGGAGAGTCACCGACCGGCTCGATGAGGCCGAAAAGAAGCTCACGGATACCGAAGAGCAGCTTGCGAAGACCAAGACCAACAACGCGGCGTTGGAAGCCCGACTCGCGGCGACCGAGGCCCACACCAAGGACCCGGCCAAGACGAAGGTCAAATTGGAGCAACCTGAGAAGTACGGGGGCGACCAGGAAGCCCTGCCAGGTTGGATTACGGAGATGCGGAACTATCTCGACCACAACTCGCACCAGTTCGCCACTGAGGAATCCAAGACCAGATACGCCGCCACCCGACTCAAGGACAAGGCCCTCAAGTGGTTCACGGGAACACTGAGTGACTTCCTCGGCGGAGCGATCCACAAACCCTTCACCAAAAAGGTCTTCGAGAACTATTCTGAGTTCGAGAACGAGATTCAGAAGGTGTTCGGTGACAAGGACGAGAAGTTGCACGCCCAGGACCGGCTAGGACGGCTGAAGCAGACTAGGTCAGCCACCGCCTACGCCACGATTTTCCGACAAGACTCCATGAAGGCAGAGATAGACGACGAGGGGCTGATGCACCTGTTCTACGGAGGACTGAAGGAGGAGGTCAAGGACGAGCTCTACAAGGAGAGCCGACCTGACACGCTCGACGAGTACATCGCCATGGCTGTCAAGATTGACGACCGACAGTTCGCCCGCAAACAACAGAAGAAGGGCAGCGAGACCCAGCGATCCGCAGGCTACCATAAGCCCAACGACAAAAAGAAACGCCAGCACCAGAGCACGTCATACGGCACTCACTCGGGACCCATGGACGTCAGCGCTGCCCAGGCACAGTGGGCAGGAAAAAGAGATGGTGCCAAGGACAAATCAGGCATCACTTGCTACAATTGCGGCAAGAAGGGTCACTTCAAGCGTGACTGCCGCAGCAAGAAAGAGTGGAGGCCGGTTCCAGGGAAGGAAGCCGCCACCATCGACCAGGGCACGATCGGAAAAAGAACCCGATTTCTGGAGGTCGCAGCCGCCAGCTACACGCAGAACGACCTCGAAATTGACATTGACCGAGTCATCGAGCAAGACAATGAACTCACCGACTCGGATCAAGGAGACTTGATGAGCAGCAACCACCAGGAGGGAAATGACACCGCCCACCATGCTTTCATCGAAACGGATGACGAGGGAGAACTGGCTCCCCCGCGGCACATCCAACAAGTCGCTGAGGACTGGGGCATCACCCTGGTTCAGCAAGAGGACGGGCAGTGGCGAACCCACGAGGGTGAAGGAGGAATCAGCCCGAACCTCATTTTTCTGCAACAAAGGGTCCTAAGCCAGCGGCAAAGGATCGAGGAGTTGTCGAGAGAGAAAGAAGAACTCGAGCAGCTTCTCCAAGAAAGAAACGACCAGTACGGACAACTTTGCGCAGAACTCGATTTCGCCAGAGAACGAGTCCAAGAAATCACCGAGGCCAACAACAGGGCCGGAGACCACGTCGAAAGAACGCTGAAGGAAGCGCAAGCGCTGCAGGACGACATCAAGCAAGCGCTCCCGGACCACATTCCGTGGGACGGACCGACGGAACCAGCCGACGAATGCGAGGACGGAGTACGATACCCCGAGCAACTTTTCGACTACGCACAGGAGCAGAATGCGGCGAAAGGAAGAAAACAGCAGAACTGGGAAGAATACTGGACCCGACACCAGCACATCGTGCGCACCGGACGACACACCTCCGACCTTGAATGGTGGGGTTTCCGGGGCGAGAACAACACGGAAGGATTCCAGTTGCTGCCAGAGGACCACGAGCGGGTGGACCCACGAAAAGAAAGTCACATCTACCTGCCCTGGTTCCAGTGCATCGCGCACGAATGTCGGTACCACTTCCAGGACAAATTTCGCAGCAGTTTCTGGCCCACAAGGGAGAAAAAGGGGACGCAACCCCTACCCATCAGATGGGTATACGACAGCGGCGACGCCCCCGCAGGCATGTTATGGGACACCCAACGCACTCACGAGGGCAGGCTAAGGGTTAAACCCAAGGCAGCCTGGCCCCGACGCTGTATGACAGGTGTAGGAGTCGACGAATGCCGAAGCGCAGACTGCCTATCACACGCCGACGAGAAAATCTGGGGATATATGGAACAGCAATCCCAGAGGAAGCCACACCAGAGGACGAGAGCGTCCCGAAGAAACGAGAGGCGCCCAGTTGAGGCATGGGCGGCCCAATGGCTTCAAGAACACCAGACGATTGACGCCGCAAGCCAAGGTGCGGACAGGGACGCCTTGAAACACCACGAGAGCTTGGGAAACGGCTCAGGGCCCTCCGAGGGGCCCGGAAACCTCTAACTCCACAACAGCGGAGACAGGCTGCACAGTACAGGAAGAACTGGCGCAAACAGAAGCCTTACAACGACCTCCCAGCAGACGAACACGAAGTAGCTGCTGTACGAAGCACCAAACCAGACAACAGGCTCTGGATCACAGCGCGATGGGGGAAATTCGAGGCCCTCGCGTTAGTGGATGGAGGAGCGCAGATGGACCTCATTGCGCCCACATTTGTGAATCAACTCAGAATCCCA